TTAGGGGACAAGGTCTGTTAGCAGCTAATTTTCGTCAAACAGCCAGACATAGTTAGTCTCGTTCCGATCGGCACTTCCCATGCGCCCAGACCGCACTACTCGCGTGCTTGCCACACGTTGCAATTGGCCACACGGCCGGCCGGCCTTCCATCCTCCTCCACTCTCGTCGTCTCGAGCTCATAAATAAGGCCGATGTTCGTGCATTCCCAATACACCCCTACTTGAATAAATACTGCATCTGCATGACTCGATTGGAAAAGAGGCCAACATCTGTGGATCGCCCCGGCAAGGAGGGTGGGCAGGGCGGTCCACAGAGGTTGGCATCTTCGTTCCAGTTGTCAGTGTACTGGTATATTCCTGTTCCGTTAGGACAGGTCTTAGAACAAGAGTCATTCATTGCGGTAACACTAGTCACGTCACGCCCCGACCTGTGGCGGTGGCGTCAAAACTGTGGGGCCTGTCCTGAGCTTCATGTTTTTGTCACTGTGGTATCTCGGAGCATCACAGTCACCTCGTCAGCCCCGCATCTTTCCGTCTCTCGTACAACTCCAACTTGTCTACTGTTTGGTGTTCTCGTCTTCCTCATTGTCTCCTCTTCGCCAAGTGGCGAAGGAGCTTGAAGCAAAGCAACTTAGTGGCCAAATCTGTGGGGACTGAAGGAACAGGTCTGGCCCGGAGGGCGTGGTATAGTATAATATAGACAATATTGCATGTCCCGGTGCCACATTCTATGTGGGATATAGCCCGATGTACATCAGGAGAGGCATAATCCTGAAGTAGAGTATTTCCTTCCCTTCGGCCCCCAGAACACAGAATGACTGGTAAACTTCAAGGTTTTTTTAGTACGCGAGGCGGAGCGTAGCGGAGCCCTGCGCGAGTTTACCGTCAGATTAGCATCCAAAGTCCATCAATATAGTTTCTATTACTGATAGCTAAAGGGACCAGGGTAGGGCCCGAAAGGGCAGTTTATGTTCTCCTCTATTCCGGATATCTGCTTATGAGCATGAAATTCTGGCCCGTACTTGGCGATGGTTTCGCCTCAACCGCAAAAGACACGGCTTGATAGTGCAAGTGGTATGCATGTCTGTTTATGGCGAATATTTAGCTTGATATGTTCTCATGGGTAGAAAGCTCTCGGTTCGAGTCCGGGTCGAATTGGTATCCAGGAGATGACGTTTTAGTTTTAGCAATCATTTTGCTCGGGAGATCGACGGGCCGTAGCAATATGAACTCGAAGGAGATGTGTTTGCTGTCCTCTTTTCGCAAGGGTCGGTGGACGTTTGGCTCTCAGAACCTGTGACGTCACTCTACGCTACAGCAGGCTACAGCATGCTACGGACACGGCCTGTAACTGAAATGATCCTGCGCGCCTCTCACTAAGCTGCGACCTTGTACTCGAGTACATCGAAGGGTTGACGACCCTACAGGAAATCTGGCAGCGACAGCCTGGGTTCTTGTTTTCTGAGTATAGACAAAATGATTGAACGGGACACCGTCCTGATTTGGGGCAAGGTATACCGGGAAGTAACAAGGTGGTGTGTGAAAGGTTTGACATGATGGGATCAGATGAGAAGGTCGTGAGTGTACAAAGTACAGACAAGCAGGGATGACAACGCGAGACACAGACGAGCTAGAACAACTTTGCGGCAGCACAAGTTCGAGAAAGGGGAACCTGTGAAGACAGACAAGTGACATGGAGATGGTGGTAGGAGAAGATTGGAACGAGGGTCGAAACAAGTCCGAGACACAGGAACCTGCGAGCAAGACACGTCAGAAGAAATGATAAAACCGAAGATATGACACGAACCTAAAACGGTAAATCCTCGATGCGATAGTTGACCAGCCGTGGAGGAAGTTTCTGACCTATCATCTCAGGCGGGACTGGTGCAGAGACGGCACACCATGCCGCTGCCGGGAACTCGGAATTGATGAGCTTCGCGAGTATCTTCATCTGCGCTGCCATCTCCGGGGTGCGATGACGCCTTGACGCGTATTGGAGTGGCAACGAGAAACATTGGATACAGATATCATCCCCGACCCAAACGGTTCGTAGCTCTAGGTTGGGTATCGCGACCTTTGGGATGATCTCCCGTTTGGCGTATTTGAGCATCGCCAACGATCGACGGAACCACTGGCACTCAATCATCTGTGCGTCGGTATAATTCTCGGCTTTATACACTGCAATCTCGTGGGGAGGAAGATCGACGACGAAGCCGTGAGCCCTGGCTCGCTCCATAAGTTGGACTTCGTTGGCGAGAAAGCCGTAGACAAGGTCGTCCCTTGAGCCCTTTGGTCGCGACATGGTCTTTGTGAACTGTAGTGAGGCGGCTCGTACTACGAAGAACTAGAGGGGTGATAACTTGGCTATGTGAGTAGACCAATGTCGTCGGGAGACACGTCGCAAGCTGTCACGGTTCAAGTGTGCATAAGACTGTCACAGGTGACATAATCACGCCTTTTTTGTTGCCCAGATTTGTCAATGTCCGTGTCATGAGCTCGGGCCAAACGCTATAGAAGGACGACTGAGGACCAAGCGTGAAGATTGATATACATGGGTTTCGAACAAGAGTAACAAAAAAATACCAAGACTTGCAAGTATTGTGCAAGTAACGATCGTCTGTCGATAGCCAAAAGGATGAGAATCGACCGCAGACAGAAAATATGTGAGGAAAAGGTATATGATATATCGAGAAGCAACAGGATGGTATGGGAAAAATTCGACGTGATGGGATCAAATAAGAACGTGGAAACAGACAAACGGTAATAGCGCACAAATGACAACACGGCAGGCGAACGGGGTAGGAGAAGATTGGATGGAGGGTTGAGACAAGTCCGAGACACAGGAACCTGCGGGCAAGACAGATAAGTGACACGGGGTTAAAAGAGATGATGGATACGAAGATATGACATGAATCTAAAACGGCAAATCCTCAATGCGATAGTTGACCAGCCGTGGGGGAAGCTTCTGGCCCTTAAGTGAAGGCGGGAGTGGTGCCGAAACACCACACCATAGCGCAGGTGGGAACTCGGTCTTGATAAGTTTCGCGAGGAGCTTCATCTGTGCTACCACCTCCGGGGTGCGGTGCCGCTTGGAGGCGTACTCGAGCGGCAACGAAAAGCATTGGATGCATAGATCATCACCGACCCAAACGGTTCGTAGCTCGAGGTCGGGTATCGCGACCTTTGAGATGATCTCCCAATCAACGTAGTTCATCATGGCTACCGATCGGCGATACCATTGGCACTTGGCCATCTCTGCTTCGGTGTAGTTTTCGGATTTGTAATGTTCGATCTCATTGGGTTGGAGATCTACGACGAGGCCATACGCTTTTGCTCGTTCCATGAGCTGCACTTCGTTGGCGAGGAAGCCGAAGACAAGGTCTTTTCTCGGGGAAGATCGAGTCGAGAAAGGCATAGTGAGGAGTAAGAAAGTAGATTGAAGTGGGTAGTGTTCGTTACGTCCAAGAGCTCTGCAAAATTCCTGAGGCCACGAAGTATGAAGAAGAAGTTGAGACGCAGTGTCAGGACCGGAAGATCACGGCGAGTTGTTCGCCATGCCGGCGGTCGCCGCGTGAATCAGACTCCGCGACTCCCATCTGCCGCCACCACAACTTTGCATACAAGTAAGCGGCAAGCCCTCCGCCCTCCCGCCGTTACCGCACTGCGAGGTTCCCAACAACTGAATCCTGGACCACTGTAGCCTCACCCTGGGTCTTAGTAGATCTCGGATATATTACTCACTTTCAATAGGCGCAAGTCGCAGCCCACCAGCAGTTACTCCTTCATGGTTCCGGGCCCTCCTAGACTTCAACTCGAAGCTCAAGGTACTTTTTGCTCCCATCATGGCATTATAGGAATTGGAACAAGCCGACCGAAAAAATCACAGCGATTTATAGGAAGCTGTGATTTTGGCCTGGTCGTAGAGTATACTAGAGCGGACGTTAAACTCGTAAGTCATTTGAAAGCCCAAGCCGTCGCCACGTTCGATAGTCGTACTATGTACTAATAGGTGTATGTATGAACAATCTTGTACAGTTCAAGTCCTTGTGCTCGCGATGGAGAACACAGAAGCCCTGTCTGAAGACCCCGTAGCCGCCATTCCTGCCTTCTTGGCGCCATTTGATCATGAAACAGCGGATTTAATTTGCCGTTCAAGCGACCTTATCGATTTCCGCGCTCACAGTTGCCTGCTTTCACTCGCTTCATCCGCCCTCAAGGGCATGATCATGCTTCCACAAGGGGCGGCCACGGATACTCCTGACCCCACCTCACATGATCCGCCACAAGAATTCAAAGATGGCCTTCCCGTCGTTCCATTTTACGAGGAGGACTGGAAGAATTTATCCTTCCTTCTCCATTCCTGCCATAGGTTCGACGAAGACAACCTACCTCCCATCGGTATCGACGAGCTCGAAGACATTTGCAGAGTACACAACAAGTACGACGTCACCGAATTCTCTCGCGCCGTGATGAGGACTTGCCTCGCCGCAGCTAAGGACGACCCGGTCGCAGCGTTTGCGCTCGCCAGCGCACACCATATCGATAGTTTCCGGGATGAAGTCGCCAAGTTGACCCTCGAGAAACCCCTCATGCCATTCTCAACCGCCCCAGAGCTCACATTCATCTCGGGTCTACAGTACGCTCGGCTCCTGCAGTACCATCTCACCTGCCAGGACGTCGCCAGCAAACTAGCCACTCAAGACTGGCGCTGGATCGAGTCCGTTGCCGACGTCCCGCTCGGCGACACCACCCCAGCGTGTTACACATGCCGCGTGAGAGTCAACCTCAATGGCTCTTCGATACAGAGAGGCTTCGCTGTCGATACATCCACGGCGGCCCACACAGGGTACTTTTACGCGCCCACATGGTGGCAGAACTTCATGCACCAGACGGCAGCACCGGCTCTGAAGGAGAGGCCGTGTGGAAATACCCTGCGAGACCGAGCGTTGTTAGAGCCGGTGTTGCGGGAGGCTGTTGCTTGCCAGACGTTGGCCTGTAGGACTGGAGTTCGGGCGATGTTGGATTTTTGCGAGCGGTTCGCTGTTGCTGTGGATGATGCTATCTCGCAGGTATGTACAGTTCAAAACTTGCACGACTCTACTTGACCGTCGATCTATTGTTCAAACGCAGGTGGAATCTCCTTACTGATGGCCGCCAGGCTTGATATGAACGTGAAGGACATTTTTTTGAAATTTGAACATGTCTCGATGCTGTCGTTGCTTTCTGAGTTTTGTGTGCTTTGTTGTTTTCTTGCTTTCTCTTCCTGCTGAAGTGTTCACGTATCTCCTGTCGCTTTCGTTGCTTGCTATTGTTCATGAATCGCCCAAATATCTGTTTTTTGAACTCGTCCATCCGTTTCTGACTGTAATGTCCGTTACAATGTTCGTCGTCGTCATCCTTCTCTACGTTTGTAACATGCTGTGCCCTACCATCCTATCGTCTGGTAAATCAGCGAGCATGTCCAGTGCCTGATTGAATGCTCTCTGATGGGCATCATCATCGTCTGTAGTAGCCGCATTGGCTACCCTCCATACGGGTTAAACTCGCATGACCTTGCTGTCTTTAGGTCTCTGCTGAGATTTCCATGCATGTCGGAAGTAGTCATCGAACGAAGCTTTGACGCGAGCCACGGGCGATGGTCGACCGCTGTCCCTCAATAAAACCGTCACTGTCGACAATGTTCGCTCTGGAATAAGTCAGATGTCGTTGTGGCTTGAGGGCCGGACTTAGATTATACCCAGAGTCGAATCCTACGCGTTCCCAGTATGATTCATCGATGAGTCGTGGCAGAAGAAACTAATACCTTATAGAGGCGAAACGGCAATAGACGCAAACGAGAAGTAGCGTGTTTGTCATATGGTTAAATCGTGGATGAGAGCGGTAAACTGAGTTCAATCCGTGGAAACTGAAACGATACAATAGCTCGTCAAAAGCTCGCACTACGCCCACCATCTCGCCACACTGATCCCTACATACATCAAACCCACTAGTCCACCCAACGAGCCTGAACCCATCGTGTTGTCTTGCCATATCCCAAAAGATCGCAAAGCTCCGCTCGGCGTCGCCGTCTCATTGCCGAAGATCTTGTCCACATACAACAACGGCACTGCAGCCCCGATCGTCTGTTCCAAACACGTCGCCAATTTTGTATCCATACCATCCGGCAAACTGATCTGCGTGGCATTCTCGTCGGAGAAGATTGCAGTATTGTTGTACCCATCGAGTGTTAGAACGACGGTGCTGGCGCGATAGTATTGGATGGCTTGTTCGGGTTGGGGATCGGAGGTGCTGCCGGTGTAGGAGGACCAGTTGGATGGAGAGATGGAAGAGGTGGTGGTATTGTAGAGGAGCGAGCAGTTGAGATTGAGAGGAGCGATGAGGGATGTGAGCGTAGCGTTGTCGGCGAGTACGTGGAAAGTTGAGACACTGAGTCCCGACGAGAGCGACGTTGTGTTCGATTGGAACACGGCTTGAGTCAATGGACCACCTGGTCGTGATGAATTATCGGTGCTGCCATACTAGAGAAATGTCAACAAACGTGACGAGGTACGTTACAAAGCGGCCACAACTCACCTCTTCTGTGTCATAGAGGTACCCTGCCCCCTCACTCGCCCTCACTGCTTTAACCTCCTCGCTCGCATCCCAGACAAACGGCCAGAACCAGAATGGAAATCCCTTTCCACTGACTCCTCTCCCTTGGTTTGTTTCATCGTCGAATTCCGCATCGATGTCATACCCACTGCCATAGACCCAGCTCCCGAATACAGATCCCCTGTACCCTCCGCCAGCCCTCCTTCTGGCAAATAATTCGCCGTCAGGGATTGTGATGCTAAATCCCGCGCCAGTTCCGTAAGTCGTTGCGTTCCAGTGGTCAATTGACGGGACGTTGTTTATTGGAACGGGAGTCATGAGAGGAATAGCTGTACCGTTGCCTGTAGAATTGGCATCTCGACGATTGAGGAGCTCGTCTACTGGGATAAAAGAAGGCGACATGGAGACCAAAGGATATTATGGTGGCAAAAGGTATGAATGGACGACGGAAGTGGGACTTGAAAAGGCGGCGCATGGAGAACTACCTACGAGATATAAGGTAGACGGAAGCGGTGCATAGTTAAACCTGTGTATAGCATGGGAGCGCAAGGCTTTACAGTAAGGCAAGCGCCCGTGATGGCGATCATTTATAGGGTTGTTTTTCACCACGGAGTGTCTCGGCAGGCTCGATTAAACTTTTGAAACGAGTCAAGAGCTCAGAGATGCATGTAGCACGACCCAGCACCCAGGTGTTGTGACCTTCAGCGGCGTGATACGACCGCGAGCATCCGACTAGTGATAGGTAGTAGATGGATGCGAGTTGACACAACTATGGCCACGTTATTCCTAGTTTCCAAGTTCGTGAGCAAAGCGTTATGAGCTCATAAGAATACAGCGCCAGAGGTATAAGAAATGAAAGTCAGTCTCTGGCACCCAGCCTCGAAAGAATGAGTTCCGAGTCGGACTGGCTCTTCCGAGCCTCTGAGTCTTCAGGTTCAAATTTGAGTTTACTTACCATTGAGTAGAATGCGTCTCACGTGGTTTAGGATCGATGTTGAATAGCGGGGTAGGTCTCCCCATAAGCATGACCTGTACCAGCACCAACAACAATGTTCATGCGAGAAGTTGAACGTTGATGCGAGAACGTAGTTGCCATTAGCGCGCAGGACTCGGAAATTGAAATTCACGAAATCGTGGCACTTATTTTTCACACGCCACACAGCCACAGGCTCAAGCGCTCAAGCTCCGGCTCTTCAACCTCTCCGCTCTGCCGTCTTCAATATTGTGCCCTTTGGGAGCTTTCTTAGCGTCGACACCATTGGTTCAGCTCTGTTTTCTGTCTTAAGCTTGCTGGCGGCAATGGTATGATGGGGAGCTCTCTACAGCGGTACAATGGCTCTTTCGAGTCATGTTCCCACTAACCCGGGGAAGCTCAACTCGAACCGATACATAAAGTTCTATGATGGCATCTGGGCAACCCTACGTCGAACTGTACTCGATATGAAACTCAGCTCGTTTTACCAGGAATCTATTAGGACTCGAAAGAAAACCTCAAGAGCGTCCTGTTTGCTTTGCGTTGCCTGCGACGAATAAAGAGATGTAGAGGAACAGTTCACCCTCGTGAGGACTTGCACTCTGGTGCTTCGAGGTAGTTAAAGTAACGTGCTTTTTCTAGATGGGTGTGTCGGCAGGGTCAGGTTTTTCCCCCTTAGACGATAGGTGCTAAAGCGGCGGCCTGGTCGCCGACGTTTACTGCATGACTACGAACCCGCGAATCGACCATCTGTCTGATGATGAACCACTTTGGGGAATCCCACCAAGGACGGCGATGCAATTGCCTGTTACAATACTAGACGTGAGACATCTCAGCTTTCCCCCGAACCAACACCGAGAGCCACCGCGCCTATCTGGTGTATATAGAGCGTGCTCGGATCCAACTTAGCCCCAGGACCGTCCTCTGTCCCTCGAGAGTCGTCCCGACCGTGGTACATGTCGCTGATGATCGATACTCCGCTTTCTGCATTCTCAATACCCATTGTTTCTTATATTGGTTTATATCCGTTTCATGCGAGGGTGGGTTCTTGCTCATCATTGAACACAGTCATAAACTGACATTTTCGATCTTTTACCAGTTCAGATTGATCAGGCGTACGATAGGCTGGGATAAGTCCGTAGTATCAACTTCGTCGCTAAATATCACTCAAACTGCTGACCCTACGCACCGTGCGTGTCAGTGTACAACCACGACAGAACAGATCACGCGTCGAGAAGGATGCTCCACATATCCTAAATCTGGTAGACAGATATGAAGGCGCACATAAGGTATTCCTTTTATTCCGCATCGTTTGGTATAAGGAAATACAACTGATCCTCTTATCGTTTGACATCAAGAACGGCATTGAGGTCTTCCCGTTATGGACAACTGCCGTGGTGAGTAAGGTTTTTGGTCATCATGGGTAGCCGGGGCTAACGTGCGACGGGGATACCAGGTTCTAGGGCATTACGCGGGACTAAGGCATAGAACGTTGAACATCACTGCGATAGCTTAGTGAGTTGTTTTCATCCGCTTTTGCTTCGTGTGCTTCGTGTTGACCGCACTCATCCTCATCCCCTTCTTTTCGTCTCAGTATCTGCTTAAGATTATTATACAACTTTGTCTACATCAACCAGAGGACACAGGCACAAGGATGGGTCAGGTATGTACAAATGTCCCACTGTCATACCACCGCGATTTGCCTGCTCTTGTAGTCTATGCCGTTCACTTCTCCGCTGTCACTTCACTTACAACTTTTATCTGCGGATCTCTGTTGCAATAGAACATGTGTACACGTATTGTCAAGCTGTGAGTTTTTCGTCTTACCCCTCCTAGTCTCCGCCCCCATCCATCAAGTCCTCATCCCTGCCTCGATTGACATCCCATTCCAAAACGCAGCTCTTCCCACAGGCCTAATCATTGCGGCGGCGAACAATCTTCGGCTAGGACTCGGCCACAGGGCAGACTGATAGTCCCAAACGCCGTGTATAGACCGAGCGAAATTTCTTGATTGAGTTAGGGAACAGCGCTTTTGGGATCCGGACATCGTTGCAGTCTTGTGACAGCGCAAGGAACGGCAGTGGAACGGCGATTTGATGCATCGTCGTGTAAGGGTTTGCGGATCTCTTGTAGTCTGCCGTCAATATCCGATCAACGGTCGCGGGCAGTCGCGATGCTGCAAGAGCCCTCTAGATCTTTTCGGACCTGATACATGTCTCCCGGCGTTGTGAAGTTCGCACACGATCTGCCAGTACTTGTGCTTTCAATTCCTGCTATCGAGGGTAGAAGGTGCCCTGCCAAAGCGGAGAAAAAGTGGTAATTGTATTATGAGAATAAACGAGTGTGGGCATGATGGTACATCGAAACGCGTCTTCATTGTCCAATAATCGAAGTCCATAACCGAATAAAGAGAGTGTAAGCCTGGCTTGTCGAAAACGACAACGGCAGAGGTCAATCGCACCGTGATGAAAACATAAAACAGAGACACTATTCGTGAATGTCGGTCCCTCCACCTCACCCGATCCTTCGTACTAGCGACCAAGTATACGACACTTGGTAACACTCAGAATATCCACCTGATCAAACATTTCACCAACCATACCGAAGCGACCAGTCCACCCACATTACTGCTGAACTTCATCGATGACACACCACCATCCACAAGCGGGACAGCCGCCCCAATCGTCCCGTTCAAGCAGCCCAATAAAGATTGGTCCGTATCACTGAGACTCGGGAGGGGTGTAGCATTCCCGCTCGACGTGGCATTGGAGTCAGTTTCATTCGAGGCAAAGACCGCCGTATTGTTGTAGCCATCCAAAGTGAGAACGACGGTACTAGCACGGTAGTACTGGATCGCTTGTTCCGCGACGGGATAGCACGAGGATGCGTTGGAGATCGAGCAAGAGGATGCATCTGGATTGTAGGGTACAGGTGTGGAAGACGACGTCGAGTTGTTGATCATAGAGCAGTTGTACTTTATCAGTGGCATGATAACAGTGACGGTAAAGTTGTCGCTTAAAAGCGTAAACTGTGCGGACTCTGAGACATTCGAAAAGAAGACTGCTTGAACCAGAGCTCCACCTGGACGAGAGGTGTTGTCCGGCTTGCCATACTGTAGTGGAAGGACGGAATAATCATAAATTATAATCAGTATGGTTGCGTGAAGGCATTGTCGAGGATGAGATCAATGGAATGCGCACCGTGCCTTCCCCCTCGGAAATTTTCGGGGGATCGGTTGGCCTAGAGGACCAAACGATGGGCCAAAAGTAGTACGGGAGTCCTCTTTGCGTTATCTTCCCAGAGTAGCTAGGAGGGTATCCGCTCCCGTATTTCCTACACCCAGAAATTATAGAAAACACACGACTATCAGCACTTCAACATCAAGGTTCATATTGATTATTATAGGGACATACGAAGACCCGTAAACCTCCGCCCTCGTACCCCCGCCGACAGTGCGTCCCGCAAAAGGTTGCCCTTCAGAAATCGTGCTAGTCTTCCCTCCACCGGGTCCATATGTCGTGGCGGAGGTCTTGCCACCCGAAAGACCTTTCACAGAGATTGAAGAGGACTTGGAAGACGTGGAAGATGAACCAGAGGAGCTCGATTTGCCTGATGATCCTCCTGACGAAGAAGAGCTTTTTCCAGATGATCCTCCTGATCCAGAAGAGCTTTCGCCCCCGGCCCCGTGGCCTCCGCCACCTTTTCTTGGAACGAGCATAGACTCCGGCCGAGAAGAGCTACTGTAGCCATCGCTGGGGGTGCCAAAAGCCCACGATATCAGGCCATGCCGACGGTCGGAGAGCCTAATCAAGATCATGAGGTGTAGTGGAGTTGGGGGAGGGGAGAATGGCAGGGAACTACCACAACCCACGCCCCTTTTGTACTGTTCCCGAGCCAGCCATATACAAATCGTCAGCTACGAGGTGGCACAGTGGCGTTGCTGTGCTTTTGTTCCTCTTCAGTCTTATCAAATCGGAAGAAGGTCCCTATTGTGTCCAATTGCCGCTTCAAACCATAGCGACCGCGACAGGCCGCTAGTGTCATCTGGAACAAGCAAGCCCTTTGCGGAGTGTTACAGATGAAATCGGGTTCCGCGGTGCGTTTCCATTAGTTACCTAGCCTAGGAAATCCTAGAAACATAGGCATAAGCTACGAGGTGGCATGATGGCGCTGCTGTGCCCTTGTTCCTCTTGAGTGTTATCCGACGGGAACAAGGACCCCTATTGTGCCCAATTGCTGTTTCAATCCGCTGGTGCCACCTAACCAGAACAGGGGAACCCTTTGTGGACTGTTACAGATGCAGTGTTACAGACGTTATCGGGTTGAACGGAGTCTCATTAGTGACGTAGCCTAGGGAATTGAAACACACGCAGAGCATGCGCCTCGGACCAATGGGACTGCGGACCGAGACAAAGACGTGGCCAAAAGAGGATGGCTTGACCCCAGTCGACGTTCAAGTGCCAGCGCAAGCCAAAGAACGGATAAAGGAAATGGCTGTGGAATGGAGCATATCGTAGAGCTCAAAGGTGCTGCAGATCATAACTATCCAAGCGCTCGAAGGATAGGGGTTGCTCTAGAGTACTGGGGCCTGAGTTCGACGTGTGTCGCGCGCAGGACCGTGGACAAGGGACAAAAGAACGTTGAAAAAACGTGAGGTTGCAAATTCAAGAATCTCGGCACCGCGTCTTGCCGGTTGATCATTCCCACGCATCACTCAATGAGTGGCGCCCGAGCGAGTGTGGCGCCTACTCGCCGGGTGTCATGCATGTCATGGGCGACTCTAGAAGCGGGGAGCTAGAGAAGAACATCAAGGATTTGAATGATGTTGACAATCGCGGGTATCAAAAGCTACAGTAATCGTTTATAATGGAACAATAACGTGAGACCAAACATAGCAAACGTGAACTAATCCGGGAGAATTCGAAAGAACGAAAGTAACCGGAATGGAAATAGGGAATGAAGAGGAATGAGAGCGAGTATGATTGAAGACTTCCATTAACCGCGAAAAAAACAAGTAAGTATGTCGTATACCTAGGCACCCATCGAAGTGAAAGAACACATATATATCGAATATTGTTAGTTCCATCCGAGACCAGGAGACTGACATCCACTACAAGGACCCAGTCGTTTCACAAAATCCACCGCACAAGGACAACAGCCAGCCACATCGATCCAACAAGGCCTCTTGCAGATCCTGCTCCCACCCTGAACGCGGGCAAGGCGCCATCAACAAGCGGTACCGCCAACGCGACCGTATCGTTCAAACACTCCAACAACGTCGCATCCACATTACTCGGCAAACTCGTCTGCGTCGCATTCTCATCACTACTCAGTGCCGCCGTATCGTTATACCCATCCAACGTCAACACCACGCTGCTGGCCCTAAAGTACTGGATAGCCTGTTCGGGTTGCGGGTCGGAGGTGTCGTTGCCGAAGTAGGTTTGTGGTTGTGTGGAGGTGAGGGAGGAGTTGTAGAATGATGAGCAGTTGGATTGGAGGGAGGTGAGGAGGGAGGAGAGTGTCGAGTTGTCTGCGAGGAGATGGAAAGTCGTGATGTTTCCTGATGATGTCGTCGAGGAATTTGAAGTGATCAGAGCCTGAGTCATGACGCCTCCCGGACGGGAAGAGTTCTCCGGCCGACCATACTAGATAAACGCCAGCACCGACACGAACGCATCAGATATGTGACACCATAAACCCAGCGAGCGAAAGGCAGTGAAGCGGAGAGCAAATAAAAGGTGCCACGTACCTCATCCTGGTCATGCAGATATGCAGCCGTCCCGACGCCGGTGCCTCCGCCCCATACAATCGGCCAAAAATAAAATGGAAAACCTCTGCCCGCGACACCTCTACCCGCAACCCCAGGATACCCACTCCCATACACCGAAGTCCCAGGGACCTGATCGCGCGTACCTCCGCCTGCCTGACGTCCTGCGAAGAGCTGACCGCTGGGTATTGCGACGGCTTTCCCGCCGCCGGAGCCATAGGACGTTGCTGATGATTTTCCTGCGGCGGGGATGTTGGAGACGGGTACGGAGGATGTGCGACCGCCGGAGGACGAGGAGCCTGACGAGCCACCTTTAGAGCTACCGCCGCCTTTGCCGCCTCCTCCCTTCCGGCGTGCGAGACGAGATATTGACGAGTGTGAAGCTTCCGAAGAACGAGAGGACGAATGGTGAGGGGTGAACGAGGAAAAAAATGGGATGTACATCGTTTGGGTTGAACGAAGTGAGGAGATGTTGGTGGTGGGAGTCCGCTGAGATCGAGTAGCACGGTTATGCAGACAGGTCAATGACGATACTGACAAGCGGCAGTCAAGCTACAAAGATCGAATGTGTGAGACGATGGTAAAAGCGGGGGAAATCAAGCCGCGCGATGAATGCCGAAGAGTCTACTTTTATATCCCGAAGTCGGATCCAGTCACGACTTCACAGGGCACTAGCGTTCACGATGACAAGAAAGGCTGTGTGGGGTAGCTAAGAATGACAAAAGGCCAAAACTGCACTGCAGAGTTCCACGAGAAAGTAGAATGAAGAACACAGCCAAGATAGATCAGTGACCTCGAGTGCCTTTTGAGCAGCGTGAATTTATTCTGGAATTCTCAGGTGAGGAAGGCTTGCCGAGGCAGCGAGCTCGTGCTGTTGGTGGCGGAGAAGCTGTCCGAGCGCCAAGCCCAAGTCGGCGCGATGATAGGCGCCAAGGAGACGACGTGTTTGGCAAGATAACCAGCCGAGATTTGAAATTCGTTTCAAGTTGAACGTTCATCATCTGTACATGTGGCACCTTTCGACGGGCCTGTCTCTGCGTGCCACCCGAACAACCACCAACGTCGATGTCGCTAGTCGCTTTGTTTCTCTTCTTATGTAGCTGCAGAATAACCTAGCATCCTCATCCCCTGACTCGCCACACTACAGTAATAAACGAGTAAGAAGCTGTGTTTATTTCCCTAGCGGCCCTGAGAGGCAGTCAGGACTCTTCTCCATGTGCATACGGGAACCTCATCCGAGTTCTGCACCGCCCAGTGTCAATTACTGCCAACCATCCGTCGGCAGTATGACTGTCTATTATCACTTTGCGTCATCTATACCAGCGTGCTTGTCTTGCTGTTCACTCCCTTTGGCGCTCCAGACTCAACACCAGGAAACCCGGAGGAGCCCGGCGGCTCTGACGGCTCTGATTGACCGACGTGCATTCCCATCAGCGTCAGACTCTTCAGTGCGTCGACTTTTACTGTCATGCACGCTCCTATGTTCCCTCCTTCATCACCTTGACCAAGATCTGCAAGGGTTTCAGTTTCTGCGGATCCTTTACGCCTGAAGCCCTGTTATAGGACCCTCTAGCTCTCGATCTAGCTGAGTTCAGTGCCTTTCACTGGTATGCTGTCGCCTCTGGGTACTCAGGCTAGCGTACCTCGAGCTCTTGCTACAGACGTCCAGTTTTTCATAAGGACAGCCTTCATCATGCCAGAAGATTCATCGAAATTGACACAGGAAGAATCACCTTGGAACATCAACGTACCAAGGATAATCAGAAGGTCGAACCTCTTCGTCAAGCGAAGCAGCGCCGAGTTTGGCGCAGCAGCTGGAACGGATTGGGCGGCTTGTTGCATTCCTCTGATGTTTTTCTCGCTCATTTGAGTTCTGGTTAGTTATACGGATTTATGATCCCGTGGGCCTTCATATGTTCAAGATGGTGCTGTAGGTCCGCCGTATTGGTACACTCACTGTACATCGATACCGTCAAACCGGACAAATGCATGTATACAATGAATTTGAGTCACCAGCTCGAGCATGAAGCGGTTTCTCTGTATCAGTGCGAGTCCCGGAGGTTCGAAAGGATATCATGCATGGACTATACCGATAAAGCTTCACATAATCATCAGCTGCTCGTACCCGCCACGCACCCCAAAGCATCCCTCATCAGTCGCAATCATTCGGCGTTCGTGGAACTCCCATATCCCACATCGCTGGTGAACAGAGCACCAATAAGATCAGTCTCGCGCTGGCTCTCTCGCTATGCCATCCCCATCAATCTCCCACACCACCACCCTCGTAAAATCGGAAAGACTGGCCTTCAGAGAGTCGTTTATCGTTCCATAGATGACATGAAGCTCTCTCAACACGCTCCCCGGTCGTGTACATAGCAGACGAAGAGCGTCGATGATCGACGGGGGAATAGCTCCATCCCCGTAGCACCGACGAAAGCACATAGTATGCAGCCGGGGTAGAAGAATCTCTTCATCGTTCGCGCCCGTTCCGTCGTCGAGCTCGTCGCTGAAGTCTGGAGACCTGACAAGGTTTTGCTCGCGAAGACATGAGCCTGAGGAACATCAGTCGCTGGGTGTGCGTATTGCATCCCCACCAACCTCCATCAGAACTCTTGGAAAACCCTGACAGGCCCTGAGAAGCCCTGAGCGGCCCTGACGATCCGTTCCGCGAAAGCCCGTGAGGTCTCGAGAGCGCGTCAGGGCCTGTCAGGGCTCTCAGGGCGCGTCAGGACGGACAGGACGATTCTGGTCGTTGTGTGGCACCCAGAATAAACAGAAATTCATTGAAAATAATCGTATTTATATGCGATTTCTGAACAGCACAGACTTTACGAGTACCATGTACTACACTATCTTCGTGGGACACGAACTATGAGACAGCGGAAATCGCTTGTAGTCTACTGGTGTTAGTGGTGGTGGTAGGGAATGGAAGTCAGAATATAAATATGTAGTAAAGTTGAAAGATGTCAAGAGGACGGGCACGTTGCAGACGACAACAGGGATCCCGAGCTTGAAGACTGTGGTGCCATCACCGTCGCTGTCGTCGGGTTAGCAAACGGCCTCGGGTACGATGGTCATAGTTTCTGCTACCACGGCATCTACGAATGTAGAGTACTTGTACTTGTGCATGCGACTACGACTATAGCGGCACCGACGCATGCCTCAGTGATCCCGCCTCTTCAAGATTAAAATTCAGCGACTACACACGGGTGGACGAAGACGTACCCGGCGAGGGCGAGAGCGATTCCATGCTGTTCGATCTTCGGGAAGTCGTTGGCGTCTGTGCGTTCGAAGACGACGTGGACGAGACGGTTGGGGACTGTGGTGCGAGTGGGGGCGCAAGTATTGGCGTTGACGTGGGAGAGGAGAGCGGTAGAGGAGATGGGAGGGCATCTGGAAAGGAGTTTTGGACGGGTAATGGGAGATGGTAATGATGTAGGTTAGATGGGTCATTTGGCGGGTATTTGAGGAGGAAGTGTGGGCGGTGGCGGTGGCGCTAGAGGGGAGATGGGAGACGTAGGATGCGAGGGTGGTTGAAGATATAAGGGGGTGTGCGCCGTCTGCGAGGACGGTCATGCGTCTGCCGCCGTCGCCTGGTAAACGCGTTCCACATAGAACGAGTGTGTGAACAGTGTGGAGACGTCGGTGGCCGCGATGATGAGGTTGTCGGGCTGATGGTCAGATGATACGTACAATGCAATCCATCCAGCTCTCCAGCGAACGACCATTCGACGGCTCAGCAGTCTCGACTACAGTCGCATCAGCTCGTCCAAAAAACAACGAAGACTCATCTATAAGCTCACCAGGAGCATATTGGTCACCACCAAGGAGCGCCGTAATCCGCTGCCCACTGGCGAGCTCGATACTGTGCTTCTCCGTCGGGGAAAACAATCCCTGCAGCATCGCCAACGCCGAATCGAACAAAACACGGCCCTCGCCTCCGTTCTTCACAAGAACATGAATCTGCCCGAGGACGGCTAAGTCGCTTGAATGCCTTTGATCGCATCAGGCAAGGGTCGAAGTAGATGTCGCTGAAAGTTTTTCCCAGGTCGGACGACTGAGCCTACAGAGCGAAATAGGGGATAAGAACGAATGTGCTGGTATGAGCGATTGAAGTCACGGAGAAAATGTCGTGAAATAAAGGCATGCCTCTTCGAGCGGAGTACACTCACAGCGGCAGGAGCACGTTGACGAGGTGCAGGAAGCAGGGTAGGACGAGCTCAGCGACCTGTGGTCGTGACTCGGTAAATTTGGTCCGCGAAAGGACAACGAGTCGTCAAGATTGGAGGTTTGCTGACCGTCACAGTCCACGCTAGCGTCCCACTCCCATCGACGCATGGGCCACACGTCGACGACGTCGCACCCGGCATTGAGAACCCCCTCCCTCACCGCGCTGGCCACCTCCGCATACCACTACCTCCAGAGCACGAATGGCTTCCCCTTCACTGCTGTCCTTCGCTTCTCCCCCGAGATCTCCTCGACCGTGTACACCAGAATTACCTGGTAGTCCAGATCGACCGAGGCGAGCGCATCGACGAGCACGCGGCGACCACCCATGGCCACTTTGAGCGACAACCTTGACTCCAGCTCAAAGATCAGCATCGCCGTGCTCGTCGAATTCGGTTTGAAGAGACTCACATGATGAGTTGCGTACAAAAATCGTGTGTGGTAGGCTAGAGATAAGTACACACAAATGGAATGCGCTGGCGGGTGCTACAGATCCTGAGAGGGCGAAAGAGGGCAAGCCTTCAACTTCGACAACAGACTCTGAAGACTGTTGACGCTTGTTTGTCCTCTGTTCCACTCCTGCGCGTCGGTTGCGCGTCGGTCCTTGTCGCTTTCTTCCTCTTGCTCGCTCTTCTTGCATGCTGTATGATCTGTCCAAATTTACTTTCTGCCTGCTCTGCTAAAGGATATGTGCTACCAACCCTTCCGACGCTGATGGATGCTAGATGGTACGCACATGATTCTCTGCACCACGTACGCGTCTGCAATGCCGACTTCAGTTGCAGCAATCACCACTTCCATCTCTTTCTCCTTCGGAATGTCTGCGAAGAGTATTCGAGACGTAACTTAGTGACGATAAATGAACTAAGAGCCACTCATTGCGGTGGATGGGCGAGGAGGACTCAAAAAGAGATTGCAAAGAGCGAAGGGTGGGAGGCACCATCGGCTGTTGATACCCTAGGTGCGTTTCTAGTTATCATATCTTGTCGCAAGATGTTTTGTTTGTGAGTCTATTCCTCCGTCCGTCTCTTGCCACTGTATTTTTTGATTCTAGATACGTGATCCCCCGCACTTCGTAGCTTCATCAGCTCTTCTACCTCTATTGCCTTCGCAACATATTTACATATCGCTTCCACCTTCACCATCAGTTGGTCTGCCTAATCTCACGTCAACCTAGTTTACCGGTTACTGCAGGCCAGTCAGTCTATTAGAGCGAAGAAGAGTAGTGAGAGTAGGGTCTGAGGCATTTTATTTAGTGTTCGTACTATAGTCTTATAATACAGTGTGTATGGTGCGAAGGATTGTTTTGAACATGAAGGATTCTCAGTGGAGAGGGCAGAACCTCCGTCAACCTCTATACCCAGCCTCGCATGTAGATACGATTATTCTTAATGAATTTCTGTTTATTCTGGGTGCCACACAACGACCAGAATCGTCCTGACCGTCCTGACGCGTCCTGAGAGCCCTGACAGGCCCTGACGCGCTCTCGAGACCTCACGGGCTTTCGCGGAAAGGATCGTCAGGGCCGCTCAGGGCTTCTCAGGGCCTGTCAGGGTTTTCCAAGAGTTCTGATGAATGGCGTACAAATCATTGTACAATCAAGTGGAGCCTCCGATTTTTTCATCCCGCTCCCGCATACTAAGCTGCAGACCTTGTGCAGGCCCGCCACAGCATGAAAATCCTATACTTACGGTGCTGCAGGTGGGTCGGGACTAATACATATGCAGTTCTTGTGCAGTTCAGGCCACCATAGCGAGGTTACAACTTACAAGCTTGAGTTTGAGCCGCCATCTGATAAGTATCTCCGAGAATTTGGCGTGGCGAGTCCTCCTGGTGGCGCTGAGCCACAGGCCGCTGTGGGGTTCGCTTCATGACCACCTTGAAACCCGCCTGGCCTGACTGTGCCAAGTATGGTTTTGCCTCAGACATACCGGCATGCCCTCTGTCTTACAATACTGTACTTTTTCGACCAACTGTTCGCCCGATTAGGAAATTCTTAGGGTTGGGGTTGGCTATGGTGCGCGGGAAGGGTCAGGTAGGATTTCACTCGCGACTCGCGTTTCGTTCGGCCCCCGGCAGACACCGGGACCTATCCGCTGCCTATGAGTTCCATTACAGCATCCTCGACAGTGACTTTGGTATCGAACTAAAGAGGCACGTCCTCGAGCTTGGCACGCATGCGGAAGACCTCGAGCATGTTCCACACTTCCTAGACGAAGTCCTCTTCGTACAACCCAGAGGAGTCCCAGATCAGTCTCATCCCGAAGACTGGAAAGGATATTCATCGTGGGGGCCTGTAGGAGTATATGTCCGTGGACAATCTTTCTCTTTAGCCCTACCTTGGTTGCACTTCTCCATAGTGCCCCTCATCGACGCTTATGCGAACGATCCACGACCGGAAGTCTTCTATGTCACGTTCGACGAGTTCTGGGCGGGTGTAGATGATTACGTCTACGGAGAGCATTTTGCGCGGATATTGGACAGGCCTGAGTCCCCTGGTGCTGTACCAAAGCGACTTGGATACCCTCGGTCCGACGATTCAGATCGACCCTCTGCGGCACGGAATTTTATCCATACATCTAGCCCAATATCAGTCGGCAACGGCGAGTGGTCGGACGACACTGTCTTGGAACTGTTTCTAGGAGCTTTGTCAACAGGGATACCGGGTAAGGTAAGGTAAGTAAGGTAAGGTAGGAGCCTGCAATGTCGGGGCATGCTTTTCGTACGGCCATCAACGAGTTGTGTCCACCGAAGAAGAAAGTGAAGACTCGGAAATCTGCGGTTCAGGTCGTCGAGATTGAGCGCCCTCGGACACCTGCCATGCTCACTCCCATCATTGTCGGCTTCAACTATAGGTCGAAGGCTCGCATGGCACTGAAGTGATGGAATATTCCTCGCTCAGATGTATGCCACAGTCAGACGGTCTCTCGCTCTCAGCGTTGTCGAAGGCTCGCGGTGCTCGCAGACGACAGATCGTCGTGCTCTGATGCTCGCCACAGTCGAAAACTTCACTCACAGACCACAGAAATCCGTTGCCTGATGCATGCCACAGTTAGACGGTCCCTCGCTCTTAGCGTTGTCGAAGGCTCGCGGTGCTCGCAGACGACAGATCGTCGTGCTCAGACGCTCGCCACAGTCGAAAACTTCGCTCACAGACCAAAGACATCCGTTGGGCTTGCGGTCCATCCACCCCTTTGCGGCATTGTCAGACACTGGTTTTTATACCATGTCACAACAGAGTATTGACTTTGGCTCTAGAGAAAAACTAGCTTGCCAGAGGTGCCCTTGGGCAATTAATAGCTCATTGTTAAGATTTTTCTGTCATCCTTGCGAGTGTTGTTGGTGTCGTCCGATGTTGCCCGAGACATCCCGAGACACTCCGGTCCTCACCGTACTCACCGGCCGCCACACAGTTCTTTCAAGGTGGCGTAATTGTGTTGTCATCCTCCAAGACCCACGATTATGGGTGTACACACCATTGAAAATATATCGTTCTCAGCGTCCTCCGAATACAAGGTATGCTTGCAAGTATTGCGAGACTCACAACATATTACCATGAGAGATCCACCAATTTTTCCCAATGGGTTTTTATACGGTCATTGCTCTCTCCGGCTATGTCATGTTGTATGGTCTCGTAGTACTTACAGTAGGTTCTGGAACCCGTGAGAGGCCCGATGTTATCTAGTAGATACAATGATATCACAGTTCATTGTGGGTATCACAGCGGTAAAGGATACCGCGCCGTTTCCGTAGTGTATATTTGTACATGTATTCCTGCGGATAAGGGTATTGGTCCTTAAGGGCCCATTTTGTACCCTGAATAAACTTACCTTACCTTACCTTACCTTACCGGATGTCCTCCCGCTCTCGTTCCCTCGTCAAGTTCCCTCGTACGCCGACATCAGGCAGAGTAAGAGATCAATATCATGATACTCGCCTGTCTCAAAAGAGTCAGTATGCCTTTCTGAATATTTCTGGGATTTATGGTGATTTATAGCAAGAGTGCATATCGTGAGAAAACCCTCGACCTTCCGGCGCGGCGAATGTACAAAGTCGGTGTGGCACCTCTCTGCTACTCCCCTCTTCACCCAGACAGGAACATATTTACCCTTTTCTCTAAGTTAGAGACCTGCAGACAATTTGATCTACCAATCGGCAATGCCAGTAAAAAGACTCCTGTATTCAGAACAATGTGTGATCCCTCCGTTTCGACGAAACACCACGAAAGTCGCCTGGCGCCACACGCCTTCATCGGCTTACACCGAGAGTTATTCCCACACTTGCCTCGAACAGAAAATAACTCAAAAAAAGCTTCAAAATATTCCTCCGTCGTTTCTGGCACCTTCGAAGATGCTGTTATGCCCTCATAATGCTCGCATACTGGATGGCCATTTTTAAAGATGGGAAAGTAGGCTCGCAGCCGTCACCAGGACTCTCGGCCAACATCGACAGCCGGCGGTGGCTGTGGCTTATCGCGAACCGCGCAGCGAAATCCTACCTGACCCTTCCCGCGCACCATAGTTGGCCGATGAACCTCGATTTCTAATCGGAGCTCATCGGCACCCTCAGAATTTCTTGACCCAAGCCTTCGGACTCTTCAAAGTCGTACGTTCGGATGTCCAGACGCACAAGGAAGTCTGAGTGGCAAGCATGACCACTCTCTTATCGACATGCCAGGACGATAAACCTCTTAGAGGTAGGAGGTAGTAAGGAAGCGACTTATTCAATTATAAGTAGTTGGTCGGCGTAGCGTGCACAAGGTTTGAGGTCTGTGTCCTCGTGTACTGTAGTTTTTCGACCAACTGTTTGTCACGCGTCACGCCGACTGCGTCGACGAACAGATTTGGTCCCGGCGTCACGCATACAAAGGGGTTCACGAACAGAAAATCGTGACCGATTTGCGCGCAAAATCGTTAAAAATGCAATTTTTGGGCCAAATGCGAGCAATTTCGCCTGTTCATCACGCGTGGCCCACCTGAACGAACCGTGGCCCAGCGGTGGTCACGGCTGACATAATTCTCCCACGAACACTTGGTCGAAAAAGTACAGTAACTTCACCCGTAGTCGCATCGAAGACATGGATGATATCCTATGCGATGAGGGGGAACCTTCAATTGGAGCATATCCACACCTTCATACTACTGGACAAGTCAAGGACATACCTTAGTAAGACGCATTGTCTAATATCAGAAGTACTATTGAAAACATACATGAGCGAAACTAAACATATGGGGTTGATCATAGTCTGAAACTTGCATGTAGTCGGACATTGTCGGAATTGAGCTTATAGTAGGGCATATGGCGCTCTTCTCCAGATACTCAGACTTCCCGCTTTACAGCAGTACTTGTTCACAGCATCGATGGAAGACGTCAACCGAACGCCACAGATAGCAGGTTGCAAGTTGACCAATTGCACAAGATGCAAAGTGTCAGTCTAGAAATGCGAAGCTGATAGATCTGTATATTATGGTGATCGATAAGAAAACAGAGCGCTCCGCGATGGAAGGATACTGCATAACACAATAAATAAAGTGCAAACGAGATGAATAAATTGAATACTTAGTAGCCGTGTCTGGACCAGAGAGCAACTGAGATCGGTATGACCTGTGACATATGTGGAAGAGTTCGATGGTAGGCTGCACAAAGTGTATGTGCCAAATCGCACCCGCTGAAACTCGAGGCCGTAACCGTGCATGGCAGTCGAAGTTATGTCTGTCTGATATAACTGCCCCATGCAGCCCGATATGCACCATGTCGAGGTCACTTGTGCGTCACGGTCAGATCTCCTGAGCGGTACGAGAAATATAGTCCCAAAAGCAAACAGAACATCTCGGTTAGTATCATGATTAGGAAGGAATTTTTCTTCGGCGGCTACGCTAGTAGAAGCAAAAGCCTTGGAAGTTCCTGTGGCTGTCGTAGACGGGGTGTACTATTGTGTGGTTGATGGCTGATATAAGTGGGTCGTCTATCTTAGGTCTACCAGTGATTAGGGATTCATAGATGAATGGGGCAGTAGCGGCGAAAGAGAGACACTGAGCACCATAGGGAAACTGAATTCCCCATTCATTGATTCGTCCACACTCTAGCGCATGACCGAAAAGCGAGAGTTTTGCTGATCATGAAAACCAAAATGAGTCCGAGGACCTGTAGGTAGATAGGAAGACGAACGATACCACTGTGTTGAGGCATTGTTTGACTGGTTTTCATTGCTAGGATCCCGGCCTAGTTCAAGTTGGCAGAGGGTGAAACCTGAGATTGACGAGATTAGACCGGCTGTAAGTAGATGTTGCGAGTACGGCGGCAGTCTACTCGGAACTTCCGGAGAGCGGCCCATCTTACGTGATATACTTACCCTGCTATAGAAAATGGTTACTGGCTGTCTGGCACTCGCAGCGAAAGAGTCTCAAGAAATATCGGTGCGTGAAAGGCACATTAGATCCGTGGATCTCGTCTTAGATGTCGATATCCACGGCGCGTATTCGGATTACGAAGGGTGTCATAGAGAGGCTGAGCGCAATATGACAAGAGCGGGAAATGCTCAGATATACGCCGACTACAAAAGGCATAATATGCGCTTACAACAGCCTGTGCCGCTTGGGCGCCGTAACGTCGAATGATCGGGGCACGGTATGTAAGATGATGGTCCAGGTATTACGAGGTCAACAAGCGCACAAATACGAAAGGAAGTGGTTGTAGTCACAACTGCCATTGCTTTGCAGATTGGGGAGCAGGAATCAAGAGAAAACGCACCATAAGTTACGGGTGCATCCCCCTCAGGCTCCGCTTCTAGTAACCTTCCCTTCGCCTCGGATCCGTCAAGGAACGCGAGGCATCCTTTGGCGAGCAGTTCGAGATATTGATGTGTAAATGTACCCATCCATATTGCATTTCATGTGGCTTAGTACGTCGGGCGAACGCAAGGCGAACGGGTGGCGACTCCGGCGACGTTGGCTAACTCTGGACGATATATTAGTACGCGTGTTTACTGCGCAAGTTCTACGGAAATCGAGCGCGCACCGAAATGCACACTGGAATTCGAGCTCCGCATGAACTTCTTTCGGGCGCGTACGCTCGTCGCTTTCTAGACGCAACAGCTTCCGTCTCGCAGGCTCGACTGAGCTCCTGCAGCACAAACCTGACCGTGGCTGTCACGGTATGGAGAGGGAGAGATACCACCGCCACAATATCAAAACACAAGCCTACTACTTCCCACTCCTATCAGCATGCAGTCGCCAGACAGCAAAAGCGCGTAGCTGAAGGCCCTAGCGCTCCTACTTCAACAACAGCACATCACAGTCTATCCCTGTATCCCCCGCAGCCTTCGGAGTACACATCCTCATCCTTTGACAGCGGAATATAAATACCTCTGGGGCACGATAACTAACTTGCGCTGCTAATGCCCAACGCAACTTTCCATGGCTGAGTTGCGACGACGTACGCGCGATGGAAAAGAGGATATATCGTCCTCAAAAGCGAAGCCTGATAACCCAGCTTTCCCTGGAATCACAACTTAGTCTCGACTCAAGCCCTCTGGTGACACGAGCCTTGGAGGAGGAGCATTCGCAAGCGCTTGCGTATTCTGGTTGAGGTCAGAGTTTTCCTTTCCTGGTTCAAACGTTCAACTTGCCCCAAACGGAACCTAAGCGTTCTCATTGCTTCCCGTAAAGGCTGTAATGTCCGATTGTTAGCAATGGAATGCTCTACTTCTATACACGCCCATGTCATCTCGGCAGTATGGTGGCTAAGTGTCATTCTAGTCAATCATTCTTCTACTATCGCCATGTCATTCCTCATGCTATGTCTCGTACGGACATTTTCTGCCCCTGCCGCTGCATACCGTGATGTCGATTAGCTCATCGATATGCTACAGCCCCGTAAGGATAGGCTTTCCCAGTCCCATTATTCCATATTGATCTGCTATAAGAACCCGACCTCTGCACCTTCACTTGCCGCACTTCAGATTCACCTCTTCACCAAACATCCCATATATGAGCCTGTCGAAGGTTGGGATTCATACGGAATTTTATATCACTCATTATCCTTGATTACTTTATGTTTTTTTAGAGCGAGAGGCGCCGCGCTCGCCGCCAACGGGAGCAGAACAAGGACCCCTCTCTTCCACACCCTGAGCGGGATTCCTCATACCCTGAGACCGAGCAAAAATCAGCAGGTGCCACTCACGAGAACAAGCCCACTGGTCGCATCGTTGATGGTCCATCATGGGCAGAGATAGCTGCGAAACGTCTGTTCATAGTTTCAGTCAATAAAATGATTATTAGCGGCGCACCACTGACTCTATACCGTTTCAAGCTCACATAGGTAACGCTGTACTGCACGTCTCAACCAAAACTCTACATCCAGGCGGTAGCCCCCAGAGTAAGTTATTTTCTCACGAAAGCTCCACAAAACTCCAACATATTCATTCTGTTGTCTCTTTCTAGAGCCTTGTCCCACTCAGGAGACAACCCTCCCTATAAGACGTACTCTCGGACGGACTAAAAGCAATTCCAATCCTGCTCACTCGTACTCGGCACCACAAGGTACAAAACCTAGCTTGAACCGACACTTTGATAGGATTCCTTACCTCCGTATTTAACCTCAGCGCCTACTACCCTTCCCAAACACGACGCTCATGACATACCAGCGACTCCACTGGCATCTCCAAGTAATGAGAGTGTTTCCACTCTCGTAGAACCCTCGTCCGCGGACAACAAGCCGGGCCCGGATCGTGCGATAGGAGAAGTTAAGGCCGACATTCCATTGACCAGATGGCCCTCAAAAGGGAGATTCCACCGGCTAACCCTTCAACTTCCAATCGATCCTGGAAATGGTGAGATCAAACCGGTCACAATACAGTACTCCTTCTGCGTGAGTCACCGTCCGGAACTTGCACGATATCCGTTATCTGATAATGAAATTTCAATTAATCATGACTCAGTTCGTGAAAAAATACGGCAACAGATACCAAGTTGAAATTGACAACTTCACCGTACTGACGCGGAAGAACGTTCGGTGTGTTACATCCTACGGAGAGTTAGGGTTCTCGGGTCCGCATCTCCACACTCCCGCATAGTAAGTCATAGATCTGAATGGCTTGCATTTTCTGATGTCGAATGCTACAGTCTGCACAGAAATAATGGACCGCCTGGCGTTCAGCAAAAGACAACGGAGGAACACGAATACACCAGAGACCGCCATGCTTCCGTCGAACTCGGTGTGCACCCTATGTTGTCTATGGGTATTGGTGATACAGACAGAATAGGGACGGCTATTGAACGTAAAGAGGTTAAGGTACTTACATCAACGATTTCCCCTGGATTCAATTTTGTTTCTCATATTGATCTCGCTCTCAGCCTGCAAGTGACTGGATAGTCGAGCATAGCCCTGGCTACGCTAATGTGAAGGGCGGTGGGCTCAGCATCACGTCCCCATCATGTGCCCTGAAGTATGCCCGCAATCATGAGGAAGGAGATTTCTCAGTGTCCATGGCGATGGAGGTTGTCCCCGAGAGTACATTTGGAAGTCGTCTCGTATGTATCCCAGCCTTGCATTTAGTATTGAACTCACAGCAACGACCTTCCCATCATATAGTCATCAAAGTTGTCTTTTATCTTTCGAAATCAGCTTAACTTGACCTTCCCCCATGTCGGTGCAACACCCACAAAACAGTGTGGCCTGATTCTTTCATTGTCTGTGAGTATAATGAGTCCTTACCGCGGCTTTCACCACTTGCAGCAAAACAGGACTGAATATTGTGTGCTCCATGCAGCATCATATTTCTGACATTCGTGGAGAGGAACCATCTATGATCGCACTCGCTGGAAAAAGTCCAATCACCGCCGGGAACTATTGGCCACAAATGGATCACTGTGAGCAACTTCAGCACCAGATTGCAACGTTGTCCACCTCACACACCCATATTCCATGATTGATTTTTCGAAATGCCACCAGCTATAGAAGATCAATCGAAGGTGGCCGCCCTCGCGCTATCTCTCGGAACATGTCTACCTCCTCGAAGACAGAACCCTCCTCGTGCTTTCCGTTTCCGAGGTTCGCCCAAATCGACCCAGGACACTCCCAAGTTCAATGTCAAGCCTATCCAATTCTCAGAGCATGTGGTCCACGGCAGGTGGGGTACGAATATCACCCATCTACGAGAGCCTCTTTGGCGAAAGTTGCGGGAGGACCTAAGTCCTGCAGATGGGGAACCACCCGTCTACAACTTGGACTGGGGGGTCTCAACCAAAGTAACCCACATTTTATAACCGTTTTCTTTGGACACACCGTATATAATTTGCCGCATTCGTTAGTGACACCGAAGTATGATTATATGCAACGAGAACTGTTGAGACATGATATGTGATGACTCTGTCAGACCTCATCATGCAACTTTAAGCCATACTTAGTAGACCACATCGGATTTCGAATTTCGGATGACTGACCGCAGTTAGTTATACGCCACTCGGTTCCACCAGACAACCTCGGATGACTTCGCCATAATAAGAGCGCACTAAAAACTGATTATCTCCACTTTGAGAAGTCTTATGAACTGGTCTAGCTTGGTATAATCATAGGCTATCAGCTCGACTAAGTTTCGCGCCAATGTCGAGTAATATTTCGTCACCATACTATATTAAACTTGTTATCCCTCGACTATCCCTGCATTGTGCGTGCGACTCTGACCCCATCCAAGTTGTTATCTACATGGTCTAACAGCTACGCGGCAACCTGACTATCAACTTCATCCGCTCGCCGATTCTCAACGTCGATATCGGGAAAACCGTCAGAGTGATTAAATGACAATGCTCTGTCAGCAAGCAATCCCACCCTAGAATCCCCCCTGCTACGGAATCCTTTCTCCTTGCTGTTCCCCTCGTCACTATAGACCTCGGGCACCAACTCCGGAGTACTCAGAACCTCATTCTGTACATCGATCCTCTCCATCGCGTGCTCTGGGATTGACGAGGCGGATGCGTACGATCCTACGGCAGCCGCATCCGACTCGTCAATCCCATTTTCATTCGCACCGTTGAAGAGGTCGTCGTTTTCCTGAAGTCTGTTGAGCAGCTTGAGGGAGATGGACGAGTGCTCTCCCCGGACGAGAGGAAGGTTGAGCTCAAGCTATATCTTAAAATGATGACTCCATGGCAGAAGACTGGTCTGAATCTCGGAAGCATCCATAGTATCCGTCACGTTAACGAGCGTGGGAGATGAGAGGTGGCGGTAGCTGCGTTCAAACTGACGACTAGATTGGAGGTGGGTTATCAGGCAGCCCCGAATTGAGTTGTGGAAATGACGATATTTCAGGGGCATGATGCCGTGAGGGAGGTGACGGGCTAACACTTCGAAGAGTAGCAGGAATGTGTCTCGGTAAATGTCGTCCGGGTACTTGCTAACTTCGATGCAGCATTCCAGGAGTAACAGAACATCTAAGCCGGCCTGTAAGTCATGATATCCTGTGAAAGAGCAAGGTATGGATCCTTACCGCGAGATAATGTACCAGATCCTGAATGGGGAAGCGTAGCCCAGAAAGCAGAGAACAATCTGCTGCATGATAGCTCTATGTCCTTCGCAGGCGCATCGGAGGACCTATCTCGAATGAAGGTGGCAAGCGCGTAGAAGTATTGCTGTCCGATTCCAGTGGCCTGCATTGGGGTGGATGTTTGACATCTGTCGTACATGCGAGAGGCCAAGTCGATGAAATGGTATGGAGACAATCGTATACGCCTGTCAGGCGTTTTGTTGTGCGTCCAATAGAGAGATAACCCTATGATGCGAGCAAATCTCCTGGAAAAGCGGGTCTCGCGCTCCCATTCATCGTCTCGAGAATTTTCGATAGAGGTATCGCGGAGGCAGAGCAGTACGCAGAGACATAGAGTGGACATCCCTGCCTGTCCTCGATGGGAATGTATAACGTTGAAAAGGGTTGAATACTCTCTTTCCACATTATGATGCGGTCCTGTGTCTGGCCCGAATAGCTTATCATAGCAAGTCGCTAGGTCCATCCGAGCCTCTTGGCATAGGAGCGCGAAGACCAAAGGTGTACAAGTCCAATTCGTTTCGTCGCCGTCGCTCCCTTTGAGGTCTACGAAACATGGAATGACGCATTCCAATCCTGATAAATCTGTGCTCTTCCTGAATAGCGAGAGCAGGACTTGGAACTCTCGAGGGAGAGCCCATGGTTGCTAGATAATAGCACCAGGCTAGTCAGACAGGTTAAGATGATGGCAGTGAGTATCGCATAACGTACCATGCTACTGTTGATTGCGTGCCAATGATTACCATCGATAAATTCCATAAGTGTCTTCCAGGACACTATATGCTTCGGTGAGTTGGAAGGGAGCTGTACGACACTTGGTAGATGATTTCGAAGTGGCGTAAGATTCAAAACGGGACTAGTGATGTAAATGCAGATAAAAGCCACGAACGACAAGCTAAGAAGAAAGACTTGACATATAACTGCAGTAAGAGACGAGAAGAGATGAAGAAATATAGGCAAGGTCAAGCAAAGATATACGGCTAATAACTGAAGAATGACGAAATCGGATTGGGGCGATAGTAAAATGAGTAATCCCGTGATGAAAGTGAAAATGGATATGACCAGGAACACACGAGGCCACTGTGCACTGGTGACCATCAAGTCCTGACGCTCGGGTGTCAAAGCTAGGAGTCTCTCCAACTTTTTACGCGGAGATGTGGGATCATAAGCCCAGTAGAAACCCAATGCGGAGCGGTACCACAATATGGCGATGCAATGCAGAGCAGCAGTAATGCCCCACAGCAAGCTCAGAGTCCAGAGAACACCCACGATGTTTACATTTTCGACGTCCTCAACGGTAGGAGATGCTTGAGTCGTGGAGTTTATGAAGCCAGTGCTAACGCGGAAAGACTCGAGCTGTTGAGAGATGTGATGCAGATAGTTGCTTGTGGCAGCAGCCTCGTCAGGTCCAAACGGATAGATCAAGATGAGGAAGGGTGTGACCACGGCTGAAAATAAACCGGCCTGATTTACATATTATAACTCCTTAACGATTTAGTAACGCCTCAGAGCAAAGGAAAGAGCCTACATAGACGAGGAGGAAATTCAGTTCGCTTTCATTCCTTTGTCGGTCTTGTTCTCTCTCGTCCTGGATAATGGTGTAAAAAGCCCTCCACGCATCGCTGATTTTCGCGTCGACCGCATGCCCATCCCTACTTTCGGGCTGTGTGATGTCGCCTCCCTGATGACCATCCAGAAAAAAGAATTGAGCATACCAGACCTGATAGTTTGTGGTTCTTTACTAACCTGAGAGACGCTACCAAGCTCGATCTCACTAGACATGGTCTAACACGTTGTATAAGGCGAGAGCGTAGATGTTGTGAGGGTGGGAGAAGTTCAGGACCTCAGCTAGCTACGAGGGGGTAGGAGACTGGAGGGATGAGCCGTACGATGGGACCAAAAGCATTTATAGTAGACACACGGCTGCGTTGTGAGTGCCACGATGTTCAAGGGCGTCACATCGGATAGTTCTGTACCCGAGATGACATGAGCATGCTTCAGGAATGACCATTGCACAGCGCTTATGATGGTGAGTCCTATGAGCTGCCCAACCGCATGAGGAGCACGTCGGTCTACATGGAAGTTTATGCTATTGGCAAAGGAGGAAATGGCGGAAAGGAATGAGGAATTTTGAGCATGGATACCACATAAAGGGATTGGAAGCTGAAGACGCTGTGGTGACCACTGGGTTAGTGGAGATGGTGAATGCCATGCAAATAGATCACTAGCAGTGCAAAGCTCTCCATGAACGGGATCAAGGCGGGATTCAAGAAGTCGGGCTATATCGGATAGCAGTGTGGTTGCTGCGTGGCCCAGATTAAAACACCTACTCATGCGCCACAATGTATATTCTTGAAATACGTCTTTCACTGATGGACGTTGTGGGGCCAAGACATATATGCATTCAAGGTCCGACGACGAGCAAAGTCAGTGTTGTCGCTATCTTGACAGAAGCGTCGTATGACCATGAGCGAATAAAGTAGGCCGTGCAAATCAGCCTCGCTCGCAAGGCATGGGCGACCGCCGCATTGAAAGTTCTTGTGCCGCGCATTTGGCGGCTACCGCGGAAAGATTATACGCTCAAAAGTGACGACGAAGGGATGGCGACAAATACAACACGGCCGCTATGAATTCGGTAAAGACGTACACACTGGCTTCAACAAATAACTTCTTCGCTTGTGGGACCCTGGCCAGCGCCTTCACCACGACTTGTTCGTCCAGTTGTCAAAACCCAGATCCACACCTATACCACAAAGACACAAGATGTCAGCATCCACAGCTGAAACTGGTCGAAAGCTGTCAGAGATCGAACTAGATCCAACAACGTACCCCAAGGCGGCATGACCATCCGCTTTTGCTTCCCTGCAGCGGCAAGTCCGTCCAGCAGGGCGATGTCCTCCTTGGTGAGAAGCTTGGATGCTTTGACGGATCCTTCTATGTTTTGCCTGATGCGGCCTTCGTTGAGCGAACGGGTGACGACCACGATGTCTTTCGCCACTACGAGTGCCACACATCGCCAGACCACAGGGTTCCGCGCGCTCAGTCAGAAAATAGAACAATCATCGAGGCAGAAAGTGAGCGGGAACGCACCCAACCACCCCAAAAGTACCTCTGCCCCGCTGATCCCCTTCTCCCCAGCAATCTTCTGCACATCCTCATCCTTGATCAACGGACTCCCATTGCTCCCGAGCGGGCTGTATGCCTGAGGCACGATCCCCTTCTCTTTGCAATACGCAACCAGCGCGAGATCGGGGTTGTAGACGTGCAGTTCGAGTTGGTTGGTTGCGGGGATGGTAGAGACATGCGGGAGGAAGGAGGAGAGGGTGGGGATCGAGAAGTTGGAGACGCCGATGGAGCGTATTTTGCCTGGTTTGGTGGGGAGAAGGTAAGTATAAGATGAGGAGAAGGAGGAGGGAAGGATGACCTTTCTTGACGAGGGCTTCCATTTGCTTCCAGGTGTCTTTGATGTCCCAGTTGGCGTCGATATCGCGAGATCCGTCCGGACGTTTGGGGATGAAACCGTCGTTGCCATTCGGGTTCAATGGGATGGGCCAGTGCATCAGATACACTATGCAAGAGTGTTCTCCTTAGCAAAGGTGTCGATAACAGTGAAAAAATAGGGGAAGACGTACGATCAAGGTAATCAGTCCCGAGAGCGGTAAGAGTCTGGTCGAGAGCTTCCTCGACGCGACTGTGCCACGTCCCCCAGAGCTTGCTCGTGATCTACATCATCGCCACCAACCAAAAGAGTAAGTGATTGGATCTCATGGAGCCCGTTTGCGAAGATGGGGTCAATGCAACCGATACTCACGAACAACTCCTCACGCTTGATCCCACTCTTCTTGATGCCCTCCCCGACACCCTTTTCGTTCATATATCCCCACGCACAGTCGATGTGTCTGTAGCCGGCCTCAGTAATAGCGTATGAGACCGTCCTGGTCACGTCCTCTTCCGAGACTTGCCATGTTCCTGACAGGTGCGATCGAATATATAAACATGACTTGCTAAATCGACAAAAGCTCGAAGTAGACATACCGTAGGCAACAATAGGGATATCGTACCCAGAGTTCAACTTGATCGTAGGAGCAGCCATATCTAATGATTATGCAACGTAGTTCTCAAAGCTGGAGACCGTGATGGGACAGAAGAAAGTCGATGACTCGGATGTCGTTCCCAGTCGAAGATACCCGAGCTTTATATGCATTTCTCTCCTGAGCTATGATGCCATTCTGTCATGGGTAGTAAGTTATCCGGACTTGTGTGAAAGCAACCCATGACCTCAAGCAAACAATCCGAGGGAAGGCGCAACAAGACGGTCCGACGACGAGACAGGACAAAACGAAGACTTTCATCGATGACGGTCTCTGCTTTGGCTATCCGGCCGGGCCGGGAAAGTTGAGCCGGTCCGATTTCCGAAGACGCGTTCTTGGTAACGTCAAGACTTCTTTCCTCCGCCAGCGGAAGGGGCACACAAAGAGACTGAGGGACGAGCATAATAATTTGAAAAATGGTTTCGATAAATCTATGAGAACATCTAGAACGTAGGTATTTATGCATTATTCTGTGAGGTGTGATAGAGGCCAGGTCGTCCTAGCGTAAATAGTTAGTAGTGCTCGTAAGTATAGAGTACAACACTGGTTCGGACTCTGCTGAATTATTGATCGTTAATAGAGATGAGTGGTGGTTGGCCAGAATGGATGAAGTATTCTGATAAGAGACAGTGTCAAAAGGATTTAAATATAGCTCAGCCAAAGCGCGACGCTCATGATTGATGGCGGCTTCACCACGACTTCGCCGTCCAGTTGTCGAACCCGAGATCAACACCTAAACATGAGGGAAGTTGAGAATATGCATAAAGTTGAACCAAATCCACCGTTAACCCTCGTCTGTGAAAGGGTGCAAGTGAAGTACAGGTGGACATGCTTACCCCAAGGCGGCATCACGACCCTCTGCTGCTTACCCTCTTCGGCAGCAATCCCGTCCAGCACTGCGATATCTTCTGCAGTGAGCGCGTTCGACGCTTTTACGAACCCGTCGATGTGTTTACCGATATTCGATTGGTTGAGAGAGAGCGTTACGGCAATGATGTTTTTGGCCACTCAGAATGCGCCTTCGGTAAGAAGAAATCGAGAAACGAACAATAAGAAAAAATGATCATATAAACTTACCCAGCCACCCAAATATGACATCAACCCCGCGCAACCCTCTCTCCTTCGCTATCCTCTGCGCCTCCTCGTCCTCAACTAACGCATTCTCATCACTATTCATCGCGCTGTATCCCATCACCGCCATCCCATTTTCCTTGCAGTAAGATACGAGAGCATGATCTGGATTATATATATGCAGCTCGACCTGGTGGACTGCGGGAGGGATGGTAGTATGAGGGAGGAAAGACGAGAGGATGGGGATAGAGAAGTTCGCAGTTCCGATTGAGCGGATTTTTCCTGGCAATAGAGATGGGAAATGGCATCGTCAGTTATGGAAGGTAGATTCAAGCTTGTTCTTCGTCTCAACCTTTCCTGACGAGCTCTTCCATCTGTTTCCAAGTATCCATGATATCCCAATTGGTGATAACATCGCGCGAACCGTCCGGACACTTGGGAAGATAATCGTCGTTTCCGTTCGGGTTGAGGGTAACGGGCCAGTGGATGAGGTATACTGAGTCGTACCATATGATAGTCAGAATGCGACACTGGTTATGCCATGAGAAATAGAGACGTACAGTCGAGATAATCTGTTCCGAGCGCGGCGAGCGTCTGGCCGAGGGACTCTTCGACGCGATTGTGGTATGTGCCCCACACTTTGCTTGTGATCTGAGTAATTCATTTCGAGTCGTGTAGTAAGCGCCTGGCCAGGAGCACAGAAAAATATGAACTAAGCAGAGGCACTCACGAACAACTCCTCACGTTTGATACCACTCCTCTTGATACCCTCCCCAACAGCCTTCTCGTTCAAATACCCCCAAGCACAGTCGATATGTCGATAGCCTCCTTCTTTGATAGCGTATGTGACAGCCTTGGAGATATCGGCTTGGGGAACCTCCGGGCCCCATGTTCCTGTGAAAAGTGCGTGACGTAGAGCATCCGCTGGGTCAGGCCTGGTCTTATAACGGTTGGGGTGTATTTTGAACGTACCGAATGCGATCGTGGGTATGTCGTAGCCGGAGTTTAGCTTCAATGTAGGCGTCGTCATCGGAGAGTAGAAGTCTAGGACAATACGATGGTCTGCGTAGTGAGAGACTGGCGGTACGACCAGGAATGTGCTCGTATAAGTACACTGGGACAATGACTCGGATGAGAAGTTCGATGACCCACGTCACGCGTGTGCACATAGGTGCACATACCCTCCGATCAACGAGCTGAGTTTATCGGAGCCGAGACAAGAACGGGAGATCTAGGATCACAGAGGGTCATCAAAGCTATTTCTGCTCACTCAAGTGGACGAGTACGAGTCATTTCAGCCGTAAAAAGAGTTCGGCGAGATCCCATTCTTACTAAGGCCCCCTTCGGCAGCCAGGCTTGGGTTGGCTTAGGTTGGGTTGGGCTCGGCCAGGATAGTGACCGGCCGGGACCGCATCTTGTCACCGGGTTACCTCTCCGTGACAACGCAGATTAACAACGGTCCGTATCGAGCCGAGTCCATCGTACCTCACGTCTCTGCTGTTCACTCGACGATGACGACGACAACATTATCGTTGAATGAGGTCCACGCCTCCAATTGAGGTGGGGCAAATTACGTGGAGGTCTGATCATTTATCTCTTCATTAATCTGATTTTATTGTGAGTAACTCAGCGACTGCCTTGCTAGCGTCCCAGACATGTTGGGTGTGTGTGGACTGTTGCGGGCAGAGTCCGGACGACCTCGGAAAAAGCATCATGTCACGTCGGACAGATCTGTGGAAGGGTAACGAAGGACCCGATGTTCCGACGGGAGGAGTGACCGAGGCCCACTTGGGCTCCCACGCGAAATGGCGGGGCAACCCAACCCAACTCAACCCAAGCCTGGCTGCCGAAGGGGGCCTAAGGGTGCCTAGAAGAACGCATGGACCAACATTGTGAATCGGCCAGCCGAACGTCCTCAGCAGCTGGATGCTTCAGCACGCAAACCTGTTTGCATGAACCAAGGGAGCTTGGGACGCCTCGTCCAAGTCATCATTCTTCCTTGAGCGATGTTTAGGATCCATAGAAGTTCGGCGGACCGAAAGGCGATACGAATCAAGGAAACAAGTGCGAAGATGGATATAGGGCCTCGGAGACGGGTCCTTTCTGTACGCACAGAAGATGAGATAAGTTTTAAACTGAGTCGGCATTATTCAGGATGATTGTATATCTGGTTCGGCAAAAAGTTTGGACCGAGCAGTTCGTGTCTTTGAAGAGCACTGAAAGCAGAAAAGCAGATAGACTGGTGGCATGCCACAGCCGACGACTATAATAACCACAAATCAGAGTGGAAGTTGAATAGTAAGCTGCTCCTGCAAGAATCCAAACATAGAGGTCGACCGAAAAAAAAACACGAAGAAAACACGAACGACTCGGAGATTGGCAGGGATGACGTGACGTCACGCGTTTGCGCGCTTGTCACAGCGCGTTGAGTGGTTTAGCGTGAGAGCGTGTTTTGTCGTGTCGCTTTCCTCGAGCTAGTGTTGCCGCGAGGCGAGGTAATCTCGAGGCACCTTCACCTCACCTTGATCCGAGAGCATGACGTAAGAAGGCGAGGCAAGGCAAAGCGCCACCCGAGGTCACCTCGAGCGAAATCAAGGTGATCATCTTCCGCCATACCTCGAACATGTGATCAGAACGCGTCAAAGCGCGTACTTGCTGCAGTTGCTTCTCTCTGTCCTCTCGTTCGTATTACCTGGAAGAAAAAGCACTTATCTGGGTGTGGTATGTCTCGTCGGACCATAGCATTCGCATTTACATGATCCGACACCGGCATCCACTACGTTGCTCCATCGGCAGCTGTGCATATTCATTTCCAAGTGCATTTGACTCGATTTTCTTCATGCCCGAGTCCTCATGTGCTTGTACACAGAACAATGCTCAGTAATATATTCTCTCTTCTTCTGTGGCATTCGAAGGATTGCCTGCTTGATGATAAATCTGAAAATGACTCGTCTCCAACTCTCTGTGTATAAAAGCTCGTTGTACCCACCCAGCGAAACTGGCAGGTATCTTCTTCTGAGCGTCATGTCCGACAACGCCATGCATTCCCTTTGTGCCCACTGTCAACGATCATCACAAGAATGCCGGTGTTGGGAGACGCCTCCGGGAGTTCATGGGGTTGACTTACCGTCCGAAACCGGTGAGTGCCAGTGGTCTTTTATTCGAGTGTGTGCATGGACACTATGAGTTGACACGCCATATCTTTCAGTTCCCGAATCACACGAAAGTAGTAAGTTTCTAATTCCCATATTGTATTCCCCTCTCATAAGTTATTGATATTGACAAAAGTCTAGATCTCTTTCCAGCTCAGTTGTTGGGGACAGTCATGCAGATGGCGCGATCATTGGCTGCTTCTCAGGTTGAAGAAGAGCGACGGCGAGATGCTGCAGCTCGAAAAGAAGCTGGGAATCAAGGTAAGCATTGTGTATGGCTGGCTATACCAGTGATACTTTCACATTTATTGATGATATTTTCGCTGAAAAACCAGCATCGGCTACAGCCTCGAAGAAAGCACCACGAAAACGTGCTGCAAACACCGCTACAAGTGTTCGCAAGAAGCAGAAAACCAACGGGGAAGTAATTTCTGACTCCTTGCACCTTCCTCACCCTGCGGTGTTCGGCGTTGGGCCATCAGCACCAGCACCTGCTACATCATTATCCGAGACAGGTTCATCCACCGGACGCCCTGCTCCCTCTCGGCCTGTATATTCATCACTTGTTCGCAAATCGACGAGGCTCGATGCTTCAAAACGCGGTGCATCGGATGTTTGGTGGTTCATGTACAACTTGGACGGTGCGACGAAGGAATCTCCGGTACCAATCCACGACGAACTCAAAAGACAGCCACATAACCGCTGCAAACCGAGCTCGAAAACCGTTCCCTTTCTTGCATGTCGTTTTTGTCCGAGCTGGTAAGTTCCAGTGTCCGGCCATCTGCAGGTTCGTATCATATCGTCAGACTCATCTTTTTTTCTCTCATAGCTCTCGAAAGTGGAAGAATTCGGAAGGTATGCAAGTTACTATCCGAGAACACCTGGTTAAGTACCACTATTCGGCGTGGCGTGAGGAGGTCATCAGGAATGAGCTCAAAGGATATGAGAATCTGTGTGGCCCAACGTCGCCCACTTCTACCGCTTCGAAGAACGCTAAGACTTCGCGTCCGAAGTCTTATCCTCCAGGCTCATTCACGCTGGACGGCTTCATTCTCAGGCTAGTACGATGGCTTGTGGTGGACGATCAGGTAAGTTTGATTCTGTGCGTACGTGGCACTTATGTATAGCTCATGAGCGTCGTTTAAGGCTCCCAATGTCGTTGACTCTCCAGAGCTTCGGGATTTATTCCTGTATCTAAACGCGAGTCTTCGAGATCGGGACATTCCGAAACGCACTAGGATCATCAAGCTGATCTTCGTTCGCTTCGAAGTCGAGTACACGAAGATGGTAGAAGAATTCAAGGTATGTACCCTTCGTTGTCTCTTTCTGTCTAATGTCAAGTCTCTTGTATTTTCTTTGGCTAATGGCCTCTTATTGTAGAACTCACTCGGCAGAATCTCTTTTACTTCAGACGTTTGGACGGATCCCGACTTAACACCATACATGGCGATGACGGGGCATGCCGCGGTCAAGGATTCGAAAGGCCAACTCGTCATTCGAAGCCGGCTTGTTGCTTTTCGTCACTTACCAGGGAGCCATACCGGTGAACATATTGCGAACAACTTCCTACAGGTTGTTCGTGAGTTGGAAGCTATACACAAGGTTTGCCATCTCTTTCTCCCAGCTCTCTATCCACTCCGCACTGACATTACGGTCCTCAGATAGGGGTGGTTACGTTGGATAATGCATCCAACAACGATACCATGATGGCGTCTCTGGAGATCCAGCTAAGGCGACTCGGTATTTCCATTCGATAAAGAAGGCAATCGAATTCGGTATGTTAGTCTATAAAAAAGTTACATGATTACTTATACTATGATACAGGTGCTTCCCCCATGTCGTGAATATCGCCGTACAAACTGCGTTGAAGACCCTGTCCGCCTCTTCAGCCGAAACGTCAACCGACACGGAAAGTCTCGAAGATCAAGGTTCCGTACTTCTGCCACTTGACATCTCGCACATCGCAGATTCGGGATACGCGCAAGCACTATCTCGCGACCCGATTCAGCTCTTGCGCTCCCTCATCAACGACTGTCGTGCCTCCAGCCAACGGAGAGAAGACTTCCTCGCCACCATAGATGAAGGAAATCGGTCACACGCATGGGCGGAAGGGAAGGAGTTGCCTGTCGCCGAGCTTTTGAGGGATATGGAAGTTCGGTGGTCGTCAACATACCTTATGATCGACCGCGCTCTCGAGCTTTATCAGGTGTGTCTTCCACATCATTCTCTTCTACTCTAGTTATTCAATAGAGAACACTAGGCTATCGATTGTTTCCTCAATAAATCCAAACAGCGCGACATCTCATGTTACAACCTCACCTCAGACGACCTCAGAGTACTCGCTGACATCCGGGATTTTCTCGCTATCCCTCACGATGTTCAGCAATTGCTATCCAATGAGAAGACACCAACTCTTCCGAATGTTCTTCCCGCTTACGAAGAACTTTTGAGCATGTTGAAAGACTCCGTCGACGACTTCCCTCACCTCTCTCAAGCGATCGAAGCTGCCGTCTCAAAAATTGAGGAGTATGTTGGGAAAGCCCGTAAAACTCGTGCATATGCACTTGCGATCGGTAAGCATTTCAGTCGCTTGTGATGAATACACCGAATGACCTTGTAACTGACATTCGAATGCCAGCTATAAATCCCACAACGAAGTTGAAGTGGATTTCTGAACATTGGAGCGCGGGGGATGCACTTCAAGCGGAGAAATGGTTAAAGGAGTCGGTATGTTCGTGCTCCTGGAATAGTTCAATATAATGTTTAGCTCATGCTAGTCTTGTTACCCGATCACGCGTCTAGATGCTTGAGTACAAGACTTCACTCCGCCAGACAGGCGCCACCTCCAACTCGTCCTCACATGAAGACATATCTATTGAATCTCCCACTCGTGCCTCAAGAATAACCCCTACGAGACATCGAGCCTCCCGACCTCCCGAGAGCGTTGCATCGGGCATGTTACAGTTGAAAGCACGACGTGACGCTCGGCGTTCATCTTCGCAGAGCATCCCAGGCTCCGTAGCCGGTTCAGCTTCTAGCCAAAGAATGGAGTCTTTCGATGACTATATGGCATCGGTTACTCCTTCTCGCTCACATACACCGCTCACAGATGCCGAACGCGCTGCTCGTGCAGAGGAGACAGAGCGTAAGGCTCGAGAAGCGGATGAGGCTGTCGTTGAGGCTGAGTTTGCGCGATGGAAGGCACACGGTGTCATTGAAGATGCCGAAATGCTCAAGACGTTCGACCTACTTCGTTTTTGGACGGTAAGCTTCCTGGTCAATCATTAACCTTCCTGTGATTATTTGTGTTGACACCTCGCAGGACAACGAGTACAATTTCTCACTCATGTACCGGGTCGCCGTCGATGTACTTCCCATGCAAGCATCATCGGTACCCTGTGAGCGTGTCTTCTCGTCCAGCAAGTTGACAACCACAGCGCGCCGAAATAAGCTCTCGCCGGCATTGGTCGAGGTTCTTCAAATTCTCAAGTACATCTTCAAGCAGGAGCGATTAGACTTCTCAGGAAGCTGGGCTGCAACGGAGGCAGACATGCTGGCAGCTGATCGTATCCCGTCTGGGGATGCAAAGTCTGTGCCGACTACTGTCACAGAGAAACTGACGAACTGCAAGCCTCAGCAGATCACCGATATTCTCGGTGCGATCGAGGTCATAGTTGATGATGTTGATTCGGAGTGGGAAGACGGTGCATAGGAACATATTACACTCTCGTTACACTACTTACAAACTACTTATTGGTCAAATTCTAATGGACTTCATATGTTTCGTTGTGTTCTATGAATTGTGGCAACCAAGTCGCCCTTGTGCCACTCGCCTCGATTCACCTCGAGGCCACCTCGGGCAAAACCTCGCCTTGACTTGATTTTTCTTGCCTGCTGACCAATCACACCTCGCCTCGCCTTGCCTCACCTTGCGGCAACACTACCTCGAGCTGTCGCGTTCGCGTTCGTCTGGGCCACATCTTTCTCTTTCCTTCTTCATCTTTGTCTTTTACTTTCAATAGCTTTCGACTATACTGTGGAAATATCTAGAGAAATCCTGCAGTAGAGCGAGAAATATATCAACATGCCGCTCATACGCATCGAAGTATGCGACTTCAAATCATACCGGTAGCGCCCTCTCAACTATGATACCTCTCCCAGACGCGTTCCTAACAAATACTCCTTGTTTTCTTTATCAAAACCGAATCATACAGCGGCCACCAGGTCATAGGCCCTTTCCGTAACTTCAGCTCCGTCATCGGTCCCAACGGAGCCGGAAAGTCCAACCTCATGGACGCCATCTCTTTCGTCCTCGGCGTCAAGAGCGCGCAGCTCCGGTCTAGTCAGCTCAAAGACCTTGTCTATCGAGGAAGGAAACTCGCGAGGGACTCGAATGGAGATGCGAGCGCGAGTGGCGACGTGAGCTTGGATGTGGAACAGGGGCAAGGGGAGGAAGAGGGTGAAGGGACGGCGAAGAGGGCTTGGGTGCTGGCCGTTTATGAGGACGAGAAGGGGAAGGAGTGGAGGTTTCAGAGGACGTGAGTGTTTTCGTGTTATCCTGGTCTTAGGGGTTGCTGTTGCTAGGATATCATGTGGCGTGACATTGTGGCCCATGCATTCCTGACCCCCCGTCATCTCGCATCTCGCCCGCTAAAAGCCCTATATATGCGTTGTCAGCACAATATATGCGTACTGAAACCTCTCTTTTCGCAGAATATCTACGATCGGCGCCTCAGAATACAAACTCAATGACCGCGTAGTAACCTACTCCGTCTACAACACCTCCCTAACCTCCCACAACATCCTCGTCAAAGCCAAAAACTTCCTCGTCTTCCAAGGCGACGTCGAAGCAGTCGCCTCGCAGTCTCCAAAAGACCTCTCTCGACTGATAGAGCAGATCAGCGGGAGCTTGGAACTGGCGCGGGAGTACGAGGAGGCGAAGGCGGAGCAGGAGAAGGCGACGGAGAATGCGACGTTTAATTTTACGAAACGCAGAGGGATCGCGGGCGAGATTAAGCAGTATAAGGAGCAGAAGACGGAGGCGGATAAGTTTGAGGCGTTATGTCAGGAGAGGGTATGCCACTAACTTCTTAGACTCCGCTTTGAAACGCATATTGGCACCTTTTCTGACATACTTGCTACTATTGTTTCTCTAATGTGTAGGACGACCTCATCCTCCGTCGCGTTCTCTTCAAGCTCTTCCACATCGAAGAAGCCCTAGAGCGTAACGCCCGCGAGATCAAAGACCAAGCACGTACCCTCGAAGGTCTACGCGAAGAACAACGCGTGCACGATGAGGAATTGGCGGATGCGAGGGCGGAACAGGCGAAGGCGAGGTCCAACGCGATGCGGAAGGAGAGGGCACTGAAGGCCGCTGAGAGGGCTGTTGAAGGGAAGGTGTGTTTCAATCTTCCTCCTGACTCTTCGCTCTTTTCGTTGGGTGTACGGCCGGTGCTGATATTGATTCTGGGACACTATCAGAAACCAGACCTGGTAACTACAGAAGGCCAAATCGCACATTCCACCCGTAAAATCCGCAACGCAGAAACGACTCTCGCACAAATCGCGAGAGATAAAGAGGCCAGGGAGCTCGTGGTAAAGAACCATAAGCGGGATTTGAAGGACGTGCAGAAGGCTGCGGATGAGGCGCAGGGTGAGTCGTTCGTTTTCGTGCTCGTATCTCCGGACACCCATTGTCGTGTCGACGTGGATGGCTGATTCGTGTTTGTGAATGCAGAGGAACAAAGGAGGCTGTCGAGTGATAATATGTCGCTTAGCCAGGAATCATTGGAGGAGTATCGTAGACTGTACGTGTCTCCACCCTCCTACCCTTATACTTTCATCTTCACACTCCCTGACTAACTCAATAACTGGATACGACACAGGAAAGCCCAAGCCTCCGTCCTCGCCGTCGAGGAACGTCAGTCCCTCGAGATCCTCCTAAGAGATGAGAAGACGGCTGCGAGGACGTTCGCGCAGTTGAACGATAAACAAGAGGAGCTGGAGAGGAAGAAGGCGAAGCTGCAGGAGGAGCTGGGCGTGCAGGGAGGGAGTAAGGGTGAGGTGAGTTGATCTTCTCTACTTTTCATTGAGACTTGGCGTCCCAATTTGCTGACGGTTGATTTGGTCTGTTCCCGGCATGTGGCGTGATATGATGCATGTGGCGTATGACGGAGAATAGCTGGAGGTAAAAGTCGGGTCGTTACAGGGTGAGTTGGATAAAGTGAAGCAAGAGCTTGATAACCAACAGGCGGAGAGAACGAGGATCGCGTACGTCATTCACTAATATTCTCCATCCTTTATCTCCATCATTCCTCCGTCCCATCTTTCCCATCTATTCCACCCATGTCCATCGCTGCATTCTGTGTTCTTTCCCATTTGACGGCCCTCCCACTAATGCCCTGTACTATGTTTCAGGCGACTCGAAACCGAGATTAGCGAGAAGCTGCAGGACGTGCATAACAAGCTTTTGCAAGCGAATGTGGACCAGCGCGAGTCGGAAAGAGATGCAAAGATGAAGGAGACGTTGGCGACGTTGCAGAGGATCTTCCCTGGTCAGTCTATCTTTCTAAACCCACTAACCCGATGGGTCGCTTGACTATGGATGTTGTGATAGTCGTGGATAGTTTACTGACGACGCTGTGTATGCGGGCATATAGGTGTGCGGGGCCGACTGGTTGACCTGTGCAAGCCGACGCAGCGGAAATACGAGACCGCGATCTCTGTTGTTCTTGGACGGAATATTGATGCCGTTGTCGTGGATGAGGAGAAGACGGCTATTGACTGCATTGAGGTGCATTTCTTTTCCTGCCCTATTTCCCTCCCATTCCTTCCCCAATGCTCTCGATCATCCCCTGGGTTATCTCCTTTCTTTACGCGTATGCCATGATCTAACTCTAACAATAATCTACCAACAGTACATGCGTAACCAACGTGCCGGCCAAGCGACCTTCATCCCCCTCGACACGATCCAAGTCAAACCCATCAACGACAAGTACCGCGCCTTCGCGAAAGGTGCACGTCTCGCGGTGGATGTGATTCAGTTCGACGCGGCAGTAGAAAGGGCGATGCATCATGCGTGTGGAAACGCGTTGGTTTGCGACACGATTGAGGTGGCGAAGTATGTGTGCTGGGAGAGGGGTCAGGAGGTCAAAGGTGTGTGTCTCCTTGGCTGATATGATGTGAGTGGATTTTGGGTACTGACTATGCACGGAATCCAGCCGTGTCTTTGGAGGGGACGATCATTCATAAGAGCGGTCTTATCACTGGTGGACGAAGTTCGCATGACGGGAGCAAGAAGTGGGACGAGAAGGATTTGCAGGGTACATTCTTTTCCATCACTTTCAGCCCGTCTTCAGACCTCCCTGATCTCATTCTATCGACCGTCTGATGGTCCGACATATAGGCCTGCACCGCGTTCGAGACTCGCTCCACAGCCAGCTCAGTGAGCTGCTCAAGTCTAAGCCAAGGAACAAGGCAGACGAGAGTCTACTCTCTGAGATCACGAGGCTCGAGTCCGAGCTTGTCGTTGCGAGAGATGATCTGGTGGGTTATAGTGCAATACTACCTTCTATCATTGGGTATGCATACTGACTTGTTTGGATTTGTAGGCGGCTTGCAAGTTGCGTGTGACTGGTCTGAAAGACGAGTTGAAACACGTCGATCGCAGTATCAAACAAAACACGCCTGAGTTGAACAAGGTGCGCCTACTTTCTTCTCATTTATCCCCGATACAGCCCTACTTTACTGCCTCCCACCCTTAATCCAACCCATCATAATCAAAACCACATCGTTCTGACCTATCGTTCCCACTCATATAGGCCCGCAAAGCCCTCGACTCCCTTCGGGGCAAAGTTCAAGAACTCGAATCAGTGGTCAACGTCGAGGAGGATGCCATCTTCGAGGACTTCTGTTCCAGAATCGGGGTCGCCAATATTCGAGAGTATGAGCAGAGGCAGCTGAGGCTTGCGCAGGAAGAGGGCGAGGCAAGGTTGAGATATGATACGCAGATCGCGAGGTTGATGACGCAGTACGTGATACGCTTCTTTCTGCCCCGTCTACTGTTGTTCTGCTTCTGCCCGGTCCCTGATTAGTTCACGGATGGTCTGCTAATAACTACTTCTCGCACGCATAGGTTGAAGTTCGAAGAAGATCAACTTGCGACCATCAACAGCCGAATCGCGAACTACGAAGCCACTGTAACGACCGAGACGGCCAACATCGAACGGTTGAACGCGCTCAAGGCCCAGGTAGAAGAGGAGATAGCGACTATGGAGGAGGAGATCGAGGGCTTGAAGGAGGAGTTGAAGGAGTTGAATGCGGAGTTAGAGGAGAAGACGAAGGACATGGAGAAGGTGAAGAAGACGAGCATGAAAGCAGGGAAGGCGCTCGATCAGATGCTCAAGGAGATCACAACCAAGGTGAGTCTCGCTCTGCTCTCTTTTGACTCGTTGGTGATGTTTGCATGTTGATTTTTGATATGTCGTCGTAGAATGATGATATCGAGAAGTTGGGTCTTGAGCGGTCGGCACTGTATCGCAAGTGTCGACTGGATGAGATTAAGCTGCCTTTGCTCGAAGGTTCACTACGGAATGTGCCTATGGAAGAGGTACGTCTTCGTTCATCTGCACTTCGCGCCTCCGCGACGTAAACGATTCCCCGACTCGTTCACTTACGCCTTTCTCTCCAGAATCTTCGCGAAGAGGTGGCCATGGATGTCGATGAAGAGGAAGGCGCGACCGTGCGACCGAAGCAGATCAATAACTATGGAGTCGAAGTAGACTTCGAAGTGTTGGACGACGATGACCGTGAAGTAAGTGCTTGTCTACTACTATCTTTCACTCCTTTACTGATAGAACTCTTGTGTGGTTGTAGGATCCTAGCGGCGATAGTCTGGCTGATTACGACTCGAGTATCGCCAAGCTGAATCAGGACATCGAGCGCATGGCACCGAATCTAAAGGCTATCGAACGGTAAATATTCTCTCTCATGTCCACGAAATAGGTCGGACTTTGTCTAACTCACCCTCTGACTACTACAGACTTGACGACGTTGAGTCGAAGCTCAAGGACACCGAGCGAGAAGCCGAGAGGGCTCGAAAAGAGTCCAAGGATGCCAGGGACCATTTCACCGATGTCAAGCGTCGACGGTATATCCATATATTTCTGCTCCACCCTGTTTAATTATCTGACCTGGCTTGATCGTCTGCTCACAGAACCGAACTCTTCAACAAAGCGTACAACCACATCTCCGAGCGTATCGACCAGGTTTACAAGGACCTAACGAAGGGCAAAGCTTCTCCCATGGGAGGTGTGGCGTACCTCAGTTTGGAAGATAACGAGGTCCGCTCGTTTTTTCTCTCCAGCAATCGTACGTCTTGTATGTACGCTGACCGTTCTTTCATAACAGGAACCATATGCTAGCGGCATCAAATACCACGCCATGCCGCCCATGAAGCGGTTCCGCGACATGGAGCAGCTCTCCGGTGGCGAGAAAACCGTCGCCGCGCTCGCTCTTCTCTTCGCCATCCACAGCTACCAGCCCAGTCCTTTCTTCGTGCTGGATGAGGTCGATGCCGCACTTGATAATACGAACGTCGCCAAGGTTGCGAGATATATCCGGTCGCAGGCCTCGGACGCGTTCCAGTTCATTGTGATCAGTTTGAAGGGCTCGTTGTACGAGCACGGAGACTCGTTGGTGGGGATATATCGTGACCAGGAGGTCAATTCGTCGAGGACTTTGACGCTTGATGTGAGTAAGGTTTCTACATGGGAATTTTTACGTGCCGCTGACAAGGATCTTCCTTCTAGCTCACGCAATACGATGGACAAACATGATCTGTTCACGCCTGTGGTCTTTGCTTTGCTGTTACATCTTCATCCGCACGCATGTTACGATGTTATGTGTCTCACTACCTTTTCTCCTAGTCCCCCTGCTCTCCTGTTGTACTTATTTGTGTATCTCTCGCCCTTGCTATCTATGCACTGTTTATGATTTAGGGGTCACGGCGTTTCCTTTTATCAGTGCCTAGGTTGATATCAACGGGCTTTGTGTGCCAAAATGACCCAGCTCTTGATCGTAAAGCAGCGGCGAGGCGAGACTTATCGGTGAGTAGAACTACAAAATGGCCTGCTTCTAGAATTGTATATGAGTCAATCGGATCTCTTTGAAAGAAAAGCTCCTTATGTCCAGGTTCAGTAGAGTATCATTCGGACACCGGGTCATCTCCGGCGATAGGCCACGACTGCGACTCGGACAGAAACGGGCAACAAAAGGCCTGGTTATGTCACATGTGACACCTATGCACGAACACTGGCCGCGAGCCTGGCCTGATCGATCATCGATAGCAAACCCGCTGAATTATTCTCCTCATCAGGGAAATCGCAGGGCCGTACATAGATGGAGGGACGAAGGCCAAGGGCAAGGACTGGGATACATATGCGCTCAAAGAAGGATAGCAAAATCAAGAAGATGCGAAAGTAAAGATCATCTGTCGAAAACGTGAACAGCAGAAGCGTGAGATATGAGTTCCATGGTGGACAGAGAATATGTATGTGCAAAGGAGGCAAAGTATGTCGAGAAGAAGCAAGACAATATGTGAGGAGTTCAACGTGATGGCATCCGAGTCAGGCGAGCAGATGGAGAGTATATAGAGTACAGACGAACGGTGATAGCGCACGGACAACAACACGACAACACAAAGGAGGTGAGGGAAGTTTGGTTCGGGGTTCGAGACAGGTCCGAGGAAGAAGAACCTGTACGCAAAGCAGATGAGTGACAAAACGACAAGAGGACTGATAGATCAAGAGGAGTAAGACAAACCTAGAACGGTAAGTCCTCGATGCGATAGTTGGCCAGCCTTGGGTGAAGCTTCTGACCCTTCAACTCAGGCGGGACTGGGGCGGAGACGGCACAGAATAACGATGGCGGTAACTCGTTCTCGATGAGCTTCGCGAGTACCCTCATCTGCGCCGCGATCTCCGGGGTTCGATAGCGCCTGGTTGCGTACTTGAGCGGCAACGAAAAACAGTTGATGCACAAATCATCCCCGACCCAAACTGTCCGAAGCTCGAGATCAGGAATTGCGACCCTTGGGATGATCTCTCGCTTGACGTAGCTGTACATGGCCACTGATCGATTGAACCACTGGCATTGGACGAGCTCTGCTTCAGTATAATTCTGGGATTTGTACTGTTCAATAACGTGGGGTGAAAGATCGGGGGCGAGGCCGTGAGCTCTGGCTCGTTCCATGAGCTTCACTTCGTTGGCAAGGAAGCCGAAGACAAGGTCAGTCTGTTGGCGCGGCATAGTGAAGTAGGTTGGAGAGGAGTTATTGGCTGATTTGTGTGATGATTGAGGCAGAGAGGGTTGATGTCGTGGAGAGAGAGAGAGAGAACGGCTTGTCACGGTTCAAGTTCGTGAAGAGCCGTGTGTAGATGTCACGTGTAACATCATCGATCCTGACACCTGTCGTGACTCGGACTTATGTATCGCCGAACTCCGGAAGCCCGAATGATAATGTACAGTGGGGCTTTCCTTTCCAAGCTCACTCGTTGACTCATGACTATTCTGGTGCTAGAAGCAAGCAAAGTTGTAAGTCTATCGCAATCACAGCAGATGTTTCTCCTTTCTTCCCTCGCAAAAATGAATCTCGGTTAACGTTGTGCCTTTTTGGCGCAGTGGAATGCACACCTGCGACCTCCTTTCTCTTGACGAATTCTGAACGTACAGAACACGGCCTTGCTTGCATTCACTTCTGCCCGTACAGAAAACAGGAACTGGCGCTGTGAATGATACCGCCGTTACTTCTAGTGATGACTTCGTCTTAGCTGCGTTAGTGCCATCGATATCGATCCGGACGCCGATCATCCTGACTCGGGTTCGAGTGTCTGATTAGAGACAAAGAACCAGAATCTTTTGTTCTCTGGGTGTATCGATCTTTCTATCGGCATATCTGTTTTTTTCGTCAGCAAAAGACTTTCTTCACCTTTGTCTTGGGCTTCTTAATCTCCATGTGTTGACCTTGTGACTCACACAGCACCCCACATTCTCGGTGTGTCGTGTGTCGTGTGGTTGAGGCCCTGGATTCTCCTGACTCCAGGACTTCTCTTGGATCGTCGTGGGAATTATGTGGTCCACATATATAAGTCGTCTCCGTATCAGTGGGAACCGTACACCCCACTGATCGCCCACCCATGTTCCGCACCCCCTTCCCTAGTCAACTTGCCCAGTTCAGAGCCCTTTTCGAGCATGTCTTGGATGATCCTACTACGAACCAGCTTCTGCCAGCTTTTGTCACCCTGCTCCGCTACCAGAGTTATCAACGATACCGTTACAATCTCTCCCAGGAAGTAACATTTTGCAAAGACCTCGTCGCCAACGTTGGAGATCGCGAGCTCTTATGGTACGGCCCATGGGACACTACCGCAGATTTTTGGTTTCGTTCTATTGATCTCCACGTCATACCGCAATATCCGCTGTGGAGACTGAGGGACGGCGGTTCTCACAAAACGCTGGACGACTTGGGAAAGAAAGCAGTCACGAACTGGCGCGCATCTGTCCTGGATGAGGTACAGTTTACATCGTCGGCTGACCAGCCTCACTTCCTTCCCATTCTGTCCGATTCCTCTGTATCTGGCGATGTGAGCGAGTTTGACGACGATAACTTCTTCAACCTCTCTATCGACGAAGTTCCACCTGTCGAGCCATCAGAGGAACATCTCGAGGACATGAGGCTTGCGGGCGAGGCAAACTTGCAGCTTGCGAGGAATGGTCAGCTATTTTCACTCCATACTTACCTCGCTTCTGACTAAGCAGACTTTCTTTCATGCCATCCAATCAGAGAACGCACTCGACACGTCGCATTTGACTGCACAAACTTTCGATGTTTCCCATCCCGTCATCGTCCGCGAGCGAGGTGACAACTCGCTAGTCGCCGACTTCGCCGTTCTTACGCTCCAGGGGGGCAACATGAGCGATGTTTTCGACGCTGATAACGCCCCTCCACCCGACGTTTACCGCTCCCCACAGGAGGAGAACGACATGACTATGAGCGAAGAGCTCGCCAGGTTTCTCGAAAACCTCAGCCGTGGGACACAAGGCGACCGACCATCGAGCTCCATGAGCCCTGGAAATCATCTAGGCCTTGCTCGCGTACTCCTATTGCTGGAAGCCAAGCGCCATGCAACTGCCGCCCGTGACATAGCTGCCGCCCTCGTCAAATCAATTGAGCAAGTTATGGAACAAGCTCGTTACTGCTTCGACATGCCGAACGTCACACGGTTGGTAGCTGTTGCATCTTCGGGCGATATTTGGAAATGGGCCATCCTCCAGAAGTCCAAGACCGAGAAGACTAGAGACAAGAACGGAGGGGAGATGGCCGACGTTGAGCGTGACATCGTATGGTCGAAAGAACTTGTCTTGGGGAGTGAAGAGTCTGAGGCTCATTGGGTTAAGGTGGTGAAAGTGGTACGTGAATTGAAGGAGGAGGCAGAGGCAGAGGCCGCGCTTCAGATTCTCTCTTTTTCGTTTCGTGTGTTTGCATATTATCTCTCTTTCACCTTATCAATTTTTTGTGGCCGCTACTATTGTTCGTGGTGTGCCACTCTGCTCGTGTTTTTGGCGATTCTGTTCAATATTCAACTTGTTCGAAATGATGCCCATTATTTTCAGTCAAACGGGGCAAGGTATGTTGAGGATCAACAACATAATATATAAAAGTTCGACGCCATGGAAAGCTTGTGAATATATGGAGTATAGACTGATCATAACAGAGGAGGGATGACAACATGATACACGGACGCCGGTGTAGGAGAGGTTTGGGGAAAGGGACCAGACAAGTCCAAGGAAGAAGAACCTGCCCACAAAACAGACGAGTGTCAGAACAATAAAAGAAATGATAGAGATACAGGAATGAGACGGACCTAGAACGGCAAATCCTCGATGCGATAGTTGGCCAGCGCTGGGGGAAGCTTCTGTCCCTTCAAGTCATTCGGGACTTCCGCCGAGACAGCACGATATAACGATGGCGGGAACTCGGTCTCGATGAGCTTCGCGAGTAGCTTAATCTGTGCCACTATCTCCGGGGTACGATAGCGCTTGCTTGCATATCTGAGCGGCAATGAGAAACAGTGGATACACAAGTCGTCGCCAACCCAAACTCCCCGAAGCTCAAGGTCAGGAATTGCGACTCTTGGGGAGATCTCCCGCTTGACGTAAGTGAGCATGGCCCCAGCTCGTCTGAACCACTGGCATTGCGCGATCTCTGCGTCGGTATATTTTCTGGCTTTATACCGTTCAATAGCGTCAAGTGAAAGGTCGGCGACGAAGCCGTGAGCTTTCGCTCGTTCCATGAGCTCCACTTCGTTAGCAAGGAAGCCGAAGACAAGGTCACTCCTTTGGCGCGACATGGTGAAGTGAAGTGGGTTGGAGAGGAGTTATGAGGGGTGATTGAGGCAGAGACAGTTGACGTCGTAGGCAGAGAAAGAGAGCGGCTTGTCACGGTTCGAGTTCGCGTGAGGACGTGCACAAGTGTCACACGCCGTGACATAATCACACCCTTTGTGGCCCGTTTCTGTCGCAGTCGTGGCCTATAGACGGAGAAAACCCCAGTGTCCGAATAATAAACAGAAGGCAGCTTTCCTTTCTTAAAAGATCTTCGATTAACTCATATGACAATTCTAGACGCAGGCCATCTTGTACTAGGTCCACTCACCCACGATAAGTACTACCGCAACAACCTCAAGCAGCGAGCCTCGTTGCTTGCTACGATCGCAAGGAACGTTCGACATGATGGCATCAGACGGAAAGGTTTAGTATAAAGTACAGATGAACAGTACGATAGTGCATGAACGACGACACGGCAACACGAACGAGGCGGGAGAAGTTTTGAAATGAAGTTTAAGACAAGCCCGAGCAATGGGAGTCTGTGCACGAAGCGGGTCAGCGGCATAACAACAGATCCATTGAAGGACTAATACGAACCTAGAAACTTGGTAGATCCTTGATACGGTGATTGGCGAGCTGCGGGGGAATCTTGTGGCCTTTCATGTCGGGCGGGAGTGGCGCAGAGACGGCACAAAACAACGACGGCGGGAACTTAGTCTCGATGAGCTTCGCGAGTAGCTTCATCTGCTCAACCATCTCCGGGGTGCGAGAGCGCTTGGACGCGTATTCGAGCGGTAACGAGAAACACCGAAGGCACGCGTCTTCCCCGACCCAGACTGCCCGTAGCTCGAGATCAGGTATCGCGACCGCCAGGATGATCTCCTGTCTGACGTAGTTGAGCATGGCCAGCGAGCGATGGTACCACTGGCACTCGGCGAGGTCTGCGTCGGTATAATTCTTGGATTTATATGATTCTATTGCATTTGGTGGAAGATCGGTGACGATGCCGTAGGCTTTTGCTCGTTCCAGGAGCCACACTTCGTTGGCTAGGAAACCGAAGACAAGGTCACTCCTCCGACGCGACATGGTGATGTGAGATCGTGAGGCAGGGATAGTTGGTGTAGAGATGGTTGGAGTAACAGGATGTCGTTATGTACTAGCGGGCCACGGCTTGTCACGGTTCGAGTTCGCTTAGGGGGCAAAGAATGAGGATCTGTAGCCAAGTCTGAATAGCGCGCTGGTCTAGGCATCAAGTGTCTAATTCCATAGCATGTCGGTTACGAACGAGAGAACCTGGACCGAGCGGTGGAACGAGAAAGAAAGACAACGAGTTCGCAAAGAGCAGACGCGTCCGGCTTCGTCCGGAGCATTTCCCACGCACTTTCCCAACCCCGCGTTCGTTCTTTCACTCCCGTCGCTCTTTCCTTTCCTTCTTCTTTTATCACTGTCCCTACCATGTCTCGCTGCTCGCTGCTTATATCTTCTAGAAAGCTGCAAATCGATGTCTTGGGCATGTTACATATCTTTGGCAGTCTTTTGGCAGTCTTGTCCGACGACCATCATAGGCATCTTCGAGCAAGCTTCTATCGGAAGTTCTGAATGTTCTTGCGAGTATCTTTGCTCCTCTGAATTGTTAGTTCGCTGGCCAGGAACGTCAGCACAAACAGTCCAAAGGAACATCTTGTGGGATGCACTATATCTCCGCTCTGGTTCTGTCTTCCTACCCAAGCCATTTTTCCCTTCAACGAGTGCCACGCCACGACGTCTTCTTCAAGTTCTCCCAGCTTCATTTCTCACCCAGCCAACCTCTCATCTTCGACTCTCACAAGCACCACCCATTGTCTTCTCACCTTGATGAAGTCCCTCTTCTTTCGGTGTCGTGTTCTACTTCTCCGTGACGCTCGTCGTAACATTGCTATCCATTCTCGAAGCAAAACTACACTGCATCTTCGACTCTTCCCATGAGGCTCGCTATCTCTTCTGGAGCTCTTTCTAGACGCACACTGACACCGCATGCGCCTACCCGCCTTCGCAGAACACATCACGGCCCCGAATAGCTCCCGTCTCGGACCCACAGGAGCTAGAGGCTCGACTGTTCCGGGCGCTTTGTATCACGACTTAGGATTGTGTCCGCGCTCTTTCATCTGAATCAACATCAACAAGAGAAGGTCCGAGTCCGAATCGGGACGAAAACATCGCTGGTCAGTGGCAGTATCGTTCGAATTAGGGATGTTGGAGTGTTGGGAGCCTCGTGCGGTGTGATGGTCGCGAGCGTTTGGAGCCAATGTTGAACGAGCGCCACTGGGACTTTGTTGGTGATGCGATGGCTCGGTTTGATTGTTGCGGAGAAGGGCAAGTTGAAGGGGCGACAGTCTCATGTTGTTCCTGGGTCTGTTGGCTTTGAATGATGGAATCTGAGAACAATATGTTAGAACAAGATCGTGATCTTGAGCAGACTGCCAGTGGAGGTGGTGAGTACCTAGATCTTCAACAAAGATGGTGTTGATTCGAACATGATGCAGATGTTGATGTATATGTTGTTCTTGAAGTTTCTCTTGAATCAGACTCTGTGAACGCTCTCATGAAAGCATTTTAGTTTTGTCCCTGGTCTGACCGACGTTGAGAGCGACGTCGCATAAGGAGGAATGGACCAAAAATGGATTGTGGACGTCGTGTACGGACATGACATCATGAGAGCTCGGAGAGCGGAAGGGGCACGCGTGGAAGCCTGTCCCACGTGGAGGCGTAGTTCCTGGGACATTTCCAATCCTGTCATTCCCCGTTTTGGCTGTTTCCTCTAAACGCTTATTTCTGGCGGCAGGCGAATAAAATCTGCATTTATATTCACAAATTGTGGATACTGTGCTGCAGCTACGTGGGGTCAAAGCGAAGCACAGCCGAGAGAAAGCGAAGATGAGGAAAGACATGGCTCAGAAAAGAATCTTCCGTTCAGGGAACCGAAGCGCGCGCCATCCGGATGGGGAAGCGCGATATTTCGCCTGCGTTCCCACGGTGGTCCAGGCCCGATCAGGGAGAAAGTGGAGTCGAAAACCGAGCTCTGTTGTTGCCGTCGCCTTCCCTCCTTCGTCGTCGTCGTCCTCCTTCCTCATCGTCGTCGCCACCGTCGCTCTCATGCTTTGTTAGTCACTCTTTAATAAATATATCCTATAATATTGCTCGCTCTCGTCATCGGTGAGCATGATTCAGCATCCTTCGTTAATGGGGGGAGAGAAGCTGAACAGGCTGGTTCTTTCTTCTCTTCGGGTTTTGTGGGGGCCAGCTGTTGGTCAGGGTTGAACAGAGGAAGTTTTCAACGGGAGCTTGTTGTCTGCCTGGTGCTCTGTTTTATAGACCTGTGAGTTTTCTCTTTTATCTGGGTCAATAGGAGAACGGAATGGTGTTCGACGCGGCTGTGGCTAACAGTTCGTATATCGTGAGAGAAGAATCATCATGGGTTTTGAGATGTATCACAAGCCCATGGGCGTTGACTATGAGCATATCGGTGACCATTTGGTCAATCACCTGCGTTTGGTTGAGTGCAGGTATACGAACTGGGGCTGTATACGCATATCGGAATTTCGCATCATGTAGTTACGCTCCGGAGAGTGCAACCCAACGGTCATGAACCGTCCCGATGGCAGTGCGCAGATCCACGCATCGCCTCGTCACTATCTTCTTCCTCGCATGAGCGCTCTCGCAGACAGGCTCCTCCATTCAAATCTTGAACATACCTACCCAGAGTTTTCTAGCTCTAGCTTTCCTGACTTGGTGACGTCTGTGACAGTCGTGCTTGGAGACGAATGAAGAAGTCGTGAAGTTAAGCGACGCGTCTCTTCTAGAAATGCGTCTGATGAATTTGTTTACCTACCAATTCATCTTCACAAAAAGTCCTGCACACTTTCATCGGATGCGGATTCGATGCCCTCTCCCGGAGGGCGGGTTGCGATGCATCCGTGCTGGACAGCCAACCAACTTCGTGTTCTCCGAACATAAATCTGTCCGTTCTATGTTTGGCATGCATTGAACAACGCACCTTCTATAACACTCGCGTCTAGTTCGAGCCCTTACTCAGCGTCCACTCACATTTCCGCTCGTTGCATCTATCATATAGGAAAATCTCTTGCCCTAGCTTCGACGTTCAATACTCCTCCCCTCTTCTCACCATCCCCTCTGATGACAACCAAAATCCAATCGGCATCCGCCCCTCCAACGACTACCTCCTCTCGTTTCCCTCGCTTCTTCGGTTCTTCGCGTTCTCGTCGACCTTCCGCCTCTGCCTCACCTAGTCCCACTCACAGTCCTAACGCACTCCAGAGTAATCAACACCAGCATAACTCCACACTCCACAGTACACAGACGCACCACGAGAACGACAGCTCGGAATGGTACACGCCGTATAACGGCCCCATCGAGACTCGGCCTCCTAATCACCTGGCATCGACTGGAACTGATACCTATCTAGCAGGGAACAGAAGCGAAGACGAGCTCAACACCTTTCCCTACTCATACCCACACTCCCGCTCCTCCCAAGGGGCTACTGCAGCGTACTCCCCCGCCCTCCCACTCACGAGCGCCACGCTCGGCCGAACTTCGAATCCTCATCTCAGCGGCGCATCCGGATCGGGTCGAGCAAGTGGGAGCGGTAGTGGACATGGAAACGGAAACGGGTACGGGAGTGGAGGGATCAGAACGAGAGCGTATTCGGAGGTGTCGACTCAGGGGACTATGTCCTCCGCATCTGGGACGGTCGACCCGTTCAGGAGGAGTGGAGCCATTCCACCTCCTGTTCCTGTCCATGCCTATGCTGGTACTACTGGTACCGGTTTCTCGCCTTCACCAAGCGGAGGCGGAGTTGGCGAATCGCCAATACCAGTTCAGAGGTTTTCCACTCACCATGGGCTCCCATATAATCCTCAACCGGCCGGTACATCGTCTGGGACTGGAGGCAATAGGATCAGTCTTGCGGGTCTGTTCGGAGCGGGGGGAAGACAACGCGCACAAAGTTCATCATATCAGCCCTCTACCGACGCCTACAGAAATACATCCCCGTCGAAGGGTAGGCCAACGTCGCCGGCTTCGAGGTTGCTGCAGAGACGGGCGACGGGTGGAAGGCAGGGATTGCGGACGAGGGCGAGTACGATGGGAGAGGGTGATGTCGGTGGCGTGCCCAGCTACACCGGGAATGCAATCCTGTCGGGCACGACGGCTCGTAATACCGACACCATCACGAGCGCGAATGTCGACGAAGACTACATAGCGTCGTATTACTCCACGCTTATCCCTTCGCCTGAAATCGACGCCCCGCAGTTCGTGAACGTCCAGACTGGCCAGCCGATGTCTGCGTCCGCGTCGCCGAGGTCTATTAGGAGCAGGTCGGGAGGCTCGGAGTCGCCGTTATTTGAACCATCGTTTTCGCAGACGAGTTCACCGCATCCATATGCCTATGCGTTTTCGCCCTCGCATTCGCCGTCGCCGAATCAGGCGCAGGAGGGTGAGTTTGAGTATGATGTGGAGAGGGAAGCGAGGGAGGAAAGAGAACGAGAGGAGAGGAGGCAGAGGGAGAGAGGAGCGGGGACGGGGACAGGGACGGGGAGGAGGAATTTGGAGCCCCCGAGGATACCGACGAGTACGATTTATAGTGTTTCACCGATCCCGCTCTCGCCCTTCGTCAATGCCGGGTTCGTCGATCGGGAGAGGGATAGGGAGAAGGGGAAGGTACCGGGTCAGGGCGAACCTTCGTTGTTCGAGAGCCCGAGGGCGCCGCCTGAGATCCCGCAGTCTCCTACTCCTACAGGTCACAACAACAACTCTCCTAAGGCCAATCCCTCCTATCCTATGACCAGCTCCAACCCAAATAATCAGTACAGCCAACATTATATCCCATCGTCCCAGAATCACAACTATCCGCATTCACAATCTCAACAGCGATATGACCCGACCCAAAGTTCACATCATGGCACCCATTCCAATCCCCAGCAGCCGAACTTCAAGCCTTCCGTCCGGTATTCGCTTCTCAAAGCTATATCTACACCCAACCTCCGTGGATTCACGAAACAGCCGCAGCCGATTCAGCCGTCTAGTGCGATGGCTACTTCCGGTGGAATGCCCCCGCCGATTATCACCACTCAAGCAGGGCCTGGTGGTGGCGGTAGCGGCAATGCACAAGCGCAGAAGAGACGGCAACGATGGTTAAGCCCGGAGACATGGTGCGATGCCCTTTTATTCCCCAGACCTCGCTTCGCAGTCCACGTAGACGACGACGGGAACGGACACAGTGGCCTCGTCATCAGTCCACCAGGCTCGCCGATCGTGTCTTGGAAACCTGAATATTCTAGCGCCGGGGAGAGGGCAGGCTTGACGACGGCGAGAGAGGCGCCGCTGGCGATGAGTGGGAGGTTGGGCTCGAGTTTGGGTAGGAGGATACCGAAGTCGAAGTCTGCCTTGAACCTTTCGACGCCTTCGTTGTCTGCGTCTGGGCCTCTGGTTATGGCAAATGTGAATCCGAGATCGGCGCAGGAGAGGGAGCGAGGGACGGGGCAACCGGTTGCGGGTCCTTCGAGATTGCCTTCGGAGTATCTGGATGTGGCTGGATTGGGTCCGGTCGTGGATGGTGGAAGTGGGCCTGGAGTTGGAGAGAGACAGAGGCATAGGGATACTGGGAATGTGGAGAGGATGCAGGGGATGGGTGAGCCTGTCATCGTGCCGAGGGTGGACCCGAATACGAACGCGACAACGCCAGCTACGACAGCAACCTTGGGCGCCAATGCGACTACAAAAACTAATTCGACCTTGAGGCCACTGAGACCAAGGAGTTTTGCGCAGGATGATCTGTCGTTGCCGACTCCTGTGCCTTCACTGACGCAGTGCGTGATTTGTTTTCTCTCCTCATTTATTTCCTTTATATGCGTCATCATAATTTCATGTTGTAACTTACGGTCGTTTTGTCGGTTCAGAGTCCTGAAGGATGGCGACGAGCTAGAGAAAGAACGCAAGGCCTGGCAAGCCCAAGCCTCCCGCTCCTTCCAAAACAAACGAACCCGAACTCTCTCCCGTTCTCGCTCTCGGTCTACCAGCAACGTGCGCACCCCTCAACACCACTCCCGCAACACCCAGAAATCAGTCCACATCCAAGCGTTCGATTTCCTTGCCGAGAGAAGTCTTTTGGGCAGCCAGAGGGTTCCACCAACTATTCACGTGAGGCTATCCCCTGTGGAGGGTAGTGCAGGCATGCAGACATTCTCGAAACTGGGGACGTTCTCCTCTTCCAGTGGCACGCATTCGAGAAGTCAGAGCAAGAACAATGCGAGTTCGCTCGGGAGGTCGCAATCTGCGAAGAGCACCACCTCTGGAGGTCACGGCACTGGGACTGGCCCTGGGCATTCGACGAGCACGCAAGGACATTCGAGAGGACATTCGAGGAACGAGAGTTGGGGGAAGACGGCGCTGAAGACGGCAGCGGGGATGTGTTTCTCGGCGGAGGACTTCAGTCCGCTCGAGACGCATCCGGATTTCAAGGCAGGTGGAGGTGCTGACGCGATATTGGCAGGTGAGCTGTTGAGGAGTGATGGGACATTGAGGAAAGATGGAGGGACGAAGGTCGTGCACTTGGAGGAGCAGATGAGAGAGGAGAGGTTATCTGAGAGCGCTGAGCGCGAGGGTCGTGGACATGCCAGGGTAGCATCGGTGCCCGGGGAGGTGATTGCGATTCCGCCGAACTTGAACGGCTCGAGTGGAGGGAAGGGCTCAGCGTCTGCGGCTTTGGCGCTTATGTCGACGGCGGGGGCTGGACAGACGTTGGAGATGCCGGTGCCTTCCCCTGTTCCGTCTGGGATGACCATCTCTGGAGAGGGGGTACCGATGGGTATTGCGTTGTCCTCGCCTCCTGAGTCTTCAGAAGAGGAGATAGGCGCGGTAGGCGCCTTCGGGAGAGGACAGGATGTGAGACAAGTCATCACGTTCCCTGGCCATCCGTACGCACAAGCAGGGATATTCCCTTCACCATCCCAGGCCGCTGCCAATTCCTATGACGAAGATCCCTACTCTCGTCCTGCTGCTGCCGCGAACACGTCGAAGCATCGACACACGCGCACAAAGTCCAAAGGGTCCGACTACGCTGGTCCTCATCCGTCTGAATACGCACCACCTGACGAACTAGACAGGCAACGCAAGATCTCTCTCGATGCGGCTAGCAACGGCTCTGTATCAGCTCGACATAGACTTCCGCCCCACGTTATCCTACATCCTTACGCTCAAGCTGCATCCGGCGCCTATAACTCGGACCCGCGAGAGTCGATGTATGCGCAGGTTCCATCCTCGGGTCGTGTGAGAGAGGTTTCACTAGACGAGATCCGTGCTTCGCCATTAGCGCCTGGGCAGTTTATCCTTCCGCCACCGCCACCTCCCGCTGCCGCCATGGCTGGTCCGAGCACAAGTCGACCTTTGAGTCATGCGTACGCGAAAGGCCTGAACAGGGTCAGTCATGGAGAGCCGTTAGACATCGGGGATACGTTGGTCAGAGTGTTGAGGAGAAGGGGAAGTGCTGATAGTGGGCTCGGGGATAGTGTCGAACAGGCGCAGGCAAATATGGCCGTCAATCCGTTGGAGGTGCCCGCGCCAGTCATTTTGGCCCCTCGACGGGAAGACAGGGAGGAGGACGAAGAGGAGGAAGATCGTCGTGAGATGGATGCTTCCTCGTCCGCGTACCTGCATCCATATGCCGCTGCTATGTTCGGGACACCAGATCGGAGGGAGCGCTTGCAGCGGAACAAGGCTTCAATGAATTCTGGCCAAACTGGGCAGACGTATGCTTCATCACCTCCTGAGACACTCAACCCATCCATATTTAGGGGATTCGCGGGTTCGCCGTCCGACGAACATGCTCTTCGGCAACAGCTTCACGGATCGAACGGGTCGTCTCCTGGAGTGTCAACCGGATCTTCATCACCGCCGCTTTCACCAAAGCCATTCAGCAGCGTTGAGGACCTTGAAAGGTTCAGAGGTTTATTCTACACACCAGCGGACGAAATATCTGAGCTTGACCACGAGCGTTCGGCAGAGGGTGCAGGTGCGGGCGAGGCGGAAGAAGAGGAAGAGACCGTGACGATGCCAGCGCCTATACAACATGGGGCTGGCCCTTCTGCGAACATACCTCCCAGGAACGTTCCCGCCTCCGTCAGCTCTATGTCGAGGAGCAGTCAAGCTGGAAGTGGAGTGTTGAATATGACGAGGGGCTTGAGCGAAGAGTTCGTCGCACTACAAATGGAAACGAGGCCGTCAATGGAATCGTCGATGTCTGGGTCGAACCTGTGGGGAAGGCGATATGGGAGTCGCGGCTCACGGCCAGAAGACGACCAAAGCCAAGTTCTTCCCTCGACGGATGCGCTTGGTGTCGCGATGCAGAGGGTGGATTCGCCGGAGGCCATGAATGCTGCGACGCTTCCTCTCAGGATGCATAGAGCTCAGGACTCGAGAGGTGCGCCGAAGCCACCGACGATCAACATCCCGGAAGATGTCGGTTCCTCCAGAGCCTCTTCGCTTCTGGAGAGGATTGATGCTGACAGTCCGGAGGAGGATAGTCTTGACCGGCTTCGTAAGTATTTATCCGTCGATATTCGCTCGTGTCTGCTAACTTATTGGATGAAATTCTAGACCCTATGCGTGTGGGCACAGTCGATGCGGAGTTGTCTACTCCTCCCGCACAATACGCAGACCATCGCTTCTCGGGCCACCTGTCATTTGTCACTGATGGCCAGGGTGCGCCCGGGAACAACGAAGGTGAAAGGCATGGCCATCCCCAGCCGTCTCCGATCGAATCCTCCCAGAAACATCAGTCTTCCCAGGCTCCGAGCTCTGGTTCTCGTGTCATCTCCTCTTCTAGTCTCGCGCCACCCAACACCGGCGTTAGCAGTGGTGCGCGCTCAAGCTACATGACTACAGGTAGCCACGACTCCCGCATGTCTGGCCTCTCGGACTTCCCCTCTCCCCCGGAGCAGGTCGTTGTCAGCCCTGCCCATGTTTCTCTCCTTCATTCCTACTTTGGAACGGGTTTCACACCTGCCACGCAGACCCAGACTGTCCAAGATCCTCTCGCGGCAGCGGGAGAAGCGATGGCTGCCGTAGAAGCTCCTCATCTGCGCCCTCGTGTGCTCGAACAGCGTCCTAGTTTTCGAACGACCTTTGGGGGACAGCCTGATCATGAGATAACCATCGCTCAGGGTCCTTCTTCATCCCCCGGCTCAACCCAACCCTCACCTTCCGATACCTAATTATGGTGTCTTGATTTATTGACTTGGACTGTTTTGCGGGCTTTGTCGCCTCTGTGTGTTTATTACCTAGAGTAGGTGTCCACTTGGGCACTGTTGTTTGCTCGCCTGTGAATATTCTTCGCCTGTAGTCCCGCGGACCCTGTTTTCCCTCCCCCTCGTTAGTTTGTATCATTGGTATTATAGTGGTCTCCTGCCTTCTCATTCATCCTTCCTATATCATACATTGTCGTACTCACTCATGGGTTAGTCTGTCTCATCGACTGATCCATCCCTACATATATTTTTGCCCGTCCTGCTCAACGACATCCGCTCGTTCCACTATATCCATTCGTCCATCTCGTCCATCGCTAACCATCTATATAAAGTGACTAACTCAACGGTTTGTTCCCACTTTGTTCTGTGCTGTCTTGCACCTCTGGTCTTGTCCTCGTTTCGGTTTCCCCTGTTTTGTCCACCATCTTTCTCATCTCTTTCCCACTGCATCCTTAAAAATTATTCTTTACGTATGTTGCCTAGTTTTCGTTCTTGCGTTATAATCATCGGAATACCACCTCGGCCCCGGCCATGCACCATAACTTGCCAGAGAGAATCTCTGAAAATGTACGGATCCATCCTTCGTGTTGTTTGCTCCGTTAAATACCACGCTCGGCAACAGTGTGGCCCCGCAACGATGGAAGTATGGGACCTCTTTGCAGGTAGATGCCACAGCTAACGGTGAGACTCAGACTGCTCCAGATGTGAGGTCTGCCAACAGACCGTATCTAGTAGGACTGCATACAACGGGTAGGTTCTGCTGTCCAGAGAACTGACGGGCGGTATGGTGCATAGCAATCGAAGGGGCACTACAGGGCGCTACGATCATAGCCTTCGAAACGTGGGAATAATACGCGGTACTTAAAGATGACCTCGGGAGCTGCCGCGACTCTTTCTCTCTCTTTCTCTTGCCATACTTTCTCCAATCTGTATCTTTTTCTTGCGTTAACTCTGCCTTATGGATTGGCGGCAGACTGATAAAATCTGCTAATGTGCTTTTCTGGTCACTCCACCGGCCGACAGTAATGCCTGAACCGAGCTTGGCAGTTCAGTCAGATACACCGATTCAGATGATGTTGGAAGAGTCAATACAAAGTCAATATGCTCCTGCAAGTACTGTCGGCTCCGTATCCGGCGTATGCATTACACAGGGGGATCCTACAATGGCTGCTACAGGGTGTCTTGGCGCTAGAATTCTCATCATATTGGAGATCGTCATGCAGAAGTCTGTGCTCTGCTATGTAGCTGTGCCGCCACACAATGAGGCGGTGCTCTCACTGCTTCCGTCACCAGTGTTCCAGTCTGTTATAGACTGTCCTTCTCGACTATGTTCGTGTTTCGCACATGCATGAGGATGGGCGCTCCGATAAGAATACCACGGTAGCCTCTGCACCTAACTGATCTGTCAGCTGTCCGTTCCTGTCCTTCCAATACTTCTAAACAGAACAAGGACCCACTGCTTTTGTTTTATCGGGAAGTACTGCCATACACTCAACGTGAGTAGATAAACCACAAGGATTGCAGGGATATGTTCTTTTCAACACCACATCTTTCCTATCATCTTTGAACGAGTGTCATTTATGTTTATCACTCTCATCTCCAATCCCATTCTCAACCCAGAGCAGAAAGATCGCGATACCTTTTCGTCCACGTCGTCTCCCTCCTCCTCTATCCTCACCCGCCGGAAAGGAGGTGGAGGTCATGGCTCTTCCGGTGGAAAGAGTTCGTCAAGCTCAAGCTCCAAGGGTTCATCCTCTTCGTCAAAGTCCGGCTCCAGCTCGGGATCGGTTCTTGCATCCTCAAAATCATCTTCCGTCTCCGTCAAAGGTCTCTCATCAGGGAAGACCTCCGTCACGACATACGGAAGTGGAGGAGGCAAGGCGAGCACGATCCCCAGTGGACAGGCGTTCGCGGGTAGGACCGCGGGCGGAGGAACGAGAGCAGAGGTTTACGGGAGCTCGTAAGTGTTTTTATCGCTTCTAGGTATGAGTTGAATGCAGGCTAATAATTGCGTATTCACACAATCAGACGGTATGGAAGCGGATACCCAGGTTACTCTACCGTAGGAGTATCCCAGCGAGGACTCCCTTATTACTTCTGGCCCATCGTCTGGAGCTCTCGACCGACCCCTTACTACGAAGTAGAGAACGAAGTACGTTCTCAGCATCCCGAAGCCATAGTTTCGTACTCATCTTGTCGTGTTACACAGTACGGTGCTCCCACCAACGACTCTCGTCCTGGCGGTGCTCTCGTCGAAGCCGCTTTCTTCTCCAACGCCTCTGATGCCGTCCAATTCAGGCTACTGGGCGATAACGTCACAGTCTCTGCCCTCATTCCACTCATCCAATATAACTGCTCGATGATCAATAATTCGACATCTTCTTCCTCCGCATTCCTATACGCCTCCAACTCCACATTCAACTCATCCTCACCATCCGACGCGATCTCATATCCTCGACCGGAGCAGGCGATTCAATACTATCGCGCCAGTACCCTCGTTCTCACCATGGACGGGTACAACGACAGCTCTGTCTTCAACACCACTGCTGATTCTAACAGTACGGCGACTGGATCGCAGACGCCTCTGCCATCTTTGGGCTCGATGGATCAGCTCTTCATGACGTGTCTGAACGACACGATAGGACAGGCCGTCCCGCTTGTGGATGCTGCCTACTCGATAAGACTCGGCGGTGGCATGAGTCTGAATATCATGCTGGCGATTTGGGTGTTCGCGTGTTTGAGGCAGTGGTTTCGTTTTCTCTAAACAATGGCGTCCTTCGTACCTTATTGCTATTTGCTGGTTTGGACTTGATACCCATAGGCTGTGATGTTTGTTGGACGATGTGATTGTGGACACTGAATCCGTAGTACGGGCGGCTTCTTAGCTTAGTACCCTACTTATCCGATTTACTGTATTTCTTACAACCAATACTGTAGCGTATAATTATCTTGAACTGTAGACATAATCAATAATATCAGCCAGAACTAGTACTTTCACGTCACCTCGGGGTTTGTTGCCATGTCTTCTCTGCACCTCATATAAGAGCGGTAATGGTCCTGCAATATTTTGCGAAAAGTTTTCGAGCACAGAGAAACATACAGGTTGTTGTCTAGATGTAGAATCATCCCGTTCACTCATGACCCAGACCCTTACAACTGGTGGAGATTGTTCACGGCTGCGACAAACAGCCCCAGAGGCGTGACTGTTGTGGGTAGGATCAAAGCCACAGCAGTCAGTACAAGTACTATACCTCTCTGGATACTGCAACTCAGCATGATAGGGAGCCTGGAATACTCACGAAGTCCGCCGAAGTATGTAAGACTCCTACAGTTGAGAGACCATGACGATGTAGTGGTTAGTAGCAGACTGGGAATGGAGAATACCGGATCACAAACCTGGCTGCGCTCGATCCCCGCGAGGACTGGTTGATGTATATGTAGTTGTAAAGAAGGCGAAGGCCAACACTGGGGGTGTTAAAATGATCAGAACATGGGAATGTAGAAAGCCGTCAAGCCGCAGCATAATATCCGAAAGCTCGTTCGGATGAAAGAAGCTTGAACATACAACGTGAGGGAGAATGCATTCAGTGTGGATTGACTGAGACCCGCGTAGTTTCCTGCGAGCTTATGCGAAGTCATGTCAAGCTCAAACTCAATACAATCAGGCCACGACGCAGGGACTCACCACAGCAGCAGCCCAGAGCGGGAAAATCTCGTGCCCATTCTACATGACTTCAGTCAGCTTGCACTGTGCAAAACACTGCCAATACGAGTAAAGACACCTACATCATGTGCTCCCTGGTACCTATCCACCTTGCCCAAGATTTGTGGTGCTTTCGCAGCCACACGATCCCGATTCTGTCTTGGCTGCACGCTGGGCGAACGCGGGCAGCATCATGTATCATTCGTCAATATCACCGTCTGCGCGTGTAGTGTATTCGTCGTGCGTGCTCACTTGTCCCATCCAATGGTGTTCTTAATCAATCTGAACTGAGTGTATACGGGACCCAAATCAGAATCATATGAAAGATAAACAGAGAAAAGTGCGTACTTTGGCGTTGAAAGGATAGAAGCCAATCAACCAGACGGCAGGAATCGAGTACAGCGACAGAGGAGAGTTGATTGTGATGGGCATTTTTGCTTTATGATTGCGAAGCTGATGGGAGTGAGGAAGGAGGAACCATCGAGAACGAGAGAGAGGGTGGTTTATATATGCGCCTCTGCCAATGCGAATCCCATGCTGTCATTTCGACGACGATCAATTGGATCGAAATTGCCCACGTCATCACGCGTACACTCCGCGGGGTACGGAAGAGCACCCATGTCAGAGCAGTCCAAGCAAGGAGGCCCAGTCTCACGAATAATGAGAAGGGGATCAAGCAGAGACAACTGGTCCAAAAACAGAGATCCCGCTGTGGGACTGGCGAACTGCAGCCTGAGTGACCCACAAGGTTCCGCGTTCTCCCGGACGCCACACTGGTAACTTACCAGTGTTGGGCCACGAAACTTGAAGTTTGATCATCAGCAAGAGCATACTTGCAATATATAGCGACATCGTACAGTAAAACGTATACAAGGAAAAGCATACCAGAATGGCATATCCTAGAAATGGATGAATGGGTCGAGAACCCCTAAAGCCCTAAGAAACAGAAAAAAGAAGATTATACGCATCAAACAGAGAACTCGGAGGGACGCGCAGATGAGCTTCGAAGTGATAACATATCCTCATTTTTGGCCACAAGCCAGTATCCAGAGAAGCTGAATCCACTAAGTTCTGCAATACCGATACTATGTGTTCCCATGAGACAGATTCCCCGGGCCCCACACGCGTCTACAAAATCATCCAATGACGCTGATGGTCCGCGACGCACAAGTAGGGTATGATTTGAACCTTGTCACATTCGGCCGAGTGGTTGCAGAGTGTGATTGCGGTAGCCTTATTGACGAGTCGGGAAGCATAGTCCCAGTAGATGAGCTCGTGGCCAATTGTGCTGCCGAAAGATATTTCTATAGAGTCGTACAATAATCAGACTTCTGTAGAATACACTGGCATGGACAGGCCGCAACGAGTCCGACCGTCATGAAAACTCACCTCGAGAACACCCCTCAGTCCTTCCTTTGTGAACGGCTTCGGAAGAACATCGTTCATGCCTGCCAATGACAATGAGCGATCAATATCTCAGCACTTGAAGTCATATCACAAAGACGGGGTTGTGAAGAGGGGAGTACCAGAGCGAATATAAGTCATAACGTCGTTCGGCTTCATGTTGCTCGTCATCGAGATGATAGGCGTGAGATTATCGAACTCCCTGATTAACACCGTTGCCGATATACCGTCTCGTTTTGGCAGCATGATGTCCTGGCAAAGCAAATCTGTCAGTGTCGCAAACAACACAAAGCGATGATTCACTTGCGCGTACCATCAAAACCAAGTCGTACTTTTCGAAATTCATCTTGACGACCGCCGCCAACCCGTCCACTGCCACATGAATTGTACATCCGAAGATGGTGAGGATCTTACTGGATAACATCCTGCACAAAGGGTCGTCCTCGACCAGCAATACACGAGGTGGAACGGTCCATGACGGGACGTATGCCGCCTGCCGTAAGCCAGACCTCCGACGCGGAGGTAGTCTGACATTCGCTCTCGCGGTACTTTGAGGGTTGATGGTAAGAGGTATGTTGACAGGGTTGGAGTGTGAAACGTCCACAGCTATTGTTGTCGTGGCCTCGATGGGACTCTGGACGGTCAATTGCTGAACCGTTCTCCAGTAAGCTGCACACTTCTGCATGAACAAGGGGTGTGATACACACACCTGAGCTAGCCCTACCAGCAACCGCTCTACCCGACGATTCTGACCACCGATATCTTGTAATGTTTGCGAGATATCGGCATGATCCTGTCGTCGTGCGTTCTCCACTCGTGCCTGGAATTCTGCGTTATCTGCATGGGCAACGATCTATCCGGATAGTCAAAGTCTGTTGAGACGGAAGTGCAATAGAGAGGACGGAGGCTAAGACCAACATTGAATTCAGTGAAAGCATCATCGATAGCCGTTTTCACAGCAATGATACTGCGATCGATGTCGCCGGAGTGAACCAAGCACCACCAGAAGCCTTGTCGCCGCACGAAGAGGGCGACATCTCCCGCCATCTTCACTGCCCTATCCAAAAAAATGATGAATGATGAACGATGTATTAATATCCACCCTGAATATTATGATAGCTCCTAGACATGGCAGGCTTACCTCGCGACAGCCTCGAGGTTCTCCTTCATACTCGTAGGTACAGATTCTCGATGCAGAACCTTTCCCAGTTCGAGCAAGAGATCACGACACCGGTCGAGAAGACATCGCAGCTCTTTCCTCCTCGTCCGCACGCCGTCACATACAGTGTAAGCACCGCTGAGGATCGTCCAGATTACATGGTATACAGGTTGGTAGAGAGCGATGGCAGCGACGGCCTCCGCCATTGAGAAGAGTTATTGCACCGGGTGGATACGTTTGTGGTAAGAGGATGGTAGAGAGGCATAGATGTGGTCCAATGATGGCGGGGTCGTGTGTATATAAACAACTGTTAGACGCTGAGGAGCTCATCAACAAGCAAAGGGACAGAAGGCGGCGGTGCTGGCAGCGTGCATGACGTCACGCGTTCTTCGCATCGCTTTGTGGTTGCTTCGTGGATTGCAGCATAGCTATGAGTATTTGAGTAGCTCGACGGGAACACCAGAGGAACACCAGAGGGAATCACCCAGCCAGAAAATCGTGAGCAGTCGAGAAACGACGTGCTCGAAACGCATCCAGATCGAGTCTTAGCCAAGTTTACAGTCTCACAAACTGTGGGCCACCTAGACATATTTCCACAGCACTACAAGAAGACACATTATTCACCCAGGATGACCGTATCAGACGTGGAGTCTGCGGGACGTAACCTTGACCAAGTGGTTGGTTGTAGAGTTCGACTCGAACCCATCGTAGCGATGCGACTGGTGTGGCGCTGTCGGAATATGCCGATAACCCCAAGATCTAAGCTTCAAGATGACCCTGAAGTGTAACTTGTAGACGATATTCTTCTCTTCAATGAACCACCATGACCCTATGAGATAGTATTTCCAGATAACACTTCCCCTTTCGCTTCCGAGCCTTTTTTTTGGATGATTCTCGTCATAAACTGTCCATTTCCCCGGACCCCGGGCAAGTGAAGTGGCGTTTGACGCCACACCAGGCAACAACTCTCTCACGCTACACGAAGGCTCACGAGACCTCCCCTGTTTGAGAACCAAACACCGTGCCAGCTCACGGCCGGACCATCGTACTCATGCAAGCGACAATAGACGCGTTCGACGTCGTCTGTGACTTCCCACCGTACCACTACAACATTGAACGTGAGTGGTTATCCAATCCCACAGCCTATACCTACTGACTTTTTAAACCAACGCTTCACAGCGGCGGTAGTTGGCATTCAAGTTTGGGAAGACATCATTTGTTGGTTGCTCATGACTTAGCCAGGAAGTCATATTCGAACGTCTACTTTGAACGACGACTACAAATATGGCTTCTCTAACTGTGTTGGCGCGTCCGACGCGCCAACTTTCTGTTCGTTGCATACCGGCGTCTATGAGGTTTTACCACGATGAGTCCTTTGGTTTCCGCAAGCCTAGAGAGTTCACACTACCGGACTGTAAGGACCCCTATTATGCCCTAACATAAACCCTCCAAATAACACAGCTGCTCCTGTAGACTCACCAGAACAGTTGCGTAATAGGACAGCCAATGCCCCACTGATGCGTTATGTCGACTCTCTCCGCACTCACGGCCACCGAGCTGCTCGGATCGACCCCCTCGACCTTCTCCAACGCGAAGAAGTTGCCGCGCTCGACCCTACAAGATATGGACTTGTCGACCCAGCTGCGAAGTACAACATCAACGGTATCATCTGGGACAAACCCGTCGGGACGTCCTCCAGTGCCACAACGAATTCTGTTACCGATTCCGAAGAGGATTTCTGGACGCTGGAAGAGATCGTGAGGCATTTACGCGGAATATATGTCGGAAGGATCGCATACGAGTACATGCATTCACCTAGTAAGACAGAGAGGCTATGGTTCTCGCATATGCTCGAGTCAAAGAGCGCGACCTCGGCGGAGGAGCAGGACGAGGCGAAGAAGCGCAAATCGAGGATACACGAATTGTTGACACAGAGCGAGGTGTTTGATCAGTTTTTACAGGCGAAGTTTCCGAATTTGAAGAGGTACGGATTGGAAGGTGGCGAGTCAATGATTCCGGCACTTGATACGCTGTTCCAAGTGTCGGCGCAAGGTTTGTGCCACATAGTCGATGCCCCTATTGTCCTACTGATGTATATTTGTCGAACAGCTGGCGTAGAGCATATCGTTCTCGGAATGCCTCATCGTGGCCGTTTGAACTTGCTCACCGGTCTCTTGGAGTTCTCACCAGCCGCTCTGTTCAACAAGATCAAAGGTGGCTTCGAGTTTCCTGAAGAGTTAGGAGCCTCAGGCGATGTGATTAGCCATCTCGGTCAGTGTTCAATCCTTCCTTAATCCTTCCTTCATGTTTCTTGACTCCTCATTGTCGTTGGTGGGCACATTCACCAACACTCACAGTTGCATCCCCGAGCTTGAACTACGAAGGCGCCACACATCCCGTAAAGGTCTCACTTCTCCCTAATCCCTCTCACCTGGAAGCTATAAACCCGATCGCACTAGGCAAGACTCGCGCGAAGCAATACTCCTTATTGCATACTTCGCCCGATGATTGCATGCTAGGCGACAAGGTCATGTGTGTTCAGCTACACGGTGATGCGAGTTTTACTGGTCAAGGCATCGTTATGGAGGGCTTGGGCCTCAGTGAGTTTTCACCAACGTCGTTTCGTCTAGTGGAGACGATCTAAACCTAATGGTGCCGTAATTCAGGCAATTTGCCCCATTTCAGCGTCGGAGGCTCCGTTCATATCGTCGTCAATAACAAGTCAGTATATGTGGCGTACTGTCGATATGTGAAGTTGACCATGAACTCTGTTCATTCCAGTATCGGTTATACCACTCCGGCCTCCGGTGCTCGATCCTCGCTTTACTGCTCAGATATTGGCAAGATGATTCACGCGCCCGTCCTACACGTGAATGGGGACCACCCGGAAGGTCAGTACCAACCTCAGTCGTAAAATCTCATCGACCACGCTGATTCGTACTTCAGATGTGGCAAGAGCGGTCGAAACAGCGTTCAAGTACAGGAATCACTTCCGCAAGGTCCGTCACTCATACGTTCTCTTTGGCGGTGTGCAGTGTCAGGTGCTGACGTGTGGCGTCCCACAGGATGTAATCATCGATCTTCTTGTCTACCGCCGCTGGTAAGTGTACACCTCTGATCACACGCACCTTCGGACTTATCATGAGAAATGTATAGGGGTCACAACGAGCTCGATGAACCGGCCTTCACCCAACCACTCATGTATGAGCAAATTCGGTCTCGAAAGTCGGTGCCGACGCTCTATGAGGAGAAGCTTGTTGTACGTCCCTTCCATGATTTGTTTCGTTCCAAACGATCTAAACCTCTGACCCTAATGCGACCGTTTCAACTTCCACAGGCAGATGAAGTCATTACCTCTTCCACCGCGACCTCCGTTCGGAAGGCCTACAAATCCCATCTCGAAGCCGAGCTGGCCAAATCTGCGTCTAACGCAGACGAAGTCCCATCTGCGAATATGCTGAAGGACCAGTGGAGCTCGATGGTCTGGCCCGCGAGTTCGGAGGCGCAGAATGATCCGGATACGGGTGTGGAAAAGGGTGTGTTAGAGAGCGTGGGGAGGGCGAGTGTTAAGGTTGGGGAGAATTTCGTGAGTTGCCATCCTCTGTTTTACGAGGTTGTAGAGGTCATTGTATGAGAGAGAGAGCTCACAATAGCTTTATATTGTGTACTACAGGAGATCCATCCGCGGTTGCAGAGGCATGTCAAGCATCGGCTACAGGCTATCGAGAGTGGTAAAGGGTTGGATTGGGCGACTGCTGAGGTGCGGAATCTATCTTTGAGCACTGGCTGGGACGACAAGATCGTCCCATTACTGATGGACAACTTGACGTAGGCTATGGCATTTGGCTCGATCATGCTGGAAGGTAACGACATTCGAATATCGGGACAGGACGTCGGGCGCGGGACTTTCAGTCAACGGTCAGTTGAATATCTAACCTACTGCTTGCCTCTGAATTCATCTTGCGACAATCTCTTTTAGTCATGCGATGTTCGTAGACCAGAAGACGGAGCAGGTGACCGTTCCTCTCAACGTCGAACTAGATTCGAAGGGTAGGCTAGAGCTCGCAAACAGTCAGTCTCTCTCTTCTCGAGTGGCGATAATTCTCGTTCCTGATTTTGGTAATACCCTCAGGCTCCCTGAGTGAGATGGCAGTACTCGGCGTAAGCACCTTTCCATGAGCCTGTACGATCTATACTAATGGAAAAGTGCTCGCTCCTAGTTCGAGTATGGACTTAGTTGGGAGAAGCCCAATATGCTACCAATCTGGGAGGCTCAGGTGAGTTTCTGCGTGCGACGGCGCATGGGAAGAACTCGACTGACCCTGGTGTTTCAAGTTCGGCGATTTTTTCAACGGTGCACAGGTACACATAAGCATAAGTCGACTTTCGATAGGTATTAGCTAACAAACCCCAGATTATCATAGACACCTTCATCTCCTCTTCAGAGAGTGAGTCTACAGCTCTATTCCATGACGAACTTGAACTAATGAGATTCGGGGTCGTGTAGCGAAATGGCTCAAACAGAGCGGCCTTGTCATGCTTCTACCCCATGGTCTCGATGGCGCCGGGCCCGAACACTCTTCTTCGCGAATTGAACGATTCCTCCAGGTCCGTTCTCATGACACTCATTGCTCGCCATCGGCTCTTAATAATGATGCTGATATCTTCTTCAGCTCACGAATGATCGTTACTCGCTGAACGATGAGCCGACTAACATCAATATGCATGTCGTCTTCCCCACAACGCCCGCTCAATACTTCCACCTTTTGAGACGGCAGGTCAAGCGAAATTATAGAAAGCCTTTGATCGTAGCCGGTCCAAAGGGGCTGCTTAGGCTCCCAGTTCGTACCTTACGATATCATGCTCTCATGCAGAAGTCTTACCTACCAAACCACACGTTTACAGGCCGCTGCGTCGCTGCTATCAGAGCTCACTCCCTCGACCCGCTTCCAGCCCGTCCTTCGCGAACCTCTTCAGCCTGAGAACCTTGCCTCTATCAAACGAGTCATTCTTTGCACGGGAAAGATATACCATGACCTCGTCAAGCAAAGGCAGTCCCTCTCGCTTGAGTCTCAAGTTTCTATCATCCGCATCGAAGAGCTTGCGCCATTCCCCTTCACTCAGCTCAGGCAAGTCCTCGAAGAATACGGCTCTAATCCGAGCGTATATTGGGTGCAGGAAGAACCAAGGAACCAGGGTGCTTGGGGGCATGTAAGCTCTAGGATAGAGAGCGTCATGGAGGATTTGGGAATTGGTCGGTTGAGGTTTGTTGGGAGGAAGGAGGAGGCCGTTCCGGCGCCCGGGGTGGGGAAGCTGTATAAACAACAGCAGGAGACGATTTTGAACAGTGCGTTCGAAGGACTGTAGATTATGACGGTGTACATATAACTCCCCGCGTGAGCTATTCTTGACACAATGATGCTCTGCTAATTTCAATGTTTTGAAGCTCAGGAGAGTGGCATGGCTATGCTCGTCGTGCCCTTCTAGCCGGAGGATTAGATCTGTTCAGGGCAACAAGAGAATGGGCCACTGAACAGCGCACGGGCTTATCCAGAGGGAGAATATGGCCGCGGAGCGCATACGATGTTACACCCGAGCACCAAATGGCTGCAGACGTTCGGATCCGCACGATAAATGAATGGCTGGGGAAGAGAAGGGTCGATGTCGGCGTTGGTGAACCGTATGGGAGGAACCAGTTCTTTTTTTCTCGTTATATAACGTCGTTTCTACGAGTGGTCTATGATTTTGCAAACGGCTGTTGGCACAGGGATTTGCGTGTGGCGGTGTGGCGTAAGTATGTTTCATGGATTGATCCATATAAGTTCGCACGCTATACTCAGCCCTTTACCCCGCCTTTTTTTTCCTCGTTTATATTATAAGCTGTGCGAAGCTCACATATACATATGTACTGATCCTACGAGTTTCTGAGTACTGAGTACTGAGGCTCATGTGGTGTCGTTCGCGTTGGTCACCAACTTGGTCTCGACACAGCGCGAGTGCTGCCTCGTGTTGCGCAATGTATATCTGATGTACGTAAGTATCCCACCACCCAATCAAACCTGTCGTTGAATCGCGATTGGCGAGTTTTACGCTACTGAACCTTATACGTTTAGGTCAGGCACACATTGAACACCGTGGGTGACGAACTAGCCAGCCCTTATAAGCTTGAGCGTTGTGTGGCGCAACGGCTCTTGAATGTCTTCGTGCCAGTGATGACTTCCTATGAACCCAACGAGGACGAGCGGAGCCTCGTGCTTGAACGATATTCACTCGCCGGCGATCTGCTTTGTGGTGTTGCCTACGGTATTTTTTACCCTTCGTACGACCCTCTTCTATGCTCATGTCAACGTTTTCCAGGTATACAACTCGTGTTATATCTGGCATGCGCGACATGCCTTTGGCATCATAGGGAGAAGTCGCATGCAAGACACCTGCTCGTCTACATCACTTTCCTTTTTGTCGCCCAGTCCGTGTTCGTTGGTGTCCAATCGCGGACGGTACAGCTCATGTTCGTCGAAAACCGCAACTATCCCGAAGGAGTATGGGCATACTTTCTCGCTACTCAAGCACTCGCGATCAATGTGACATTCGATGCCACTCTCTTCATCCTGACCTTGCTATGTGATTGTCTTGTGGTGGGCTATATTCATATGCTCAGTGTTTGACGGTTTATTTGGCGCGATAGCTGATTAATTCGGTGGGGAGTTTAGTTCTGGAGATGTTGGATAATATGGGCAGCTTCGGGCTTTTCTCAAGCCGCCCTTGCCATCCTCTTCCCCGCAGTGATGATTCTCGGTTCCTTCGGTCAGCATATCGTTTACAGGAAATCACTGCTCTGATCTGACATAGTTTCTTCGGGTGGTCCTGCAGTCACGGGTGTGTTCTGGACGCTGCAAAGCTCTCAGCCAGGATTATCCTTCTACAGCAAGCTGCCACTCGCCTTCGGGACTGCCTACTTCACACTCTCGCTCGGTGTCAACATTCTCCTAACGGCCCTCATCGTGTTCCGCCTCTATCAGTATCGTCGTAGGATTGCTTCAGCCCTAGGTGCATATCTTGTACTTATACGTCAACTTCATTTGATGCCGTGCTAACGACAATCGAATTCAATCGCAAGGTGCCGCCTACGCGAAGCAATATGTATCTTTGGCGACAATCATCGTTGAAAGCGCCGGTGAGCTTCCCCATAAGTTTAAGGTGCCAATTTACTTGCACTGATGACAATGAATGTGTAGTGGCGTACTCGGTGTTCGCGCTGTTATTTCTCGTCACGTACGCTGCCGGCAATGTAACATCTCAACTGTGGCTTGGCATCTCTTCTTCAGCTCAGGTGCGCGGCAATCCTGTCTACAGGCTGTGTCCTTACTTTCAAAAATTCGTCACCCTGACGCTCTCTGCGTAGCAAATATCAACCTACATGATCATATATCGACTCGCTCTTGGCCGCGGGTGGAGCCCGGACACCCTATCCTCTTCCGCTACGTTCACCACGAACCCTGTCCCACTCTCAAACCTTACAATGGACAAAACAGGTGCGTTGAAGTCCAGTTTTCAATTGCTGAGACACTCATCCCCGCCTCGCCTTCATAGCCCCTCCCGTGGACATCGAGCAGATACCCGTCGATCGACAATCACCAGCTACTCCGCGGCTTTCCTTCGTTGGCCCTTCACACTAAAGATCCGGACTTTCTAGACGACTCGTGACGTTTATATTGCATCTAGTTTGAAACTTACTTCGCGGCGGGGTTATATAATAAAGTTGAACTAACGCATTGATCCCTGATTCGGTCTGTATTGAGTGACGTGTGCCGTCGCGCGAGCGGAACGCAACGCCAAATTCAGGCAAACTCGGTTATAGTTTTAGTGGAGATCAAGGCAATCATAACAATAGTTTAATTGGATACATGAATGGCAAAGAAATATAATCATAGGAACGTCCAGATAGTAAGAAAGCATGAACAAGGCCAGCAGGGAAGAACTTTGCAAGTGTGTACAGCAGATGTATGTCAGATAGGAAGAGTTACGACGGTTGACAAGAAATTGTCTAGTCTTTTTCTCCGTCCTCTTCTTGCTCGTATTTGACGGGTTTCACTTTCCTTTTCGACGCTAGACAGAGCAAGTATTTATCACAGGTCAGCAATGACAGCGATGGCGATAGCCATGACCAGGACGCGCACATTTCCTTGAACGTCTCTTAGCTTTCTTTCCTGCCACTCGCTTCTCGAGCTCCTGGTCTTCTTCGCCCTGTAGCTTGTGTTCCTTCAGGATCTGCGCGAAAGACAGGGGCAGTCAGCATGATACCCATGGAATACGTCACAGCAACATACATTCTCGAACTCATTCAGCTGCGTGTCCGGTTTGTTTGCGGACTTGTTCGCGCGTGCCTGCAGAAACACAAGTTTTAGCAAGAGCCACGAACTACGCACGCAATAAATGAGCTGGCGCACCTTGACAAGAATTTCCTGGAAGCGGGAATAGACCGTCTCTTCATGCAGTTTGTCCCTGTAGAATTGAAGGCCTTCGATGAGCTTCTTGACGGACCGCTCCGATTTGAACGGTAGGAGCGAAAGGCAGAAAGCTATATCGCGCCACTGCCGAGGGTCTTCCGACAAGTGAAACCGTTGGCATAACCTTTCGACGATATTCTCGGCTTGTCTCTCCTAGAACCCACGATCCATCACTAAGGTCGACTCTTAAAGATAAGAATTGGGCCGACCTTTTCGATGAAGGAGAAAATGTACTTCATCGTGCCCTGGAACGCCTCCTCGCCTAGAGCATTGTCTCCCACAGAGAGATGACTGATGACTGAAGAAAGGAGGTACTTATGTATATCCATATTTCTTTAGTGACCGATGGATCGATGGGACTTACCGTCCGGTAAGTTATTGTATATTGCATTGTCCTTCGTCGATAGCTCCGTAAAGAACAACTTTGCCAGGTCGGAGATCCTAGGGTCATCATCTTCAAGACACTTTGCCATCTCGCCCAACTGCCCCTTGACCTTAATCATGCCGTTGAGGATCAGGTGCGTTAATACCATCAATGTGTTTTTCCTGACGATGAGGCTCCTGTTGGACAGACCCCTATACAACTCGTTGCTGTTCTCGTCGATGATGGTGCTGAACGAGACAGCGACATCGCCGAGGGCGATAACGATGTTGCTACAAATAGTGGGATCTTCGGAGAGTTTGAGTTTCTTGAAAAGCAAATGGTGGTACTGATCACAGTATCGGGAGCTGATGCAAAGGAACTTGCTCAATGTCAGAATTGCCGCCGTGTGAAGTGTTTGGTACTGACAATTGAATTCGTCAGCGTGATGCACTTACCAAGAAGATGCGAAAGAACATACCTTGACGAAACGACCGCGGCCGACGATTTCAGCAACCATGTCACCGTAAACGGCGAGCAAGGAATCAGGGCCGTAGAGCAATTCGGTCTCCCTCACAGCAGCGATCCTATCGCCAATCTCGTCCTCGGCATTTCCAACAACCGCCTCGAGATCATCGCCGTCCTTCTGAGAGGTGCCAGCGGCTTTGGCCTTCTCCGCTGAGCGTGTTCAATCAGCTTAGTGGAGAATGGAATATATGGCTAGCATCCTACCTGCTTCGTGTTCATTTTTCTGCCTCTTCCAATCCCTCTCCACCAACTCTAGATAGACGACATGTTTGATAGCAACGTGCCCAACGACGAAAATCATTTGGCTCAGTTCGAATGCATCGCCAACATCACCGCTATGACTAGTACCCGCTTGCGACTCAGGTTGGGTCGACGCGAACCCATTCGGGATTGTTTGCGAAGGTCCAGGAGCGTCCACGTCCATCGCGTCCTCAGCTCTCGACTGTTGCGACTGAGATCCAGCATTGGGGTTCCTCGCGAAGGCTCTTCTGGTGAGATTTTTGATGATATTGTTGCAGAGGATGTCAGGGTGATCGCCGAGAGCGTAGATAGTGTTAATGGCTTGTTCGGTCATACCGAACCAGTCGATCGAATGGCACGGGTGTTCGATGGCGTCTTGTAGGTTGCGGAAGATGATGTTGTTCATGTCGTAGCGCACATTCTTGTCAAATAAAGAGCCTGTCGTATGGAGGTTTCATAAGTCGGGTGAATTGCGGATCAATGGTAAAGATGACCTTTGACTTTCTTCGCGCTACCATTCATACGCTGAAGAGCGACGCAAGTATATTTAGCGAGAATGAGGTCTGCCTGTATTGAGAAGTAAACGCGTGGACTTGGAAAGTATTCAAGGGACCTAGCACCTTTCCAAGTGGACCTAACCCTATCCTGATTAGTGCATCAACCTTGTTCGTTACAATCTCTCGCCGAGCAAGAGCAAGCATCCCCAAAATAATGATGGCGCCTCGTCGAACAGATTTATCGGTGTTGCGGTCGCCTACCAGAAAAGGCTTAGGGTGAGCGACGCTGATACGGCAGCGAGGACTGAAGCACGCACGGTACAGTCTCCATAATTCTGCCACGATGTCATCGTGTATCTGATCGTCCTCCATCATGATCCGCATCATTTCCTCCAAACTCGTCAACTCTGCCAACGATGCATTCTTGGTCAATCTGTACACAGTCAGCACTTCATCGGAGCGGTACGCAAGTATACTACAACGTACCCAATCATGTTGTTTGCGATTCGTTCAACTTGTTTCCTTGCCGTTATGTTCTCAGCTAGCGGGGTGATGTACATCTCCCGATATGATTCGAGCAGTTTGGAACGAACGCCCTTGAGTTCCAATCCATCCTCGGAGGTTGAGTTGTTATCCTTTGACCAGATGAGATGAACCATCTTCTTGATACCGATCTGACCGAGGGAATGCGATGAGTAAACGGCCACAAATGGCCACGGAAACAGACGATCATTCACCTTCGCACGAGCCAGACCATAGTACTGAGCAATACGAAAGAACTCTATACTTTCCAAAACCTCCGCTTTATGGGTTGACCCCAGCAGGAGCGCGATATCACCCATTTTCATATCGATTTTCTTTATAAAAGCTACTGCTTCTCCGCAGAGTTTCGCCGAGAAAACAAGGGCTTTAAACCTGTCACTTGCGAACAGACCAAGAGCGGCTTCTCTGTCATGGCCAGCTGGATTACCTGCGGGTTGTCGCGCTTGTGGATCGTCCGCTTTCTTCGACGATGGGGTCTTGCCTGGGTCTTCTTGCTCGTCATCGACATCCATCGCATCTGCATCGCCATTCGACCTGAAGGCTAAACCGTCAGTCAACACGAATATTTGCAAAGATTAGACATCTCACATGTTGAGCCGTCTGGCCTGCTCGGAGTCACTCTGACCACCTTGTGATCCATCGTGATCCTCATCTTGCCCGTCGGACGCAGTCATCAACCTCTGGACTTCCCGTTCGATGGCTTCGCGTTTCTGTTTGAGATGATCATAGGATCCCTCCCACAAACTCAGGTCCAGTTTCACGTCCTCCTTCTGTCCGTGGAAAACTTGCCAATAGGGATGCTCCTCTATCAGTCTCGACAGTAATGCGATCGCGCTCCTGCGTACGCTCGCTACCTTGTCGCTTAGAGCATCTAGAGCAGCGTCGGCTACTGCAAGGACCGGTCGCCTCTCCGGTGTGATATCGCAAAGTCTGTGCAATGTGTTGAAAACTTTAACCCGGACGTACGAAGATATATCAAGCTGTCGCTCTAGGAGTTTGATGAGAAGGCGTTCGATATAGTCACTGGCAATCTTGGGGTCCAGGTCCGTGTCGTTGTCGAGGTAGGAGATCAGGCGACCTAAGATCTCCACGATGGCCATACGCATGGGATATGACTGCAGATCGGCGATCGGTCAACAATGTACTATCACTTGGGCATCGAGACTACCTTGACTGACCTCGGAATCTAAATGCACCATCAAGAGATCCCGTTTGTTGAACACGACTTCTGGAGCCTCTTCCGCGTATTTGATCAAGAACTTCGAAAATACCCTCGGTCCCTTCGAGTCCTGCGAGCTAAAACTCTTCTCAGCGATGTCGCTCAAGAGCCCGTCTCCCAGCTGTGTGTGGTTGTACTCCGTCGCCAGCTGGGAAACTAATTCGGCCATAGGCTCCGCAAGGTGCTCGAAATATTGTAGGCATTGGATTATGGATGCTTGTGCGTCGAAACGGTGTCCGTGGAGTTTGACTGCATGGCAGATGACTTTGTAGACGCGTGAACGGATGTCGGCGGATTTCATATACGACTCTTTCTCTGCGACACGATATGCGGGCCCAGTCAAGCATCTAGGAGTAAAATCCGGAGTCAGCGAACATTTCTGTGCGCATGAGAGCTACAGTGTCGTCGCCTTGTGTCGCAAACGGCACCGACCCTGTGGCGAGCACGACCTCACGACTACTCTTGGCTCCCAAGGCTACTGTATGTTGTTGTTAGGCATATAAGGTGCTCACCTGATAAGCGCATTTCTCTCCGGAGTAGTTTTCCAGACCTTCACGATCTTCAAGTTCTCCAGCATCTGCGAAATGAGCCCCAAAATGTGTGGGATTTGATCTTCCCATTCACTTTCTTTCCTGCTTGTCGGCGCGTTCTTTCCTCCTTTACCCTTCCTCCCTTTACCTGTTGGCGTTACTACTGACCCATTTCCGCCCTCACCCGAAGGTTTGATTCGATCCGATGCAGATATAAACCAGTTCAGGAGAAACGCGTACTTCTCTACGCCCAATTTGTGGCTTTCGAAGGTATCCGAATAGTCGGAATCTGTGTCGGCGATGGCGGCATCCTTTTGGGCTTGAAAGCCAGAGACTATGGAATCAAGCAATTTGGAAACCTGAGGTTCAGATAGACAGTCGACATATTTGAGAAAGGAGCGGTAGACGTCAAAAGTGTAAGGGTTCTGTATGGCTTCATAGGAGACAGAGACATCGTGGACAGCATCTGAGGATTGTAAAGACACGGGTGCATCCCCCAGAAATAGGTGAGTCTGAGGTCTGGCGCGATAAGGGGGGCCAAATAAGTCAGGACTCACTCGAGAGCAGTTGGTCTACTTCTCTTGGCTGCATAGACGAGATATCCCTCTCGTTGTGAATATCATAGGTTTCAAGGTTGCCATATCCTTGCAATTCCTCTTGAAGATCGAAATTGGCCATCATGCGCGAAAGCATATGTGAGAGGAAGCTTGTGGCCAAGTATAAGAATGCCCACGTCGCGTTAGTCGATTCAAAATTCCGGACGCGTCCCAAATTGAAACGCGTGCGTCATACGTTTTATGTCACCCTCCTCCAAAGTGCGGGCCACCTTCCTTGAATGTGGCCCACTGTCACATCTCAGTCAATACTTTCATGCCCGTCAGGCTTTTGCTAGCTTATACAAAGACACCCACGCAGTCTATGGTACATAATGTCGCGCAATGATTCATTGACAGGGCTCGTCGCATGTTCGAATCTTGTTTGAATCTATCGAATCAGTGCGGTAACAATTTCCAGCAGTGATCATCGTGTGAGCACCTTGCTATTCATCATGTACCAGAGCCATACGTACCATAGCTTGTTACCACTGCTCCTGAGACGAGAATTTTGTTAGGTGAATGTTGTCGTCTGCCAGGAGTTACATCAAACGCGACGTGTCATAGCGGGAACAGAGCCGCACTCATCCGGATTGAGACCCTATCACAATCTTGGATTCAAACCATGGTAATGACCGGACAGTGTCCTCCACACTCCGTGCAGTCGACGACTGGAATTTAGTGGGGATATGGTAACCGCAAAAAAGGAAAAGAAGGAAGTTGCACAGAAGCTGCAACTCAGCATGCTTGCCGGCCTGTGCCGGCACCCACCATCACGTGACATCTGTTCAGCGCGACGCGACGCGCTGCTTGTCGCAATTGCCCTTGTCTCCTCCCCCCATACCCTTGCTTTTTCATCTTTACCATCGTCACCTATCATGCCTGCGCGGGTCCTGCCAGCGAGGACGACCTCCGTGCTCGACAATCTATCTACAGCTATACCGAAGATTTTTGACCAAGTCCAGAACTCAACATCAAACCACCAGAAGAATCACATCGCACTCTATAAACTCCAGACTCAGGCCGCTGCTCACACCGAAGATATCCCTGGTCGCGGCAACAAGCTTATTGGGGAGCGCGCGTTTGAGAATGTTATTATTGACATGATCAATCGTATCTTGGTGGTGAAGAAGGCTGGAAACTTAGACCCGGCGACGAGGTGTCTCAAGTTCATCGGGAGTTACATCAGGTTTATTCACGATAAATGTGTGTAGTATGTTTCTCCACTGTATACAGTGCACTTATAACTGTATTATGTGTGGCTATTTTTGCTTCTGCTTGCGGAACCTCCGGACGCTACAGCTGCTGAAGAGAAGAAGGCCCAGCGAGGCGATCAGGACGAAGATTCGGATGACGATGAAGAAGAAGAACATGTGGTCGTTCGCTTTACCAACCGGATACTACAGTACCTGCTGAAGGGCTTTCTCGCCAAAGACAAGGTCGTCCGACACCGCGCCGTCTCCTTCGTGGCGGAGATGATCTCCCATCTAGGGACCATGGAGTGCGTATCGAGCACATTCTTTGTTTTCTCTGTGGTTGTTGATCTACTCCACAGTGACGAAATGTATGTCACTCTGCGCTCGTCTCTCATGGAGCGAGCCTCCGACAAGGAGCACATCGTTCGCATGCAAGCAGTGTCTGCATTATCTAAACTCTGTGGGGGAGAAGACCCGGATGAGCTCGCAGACGGCGAACCGACAATTCTCTCAGAGCTAGAAGACATAATGGTTCACGATCCATCCGCGTATGCTAATTGAACTAAATATGTCTCTTCTCGACTACTGATCTTCGTCCATAGCGACGTTCGCCGGATATGCCTCGCCAATCTCGCTCAGCAGCTGGCCGCGTTTCCCCTCTCCCTGAAAGTCATCCTTACCCGTATCCGCGACACCGAATGGCGTGTACGTAAAGAAGTATACGTCTCGCTCCTCAAGTCCATCCACCTCGGTGAGAAAGGGGACGCCGTCGGACCCACGCATCCTCGTGTTCTTAGCATCGACCAGCGCGAGTCCATCGTACGGATCGGACTACACGAACGAGAGAGAGAAGTCAAGACTGCAGCGGAGAAGTTGATCCTGGCATGGCTGACCGCAGTCTCGGTGGGAGAAAAGAAGGATGTGATGGAGGACTTATTTGCGTTCCTGAAGCTTTTTGATCTGACGGAGAGCAAGACGGCGGAGGAGGCGCTCACCAGCGTCTTTAAGACGAAACCAGAGATTGTGAACGAGATCCAAACGGATGGTGCGCTTGTGTCTTCCTCAATATCGCTGAAGTTGCACCGCTCACTACGCCACGGTAGACATGTTCTGGGCGGACCTTAGTCCCGAAAAGGTTTTCCTCGTCCGCGTTTTGGTCGACCACGCCGTCGAGCAGAAGAGCCTAGAAAGGCTCGAGACCATTCTTCCTGTCGTGACTGCCCTGGCGTTCCGTATCCAGACGGTCTACAATGATCTTATCGAACAAGCAGAGGCGGATGAACAAGATCGCCTTCTCCGTGGGGAAGACGCGCCTGAGGACGAGGAGCGGGCCGACGCGCTCTTGGACAAAGAGTTTGTCGTGGAAGAGCTGTTGCGCATCGCGGTGAAGGTGGACTATGGCGACGAAATCGGAAGGAGGAAGATGTTCACGCTCGTTCGTGAGTTGCGGTCCTTGCACTCTATATCCATTCTGTCGATTCCGCCTTGCGAGCTGACAGATTTCATTGGTTGATATTGTACAGGTGATATGATCTCTCAGGAAGCGCTGCCTGAACGACTTCTCACTCGATGCTTGGACGTTCTCCGAGTCCTGGTTCGTAGCGAAAAGGAGCTCATTCGTATCGTCGTCGAAGTCGTCCACGAGCTCCGCGATACCGACGAGGAACTTCCTGTGCGTGCCTCCGGGCTTCCTTCACAATCATCATATCCGCATGCTTGACGCCATTACGTTACTGACAAATATGAGCAGAAAGAAGAAACAAACGACGATGACCTGTCCACCGTGGGCGGCACAGCCAGACCTCGCTCCACATCGACTCAACCAGCCGCTCCGAAAGCGGTGGAGGACATGACGCCCGAGGAGCGCGCCAGGCAAGACGCAGTCGATATTCGTTGTCTCGATCTTTGTATCGGGATGTTAGAACGCTGCAACAGTGTAAGCACCCTTTTCGGTTCACTGCTATACATGTTATGCGTCATGTTGATAGGGAAACGGACAAATATCTAGAAATTCGACGAGAACGTGATTTTGCAGGGTCTAATGGCCGAACTCGTCATTCCGTCTGCGCAGAAGAAGGATTTCACCATGAGGGAGAAGGCTTTGACGTGTCTGGGGCTTACTTCGCTCATCTCGAGGGTACTGTTCTCTTTCCGCCTTTGGGCTCTAGTTGTCGATGCTGACCGCGTTCTTTCTTTCGTTGATGTGGTGGACAGGATTTGGCCTTCGGCTCGTTCCACCTCTTCATGAAGCAGATTCCGACCTCCCCGGAAGAGCTCAAGGTCCGCATCATACAGGTTATCATCGACGTTTTTATGGTGCATGAAGTGGATTTCTTGGCGAACGAAAAGGTACGTCTCATCTTCGTATCTTTCCCCCTACCATTCGACTAGCCGTCATAGGTTGATTTTGCTCTGTTGTTTTCAGACCGACGACGTGATCAACTATCTTCGTGAGATCATGGAGAATGACGAGTCGGACAGGGTACAGGCCGTACTCGCGATGGGGTTCGCGAAGTTAATGCTTTCGAGGATGGTCACCGAGGACAAGGTGCGTCCATCGCTCCATACATATATCATACTGGCTGACTTCTTGTAACTATCGATTCTTTATCCACCCTGTTTCCTTAGGTCCTCGCGTCGCTCGTGGCAGTTTACGTCTCACCCTATACAGCCGATAACCAAGAACTGCGTCAATGCTTGTCGTATTTCTTCCCCGTATTCTGCTGGTCCTCGCCTGTGAACCAGAGGCAGATGCAGAAGGTATGTTGTCCATTCTCCACGCCCCTCCCGTCCCCCACGGTCCAGTCTAGTCGCAATGGAATGCTGACATGAAGACTCAATAGGTCTTCCCGGCCGTATTCGAGAGACTGTGCAAGGAGTCAAACGAGTTGGAGGAGGACCAGGAGATGGTCACGCCAGCTCAGATTGCCGGAATGTTTGTCGATTGGACCGACCCGAGAAAAGTGTCGTGAGTATAGTTTACTCTTCCTCTTCCTCTGTCTATTTCGACGGTCTTCTGATCGATTGATTCGCTCGTGTTTCAATGCAGCGAGCTCGTCCCAGGCAGCATGTCAGACCCGGAGATACATTTCGATATGGCGCATGATATAATGACCATGCTGGCTGGGAAGGCTTTGAACAGTATGTTTCTCTCGCCAATCCCAAGGCACTCATTCGCCCTTTGCGTCCCATGAAGACTGATCCTTGACTGCGTGATCTCGTAGAGAGCGACAAGAAAGTCCTGTGCCAGCATTTGTCAAAGCTACATATCCCCGACGTCATCGACGACGATAAAGTCCGGAAATTGAAACTGCTCATGCACACCCTCGAATCCGTACGTCTTGCCTCCATACCTCCCCTCCCATATACAGTATTTCGCTTACTCGTTCCCCCTCCCACCTCTGATACAGCGTCGTCCGCTATCCGACACACCCTCCAAAAAAGCAGTCGAAAAGTTCGACGCCTCCATCAGCAAGAAGTTCTCCGAGCAGCTGCGCGATTTCAGCGAAGAAGAGTATCGCAAGCTGGAGTCGTTGAAGGAGACGTTCGAGGTGCTGGATTTGATCAGGCCGGTGGAGGAGGATTCGGATTATGAGGAGGAGGGGGAGAAGGAGAAGACTAAGGTGGCGAAGAAGAGGTTGGGGAAGAAGAGGAGGTCGGGGAGTATTACGACTGATACGTCGGCGGGGGAAGAGGCGGAGGAGGATCAGCCGAGGAAGAAGAATGGGAAGGGAAAGGCGAAGTAAGTCTGCTTCCTCCTTTTTTTCATTTGTTGCGCCCTTCTGTTGTGCACTTTTATCGATGAGGGGAAGCTGATGTTTTTGGGCTTGTGCCCCGCAGAAGGCGAAGAGTCTCCGGTGAAGACGAAGTCGAAGACGACGATTCCGTTCCAGGATCGAGACAATCTTCTGTGACACCGAGTGCGCCTACGAGGACTATGCCGAAGAGGGCTGCGTGAGTACCTGTTTCTTTCGTCATAATGGGCGTGACTGAATATGCCAGGATGCTGACGGCTGGTCTTTGATTGTCTTACTGTAGTACAAAGAAAGTGAGCATGGCGCCGGTTGTCCTCGAGGACGAAGAGGATGACGAAGAAGACGAGGATGAGGAAGACGAGGAGTCTACTCCTGTCCCACCCTCGAGGCGTAGTCGGGCTGCTGCTAGCAAGTATGTGCCATTCCCTTTCTGCTTCCCCAGTCGTATGTCCACAGAACTAAGTATGATAACACTCTAGACCCATGCCAAAGCCTAAGGCGTCGTCATCGTCGAGGAGAAAGCAGCCAACGCGGGACGAAGAGGACGACGACGAGGAGGACTCTGAAGGGCCTAGTGCTAGCGTGGACGGGGATCAGGATTCGGTCGCAGGGCCGGAAATTGATGAGGAGGAAGATGATGATGAGGTGGCTGATCTGCTTGAGGGGGACGATTCCGAGTAGAAAGCGATACCTTTTGAGTCGAGTTGATCTATGTGTGATAGTATTTTCGTGCGAGGTTTTTCTCTTTAGTTGTATTACGCGTTTTGATTTTATGTCTCTCCAACCTATGCACATCCCATATACACAGTTTCCTTTCTTTTTCTTTCAATCTTCGCGAATCGTGGTAGAGACTCGCGCCACCCGGAACTTGAAGCCGCCACAATCGCACGGTGACACAGGAACGCGAGATGCGGTCACGGGACGGGATTACGTTAGAAACACGCCCAATTGGCATGTTCGAGTTTGAGTTCGCCTGACCGTCACCGTCGACCATCTTCATCTTCTTCAAGCAGAGCCGCCACGAACGCATAGGCGTCGCAGGTAATCTTACTATTTTTTTCCTCCCTTGCATATAAGGTCTGTTTGTTCGTTGTCTGTCTCAGAGATCCTTATTCTTAGTTTTTATCGGGTTTTATTCTGCAGGACGTCCGAGACGGTGTTAGGCCACTCAAGCGATGCCCGCCTCCTCTTACCCTCGCCAACTCCAATCTATCCCGCCACCAGCACCCCCGCGCGCGTCCTCCCACGGACGCTACCCACTTACGGACGCCATTCATCACAATCAGTACCAGCCGCAGCAGGCGGCACAGGACACCCTCTACAAGCGAGCCCCCCAGCAGCATGACGTCCCGCCACCCGTGCCGGAGAAACAACCACAGCAGCAACAGAACGTACCGGCGTCACCTCCTCTCCCTAGGCAGAATGCGAAAGTTCAGCCGCCTTCACCTCCTCATGTGATTCGCGACAAGTCGAGGGCGATGAACTTCAAGAGAGTCGGGTTTCTTGGCGAGGTATGTTTTGTTTTTGCGTCTCTAGGTTCTGCATGCTGGGAGGCTTTGTATGAACGGAAGAACTGCTGTTTCTTTGGACGCCATGATTTGCTTGTGGATGAAACTGCGTTCATCAAATTTTACACTACACCATGGTAACGCCTTCAAGGCGATCGCGATCCCGCCTTTCGCATGCTAGTTCTCAGCGTGTGTCGCATGCGAGCCTCGTGGACGCACTAGTCTTCGTGTTTGAAACTAGTGTGTCCGACGTGAAAGAGAGCCGCACCGCGTGCGAATACACGTCCCCCATCCGAGCATTCTTCCTATTCGCCTCTTTACATCCGGTCCAGCCATGCTGACCCGTTCTCTGTAGGGAGGGTTCGCCAGAGTTTACGAGGTGCAAGACTCGCTTGGTAGCCATCACGCCTGCAAAGTCGTCACGAAGGATTCTTTGAAAACCAAGAAAGCGAAAACCAAAGTTCGTCCCATCTCCACTACTTCTTATCCGGATGCTCATATTTTGGTGCTTGATAGCTCTATGCCGAAATCAAGATTCACCGCTCCCTTGAGCACCCGAACATTGTCAAGTTTAACGAGTGTTTCGAAGACGACGCGAACGTCTACATGACTCTCGGCCTCTGTACCTCTGGCTCCCTCATGGACATGCTCCGCCGCCGACGCAAATTCTCCGAGCCCGAATCTCGCTTCTTCATGATCCAACTGATTGGTGCCTGTCACTACATGCACGAGCACCAGGTCATCCACCGTGACCTGAAGCTCGGCAATCTCTTCCTTGACGGGAACATGAACGTCAAGGTGGGAGACTTTGGGCTCGCGGCGTTGATCGAGAATCCGGGTGAGAGGAAGAAGACGATTTGTGGAACGCCGAATTATATTGCGCCGGAGGTGCTGTTCGACGTGGCGAATGGACACAGTTTCGAGGTGGACACTTGGTCTATCGGTGTCATTCTCTATACGCTCGTCGTTGGAAAGCCTCCGTTCCAGACGAAGGACGTCAAGACTATCTACAAGTGTGTTTCTCTCAGTTCCCTCCCATGCTCACTGTCGAACAGATAACTAAGTTGAACGTCTCACAGACGTATCCGCGACAATGAATACGAATTCCCGCCCGAGTCCACCGTCTCCAGCGACGTCCGTTCCCTCGTCCAAGCCATCCTCACCCCCGACCCCTCCGAACGTCCTCCCCTCCTCGACATCGCCGACGACACCTGGTTCACCAACGGTCTCGTACCCGGCTACATCCCCAACTCCGCACGAGAAATCAAACCCGACTTCTCCAACATCACACGCTCCGCCTCGCGCCAGAATCTCGCCCGAGTCCGCAAAGCCGCCTTGCTCGACGAGGAAGAACCGGCGCCCATCGCGCTCCCGGGTTCCATGATGCGGAGTCAGGCGAGTTCGACGGCGTCGTTGCAGTATCAGTATAGTCAAGGCTACGGCGGAAGTGGACGATCCGCTGCGTCGTCGCAGGCACAACAGCAACAACAGCAAACCCAGCCGATGTCGTCCTCCCTCGCTCAGCAAGAAAAGGAATTCCAAAAAGCCGTCCAGCCAGGATCACCCATCTCCGCCCTTCTGTCTTCCGCGCGTCAACCTCTGCTCGTCGCGCCCGCTAACGCACCACAGCGTGAGACTTCGCTGTTTAGGAAGTTGCAGGCTGCGAAGAAGGAGCAGCATCAGAGGCAGCGGTCGGATTCGCCTGTGAGGGGGGCGAGGTTGCCGGGGATTGGGGAGGAGGCGGAGGAGGATGGGGGTGTGGGTGTGAGGAATAAGGAGTTGGAGAGTCAGAAGGCACGTATCGTGGCGCAGATGGCGCCGCCGGCTGTGCCGACGACGGCTACGAGTAGCGCGGCGGGGAGCGTTAATGGGGATAGAGAGCGGGAGTTGGAGAGGGAGATGGAGCTGGAGAGGGAGATGATGATGATGCAGAAGGAGAGAGGGAGGGAGAATAGGCCGCCTGTTGGGGAGAAGCGGAGGGAGAGGGTGGAGAGAGAGATGAGGGAGGCGAGGCTTCGCGAGGAGAAGGAGCGGGAGATGGAGCTTGAGAGACAACGTGAGCGGGCACTGGAGAAGCAACGCGAGCGGGAATTGGAGAAGCAGCGCGAGCGGGAATTGGAGAAGCAACGCGAGCGTGAGCTGGAGAAGCAACGGCTACGCGAGCTAGAGAAGCAACGGGTGCGCGAACTGGAGAGGCAACGGGAGCGTGAGCTGGAGGAACAACGAGAGCGCGAGCAGGAGGAACGGCTGGAGAGGCAACGTGAGCGTGAGCTCGAGAGACAACGCGAACGTGACCTCGAGCGAGCCAAGGGCAAGCAGAGAGCTCGGGAACGGGAGGAGGTTCCACCGAGTGTTCCTCCTAAGGTCAATACTTTCGACGCCGCTGCGCAGACGCTCAGCATGGCTTTGGAGGCTCAGGCGAGGGGAAGGGTCTTCAGGGATCCGAGGGAGGACTCGGAGATCCCGGAAGAGAAGGTGTTCATTGTTTCTTGGGTGGATTATTGTAATAAGTATGGGATGGGGTATGCGTTGACGGATGGGACGGTGGGCGTGCATTTCAATGATAGCACGTCGATCGCGTTGGCGCCAGACAAGCAGTAAGACTTTCTCTCGTTATTTGTTTGTTCGACGGTGCTGACTGTCTTTAACCACCTTGTAGCCACTTCGACTACATCTCTGCCCGCCGGAATGGGACCGTTTACGTCCGCAAACCCTACACTGTATCCGAGTACCCCGAGGAGATGAAGAACAAGGTATATCTCCTCAAACACTTCGAGAGGTACATCATGGACAAATTGTATGGCGAGCACAACTACACGTTCGAGGATATCGAGAGGACAAAGGGGATGCACTTCGTCCAGAAGTACCTGAGGATGAAGAATTTGATCGTGTTCAAGATGAGCCATGATGCGATTCAGGTAGGTTTTTTCTGCCTCTGCTCTCCCGCACACTTTAGTCGGCTTCGCAGACGCTGATCATGACTCGGTTTAGTTCAACTTCCACGATCACTCTAAGATCGTGTTCTCCTCCTGCGGCCTGCGCATCACTCACATCGACAAGAACTACGTCATGACCCGCTGGACCCTCGCAGAGATCATGGCCAAATCCCTCTTACCTCCCGTTACGGACCCAGCGATGGCGAAGTTGCACCAGCGGATGATGGACAAGATCAAGTACTGCAAGGAGGTGTTGATGAGTATCAAGAATGCGGCGGCTCAGGGAGCCGGTTCGGACGTCGGGGGTGCGGAGAGGGGAGGCCCAAGGGATGTGGAGATGGCGTTGGGCGTAAATTTGGGTGATTTTGGAGGGGATATGCCGACGATTAGTGCGAAGGGGAGTAAGAGCTCGTTGAGGTAGTGGGGGAATGGTATATCTGTGTGATATGTTGGATTTGTCTTCCCTCGTTCTCCGCCGTCTCTGCACTTGTCGCCGTTTTCCCCTCTTTTTTTGTTCTGTTCTCTTACGTCCAAGCCCATTCTTCACCCTCACACGCTTTCTTAGGACCTTTACACGAGCCCTCCGTCACGATCATCTATCCTTCTCTCACTTTCTCATGTTGTCTCATCGCAATCACCGCCATCGCACCCAACCCATGAACTCTCTTCGAGCTCTCCACCCGCACTGCAACAGTGATACCCCTCAACGTCTTTCTTCCCTTGTTTTTTTTTGTCTCACTCTCTCACTCATCCTTCTCGCTCCGCGGTGTCTCGTCTCATTTTGGTTCGGTCTCCCCGCTGATCACCCCGATTCCTGGAGCATTGTGCGTGGCTCTCGGCTCGTAGACTCGGACAGGTATTATGAGTAGTATTGTATATATTTGCATGTACACAAAGATTATATATTCATCGCTCTTTTGGTTTCTCCTCGAGAAATTGTTGTCCTTCTTGGTTTTGGCTAGTGTCGCTGGTTCCGCGGGTCGAGTTCTTTACCCGTGCGGCCGTCAGATACACCCGATTTATGTGGAGACTTGGTCACCAGTCTGGGTAGAGTTACATAGATGAACGTCACGCCGACGCGGTGTGTGGCGTGTGGCAAGACGCTATTCCGGTTTCACCCGAACCATCCGGCGTGTCGCGGATATTTCGGGCAAGTTATCGGCCCCTCGTTCTTGTCCTCCTTCACCAACTCTCACTCTCAGCTTTGCTTCTCTGTTCCTCACATATCTATGTTTCTCAGCAGAACCTGTCGTGGACATCTGTACTTGTCGATTCTGAGTTGACTTAGCCTGTGAGAAACCATTGTTCGTGCCCCGGTCCGGGCTAACTTCACATGGGTCCTCCCATTTTCTGGTCTTGTGCCATCTTTCGACCTCATTTGCCGCCTGGGAAAGCTCTCACATCCGCGTTTCGGACATCACAGTTAACCTCCTCTCGAACATGACTTTTGAAAGGCTGTTCGGAAGCTCACTCACAACGTCTTTGGTGACGTTTCCTGGACGACCGACAACTCCGCTATCTCTCCTTCTCACAAGTTCTAGGTGTCACCACGTTCAAGAGCGCGACGGTCGACGAAGGAATGGCAGCAAACATCTGATCCTGCTTCTTCCGTACGTCTTGCTATATAGCAAAATGGGAAGGCCTCGTCTCGGTCGGGCCGTGATGGCACGCTCGTTTCTGGTTGGTTGCCTCTCGCCTCTCAATGCACAGCAGCGACGACACCGATGGGAAGGCTTGATTTTGCGGACGGAACGGCTGATACTCATTATTCAGCAAACACATCGCGGATTTGTACGGAGGGTATTTTGTGATGGTGGGAAGCTTTGAATTGTTGGCCTGCTCTCTTTCGATGATGCGAACAATGTTGAAACGGGTGGGGGCGCTGTTTTGCATCAACATCATGATTTCGACCTCGTCCTGGTCGGCTCGTGTGACCTGGTTGGTCGACTTTGCGAAGACAGTTGTTGGCCAAGAAGAGGATGCGCTCTTGGCGCGATATATGGTTCGTCTACTTTCGTTCATCGTCGAGAGGCTCGCGGCCGCCGTTGACGCCGAATTTTCCTTTTTGATAGACAGTGTGCCACCATTCTACGACTTGGTGAGTAAGATGTACTGTTCGTATCATACCATGACTTTTCCCCCCTTTGTTTTCTACATGCCCTGAAGATAGGTAGGAAAGTCCTCGGATCCAACGACGTCTGCTTGCTGATGCTCCGGGCTCATCGCAGGATGCAGTACTAGGATGATCCTCTGTCCACGATTAGATCCTGTGTGCTGCCTCTTCTAATCCTATTTATGGAACGCGATTTTCGCCACTCGCCCACATCTATCAAGATGCCGATCAGCCCAGGTGGTGGCCCTATAGATGGGCGAAGCAACCCAGGGATTTTCGCCATCCGGCCGGCGGTAAGTTATGTAGGATGGCCTTTCTCCATGGCAACAGCTTCATCGAAGAGTGTTAAACTCCGAGTTCTTAGGGAGGTTGCAGCTCGCTCTACCACAGTCGCTGCCTCGTGCAGTGTCCGGGCCACTGGTCGCCAATCTTGCCTCACTTGACTCCGTCACTACTGACGGGCAATTGACGTAGATGCCGGTTAGGGATTTGCTTCATTGTCTGGTTGCCCTTGGATCGTGTCTCTACACGCTCATTCGCACTGTTGCTGTGAGCAAAATAGATCCAAGCACCACTGTCTACCTCAGCTGGAGCATGTTTGGACCACACGCGATGACCCTACTACCTGTACAACCCTGGCATGCAGTTATACATGCGTGCAAGTCTATGTTCTTGGCGCAAATCGTGGGTGGCCCATCTTTCGTCGTAGCAGAATCCACGCAGCACATATGCTCAGGACTACTTCTAAACTTGCATGACCGCAACGCCCGGATCGTCTCGGCCTACAGCTACTCGGATCTCGCTCCATATTCCCTATATTCTCACCTCCGACGGAGGACTTATTCTTAGGACCGCACAGTCGCGCGTATTTACGCTTGTCAATGCATATGGGGACTCAGTCCAGTGAGCGTTTATTGCGTCTCGCTCGCTTCTGCTTCATCTGGACCTCGCCTCTATGCACTCACTGTATCGATATTCCCGCAATGCGTAAGTACATGGCTCTCGTCCCTACGTATCACATCGCCCCAATTTCGCTGCACGCACATCGCTCCCAGCGTTGCCGACGGTCGGGTGGTGGCAGAACTTAGACGAGCATGTCCTTAGCGCTACGCCACAGTTGCTTGTCCAATCGTGAGGGGTGTAAAGGGATCCGGTCCGATGTACCGACCTCCGAATTGTGAGCATATGGTTATGGATGCGGGTGGCACTGGCGGAGGTTGGTTTGACTGGAATGTTCGGGCCCTAACACGTTTCGGGTGGCTACTATAATCATGAATGCTTGATGCATGATGCATGGTATGCAATACGTCGATGGCGTTTTTGCTTTATTGGAGGGGGATCGAGGGGTCAATACCGCGTAAATAATGTTCCCTGGTGCTCAGGCAAAGCAAGAACGAGCAGAGCGTCCTATATCATGGTAGGTACTGTACTACTGAGCTCAAGTATAGACAGAACGTCAGACGAACGTTCGAACCATCCGACCCTCCTCTACCAGCTGCAGTAAGCGTCCAATTCGAAGTATAAATACCTACCCACCGTCGTACCTCGAAAACTAAAACCATTGCGTCATCGAGCGCCTGTAGATAGACAGGGGCTATCCAAAACACTACTACTGCATCTAATTTCCGCACAAAGTCCACGAGCAGAAGAGCAGTACGAACCAAACATAGCAGGGCGCAAACTTCTGAACTTTCCGAAGACTTGAATGAAATAGCGCCTATTCGGTGCGGTACGGTATGTCCAACTTGAGACATGTAAGACAAAGCAAGGAAGGAGAATGAGGAGCGGGGTGGAGTCGGTGGGTCTCGTGTTGTATGCATGGGGACGCTTACAATACACTAGTTTATCGTACATGAAATCTTCTGTATAACGTGTTGGGCGATTCGGATGCGGGTGGAGATCTTGAGAGTACAGGGCGGGACGTCATTTTTGGACAGGATAGGACAGGAAAGAAAGGAGGCCGATTGACTTTGCGATAGATATGTTCGGGGAAGGAAGGAAGGTGTCAGAATCGACGATTGTGCCTATGTCTTGGATGACTTGAAGGCCGTGGCAGACCGGAGTAAAAGGTGGGATATCGACGACGTCTAGAGTGAAAATACCAGAGGATCAGCCGAGTGGAGAGATCTCTGTGAATGAACGCACTAGTAGAAGACCCACCTAGAGGACTATACCACATAGCATTAGTAGATCGAGGTGTTACAACTTTACGATGATACTCGACCAGAAATGAGCAGCGACCGCAGGCCAAGAATGAGCGCTGAGCAGCCAAGACACGACAAGAGGATGCAGGAGAGTCAAGCGAGATGGAGAACGGAGCCAAGAATCTTTCATTAGCATCCGAAACCGATTCGGTTCATTGAATGCCTTGCTCAAGCATTCTTGGTGTGCTCAGCTGGGCCAAGTATACCGTGGACCTATAGTACGGCCAAGACGGACGATTCACGAGGGTCGGGTCGAGTTTCTGTTTCGGGTTGACCGTGCACTTTAAACCGTCGGGATGATAGGCTCCACCATGGCCCGACAAGGGAGGTCGTTCGGAGCAAAAACATCTGCGTAACGTATAAGTCGATTATGCAAGTCAGTCGAGGAGGAAACATTCACAAATCATAGATATCGTCAATAATCTCACCACCATCTTTGATGCTTGATGTCTGAAGTAGTCTCACGACAAACCCAACCCACCACTGCACTTCAGTCTGACTCAAAATACATCACCGACCTCTCCAGCTAACTGCAATTCTAGTATTTTATATCACAGCGTAGTGTATGTATAGGCACCCGGCGGCTCACCTCCGTCGCGCTATAATAAGTACACCGGCACAAAGTTAACCACCTCTGACTCTGCCTTCCTTATGATGACGATGATGATGAAAAAATAGGCGGATGATTAGAGCGCACACGACCGCCGCATACGACCCGGAAGACATTTAGCGCCATGCATATGGGTACGGTGCACGGTATCGGAGAGGAGGCGTCTGGATATCAGGCCTCAGGATCAGAATCAGCGCCGTGTGGGCGGGTGGATTCAGAGGGCGCAGTATGGTATGGTATGGACGGGTTTTTATTGCCGGGGCCGTTGGGATCAACGACGAGGTCCCCAGTCAAAGACGAAGCACGAATGATGTTATGCACAACAAACGAATGGTCGAGATACAGAGTCGGCAAGTAGAGCAAGAGCAACGGGAACACCGTAACCGTTGACGTTCGGGACATGCATATGCATTTAATTCAAAGGAACCCGGTCCAGTCCACGTCGCACGTCGGACGACGCACGACGAGAGAACCCAGAGGAATAGCGAAAAGACCTCACGGAAGAGCGTAGTACCCGATATCCGGACGGGGTATCGTAGGGTATCGTACAGTCGTCGACGATGAGTCTGATGGTGGGCAAAGCGAGGATGACAAGTCTCCCGGAGTTGCGTAGCGCCTTGAACTTTTCATTGCGATTCGACGATTCGACGATTCGTTGGAAAGTGTCGGAGTCGGCTTATGACCATGCCGCGACCATCCTTCCATCATCCAATCGATAATCCACCCACCCAATTGCAAGGAAATTCAAAAAAAGGCACGTAGGGAGAGCGAGAGCCACGAGGAAGAGATGCAATTGGAGGGAGAGCTCAGATGGTCGACCGATGCGGCGCCGAGCGAAAAGAGCGCATACAGTTGCCAGTTGGGACTGTTTTGGCGTGAGTGCGAGCGTGCCGAGCGGCTGCGGGGCGGCTGGACGGCTGTGGGGAGGTTTGGAGGTCCGCCAAGTCCATGCCGATGCCGGTGCCGACGCCACAATGCCCGACGTGAGATGTGAGATGTGAGTATGTTTCACACGGCAGGAGGTGCAGAAGATGTCGATGAGGGAGGCATTGGACAAACAGACGACGGTATTGCTCGCAAGGGTATGTAAACGAGCAGCGGCTCAGACTCAGACTGTGCGATACTTATAAGATACACGATACACCATTACAGAAGTCCCCGTGCGACTCGATGAAAACGATGGCCCATGGGAAGTATGTAGTATGCGAGTTCAACCATGATGCATGTCCAGTGGGCACGTCGGGGGACGAGTCTTGGCATTAGCGTGGGGATATATCATACAGTACGATCCAGCCGGCGTTCATGAATGTTCAAACTTCAGGGAGCCGGCGGGTCAACACCCTGTGAAGCGAACCACGAGACTCTTCGATGGATGTTTTCTCTTTGCTCTGTATCTCAGATCTTTGGACGTATTGAGAAAAAACATAAGAAACGCAGATAGCGATGGGTCTGAGTACTCGAGTCTAAGTAAATGCTGGATATCGAAGACTGACTTGCTCCAAAGGCAGCGATTTCGAGTCTATATAGTAACCGTTATAAAAGTGACTACTTAGTGAACGAAAAAAAACCCCGCTAAGTTAGCTCCTGTAACTACTGTAGAGCTTTGATTCGAACTTGAACTTGAATGGGCGGAGAGGATAAGATAATTCGGCGAGAGCTCGAACCATTCCATTGACAGGAACAGGAAGGTAGAGTTGTCAATATCAATGTCGATGTATGGTATGAATTAAACCGAGCATGATAGCCAAAAGCACGAGTACCCAGGCTTGGCTGGGAGTCTTGAAAACGCAAGGATTCAGACGGTTCTACTACTAGTATTGATATTAATATTCAGAGCCGTCTGGAACAAGGACGAGGACGTGGACGTCGATCTGATACGTACCTTGGACGTACTAGTACGGCAATGATTGTTGATTGATCAACACCCTCCACCTCCTCGAACTGTCAGTCCGAATCAAAAAGATTGGACAGATAGACGGACGGACGGGAAGGGTTTGGATGTGGATCAGGAGAAGGATCAAGATGCGATGCGGGTAGTCGTGAATCGTGATCCCATCCAATTCCTGATTCAGACTGGAATAGTCGAACAAGTCAACGTGTCGGATAGCTCGAAGACGTTGGACTGAGTGATCATTCGACCGTCGACCGTCGACCGTCCTCCGTGCGTACATGTACACATGAACCCAGAACGCAGAACCTAGAACCTAGAACCCAGGACCGCCAATGAATCCATCCAGATTCAGACAAACGGGGCAACGAAGAGAACTTGTGGAGGGGGGTAAGACGCGAGTGGGAATGCTGGAGAATACTCGGTCGGGAGATAGGTAAGGATCCGGGATGGGTTTTGGGTTTTGTGCGGTGACATTGAACGATTGAACATTGGACGATTGAACATGGACGAGGCGTTATATCGAGCGTAGAGTTGTATGAACACGAACACGAACACGAACACGAACACGAACACGAACATGGACATGCGATCGATTGGGGTGACCTGCGCAGAGTTTAGTCCGGTGGATGTGATAGGTCGTCGAATAGAGCTTTTCTGCACATATGCACATATGCACATGTCGATGCCGATGTCGATGCAGAAGGAGAAGGATGGATGGATGGATTCGGGAAAGGATACCATTGGCCGATGCCGATAGCAGGTTGGGCACTGGGCGGACTCGAACAGGATATGGATATGCATGTAGGGCGCGTACTGAGACTGTGAAGGTAAGGTAAGTATGGAATCGGAGGTAAGTCCTCAAACGCGTTTTGTGGGGTATGCGCATCAACACTTACGGCGTATGCAGGCGAGCGTGGACCGATGTTGAAACGGCATTCCGCTCAGACTCCAGCGTCTCTACTCACTTCCTCACACACTTCAAAGCATCGACGTCAAAGCGTATGACTCTACGCCCTTCGCTGCCGCCTCGGACGAGAAGATGTCAATGGGAGAAGAGACGCTTTGCTCGGATCGGAGCGTTCAGGGCGGAAGGTGGACCAAAAAGAAAATAAAATCGGGCGCAAAGACGGGAATAGATGGATGAGCTATTTATAGATTGGCGAAGGTTGCGCTTTTGTTTGGGGGTGCATGGATGGATGGATTGGGTGGATGGATGATGTTGTAAGGAATAAGGGAGACGAGGTGTTGAGATGAACGGTGTAATAGGGATGTGGTGAGATATGGAACAAATCAAGTGGAGGGAGCGCGCGGTTCAATTTCATTCTGGGACCTGCAGTTCGACGAACAACGGAATATCATTGCAGCTACATACAAAGAGACCTGAAGCCAAGGGCGACGGAGCGGAATGAGAAGAGGCTTCGAGTCGGACGGAAAAGACGGGAGTTGATTGGACGGGGCGTTTGGGGTCGATGATCGGACAGTCGAAGATTCGCGGGGAAGGTCCGGGAGGGTCGACCGAGTTTGCAAAGAGCAGGCACGGTGGGAGGGATCGGGATGCGCACGACGTCAGCGAGGGAGGAGGCCGTTCTGGGTAAGCGGAAAAGGGGAACCTTCGAGTGTTGTTATCAAACGGGGGCTGTAGTCAGCTCGCGACGGCCGGCTCTGCGGAGAAGTCGAAGATAATACCCAACTTGAGCAACCGTAGCGGCCAGCGGACTTACAACCCACCGGCCGGAGTGCCACCGCGAGGGGCGATGGTTGTTCCGGTCGTTTTGCAGATTCGGACCGGGGGCGGAAGCGGGCGGCGGGCGAGGGACGCTGGGGGCGACGACGGGGGCGCGCAACGAGCGTCGGCGCTGAATGGAATGTCTCGGAGGGGCACATCGAGCAGGGCGACGGGGGAGGACGGGAGGCGTCGTCGGCAGCGGAGGGCGGCCGGCGTGCGTCTTCTGTGAGCCGAAAGGGGGGCGTCGAACTGTTTGGGGTTGTTTGGCTGATCGCATTGGATGTTCTGGCGAATAAAAGGGCGAGCGCGACGGCCAGCGGGTGTTCGTCCCTCCCTTCACCTCCGTCCCCCACGAGCTCCCCCCCGCCCTCAGTCTCAGGACTCGCTCCCCCAAGCGTACGCAAAGTCCCCGCCAGGGTCCTCCCTGCCCGCTCTCCTCTCCCACCCCCGCCCTCATAGGACCTTCCCTCCGCGCTCATCCAATGTCTGAACCCATCGTCGAAAAAGAAGCGGGACCCCCCGCCGGCGACACCCCTGTCGCCGAGTCCCCTGCCGCCGAGGTCCCAGAGAAACGGAAAAGGGAATACAAAGATTTTGGCCACGACGAAGTAAAGGCGACCCGTACGTTTCTTTTTTTTCTCTCCCCGGCTCACTTCTGTGCCGCTCGCCCAGTGCTCATACATACTTGGCTTATATAGATGCCAACGTCGATATGTCTCAGGTAATGATCCGGTCTCACTTCGCTGTTCCCGGATTTTCTTTTTTCCGAACGTCTGCTCACCCGCCCACTCTCTAGATCGAATTGAAGGCTGAGGACCTCTACGACAAGGAAAAGGTTGACCTCGAGACCATCGTTATCGAAGATGTCTTCAAGCTCCTCCAGTGCGAGGAGAACGGTCTTACTACCGAGGAGGCTAACCGCCGTCTCGAGATCTTCGGTCCCAACAAGCTCGAGAGTGAGGAGCAGAACCCCTTCCTCCAGGTACGCTTTGATTTTCGCGGCTTCTTTCTCATTTCGTACGTTCCGACTCATCGGCATTCCGTAGTTCCTCTCCTTCATGTGGAACCCGCTCTCCTGGGTCATGGAAGCCGCCGCCCTCGTCGCCATCGCCCTGTCCAACGGTGAAGGTCGCGCTCCTGATTGGCAAGATTTCGTCGGTATCGTCCTCCTTCTCTTCATCAACTCTGGTATCGGTTTCTACGAGGAGCGCAACGCCGGTAACGCCGTCAAGGCCCTCATGGACTCGCTCGCCCCCAAGGCCAAGGTCAAGCGTGACGGCAAGTGGGCCGAGTACGAGTCCTCCGGTCTCGTTCCCGGTGACATGATCTCGTTCAAGATTGGTGATATCGTTCCCGCCGACTGTCGTCTTACCGAGGCCATCAACGTCTCCATCGACCAGGCTGCCCTTACTGGTGAATCGCTCCCCGTCTCGAAGAAGGCCGCTGACCAGTGTTTCTCGTACGTCTTTCGCCTACTTTTTTTTTCGGTTCGTACGCTAACATATCGTCTTCAGGGGCTCTACCTGCAAGCAGGGTGAGGCTGAGGGTGTCGTTATCTCGACTGGTCCCAACACTTTCTTCGGTCGTGCCGCTTCGCTCGTCGGCCAGGACGACGAGACCACCGGTCACTTGCAGAAGATTCTCGCTCAGATCGGTTCTTTCTGTCTCGTCGCCATCGGTATCTTCGTCGTCGCCGAGATCCTCGTCCTCTACGCTGGCTTCCGCTTCTCTTACCGTGAAGGTCTCGACAACATCCTCGTTCTCTTGATCGGTGGTATCCCCATCGCCATGCCCACTGTCTTGTCCGTCACCCTCGCCGTCGGTGCCCAGCAGCTCGCCAAGCACAAGGCCATCGTCACCCGTATCACTGCCATCGAGGAGTTGGCCGGTGTCACCATTCTCTGTTCCGACAAGACCGGTACGCTCACCACCAACAAGCTCACCATCGATCGCAGCACCATCAAGACGTACGGTCCCTTCTCCGCCGACGATATCATTCTCCTCGCCGCCTACGCTTCTCGTACCGAGAACCAGGACGCCATCGACGCTTCCGTCGTCGGCGCTCTCGGTGACGTCGACCGTGCCCGCGCCGGTATCAAGCTCCTCGACTTCAAGCCCTTCAACCCCGTCGACAAGCGTACCGAGATCACCTACCGCGAGGAGTCCTCCGGCAAGCTGAAGCGTGTCACCAAGGGTATGACCGGTATCATCATCGAGCTCTGTACCCGCAACAAGACCGAGGAGCAGGAGAACCAGCTCGAGCAAGACGTCGAGGAATTCGCTACCCGTGGTCTCCGTGCTTTGGCCGTCGCGTACGAGGATGTCAATGGTGACGACCACGAGGGTGAGGGTAACGGCTTCGAACTCATCGGTCTCCTCGCCATCTTCGATCCTCCCCGTGACGATACCAAGCAGACTATCGACGACGCTCTCGCTCTCGGTGTCAAGGTCAAGATGGTCACCGGTGACCAGCTCGCTATCGCGAAGGAGACCGGTCGTCGTCTCGGTCTCGGCGACCACATGTACCCCGCTAAGGTTCTCAAGGACGGACCCGAGCCCGGAGGCAAGCACCGCACTCTCGACGAGATGATCATGGATGCCGATGGTTTCGCCGGTGTCTTCCCCGAGCACAAGTTCGAGATTGTCAAGCGTCTCCAGGTATGTCTTTTTTTATTCGTCGTTCGCCCTTCGTGACGCTGACCTGCGTTCCTTTTTCTAGGGTCTTGGTCATCTTTGCGCCATGACTGGTGACGGTGCCAACGACGCCCCCGCTTTGTCTCGCGCCAACGTCGGTATCGCCGTCGAGGGTGCCACTGACGCTGCCCGTGGTGCCGCCGATATCGTCTTGACTGAGCCTGGTCTCTCCACCATCGTCCACGCCATTCGCGGGTCTCGTGTCATCTTCCAGCGTATGCGTAACTACTCCATCTACGCCTGTGCCGTCACCATCCGTATCGTCGTCTGCTTCGCTATCCTCGCCTTCTGCTACAAGTTCCAGTTCCCGCCATTCATGGTCCTTATCATCGCGCTCCTTAACGATGGTACCATCATGACCCTCTCCGTCGACCGTGTCTTGCCCTCGATGACACCGGATAGTTGGGACTTGGCTGAGATTTTCGCCTACGCTGTTGCCTACGGTCTTTACCTGACCGTGTCTACGTACGTTTATTCCTCGATTTGCTCTTTCGTCACCCGCTGATGTTTCGTTTTTCAGGATCGTCCTTGTCGTTGTCATCATCGAGACTTCGTTCTTCCAGGACAAGTTCGGCGTCAGCCTCGAGAACGCGCCCGGCTCGATCAACCACAACGACCCTCAACTGCACATGATCGTCTACCTCCAGGTCGCCATCATCTCGCAGGCCTTGATCTTCGTCACCCGTTCGCACGGTTTCTTCTTCATGGAGCGCCCTTCGTTCGCGCTGTTCGGTGCCTTCTGTATCGCTCAGCTCGTCTCCTCCATCATCGCCGCGTACGCCGACTGGGGCTTCACTAACATCCACTCCATCTCTGGTGGCTGGATCGGTATCGTCTGGGTTTGGGTAAGTCGCCGACCGCTTTTGTACTATCGCCCTTGAACTAATTTTTCCTTCCTTAGAACATCGTTTGGTTCATGCCTCTCGACTGGATCAAGTTCGCTATGAAGGCCACCATCATCAAGTACCTCCGCAACCGTCACGAGGCCGCCGCCGCCGCTGCCACCAAGGCTCAGGCCGAGGGCGTCCCCATGACCCGTACCCAGTCCCGCGCCGCCTCGATCCACGAGTCGCTCTACTCCAACCGTACCTCGTTCATCCGTCGTGCCGCTCGCAAGGTCGGCTTCGGCCAGCGTGTGCGCGTCAAGCCCGAAGAGCTCCAGCGCTTCAGTAGCATCCAGGCTCAACAGTCTGGCCAGGTCCTGGCTCGTCACCCATCTCGCCCTACCGCATAGACCACTCCATCCTATTTACCGCGTCGCATGAGAGCCAGCGCCCCTTGGTTGGTTCTCTTTGGTTGAAGGGTTTTGGTTGTCGGCGTGTTTGGATGAAGTGACGACGGTTCGATGGGCATAGAAGGGAATAGAAAGGGGGCCTTGTTCGTTGTTCGTTTTTCCCACACCAACCTCAGTTTGTATCGCACTCGCAGCAGCAGCATAAGTTCATGTACTCTTTTCTCCATCTCCTCACGCACACGTCTCTTCGCACACATCCACACACACCACTCCCGCGTCCCTTCGCCTCGTCGATTCATCTCCATCTAGATACCCGGTGTCCCCTCGTTCCTACACCCCTCCTACCGCTCCCACTCCATCCACCCTTACATGTCGCGCCGCTCTCTCATGCCCCTACGACTACGACCGACCGTACAATCCGTCCGTTTTTTGAATGTTGCGTACAGAATTATAATTAATGCCAGAAGCTCCCGATTTGTGTCTTACTTTTCGATATTATGATCTATTTCTCCCTTTTTACACATCCGTATCTTATTGTACGCGACGTTCAAATCTCCGTACGGATTTGATTGTGCGATTGAGTGTATGGACTATGGGACGTTGGACGTTGCGTTCGTCTTTCGACACTGGACTCCTTTCCCAGCGAAGACTTGGTGGCTTGTGAGTGTGTGTGTCCTTGTGTGTGCGTCTGTGTGTGGATAGAGTATTCTCTGCTGCGAGTGCGTTTCGGTATGTCTCCTTGGTCGGCTGGTTGGTCGGTTTCTCTTTCTCTCATATTATCTTCCCCTTCCCCTCCCCATCTCGTCTTCCTTTCCGTTGACGCCTTTTACACTTCTTTCTTCCATCCGAGTCGTCGCGATGTACAAAAAATATTCATCTCTTGTCTACTTTCTGTTCATTTATCTCCTATCATTTCTACGTATACGTATACTTACGCTCTACAGGTTCGATTGTTCACGCTTCACGATCTTATGTACGTACGAGACTACGAGTTGTTTCGGGTTTAGTTTTGAGTATGAATGATCTTTTGATTTGTCTTTTTGCGTGGATTGTGAGTGAGTGAGTGAGTGAGTGAGTGAGTGGTATGTGAATCTTTCGATTATGATGGGATGGGTTTGTTGGTTATACTCCCTTGTAGCATGGCTGAGGATGGCTTGGTGTGAAGCGAGTCGCGGAGGGTGTGTGTGTGTGTGTGTGGCGCCGTGTTGACCGTTGAAAATTGAAGTATGTACGTTCATGTGGCGAGTGATCGACGACGCGATTCAGACTCAGACTCTATTTCTCACACCGTCGCCGGTCACCGCGAGCGCGATGATCAGGACGGTGACGACGGACGAGCGTTTGAGCGCGCTGGATCGACGGCCTTCAGTTGGCTTTGAGCTCAGACTTCCATAAATACGCTCAATAGTAAGAGTGGAGTGGCCGGTCCGCTCACTCGCTCTTGCTCTCGAACTCGAACTCTGCGTTGACTCTGAATCGTACTGCTGGACTCCAGGAAGGAAGGTGTCTCAGCGTTCGGACGATTCACTTGAGAGGATATAGGGCTGGAGTTTGCGGTCTTTGTTGTGGTATTTACTCCACGACACGATACCGCTGGTGCTAGGGCTTCAGACGAGTTCAACGCCTACAAAGCGTATACACCGGACAGGGGCTCAACCGCGATTCGTTTCTTCGTATTCATACTACCCTATAGAAGGGTACCTACGTGGTCGGTGGCTTAGTTGAAGTAGGAGGATACTAGACGACGGCCGGGAACGATCCAGCATGACGGCCGTACACGCGCTCGACGCGTATTATCTCGCTTTGACGCTACTTGTGACGGTGGGATATCAGCTCTTGGGGTTTGCGATTGCGTGGACTTTTCAGGTGGGGTTCTTTCCTCCTGGTTGGTAAAAGGAAGGACAGGGCTGTGGCTGACGAGATGGGATATGTGGCGTAGTTTGACAAGATTACGGATTTTACGGGCGGTGGGTTTTATTCAAGTGTTTGATCATCTTGAATGGCTGGGTTGCTGATGATGTTGGGAATACGTGGAGTTAGGCTCGAATTTCTTCTTGCTTGGTACGTTCATCTCGCCGTCAGACATCCTTTCACCATTCGAACGCTTATGCTGTTTCCTTGATAATCACACGACAGCTCTCCTCACTCTCCTCATCGGCCAAACTTTCGATGCGCGCCACGTTATAGTCAGTGTGCTCGTCATGGTCTGGGCTACTCGACTTGCTGGTATGGTTTCGGACTCCCATCCTCACCTGGCCAGGTAAGACGACTGGACTGACGTATGTTTGGTTGGTTGGTTGTTCGGTATGGTCACGTAGGTTTCTTGCTGTTCAGAGTTCTCAAGATGGGGAGCGATACGCGGTTTGACGATATAAGGAGTCATTTCTTCAAGTTTATGGGTGAGTCGACACATCATGCCACTTTGCCCATTTTGTCCCGGAAAGGATGCGGTGCTGACTGTATGTTCCGTTTATGTTGTTGGTAGGGTTCTGGGTCGGTGCGTTGTCTCGCTAGCTTGTCGTGTGCGTGTACGACTGCGTTGACTAACTTATTGTTTTGAACGTCCCCGTCATGGTCAATAGGCCAGATCGTCTGGGTCAGCGTCAACCTTCTTCTCAGTTTTCCTCTTCTTCTGACGTTCACTCGCACACATAGGTCTGGGTCGTCTCCCTACCTGTCACGATCCTCAACTCGCCCGCCGTCACCGATGGTGCCGCTCCAGCGTTCGGCACGTCGAAAGATATAGCTGGTCTCGTGTTGTGGGCCATAGGCTGGGTCATCGAGAGCGTCGCTGATGCGGAGAAGGTAAAATTTCTTCTATCCATTTATATTCCTCCGACGGGAAGCGAGACTGATGATGGTGGCTGTTTCAGTTCTACTACAAGTCGACGAAGCCGCCGAAGTATTTGCCGAATACGGTGTGTACTATTTCCTACCTACCTGCTTGTTGAAGTATATCAACACATATATATATAATTGATTACTTGTTGTGTCGCTTTCCTTCAGTATGGATTGTGGAAGTGGTCCCGCCACCCTCCGTACTTCGGAGAGTACGTAGCCTACTTGGAGTCCTTCTCTCCCACAGAAACCTAACATCGTATTCTCATCATAGGATTCTCTGCTGGTGGGGCATCTGGATCATCAGCATCTCACCCAGTGTCGACGGCGAAGTCTCGTCCCGAGCGCGCGCGGCACAGTACGGCGCCGTCGTCTCGCCGCTCTTCACTATGCTTCTCCTCATCTTCGCCTCCGGAATCCCCACCGCCGAGAAACCGACGGCGAAACGGTTCTTCCTTTTCACTTATGGTCCTTCTTCCCCCGCAGTACAACAAGCACAACACCAAGAACAGCAACAGGGGCATTCGGATATGTCTGGCGAGGAGGTCGATGGGTACAGACAGGCGTGGCCGCGCTATAAACAGTATGTCAACGAGACGAGTCTGTTGGTTCCGATGCCGAGGAGGGTTTATAGGGTTATGCCGGCGTTGGTGAAGAGATGGGTGTTGTTGGATTTTCCGTGGTTTGGGTTTGATGAGCGGGCGGAGGGGCCGGGGTTGTTGGAGGAGGAGAGGAGGAAGGTCGAGGAGATGGAAGCATAAGAATATGAGGAAGGAGGGGTGAAGATGTTGGTGAGGCGAGGCAAGAAACATGGTACGGAAGGCTGCCAGTGGGAGTATGGAAGCTGGAGAGTTTCGCATGCACGTTTTTGAAGTTAATATTGCATCAATGTTATAGGACTGGTCCAGTGATTATTATTTGTCTATATTTATGATCGTTTTGTCCTTGCTCGTTGTTTGATGTTTGGTGAACTTGTGCCTGAATGATCAATGGTCTCCGCGTAGGATCATGTATTTCGACGAGTTCTGAGTTTCCAGTCCCTGGGCCACAATGGCAAGTGGCGACGCGTGACACAAGGGCTGTGACTGACGCGTGACTAGCGCGTCTTCGACGCGTCCCAAAGTGGCGTACACGGTTTCGAACCGAACCACGACAACGCCACGAGCCGTCCTCCCCTTGACCGCTATTATGCGCAACTTCGATTTGCAGGAGGAGCTTCAAGGATATAATGACCTCGAGACGTACGACATTCCAAACGAGAGGGATGTGTCAGCTTTACGACCGGCGGAGGTGAACCACCTTCTCTCAGGTGAATGTTACGATTTTGTCTATGGTCCATGGACCGTCTGTTAGCCTCGTCGCTCATTCATACTTGAATTTGTCTTGGTTTACTACTGCAGAGGCTGTTGATGACATCTCGAACAACTCGGAGGCTATCCTGAACGATGATACCTTTGATATATACCGCTCCTTACTCAAGTACACTGGTTCTCTCTCGGGAGACAACGTTTCCAAGCTTCTCGACGCTCTCATCTCCGGCTTCCAAGCCCAAACCGACGCTGCCATCCTCGATGTCGATAATGACAATTCAGATACATTTGACAACCACAAGATCGGCGTCGAGAAGTACGCGTTTCTGTTGAACTGGTTCATCTCGACATCGGAGAAAGTTAAGGCTCCTGGGGAGGGTGAGGCTGGGTCGGTCGTAGCACCGACGGGAAAGGGTAGGAGGGGAAGGGGTGGGAAGGCTGCGGCGGCGAGTAGGAGAGCGAGTGAATGGACATGGGAGGATCAGATCGCGCCTACGTTGGGGCTTATTGGGAAGGTGCTGGCTAAGTTGAAGATTGCAAAAATCTGGAAGACTACCCCGGAGAAGGATGCTCTTGTCAGGTGAGTTATTTTGTCTTGTGCAAATCCTGAGCACTCGGATATTCCATTTGTTCCAATCCCTTCACTGCATGCAACAGTTTCCCTGCATATGAGACTTGTAATTGACTTGGGATGCTTTCGGAAGGTGCTTGACAGGACCAGCCTATCGCGTGGCCGAGAAGGAGGCATACATGAAATCCATCGATATTCGCCTTCCCGTCTACAGAGTCATCTGCCTCGCCGTCAAATTCCATGGTCACAGTTTCGCCGCCCAAGCGTCTATAATGCAGGGCCTGCAGTTCTTCGAACATCTTGCGGAACCAATGGCGGAGCTAGTGTCCAAATTGGCGACGGAGTTCGACCATGCGCAGTTGGGAGACGGGCTGGTGAAAGAGATCGCGTCGAAGAATTTCAGTGCTCAGGACTCGAAAGGACCAAGGGTATTCTCAAAGTTCTTGGTCAAGTACACCGAAGAAGCTCCGAAGTCCGTGTTGAAGCAGCTCAGTCTGCTGAAGGGACAATTCGATTCAGAGGTGAGTTTGCGCTTGCTTTTCTTGCCACTCCTTCGAAAACGGCAATGTACTCATCACAGCATTCTCTGCCTCGTGTAGTCGTACCCCATGCGCATAGCTATGGTCGAAATTGTCGGTATCTTCATCCGCGAGCTCGCTGGCACGAGAGATACCGTAGACGACCTGGAGCGAGTCGACAAGCAAATCGTTGAATTTTTCGACACGCTCATCACTCGAAGCCTCGATCTCTCTTCCTACGTCCGCACGAAAGTCTTCGGTGTACTCCACAAGCTCTGTGATATATCGAGCGACAAGGCACCTTGGGTCGCTATCACCAGAACCGCTCTAGAGTCATTAGAGGACAAGGTGGCTAGCGTGAGGAAGAGTGCGATCGCCCTGTTGTCGAGGTTGATCGAGAGGCATCCTTATTGGAGAGTGATGAGCCAGGCGGAGATACAGGTTCCTCTCAAGAGGAGCGAATGGCAGAAGCTCTATGACGGTTTTGACGCTGAGCACAAGAAGAAGGAGAAGGAGCTAGAGGCATTGGCTTTGAACGTCCAGGGACAGGCCTCGACGGGTGAGGCCGATGAGGCAGAGGAGGACGATAGTAGCTCTTCGACGCCCACGGTAAAGTATGTCGTAACACGTATTCTGCATTATAGATCTTCCCACTCATTTTGTTGTGACTAGGCCCGGCGCTGACGATGCTATGGACGTTGACGAGGAGGAGGTAGACGGCGAAGATGAAGGGCAGGAAGAGGACCCGGAGGGTGACGAAGGCGAAGACGGGACACCGAGGCCTAAGAAGAAGAAAGGGAAGAAGTCCAAAGCTCAACCCGCTGTCAACCTCGCCGCTCTGGGCACAAACGGCGCTATATCCGACTTGGACGCTAAGGTGCTCGAGAAGCTAGACAAGACGAGGACCCTCTGCTCCGTAGCCCTCAAATTCATAGGTCTCATCGAGAGAGGCTCCGACATCGTCGCTAGGTTATTGGGCTCGACGCACAAGGCGGAGGTCCTGGAGGCCATGGAATTCTTCCGAATTCTGCATGTCTGGGAGATTGAGACTGCTGAGGTACGGTTTCTCAAGCTTTCACAAGAGTTGTATCGAGATCAATAACCTTGGAGCAGGTCGGAATCAAGAGGATGCTTCATCTCATCTGGGCGAAGGACAACAGTTTGACCTCGGAGGACGGGAAGGAGCTGAAAGGAGTGCGATCTAGGGTCCTCGAATGCTACCGTCAGATATACTTTGACCCGCTCGCAGACCCCAACATGTCGGGCAAGCAACAAGTTAACCGAATCACGAAGAATATGATCGAGTGCGCATCCAGCTTCATCCTTTCTGCTTGTTTCCTGACCTTACGGTGTTCTTGCTGGATAGGTTGACCAAAGACGCTTCACTGGCCGAACTAACCAGTCTGGAGGAGATGATGCGCATCATGATGGAGGACGACCAGATCCACGGTGATATAGTGAACAGGCTGTGGCAAGTATACAGTACGTGTTTTCTATCTCATCGCGTTTGGTCTTCGCCAATCTCAGTCTTTTCCTATTAGGTTCCGAGAAGCCTCTGCCAAAGTTCCAGAGAAGAGGTGCCATTATCACTCTTGGAATGCTAGCGCTCGCCCGACGGAGCGTAGTTACTGAACGTGTCGAGACCTTGATTAAAGTTGGGCTAGGTCCAATTGGAAAGGTGAGAGCGCATTTATCTTGTCCGTACGACATGAACTTATTCCTGTCTTTTCTCGAGGCGGACCTCATACTCGCTAAGTATACTTGCGTTGCTCTTCAGCGTATGAATGGTAGTGCCAAGAAAGTCAAAGGTTCGCTCCTTTAGGAATCTTTGTGATTCGACTCTTGGAACTCACGGCTTTGCATTCCAAAGGATCTCTCCTTGATAAGAATGTGCGCTACGATATGAACAATCTCATCTTCCGCAAACTACAAGACGCCATCGAACACCCGTGCCATTCCATCGACTGGTTCGGTATGACCGAACAAGCCATCAATACCATCTACGCGCTGGGTGACCACCCTGATGTTCTCTGCGATAACCTCATCAGAAATCTCACCAGAAGGGCCTTCGCGAGGAACCCCAATGCTGCATCCCAGTCGCAACAGTCGAGAGATGAGGACGCGATGGACGAGGACGCCCCTGGACCTTCGCAGACAAGCCCGAATGGGTTCGCATCGACCCAACCTGAGTCGCAAGCGGGTACTAGTCATAGCGGAGATGTTGGCGACGCATTCCAATTGGCCCAGATGATTTTCGTCGTCGGACACGTTGCTATCAAGCATATCGTCTATCTGGAGCTGGTAGAGAGGGAGTGGAAGAGGCAGAAAAACGAACGTGAAACAGGTACGGTGCCGTCCATCCGCTCCCTTTCCGCCAATAAACTGACTGACTCTTTCTAGCGGAGAAGGCCAAAGCTGCCAACGCCTCTAAGAAGGACGGCGATGATCTCGAGGCGGTTGTTGGAAATGCTGAAGACGAGATTGGCGATAGGATCGCTGCTGTGAGGGAGACCGAGTTGCTCTATGGCCCTGAATCATTACTCGCTGTCTACGGTGATATGGCCGCTCACATTGCTGGTAGTGGAAAGTTTGGCAAGGTATGGTTTCCATGTCTTCTCGGTTAGTGCAGCATATTGACGATATGACTCTTTAGAACCGAATACTTCACACGGCAGCAACTCTGACCCTGAGCAAGTTCCTTTGCATCAGCTCGCAATTCTGCGACCAGTACCATCGCTTGCTTTTCAAGATCCTGGAACTCTCCGATGACCCTACTATTTGTAGCAACGTCGTTATCGCCCTCGGTGATGTAGCTGTTTCGTTCAGCACCATCGTCGACGAGAACAGCAACGAGTTGTACAGAGGTCTTTCCAACAAGAATCTCATCGTCAAGAAGAACACGCTGATGGTCTTGACGCATCTGATTTTGAACGGCATGATCAAAGTCAAGGGGCAGTTGGGCGAGATGGCAAAGTGTCTCGAGGATGACGACCCCAGGATCGCGGATCTGGCGAAGTTGTTCTTCACGGAACTATCGACGAAGGACAATGCGATCTACAACAACTTGCCCGATGGTAAGTTCTATAAATGTGTTACTTGGTAAAGGAGTTGCTCACAGCCATACTTTCGTTTACACAGTCATTAGTCATCTTTCGGTGGGAGATCATGCTGTCGACGAAGAAGCATTCCAGAGTACGATGAAGTACATATTCTCTTTCATCGAGAAGGTCAGTCATCTTCCTTTTATTTCCTGTGTCAGTGTCTCGGTGTTAACCTGATGAGCTCGTGTCTTCCAGGAGAAACAAGCGGAGAGTATCGTCGAGAAGTTATGCCAACGATTCCGCTTGTCCGAAGACCCACGGCAGTGGCGTGACATCGCTTTTTGCCTCTCGCTTCTGCCCTTCAAGTCGGAGCGTTCGGTCAAGAAACTCATCGAAGGGTTGCAGTTCTATAGGGACAAGCTACATGAGGAGACTGTGTACGCCCGGTTCCAGGAGATTCTCGCGAAGGTAAATTATGCTTCAATTCTTCAGTACGTTCTGTATTCAAGTTAACGATCGTTTCTTTCCAGGCACGTGCGAACAAGTCCGCGAACAAACCAGACTCAGAGTTGAACGAGTTTGAGAATGTAAATCATCTTGTATTTCTTTCGGCTCGGCTAGTTTACTGACTGGTATTCTCTTGTTACACAGATCCTTGAAGAACATAAGCGACAGGGCGAGGAGGATCATGAGTTCGAAAAGCGGGTCGCAGGCAAGAAGAAGGCTGCCGCTAAGAAGCGCTCGACGAGGGGTGCGTATTGGACTCACGGCCTCTTCTTCATGTGGCGTTGGCTTAGCTGACGATTGGTCACTGCTTTTATTCGATCTAGCTCCTCCAAAAAGGAAAGGAAAGCCTTTGAAACAGGTGCAAGAAGAGGACGAAGAAGACGAGTAGATGACTAGTCATACACCGTTCCCGCTTTCTCGTCAACCATTATCCCTATATACCTTTATGCAATCTGCCTGCTGTTCACTCCCCTCTGCTGTCTGTTCTTTCCGTAGTACTTTGGTGTAATCACTAATTCGCTGTCTCCATGTTCCACGTTCCCCTTTCTTTTGCCTCATTTGTATGGTTCAATTACTATGTATTGAGTGATGTATGTTTATCCCGTGTTTTCCGTGCGACAGACATCGAAACTGGTTGACTCCACATTTCTGACGATCACCACGTCAGTTAACTACTTAAATTCCGTAATGTACAAATGTAGCCCATCGCTCAGGCCGTACTCCTTCCTCCCGTAACTGGCGCACGGCTTCATCAAGCCCATATGCAATTGAATCGAGGTCAATGTCCTGAGTAGAGGTCGATTCGTTGTCCTCTGTCTTGAATATTGCTTCATAAACAACGCGAGCCACCTTTGGTCCATCCGCATCAGCCATTGGCCTGAAATTATTCGATTATTCGAGACATCGTCATCAACATTAATAGTGACCAAACAGCAAGTTGAATGCGTACCACATCGTCGCAAGCACGCTTCTATACCCTACGAAGAGCATCGAAGCAGCCAGGTGCACCGTCTCATGAGGCTGACGCCTGTCGCCCATCGCAGACCCGCATGCGCTTAGAAATGCGAAGAAGGCATTAGGCATCTCGATCTGCATGAGTTTAGATATTGTGAGAAGACCGTCCTGCATAGCGAATCCGCTTTCCAGCGCATCGCGAGGATCTTGCTGTCCGTGGCATGCAAGGTGAAGGATGGAGGGTGATAGAGATGGATCGGAAGCTGAAAGGCCTGCGATGATACTACCGACGGTGGGTGTAGCACTGTCTTGTGGAAGTATTGATGATGGAGGTACTATGCGTGTTATTATGTCGATTTCGACAGACGTATTCTTGAGTGGCAGTAGGTTGGGTGCATTCGGGACTGCCACAGGCATGACCTTGACTTCGAATAGAGGGATCTTCTTGAGATTACGTCTTGCAGAAATTAGGGCAGCCAGGGTGGGCGTATAGGAAGAGACCATATAATCTGAACACGATTCGGTGACGCTGTCTTTTCTCTGAGGATGATATACGCCGGCAGCGTGCAGTGGGAGGAAACTAAACTCGGCGGTTGGACACCACCAGACCCTTGGACGATGGATACCGGATGATTTCTGGAAAAACACTGTTCAGTTTCATATGTAGGGAGAGCAAATAAGAGGTGTGAAACATACCGTGAGACCAAGAGCCTCGACGACGGGCTTGACGATCATCACCCATAGCTTAGCTAGCTGTTCAAAGTATGGGTCGAGGGCTTTCGGTCGGTGTTTCTTAATATATCGGTCTGCAGTCGATTCGTTTGGATCGTCAGAGAATGTTTGCTGCGTTCCGCTAAAAGTGTGACTATCAAGACCGGCTTGTAGAAAGTGAAAGATGGAGGTATCGACGTACTGCACATGTTCAATCCCTTCTCGCGTCATCGTGGCGCTTCTATTTTGAAGAGTATTTCTTGGGTTTAGCACATTCTGGAGTTTCTGAAGATCAACCTTTGGTACAGAGATTCGCACATGGATAGGCTTTTGGTCTGGAGATGCGACAACAATGGCATACTGGTGTACAAGCATCACAACCGGCCCGCACGAAGCTGCTTGAGAAAGACTGCTATACGTCTCGTTGAGCATGAGGCGCTCGAACCTAGGTATGCTGCGCGCTTCCGACAAAGTCGCGGAAAACGAAGCACTGAGATCACGGCGCCGTGCAGCCTCTCGGTCACTACGCAGGGCCTCATCCTGTGTTCTGTAGTACTCTTGATCCATAGCAGGCAAGATGGATGATGCGTCGTCTGTGGACAAGGTCTGACTTCCTCCAATAGGTGCCTTCAATTGTTGGCTTATAGAACGAAGCTTCTCTGCAAGGTCTGCGTTGACGAGCTCAAGATCGTCAACTGATGTCCTGAGGCGAAGAGCCTGCGTCCATATGACTGCACGGCCTGCTTCGAGTATCTCGATAGCTTCCTCCGATCGACCAAGGGCAAGCAGATGATTAGCACCGTACGCGATAATATCGTCCTCTTGCAAGGTTTCCCTCAAGGCGAGAAGCTGCGCGCTCGTACCCAGGTCGAAAGCCGCGATCTGAGGAAGGAGACCGATGGCATGCTTGTAAGCCGTGACAAGCTGCTCCCTTTGGTCAGCAGAGAGGACAAACTGCGACGCGATCCAGGACTCGGCATCGGCCAACCTACGTATGGCCATCTCAGCTCGTAAACGCGGAGTCGTCACCGAATCTTGTAAGTATTCATTTATGAGTTGTAGCCCGGACGTGAAGTCGGCCGCATCTGATTCCCGAGCGAGGTGGAGGCTTGCCATGGTGTCCATGACTGTTGCACGCATCGCGCTTCCAGTCGGTACTTCTGCAATCAATACCTTCTGCAACTCCAAAGCTCTGAGATAGTCACGACGTTCCCTGGTGATCTCAAAACGGGCAATCAATAACATGGACAAGAGATGGCGCAAAGTGTTCATAAGGGAATGATCATGAGGTAGTTCTCGTACAAGGCCGTCAGTGAGGCTGATAGACTCGTGGAGATCCTCGACATTGGCCCCCTTGCGCAAGTACTCGGTGTATAACACACTCGCGAGGTTCATGACTGATGTTGGATGGAAGACATGTCCACGAAAAAGGTCGGATGCTTCTCGCAAAAAGTCGATAGCTTCAGCAAGCTCCTCAGCTTTCTTCGATATCTGGTAGAATGAGCATTTGGCAATGGCAAAGTTCGTCAAAAAATGGGCTCGAGCTGAGTGCTCCGGAGCCAAGCGACCTAATGCCTGCTTGTAGAGTTCCAGAGAGACATATAGGTCCTGATGATCACCAGCATGTGTATACCGCACATGGAGTGAATCAGCGAGACCACGAAGGTAGTTAGGGTATTCGACATGGAACAGTGGCAGAACACGCAGCACCTCCCGACGAAGCTCAATAACCTCGTCGAGATCGGCCTGCTTCCGGAAGAGACGAAACTGACTGGTCAGAAATACGGAAAGATTGTACTGGTAGATTGGACGTTTCGAATGGCCCCTCGGAGAGAGTTCGATAGCCTCGCGACACATATCTATTGCAACGCGTAGGTCATTCTCTTGCCCGTGCTCGAGGAAGCGAGCGCGTAAATGATGTGAATATTGGCAGAGTACCTGTGGGCGATCCGGATGGTGGATATCGCTGGTCGATGACAGAGCTTCTTGGTCCAATAGGAGACACTGTTCGAGAAGTTCATACTTTCCACTCGTTTCGAATGAGAGGAAGACCAAGACTGCAAGATTAGAGACAGAAGACTCTCTGTCCGGGTTTCCGGGAGGTCGAAGGTGCAGAGCCTCTTGTTGTAGTTCAATCGCTTCCTGCAAGTACGGCTGACGATCACCTGGTGCCATGCGTTCGTATTGCAGACGAAGGGCAATCGCCAAGTTGTTCAGGCTAATATCGCGCGAAGTATGCCCAACAGGTCGTTGATCGAGTGCGGCACGGTGGAACTCTATGACTTCAGATAAATCCTCGGGCTGGCTAGCAACATGAAAGCGGGCAATGAGCGCCTCTGCATGAAGATTCAGCGCGCCCGGCCGGTCTATATGGCGTTCTGGGAGGAGGACTAAGGCCTGCTGGGATAGTACCACAGACTCGTCGACGTCGTCGATATTTCCGTGGTAACGGAAGCGTAGCATCAGGGCACAGGTCAGAGAATTAAGCGCTCTAAACCGATCGATACCGGAACTGTTTGAGAACAGGCTCAGGGCCTCCCTCAGAAGACGAATTGACTCGTTTATATCTCGAGGGCCGTTGAATCGTTCGCAACGAACCCAAAGAATGGCCCCGAGAGCGCGAAGAGCGTGCGGATATCGTGGATGTCCGATCGTGCGAATTGTTGCAACCTCACGGTGCCTATGAATCAAACGGATCAGTCAGGAGCTCGACGTGTCACAGGAATAGATAAACTTTCCTACTGATGGCCTCTTCGAGATCTGAGCGGTCTCCGCGATGTTCGAAACGGTCTGCCAGAGCTATTGCGAGATTATAAAGGCCTATAGCACGATAGTTATCCTTCTCGTGGAAGGAGTCCAATACCTCTCTATGCATAGAGATCGCCTGGTCCAGGCTATCAAGGTCAAGGACTTCGTTAAAATGGGTGTGCAAATCAACGGCCAGCTTACTCAATGCAGTGGCACGGCTGCAATGGCCTAGAGAGCTGAGATGCAGGACCTCCCTTCGGTAAGTCAAGACTTCATCCAGGCTGGCCAAGTCACGACTTAACTCGAAGCGGTCACCAAGGGCATCTGCCAATTTGCCCAGACTGACTACTCGTGAGAAGTCTTCCGATATACGAAGGGAAAGTTCCTCCCGATATAAAGAGATGGCCTGCTCGAGGTCAATTATATCGTTGGTCTGGATAAAGCGACCATAAGATGTCATCGCGCGGTCGTGGATGCTGTCCATCAAGTGATTGTCCGCGAGCCCTCGTCTTGATGATGAAAACCCATCCATAATCTTTCTGCTTAAGGACCTCACTGAATTAAATACCTGTACGTGTCAAGCCGTTGTTGTGACTCACAGACCTACAAAACAATGAAGAAATCGCTACTCACCGGCTTAGTACGTGTATGTTCTCGGTTCGGGTGAGAGCCAGACATATCGTTAAGGTCTAAACACTGATATCTTAGGCAGCAGATAAATCAAGACGAGGAAGGACGTGAGGGTAGCAGTAAAAGTGCAACTCTGGAAGGAGAGTTTCAAGTCGGGCTCATCGGACTCGCATCCGCGAGCGCTACTTTCGTGGGAAGTTGGAACCCATCACACGGCATCATCCGGACCACAAACGACGGCACCGCTTTTGGATGATTCCCTGGCACCTGGCCTGTTTCGCAAACACTTGCCTTGTAACCCTCGCCTTTGTACCAATTTCATAGGAAGGTGGACTTGATACTCTCGACGGCGCGCTCGTACCCACTTTGTTAATTCCGTATCGCGTTAGCCCTGTACCCTATCGTTTCAAGTTCGTTCCTCTACTTCGTCGGTACTTTGGCATCCTACGTGAGGTACTTACCTGAATATCTCTCGTTTTCGGGCTGCACGGAAACTCCTCGAAATTATCACTATGCCTGGACCGAAGTACAACATTCAGGAGAGTCAACTCGGTACAGGAGGCTATGTGAGTAGGCTCAACCAATATATCTCGATGACACCTCATACATACTAATAAGTACCTCGCTCACCATGCATCGTTACAGAGCCGTGTTTTCCCTGCAACAGACATGGACTCCGGCCGCGCCATCGCTCTCAAGAAATCTCGCTGCTCGCTCATCATAAAGAAACCACATCTCCGGCACGAAACTCGTATCCTTCAGCTTCTTCAGTCTCCGGGCCACCCCGCCATACCCATCATCTATGGATACGTCCATCTTCCACACTTTGAGTATCTGGCCATGGAGCTCCTTGGGCCAAGCGTTGCCAGAATGCAGCCGGACGGGACTATGATTGCGCCTAAGACGGTTGTTTCTGTTGTACTGCAGACTGTGAGTGTGCATTGTGATGTTCTGTGTGGTGTCATTTTCTATTTGATTCTGTCTATTTTTTTCTGTTCTGCGAAACGCAGATATCAGCACTTGAATATGTACACAAGATGGGGATCATGCACCGCGACGTAAAGCAGGGCAACTTGATGTGCACGCTCGACGACCCCTCGAAGATCAAACTCATCGATTTTGGACTCGCGCGCATGTTCTACAAAACCGAGCCTCGGAGAAATGAGTCCGACACGGCCGCTGAGGGACCTCCTAGGATAATCGGAACTTTGCAATTTGCTAGCTTGAATGCTCACAATGGTCTGCGTGCGTAAAGTCTACAACTGTCCCTATTCATCGACGCCATCGAATTGACGAGAATACTTACTTACATGGCTATGACTCTACTATTATTTATACAGCACTTTCGGCACGAGATGACCTCGAATCGCTGGCCTACGTTGCTCTGAACATACTCCGAGGCGATCTCCCATGGAGCAATCGGCCGTGGCTCGAACCTGAAAACCTTGCCCAAGAGGGTATTTTTGTTTCAAAACGCAATCACACGGCGGAGTGTCTAGGAGCTGGATTTCCTCCCGAGTTCGCGTATTTACTGACTTACAGCCGTTCCCTCGCATTCAATCAACTTCCGGACTATGATCGTCTCACAGCGCTGTTCACGGCTTTGGGTAAAAGGCTAGGACTGCGCCCTGACAGTGCACTCGACTGGACTCCCCAGCCTTACTCTCGGCCACCGCGCAAGACTAAGAGGTATTCCGGGCCGTTCGAAGAATGGGTCGACGACGGCGAGCCGCAGAGGACGCCTAGCTATATGGCGCCGGACTATGAGCTGTGGGATACACAGGGTGCAGAGTGCGAGGAGGACCTTATGTTGCCGGAGGATGTGGAGGAGAGGATGGATGCTTTGATTCCGATTATTGAAGATGTTCAGCCTCGCTGGTTTTGAATCATTCCTTGCGGCGTTTTCGTTCTGCTTTTGCTTTACCTACGGTTTATTTGTGGATTTCATACCTTGTCTCCTACGTTTTCTTTGAACAAAGTTATGGACCCGACATTGAACGTGAGGCGCAATACGTCCAATTATTTGTACTCTGGCCATGCCTGTGATTATTGCATTCATAGTCAAAGCAAGCAGAGTGCCGTAGATGAAACGAGCAGAGGAGAGACTCGAAAAACGAGATGCTGGAGTGGACCATCGAGACTATTGCTCGGTCTCAGGAGGTGCTTGAAGAAACATCTCCTCCATTGAAAGGACCGTTGATTTTTCGCATGGACAAAGAAATGTGTCGAGGAACCAAGATCTTATCTTATCTTCTTTGTTTGACCATGTTTATTTTTGTCATTTGGGTGTGGCCCAAATAAGCGCCCATAAGCGGAGAAACGGACATGACGCAGGTGGAAGACCGGAAAAGGCAGGCGGTCAAATGCTTGTGCAGGACGACTGCAGCATGCCCTGTGGCCTGCTCGCTCTTGCTCCTCAACGTCGATGACTATGCTGCCCTCAGATCATAACCAGCGTATATCTGGCGCAGTTCGCGTCGCGCCCTATCTCACACACGAAATTCGCCACCACGGCCAGGTCACGCTTATTCCGCCAGACAATGCAGGCCGGGTTCGAAAGGAGAAGGAGAAAAAGGCAAAGTCGTCTTCGAACCCACGGCCGAGATCTCAGCGTGCCGGACGAAGCAACGAGGAGCCTCGGTTCAACATTGGGCCTCCTGTGCGGTCGACTAGGCGAGCACAGGCAGATAGAGATAGACCGTCGAGAGTGGCGAGGAGGGGTAGTGCTGAGGAAAGGCCGAACAATGTAGCGCCCTTGGAAAGCGGTGGGTGCAATAAATTACTAACTTTCGTGACTTGTGAACTGATTGCTCGCATGTCTAGATGTGGCCATCCCAGACTATCCGCCGCCTTCGTTCGCAGAGGCCATGGCGTCTGCCGCGAGTACGAGCACCTCGAATCTGTCTCTGCCACCTGCCTCCCCTTTGCCCAGCACTCCCACACACCCTTGTCCATCTCCGACCTCCTCGCCTGTCCCACCTTCCATTGCACCCCAGCCCAGCCAATCATCGGTCGACTCCGATCGAAGTCAACCTCTCCCGGTCACCATTCCTCCCGTCGTCTCTCGCAGTCAGCTTGATCTTTCTCTTCCAGCAGCCACACCAAATCATCTTCGTTCTAGAAGCCAAATCAACCTATTGGGACCATCCCATCCGGAGCAGCCAGATGTCCGTTTCAGCACAGAAGCGGAGTACGATTCCGGGTCGGACGAAGCCTCAGAGCCAGACGTAGATCTCGTCTCGAGAGAAGATACAGGCCCCGAGGCCAATGAGTGGGAGCGAGACAGAGTCATGGGGTTCTCCCTCGAGGAGCGTGTCAGGCGAGAGAAACAACGACAGGTGGAAAGAGCAGGAACTGCGACCGCCACACCGGCCATGTCCATGCGGACCCTTGGTGCCTCTCGTTCTCAACTTACTCTCGCCCCCTCTGCTGCACGAAGTCCGAGCGGAGATGATTCTGCGGAGAATAACGTCCCGGCGTCTACGCCGTCGAGTCCTGGCGCGTCTGCAGAGTCTTCGTCCTCTTTCGCTGTTACACAGGAGAGTGCCACAAGTGCCACACATAGCGAAAGCCCTCTCAAGAAGAAACTACATCTGTTCTCCGGAGGCGGTGCCAGTAGCTCGTTAAAACATAGAAATCCCTCGTCTTCGCCTTCATCTCCCACCTTCTCAGCCTCCCAAATTTCTCTTCCTCTACAACAATTCTTATCTCGTCCAGGTAGCCCCGGAAACAAGTCACCCACGGGCGAGAGCTTCATATCGCGCAAGCTCTTCGGACACAAAGGGAAGGAAAAGGAAAAAGAGAAGGCGCAGAGTACCGAAACGTCTGAGGCCCTCGAATCATGGGAAATATTGGACGAGCCGGAGCCGTCTCCGATTCTCTCGACGCCAATCTCACAATATCCGCCCGGGACATCATACGCAAACTACTCCGCCCCCGCCCCATCATCCACCTTGTCCTCATCGGCTACACCAACCGCCCCGGCTCTCTCGTCATCGTCATTTTCCGCTCCGGCCTTCTACAATCTCGGCCAATCTTCTCACCCGGCTGGTCGTTCGACCGTTACGCTCGCCCCTGCACCGACGCCACGCACGGTCGCCAGTACTTCGAACCTTCACAAACGGCATTCGATGCTCGATAGACCTGTACCTACACCTGCTCCTTCTTCGCCTACCACCCCATCTTCGCGTCGACCGCCTCCCCCTCCACCACCGCCACGGAGGAAACCCCAGATGGCTCCCCTCTCATCATCTCCCTGTATTAATACAGACACGTCCAACACCACCGCTACATCGCCGTCGACAGCACCGACGACGGCGGTATCGGTATCGTCTAGTACAGACGAGCCCGCGACGCCCACTACGTCTACTGCGGCTACTACGCCCTCCACTTCCACGCCGACGATGGAACAGCAACAGAAACAGAAACCTGGTCTGCCGTATTCACCTTCGCCTTTTACGCGTTCGTTCAGGAATTCGGTGCAGAAGCCCCCAGTGTCTTCTACGCAACAAGCTGCTGCTGCTACACTTCCATCCCAAGGACAAGTACAGTCGAACCGGGATGTTGGTAAAACAGAATCACCAAGGAGCGTTCCGACTGCTGCTACTGCTATGGAGAAGGACGCGAAACAGTTCCCGGGCGATGTCAAGGTGCCCCCAGACCAACCCGCTCGGACTGCCACATCTCCTCCTCCTACTCCTACTCCCGCAGACGCTCATCCCCTTCAACCCTCTTTCTCCCCTCACCCCTCAAGGTCCCGGAGCCCAAGCCCAACAAGTCCCTACCCATACACCCCAACAACCCCAATCTCCCCTTCCGCAAGCCTCTACTCTAACTCTAAATTCTCCCCCTCATCGCCCTCATCTGTCCGGTCCGGCGTCACGTACATAGACTATCGCTCGTCTACGCCCGGGACCGGGACTGGGAATATGACCCCGAGGACGTCGACGCCTAGTACGCCTATGAGCGCGTTTTCGGTCGATAGCGTTGGGGGGGTGCCGAGGTTTGGGTTCGGGTATGGGTATGGTGGGGAGATGAACGGACCTGGACATGGGCACGGGAATTATGTGATTGGGAGTTCGCCGTTGCGGCCTAGGTCGAGGTCTGTGTCGCCTACCAAGGAATCGCGCGGCGCGGAGGTGGATCAGGATCAGGACGCTGATGGGATGGAAGAGAAGAAGAGTCGGATGGAGGGACAAGTGAATGAAGCGGAGGGCCCGCTGGCCGTTCCGTTCCCTACTCTCTCTGCTATTCACCCGCATCCATACCCACAGTCGCAGTCGCGCCCACCGTCCCAGCCACAAGTCCAAGCGCAATTAAATCCGTTTTCTCTAGGCCACAAACACAGCCAAAGCTTCGACCCCACCCTCTCATTCTCGCCGCCTGTAACGTTCCAGAAACCTTCTTCCATCCGTCGGTTCTCCCCTCCGAGCTCGAGTCCTTTGGCACAGAAAGCGATCAGTGCGCCTGAGCTTTCTGACCCGCCTGCACCACCATCCCCAGCGACCCCAAGTCAGAACGACGAAGACGAAGAGGAGGAGGAGGAGGATGATGATGACGATGACGGGTCATTGTTCTCGGCGCTGGAGGTTCCTTCGAGCCAATTAAGGGGGAGATCAGGAAACCGGGATTCTGCGGACACGGATTCGTTAATCGATCTCTACGACCATACGCCCTCTGTGAGCGATACGGAGCCGGTAACGTCCCAGATTCAGACTCAGAGCCAGAGCCAGAGTGAGAAGGCTGCGGGGAAGAGGCGAGGATACGAGGTGGCGGATGCGAAGGATATGGGTGGCCATGGTGCGGGTGGCGTGGCGAGAGAACATCATTATTCTGGGAGGCCGCTTCCACTTCCGCCTGGTGCGTCGGCGGATGTTCCGCAGACGCCGTTGGTGGTGGAATATTTCAGGGGAATTAGCGATGGGAAGGAGCTCGGGATGGACGACGAGAACGGGGATGCCAGCCAGGGTGGCGAACCTGAAGAGGATGAGGTAGATTTGATGTCGTTGGATGGAGAAGAATTCGTTACCGCGTCTTCGACTCTGAGGGAACAAGCACAGGCGGTTCTGGAGAGAGTGAAGAGCGAATCTGCGGGACAGGATGGAGAGAGGTCACCATTTGACGACGATGAGGACGACGATGAGGATGATGGTGGAGGAACGAATTCGACGATCATGGCGACGCCGTTGTCGACTTGGAAGCCTCTCATCCCACCGCCCTCTCCCTCTCCTCCGCGCACACCTTCTCACAACCAAACTCCCAATTATGCCAGTCATGGTTTTGGCATTCACACGCCTTCTTCTCCCTCTCGACCACCTTTGCCACCGCGCCCTCCATTGCTCAGCCCACAGCCTTCTGTATCCACGATTGGAAGTGGAAGTGGAGCTGAGACGCCTCTTCCGTCAACTCCCGGAGATCTCGAGGGCGAAGTCGAAGAACTGTTCCAGCTTCATCATCCCGCCCACTTTTCTCGCCCTCAGCGACAGGATCAGTCCCAATCGTCATACACAGAATCTCAGGTGTCTTCTGCGACTGGCACCTCTTCTCCAATGGTCAATTCGCCCTCTCTTGGACCTAGATACGACGTCCATGCTGCTGGGGCGAATGCCGTAGGAGGAGCTCAGCCGCAGCGTACTCCACCCTCGCCGAGGCCGTATATTGATTATACGGATCTGGACGTTCTAATTTCGAGGCTCGAGGAAGGGAACATGAGGGCTGGTGATAACTACGATGTAGGTTGTCTCTCCATAATCTCGTTCTCTTCCTATGGCTCACTTCTGTTGCTCCTTATTCTGATATATATAGAACCTCCTTCTCGTCGAAGATATCATCGGTCCCGCCAATAACAGCAACGAGCCTCCCCGTCGGCCTCACAGCCCGCCTATAGGTCGCATCGAGCTCATTCGGCGACGGGTGACGAAGGACGGGCGGGTCAAATTGAAGTTGGAATTGTTGGGCGTGCCGGTGGATAGGTGTACGATTTGTATGACGCAGTTTAGAGATGGGGAGTATGCGGGGTTGGGTACGGGGTGTAAGCATGCGTGAGTCTATTTTTCTTTCCCTAACCGATTTCTGTGTCGGCAATTGGAATTGGAATTGATATAGTTTGGTTATGGGATAGGTTCCATGAAACATGCTTGAGTCGCTGGTTGGCGCGGAACAGGACGTGTCCGGTTTGCAGGCTACCCTTCGCGTGATTCGTTTCTCTGTCCTTCGACTCTTTAGCGGTGTCCAAGCTGCCAATTAGCCTCACTCGTCCTCTTCCTCTCCGAGTGTAATCTTTGTGCTTTTTTTCTTGACTTGTATTCTGCAGGGCAGAACCGGTCGTGTCTTGTTTCTCTGTGTTCCAATTCGTAGTAGTAGTCAATGCCTTCGCTCGTGCTTTTCTTCTTCTCTTGTATGTCTTGTACGCTTGCTGTTGTACCCCGTCCTTTACGTTGATACGTCTCTCTGGAACACTCTTGTACAATGTCTCATTCTGCCGGCCCTTCTTTCCCTCATGCATACGTTGTCCGTGTATCATCGCCTGTGTCTGTCGTAGTATATTTTCCATTGTGCTCATCACTCCACCCTGCATCTCCTCATTCGACTCATGGACAATCAACTCCCTGTTATACTTTCTCTCAATACAACATCTGGAATGTACATATCTACTGTACACTTGTCTACGACATACACGCCCTTCGACGCAGCCCAGAGATAGAAATAGCGTGTCAAAACCAACGAGGCTGAACATCCGCAATGGTCGGGACCAAGCGGTCCATCCTCTTACATCGATTGGCAGCGTAAGATCCGAATCGCGCTCTGTATGTTGAGTGTCCCATAGCTCATAGTCCGGCGCCATGTAACTCATGCTGGGCTCTCTATAAGCTCCCTCATCGTCGTCTGGATCTTCGTCTGGTCCGGAGTACCTCATAATCTCGCGCGGTGGTCGAGACGAAGGCTGAGGGGACCAGTCGAGTGCACTGTCCGGGCGGAGTCCTAACCTTTGACCCAAAGTTTGGAATAGTGCTGTAAGATGACTGTAGTCTGGGAGTTGATTGAATCGGAGCGATCGACTGTAAGTGAGTAGAGAGGAGAATTCAGGGGGAAATCCCGCTCCTAGGGATTCCGCCGTGTGACTGCGCTTGGAGGCTCGCACTTCTTCTTGTGCAATCCTACGAGGTTCGAGCCAAGGTCGATAGCCCCATGGGAGATCCCCCCGGAGTAGATCGAGGGCAACATGGGCTAGTGATTCGAAGTCATCGCGTGCGGAAAGTGCTGTGTATAATCAAATATTCTCTTTCAGTATGATATCGACTAGAGAGTACTGTAATATACACGTACCTATGCCATCGTGCGCATTCAGGCTGGCCCAATCCAAAGTTCCGACCATTTTGTATCCCTTGGTCGCCGGGTCACGCCGCTTCGGCTCGCCCTCGTAGAACATCCGCGAAATGCCAAAATCGATGAGCTTAATCCTCGAGGGGTCGTTGAGGCTGCACATCAAATTTCCCTGCTTGATGTCACGGTGCACAATCCCCAGCTTGTGGATGTGTTGAAGTGCAGACATCTGTGTAAGAAGATACAGACAAACGGAAACATATCACAATCGAATTGAAGACTCGAAAGCGCGCTCACGGTCTGTAGCACGACGGAAACTACCGTCTTGGGAGCAATCTTTGTCCCATCCGGCTGCAAATCGGAGACACTTTCGCCAAGGAGCTCCATGGCCAGATATTCAAAGTGAGGAAGGTGGGCGTATCCATAGATAGCGGGTATGGCGGGGTGGGATTGAAGAAGCTGGAGAATACGGCTTTCATGCCGGAGATGTGGCTTCTTTATGACAAGCGAGCAACGAGATTTCTTGAGAGCGACGGCTCGACCACACCCCATGTCTGTCCCACGAAAAACACGGCTCTGGAATGATGGACCAAAGATTAGTAGCCGTCATCATATTCCTTCGGATTAACCAACTCACAAAGCCGCCTTTACCAATTTCGGGTTTGTGAATGGTGTACTCCATAGTAGGCATAACGACTATTTCGAAGAATTTGCGAGCGGCCAGAAACGGGAGAGGTTCTACCAGATTGCACGGTGCGAGGCAGGTGATAGAGTAGAGGGACGAGCTCTAAATGTCGAGCGCGGCGAACATTCAAAAGTTCCCAGCCGAGTCACGAGGCCGGCACCTGCCGAACTTGAACACACGAGCTGGCACGAGCCTGCGAGTGAAGGTCCAAGTTCTTCTTTACTACTACCCTCACGTCTGTCCTCGTCTAGATCTGTCCTCGTCTCGATTTGTCTGCTGCCAAAAAAACAGTGTTCAAACTCAACGCTATGTCTCGCTCTCACCCAAACCGAGAACACATCCGTAATCCAGTGAGTAACAAATTTGCCCACTGTTCCGAGGTAACGCGGCCGACCCAACCGCCTTCCTTTCTTGGACGCGCCCAGCCGCGCGGCTCCCGTCCGCCACACGCCTTTGCCACGCGAGCGCGGACTCCGCCTTTGTCTCGACGACGCCGCCTCGAGTCTCTCAATGCCTGACAATGTGCTCGCATATCTGTATATACTCCATACTACTGTATAAGAAGGAATTCCATAGTAATAAACATAACTCTGAGATAGTATGACAGCCTGCATAGTGAACACTGCAAGACAGGACCACCGGTACTGAGAAGTTTCAAATTTACCTATACAAACCGAGACATCTGGTAAGGCGTGCTCGTCCTCTTCAGCTTCAGCAGCCAGGACTACCCCTCACTCTACCCATCTTTATCTACCCTACATACAATCACAATGACCGCACCATCCAAGGCTTCAGCAGCATCTAAGCGAGGGGCGACCTTCGTCAACTACACACCGGCAGAGGCGCAGGGGGTCAAGAGCAAAAAAGGGCACGCACGCTGGCTCGCGACAGACATCCCTGTTGAGCAACTAGTCCAAACCGAAGCACAGCGTAAAGAAATCTCCGCAATTCACCAGCATGACCAGCTAGAAGACCATAGCTTTGAGGCCTCCGACTCGAAGGACCAGGTGATCGCCAATGCACTCCTCGCTCGCTACGGTCTTGACACGGCATCCTTGAACGATCTCAAGGCTCGTTGGAGTAGGCGGTGGTTCTGGACATCGAGAGGGTCCAAGGCTCATGAGCGCTACAATAGAGTTTTGTATCAATCGTGCGTACCTGTTTGTTTCGATAGTATCGAGCCCGAGGGAAACCTAACTATGGTATCTCGTTGTCCAGCAAATGTGGCTACGCCGAGGGAGAGGCAGGGACGAAGGAGAGACAGGTTCCTTTACCGTTCACCGAGTGTCTCGGACATGTAGAGGTCGCCAGGATGGAGTCGACCGGCAATATCATTCGCATACGTGGATACTTTGCCCACAACGAAGGATGTCGTATTGCAAGACTCGTCCGAGAGCCTACTCAACCCGTACAGCCCATCGTCTGGGATTTCGCACTTAGACAGCTTCGTGAGGGTGGTTCTTGGGATGATATTTTGGAAAGGAATCGAGAGATGGTGGAGGGGTGCTCTTACCCAGGGCAAGACACAGACTGGGCTCATTCCCGATTCCGCTGGATCCTAAACCCTAAGGATTCGAAGTCACTATACCGTCAACACCATCGGAAGGAGGGCGTACAAGTTCGCACCAAGCCACATCAGAACGTAGATGCCTGGCTCGACCCCAAATCCCCCGACTACAACAAGACATTCGCCGCCGCAATATTCCACTACAAAGCAAGGGTCGAGAAACATGAGCGTTTCGAGGCCTGTATTGCGACGGAGGAAATGAAAAGCGCGGCGTGGACTTACGGTCACGGTTCCCAACTTATCCTTGATGGGACCTTCGGTGTCTGCAACGACAAGCTTCTGCTGTTTATTCTCATGGCCGTGGACGAAGATCGGAAGGGCGTACCTCTCGCATTCCTCCTGTTCTCAGCACCATCAGGAAACCGATTCACAGCGGCTGGTTATGACACATCCATCCTCGCTCGTCTTCTCGCCAAATGGCGAGACTCGCTTGGTAAACAAAGTGACGAGCCGTTCTATCCTCCAGTCGCCATCACTGACACGGACGACAAGGAGAAAAATGCCCTCGCACAGGTTTTCCCCGGTATTTGGATCCTCAATTGCCGATTCCATCTGCGTCAGTGTTGGAGGAATCATCGTCGTCGAGAACTTAAAGGCGACTCACCCGCTCATTCGCAAATCGCTGGCCGCCTTCGTCGCCTGGAGGATGACCTCATCGAGACCGAAGTCCATTCCGATGCTCTCCAGAAGATCGAGGATGAACGCGCGGTCCTGCACCGCTTCAAGGTGTTGGATTCATCAGCGACACCTGCCGTTGAGGGAGGCGAGAAGCATCTGACGTACCTCATGGACTATTGGGTCAAAAAGGAAACAGTGTGGAAGAGCTGGTCGAAGCATGGACGTAAGGTTGCGGCCCAGCTGCTCGGATGTACCTTCGATTTTGTCCTTCCCACAACGAATCACCTCGAGCAGTTCAACGGCCTTCTGAAGAATAAGCACCTCAAACGGTGGCAGAGAAATAATCGACGCTTACGATTGGATGTCCTCATCCATCTCCTCATTACGAGGGTTCTTCCCGGCATCTTCAAGCAACGCACTCTTCAAGGAAAGCAGCGCCGGGGTTGGGACGATCTTCTCCATGCGGCCGGTGGAGCAGGCTTGATCCTTCGGCGAAAGACCGCGAGTGCAAAGACGAGCCCACCGAGCATCGCGTACATCATTCCCGATCCAAATCGTGATGCCGCCGCCACCACCATCTTCGCACAACGTCAAATCGGAGATCCAAAGCTTGAGAACAATAACAAACTCACCCTGACCTGTCATTCTTCAGTCGCATTCGAAGGAGATGACCGTTCCGAATCATACACGGTGACTCTTGAGTTTGATGGGGCAGGGAGCTGCTCGTGTCCTGACTTCTTCCACCGAGGCGGCGCCTGCAAGCACATCCGAGCGGCCATGTTATATCTGACAGCTTTACGAGAAAGCGGACGCAACGTACCCAGTATCACACTCCCCACAAGTGTTGAAGGGGCTCGTGCTCTTCAAGCCGCGCGGTTCTCCACCAATGTTCAAGCTCGAGCCGCAGAAGGGGAGCCATCGTCGTCGTCACCCATTGACGATGCCGCTCGACTTGTCGAGGATGTTCTCAAGGAGGGTGATGTATACGAGGAATTGGAGGAGTCAGTAGGCGGAGTCACCAAGGTTGATGACAAGGGGGAGAGCGACGAAGGAGAGGAAGAGGAAGATGACGATGAGAGAGAACGGACGATGGACGGCTTTAGTACGAATGCGGACTGGGAACTAGACTCAAGCTTCGACCGCGATGGATGGGTATCCGAACGTACGGATGGGAGCGAGTTTGGCGCCATAGATCCTCGGGACCTTGGGCTTGATGACGAGCCTGAGAACTTCTCCGAATCCGGACGATCAAGCGCCTTCTCTCTCAGAGACGGCGAGGCGGAGGAGAGCGTGAACGCTCATTTACTCGCACGTACGTTTCACGACCTGGACCGAACAACTCCCAGACTAAGGGCACTCGCTCAAACCCTCGAGGACGCCTACATCGACCCGGAGGCAGTCGATGACATACAGAGAGCCCAAGCAGCCTGCGAAGACTTAGACGCGCTGTGTAGACAACTTCGTCGGCTTTTCACAGCGTCTAAAGAAGCTCCCACAACAATGGAGGCGCCAGCTCACCATGAGAAATCCGTACAAACACTAGACGAGTCGCACCTCAGGCATACCATCAATACGTTACGTACGGACCAGGAAGGGTCGATGTTGTTACAGTAGAACGGGGCCTTAGGGAGGGGGGTCCAGGGATGATCCCGGTGGGATATCCTCGCTCTGGGCGCAGGATGTTCAGCGCGATGATCCCAAAATCATCCTCGCCCCCTCTTTGAGTCTTTCGGATGATGTACCAGCTTGTACCAGTCTGCGCACTAGGCCCGTGCCGGATGATCCCCCGAACATCCCGGAGAGATCCCAGCGTCCACAGCGCGGCGCCACACCGTTCCGGCGTCGTGCCACCCATGTATTCTCCCCTTCCTGCTCATGCATTGCTCGATTCTCTGTATGGCGTACTTGGTGTAGCTGGTATTCAATGTATTTACCCTTGCTCGAGAGGACTGTGATGGAACCTTGAGCCTTGCTAGGCGCATAGGGTGCCGCACACCATTGCAAGATCATCTCGCGAACATCTGTGCGAAGCCGGCTATTCTGGGCTCATCAAAACATCCCATCATCCTCGAGATGATCTGGGGATGATCTGGTATGTTTTTTCCTCGATTCTTTTGGGTTGTTTTCTGGTATTTGAGCACAGGTCGCGGACCCGTCGTATAATGCATGCTCAAAACACTCGTGTACTTAGCCCGTGGCAAGGGATAGATGATCCAGAGATGATCCAGGTATGTTTCCAGGCGGCGGCGGATATTGATGGCCCTGCCGATCCGACGTCATATCGACGCTCGAACATCTGCAGATGTTTTGAGGATCATTTTCGCTCGGGTTCGTAGCCTCGCCACCCGCCCCTGTATGTGATGACGAGCAGGCTTTACCATGCAATTCTCGGTATTTTCTTTCGCTTTCTTTTGTGCATTTCATGTATATGACCACTTTCATTCGTCCATGGTCTCAGAATGATTTTTAATGCGCAATTGAGATATATTTTCGACGGTTTAAGCTGTGTGGCCCAAAAAACATACATAACAACATACATTCATGCAGAAATAGATGTATCACTGGAGGTTCTGCTGATTGGTAATAATCAACATGGTAATAATCGAGTTGTGAAATCGTATTGGTGTTGCTGGGGTGCTGGGTGATGCATAGAGGAGAGATGGAGGCTTTGGGTGGGAAATATATAGACCGATCTTGGTCTCCAAAAAATCCCAAATACGAGAAAGACTGGGCAAGACGTCACTTGGGGAGCTTAAACTTGATTGGAGGCTTCAAGTTCGGATTGAGAGCCAAGGACATAAAAAGCAAGATTTGGACACTTGAATATGTGTAGATAATGGTCCTAAAGTTCGGTTGTGAACGGAGTGCGAAGGGAGCGGCAGTGATCATCGATGATGGGAAGGCGCAAGATCGGTGTTGCTCGACGTCGGCAAGACAATTAACAGCGTAATCCGAGGGCGTAATAAAGGTCGCAAAATGTAGGGATAGCATGCCCAGAGAGTAATGCTCAAAGTCCGAGGGAGAACGGTGCGGTAACGAGCAAGATGTCAGCAAAAGAGGTGATGTAAGAGGACAAAGCGGCGTGTGCTTTGAAAGACTCTGCGAGAGCGGGGATGATCGCAGAAACATATGGGGAGATAATCGTGAACATATCCACGGAGATGATCCCAAAGACATCCGCTGATGATCTCGTGTTGATCTGACGTTAGATTTTCAGGGTCACGTCGACCCGACACTTTATGAAAGAATTTAGATATGTAAGCCAGATCATCTGTGGGGATGATCTCAAAAACATCTGTGGATGATCTCGTGGTGAGGATTTCCTTTGAGGAGACCATCGCCGCCTCAGAATCCATTCGACTGTATAAATGATGTATATCCATCTCGCCTTGCAGTGAAGAATCCTCTCTGCTATGCTCAGACCTGACTATCTACCTGATACTTGGACTCATGATCAATGCTATGGCGGATATTTGCTCCGAAAATTTGCAGAGGACGTACTGGAACACAACTCCTTGCAATTCATGACCCCACCGTAACCACTTCAAAAATCACAAGCCTTCCCGAAGACGAAGAAGTAATATACAATTGCTAACAAGTTTAACTAATATGAGAGAGCGAATGTTGTTACACGATGTTGTCTGAAGAGCGAAAGGAAGGAAACATGTAGTGAATCATATTGTCAACATATTGTACAAATATCATTAAGTAATTGCGGTTGAAGACGGGTGGATAATGTTAGGACAGTAACAATGACAAAGGAGGTTCATGCATGGTGTATGAAAGGGGACTGATATAGGGGTGACAGAGCGAGAAGAGGGGATGATATGAAATGGGGGAGTAATAGAATGAGGTCAAGGTAACACACAACATAGGCAGGTAGTCCAAGGATAACCGAACAATGTCCAAAAGTGCCATGCGCCCTCGACTCCGAAAATTTGAAGCGCTCTGTATGGTTGCTCAAGTGAGCTGGGATATATAGAGGTGAATGACATGATACAAGGATCGATGCCGCGAAGGGGTGAAGGGCGAAGGAGAAGAACACGGTGGCAGACAGCGATGAGGGCTTGCGGAACTCGACAAGCACAGTGTAGACCGTGTTGAATGCGGTGTATATCTCTTCTCGGACTTGAAGGCCGATGCGAAGATGAAGAGGTCAGTATTATGTTCTCTGCAAGTGAGAACAATCAAGTGTGTGGGCTATCCTGACACAAAGCTCAGGAATGCGGACGCAGGTGAAGAACATAGACAAAAGTATGAAGAATAATTGTTCACCTTCGCATTTTACCTGAAACAAAGATGAGCAAGACTACTTTGGGCTTGATCATGCGGTAGATAAGACCAGGGAACAACTGTGCAGGAAGGTGAGTACAATAGAGAATAAGAAAGCGACAGAAACACGTACCTCAGTTCATAACTGCTGAACTACCCGTGATGTATGCCAGACCCTCAAGGCGAATGAAGAACTTGATGTCACAAGACCTGACGATGTTCTGGATCTTGAACTCGGAGAACTTGGCGTTGAACCCGAGCTTCTGCACGATCCTCGCATACTTGCGGGGAGCGAGACGCGAGTCGTCCTCAGACTTCGCATCCGTGACGATCATTTTGCCCGATGGAAAGATTAAAGCGGTCATCTTTGGGTCACGAATACACACAATGATGGCGGCGAAACACTAAACACAAAGAACAAGGGTAGCAGCATATTCATGCAGCTAGGGTGAGTCAAATAGGATAAATACCAGCCTTAGGAGTATACTCTGCATTCCTGGCGTGGAGGGCGATCGTCTTCAAGTCGAGTCGGCAGTCGAGGTTGACGGTGACCACAATGGTCTGCAGGGTAGGAACGATGCCCTCGATGGCAGTGATGTGCTGTTGCGCAAGTGTGAAAGGGCCAGCAACGACAATTTGCTGAGTGTTTGAGAGATTGGAGGAAAATGGGAACTCATTGGGCTGGTACGGGTTGACTGAAAGAGGCAGTACTTGACGATGCAATAGCTAGGATTCTCTGCGAAATAGGAACAATGATTTCAACAAGAGTGGCGCTCGAGCATAAGATGAGGAAAATAAAAGAGAGCAGAATAATGGCCGCATGAGGAAGATGATCTCGAAGATGATCTCAAAGATAATCTTGAACAGAGGCTCAAGATGATCTTGGGGATGATCTCAAGCTCGATGGATTTGAGATGATCTTAAAGATGACTCGGAGATAATCTCAAGGATGATCCGAAAGATGATCTCAAGGATGATCCGAAAGATGATCTCAAGGATGATCCGAAAGATGATCTCAAAGATGATCTTGAAGATTGAAGATGATCACTGTGGCGCCTTCAGCTCAGACTTCGATGATCTCCGTATGATACAGAAATGATCTTGGAGTACTTCTGTGTTACCTCTCAGGATTATCCATGGATGATACTGAGCCACAACAATAGCTGCTTTTGGGATGAATCATCACATCAGGCCTTGGTCGTTGTCGCTATCTCTAGTTCCTTCACCTGTAAGAGCTTTGCTGTCAATGGTTGGCGTTCCTCGCACTCCGTGTCCAAAGAAAACTTCGGCCAGAGGTTCTCGTCTAGTAAAGGGTCCACTTGGCGCTCAGTACCACACACCTCTACAGCGGAACAATGCCCGAAATCGAAAAAACAAGTCTGTTATGATTCCAGGGAGGAATGCCCGCTTGGACTCACTACGTCTCGAGATCGAGGCTCTGAAACTGGCAGCCACTCAAGAAGTGGTTCCTCTTCCAACTGTGCTGGACGATGATGAGTGGGAAGAGGTACAGGTAGACGAACCAATGGATATCTCCGTTGATCCAAGGATCGAGCCTGCAGCTGAAGACAGTGAACACCGTCCAGACGCCACTGACACCACTCCGAGAAGGAGAAACAAGCGTGAAGAGGCTCTTAGACTCAGTATTGCCTGGGAGGATCTGGTACCTCGGCTGATTGAGCCATTTCTGGATTACGTCTCAAAGTCCACAGGAATGCCAACACCACCAGCTCTCTCGGACAGGATCTCAACCTCATGCGTTGTTGGCACATGCTCTTCAGTCTCCGTCACGGTTCTCTGTCTTCATTGGGATCGTAAGTCACTCTATCATTTCTTTTCTGCCATATACGGTGTGCATGCTTATGGTTCAATCTCCAGATCACGAGTTTGTAGAGATTATGTACTGCGCAAATCATCCACTACAGGAGCAGATTGTTAGGTGTGGATTGTTTCCAACCTCTCCGACTGGACCACGCATGGCTGTTTCCATCCGGTTGCTTGAATTTTATTACGCCCTTTTTGAGAAGTCTGGTGATGCTGTGATGGCGCTCTCGGGAGCCCTAAAGAACTTCTATGTTCGATGTGGTTTTCCAGTTGTGACGAGCTCGGTGGGTCACATCTTCAATGATTCTATTAGCCCCCTCATCGCTGAATTGTCTTCTGGTAGGGTGATCCTATGGATAGCCCTTTTCGCAAGGGTCTGGCAGCCGCAATCCAATGGTTCGACAAAGTCCGCATTTCTACAGAACGAAGGGTCCAGTCTGCCATCGATTCTGCACTGGATCAGCTCAAAAATGCGCGATGCATACCCCCTGCGGCTGAACCGTCCCTCGACGGTCAGCAGTGTTGCCCACAGGACGAATGCAGCAAAATTTTACAGCGCCGTTGTCCCGCTTGTTTTGGAGGAAATACCTACGGGCGCAGTCTCGATGAGTGAGTTTCTGCGACTAGTCTCCATCTTTTCCCTGAGTTGACTATATTGACTTTTGATCTTTTGCAGAGGTGGCGATGTTCATTTGGCGATTGATGCAAACTTTCACCACCGCCATCGGGTCAGCGCTGGCGACACAAACTTCTACTATGATCCTGAATATTTCATCTCCAAGTCAGAGGTTGATGCTGTGGGAGAACGGATTGGACAAAAGCGCCCTTCCTCACGACGTCCTCAGCATCCAGTTCCACCTGATAATGTTGTTCAAAAATGCCAGGATAGCCATGATGCCGCAAATAACGCAGACAAGGCATCCGGGGATAATACCGATGACAAAGGTGTAGCTGCTTTGGTTTGTCGACATGACATCCCCATCTTCCTCGCAAATGTGGACACCCCGGGAGAGCAGCAAAAATACGCTGTTGCACTCATCGAGCACGTCATGTCTATGATCCCTGAAAACGCCACTGCGGTGTTCCTCTACGATATTGGGTGTGTTGTGGATCGATCTCTACATTTGGTCAGTCATTCAACTTTGTTTATCTGTGAGCTGTCATAACATTGCGTTGCTCATGCTGGCTACATATTGTAGTATGAAATTCTTCCCGACTCGATTTTAGACCGAATAATATTTGCTACGTCAGCAATGCATGCATATGGCCATGAATGGACCTGCCAGCTGGTATATAATCCACGTCTACGGAAGGGACTTGGCCTTACCGATGGTGAGGGTGTGGAACGGTTGTGGTCGAAACTACGCCGTCTAATCCCGCTGACACGGTCATCATCGGTAAGTCTGGATTTATGCTACAAAATCGGGAGAAAAGCTCTGACTGGTGGCTCGATAGCGCTCGCGTCGTATCTGGCTGTTGGACCGCCAGTGTCGAGTCATCCATCTTGAAATGCGGGACCATCTAGGCCATTGGATCAACAATCGGCTGCGTAAAGGAGTCCAAGGCCAAGGAGAAACTGCTCGCGAAGAACTTTCTGCTATTGGGATCTCTGAGCAGGAGCTGGGGGTGCAGTGGGAGTCTCAGAAAGCTGCACAACTAAGTGTGCGTGCACGTGAGTGCCTCCATAATGACTCCCTGCTTCAGCCGGTTTGGGCTAACAAATTCATCTACCAGATGCACCTGCTCGTTTACGCAAGGAAATCGATGCAGTTCTCACCTTACAAGCGGAGGTAGACCGCATTGAAACTGTCATAAGCAATACTCGGAATGCTATAAAGTCAGCCGCTGGTGCTGTGTCATCAGCTTCCTTCGAAATCCTTGAGATGCTCGAGAACCTACAGGGTGACCTTACGGAAAAAATTGATGGCCTGTATATCTCGCTCGACGTCCCGGAGCGCTTTCCTTCTCTCACAGGTGCCTCCCTGGAATTCGTACGGCTCCTGATTCTGGCCCGGGATCTGAAGACAAATATCAGGAAGCGTGCAATTGCCAGCTTTCTTGAATGGGAAAAGCTTGATCGGGCAGTCGGAGGACGTAGTCAACCTCTTGGTATACTTTCCAATTCTGTCTCTCTCAAAGTCGTTACTTAATAAGTTGATGCAATTTTGAAGGCACGAAACTTCACCAACAAACACGGAAAGCAATCACCAAACGTGCACCTGCACTTATTGCGGCCATTCGAAAATTCAATGCCTATTGCGACAAACTGGCTTCCCTTAAAACAACAACCTGCACTATACCTGTTCCTCATACCCTACCGACTAAACTGGAGGAACTCCGAAGCGATGAGCATCTCATGGAGGACGTGTGGGTCACTCCTATGCCCGGTGGCTGCCCCCGTTGGTTAGAAGATGCAGATGTGCGGAAAGGAATACTCGCGTTGTTGAAGCTAGACCGGACAAAAGAAGAAGAGACTAGGCTCTCTCGCGAATCCAGCAATCTTCTACGCTGGTTCAGTCTCGAACTCACAGCAATTGAGCTTGCGTTGATGGATCCTGCAAGTACGTACTGTCCGATAAAGCTTTCATATCTGTGCAGTTAACTTGAAGCTTATTGTTGAACCGGTATAATAGACGCGAGCTACCGAATTCTATTGTTGAAGTATCGTGAAAACCACATACTATCAAAAGCTCACTTTGCGAGCGTCTTCACACCAAAGGCATCCTTTGAAGCTGAAGTGCCATCTGCCTGGTACCGAGCATGCAGTCTTGCTCAGCAACTATTCAGCATCTCCGAGCCCGCTGCTCAACACGCACAACTGTCGTCGTCAAATGCAGCCTCATATGTTCAAACAAACTCCGTTCCACCAATGCAAATGCTGGACGATCGACTCAAAGATGATCCCAGTGGCCAGAACAATCTCAGCACTCCTAGTGAAGACTACCTTAAAGTCCACCATGTCGAGGAGCTTCATAACCACCTCGACAATATCCCTACCACTTCCACGAATCATCTTCAGGATTTTCTCGATGAAAGCCTGCGCTCGGAGTATGTTAGTAATGATGTTGCAGGAGAATTTGAGGACATGCTTGGTGGCCCGGAGGGAGAGGAGCATCACGATAGCTCCCAGATCATTCTAGCAGATATTTTACATGCAGAGGATGGTGAATTCGATGACCAGCCTCAGTGTGACGTAATTGAAGAAGATCGACACAGGGAGAGTAGTGTGGAGGTAACCGGCGACACCGAGGAAGATCGACACAGGGAGAGCAGCGTAGAGTTCATCGGCGACACGGAGGAGGATCAACACAGGGAGAGCAGCATAGAGTTCATCGGTGACACCGAGGAAGATCGACACAGGGAGAGCAGCGTAGAGTTCATTGGCGACACCGAGGAAGATCAACACAGGGAGAGCAGCGTAGAGTTCATCGGTTCGGACACCGAGGATGATACACTCAACATTCAGGCTACCGAAGATCTTGTTGAGATATCGCTCGATCTTTTCTGGGACGAGGATGTCTCACTGAGTTACGACTCCCTCGTTGACCTTCTCAGCTCCGACCAGCTCTCACTGCCCATACCAGCACTCCCACAAAGCTTTTGGCGACGTATACCAGGTGATGGACCTATCAGACAAATCGACATCGATGGAAGTTCTCTAATGAGACTTATCAAACCGACGGGATGGTTAAACGACGCTTGCATCAATGAAGGGGCATTGCTTCTCTGCTCACAAAGAGCCTCCATTGCCCGTGATGCATGCGCTATTTTCTCATCCACTGCGATTGGCGACTCAAAGCACCGGGATCATTTTCGGAAGTTCACGGAGGCGTACATGCGGCAGAAATATTGGGAGAAGGACATCTGGATTTTCCCTGTGAACCACCAAAATACGCATTGGCTGCTTTGTTGCGTAAATATGAGGAGTCGAACACTGGGTCTTTTCGACAGCTTTGCTGATGAGGACGTTTGGCATGAGCATTTACCTGTACGTTTGCTCTTATTGTTTGCTCTTACTGTATTTTGGCTGCTGACTATTTCATTCGACAATTCTGTTAGCCTATAATCCGGCTCATCAATGTATTGGTGAATGTCGCACAAGTCAAGGGTCAAACTGTCAAGTATTTCAAGAATGAATGGATCGCACGGCCACTGACGGTGCGTCGATGACAGTAACTAGCTTCCAGGACCCTGCTGAATCAAACATCTGCAGGTTCGCAAGCTTCAACACAACGGGTATGACTGTGGTGTATGGGTGTTAGCTGTTATTGCGGCTGTTCTGCGAGGCCATGACATGGTTTCCATAGAGGAAAATCAGATTCGCGCGTTCCGTAAGTATATGTCAAACCTGTTTTTGCATACGCCTGCATCACAGTCGCCAGGTTGATATAACACTCGAACGGCGTGGCCTTTACACTTTGATGAGCAACAAAAGCAGTTCATATAATTCGTTCTGGCATTCGAGTGAGGTATCCTTCGCAGGTTTTCCGAGGCACGAACACAGGGCGAAATTTCAACAGGAAGAACAATTTTATGGAACTTGGGAGTCTGGGACTGGTAGTGGTCAAAGTGGAATAGTGACCAGTAAGCAGAAACAACATAATATTCACAACAAGCCACCGCCACGCAAGAGCCTATGATTCAGCAAGCTCGAGGAACCCATGACACAGTGTTTTTGCACAGAGGGCAAAAAAAGGGCTTGCTATAGCAAACACTACGTCATGATGCAGCGCGGAGTCGAATGAGAACCCATGATCCACGGAGCCACGGGAAACCGCACGAAATAGCCCAGCAAAAAGATGCTCCCTTTATCAGTGCATATGAACCAGCGGACGTTAGAGAGCTAGACAGGTAATCAAAGAGTTCAGGCCAGACAGAGCCTGTGGATCAGGAGAGGACGGACGCGTCACAGGTGCGTTGGCCGAAGCGAGGGTGGTCCACGGAGTCCACAGAAAGCGCCCGAAGGGCGCGATTGAACTCCTCGAGACAGGCCTCTGTATATAGAGTTGTAGTCATGTAGATTTTCTTTGGCTCCAATATATGCTGCACTCTCGTGTCATCGACTCTGGTTGACTTCGGAATACATTTACGTCCAATGAGCGAGCCTTGGTGGTTGTGGAACGATACAAGATAGTGTGGCACCACTGGAGCACTGCCACTATCAACCACATCACGTGCTTTCAAACGCTTGTTGGCCGGCTCTCTTTGAGCCTGCTTCACACCCTCTCCTTCGGTTTTCGCCCTACTAGCCATACCTCTGCCCATTACGATAAACCAACTCCATCGGAGGAAACGACGGAAAGGCCTCTCGCTCTGTGCATGCACGACGATTTTGCCGTCCCGAGCTTCCTCGATGAGAGTACGCATCGTGCCATTGCGCACTTATAGTTCAGTCATTTACGCTGAGCGTACGTGGTCCTGCCTTGAGTATCTGTATAGTACATTATTGTCTTCTTCGCCGCTGCTGGCACGCGTCTCAACGCAGTCGTTGCGACGCGGAAGCTCCCCTTTGGCTTAAAGGACTCACGATCGGTACGTCCATGTCATTTTGCCACCTCTCCCAAAGCCGTTCTTAATCATCAACTTCGTTTTTCAACCACGTAGCATCGTATCTTTGAGTGTTTATGATGCCTTTGAACGCACTCGCGGTGTCCATTTACTCGTATGTGTTCTTGCTCCATCGGTATGCATACCCCTTCGCATCCCCTTCTTCCAAACATCAAATTAATTGACAAATTTTTCCTCACCATACAGCATCGTATTTCAGCGTCGCTTCAAGGGGTTTCGATGCCTGCAAATGTGTTCGCCGATTCCGCTGGGCCATATGTGCCATTGTTCACTCGCTATGTATGCCATCGTACGTATCTCCACGGCTCTGAACTCTCCCGTTATCAGCATGCTCATCGACAAAATAGAATCTGGATTCACCATCTCCGGACTCTTCACCAAGATGTCTGCCCACACACCAGCCTGCGCATCAGTTTGCACAGGTCACGGCCCGTTCGTTGCAACCATCGGTTTGAAGTGGTCATTCGACCGGTAAGCCCACCCTCCCCCCGGCTCAAATTCCGTCACTAGAATCCGTCTCCCTACTCAATCGCTGTACAACATATCTGAACCTCAGGGGATTGTCAATACTTATACATTTGCCCGTTAACTTCGCTTTGCCAGATGGTCCTCTCGCTCTGTGCCCTGTGCCGTGCGAAGGCAAGCTTTCTCACGGCCTTCAGCGACCCATAAATTACCACAGAGGTTCGCCAAATTTCTCTATCACTTTTATCCCCTCACTCACCCCCGCTTTTTGGTCTTCCGAAGCTGTCTGGGTTGTCAGATTTACGAGCGAAAGCCTCCCTCACCCTCACCTCCTGCTAAACCTATATATTTTCACAGAGGTTCGTAAACTCCCCCGATCTCTTTCGCCTTGTCGCTCACCCCCATTTTTAGGCCCTCCTAATCGACCTGGGTCGCCAGTTTGATGCGCGAAAGCCTTGTCGTCTGCATACGGCCCTCCCTGCCCCTCACCCCAGGCTCGCAACCTACATATTATCCCAGAGGTTCGTCAAGTCTGCCGCGCCTTCCTTTCAGTATCTCTTATACCTTGCTTATATAGGCCTCACAAACTCTCGCCCCTTCTACTACCTACGAATTGGAACCAGTCAACCCGAACGAGGATATCCGCCCCGGAACTCAAGTGGAACCCTCAAACGACCGGCGATCGCAACCGCCCCCTCCCGAATCGCCACAAGCCCCTCCAACACCACCTGCGAAAGGTCTCGTCTCTACTGGTGCCCCAATCCGACGACAGAGTCGTCCAGACTCACGCGCCTCCCACCCTTCATCCATTGACGCGTCCTCGACGTTCACGCGCAATGGTATCGCCTCGTTATCCATGTCCACCACCTCGCTCGGAGCGAGCATGTCTCCGACCAGTTCTCACATGCGCTCTATGACCATCTCGAAAGGCAACACTGTCTCCACCGGCTCATAACCACCGCTCTGGACGCTATCCAGGCTTCAAGAGATGCCAAGCGTTCACAACGTCTTCGCGAGAGCGTTCATCGGGCTCTGGAGCTCGTTCGAGCAGGGATGGGTGGAGATCGATCTCGCAAGATATTCGAACCTTTTCGACTGGCTTGCGAGACACGCAAGGAGAAACTAATTATCTCTAGCTTGGACTGTATCTCCAAACCTATCTCATACTCTTTCCTCGTTGAGATGAACCCTATCTCGCTCCCCTCATTCTGAACGGCCGTGCTTCAATCTCCAGCGCACACCCTCCAAACCTCCCCGAACCACCCTTGTTCGACCTCGTCGTAGACACCATCACCCAATGCCACACTGAAACCACCGCAGACGCCATCTCCCTCCAAGTCGTCAAAGCCCTTCTCGCGGGTCCTATCATCCACCATCCTCATCCACCAATCCTCACTCCTCAAAGCCGTCCGAACCGTCTACAATGTCTTCCTCATGAGCACAGACCCGGTCAACCAGACCGTCACGCAGGGCGGGTTGACACAGATGGTGCATCACACCTTTGGGAGGTGTAAGACTGTTGGATCTGGTGAAGGGGGCAACGGAGTTGACAGCTTCGTTGGCGGGGAAGGTGAAGATGGAGGGTGCGGTGTTCCTGAAGAGGGGAGTTCGTTTAGGCCTGCGACACCGGATACGGGCAAGCCCCAGTCTTTGTCTTCGAGAGATGAGGTTTCGAGCGTGGCGGACTTGTCTGCTAATGGAGAGGAGAAGACGGAGGAGCAGAGTGGGGAAGGGCCTGCGACAGCCGCCGCGAAAGGAGAGGCACAGCAGACGAAAGTATGCACGCTAAACCAAATGGCTCGCTGACGGCGAAAACGAGCGAAGCGGGCAATATGCCTCTATCGGCATCGTGAGTTTATTCCTTAAATTTCTTATGACCTCAGATGCTGATAGTTCATGCAGAGCCGTTGTAGAGGATGATGGGCTGTATGCCTCAGATGGTGATGACACCGGCTTGAACGCTGCGCATCGACCACTGACAACCTCAGAACTCTTCCTCAAGGACGCCTTCCTCATCTTCTATTCCATGTGTAAGCTCACCATGAAGTCTCTCGTCACCGAGAGGTATGTCCCCATTTTCTGAACCTTTTGCCCTCTGCTCTCAACCAAACACACACTAACATCTGCACCGCACCAGCGAACGTGAAATGAAGTCCCACGGCATGCGCTCAAAACTCCTCTCATTACACATGGTCCTCATCATCCTCAACTCCCACATGGACATCTTCGTCAACCCATACTTGATGGTCTACTCCAGCAGCTCTCGAGACCTGGTTCCGTCGATCTCCGCTGCCTCCCAACGCACTGCCAACGACCCGACCGCGAGCCCCGGTCTCCACCCCACCAAATCACAACACAACCACAGCTGCAATATCGCTCCTTCCCTCAGCACATCGGCACTCTCAGTTCCCGAATCTCTCGATACCACGACACTCGGACAGTCCAAACAGCAGCTCCAACGACAGGGGCTCGAGTCTCTGGTCGCCGTTTTGAGATCTTTGGTGGTTTGGGGAACAGCGTCGGGGAAGAGCGCGGCTGATGTGGCGAAGGAGGCGAGGGCTTCATCAGCTTCGGCGAGGGGTGAGATGATGTCGGAGGATAGAGATAGGGAGAGGAGCGGGAGTGCGAGCGGGAGCATGGCGGAGGGGATTTTGCCGGACCAATTGCAGTCGCAGTCGATGGAGAGGTCGAGTATGGCTGCTGTGGCTGCGAATGGGGCCAACGGAGCGAATAATGGGGCAGCGACGGATATGAGCGGGTCGACGAGGGCGAATACGCCGGATGTGTATGGGGCGGGGGCGTTGACGGAGGATGATCTGAGCAGGTTCAAAAGCGCGAAGCAGAAGAAGACAACCTTGTTGGAGGGTATCAAGAAGTCCAACTTCAAGCCGAAGAGGGTATGTTGTGCTCTGTTTCCAGCTCTGTTGCACATAGTTGACCTGTGTGGCGGTGGCGCAGGGTATCCCGTTCTTGATCGAGACGGGCTTCATTCCGAGCAAGGAACCGCAGGATACCACGAAGTTGCTTTTGAACACGGATGGGCTCAGCAAGACCATGATCAGCGAGTATCTCGGTGAAGGGTGCGTGCTCACTGGACTCTGTCGGCTCCATTTGCGTTCTGACCATCATCCTTTAATTCAGCGACGATGAGCACATTGCGACCATGCATGCCTTCGTTGACCTGATTGACCTCCGCAATATGCCTTTCGTCGATGCTCTCCGAGCATTCTTGCAAGTCTTCCGTCTCCCCGGCGAAGCACAGAAAATCGATCGGTTCTTGTTGAAGTTTGTGGAACGATACATCAAGGGCAACGCGAACTCGACGTTCGCCAACGCTGGTGTGTTATACTTATTTCTTCCCTTATTTGCTTTGACTGAAAACGTGTCCGACATTGTACAGATACCGCATACATCTTCTCGTTCTCCATCATCATGCTCAACACGGACGCCCATAATCCTCAGGTATAAAACCGGATGACAAAGGCTGACTTCGTGAAGAATAACCGTGGGATCAACGATGGGCAGTCGCTTCCCGAAGAGCTTCTGCACGCGATATACGACGATATTGATGCATTGTATGCTTCTTCATCCTCGAGTTGGAGCGCAACGCGCTCGTGACGACGCTCGCCAAGTCAACTTGGGCGAGATGAAAGTGAATATGCTGGCTTCGCCTGTTCGGGTTCAAGATGGGCTGTCTTCTTGGTGGGGATGATAGAACTTCTACGAGCTCGAAAGCGGGAGTCTGGGAGGTGAAGAGGGCCGGTACGTCTGGGCAGGAGGGTTCGTTCGACATACGCCAGCACCCAACACAACTAGTCTCTGCCGAGTCCTCATTCAAAGAGCCATGTATTTCGTGTCCCATTGAGCAATGGTAGTGTAGCGGATAATAAATACATTCATTTACGCTACTATACGTCTGGGAAACAGATCAAAACCACGGGCAACTCGCTCTGCCATTGAGCGCTTGAAGTCCTGTTGTTCGTCAACAGAAAGATCGGAGAATGATCGCCCATTCAGATCCCGCCACAGAAAAATTGAACCGTCAGTCCACGCCGTAAACGAATTCCTGACACCCGCCTCCTCCAGAATGGTGTTGTAGTGAGTGAAGCAAGCGGAGGGTATAAGAATAGGGATACCTGCTGCGATCTCGAACTCTAAACCGAGCTCGACGACCACGAGCCTCGCACCCTTTGTATGATCAAAAAGTAAGAAGGGAATAATCAAGCAAAGGCCCGGCAGATAGTTGAAGTAATCCTTATGCCTCAGGGATACCACAGCACCTACGTTCATTCCAATGGCAGCCCAAGGATAGAACAAAGCGTGCACCTCGGTGCCGGAGCTTCGCATGCGTTGCTGCACGAAATCCATCGTCTCTGTGTATCTTTCATAGACGCGAGGAAATACTTGGCGAAAAATTCCTGAGTCAAGGTTTTCTGAGTTAGAGAGCATGGTCAAGACGCACATCGAGATGTGAAAACAGACCTTCACAAAAGCTCCGGACTGGTTCAAGATCGTGCAGCATAGTGTCTATCGAGTCTTTATGGTTCCTGTACGATGCGGACATCATCGGGTTCTGACATCGTAATACGAGATCAGTTACACATTTAGCTCATACCCAATGCAAATGAAGTCACCTTAGCAGAACCACGATGGAGTCCAAAGTAATATTTCTTGAAGTTCCCTCGGGGACCGCCTGTGGAGCAAGGCCGAATATTTTCGAGAAAGCCAGCGGCAGTAGTGAGCAGATCGTTGACGAGAGTCCACCGAGCAGTCCGCTTGGGGCTAAATGCACGATAGAGGACCAGACGGTTCCTGCAGTCATAGATTTCTGCGCCCATACTACGAAACGATCAACAAGACAGTCGTGAGGCTTCGATTAGAATATGAGAGCTTACCCGTCTTCCATCGGAACAATAGTCGCCGAAGTTTGATCTACTGCTGTTGTACGATGACCTCGATACGCGCTGGTTTTGGCTGTAGCTGTGATATCTACAGTGCTTGTATAGGATATGCGGCGATTGTCGATGTGTTGCTGCGCGCGCAGGGCGGAGCGCTCCTTCTTGAAATCCGCTCGCGATGAGGAACTGTGCACAATGCACAAGACACAACGCACAATGCAGCATCAGAATATGGAACAGCGCGATATCACAGAGTCAATCACAGGAGGATAGCGCACCTTTGCATTGTGACTTCCTTGTGATCAATTTTTCTTGCAACTCGAGACATCGGTACAGTTCCTGGGTCTCCAGATCCACCAGCCCCGTTGGTGTCACCCTCAACACGCCCAGCAATGTTGTCATCGAGTAGTACACCAACCTCAACGCGTAGATCCTCCGGCTCCAGTTGCGACTGAGCTGCGTCGTCACCGTCATCAGCGTCCAGGAGGTTGTCGAGGGGAATTCCGACTTTCAGAAGGATGTCAGATATGCTGATATCCACGGTCTTCGTGAATAGCAGTAGAGAAGACCGTCGAAGACTAGAGTCTGTGGTTACTGATCCGAGCGTTCCGTTGTTGAGTGGGGCGGAGGTGGATTTGTCGTGGATATCCGGTGTAACATGCGAGGAAACTTGTTTGACCTTACGGCTAGGGCGCGGAGGCATGTCGATGTGAGACAAGACTAGGCGATGTCTGGTAGTTTGGGATGTGGCGGCCTAGTACAGCCCGTAAGTATACAACGATGTCAGGCCCTATTGGGCGGCAGACATACCTTCTTCTCGTCCAGGTTGGACAGGGATCCAGAGGAAGAAGCTTGCGACTGCTTATGGAAATTTCAGCTGAGGTTCAAGCCATAAAAAAAACATGAACACCTCACCTGTGAACGAGCACGTCGACTGGAAGCACGCCGTCGATTGGCAGCACTGCGAGCATCCAAGAGTTGAAGTATGTACGGAGAATGTCTGGTGCGCCAGCGTGTGGAGACCAGCTCACGCGCGAGAGTCCGCTGTTCCTTTGTGAGGCCAGCACGAAGGATAAGGCGGATGCGAAGAGCCTTGTGTATAGTCAAATGGGAAGTAATGTTCTTCGGCAAAGGAAAGTGCTCTTTGAGCAGGGATACTGTGAGAGCATTCAACAGATCTTCGTCGTCGACACCAGAAAAGCTAAGAGGGTGACGGGGGAGGGTCTTAGTTCGTGAAGACATGGCAGAATTACAGACTCAAGGCTGAATGCGACACTTTATATATATATATAATCATGACTTCGAGCTGAGCTGTGGCCCGTACGCTATGGCCTGTACGCTATGGCCCGCACTCATAAGTCCGGCTCGACTGACAAGCACAAGGCAGTAATGCCGACTGTGCCTTTGTTTTGGCATGCGATGGTTGTTCCCTAGATCACCAAGAACGAAACCATGCCATAGGTGGTATCTCGATCGGTGCCAGCGCCGGTTGCACCGATCGAGATACCACCTAAACAAAAGGCTTAGTGATCTGCAAACAATAGAGTCATGTGGCTATGAGCCCGTGAAACACTGCCTTGTCGTTTGCCTTGTCGCCTTGTCGCCTTGTCGATTTGAAACAGAGGGCTCAAGCAACTTGAACAAAGAATGGACGTGCTTGTTTACCTTGTTGCCTTGTCCGTTTGAAACAGGGGCTCAAGCAACAAAGAATGGACGTACCCGAAGCAAGCTCAGACCACATATATAAGAGGCCAGAGATGAGCGGAGAACGACCCCATCCCCCATCGTTCGCGATGCAGTCACTGGGTCCCTAGTTTGTCGATGACAAGCCTCCGGGTGTTGGTAGTCCGGCCCCAGATTAGCATGAGTCATCGCGAATGGAGACCTGAGGCTGTCGGGCGAGGGTGTTGGTAGTCTGGCCTCGCAGAATCTCAGAAGGTGCTGGTAGTCCGGCCCTTCAAGAGAGTCGGTGGTGACTTTGTCAACTGCAACGATTCCGAGGAAGCTGGTAGTCCGGCGCTGAGGATACAAGGGGAATGGTAGTCCGTTGCCCGAGCATTGTGTGTGGTGTGCTGACACTGGCAGTAGTTAGTAAGACTTATTGTTATAGGAGGCGTAGCTGGACTGCTGGGAGAATGGAGGTGTAAGGGCGACGATGAGCATGGGCCACATGTGACGCCACTTCAAAGCAGCTCACGCGTGAGCTGCATTCACCTTTTCATATTCATGCTTGCTTGGCTTGTGCAAGCAAGCACGATCTCTCTTATTCATGCTCGCGCTACCTGTGATGACATCTTATCTTCAACCTGTAAAACTTGTACCTACATTCTGGATGCATCCGCACCCAACACGGGAAAGGCGGGTACCTTTCAGCTTGGCGCAAACCTCAAGATCATGAGCTACTGACCTCCAACAGGAGGCTGAAGTATACGCAGCATGTTGACACAAATTTTCTCTGTCAAGAGTACGATTTCGAAAGAAAAGTGCTGATTTTCTGCACCTCTACCCCGAGTGGCACAACACCATCTGGGCCACAGTCTGTACTTCTGTAGCACAGACTCGTCTCTTCGGCTCAGCAGCTTTCACAACTCTATGTGTATCACATAACTCTCGGCTCACAAATTTAGCACTTTAGAAGGGTCATTGCTTCGTAATACTGTAAGTATTCCGGATAACTGCATGTCCTCGTAAATGTACACCGCCCATGTTCCCCGTCTAAACTAAGTCGCAAGCGTCAGATCACTCACTGGCAAGTGAGCGTGGCCATGAATTTGGAGGGTCTTAAGGAGCGGAAGGGTGCTTTGGAACAGCCTGAAACATCCAGGAGTCGGAAATGGCAGAGCGAGGAGCGAGATTGAAGAATATGTAGTACATTCGGTTGTAAGAGTCAGAGACCTAGAAGATAAACTAGCAGATTAGCGTCCAATTTTACAGCCACTAAAGAAAATCACCGTGCGAGAGCCCATAGATATTACAATGACACAGGAAAGTGATACTGGAGAAAAAGACCGAGAGAAAAAGATGAAAGGTGGAGAGGATGCAAGGACCGTAGGGAGTTCCTGGCTGAAGATCGCAAGCGATGTGTATTTGGAAGGCTGTGGATGAATGCGCGACTCTGATGAACAATGAATGGAGGTAAAAGGAAAAGAACATGCACTGACCTCCATCCTTGACCACTGGGTTCTCCCGTGCTCTGCACTGGCGCTCCTCCTCCTGCTCCATCTCGACATCATACAAAAGTCTTCGGCCAGGAGGGCGAGCGGCAGCGTCAACAGGGTACTTCTTCAAAGTCCATTGACCACCACCTGTGCGCTTGCAGACCTCGCTCTTCAATCGCAACAAATGATAGTTGAGCCCGCCGAGCTCACCGCCTACGGGAGAGGTAAATTTAGGTACGACGGAAGGGTCTAAGGGAGGTGGCAGGATGCGAACTCGCTGATGAATGGAGCACCGGTGCAGAGCAGCAACAGCAGGGGCAATGGATTGACCGTCGGGAGGGGCGAGAATGATGATAGATCTGCCTCTCGAGGTAGTGCGAAAGCGAGGAGAGGTTCTTCTTGGCGCCGGTCTTGTCGACCTTTCCAGCCCTGCTCTTCCCCACAAATGAAGATCCCCTCATCCTGCTGCCTCTGACCGGGCTGAACGTGCCCAAATTGTTGTGAACACGATTGATGGCAAATCCGAGGCCGGTTTCCGCGTCTGCACGTATGGTAGGGAGGATATCTGGGTTCGGCATGAGATGAACCTTCTTGAAGAAGGCTTCGCAGGGGCCGTTGGGGATGTACCGGATAGCGGCACCAAGGGGAATAGAGACAAGGCCGAGAGCGAGGGAGATTCCTCACTTGTGACCACCAATGCGGTGAACGGAAAAGGCAGCTCCTCCAACGAAAACGATAAGCACTTGGATGGCGATTTCTATTGTACGCGAAAGATAGTTAGCTCAGGTATGCATCGGAGGACGAGAAAACAAGAAAAGACAAACCAATCGCCGTAATCGAAATGAAATACCAGTTCCTGGTCACGCCTTCGAATATATTCAACTTATTATCCAGCCTGCGGCAATTCAACGAGTTCGTAATCTGGGCGAACACGAAGATATTGAAAACCAGCGTCTGCACCGTCGCGTCGTCCGAATCGTTACCCTCCGGGAAGCCCAAGATCTTGAGTCCCAAGAAGTGGAAGATGAGGATGATAATGATCTAATATATCGATTGGCCTAGGATCTGTTTGAGCATGTCGACCGAGAATAGTGGCGCCGTCTTGACATCCGGTTTGTGATCCAATAACGCCTTCGAAGCCGGATCCGTGGCTAAGGCCAGAGCAGCGAAGGTGTCCATGATGATGTTGATCCAGAGTAGTTGTACAGCGCTGAGCACCGAGCTCTCGCTCTGACTTGCGACGGCGGTGACGAAGGTAATAATGACGGCGGTAATGTTGGTGGAGAGCTGGAACTGGAGGAACTTCCGGACAGCGTCGTTAATGCAATGACCCCACATGATGGCCTTGACGATCGAGGAGAAGTTGTCGTCCATGAGAATGATGTCCGAGGCCTCCTTTGCGAGTTCTGTACCCGCGATACCCATGGAGAATCCGACGTTGGCCGTCTTGAGCGTAGGTCCATCATTTGTACCATCGCCAGTAACGCCAACAGCCTCGTCGAGTTCCTTGAGTCTCCACCAATATCTGTTTGTCCTTCGGTGACAAGCGAGCGAGGACATGAAGACGGGGAACGACAGCTTTCATGACATGAGGATCGAGGTTCCGGAAATGAAGGGCAGCTAGTCCAACGCCTCTAAGGCTCAAGCTCTGCTAGAATATATCAGTTCAGCCACACATATACTATGATGACCGACCAAAAACACCAAAAAACATACCGAAGTCCTCATACACCCCAATCTGATTCGGCTGCACACCATTCACCTTGATCCTAAGCGGGTCCGGCAGACTAGCAGAGAAAGCCGACGGCAGTGCATTCGAGTCCCAGAACGGTTGACCCCTCGCCGTCTGACAAGAGAACGATGATCAGGACTCGAACGAGCGAGTAAAACAAGAGAGGACAAGAAACATACCTGTCGATGTCGCCTCCGCGCATCATAAGCCCCCGCAAAGCCTTCGTCCACCTCCGCGACCGCACGGTCCATATCCGCCTTCTCGATCGTCCCGCTCGCCAAGTCGATATTATCCTGCACGAGGAGCATGATAACTGCGTCCGGGACCATTTGCTGTAGCACACAAAGGAATTAGGTGATTCAATCAGTCTCTCACTAGTAAGAACCACAAAGAAGAATGGACGCACGTTGCTAAATCCATGATCATTCAAGAACTGCCGCAGATGGTTCGAAAGGTTACTCCTCAACGGCTCCTTGCACGTCACCAGCGCGAGACTCCCCGCCAGCTTCTGCGCCATACTGTGTGCCGCGCCACGGAGTGTCTCCTCGTTTGGCTCCGTCGCGAAATCCTTCGCGACAAGCTCCCGAGTCGATATCCCCGCGATAGTGACCGAGCGCTCCACGACGGGAAGTATGATCTACAGGTCCCACCCAGATGAGCTCTACATCTCCTCAGGGAAAAGAGAAAAGAAGAACAAACACACCTCCCTCACAGACCGATCCACCGCCAACTGCACCGCCCTTTTAAACGCCGGATTACTCGGCAACGGCGCCAGCTGCCCACTAATCGTCACCCGGCCCACCAACTCGCCCAACAACACCTCAATCTGCGCTCCCACCGCCCTCGCCGCCGCCGTCTCGTTCGTCACATTCCCACCCCCTCCTACGCCACCACCTACGCCACCAACCCCAACCCCAGCTCCACCGCCGACGCCAGAGCCAGCACCACTGAGGGACAACAACTGCGCGTCTCCCACATGCATCTGCGCGTTCGGATCGTACCCTCCTCCTCCCCCCACTCCCCCAATTGGCAACGCCTCGATATCGCCCACATAATCCGGCAACCCCGGGCCCGCCATCGTCTCCATCCCGCCGATCGGCCGATGCCTCAATATCGACGTCGGCTCGATACTGTCCAGCGCAACAGACAAACTCGTGCAAAGCACCTCGATCTCGAACTTCTGGTTCAGCTTCAGTTCCGCGACATGGTAGAGCTCGGCGAGGAGCGCCATGACCGCCATCAGCCACGGGTCGGCGGCCTGAACACCGTCGACTTTGCTGCGGGCTCGAGCGTCTTGCAGATGAAGGGGATCGTGACGAGCAGACGCCCGGATTCGTAGCCTTCGATGAGCAGGTCTTTGAAGGACAGGTTCTTGTGCTTGATCGGTTTGTCGCGCGCGAGGGTGAGCGTACCGAGCCAGGAGCCAACGTTCTTGATGATTGAACGCTCCGAGGACGATTGCATCGTCTTTTCAGAGTTGAGCATGGAGGCGGACTTGACGATCGTTTCTTGCAACACGAACTTCGAGAGGACTTTCCGGTCGAGCGCGTCCAAAAACCTCAGATAAAGGGTGTGGTTGTTCGGCTCCGTGCTCACGCGCTGGTCGACGAGGTAATTCGCGAACCACCTTGCGTACTCATCCTTGAAACTCCCCTTCATATCCTCCAACTTCGCCTCGAAATTCATCGGCGCGAGGTTATTGACGATGAATAAAATCTTGTCCGACACCTCTTCCGGCGGCTCCTCCACCTCCTCCTCGAACTGGTCCGGACGAATCACATTGAACACAACGGGTGGTTCAGCAGGTCCAAGACTCAGTCCCCCGGGCGTACTCGACCCATGAACCGCAGCGGCCAACGCGCGCTGAATCGTCGCCCCGAGGTCCGGTCGCGCCTCCAACAGATGTGGGATATTCAACAACGCCTGACATAGCGGCTGCCACTCCGACAACCTCGACTCGAACCTCGACAGTGCCTGAATCCCAAACTTGAACAGGTTCGTCTCCGGCGGACAGTTCAGCGCGTCGATCACGTATCGGATCGCGATGCCGAGCGGAATATAGTCGACGAGCTGGAACTGAATGATCGACCCGAACAGGTATCCCGTCATCGCGAGCTCCCGGGCGGGGTACCACGTCTGGAAGAACTTGTATTCGTCGAAGAGGAAGAGGAGCATGCAGCTAAGAATCTCGTTCTCGCGCGGGTTCGTCGACGACTTGTTCCGCTCGAGCATCGCGATCACCTCGTCGATCGTGATCTGCTCGTCGTACATCTGCTTGAAGATCCCGTCCACTTCGGCCTCGATCTCGGGGGAGTAGTTGATGACAGTGAAGCCCGGTTCGGCGTCGGTGCCGGGAGCGAGGTTCATGAGACGGGGGTGGATTTGGAGACAGGCGTTTCGGATCTCGAGACAGTAGTCGACGTCGTTCGGGCGCATGCTGGTGGCACTATGGGCAGAACATAAATAAACGTGATTAAGTCGCATTTAAAAGCCACATACTTGTTACGGAGGAAGCGGAGGAAAATGGTGATCGTGAGAGGGTTGAGGGTCATGGTGCGCGACTCGACCTGAGGATCAGAAACCCGCGTCGTCTTCTCGGAGTACCAAGAGGACGAGTGGTGAAGACGTTGTCGCCGGTACACATCTTGACCTGGACTCCGGCCTTCTGACGGTTCGCCACAGCTTCTCGGATACCGTCTTGGAAAGAATCCTTGATTCCTGTGATACCTATGAGAGTTAGACCATTTGCCAGATGCTCGTATTCAACCTGATGACAAGTTATTAGCAAGGGAAAACGAGAAGAAAGAAAGAAACACACCTCATACCGTTCATCGATGTCGGCACCATTCGGCGGCCACTGCTCAAAGTTGCTGTAACAGAGCACTATAGTCCGCAACGACTGACTAGCTCAGAACGTGATTGTCCGAGAAATATTATCCGCTTCGAGCTCCCCTATCTCAGCTGTCTCTATCTGACCCTCCCCGTCCACCATGTCCTTCTCCCCAGTCACCTTCTTCCCGCCCTTCTTAGCCACGACAACGTGCCTCCTGCACCTCACCGTCAAAATCTTGCTGGCGCCCTTCAAGTGAATCCTCCACTTCTTCTTCTCGCCTGCCTTCAGCTGAACGACCACACCCATGGCCTTCCGTGCACTTGAGAACGGCACAACCTGAGCGACACCGTCGTCCCGTTCCGCATTATCCCGAACCTTGCGATACGACCTCCATCCCCTCTCCTTCGTAAACTTCAATAACGCCGTCTCCGTCTTACTGCCAATGAACACCATCTTGCCCGACCCCGGACCCTCGTCCTTAAACGCCATCGAATTAACCGATATCGACGCGCCCAAGAGCACGCGAAGCTCGAGCGAGATTTGTTCATTCAGGCCGTTCGAGTCCAGCGGGAAATACAGCAGGCGGCACAGAAGATGCCATCACACTTGCGACAGTGGTGTCTGCGCTCGAAGATGGAGAACCGCTTCGGGGCATCAAAAGAGGCAGGGTCAGAGATTGTGGCATTGGAGGACACGTCAGAGGGGAAGGAGCATGAAGAGGACGCAGAGGACGGCGAGTATTCTGCTGTGGCACGTGGTGTGTTGCGGATACTTGATAGTTTTGGAGGTGGTGGACGACCACATTAGTGGAAACAAGAGGTGACGATGAGAATTTGGCGGAGTCGACGATCTCCACTAGATCGTACAGATTGCTGCACGCGGGAATATGAAGGTGTGCGTGGAAAGGTGGACGAAATGAGAGAAGTCGAAGGCGGGCAGGCGAAGAGCGTAGCTTGTATAGATTGTGGGAAAGCTTGCCACAGTCTGGCATAGAGGCTGTCAGGCACAGTATATACGGACTTGGACTGGAGAATAAGAGTAGTAAATATTAGCGGATGCCAAGCTAACATGGACACCTCATATAGGAAAGGATAGAGATGATGATATACGTGACATACCTGCAGGGCGAGGACGCGTGCGGTGATGTTGGCGCAGCGGTCGTAGCATTGTAGTGGCAGCACGGTTGTATGGCGAACGGTCGGGGACCGATGTAGAAGGCTCAGAGCTGGGTGTTGACGGGGTCTTTGCGGTACTGTGATCTTGGTGGTAGGCCTCGGCAAGACAAAGAATGATCTAAGAAGGTCAACAATGTCAGCATTCTGTTCAAACACAGTTCGAAAAAAACAACCCTCGCCGCTGGTGTCATGCGCAAATCAGGGCGACACCAGACAAGGCACACGGATATTGGGTAGAGGGACACACCTTCTGACATGAAGGTCAATTGTGTTCGAGGGAGACTAGGGTTGAGCGGCTTGACCTCGTGTGCCATGTATGTGATTGGTTAGAGGAAAGAGCAAGAAACCAGTGTGCAGCCTGCAGTCTAAGCTCCAGGATAAACTCGCTGCCAGTAGATATATAAGAAAGGCTTGACTTCAGACCTGGAGAAGAGCCATTGTCGACTAGAACGAAGATGAGACCGATGAGAGTTGAAGTAACGAGGCTGTGGCGAACTCTTCGATAAGCTAAGTTCTGATTGGCTGCACCCAATCAGCTTATGTTATGTGGCACAGCGGTATTTACCACCGTGGGTGGCACCACTCGACTTCAGCGCTTTCGCGTCAGCCCCGAGTAATTCTCTGCTCTGCCTCTGTATATCAAGTACTTACATGCAAGGGTTTACATCCTTGTCTTTGCACCGGGCTGAATAGGGACTGGAGTGACGAGAATGGCACAATTTATAGAAATGACACAGAGGACAATAGGTAGAGGTATCAGTGAAAGCGCTTGTATAGAAGAATGAGAGAATAGTGGGCGATGACCAAAAAATGTATGAGTGACACGGCAATAGAGAAAGGGAACACGTTTAAAATTGGGAGGTAGAGGGTATACTGGAATAAACTTGCACCAAAAGGATACTGAGCTGGAAATGAACAGCGAAGAGCAGTCAGAAGGCGCCAAGAACAAGATACTAAATAACTCGAGATGATGACAAATGAGACATGTCCAAGAATATGTGACGGATGCACTGTTAACAAGAAAAGATAGACATAGAAGCCAAGAAGAATAGGCTCGACAATAACAAAATATCAAGAAGTGAGGACGACAGAACCACAACAGCACTCGGGATATGAAGTTGACAAGATACACTGGCTCGAAGCGATGTCTAGGTTAGTTGAGATAGTGTACGTCGAAGTCGTCAAAGCCAACCTGTCATAATCCCTCCTCCTATTCAGAATGCCCGGGCCGCCGAAGTGACCTTACATCCCGTTCCATCCATGATTGAAGTGAAAGTTGGCAGGGGGCGGAGCATACATATGCGGGGCTTGAGGGTGATGCGTGCCTGCTGCAAAGTTCTTTGGCAACGTCTGAGAGAAGCACGGAACAAGGTGAAGATGGAAAAAACTTACGAAGAATATATGTGGATAAGCTGGCGGAACGATTCCTGACACCGAGATGGAAAAGGGAGGGCTGGTGTTAGGATAATTTGGGCCTGAAAACCCGTGTCCAGTGAAAGGCGCCGTCCCAGATCCACCAGCTCCAGGTCCACGGGCACCAAATCCACCCGTCCCATCTCTGCCAGCACCTGGAAGCGGGTGGGATCCATCTCTGGAATCACCGTGTACGCTAGGAGGTTGTGAAGCAAACTCAGGACCTTCGCTGGCTGCATCTGGCCAAGCAGCATCAGAACCAGGATCTTGGTTATCGGCCATGTCGTTGGGGTTGCCAGTCGAGACGGAGTCCAACTCGCTGCCAACGGTAGCAGTGATTCTGGAGTAGAGCGTGTTCCCTTCCTCGTCAGTGGTGTTCTGGGATGCAGGTGGAGTGAGAGGGCGAGGGTTATGAAACGATAGTGGATGCTCGGAGGAGGATGGACGAGAGGTATAAGTGGGAACGGGGAATGGGGATGATGCAGAGACTGTGGTGAGGTTACCCATGCCGTGCTCTCGAAGGTGGTCGTACCAAGCGGAGGCGGCCTCTGCCTTTGTTGTGAAAGACTTGTAGCCATCGCCTTCGATATTGCCGTGTACGAAGGGTGGTGCTGAGCTATATGTATAATATCAGACTGACGAACGTGATACAGGAGGGTAGATAGCATAGTGATAAAGAAAATGGCCTACTTGATGTCAAAAACCCCTTGGTGAAGGCCTTTGAAAACGATGACCCAGCTACGCAGTATGTGCATCGGCCTATTAAGGGGCATTGGCGTCGGCGGTCGATTTTGGAGGAAGGTGGAAGGGGTGTTGATCTGGCCGCCATCGCTTTTCAGAGATGGAGAGGACGAGCGTTCATCAAAAGCCGCATCCTCATCAATGGCGCGCTGAGTAGTGATTAGGCGAGGCGGAACCATGGTAAATTGTGCGACGGTGTCGTCGTCGACTTCGACATCGCTCTCGTTGTTGTCAAGTTCAAACGAAGCAGCCAAAGACGGAGGAGGAGCAACGGGACTAAGAGGTGTAGATGTGTAGGTCTCTGCCATATGGAAGTCGGTTTGAGGTAGCGGAAAAAAGCAGTAGTGGAAGATGGTGGTGGTTAGAGTCCAGGTACGGTCATGAATCCCAGAAGGAGGGGGCAAGTTTATATATGCTGGACAGACCGTGAGTAGCTGTACAGAATTGTACAATTTGTATACCGATCTGTCGCCGCTGCGGGTGGCACCGGAACCTCGAAAAGGTTTACTTGGCTTCCATATTGAGTATATAGCAATCCCTATTTTTACACACAATCTCTGCCTACTTCACGTATTCGCCGTCTTTAATATTTCCCATTCGTTATCAGAAAAAATATTGTCTCAATAAAGGGTGTTAAGGAGCGACACACAGTACGATTAATTTGAGGAAAGGAAAGCAGAAAACAACACACAGATGAACCGAGAACGTAAAACACATTATCAAAAAGAGCAAAGCCACGCCGTGTCAGCCCGTCGGCAATCCTACAAAGACAGTCCTCGGTGTCTAGCCAGATGTCAATCAACTTATCGGTCTGCTCAAAGTGCTATGTCGTTCTAGAAGAAGTAGTTCAGCAAGAGTAGACTGCCTTTGAGAGCAAGGACATACGTTCGATGACCTCACAGTCTACCTAAGACAGCAGTAAGATAGTGCTACTTAGAGCCACAGAAATAACATACCATGCCACGACGACAAATACAAAGAATCTTGACTGTTGAGATGTGGCGAGCACCGAAGCGAACGTGCTGAATGATTTAAAGTTAGAAAAAGAAAGAAAGATTTCATCTAGGAATACATCCTACCTGGATAGGTGGACCCTCTCAGGTCTCGTTTGCATCGGGGGGCTGGCGTACAGTGCGGGTGCAGAACATATAATAAGCAGCATAGATAAGGATGATACAGTATACGCCGACTAGAAGCCCCATCAGTATGATCTCAGCAGTGGTCGCGTCTCCAAGGGGTTTCGATGACATTGAAAACGATGGGAAATGGTCCACAGGGAGTACCTGCAAGCAGTTTTGAAAGGATTGGCGAACGAGTGCTTCTGCGGGGCAGGCAGCGGAAGGTGGTGGTTTGTTCAAGGTGGAAAAGACGTATAGAATCTTACATATTAGATATAGGAAATTGTAGTCCTGAAGATGATGGATGTGACGTACATGACTAACATCATTCAACGAGCAAGTTGATGCAGCTGTTTATAGCACGGGCGTTTTGCAATGCGAACTGACGGACCTGCCCGGTTACATTGCAATGCGAACTGGCGGACCTGCCCAGTTACATTGCAATGTCTTTACCTCTGCGCTTCGCATGTCCAATGGAAGGTGGTGACATCGAGGTTTTGGTGCCCTGAGTCGGGATGCAAAGGCGCTTGTCTCCTCATCTGCCTTGCGCTTGAGGAAACAACCGTAGCCTGTAAGAAGAGGGACAAAGAGAATAAAGAGGAAAACATATTGTTGGCCACGAAAGGTTCAAGCGAGGCTCGGAATCTGCCGGCCTTCCAAGCTACCGACATCTATCGAGACACAGATCCTTGTTGCCTTCTTCTGGGCGCAATGATGATGGCCGCATTCGTGGAAATATTCACATCAAATCTTGTTATGGTATTGCCTGGTCCGCCCTGTCACACCTCGTGTTCTCCACTTGCGTTCTCCACTCGTGTTCTCCACTCGCGTTCTCCGTCTTCACTCTGGTTCTCCTCCCTCTCAGGCTTCGATTTGCTGACTCTATCAAATCCTTTGTCTCATGTCAGTCTCTTCTGAAGTTGAACCTAGAAAGCGTGGCCGGGGGAGTTGGGCTCATGGGAAAGCCAGAGAGTTCCTTCTCGCTCACCGAGATCAGTTCTGGGCTAGCGAGGGTAATAAGGCTGAACGTGGCACTTTCTACGATCGTGTTACAAATCTCTGGTTCCAGAATTTTGGACCTAATCAACCGTACAACGAAGCGCCTCCGGATGATATTGAACTGTCTTATGTTTTGAAACCTGGCGTTGTTAGACCAAGAGGCTCGGGGGAGTATACCAGGCATTGGGTGGCTATGCGAGATGTGCGTTCCTTCCTACTACAATCAATCCGCCAGTCTCATCATGATCATACTCTTGGTGACGGGTCTAACGATATGTGCTGTCAAATGTTAGCGTCTTGGAGCATGGATGCGGAATAATTTGGCCTATGGCGCTGAAGGGCAACAAATGACAAACGCCGCCACATCTGTCGCGCAAGACGGTGCCACTTCTGTCGAACAGGAATCTTCCTCGGGTAACTGGGTCGGGGGACTTCTTACTTTCTACAAGCAGCATCACTTTGAACGAATCAAGGATACATACAATCGCAAGTGGAGTCAAGCTCTGGCTGATTTCGATGACAGCATGGCCTCCGGTGGTGCACCTCAGCTGCCCAAACCCTCAAATTTCCATGCCATGAATGCCGCTGTCCCAGAGTGCTTCGATAACGAACCTGCGGAATTCAAGGAGGAGGTGACCAAAGCACACGCTGCGGCTGTTGCGGCGAAGGAGAAAAGGAAGGAGGTGGAGAAGGAGATCGCCCAAGGCCTACGCAGGAAGGCAAGGAGAGAGAAAACGAGAGCAAAGGAGAAGGCAAGGGCAAGGGCAAAGGAACTTGAGGTAATAGAAAGGACTCCGGAGGAGTACCAGAAGTGAGTTCTTTTTCGTTCCCCTTGTCCATCCTCATGAATTTGGGCCCCCTTTTCGTTACGCTTTCATCATGGTCTCATATTTTGCATTGTACTCTTAATCCTCCCATATCATTGAATCGTTGATTACATGTCGCTGGCACTGAGCACTGTGCTTTCAGAGAAATCGACGGCATATGCAATGAGTTACAGTTTACACTCGACAAAATCTATGCGAAGGCGGGGCTGTGCGCCACCATCACTCTTGCCGGCCCATGGCCCTCAAAAAATGGTCAAATCCAATATTTGACGTGAGGATTTTTCGCTACAGTCTTCGTCGCCCTTACGCTCAACAAACACATTTTATCAGACTTCAAAATAACAACGGCCATGGTGGAGTAGGTCGTCGATGGGACGAAGTTGATCAAGCGGGGTGGAAAGCGGCTGCTACATCGTTTGTGGCTACAATAAGCCCACTTTACAGTCAGTTCACCACTCTTGTACTACATCTCGAGCATCTCACTGACTTGCGGTGCTTACTTAGGTCCTGAGATTTGCAATCGCCGCGCACTTAAAAGCAGTGTGGCCTCGCAGCTCAAGCCTGAACAGACCTGGGCCACCCAAACTGACTCACATATACGCGAGCCTGGTCCTAGCACAGCACAATCAGACATGATTAAGGCTCTGTCCACGCCACTCCTCGAACTAGATATCACTCCATCGACAACTTCCACATGGCGCCACACACAACGAGATCGGTCGACGCTGTCACAGAAGCCGGATGCATCCAGTTCATCACTGAACTCGGATCTTTCTTCCTCACATACACTGAACACGCCCCCGGCATTCGACCCCATATCTTCTCAGTGCATAGCCAATCCCACGGTCGCCACCATGACCAAACCGACCTCCATGCTCGCCACCTTCACTAAACCGTCAAGTTCCGTCACGAGGAACTGCTCTGTGCTCCAAACCGTTCATGGTGATCCTGCGGACCTGGGTGTGTCAAATTTGCCTTCTGACTTGAGTCTGTCTGAGTCAGGCACTACGGACACTCCCTCGTCGACCGCTTCCTATCCCACTCAGCTCACAGCCAGCCCCATAATCGCCACTCCAAACGATCCAGCCTCCGTAATCGCCACTCCAAACGATCCTGCCTCCGTCCTCGCCAACTCCTTCACCGTACCTTCGAGCTCTGCCACACAGGACCTCCCTCCAATCCAAGCCATTTACGGCGATGATATGGCTGTCGCCAGTGACCCATTCTCCGACAAGAGCATTGTTGATCCATTCCTCAGTGCTCCCGGAATGCTCGAGCCTCCAAGCAACCTGTTTGGTGCTGGATTCGTATGGCCTGGCCTGGTTGCAAATATGGGACTGGACGCCTCCTACCTCTTTGACGGTGATGTCCCACTAGTAGGGGTTGGCTCGCCAGAATCAAGGCTGGATCAGTTCCCGCATACATCCTCTGACTTTGACGAACTCATGGACGCATCGGGTTTCTCTTTGGGCATGCGGACTCGGGCAACGAACAACTTCTATATCCCCGATGTTCTCAATTGCCGATCAGAGTGGACGGAATTAAACAGCCATGCGTACCCCAGCACGCCCATAGAAGGAGATGATGCACGTAAAGATGAGGAGAACGGGGATGTAGATGAGGAGGAAGACGGCGATGGCGACGGAGAAGGGGAAGAGGAAGAGAAGGAAGAATTGGAGGTATCGGAGAGCGTTGCGTACAGTAGGAAACGGAAAAGGTAGGTTTTATTAACATCAATATACAATGTCACTCATATCCCTGTCTCCTTTCAGTTGTGATACAATATCCACTTATCCGGCTTTTGAGAAACGGCTGTGCCACAGGTGGTAGGTGGGTCTCTGTGTGGCGAGGGTTTGTTTGTTCGTGATCTTGTGGCGTTTATTCCACCAGTCAGATAATTGATCCTAGTGGTGTCGCTTGTCCAGCCGTTGCTTTGTGGCCCTACAAATTGACAAGCCTCGAGCATCTTTTCTTGGAGATATGCAAATGTTCCTCGTCATGCAATTTTCTTCCTATATTAGGGTAACGTGTGGCGATTGAAATATCGGCCTTGGACTGGTGGCACTTTGACTGTTGTTCAACCGCTTACGATGACATTTACTAATTTTCTAATGTTAATTGCGGCCTCTGCACCTTGGCCATCATTCAAGTATGAAGGAGATTGAGCAAAAAACACTCTGACCTTATTTCAAACGCAAGACTCAGGGTGTCACCCATCGACGCCACTCTTATTATGTCATCTCTTCATTTGAACAGTGTATCAGAGCAGTGTGGCAACACACACTGGGCCTTCCTCACGTCCTTTCCTTCACATTTCTAGTTGATCAGGTCTTGCCTCACATATCGTACATGGATACGATTAGTCCCCCATGTATCCAACATTCTTACATCAAGCCAGTCCATCAGCAGTACTATCGTAAGCTATCGGTGCGCAAGCGGTGTTTTCGAAATCCTGATTTAGTAGACCGCAGGCTATGTACATCAATGGACAGGTAATACATTTCCTCGGTCACGAGCAGAGGATCAACAACCCTGAATTTTCTCACCATGCCCTCTTGCCCTTGCCCTCCGTCGCCCTCCGTCTTGTCACCACCACATCTCCACCTCGTACTACCCTCACTCATTTTTAACACTCAAAAATCCTAGCACTTGTTCTAGGGACGAAAATCCTGTCTATTAGGTGTGTCCTTGAGCATTTGTTTCTATTCCGATGGCCCTGCTGAACCTCGTATTAATCACCGCTTCTGGCACTTTCGACCAGCCCGCCGTCCTCCAAGCCTGCAAGAGCTCAATATCGTGGTTTGTTCATACTGTCCGTAATCTCTTTCTCTCAGATGAAGTCATCAATAAAGATTTATTCCATTTAGAACATCCAAATTGCAGACGCGTTGCTCGCTGAAGTAGACGCGACGATATTACAAACGCGTCAGTCCTTGTCCGTCTCCAGGTTGCATACTCCTCAATGACGTGTCGTCACATTGTCTCTACCCTGGGCCATGCTCAGACACATCAGGCTAAGGTAGTCAAGCCACCCTTACTCAAAGGGAGCGACCTGTTTCCTCTTCTCTGCCACTAGGTCTTCCGCCTCGGTGAGCTTCAGCTTTATATGCTTCGCATATCCTTCTAATATTGGTACACAGGCTATTTTTACTGCCAGGTTTTTTTCGGCCAGACTCAAACCCGTGCTTGGAGTTCTGTAAGTTATGACTCCAGCTTATGACTATGAAATTCGTTCACGATTGTCATATTGAACCTGTTCCTTGTCAGGCTTACATCCTTCTGATGGCGGATTCTGAACGACGCTACCGCACTCGCTCACTAAGCCGGGCGGAATCACAACCTCGCAGTCCTTCTCGTGGTGACCAGAACGGTACCCTTCAACCTACGACTCGGAACACCAATTACAGCCAGGCCATGGGTCAAAGTGATGACTTATTCTTGAATGCTCATACAACAGGCACTCGTCTCGCATCTCTTCGCTCCTTCTCTGCCATTCCGGAATCACCCTCTCAGGATCTAGGCTTTCCGCCTCTGGAACCGGAGTCTCCGACAGATATTGTCTTGGAAAATCGCCAAAAACGCCAAAACGCAAACCGCCTCAAGCAGCAGCCTGTTCTTTCTCATCTTGATGACTCTGCTCACCAGACAAATCTCCTTCCGATACGTTTCGCTCAACTTCCAGCCAAGTCCTCTCAGAGTTCCAGCACTGGTTTCACAACAAATGTGCCGCATACCCTTGTACCACACGTCGAGGGAGACAACAAGCACCTTCCACCAATTACTTCCAGCCAGCTTCCAGAAAATGGCGGCGATATGCCACATCGACGACACTATGTCTCAAAAGTCCCCGAACACTCTCCAATATTTGAGGACCCACACCAGGAATATGAATCGCTTGGCTCGCCAGCTGAAGGTATGCAAATTTTAAGTCATTGTATACATCGGTCTTCGAACTGAGCCCTGTCACACAGGCCCATCAGTTCATAACCCGACAAATGCCATCGAACCTCATCCACTTCGAGTACATGATATTAGAGACGGTAAGATAGAGTTCGTTGATCAATAGACATATTTCAATGCTCTGATAATACATCACAACTCTAGACAGTACCGTGAAAGAAGCGACCCATAGCTCAAACAAGTCACTCGGCGAACACCAAGTAGGGAGATCCACTGGTCACGAGTAAGTCAAAATCATGATGTCTTGTAAAAGTTCTATCCCCTCATTTGTCAACAGAGGCACCGAACGTTCCAAGCACGAAGTGAGTTTGGCAGGTGAAATTGACGTGTCTGTATCCGGGTATGCTTTCTCATTACAGTCATATGTCGTATGCAGGCAAGCTGAGGTAGATTAATGCTGCGTTTTGATAGGAACGACAAGGATAACGAGGCAAACCGGTCTGACAGTGGTAGTGATAGAGATGACAGCTCAGAAGATGACAGTGACAGCATACTACATGTTGCCCGCACAACGACCGGTCGCGTCTCTCATGCAACCTCTGCCATTTTGAGCCAGGGCTTTGCGCAAATCGATGAACTATTCGGTGATCTTGAGCAGCAATCTAAAATGTCTGCTCAGCGACTGCTTCGGCACTACAACAACCACCGGAATTTGAATGGAGGTGCTCGTGCCACAAATCACTGGAATCTTTATCAACCATACTTTCGGCAACATCAGGATGAGGAACGTGCTCAATTGGAAAGTGATGAACTCCAAGGTGTGTTTCGGACCTCATGGAACGGTAAAGCATAATGCTGTGGACACCTACTAACATCCCATAATTCAGGGTGCACAGAGGCCCAAATTGTGAAATATTGTTACGACAAGTTTCAGAAACGTTATTCACGAAACGACGCATGGAAAATAATACTCGAGCGGTGGGAGGAGTTTGAGGAGGCCGCTGATCAGGGTGTTACAAGTATAGCTGACAGGACTCGCCTCTTTAATAAGTCTGTGTCGAGCATGGAGGAAATCGTGAGTCATGTCACTCATCTGGCACACTGATAATCTGTTAACCTGGCCCCTTGTTGCAATAGGCTAATCGTGAATCAAGCTTGAATAAATTTGAATACTTGATACTTGCGTGCGGTGCGCTTGTTAACAGTGATGGAAGTCTGGTACGGGTCTCTGGCACACCACTCACGCACGGGGTACGATTGACTATATCAATTTTTTCGACTGCTCTCATCCGTCAAAACTGAGTATTCATCCTCCCGCAGTTCCTACAGAAACTTCTTTTGCCCGGAATTGATGTTGATGAGCTACAGGGGCACTTTAAGACCCATGTTTAGTACGTCTTATAGACTAGCGGTATCGTGGTCATCTACTAATGCAATGGTATATAGTGAGCAAAATAGGGTCGAGCGTCTCAAGTTTTTGAACTCACAGGTCGCAGTCATGAACGCTGTTCCTCTCGCATCCACTTCAGCCGTCTTACGCCTGCTTCCTGACGTCAAATCGGACAACCTCAACGTCGACAACAAGCCTATTCCTTCGAGCGAGGCTATCGTCGCTGATCAGGCAGAGGCATACGATAGCACTGCTGACAGAATCAGAGACTGGGTGCGCCGTCAGATGAGTAAGCACACTCACAATAAGAGACTTAAATACACTCTTCAGATGGCGTGGACTGATTATTTTGTCACAGGTGCCGCCGGTGTCAATCCAAAATCGCTCAAAAAGTTGGCATGGAGAAAGCTTCCCTCTGAATTTGGTTCCAATGGTCTATACTGGAAGAACTACCCGGAAGACGTACGATTTCCGCCTGAAGTAGCTGCTGGCAGAGGCATCTCAGCGTTGACAAAGAGAGAGATGGAGGTACTGTGTATGCAGATGAATGACCCGACTCATCCTATGGCTATACTGAAAGATACAGCCCGAAACGGTGTTAGAGGTGCGTCTTTTTGTCTGATCACAAGATATCATCTACTAATGAAAAGGCTTCATCTTCAGGCCATCTTTCAGAGGAAATGGTCGTCATCGAAGGCGTGCCCCCTGATTCGGAGTCCAAGCTTGCCTTTGGTCGAGTGCTCTATAGAACTGGCAAATCTGCACGGAAAGGATTGCCTCGTCTGCAGCCTAACCCTCCGGATCAATCGAGGGAATCTATGGACAATACCGGGCCAGGTATGTTCTGATATGGTGTTCTTCATGAGCGGTCACAAGTCAAACAATTGTGAAACGAGTAATCTTACACCCGGCATAGATCTTGCAGAAGGGTCAGGCGGTCCCGCCACTACGGACGACTCACCAGCTGGTGATCAGATGCAAACTAAGGGGAAAGAAACCGAGGTCGTATCAACACAAGGGCTGAGCGTAGACAATGACGCACAGTCCAACCCGAAGCGTCCTCGATCTCCTAGCCAGCAGGAGCACCTCTCTGAGCCTCCCACAAAGATACCGCGACAAGATTCTTCTCAAAGTGTCGCACGATCATCCCATATTGCCAAACCAGACACCACCTCCCATAAAAGTTCGACATCCCGCAGCAAGACACTCAAATTCTCCGTAGCGTTACCCTCTCAGCCTCATCCGGAGGCAACTGGTGGTGCGGGCAGCGAGAAAGCACAGTGGCGTATGACCGAGATGACAGATGAACGCATAGACTCTCCCCCGGGTGTAACGGAAACAGTACGTGGCCGTCACGGTACGGTTTGCCTCTGGAGTACACTAACAGATGCGATAGACTCGTGTTCATACCGTTGTCGAGCCCAAAAATGCAGTGTCCGCTCAGCCCACATCACCATCCCACCCGCACACCAATGTAACTTCTGACCAGCCCCATTCTCGACCCCGTCCACGACCTATCCACAAGGGTTCAAATCGGACAGAACTGTTAAAGCGTAACGAAGAGCATCAAGGGACTTCAAATGTCAGTTTTGTGGTTTCTGTGGACGAATACCTAATCTCTAATGCCCTTCACACAGAACGATGGCAGCATCATTGACGGACCTAGTATGCAACATTTGGTTACATCGCTGATGACAGATGAGATACCAAAGAGCGACATCCCAATCCTCCCGCCCTCAAATTCCTCAGGCATGAGAGATGAGCGTGGCGAACTCTTTCCAGAGAACGGTAAATTCACCCTCGTCATATTGATAAATATCTCGTGACAAGTCTGCTCTTAGGGGTAATACGTCAACACAACAAACTTCATACCCCACAGCCCCAGGTCTTGACCTTTCCAGCCTCAACATTAGCATCGACTACACGCCCTACCTCGTCAATGTCATTTGACCCTTCAACTGCAGCCTCTCATAACTCGTCTTCTCGTTCACGTGGGCCTTCTCGCCCTCCATCTATTCGCCCTCCATCAGCCCGGGGATCTTTTACACATCCTACATTTCCGCACCTATCGTTCATGCCTGGGCCACATAGACAAGGCAGTGCATCGACATATCATCATCCTACTGTTGGACCTACACTGCCACCTATATCGGAAATGACCGATTTTTCTGCGGACTGGTACACCTCACCACGAAATTTGGACGGCCCGGCCACTCAAGGCGTACACCATACTATGTTTCCAGGTATTCAAAGTGCCCGTGGCCAGGATAATTACCACTCTGAGATGGGCCACACTCCTCACTACCTTAGCGCTGAACGAGCACCCTCCACAGCGCCTTTCGATCACCATTCACATCCCATACTCAGACATGGAAACCAGAACGTCGGAGGTTATTATCGCCCGCAGACCGGCTTTTCAATGCATCACGGCCCTTATTCCGACCATACCGATTCTGTGCACATGCGTACCGATGTCGACATGCATATGAACCAGTTCGTCCCATCCATGATGAACATGCACCACAACAATATCCATACGTTCGACATGTCAAATGTCCTCAGCGAAGAGTCCATGAGCACTGCTGGCCATGGGTATTTCTCAGCGGATGACGGTGCTGGTCCGGGTGGCGATACCGGCGTAGCAGGCCCTGGGCCATCCACAATGAGTCACTTACATCAAGAGACTCGTTTACGCCAGGCTGACCCTGTGATCTCAATCCCTTCGACCCTCGGAGAGGTCTATGATCATGGGCCACAAGAACGCCTGGATGGCTCATCTACATCCATGAGTTGGAATAATGGTATGAAGTGATGACGAAGAATCATTGTACGAGACCCCTATTGCGGTGAGTGCCAGTCGGGATTGTAGACCACAACTTTGGCTGACGTCTATCTCCACCACCTACTGTTCCTGTGTGATACCTGCCGTTCCGATATCTGGCACGTTTTTGCTTGCGGACCATGACTTTTTTGAAACGTAGGTGATGGTGATTCGTATCTTTGAAGTATGTGAGGAGGCCATGACTTATATTTTCTTGGTGTCTATGTTCGACAAGTTTGATGTGCAGTCCTTGTTTTGGTGTTCCAAAATTTGTGCTCGATAGCTTTAATACGACGTTAGTTTCTTGATTATTTGTGTTGTGTATTGTCTAGCTGCACGATTCCCCAGCACTACAAAATGGCATTTGGCCTGTATATCCCATGCCACGGCTGGCAAATTTATATGCTCACCAAAAGACGTCAAGATCTTGACTTTTTTTAATCTCAGGTGTTTATCCGGAGGCAACCCCGGAACGTTTAAAAAAAATCTTGTTCACCATCCTGACATGATCCCGCGATGTTTCTCCCAAATCATCCTGAGATGCTTCCGGGGTGTTTTCTCGAGTATCATACCTCAAATCATCCTGAGATAATGCTAAGGAGTATCAAAGGTATTATCATCAGTCCATCCTGGGATGATCGAGATGATAGTAAACCATCCATAAGCATCCCAGAAATTATCCTCAAATCATCGGTGAACATCCTAGAGATCATCATCATATTTCCCTGTGATTATCGCGAGGAAAATCTCGATTCAATGATATATAAAAGGCAGGACCATCGCGAGATGTCTGGCTAACAGGTCCTCTTTTACTGTAACAACATCAAACCAAACAGGACGACACGTAAGCGATTGTTGGCATCCATGGGATGACGAGTCGCCATCGACACCACCTCCAGTGCGAAAACGCCCAAGGACAAGCTACATTCCGAGACCAACGATAGCTTTGACCCCAGAGAAAAAGAAGCAGCACCGACACGAAAGTTATGGATCATAATACTTCCGTTCAATCCTTTGCTATCCTTTGTTCGTTCAACTTCCGAAGACTTGCCGTATGCGAGTTTTACATAATTCTCGACTACTTAGTCCGCTTTTGTTATTTTTGTTGTAATTTTTGTTGCAATTCACACAATCTTGATGTTAAAGACACCCCTCAGCTATTTTATACACCCGTTGTTGCTATACATCTGCGTAGGACATAGTACAACACATTGAGAGACTCGAGGCGGCGTCGTCGAGACGAAGGCAGAGTCCGCGCTCGCGTGGCAAAGGCGTGTGGCGGACGGGAGCCGCGCGGCTGGGCGCGTCCAAGAAAGGAAGGCGGTTGGGTCGGCCGCGTTACCTATTACTGAATACCTACAAGACTTGGTGACGACTCCGCGTTTACGAGTTGAGATGGCCATACGCAGGTTGGCTGACGCTGAGTCCTGGATCTCGCCACAGTTTGTCCTCTCTGCTGACCAAAGGGAGCAGCTTGTCACGGCTTACAAGCATGCCATCGTTCTCCTTCCTCGGATCGCGGCTTTCGACCTGGGTACGAGCGCGCAGCTTCTCGCCTTGAGGGAAACGTTGCAAGCGGACGACATTGTCGCGCACTGTGCTAGCCATCTGCTTGCACTTGGTCGATCGGAGGAAGCTGTCGAGATACTCGAAGCAGGCCGTGCAGTCATATGGTCGCAGGCTCTCCGCCTCAGGACGTCAGTTGACAACCTGAAAGTCGTTAACGCGGACCTTGCAGACAAACTTCGTTCTATAAGTCAACAATTGAAGACATCTTTTGGAGGAAGTCAGACCTTGATCACGGACGACGCATCGTCTATCTTGTCTGCCATGGACCAAGAGTACTACAGGACACAGAATGAGGCCTTGCGTAGTGACCGTGAGGCTGCACGGCGCCGTGATCTCAGTGCTTCGTTTTCCGCGACTTTGTCGGAAGCGCGCAGCATACCTGGGTTCGAGCTACTCATGCTCAATGAGACGTATAGCAGTCTTTCTCGAGCAGCTTCGTGCGGGCCGGTTGTGATGCTTGTACACCAGTATGCCATTGTTGTTGCATCTCCGGACCAAAGGCCTATCCATGTGCGAATCTCTGTACCAAAGGTTGATCTTCAAAAACTCCAGAACGTATTAAACCCAAGAAACGCTCTTCAAGAAAGGAGCGCCACGATGACGCGAGAAGGGATTGAATATGTGCAGTACGTCGAGGCCCCCATCTTTCACTTCCTACTAGCCGGTCTTGATAGTTACACTTCTAGCGGAACGGAGCAGACATTCTCTGACAACAGTCTAAACGAATCGAATGCAGACCGATATATCAAGAAACACCGATCGAAAGCCCTCGACCCATACTTTGAACAGCTAGCTAAGCTATGGGTGATGATCGTCAAGCCCGTCGTCGAGACTCTTGGTCTCACGGTATGTCTCACACCTCTAACTTGCTATCCCTACATATGAAACTGAAAAGTGTTTTTCCAGAAATCATCCGGTATCCATCGTCCCAGGGTCTGGTGGTGTCCAACCGCCGAATTTAGTTTCCTACCACTGCACGCTGCCGGAGTGTATCATCCTCAGAGGAAAGACAGCGTCATCGAATCGTGCTCAGATTATATGGTCTCTTCTTATACACCCACCCTGGCTGCCCTAATCTCTGCAAGACGTAATCTCAAGACGATACCTCTATCGGAAGTCAAGATCATGCCTGTGGCAGTCCCGAATGCACCCAAACTACTACCACTCAAGAATACATCTGTCGAAATCGACATCATATCGCGCATAGTGCCTCCGTCATCAATACTTCCACAAGACAGTGCTGCACCCACCGTCCGTAGTATCATCACGGCTCTTTCGGCTTCCGATCCATCTCTATCACCCTCCATCCTTCATCTTGCGTGCCACGGACAGCAAGACCCTCGCGATGCTCTGGAAAGCGGATTCGCTATGCAGGACGGGCTTCTTACGATATCTAAACTCATGCAAATCGAGATGCCTAATGCCTTCTTCGCATTTCTAAGCGCATGCGGGTCTGCGATGGGAGACAGGCGTCAGCCTCATGAGACGGTGCACCTGGCTGCTTCGATGCTCTTCGTAGGGTTCAGAAGTGTGCTTGCGACGATGTGGTACGCTCGTTCAACTTTCTGTTTGGTCACTATAGCATTGACGATGATGTCTCGAATAATCGTTCAGGCCAATGGCTGACGCGGATGGACCAAAGGTGGCTCGCGTTGTTTATGAAGCAATATTCAAGACAGAGGACAACGAATCGACCTCTACTCTGGAGATTGACCTCGATTCAATTGCATATGGGCTTGATGAAGCGGTACGCCAGTTACGGGAGGAAGGAGTACGGCCTGAGCGATGGGCTACATTTGTACATTACGGAATTTAGTTGAGATGTAGAGGATACTTTATGCTCTGACTGTGATCAAGACTAAAGCACATTTTCCAATATGTTTTGTTAGCTGCGAGGTCAACGTCCCGTCATGTTTGCGTAAAACTTTTGTGAAGAGTATACATCTGCTCAACTGCTACATACTTCCATTACAATTCAAGGTTCAAGCGCCAAAGCTTGCCAAATCCAAACCCTCCGAAACCATCCCCTCCACTAGATAAATCGCCGTCTCCCCCATAATCACCAACTTCCCCGGCCCCGCAAACACCATATTCGCACTCGTCGTTCCCAAGAAGAACTTCCCCAGCAGCGTGCCCTCGTCGTTCCACACCTGCACACCGTCGCCACAGCCGGCGAAGACATTGCCGTTCGTGTCGATTTGGATGCCATCGGGGACGCCGGTGTCTGCATAAGCAAATGTGCGGCGGTTGGAGAAGGAGCCTGATTTGGGGTCTACGTCGTACTTGTAGCTGTGGGATGAACCATCGTAAATTCTATGAATAACTCAAAACTATGAGGTGCGAGAGTGAGACATACATGGTGGCTACCTCTGTCTGGTTATTCCCCAAGAAACCGCCTGATGAGCCGGTATCCGTCCTAGAAGCAGATACAAAAATTAATACATAAGCTGAGGATAGGGATGGACAAAACTCAAACCGACGTACACATATGCCGTCTTCCCATCCCCACTGAACGCAACCCCGTTGTTTTTATCGAACTGATCCGCCACGACCTTCACCGCTCGTGTATCAGGATCGAGCATGTATACCTGATTCGGCAACAAAGGCATCGGCCTGAAGTGGTTCAACCATCCGTATCTGCGAACAATAGTAAGCAACCTGTATGGCGAGCCTTGCCGCACCGAAAACGAACCCGAAGAAAAGGCAGGACAACTTACACCACATCCGTGAAGAATATCTTCCCACTTGTAGGGTGCACCTTTACGTCGTTCAAAGAGTTAAACTGCCGTCCAAAGAAGTTGTCCAGAAGGACTGTAGTATTATGTGGCGGCGATGGGTTCACGAGAACGACGGATGGTGGACGCGTGCCACGGCCAGATGTGGTGAGGATTAGATTACCCCTGAAAGGACCTGTTCCTCCGTTCGTCATCTGGATAGTCTCTGGTAGGTCGAGCTATAAAAATATGGAACTAATTATCAGCTTATACTCTTACCAGTCGCCACCGCCACACCAACAATGCGTGACAATGAAATCAACCAGTTTGGAATTCGGGAATGCTTACTTCAGTAACGGTCACCTCTACCGCCTCCGTCCCATTCGCATTCGCCAGAGCACTCTCCACCTCTGTGATATTGATCTGCCCAACTTTACTGTTATGATCCAGATCGCTCATCCCCAATGCGCCCCCATCGTTACTCGTAAATGTGACCACATTCGTCTCGGGATTCCATATCGGCGCCTCGTGAGCGAAGGAGAACGTCGCGTTTGACGCTACGGAGCGGATGGTGGCGTTGGGGCCGATGATGGTGGTGAGGAAGGATGGGTCGAAGACTTGGAAGAAGGGAGGGGTTGAATTTGTGGGGTTGAAGAAGGAGGTGAAGGAGGAGTCGCGGAAGAGGGTGTTATTTTCGCCTAGGGCTGCGAAGGAGAGAGGGTCTACGAGCTGTGTACATACGCATGCGTGGAAGAACAATTCCTGTTTAGACAGACCTTTTTTTTTCAGAAGGAGGGATAGTGGGTACATACCACGGCTTGAGCTGGAGTCTGAGTGACATTATCCGCCGCACGTGCAAGGGTGGCAAATGCGACCACAGCGGAAGCGAGTAGGCCAGTTGGCATGGTCATGGTCTCTGACAGACGAAAGCCAGGGATGTCGTACCCGACCGTCGAACCATCCGGCCATCTTTATAGCCTGAGCGCGTCGATGCATCTCATCTCCTATTCCCGCCAATTATGACGGCAAAAGCTCGAGGCAAGTCAAGTGAGCCAAGGACGTTTGGCATGGAAGATATATTCTTGTCCGCGGTATAGGAATTCCCAGTACATGGACCGAGCACCTGATCGCACTGCGGGACAAAAAATATCCTCGTGAATGAAATATAGGAAGTTGTGTTGGCGATGACGACGTTGAAAGGGACACAGGGGCATCATGAGATATCTGGCTGAGATGGCTTGAGAAGAAAGAAGCAGGAGAGAAGCCAAGGCGGACCGCCGTGCCATTCGCTGTCAAGCTTTTCGGACCTTTGTTCGGACTTCTTGAACGCGTATATAGTTCGTGGGTAGAATGTTGATCCTGGAAAGGAATAGTACGCGGTGGGGAGTTGATGATCAGCAGAAAGTCAAATACTTTTATATGAAAAGGACGTCGGGGAGTCGGGGCCATTGTCAGTCGTAATTTCGGACGTCAGCTATAGTGAAGCACGTATCGTATCATCTACAAAGCCCACATACGAGCCCTCATCGACGAGGGCCTTCTCTCTCCATCTCATGCCCTCACATGCCTACACAAACCCCGCAAGGTCCAACCCACCGACCCTCAATCCACTAACCAAGTAGACCTCCGTCTCTGCCATGATCACCATCCTTCCCTTGCCCGCAAACACCATATTCGCACTAGTCTTCCCCACGAAGAACTTGCCCAACAGTACACCATCAGGGTTGAAAACGTGTACTCCATCGCCACACCCGGCGTAGAGGTTTCCTTGGGTGTCAAACTGGAGACCGTCTGGGATTCCTGTGTCGATGTAGGCGAAGACGCGACGGTCGCGGAAGGTGCCTGTGCGAGGATCGACGTCGTATTCATATCTGTATGAAGGTAAGGGATGGTAGAATAGTCAGGTTAGGAAGTCAGTGAATAGTGGGCGTTGCGTACATCGAAGCAGGATCGGCGTGATTCTTTCCGAGGCGGAGACCACCCGCTGAACCTGTGTCGGCTCTATACAAACATCGTCAGAGAAATCCCGAAGACGTAGTCATTGATATAACATACACGTATGCTTTCTTGCCGTCAGCACTGAATGCAAGTCCATTACACTTGTCGAAATCGTCCGCCACAGCTCGTACTATACCCGTCTTGGGATCGAAGCTGTACAGTTGTATAGGCAATATGGGTTGAGGTCTGAAGTGGTACAACCATCCATAGCTATGTTGTTGACATCATGTTAGTGACCTGGCGCTGGTTCATACAGCGGGAGACGGGCTCACATAACATCGGTGAAGTAAAACTTGCCGTTGGTCGGGTGAAGTTTGATGTCATTCAGCGAGTTGAATTGGCGGCCGTAGAAGTTGTCCAGTAGGACAGTGAGATTGTGTGGTGGTTTCGGATTGACGAGGACAATATTGGGAGGCCGTGTGCCCCGTCCAGAGTTGATGAGCACCAAATCGCCTTTATAAGGCCCAGTTCCTCCGTTCGTCATCTGCACCTCCTCTGGGAGATCAACCTATTCACAACCGAAATCAGAGCCACATTTCATATTCGGACACACGAAGGTGCAATGCAAAATGTACTCACTTGCGTCACACCGACCTCAATCGCTCCCCTATCCTCTTCTCCCAAGAACTCCAACGCCATCTCCACCTCCCCAAGGTCAACCCTACTAACCACACTATTTCTATGCCAATCACTCATCCCCAACGCTCCCCCCGCATTGCTCGCGAACCAGACCTGGTCCGTCTCAGGGTCCCATATCGGTGCCTCATGGGCAAACGAGAATGTTGAATTTGATGCGATGGAGCGGATGACGGCGTTGGGTCCGAGGACAGAAGTGAGGAATGAAGGATGGAAGATCTGGAAGAAAGGTGGTGTGGAGTTTGTTGGGTTGAAGAGGGTGGTGAAGGAGTCGTTGCGGGAGGCTGGGCTGTGTTCGCCCAGGACGGCGAACGAGAGGGGGTCGACGAACTGCGATATTTTTTCAGGTAAATGTCAGCTTCACCGTCAAGAATAAAATGGATGGACACGGAATGAGTTTGAATGGATGATGTATGAACACGCACGACTGCCTGGGGTGGAATACCCTCGAAGACGTCCTCCTTGCCCATCAACCTCTCAACGAGACTCTCACCAAACCCACTGCCTAAATCATACAACCCCGTATAAGACAACGCAGCGGCGGCACCAACGCCAATAACGCACGCCACGACATAACTTGACGTCGAGCGACCTGAATCGGAAGTCAACTTCGCACTCCGTTGGGGTGGTCGTCCAGAGGCGGTTTTTTGTCGTATTTTCCTGGCAGACATAATACGTCGCTAAAGTCGATCAAGACGATGGAGATGGTAGCAGTTATGTTGCAAAGAAGAAGTCTGGCAGCCGAATTTTTGGGGGAAGTTACTGGTGGACCTCCTTATCCACATCACCCCCACCCCGCATCAAGCCATCCTATCTCTCCCAGTCGTCGAGCCAATGAACGAGCTCGCAAAATTAAAACCAATTTAGGAACACCGCCAAGGGCCTTTCATTGCGCTGCCGACGGAATAGTATGGCTGGTTTGTCGCTACCTGGAAATTTCGAAAGGGGAGAGTACATATTGGCACGCGTACGATGAGGTATAAAGTCAGGCGGTGTTCGAACTTCGCGTTGTTTCCGGGCCTTTGTCTTCCATCACAACACGGCCAATTGCACCCTGTCCCACCACGCTTTGAACTACTGTCTGCCTTTCATTTCAATACCATCTACTTTTTGTTTGATCTTATGCTTAGAAATGGCTAGTGTCTCTCGGTCGGCATGATGGGTATCATTCCCCCGGGCCCTTGGTTCAACATATCTGGCTTCAGCTTGCGCTCAGACTCGGGCGGCTGTTTTGACACTGGCATTATTGGATCATATTCCGTATGGCAGTGTTCATCTGAACCCCTTTAAACCCCCAGTTCAAAGAGGCAGCTCTGTAGAAAGCGCTCGTAGACGCATTTTCTCTGTCTTCTCTTGTACCACTCTCCTTTACCCCAATCTTTTTGGAGCGATGTCAAAGACCTCACTCAAGTCTGTCCTTATAACCGGGTGGGTCTACTAATATGTTTCTGCATGGACCGAATAGGCAATAACACTGAACGATACCTTCTTCCGCGCTCGTGTTATGCATAGTTGTAGCGAAGGTGGTCTCGGCGAGGCCCTCGTCAGAGAGTTCCAACGTAGAGGTAAGCCCAGATCTCATCTCCCAATGCCCAACCACTCAAGTCATGTTATGTTGGTAGGCTATAAGGTGTTCGCCACAGCACGAAGGACCGAGTCTATGCAGACTTTGGACGAGCTGCCTAATGTTACACAGCTGTTTCTGGACGTTACCGATCTCGGCAGTATACGGGGGGCTAAGATCTTAATCGAAGAAGAGACGGGAGGGAGGTTGGATGTGTTGGTGAATAATGCGTGAGTATACAGCTTTCATTCTGTCCATTTCTATCTATCCGTCTATGCATGCACCACTGATGTCGTCTTCGTCCTCAGTGGCATAGGTACGCTGATCCGGAAGACAACATCTGCACCGTACAGCTGACCGACCTTCCATCTCTTGTTCCTCACTCATGCAAACTACCATAGCCCATCCCTACGCCATAACCGACTGCTCCCTCTCCGACGTCAAGCACGTCTTCGACGTCAATGTCTTCTCCCAATTCACGATGGTCCAAGAATTTCTTCCCCTCCTGCGTGCATCCGACGATGCGCGTATCATACTCGTTGGGAGTCAAGCAGGAATCGCGCCCGTTCCGTTTGGGGCTGCCTATAATGCAAGTAAGGCAGCATTGATCTCGTTTGGGGATACGTTGAGGGTTGAGTTGAAGCCGTTTGGGTGAGTGTATTTTGTATGGTCTACGTGGTTCATGCCTTTCGCTGATACGAATTCTGCTTCGCATGCTTGGCTGGCCACACAGCATCAAAGTCATCACCGTAAGTCTTACAGCTGGGGCTCTAAGCCAAAACTCGTCCCGCCTACCGCCTTACTGACACACTTCACAGACTGTCCTGGGCAATGTTCGAACTAATATCATCAATGCCAATATCAAACTCCCCCAAGACTCGATCTACGACCCTATCCGCGCAGAATACCAGGCCAGCCGGATCGACCACTTCCAAGGTAAACACCTACGCTTCTCGACGGTGCCACTACAATAACTAGGCCGGTTTTCTCATGATACAGACGATGCCGTCCCACGAGACCTCGCCGCCCGCCAAGTTGTCGATGGCGCACTTCGGGCAAGTCCTGCGGCGCTGGTATGGGGAGGCGCGAACGTATGGTTGGTTTGGTTTATGAGTACGTTCTTGCTGAAGACGGTCTTTGTGGGTTTCTTTCGCTATTCCACTATCGGTTTACTTTGTTGCGCACTGCTGGGTAACTTTGCTGACTTTGTCTTATTGGGATGTGCAGGACGGACCGCTGAGTCGAAGGTTTGGTCTCACAAAATTGACTGCGTTTCTGGAACTTCAGCCCGAGAGGAAGAGTGCATGATGATGACACCTCCGCATACATGGACGTTCTTTATTTATGCCTATGTGTAGGTTGCTGCAGCACTTATACTGATGTTTGCGGACAACATGCAGCCGTGGCCGCCACATTGTACGACGCCACTGGCGCCGCGTATCTGGTCTGGAAGTTGCCGGTGACGTTTCCGGGGCTCTAATTGGCTGTCTGAGTCTCGGCTTTCCATCGAACAGCAACTTGACAGCGCCGATTTGGGGGTCGACTTTTTCTTGTTCCTTGGGCCTTGATTTCATCTCGACGACGAGCAGGCTGTGGTTGTTTTCTCTCCACCTCTTCAGAATCATGAGGACCTATTACGCTGCTAGCTTTGAAATATTCAAGGCTCTTACGGTGGGTGGATGGTAGGAAACGCCAGCCGTCGGCTATCTCAGCGTCCATGGCAAGGGACTGATGCCCATTGCCAAACAACCAACTGCGAGTTGGGGAGGCAGTCCTGAGTCCATCCTATTTGTCGTGACAACTGGCCAACCCAGGCCCCGAAGCTTTCCTGCTGCTGCGTGGTTGGTTACTGCTGCTAAGTCAATCGGGATTCGGAAGTGAATGCTGTCCCATTATCAGCTTTAAGCCCCTCGTAACTTCGCTTCCTGCATACCTCTCCTCTTTTCCCTTCCTCTCTTTCCAGTACGCTCATTTTCGTGTCTCTGGTCCCGCTGGCGGTCTGTCGTAATCTGTTCGGCTTCGTTCGTTGATATCGTCGCAGTGCTCGTGTTATCCATCTGACAGCCTCCTCCACGCCCGATCAACAGTCCACCATCTAGCCTTCCCCGTCCGGGACCTTTCCTCAACCACCTTTCCATTTCCTGTCTATTCTGTATCAGCCTCCATTTCCTTTACTGGGTTTTATCAACACTCGAGATCGGACTATTACATCTTATCTCCCCCCTGCCTTCCGTCATTCGAGGCCTCGACCATCCGTTCATTATCATTTGGGATTCTCCTTGCACGTTTAGAACTATATATAAAACTCGAACGATGTCGCATTCGCATTCACATTCGCACTCGCGCTCACCTCATTCTCAACTTTCCCGGCCAAGGACTATTACTCGGACTTCTTCTCGTGCCACTTCGAATATCAACGCTCCTGTCGTCGTATCGCCCACTCGTCTTATATCACTAGTTACGCAAATTGTTGGTGTATTGGGTATCGCGATGGTACGTCTCCGTTTTTCTTTCGCAATATTGTCTGAACATGCGGCTGACGGTATTTGGTTCAGAGCGTAGCAGCACACATCATCACCATGTTTACCTCGCACGTCTCCTCTCCTCACGTCTTCGACTCTCCCTCATCATCGAGAGCATCGACACCTTCTTCGACCCCTTCGTCATCGAGATCTTCATCAAGAGCGTCCTCTCCCACACCACCCATCACTACCTGTTCCGAGTCGTCGTCGTCCTCATCGACATCTGTCGTGCCTCAATCCTTATCCTCATCGTCGTCTCCTCCCCCCACGCGAATTAAACGCGAACGAAGACATACACGCTCATATAAACGTACCTTATCCTCATCGGCACCTCTCTCTATCGCCGTCTCCTCTACACCAACTACTAGCCTCAACAACACCTCCTCTAACTACACCTCCACCTCCACCTCCACCTCCAACGAAAAGCCTCTGATGGCGCTTCAACCACCATCCTCGTCGAAGAGACACACCACCAGAAGACACTCGAGGTCTTCTTCTTCGAAGAGGCTGAGATTGGGGAGGGGACGATCGACGCATAGGGAGTTTAGGATCGCGGTGTGTCCGGGGTTGGAGGTCATTCTTGAGTTGGATGAATTGGATGATTTTGAGGGGTTTGAGGAGGTGGGGCTATGCGATGAGTTTGAGGGGGAGGAGGATGGGAGCGAGGATTCAGGATGAGCTCTGTGTTTCAGTGGAGTATCGCGTGTTTGAGTGGGGGGTCGCATGTTTGAGTGAGGGGTCGCATGTTTGAGTGGGGGATATTATTCATGGACTTCTCCCTCGGTCACAGCTTTGATAAAGGTTTGTATACCAGTCTCGCATATGATGGTGCCTCCTTCCTACTGTGTTTTTCGAAGTAGCTGGAGTCAGGCCCAGTACAGAAGACACTATGGCACAAGAACAGAGAATCAAAGGACAAAAGGACATGGGTGATAGTCTACCAAGGCAACTCCTTCCCATCGAACCTGAAGAATTTACCCGTGTGCTCTTCAGTCACCTCGTCCAAGAACTTGAGTAGGTATGCCACCGAGGTTTCGGGCTCGAGGTCGGCGTTTAAGCCACCCATGTCTATTCATACGGGATAAGAAGTGAGCGTTAGACGTTACGGCGAGTTTAGCTTGGCTGGAGGACCGGGAAGACATACCGGTTCTGACCCAGCCTGGGTCGATACAGAAGCATATGAGATCCGGACGTTCGCTTGCTTGTTTGTAAGTCTATATCCATGCACCCACCACCAAACACAACATCACCCGCACCAACCGTTACCGTTAGCGCCTTACTTCATATCCATCCACAAAGTATGTGAGCACTCGGCAGACTTACGAGCATGTTGATCGCCGTTTTGCTGATACTATAACTCGCGTTCTTCTTTCCGTGTTCCAGAGCAATACTTCCCAAACCACTGGTCATGTTCATGATTACCTTCCGCTTGCTACGTTCGACATATGGAAGGTAGGTTTGTGCCACGCAGACGGGGCCGCCGACGTTGATGGTTAAGGTACGTGTAAGATCGGCTATAGTCATCGTGAACGCCGTGTCGTCTTCCAACTACAAATTACGGCCAAAAGGTCCACCCAGTTCAGCAAATTGGGGGAGAAAGGACGAAAGAATGGAGATGAGAGTGAGGGAGAATACGCACCACTCCTGCACTGTTGATCAAATAGTCCAATCCATGCACACCCAACACATCCCTGACTACCTTCAACTTCGCGCTCGCCTCAATAGCATCGATGCTGGACACGTCGAGCGGGATGATGTGCATCGTGCCTGGAGTTTTGGTGCCGAGGCGTTGGAGAGCGGTGGCCGTGAATGGGTCGCGACAGGTGGCGAGGACGATGTTGGAGGGATCGGTCGTGAGTTGGCGGACGAGTTCGAGGCCGAGGCCGCGGGAGCAGCTGGGTGGGGAAGTTGGGATGGATTGGTCAGTTGAGATAATGGCGTGCATGGGAAAAATGGTGTATTTACCCTGTTATGAGCCAGGTGTAGGTGTGAGAGGTCATGTCAGTGGGGGAGGAGAGGTAGATTGTCGATGGTGAGATATTCGGAGTTTACTCATACCATTGTCGACACGTGGCTATAGTATACTTATAGACCATGATAGCATCCGATGTGCAGATCTATGACGATGAGATCATGGTAAACAGCCATTTAGCTGCAGGATGCGGCATGTTCGGAAACCCAGGAGAATCCTCGGTGCTAGTGCGTGGCAAAGTGGTGTTGCATTCAGGCAAGCTGGGTGGGAGCAAAACTGGAGGGAAAAAAACCATTCTTCGATGCGATAAACGTCGCAAAGGATGCGTATGATATAAAGCAATACATGAGTCACTTGGGGAGATGTGATGAGATGCCCTGCGGGTCCTAGCAGCCTGTCAGTCAGACGCATTTTGTGAATGAAGCTAGCCTGAGATGTTCGTAGAGAGAACCAAAGACTGCCCAGAGCTCCAATCCACCGCAGACAGCTGCCTAAGATTTAGCCAAGTATATCACTAGAATTCCGTATTTCGAGCAAGTAGTCGTTGAAAACAAAAAGAACACGAAAGGTTATAAGTACCGACGCGTCGCGTCGAAACAGAACAAGTCACGCGCACAGCGCGTATCGAGCTGCGCGACGTGGCGCAGACGTGGCGCATCTCTCCTCTCCTCCACAACTTGTGGCGTGCAAGGCTTGGATTTCGTATACACTAGGCCCTTCATATTGAATCCCTACTTACTTTTTGCCCGATTCGATTGGCTTGCTCAGTAAAGGGTAAGCCTATGGTGACAGTTATTACAACGAAAGCAATCATACTAACGGCCAGCGCCTGATGATGATACAGGAATTCTGCTCTTAGAGGGCTTGCTCTATAATGCGAGCCGGACGTGTGCTAGGCAGCTCTGTAGTGGGGCTGCTGTGTACCGTAGGTCATGGTGCCAGAGCTGCTTCACCTCCCGTGAAGGTGGCCTTACGGTCTTCATGGCCCTCTCCACCTTTCCTGTTAGAGTTAATGTGCGTGGCCAGTCCAGTACATATCTTATCAAGTAATTAACATATACTTCAGAGAGACAATCGCGCTCGAAGATCCCTCTGCATATTTTCCCGTCCTGGACATCCTCACAGACCCCACAACCTTACCCTCCACAACTCCTCTCTCACACGAAGCTCTCCATCAACTCGCCTTTCAGTCGACCGTTTCACTTGGATATCTGTCAAAGCCCGGCGCACCAGAATATGCGGAGATGCAACTTGCATTGCATGCTGCGACACCCAAAATAGAGGCTTTCTACCAGCATTACACCGACACGACCCGAGGAAGAATATTGGATACTGAGCAGGGTGAAGAGGGCGGTGCGAAGTGCGGAAGTTGGGTGGACTGGTATGGTGAAGTTGTATGTGATGTGGAACGGTTAGCGCATTTGGCTGGTCCAGAGACGATTGACGCGGAGAGTTATGAAGGGTCGGCCCATTCGTGAGTTATTTCGTAGCATATGAACGCAGACTTTTGGCTGAAGCGCTCGTAGAGACATGTTCCCTCGTCCTCATATTCTCCCGTTTGACCATATATACCCTGCACTCTCTCAGTCGTCGATACACCCTCCGCGTACGGCTATCTTCCATGCCGACCTTTCTTCACCCAATTTCCGAGAACTGCATACCTACCTCATGCGGCTATCTTCGGCACCATCTCCTCGTATCGAATATGTCTTCAGGCCTATCCCTCCACCGAATCGAGACTCGAAAGAAAAGACGTATCTGTCTGGGTATGGTGTGGCCATGGATTTGAAGAAAATGGATTACCTGGCCCTGGATGATAGGCGGTCTCGTGGTTCTCAAGGTTCGTTGTCGTAATTTTCTCGACATCGGTAGAACCAGGAGACTGAGACTTGGATAGAATCCAGCCAAGAGGAAAAGAATAGCGAGGAAGACAAGCCTGGAATATCTCTACGCTCTGAACAGATCGTTTCCCTCATCGAAAAATATCCACTCAACACAACTCTCGAACCCACCGAACCTCTGACCTCGGATGAGCTCATGCGTTCGTCTCTTTCTGTTCACTTTCACCTTGTCATACTCCTAGTCTAATGTGTTCTGCCCTGATGTGCTACAGTCATCGGCTTCCAAGCAACCCAACTAATCGCCGATTCGCCGACACCTTTCTCCACCTTGAAAGAGCTCATCCAAGACTTTCCTCAATACGCTACCGCCATCGCACGCCACGTCGAGGTCAGCGAAGGGCTAGCGGTAGAAGTATACATGAACTCGCAGAAGGCGACGCCAGGAACCAGTATGGTTTGGTTGAATGGCCTTGCTGTGGGAGATGTGGACATGAACCCTGCCTCGTAAGTCCTCCCACCCACCTCTATGATGGCTTCAGCTTCAAGGCGCTATATGGACTCACTAATATTTACATGGCGGATGGAGGAAGGTTATTGAAGATACTACGCAAAGAACGCGACTTCATGCTCTCGCTCACCTCTCTCGGCCTCTCATCCTCACAAGCCCTCGACCTCATCTCCCACAACGCTATCGAGGCCGCAAATGGAGGCAGTGACCTTCTCGACGGATTATTCGATGCTAGCGACAGACCTGAAGACGGTGACTTGATTCTGTGGTGGAACGATCTCGAGAAGGATAGTAAATACGCGAGGTGGCCGCCCAGCATCTTTGCTGTACGTCTCCTCCCTGCTCGCCTTCCAATTTCCTCGTTTGCCCGCTTTGTTTGAAACTCGTCCCATTTATTGCGTTGTCTGGTGGATGGCAATGCTAATGATAATGATACAGCTCATGCGCCAAACCTACCCAGGCCAAATGCCCGCCGCCCGTCTCAACCTCTTCAACGTCGTCCTAGTCCTCGACTTCTCCCAACCCGGCTCTCTATACTACATCGCGAGCACTATCTCCAATATCATCCAGCGTGGGAACCCGATTAGGTTCGGTGTCGTTCCAATGGCGGTGGAGGGGGAGAGGAAGGAGGAGGGAGAGAGAATGGCGAGGTTGATTTGGTATCTTGTGGACAGGTATGGGAGGGCGAAGACGATGGGGTTCTTGAAGAACGTGAGCTTTTCTTTGGAGACTAGGATCTCTTTTGGCTACAGGAAGGTTGCAGTCTTGAGAACGATGCTGACGGGCAGGATTTTGTGGCGGTGGCGTCGTGCAGATCCTCCAACTCCCAAAACCTGCAAAGGACCTCCCCACGAACATCGATTGGTCACTCGTCCGCTCCGAGTTCGAATCGCTCCATGAACAATTCCCGCCGCTCAATGGAACCACTATTCTACCGTACGATTCCGTCATCACACCCAATGCGAACGCAGGCGCAAGTGAAGGCCAAGATGAAGGAAAGGAGACAGAGGCGGAGCAAATTTATGCAGTAGAGATGCATGAGAGGTTGGAGAAGGCGGCGACGTATGGAAAGAGGTTGGGTGTGGTGCCTGCTGTAGGGGTAAAGAATCCGAAAGGGCAAGCGTTCGTGAATGGGAGGCACTTCTATATGAACGATGTGAGTGTTGCCGTGGTCGTTGCGCTATCTGCGGATGACATCCTAACGGAAGCGTAATGGTTTTCCAGGCATTCTTGTCATCGCTCCAAGAAGAAGTAACCAAGATGATCCAGTTCTTCCAGCAGCAGGTCTATATCCATTATTCGTCCTCGTTTCTAAATTATGGTACTGACTTTGTGGGTGGGGACAGATCTACGAAGGCCTCATCACCGAAGAGACTGCCGTCGGCGTCGACTTCTCTACCTTTTTCTACGACTTCCCTAGTACGCAGGCGAGGAGGAATAAGTATGTCTTCCCGAAGAGCGACGTTAAGATCTTCAGCGTGCCGAATTTGTTGGAAAAGGCTGGGGCGGAGGAGTTGGGCGATGTATTTGTTTATCCAGGTATGGTAACTCATGTTTTTTGGATAGCATACGCTGTGGTGGTGCTTATAATCTGTGCACAGAGGCTGAGACGGTGCCGATGACGGTCTACGTTGTTGCGGACCTCGATAGTCCGAAGGGCTTGTCCGTCGTCAGGAACGCTCTTGAATTCGCGGTGCGTTATTACCAGCATCTGATATCTCCTCGTTCTCTGAAGTCGGGTGGCCTTTAGGAATCCTCCGAAGTCAGACTCGCGTTTATCCACAATCCCAACTCCAGCACATCCGGCTCCGCAGGCGCGCATCACCAAATCTCATCCTTGTTCTCCCATCTCCACGCGAAATCCTACAACGGCGTCACGCCTACCCGTCTCCTTCGAGCCCTCGGTCTCGATCACACACACTCCCGTCATACATCGGAGCAAAGTCAGCATGAGCAGATTGTGTTGAGCCCGAGCACTGACGAAGCGCTGCACGAGTTGATGAATGGGGTCGATTTGGCTGAGGTTATGAAGTCAGGTGTGTATGAGGAGTTTGTTGATGTGGGGAAGAGAGTGGTGAAGGAGCTGGGACTGAGCGAGGGAGAGGCAGGGTTAGTTGTCAATGGACGGGTGAGTCTTCAGTGGCTCGAGTATGTAGGCATACGTTGGTGCTGATGTGAGGTGAACTAAGCTTGTCGGGCCGTTCGATAGCGATGAATTCGGCGTCGAGGATTTCAAAGTCTTGGAATCGTACGAAATGGCCAGGCGAGCTGGACCTGTCTTGGAAGCTTTGGAGTCCGTAGGGATCTCTTCTGAGAATCTTGATCGGTACGTAGTTCCTTTTTCATTTCCTATAAGAGCTCAACACTAATGAGTCTTTCCAAACAGTGCATCCTACGCCAACCTCGTCTCCTCGGCGTCTTCGATCATTGCCAACATGCACATCCCTGACCCCTCTGAAGCTGGATTGTTCAACACACCGCCGACGACTAGGAACACGAGATATAAACATATGGAGGGAAAGTACTCGTGCGTTATAGCCTACGCCGTCTATCAGTGACTCTCGTGGTTTAACTCTTTTGATGGTTTTTCGATATCAGTGCATTCGAAATGGGTGATAGCGAGACGGCGTTGCATCGGTTTGCTGTCGTTCTAGATCCGTTGAGTGAGCATGCCCAGAGATGGGTCAGTTTGTTCGAGGCGAGTCCATCTTTCCATATTATCTATCAATGGTGGAGCTTGACTGACCATTCAATTGTTTAGTGGATGCTTTATCTTCCGTCCGTCCACGTCACATTCTACATTCATCCCGCAGCATATAATGAGGTGAGCTCGGCTCCTCTAAGTGGGTGCCTCTATGTTGATGCGTATATATCGGCTGCAGATCCCTCTGAAACGCTTCTACCGTTACAACCTCGTTCCTACCCTCGACTTCGATGACAATGGGTATGTACTCTGCCTTTTCGTAGTACTATAACGGTCTAACCTGAAGGACAATCAGTCGCGAGCTTCCCACCACAGCTGTCTTCGACAATCTACCGATAGATCCCATCTATACCCTTGGCCTCGACGAGCCTTCTGCATGGATTGTCCGACCCCGTGAAGCGCTCTACGACCTCGACAACATCCAACTCGGCGTCCTCTCCGGCGAAGAACGGATCCGTGGCGTCGAAGTCGTGTACGAACTCGACTACCTCGTCGTCGGAGGTCACGCTCGCGATCTCTCTTCCAGCGCTCCGCCGCGCGGCCTCCAACTGCAACTGACCACATCTGACGGCACAGCCATCGCCGATACCCTCGTTGCGGCCAACCTCGGCTATCTGCAATTCAAGGTCACGCCCGGCGTGTATCAGTTGCAGATCAGGGAAGGACGGGGCAGAGATATTTTCGAGATGCAGAGTGTCGGGAATGAAGGATTCGTTAGTCCAAGCGTGGAGGAAGTTGGTTATGAGGTCACGGTCACGAGCTTTGAAGGCCTGACGTTGTATCCGAGGTTGGTAAGGAAGCCGGGGATGCAGAATCAGGATGTGTTGCATGTGCCTGAAGAGGAAGAGGAGCCTAAGGGTATCGTTGGGGACATCATCAATAAGTTAGCCGAAAGTCCAATAACCCCTTCAAACAATGCTCATTACTCTTTCGTATAGGGTTTCGTCGTTATTCGGTTCTTCTAAGAGCACCGAGTTGGCGGTCGTACCTCAGAGGCATGCTGACATCAACATCTTTACCGTGGCCTCGGGTTTGCTGTATGAAGTGAGTCTTCAACGCCGCGTCGTAATATTACTGTACTGACGGGAGCTCCTGGAATAGCGTTTTGCCTCTATCATGATTCTAAGTGTCCTGAGGAACACAAACCATACTGTCAAGTTCTGGTTTATCGAAAACTTCCTCTCTCCATCCTTCCTAGTACGTCCCTCTTTTAGACCTCTCACCCTATTTACGTAGGTATACTGATACCGCGGCCTTTGTCAGGAATTCATCCCCCATTTTGCTGAGGAGTACGGCTTCAAATACGAGCTCGTGACCTACAAATGGCCAACTTGGCTCCGCGCCCAACGCGAGAAACAGCGTATCATATGGGCCTACAAGATCCTCTTCCTCGACGTTCTCTTCCCCATGGACCTGGACAAAGTCATATTCGTCGACGCAGACCAGATCGTCCGTGCGGATCTCAAGGAGCTGATTGACCTAGATTTGCACGGAGCCCCGTACGGATATACGCCTATGGGAGACGATAATACAGACATGGAGGGCTTCAGATTCTGGAAGACTGGATATTGGGCGTCGTTCTTGAGGGGCAGGCCGTATCATATCAGGTGAGCTCTGCAGGCGCGCTACTGTTGGGACGTACACTGACTGTCTTGGATTGTAGTGCACTTTATGTCGTCGACCTTGTTCGCTTCCGTCTGGTCAGCTTCTTAGTGTTTGTTACACACGGCACAGGACGGTATTGACTTGGAATTGTCCGAACAGATGGCTGCCGGAGACGTTCTTCGAAGTCACTACCACCAGCTGTCGGCAGACCCTAACTCTCTGTCCAACTTAGATCAAGGTTCGCGTCTGTCATTCTCGTCCATGAATTTGTATTGAATCGCGGAATGTACAGATCTGCCGAACAATCTGCAAGCTCAGGTCCCGATTGTAAGATAATTTGGACCCTGTGTGTTCGAACACTTACTGACTCGTACTTTCCAGTATTCGCTCCATGAGGATTGGCTTTGGGTGCGCCGCGACTGCTTTATTACAGTTGTACATACGATTAACGCCTTTTTATTTACAGTGTGAAACATGGTGTAAGTAGCATGTTATATCGAGTGCATTGTCGAGCTAACTCGACTCCTTGTGAACAGGCAGCAAAGATCGACTTGACCGCGCCAAGACCATCGATCTTTGCCAAAATCCCTTGACTGTGCGTTTTCTCACCTATGTTCTTGCTTTCCACTCTGACTGATATCTTACACCTTCCCCTTGAACAGAAAGAGCCCAAGCTTTCGCGTGCGCGTCAAATTCCAGAATGGGAGGAATACGATTCAGAGATTGCACGATTCACCCGAAAACTAGCGGCTGAGGGCCGGATACACGCCAGTGCAGCTGCCGCTGATATCAACGAGCTCGCGAATTCAGCTTCATCCATACCTACCGTAGAGAGCGAATCGTCGGACGTGAAAGACATGGGGGAGGATGCAGCGAAGGATACAGAGGACAGTCATGCGCGGGATGAGCTGTGAGGAAGTAGAGTATGTTGGTACAGAATCTATGGATCGTTTGTCGTGGGGTGTCGTAAGATATGCTTGCTTTGAATGAGCGTACTGGGATGTAGTGGAACAAGTCATAAAGATTTCCGTCAGCGTAAAAAACCAACACCGTTCATGTTCAACTACGGGACATTCAAACTCCGCCACTCCCCATCACCGGAAGGCTCCCGGATAGCGTTCCGACCGCCTTCGACAAGTGCCACCATCACCAGTCCTCTTGCCAGGCGATTCTCATTGAGCATCACTCGCAGGTCTGTCTGGCATGCATTTCTTGCGCCATTGGACTACTATTCAAAGATGCATCAGACCGCAACCTAGATATCTTAACTCAATGACTACCACACGCGGGAAAGACATTTACAAGAGTCTCACGGGTCTGCCATCTTACACATCGGCCCAGTTCGCAGGAGACGGTGGTCAGTCAAACCATGAACATCGAATGGGTTTCCGAATAGCTTCTGATCATAACCTTCCTGTGTTTGTGTAGTTATCATCGTGACATCGTCTGTCCAAGATCACCTCCGCAACACTAAGCGCTCGTTCACTAAGACACTGCTCTATGCGCCCGGAAAGTCCGAGTCTGATCTCAAGGTCTCAAGGTCTTTACCGCAGGATACATCTTCGGACGTGAAGTCTACCCTTCACTCGCCTTCGGGAGCATCTATCGCAATCCTTCGTGAGACTTCTGGCGACAGCGGTAAGAAGCGGTTCGTCGAGATCTGGTCTGCTGCGAACTCCCAATTGGAAGCACAACTCGAAGTTACCTCTGTACATGGCGCTTTCTATAGCTCTCGTGAGATCTTCTCGAATTCTCACATACAAGTTTACAGGCTGACTTCGTATCTCTTTCTAGCCGACTTTCATTCCCTCTCTTTCTCGCCTTCAGAGACTGCTCTCGTGTACACCGCAGAAGCGAACGACCCAACCGCCGAGAACGAAGATCCATACGCCCGCTTTCGTTATGTTCCAGATGGTGGGGAGAGTATGACTGGCCTGAAGCGACCTACTCTCTTCGTTGCCCGTTGGAGGATCGGATCAGACTCGGCGTCGACTACGACGGAAGAAGGGCCAGACATGACAATTCTCACTCTCGAGCTTCCCAACGATAAAAACCTCAAATCACCCGTCATATTTGGTCAGGCCGTCTTCGCTGGGGAGGATAGTGTTGTCGCCACAGGATATAAATACACCGAGGACTTCCGTCGTCTCGGGACTAAAGGATGTTTTAATCGCCCTTCAGCGATATGGGAACTCAAATTCGATGCAGCGACCCTCTCGAAAGCATCGACGGCGGAGCCAGCTCAGAAGGAGAAGAAATCATCCGCATTGACTGTGACTTCATCGGCCATCGTCTCCGACTCCAGTCTCTCTGCTCGCTCTCCTCGCGTCCACACAGACAAGATCTCGGGAAAGACTACCGTCTTCTGGCTGGCTCATGTCACGGGTGGCCCACATGCCGCATGTTCCGCTCTCCATTCCTTCGACCTTGAGACTCGCAAACACACAAGCCTTATTCCTATCGTATCTAAGCCTGATACCTTCTTCATGGATGGTTTCGTAGGCTTGTTCCCAGACAGTGGTCTACCCAGTCGCCCATTCCTCTCATTCAGCGGGAAAAGGTACTTGATCACACCATCGGCGGAAGGTGCAAGGTCAAATGTCATTCTCATCGATGCCGACAAGCCGTGTAGTGTCACGCACCTTACTCGTAAGACAACGATCACCCAGGCGGAGGACCCCGTAGATTGGAGTTGGAACGTCTTGGGGACAGACGGAGAGAAGAGCGTGTTGTGTTGGAGAAGCACGGCGAGCCATGCCCCGGAGTTAGTGCTTGGGATAGTGGATGCTAGCTCTTCGTCGCCCACGGTTCGATGGCGGACTATCGACAAGGTAAACATTCCGGAGAAGCGTGCGTCAAGATAACTTGTTCGTCCTCGCTATCTGAATACTTATCTCCCCACCCTTCGACCTTTTAGTCAAGGCTGCACTCTCCTCACTGAAGGTCTCCATCGTGCCAATTCCCGATCGCTCACCCTTCGAGACGATATTGATCGAGCACGGGGAAGCTGATCAACAGTCAAAGGCCAAACGCCCATTAATTACTGTCGTACACGGAGGACCTCATGGATCTAACCAGGCATCGTTCAACCCTGCAATCCTCGCACTCGCCCTCCAAGGCTGTACGTCCTTACCAGCAACCTGCTTCCGAGAATATCACTCATCATGGGCTCTTCAGATACCGTCTCTTTACCTAATTTCACAGGATCATTGGGATATGGCGATGAGTTCGTGCAACAACTAGTGGGAAAGTGTGGTACGCTAGATGTAGACGATGTGATGGCGTCGATCAAGTATCTCCTTGAGATTGGCGTGGCCGTGGAGGGTCCCGGGAAACAGTTCGTTCAGGGCGGAAGTCATGGCGGGTTCATCACCGGACATCGTACGCTCACCTTCCCCTTCATATCGACGGTCCATATCACTGATAAAATACCTCTCCTCTATTCTTACACACGAAACCAAACATATCTCTGCTGCAGTACTCGGACAGTACCCTGGTTTCTTCAGCGCGGCGGTCCTCCGCAACCCCGTCATCACTCCGGAACCTTCATCGACCGACATCCCAGAATGGTACTACTACGAATTTGGGCTTCCATTCTCCGCCACCACTCTCTTAACACCATCCGAATACGGAAAACTTTGGCCCATGTCCCCCATCTCGCATGTCGACAAGGTGAAAGCTCCGGTGTTACTGTGTCTAGGATTGGAAGATAGGAGGGTGGCGAATACCCACGGTATGGCCTTCTATCACGCGTTGAAGGGGAGAGGAAGGGATGTAGAAATGCTGCAGTTCAAGGGGGAGAGTCATCCGCTTGAGGGAGTGGAGGCGTCGAGAGTGAGCTGGGAGGCGGGTGCTGACTTGTTTGAGAAGCATAGAATATGATAGACGGTCGATATATCAACGCTCAGCTTAGACATCGATTGGTGCAAAAGTCAAAAGCAGCTTGTCGAAATCAGGGTGATTAAGATCAGCTACTTATATTACGAATAGTGCGAAGAGGCGGACTGCGATTTCGGACTTACTTCCAAGATTTTGAAGTACCCAACCCACTATCAAAGTTCCCAAATAAGCTCCTTCGCGATACCCTCGAACAAAGGCGTGTATTTCTGGCGAATGATACCTCCACGCCATTCGAGTGTCTGTATATTTCGGGTTTCTGCTACGCAGCGAAGTTTGGCCGCGAGGTCTTGGATATTGTCTTGCACCCTGGTCTCTTCTGCTGGCGGCGGAACACGTTGTTCTTCCCTGAGGACTTGCTCACGTGAGAAAGTCGAAGTAAAATGAATGCTGGTTAAATGGGGAAGAATGTTGCTGTTCGAAGTCATTGCCAAGATCATATCTGAGCAACGATGAGCATCGGTGAAGAATAATCTCCTCGTCTCGGGGAAGTGATCCAGAGCCTGAGCGTAAGATGATTCGTCCATAGTAAGAGGTCCGCTACCGAATTTGTGTGTGTTAGGATGACCACCCCATCGTAGGTCGTGTACCTGGAGGCAAGGCACGAACACGGAAACCGCACGCAAGATCTCGACGAGTTTACGCGTTTGCTGTCGTTCCACAGCATTGTCTTCTCCAGGATGCGGGTGGTGATGGAGGAACAACCCCTGTGGAATCCCCTGCATAGGCAGACCGTGTCGCAAAAAGGGCTCCGGGGTTATAACGCCGGACCTGATTCGGACCGCAATAACGTGCGTTATAACGTGCGCTGTAACCGGGTTAGAACGACCCCAGTTCCGTTGGCACGTCCGGCTCGGCGAGATGACGCTCGATAAGATAACAACGCGGGTTATAACGCGTCCATTGTCCGTTACAACGGGTGGTATATCGGAAAACTGAAATCGGGCCTATAAAGCCGGTAGGTGGCACCGTCCTGCTCCCCAATTAGGCATGCGCGCGTCGACCCACCCAACTCTAAAACACCCTCAAACTCACTCAGATGAACAGTTGCGATGTCGCTCTATGGCCACAACCTACGAAAGTGACCATCCATCCAATAGCCCGTGCCCATCCGGCGAGGTTTTGAGATGGACCACCATCAGTGAAATGTTCTCGGTTTGCAGGCAGGCCACACCCCTGCCCAATGGACACGGCCTGATGACAAATAAGGTTGAAGAACACCGGTCTCGCTTGTGTGATACTCGCGACTACACGGGCGCTCCGTTAACCCTGACAGTCAGAGGTCAAACTGTCTCGAGAAGTTCTCAAGACTGCCCAAAGATAATCTTATGACTTGGCAACCAAGATGTTCCCGAGTCGATCAGTCTTGGGCTGAGATGGTGAGAACTGCAGGGTCTGCCGTAAGGTGCAAGATGAGGGATCCGGCGGAACCCGGCTTCCCAAGGCGACAAAAATTTGCCCGCAGAGCATAACGAAGTAGCGTTACGCACAGCCTGGCGAGCGTTGTATCCAACTGCGCCAAAGGCCTTTGCTTAAACACGCCCGTAACTGGAATATATCCAGAATTCGACCATCTTGTTCTCATTGTACCACTTTCAATACTCAAATACTTCGCTTGTTAACCCTCAGAGAGTACTCAGAGGGTACCCGTAATGCTTCCTCACATGCCTCGACATTTTTGCAAACCTTACAAAAAGCCCATACAAAGGGGACTTGGTGAGCTCTCCAAGGGAAACGCGACTTGTGAAGTTTCGCGAGTCGCTTGCGCGGAAGCCGGATACGGGCCGAACAACACGTCCAGAGAGGTCCAGAGATAATCTTGGAACTACCGTGCTTCGGTCGTTCTCAAAACTGATCTTAGACATTCTTAAGATCGTTCTCGAGAAAATCTTGTGACCTTCCGGCTTGAGATACTCTCAAGATCACCCCATGATATTCTTATGACATGGCAGCCAAGATTCTGTCGGATCGTTTGCCTTATGATTTGCCTGGAAACGACGGCTGGCCGTGTAGCCCCGGAAGTGACCCCCGGATTTACCGGCCAGTATGGCATGCGTTACAACGCGCTACGAGTCCGGGTAGACCAGTTATACCGCCCCGGGGTGCCGTCCTAGCCGTTTAAGGCAGTATAACGCGTTATAATGCCGATGCCGGTTTTGCGACACGTTGTAAGCTGCCGGAGATGGCCACGGAATCGCAAAACTCAGTGCAACTCGTGGGTTATCGAGGTGTTCGGGTGCGTATGCGTGTGCAGGGAGTGTATGATCCCAGCATCGAATATGCAAGGTACAGTCAATGTTATTCGCAAGCGTGATCTCCAAAGTCTTCATAACTGAGAGAGGGATGATTGGGTGTATGAGCTTCGACGCGCATTCTGCCACTTTGTCGGGGACTTCGTCCTCACGAAGAATTACTTCGGATCGTATCGTGGTACGTTGGGAGATGTCAAGGCGCGATGTAAGCGCGGCAATCTCTGTCAGGCCGCCCGACAAAATCAAGGATGAGAGTCGAGGAAGTTGCACAGATGAGTGCTCTTGTTCGTGATTCAAAAAATAGGGCGATGTCCCGGGCGGTAGTCTGGCGTAGAGGGTTGGGAAAGCAAGGGATAGAGTCTCGAGATGATGCATTTCCTGAAGTGCATCAAGCACGAGTCGAAAAGGAATCCTAGAATTGGAGTCCTCGCCGTTCATTTGTTGCACAACCAACGTCAGACTGACAAATCCACGGAGGGTCGGCGAGGGCCACAGAGCTTCGAATGAGAAAGGCCCGATGAGACTCAAGTGCTTCAAAGCTGGTGCGCATCTGCCAAGGAATTGGGCAGGAACGGACATTATACTGGTGTTGGAGTAGGGGAGACCTCCGACGATCTGTAATGTTTCAACAAGGGGAGCGGGCCGCAGTAAGACACTGTTCCAGAGCGTGGAGGTCGAGCTGCTCATATAGGAGGGGTGCAAGGATAGATGTTTTGGCTGAATCGTATGAAATAGGCGAGAAACCAGAAAGTCGATGTTGTCTGTAGATTTCTTGCTATTATTGGCAACCATGGGGGCTGTCGCCCATCCCACAGAATGGGGCCATCGCCCTAGTGGCTGCATGACAGTGAGAGGCGCACCACTCGAACGTAAAAGCATCTCGTGCATCCAAGGTGTGTTATCTATCCATAGAATGGACCATAACGTTGAGTGCTCGAGCGCCACATTGCGCCATCTGCGGCAAACATGGGATGCAGCAATCAGGGAACGCGTGCATGCTCCCACCTCGGTTGTACTGTCGTCATGTGCATGCGATGCGTCAGGATGTTGTAGCTCGACCACCGGTAAGAGGAAACGAAAGATGGAGGCAAGTATTTCGGAGGGAAATTGAATGACAGAGAGCAGTGCGTTTCTGTGCGCACTGAGATCTTGTACGTAGGCCTGAGCAAAGGCGATCTCGTCATCGCAGTCTTTGATTGTGAGTTGAACGTCGCCTCCTCCATCTTGGAGCGTTTCGGGAATCCTAGAGGCTTTGAGAAGATTCCAAAATGTTTCACTGTCACAGTGCAAACGGTATCGGAAGTAGAAACATGAATTGTTGAGGACGTCTACGCGCAAAGGCAATAAATGCAAGACATTACCGCGACATGGGGGGCGATTCCGACATGATCTTCGAGTCCAGTTCAGCGGCACCTGATCGATAAGGTCAATAACGAACTGACCAGTATTCACAGTGATACATACAGTAAAGAGGAAACCGATCGTGAGTAGTATGAGGTTCAAGTGCCAGAGAACGTCGTACAGTATACTTGAACTTGAGTGTCAAGAGCAGGTCGTGGTCGTCTGGAGGCACACTGATGCGTTCCTCGGCTGAGCCCGGCCTGAGACGCCACAACGCCACAATATCATCCTCGCCGTGGCCCGTGACACTTATGACGAGTATCAATTGAACAGGGCACTCAGATTCACAGTGCCACCGTGAGTAGCCACCAATAAACAGACAGGTACACTGATATACAATGTAGTAAATATCTCCCTTATGAATAGTGCTCTGGTGCCGGCTTTCTACTTGAAGACACTCCGGGCCTTGAGCATCACTCAACGCGCCACCTTCTATTACAACTTGTTCCTAATTCTCTCCGCTGTAGCAGCCAGAGCATCCTTATCCAATGGCTTCTGGGGCCAATTCTGCTCTCCTATGATCAGGCCTTCTTTCTCGTTCGGCTTGGGAACGACGTGAAAGTGGACGTGGAAGACGTGCTGGGAAGTATTCCAGCCATTGTCAATACGGTCTGGGGTCCGCTGAAGGTAATACATACCTGGAACGCGAGCTTTCCATTATTCTATAGAGTGTACAAGTGAGTCAAAAAAAATGCCAACAACTCTGACTGTAAGAGATGCGGCTAGCAGACACACCTGAACGATATTGTACTGCGGCACACCCGTGGCCAATGCAACCTTCTTAGCCACAGGGAGCAGCTTGCTAAGGACATCGTCCGGAAGATCACCCAATGTCTCTCCGTGATCTAGGAAGCCGAAGAGTCCGCGAAGCGATGGATCAGGTCAAACCGATCAGCTTAAGGCGGCCACGGCGCGGGAAGAGGAATCAAACCCAGGACACACATTTCGGTATCACAAGCATATGTCCGTCCGCGATCGGGTTGATGTCAAGAAACACAAAACTTGACCAAGAATAAATATCAGAGACCCGTTCGAAATTTCGCCGTATGAGCAGAATAAGATATTCGTACGTGTGCTCGTCCTCGTAGATCTTGAAGCTGGGTATCGTCCCTAGATAATCATACAGAACGTCCTCGTCAGAATAATATCCCAAATTACGGAATGAATTTGATCACTTTCACCGACCTTTGACGATCTTACAAAACAGACAGCTGAGACGAGCCCATAGCTGAGCAAGCAGATACCGACTCTGGACGACGACTTGACCGGGGTCAAAACATGGCAAGTTTCGGCTTACTTTTCGTCAACATGAATCGTAGTAGTCATCCTTCCGTGTCTGCTGCCACCGAGGAAGAACCAGTAAATATCAAGTGAACACTTGGAAGGTAGTGGTTGAGAGCAGAAGCACGACCAGGATCATGTTCAGTACCCCACGGGGAGAAAGGCGTTTCACTAGGTTTCACTGATGTCAGCTAGTATCGAATAAGCGCCCCGGCTCGCCCCGGGCTCAAAGTACCTTCCTTAGTCGGACGCCGTCATCCTGCGACACAAATCTCCAAACTCAAGCTCGACTTCTTCATAGCTTAAACCATCGCGCAGACCGCTCAACCAACCTCCTCAGTATATGTGTGAAAGAAAATATCCGATTCGATTCTAGGTACCAGAAAAGAGTAAAGACTATAAAACGACATCCCATCCCATCCCATCCCATCCCATCCCATCCCATCCCATCCCATCCCATCCCAACCCATCCGATTCACAGAGCCTGAGACCGAGACCGAGACTGATGACACACAAGAGTATTGAAGAATACGGAACACGGAAATACTACGAAAAAAGATGGGGAACACTGTACTACTTATACTGCAACATCACAGTCACATCACTTCACAGCACGCGTACGCACACGACCGCCGATCATCGTCCGTCCAAAATACTGAACACCGGAGTACCGAAACCGAAACCGAAGCCATGACCAAGATAGAGAATGAGGAAAGAGAAATGAGGCAGACCGAAACCCGACAGCTACTTGAGAGTCCGCGGGAGACGAAGAGACGAAGAAAATCGAAGAGAAGAGAACAAATAAAGGGAGAATGTCTGGCTCCAGCCTCCGAGAAAAGTAGGATAGGAATAAACAGGGGATGCGGGGTGCGAAGTGTGAGTGGGTGGGTGGCTATAGGGAGATGCGGGAGAAGGAAATGCTAATACGCTCTGGACTAGAAAGCGAAATAACTCGGACTGCGTGCGAGGGTGCTCGGTCTCAGGCGATGCAAAGCAGAGGACAAGGTCGAAGGTCGGGAATAGTGGAGGGGGATGGCGGTGTGACGGATACTAACGCACAACGAAGGACAAAAAAGGATAGGAAAAGAGCGGGATCCAAAGGAGTGTGTGTGTGGGTGTGAGTGTGGCACAAATGAGATTGAACACAGAATAGATAGATAGATCACGGACGATGAGAGAGAGAGAGGGAGAGAAGTAAGACAAAGGAATGTGTGGCGCAGACGAGCGGATCGTGCGGAGGAGGATCAGAGAAAACGGTGTGGCGTGGTGACCATAATGAGTGTGGTGTGGATGGCGGGGGCGGAGTAGAGGGAGTAGGAGGGAGAGGAGGAAGACACGGTGGAAGAAGAGAAGAGTGAAAGGGTGGTTGATTTCGGTGACAAGGTCTGGGCGGTAAACAACGGGAACGGGGAAGGGACGGTCATGATCATAGAGGTGAGACGGATACGACGGTGATGTGTGATTCGGATTCGACAGGCATATATGATCATGTACAGGCAGGGATTGTATGCGTACGGTGTGGAAGGACGGATGAGGCGCATAGCTAGAAAAGGGATAATGACAGGTTCAAGTTGCGAGGAGAGGAGAAGAATGTGTGTTGCTCCGGGAGGGCAAAGCAGTGAATGAATATGACGAAAGGCGAAATTGCGATGGGTGAGTCGGAGTCGGAAGCGAAAGGTTAATAGATATAGATATAAACTGGTAAACAAAAGTGGACAAATCTGCTGAATTGCGAGTGCGAAAGAGGTATACTGATGGAACGTGGCGAATATAATCGGGTGGATGGCTGAGATACTGTGCGGAGACAAAGACAGAACGGGAGGGATGGCACAGAGAACCGGAAGATGGCACAGAGAACGAGAATGGAAGGTCGTGGCAGAAAAGAAGGCGAAGGAGGTAGAGAGAGAGAAGTAGAGCAGCAAAAATCACTCGCTCTTGAACTTCTCGCCACCCTCGCCGCCCCGCATGATAGCCTTCATGAACGCAAAGAACCTATCCCCATATTCATGCGGCGGCACCGGACTGATTTTATGCTATAACAATTATCAGCAACCACATCCTTCAAGTTTAAGACCAATTAAACAAAGGACATACCCTATCCGCGCTCAACCCCTTCCATATCCCCTCAATCTGCTTCTTCACCGTCCACGGCGTCAAGATATCAATCACACCGAGGTAATAGATCATATCCATCGACTCGTTCCGTTCGTCCGTCGCCTGTAGACCTCCATCGTCCTGGTAGAAGATGAAGTGCTGTCTGTCGCCCGTGTCTTCCTCGGGCAGTTGGAGTGAATCGGACCCGGCGCCCAGGTCTTGGAGGTTGTTGGAGTCGCGCATGGCTCGGCGGACGGCGATGGCTGAGGGCGTCATCTTTGAGTGTGTGGGCTTGCGTGGTAGGCGAGGGACGTCGGGCTGTGGCACCAATCCATCGTCAATTGACCATCCAAGGATACGAGGAAAGGGTCTGGTAAAAAATAAACGTACCGAAAACACTTTGAGCGTATTCCGTCTAACATTATCCCTATTCCCTCTCCGTTTATTATGTATCCCCACCAAAAGACTATAATCCATCACCCCCAACTCCTTACAAAACTCCGCGTCCCTCCTCAACTGCTCCGTCAACAACGACCTCTTATACGGGCCCAACTCGAGACTCTTCCCCCTATTAATCCAATTCAAATCCTTCAACGTCGCCCTCGGATTCTCCCTCGCCTTCTCCTCGGGGTACAATCTCCCAATCGTACTCCCCTTCAAATCATACGTCTCATGAATATCCTTATGCGCCGGAAACAAATTATTCATGATCACGAAATGGATTTTCTTCCCCCTCGGCAGCTTCACCCTATGCAATCCATAAAACCTACTCAAAAGCGTATGCGGGTTCTCCTTCACGTGCTTGTGGTACGTCTTCAGCACCGAGAGCAGGTACTTATGCTCGTTATGATGGATCGTCTTGATGATGAACCGATAGTCGCGCGAGAAGTAGAAGAAGGAGCCGGATTTGCCCGGAGAGCCGAGTTCGGAGAGGATGTACTTGGCCGTGAGGGAGAGGAGGTAGTCGGCTGGGTCGAGGTGGAAGGTGTCTTCTCGGAGGTCGCGGAAGACCCAGGGCGCGTAGTCTTTGAATTTGAAGTCGTATTTCGCGCTTGGGGTCAGCTCGTTTCCGACTCTGCGAACACACAAAAACACAAAGAAGAGTGGGTCAGCGGGTAAACTCGGCGTACGTGCCACGCATATCGGAAGTGTGTGGAGTGTTGGCTTGGTGTTGTGGGGAAAGTCAATTGGAGGGCTATTTTTGAGGGGATGGAAACCCGAGAGGCCCCATACGGGATAACTCGAGCCGAGCGGTGCAGCACTGAGAGAGAGCCCCGGAAAGGTTACGCAACGAGCATCACGCCAGCTCATAGCTGCGGACGAATCGCTAAATATGGACTTGCACGAATGACCTCGGCGAAACTGCCAATGCAACGTCTCTGGTTCGTCTACGACAGGGGAGCGCGCTCGAACACGCCGCAGTGATGACAAGCATGCCAAGACTGTATGTGGAGCACAAAGAAAGAGAGAAAGGAAATCGAATGAAGAGAAAAGAAAGGAAACGCACATATCAAAGGAGTACTTATGCCGTGCTGTAAAGTCCTCGTCCGTCAGCGGCCGCTTGATTTTTGCTTGACATCTCGAGACCTGCAAAAGGTCAGAGAAAATACAGGAAAAAAAGTGGGAAGCAAACACACCGCTATTCGAATACCCGTAAGCATGTTATACATCATAACATAGTTTGCGTGCCCCTCTCCAATCAAGTTTCCGACAAGCACCTTCTCGTCATCCTCCTTCCGCGTCGGTTGTGCTCTCGTGAGCGCCTCCTCCGCTTCCCGCTGCTGCTGGGCCCTCCTGTTCTGCTTCTCTCGCCTGATCTGCTCCGCCTGAAGCTTAATATCGTCCGCGAGTTCATTCTCGATGTCGGGCTGATCGACGCTCGTCGAGTGTGCTCTCGCGCGGATCTTCGACGGTGCCGAGTCGGTCGTATGGCGACGGGAGGGACGAGCGGTGAACGACGAGGGTGGCTGGAGATAGCCGTCCGCGGACGTGTTTAGCGGTGTTGCTTTCGAAGGAGCGGAAGAGGAAATGGAGAAGACGCCGGTATCAGTGTCTGTGGCCGTGTTGTCTGTGTGATGACCAGGTGGTGACCGTGAGGTCGAGGAACGCGCGAGAGCAGACGCCGGCGCCGAGTCCGTCGACGTGCGGGTGTGGTAGCTCGACGTCGACGGCCCTGCGACCGACGAGGACGCCTGAATTGCGAATGGCGGCCGCTGTGGAGGTTCTGGGCCGGGTTCTGAGCGGGTGTATTTCATCGGCGGAGGTAAGGGGAGGGTATCTGCCGTATCTTGCTCTTCGCTCGCTGGTGGCGACGGCGGCGGGGGCCCAACTGCTGCTAGATCATGACCGTCCGTGTCCTGGCCATCGGGGTCACTCCTGGTAACAACACGGAGGAGCTGGCCGCCTACTTTATTGAAGACGGACTGGGGCGGTGTGCCGGCGCGCACGCGGACGGCGTCGTCTGTCACTTTGATGACATGGACCTCTGCTGAGCCGGGCGCTGCGCCCTGGGTGATAGCATGGATTGGGTTCACGTCGGGGCTGCTGGGATGGTCGTGGGCGAACTGAAGGTCGTCGGTGACGGACTTTCCGGAGCGCTGTGGGGCGGTCTTGAGCGAGGTAGGGGCACTGGCAGAGACGAGGGCCGCCATGGGCAGCGCGGTGACGGAGATGCGGATAGGTGTGTTCGTCGTCGCCGTCGCTGTTGTGGACGATGTCGACGGTGGTGAGGGATAGAAAAGAGCGCTTGGGGCTGTTGTGGCTTCGTCGTCGACGGTGAGACCGTCGGTCGCTTATCCCGGTACGGTTATTCACAAAGGCTGTGCCTCAAAATTCGTCGCGCCGAGCCGACCTAGCGGGGCTCTCCTGAGAGCCCAAAAAATACTGTCTGTCGCGAGAAAAATAGGGAGAGGCAAGAGAAGCGAGTGTGGGTCTATTTGACGATATATGAGCACGAATGCTGTCTTTGATTGAGATGAACGACGTCCTTGATGTCCAACACAGCGCTAGTCGCACACCCATAAACAGCGTGCCCGGGTGGCGTTCGGGTCGTCCCTCGCCTTACGTCACTTCACCGCTTTCCCCTACTAGGAACAACATGGGCCACACGACGATATTCGAGAGCAGTGCTTTCTAGATTTTGGGAAAATAAAATGATTCCAATTTTATCCAGAAGACCGCCTATCTTATACATAGGATGGAGTACTGCAGGTTGTTATCAGAGGTAAGTACTTTCCTTATGAGCGCAGAATGTAATTCACTTATCTGCATGATGACTCAGTCGTACAGGATAAATTCGTGACAGAGACTCCCGAGCAGAGGAATATTTATCACCCGCAACGGCCTGCGACGGTAACAAACCTGTACCAAAACCTGGACCACAGCAGTTCGCCGCGACACCGCGTGAGAAAGTGCCGCAGAGGCCCTCGGGCTCTGCCGGAACGCAACTCTGCACGAACTTGAACTTGCAACCCCTCACAGACATTTGGCAAAGATTCGACTTCATCTCACTCGGCGACAGAACCTACCTGCGTCGACATGGAGGCTTATAACTTATACACACTGCTGCACCGTACAAGTACTCACTCCTCGAAATCATGGTGTAAGGACATGTATTGCCCCGAGTCCGCGGTCTTTGTCACTGGTAGCGACCACACAAGTATCGGTATCCTAGGGCGCTAAATTCATCTCTTTTTATACCACCACCACTACCATCATTGTTTTTTTCTTCTTGCGACGTCGTTGATAGACCTCAAGCGCGTCTAGGATTTATATGTGCGTCTGTATGTTCCACGAACTCGTGTTCGTCGAACTGATGTCCTTGACATTGATCGCGACTCTATATTTTAGGTGCGGTGGCAGGTCGCACTCTAACAAGACGCGCCTATCACCCGTCGAGGTGCTCTATATATCTCAACGCGACTAATCCTCGTATAACGTCAACAATAACCCGTAAACTGGTCAATGCTACCCTGCCCAGCATGCGACACCTCGTTCGGTAGTCCGGACGAGCTGCAGAGACACACAGACCTGAACCATTTATGGGTGTGCTTTAACTGCGGAGGAACCTTCCCGAGTGAGAATATGAGGAAACGACATCAAGTGGGTCCTCATCTTACGCTCCTCCAAACATCCCTCACAGACTACGATGACTGACTTTCGTCACACAGGCTGACACTCGACACGGTGTCTATGTCGCGATTTCTACCATTACTGTCGTAGTCGATCCCTCTTCATCACTTGATTTGGATAACATCGGGGTTCGGCCCACTTCTACGGTACAAGGGCCACTGTCACTTCCAGACTTTCCGTTCGATCAGGAAGCAGACATCTCGGACGCTTCACTGCCACCTATCCACCTCTCAGACTCGACCGGGAACGACGTGGTTCGATACTACCCACCACCAACCCCTACCATCTCCTATCCACCTCCACCACCACCTCCACCACCGCCACAGTCGGATATAAGCCATGGTCTTAACCTAACAGAGTCTGAGCATGCGAACGGACCACCAACCGAACATCGGCTGGTTAGCGCATACCTCGCGTTCTTCTCTGCTATGCACTTCGTCTTCAAGACGTTCACGTACCACACGGAATTGAATTCTGCGCAGCATTCGCACGCGTACGAGGAAATTTTGAAGAAGAGTCTAGTCGAGTGGTACACAGTCGGCGCTTTCGTGAGTCGTTTCGTTTGTCTTCTCTCCCGCCGCCCGTTCACTACTACTTACTGTACTTATCAACCTGTTACTCACTTCGACACAATTTAAACTCTGCACGCCTGCTTAGCTCCTCGGAAATGCTGCGTACGTCGATTCTGTTCCTGTCTTCCACTAGCGCAACTTAATTTAACTTCGATGCCATACCAGGATCGACGCCACCGTATTCGGCTTCTCCGCCGGCTCCTCCACGCTCTTCACAGTCGACGGTCTCGCTAAAGACGCAGTAGCGGCCTCGTCCGTATCCTGCGGCCTGGGAATCATCCTCGACGCCTGTTTTCTGTTCAAATACGGACACAGCAACGGCCACGATTTCGCGGTATGTACATCTCACCCGCCTCTAATTCCTCCGTCTCTCTGACAACTTCGAACCAATCGGCTGATGTGTGTGTGTGTGTGCGTGCGTTTCAGAGATTATCAAAGGACATAAACGGCTCCTTCCTCCTCTTCTGCATCACCTCCCGACTGCCGACGGCCCTGCTCCTCCTCTCAGGCTTCTGCACCTCCCTGTTTCTGATCGTCGTTGCGTGGACGGTTTCGCCCGCGACTGTGGGGTTGCTTGTGTGTGGTGTTGGGCTACTTTGTGTTGTACCTTATTTTGTGTGGGCGCGAAGGCGTGTTTATGTGTGATTTATTTGAGAATAAGAATGTTGGAGTTGGAGGACGATGCGAGTTTAATTGGGAGTTGTTCGTTTGAGATGGCCTAAGCGTTGGAACCGTGCGCTGCGAGGACTTTCCCTATGAATGTGTGGGTGTGGTGATGGGCTTCACTCACAAAGCAAAAGCGGGGATTGTGTGTATTGAATTGAACCGTGATGGCGTTGCCGGTCACGTATGTATCCTTCCTAATCCTAACAAACAAGATGATTACACTTCTATGGACCCTTCGTTCCCTAGTCCTTCTACTACAATTTATCCCTTCCATCTTCTAATCTTTCTTCCCTTTCACTCGCTCTCAGCATACACCAACTTCCACGACCGAAATCATCCGCACCACGCACCCGGCTCTCATCTCATCCGCGTCTCTCCACCCCGTCTTCGCCTCGTCACCTGAATCTCAACACCTCCCCTTCCCCAACACCTCCTCCCGTGTCTTCTCCCCCTCCACAACACTCCTCACCACCTTCGTCGCCTCACTAAAATCAGGGAAAAGGATGTGCTTGATGCCCTCCCTGTTGCAGTACGCAGCCAGGTCGTTGTCGCCGTCGGGTTTTTCTTTGACGAAGAGGATGTCGGCGTGTTTCGCGGCGGACATGTCTGTACAGCGGACGCCGTGGTCGTGGGCAGGAGGGTGCGATACACCGTGGTGAGGGAGGGAGGGAGGAGTGCAAAGTCAGGGAGGGGTTCAAAGAGAAGCAAGATGAGGAAGATGAGGAGAAACTGACCGGAGACGCCGTCGCCAAAGAAGAACAGCGTAGGAGGGTTTTCGAGGCGGCGGTAGGGAAGGATAGCCTGCGACTTGTCGTGGCCGAAACCACTAGGGTAGAGTAAAGCACGAGAAGCCGAAAATCAATGTCGGAGTAGAGCCACGAGTTCGTGGCATAGAAATTCGTGGAGCACTGTACCTGCTCGGGTGACGATACTGGATCTCCCATTTCCCGTCAGGCTTGACGACCGCGGTGTTCGAGATGATCTCGATGTCCTTTCCGTCTTCTTCGCCGATGAGTTTGGACAGCACGGCGCGGATGAGGGGTTCCATTCCACTATCACCAAGAATGAGTGTGATGTGAATAAGATTGTATAATGTGGACGGAGGCAGTATGTATGTGGTGAAGGTGGAAGGAGAGGTTACCTGGAGACGATGATGACGGGGATGTCTTTGCTCTTGCAGAACTGGTAGAAGTCCTTGAAGCCGGAGTCCAGTTTGATGTCTGAATCAGAGGAAGCGTGTTTGTGAATATTATTAAACGGCAGAGACAGACAGGCTTTATTGGCCTATTTGGTCCAAAGAAGATAGTCGAGAGATACTAGCACAAGTGCTTTGGCTAGTAGTGATATAACCTGGGCCGCCATGAGCGCAGCACAATGAAGAGTTCCCTCATGAAAACGTCCTCTCATGATAGCCAACACAGACACAAATCGAACGGATGAGGAAATGAGACGCACTGTTCTTCAGAACTTCCTTGCACTCCTCGAAGGTATGTCCGTTGGCGGAAACACTTTCCAACATCTCACGGAACGCATCGCTACAGAGAATCCAGGTTGAGACCGTAGTTTCTGGGTAGGCTATGACCGGGAGGTATAGGAGATGCAGACGAGACATACCGGAAGGTTTCTCTACCAGACAGGATCTCTAGGTTACCCTGCCTTCTCTTCTCCTTCCCGAATCCAAGGAAATCCGTCATGTCTATTCATCCATCAGTCTCTAAGCACATAGCTCTCGAACAATAATTTGACGTATCGAAATGAGACTCACAATCATTCGAATCGTAAGTGGTGATGGTGCCATCCCTGTGCCATTCATGGGCAAATCATTGCCGCCACAAGTCAGTGTACCGTTCCTGCCAGTATAACCAAAAGCAGGGGAAAGTCGTAACGGACGCAAGTTGGACGTGATCAATGATGCCGAGAGATCTACACAAACCAGTCGGAGAGAACAACGAATTTCTTGTCTTTGTGGACGGGTGGGTAGGGAAGGGTGCTTTCTGGTGCTTCGATATCGGCCATGGTAAGACTGGGGGGTTACTGAATATTACTCAGGTGAGGGACTTCGGGACGAACGGGATGCTCGTTGAGGTGATGAATGGGCCACCCGGATCACTCTTTCCATATGTTCGTCGGCTAATTGCGAAGACGTACTGGCCCGATTTGGATGCTCGGGACTCGGACCGACTGCCTTGCTGTCCGTTAGTCGCTTCGTCCTTGTCGAGAATCCTGCAACTCTGTTGAACGCAATCATATGATGCACTCCTGTCCATCTTATCATGCCCGAGGAAAAGGTACTGGGAAGCTGTGATATCACCGAGATCGTCCTTGCCAAAATTCAAGTATCAACGCATAAAGACAGGCTCTTGGTGAGGAGGATCGTATGGAGTAGATACAGTGTCGACGATAGATTGGATAGCGGTGGTAAATTGGTGAGTTCCTTTATTTCAGTGACATATTGTTCGCTCAATTCGTACGATCAATATGGTGTCTTGTGCCTAGACACCATCCAGGAAAAATATGACTGCAAGTTGTGTCCACAAGACCAACAACGACTCTGGACAGGTCCAAATTCAATCAGCTGAGCAGAAACAAGCACTTCTAGTGAACGAATACACCCTCCGTCCCTGTGTTCTCGACATTTCTACGGAATCATACATCTCCGTAGCTTGCGTCTTCAAAACCTTGACTGACTTCACAATGCTCGCTCCACTCCACGCACTGCCATTCATCATGCAACCAAGGCACAGCCGCACCGCGGCCTACCCCGCGTAGTTTTTTTTTCCGGCGCCACACTACCACCCCGACACAGCGCTGTCAGCGGCCTAATGACCACACCGTTTCCTCTCACCGCTCACATCCGCACAACCATATTGGCAGATACCTCGAATCTTCTCTTAGATCTCGCATGAACATTTGAGCTCCCCCACTCTTTCATTTCCAATTTGCACCTGGTTTTTGACCCCACGTTACCTTGGCTTCCGGTCCGCTCGATCCTCAGCATCTTTAAAAGACCGCTTCTTCGAACTTGCTTCAACTCATCCCCCAGCCCAGCTCCTCTCGTCTCGTCTCACAAGCCTCATCTTTGGCCCCTCGATCCGCTTGCATCTGTATAACTCCCGCCGGATTTTCCCCTTATCGAATTGATTGTCCAAGCGGTTAGTGACACCACAGGCCCACACTGCGCGTTGATGTCGATCACCTCCTCGAGTCGTGGTGCCTTTGCCATTGTTTCATGATTGACGCTGACGTCTCTTGTATATATACGACCTTGTCTATAGGAACGTCTCTTTGCCGCCTATCTACCCGACATCTTTCCATTTCCTACCTTCAGCCATGCATATCATCTACGCTCCTGAGGAGGCCATGAACCGCGACGGAAAGGCTTTCGATGAAGTCTCCGACGCCGTCGATGAAGGTCAGTCGAAAATTTCAGCCACAGTGCTAACTATAAACTCAACTTTATATTCTTTTTATTTTAAAATAGTCAACGTCCTTAAGTTGAAGCAGAAGCAAGCATGGGACGAGAAGTCTAAGTTTGACACTGAGAAAGATAAGGCCACGTTCAGGAATTACGAGGAGGCTTGCGACCGCGTCAAAAACTTCTACAAGGAGCAACACGGTAGGTCTCCTGCGCCACTTACCCTTCATTCCTTCATGGCATAAACGCTAACGAACGTTTGTCTGAACTTTATATTGCCTATAGAGAAGCAGACCGTGGACTTCAACATCAAGTCTCGTGTTGAATTCAAGCAGAAGAAGAGAGCCCGTATGGGTATCTGGGACGCCATGGAGATGCTCAACAAGCTTGTGGACGAGTCAGACCCCGATGTACGTCGAACACCTTTCGTGGTCTCTTTACCCCCCGTCGGACACTCTAATAACATCGTGGCTTTACAGACAAGCGTTTCTCAGATCGAGCATCTGCTCCAGACCGCCGAGGCTATGCGTCGCGACAACAAGCCGGACTGGATGCAAGTCACCGGTCTCGTCCACGACCTTGGCAAACTTCTATTCATGTTCGGGTCTGAGGGACAGTGGGATGTCGTCGGCGTGAGTAGACTATTCATATCGCCTCGATGTGCTTGGTACTCGATCTTAATATCTTCGATTGCCTGATGGGTGGTACAGGATACCTTCGTCGTCGGCTGTGGCTTCTCCGAGAAGATCATATACCCCGAGACGTTCAAGGGTAACCCAGACTACAATGACCCCGTCTTTTCGTCCGAGTATGGGATTTACCAGCCGCACTGTGGATTGGACAACGTTATGCTTTCATGGGGACACGATGAGGTTAGTCTGACATTCATCTAGGCTTCATCCACAATCAATACTTCTCTTTTCGATGATGATACTGACGGCCGGTTGCATAGTACCTCTACCACGTCCTCAAAGCCCAAAGCTCCCTCCCCGAGGAAGGTCTCGCCATGATCCGCTACCACAGCTTCTACCCGTACGTCTTCTCTCCTTCGTTACATTTCCCTCCTCCACCGCCCCTGAACATTCATGCCCATCATCGACATCCCTCCATTCCACAGATGGCACCGCGAAGGCGCCTACGCCCACCTCACGAACGAGAAAGACCTCAAATCCCTCGCAGCCGTGAAAGCGTTCAACCCGTACGACCTCTACTCCAAGGACGATGACCCCGTCGACCCGGTCAAGTTGAGGCCGTACTATGAGGGATTGATCGCGAAGTACTTCCCTGAGGAGATTGACTGGTAGATGGAGGGGTTTCCTTGGAGTGGTGGTGGCGGGAAATAGACGGTGGCAGCATATGATGGCGATTCGGGATGTAAAGCGGGTGCTTTCTGTATGATCTGTGTATATTAGACGATTTCGTTCTTTTTTCTCCATTTCCTTTCGACATGTCTCTTGCTTGTTCTCGTTCTCGTCCTCGTTACACCTTATATATAGATGTTGAGACGCCTAACACAGCCAGCGGTTGTTGTCTCTACTCTCGTCCTTCATACCTTGCCCGACAAGTACGAAACTTCAAGCCTCAAGCTTCATAGCTCGAGCACGTTTTGACGGAACAGTCGCAGCGTCCGAGCGCCCAGCATCGACGCGGATCGCCCAGAACCACCAGCTCAACGCCTCGAGCGCTCAAACCAGATAAAATATTTGTGCCGAAGTATTCTACTGTAACGGTGCACGTCAGTCAGACGGGATAATTGACGTTCACGAATCGCCGAGCTTCTTGACAATACGCAGGCAGAAAAGCATCATGCTGTACATTTTCGGAACACAATGCTTATACAGCGCCCGAGAGGAGTACACAGGATCACTGAGGGCGTCACCCACCATAAATCCACGGAGGAGCAAGATTGATTCTTAGCGCTTGCGCCACAGGTCAGTCCAACCGGTTATAAACAATGGTGCGCGGTGCAGCCATGTCCATCGAGAAAGCAGACCGAGGATACAGCCTGAAGGAATAGGTTTCTAAGGGCCGAGGAATTCGACTATAGCTTGAGATATCATGCGTCGACAAATACCGCGTTTCGGTTGACGCCATAGTAGAAGGATGGGTGTCGTAGTCGTACGGGGTGGCGTACGAAGGCTCGAAAGACGTATTGAAAGTGGAGACGCATGGTAGTTGGATTAGGGACGATGGTGAGGGGAGCGACAAGGAGAAGTAGACAGAGCCTAACCCGATAATATCTTGTCCTGTTCTGCTCCAAGAGTTTGGCTCGCCGTCGCCGTTGTCTCTCGCCAAGGGCCAACACCACATTAGTCGTATAAACCAGATACAATTGACACGGACCGCGCATCACATGTCAAATCAATACTCTTACACAGCAACGACGACAAAGCAGAACGAGAACTATGACTGGGCCATGTAATCCCTCTTGTCTTTTGTGCGCTCCATGGCTGAAGAACGAAAGGACGATATGTCATCAGCACTGTGAAAAGGAAAAGACCAGAACGGCCAGCACGCAAGCGTAGGGTGTGGATGGCGCAGAGAGAGCCAAGACGCACGGTTATAATGGAGAAGTTTTTCGATGAGGTCGACGTGGGTCAAGACCATCCGCCGACAACAGTATCGCTTCAGTTGCAGCTCGTCCAGCGCCTCACTAAGCACGCGTGTCGACCAATCCATAATTGTGCATTTGATGATTTCGAATAACATGTCCGTGATGTGTCAGTCAGATGTGCAAGAGGAAGAGTAGCGAAAGAGCCGCACCCTTCGCTCTTGTCCTGCGAAAGCAGTTCAAGGTAGGCATTCCATTTGTCACCGATGACCTTTCCACACGAGAAACAGCGAACTGGAATGATCTAGTAGTGCATATGCGAACAACGTGAGAGGGTAGCAGAAAGGTAAGAGACCGTATACGCACCATGCTGGAAGGCTGGTGAAGAGAGTTGCGCGTAAAGTCGAGAAATTCGGATTCATGGGAGGCGGCGGAAATAGCCGTGTGGCCCATGCGCCGAGTTTTGGCGCATCCGTTCTGTGGCATGGACACCAGCGCCTATGTGTCGTTCTTTCTGAGGACTGCACAAGCAACGAAAGGTACCACGACATTTATTCAACTCATTACAAGATCTCATACACAGTCGCTATAAGCTCATAAAAGATCGATATCACTAGATCTCTAAGGGTCGTACGTAATACAACTAACGCGCTGGTCCAACGCTGGTCCAGAGTTCACTTCTTCATCACCTTCGCGAACCCTTGCTCTAGCCACAGTTTCTCCGTTTCTTTGAGGTTTTTATTGCTACCAGGAGGGAGAAGAGCGACCGCGTGAGGAACATAAGGAGGGCTTTGTGGGTCCCGCTCATGGTTATGGCCTTCTCGCAGGTCGTTTCTGCGATGTCTTCATATGGATGTGAGTAGACCATCAGAACGAAGGAGTGAGAAGGACTAACTCATGCTTCAGATGGACCACCAGTTCCGGCATTAAAAGCGACATCCTCTTGTTAGCAGGACAGAATAAACACTGCCAGAGCGAGAGCTTCTCATGAGCCTCGCGTGAGGTCTTCTCGGTCTCCTTCGTGAGGGTCCGAGCGAGCTTCGTCTCTTCCTCGCCTGCAAGTCGTAGATCAAGGTTTCCTGTGATATGCGTTGTTGACATGTGGTGAAACTGCAAGAAAAAATCAGTGCGCGGTTGAGGAAATGCTACCCATAAAAACAACACACAGCAGTACGCCAACCCATTATCATGCCCCGAACCTTGTTCTTACATGAATGACACTGCACGAAGAAACCCGCCTGGTCCATGTCCTGTGCTCTTCCCTGGGCGGGGTCTATACTGCCCAGCTCCATCAGGTGCTTCATGGCTCCCGAATCCCAATGGAGTTTCAGGTGCCCGAATTTCCAAGGGGCGAACTGGAATACCTCACGGACAGCGTAGTCATAAGCACCACCGGGAACCTTTTCGAGTAGGCACAACTTTCTAGGCGTAAAACGATCGCACAAGCATGGATGCATGGCGGTTATGGATGTGAGGGGATTCGTCTTCCCAGCATTACATGAATCATGGTAACACATGAAGAGGGCAAGGGGGTGGTCCTTCAGCGATTGATCCCTGTGTTGCTTTACGACGGAGGGGAAGTTTCGGGACAAACGCCATTCAAAGTCTCGTCGAAGCTTTTGGACCGTCAACTTCCCGCGTATGGTATCGAGCACCTCTGGACTAAGCTCGCCGGCGCCAGGGAACTGGCGGATTTTGTCCTTTACGTCCGAGTCCATGGCGAAATTGGCATAGTGACAGGAAGGAATGTTGGCGAGGTCCTCGTCAGAGGTCGCCACCTCTTCTATCAGGGACTTTAGTTGAACAAGGCGCAGAACCAGCACGTCTTTGCGGCGGTGTTCTGCCACTTTGATACACAGGTCATTTAGTATAGGATTGAGCTCCTTGCGCAGGTCGCTCCATTCTGAATGACTCGGCGTCAGTAAGAGTACAGAGGTACAGGAAAGCAAGGAACGAACCTTTGTCTACGAATTGGCGCTCCTGATTGACGCTTTGCCTCTGACGCACCAAAGAGGTGTATACTTCCACATTCAAGACGTCGTCGAATCCTGCTTCGGTTAATTTCGCCTTGATGCTATTTCAGTCGTCCATCATTGTAGTCTTCATTTCGGTGATAAATTCGAGAGAGAATGGCTTACGCTTCCCACCGCTTCTCCACAGCCGCTTTCCTCTTGCTCTCCCGTTCTCGTTCCAACTTGAGCGACAATTCGAGGTTCTTCTGGTAGGCCTTCTGCTCGATGGCATGCCGTTCCTCGGCTGCGACCGTATACCGGCCGTATAGCCACACGGAATGGACACCGTTGTTCTATCACAGGAAGGCAGTATGTGAGAAAAGCGATAAACGATAAATACGGCGCATGCTACCTCCTTGGCTCTTTGCCCTACAATGAGTCCCATCATCTTAGCTAGTTCCCCTACCGACATCCCGGGAACTACTTCCTTCAGGAGTTTAATTTCTCTCACCGCGTATCGAGTTGCGCCTCTGATTAGTCCATAATGATAGCGCCTCTCGTCAGGTTGCCAGATTTTGATGGCCATCAGTTTTTCATAGCCGTACATATTCGGCATAAGAAAGTTAGGAAGGGTCGCTCTGTAGCTGAAGAGTGGCGCGATTACGTCAGGTGAGAGATGTTGTGGAGAACAAGGAGCACATACTGGGTCTTGATACAACGGCGGCACAAACGTTCTCGTGCAGCCCATAACACCGTGTTGTAACCATCGTCCTCGCCACACCGCTACATATTGCATGAAATCAATAATATGATCGCGTTGACAATCAGTACGAGAGAGGGAGATAAGTCTCAAGAGGCATACTTCGCAGTGTTGATCCATCATCAGGCTAACGTATCGTCGGAGATCTAGATCATCTGGGCAGGGCGGTAACCCCTCACTCTGCTCGTTTTGAGCGGCTTGTTTCCAGCAAGATGAAGCAGAACGGCTGAAGAAAACACCATGAAGCCATTTATTGGCTCGACTGAGATTGAGAAGGTCAACGAGGTCGCAGTAGGACCCGACCTTCCGTCGTAAATTTGATCAGCTCACAACCAGATGTGTAGAGTAGGTGGCAGTGAACGTACCTCGAGGAATAGCTCGACCGATAGATTTGCTACCGCGCACTTAACTACTTGGCGTTCATCTGGGGTTTCTTTCACTACCTTCCTTTTTTTAGATTTATTCGCACCCAACATTTTGGGCTGTGCCCCATTAGTGGAAACAGAGGCGACTGTTGGATCCTGCGACTCTTTTTTCGCTGTGGTGGATCGCCTGGAGCTCCTACGGGGCGGCATCTGTGACGAAAACGAGATTGTGCTGAGGAACCAGTCGTGATGGCGTCGAGACAGGAAAGAACGCGTCGCGCTTATCTTGACGCGACGCGTCTAATTTGTTTTTGTTCGATGCTTTGGTTCTGTTTGGCTCTGTTCGGTTCCGTGAGCTCGCCACAGTCCCACGACGGTAACCTCTTCTCAATGCCACCACCACCAACGCCACACCGAACACCCCTCCGTCGCGTCTCTCAAGGCTCACTCTTCCGTCTCTCTCGTTCAGACCAGGCCGATCCGTCTGCGCCCTACGGACTGGGGTTTCTTGATCCTGCACTTGCAGAACTAGCTGACGAGGCAGAAGCGCTATATTCTAATGTCGAAGGGCTGAAGCAGCTGGGAGCCTCGTTGGAGGAGTTTAATGAGAGTTTTGCGAGTTGGTTATATGTGATGAACATGAATGCTTTGACGGTAGACTGGCCACAGGTGCGTACTTCCAATCTACCAGAGAGACAGGGTAGTTCTGAGCGTAGCTGCCTGGATGAATAGGCCCCGACCGAGGCTTCGTTCGAGTTGGCGAAACGAAGAGCAGGTACGTTCATTTGATTCTCTCCACCTACTCTTGCATGAACCACACGTGCTGCAGAGAAAGACGCGCGAGCTGCTCTCTCAGCTCTACAGTCGCCTAGCCCTGAGAAAACCACGACCGAAACACTCGGGGATACGACAATAGGAGACACCACCATGGCGGAGACTACTCTCCAGTCGGGGACGAAGTCTGCTACAAAGATAATGAAGAAGAAGGGCAAGCCAAAGATGACTGCGAAAGAGAAGAAGGAACGTTCGGTGAGTGTTACGAATTTCAATCGACTGGTTCTGCTCCTGAACCGCGAATGGGCCCATGGCGTTGCAGATCCTGGTTGACAAGGCAGTCTCGTGTTTGCCGCTCGAATTTCGTGGTAGCGATCCTGTGCGTATATTTTCATTTGCTTTGCACGCTCCATAGCAGCATGCTCATACACCACACGTAGGGCCTACGTCGAAATATTGATACTATCGTTGAACACCTCATGGACAACGAAGGACGTGGTGTCAAGAGTAGGCATCTGAGTTTTCATCCTTGCACTATAGCTTTCATTGATTCGCAACTTTACAGTTCTCGATCTTATCAGACCCGATTGCAACCAAGCTCGCGTCAACAAATGTCTCATCGCGCTCGTCAACCGTAAGATCGTTCTAAAGGAGAACAGCACGGTAGGTCTCATTGTCCTATATGGGCTCTCACAAAAGGTCCTTCACGCTGACATTGTCCCACCAGGGGACTGTATTATACCATTGGCAAGGCATTCCCTGATAACGTTACCTTCCCGTCCTCGATGTATCTTCCTGTATCATCTGCGACCCCCTGTGTATCTTTAGCCGCGGCAGGATATATACCCGTGCTCATGGAGCGCACACGTAGTGCAAACCCGTACAAGGAACAGGCGTTCGCGTAGAACATCCGTCTTTGGGGCATGCAACATGGCTACGTGGATGGGGAGGCAGCTCTTGACACTCAAGGGGTCTCATCCGGCGTGCGAGGACCTTGACGACAAAACAAATTCGTGGAACATCGTCACAACGATTAGGACAATCGCACACAGGAAAACATATTGACCAACTTAGGGGCGCCATAATAGACCACCGACCCTAAAATCAACAAGGCCGCAACGGTAGCGACGATAGCGACGGCAACGGGATTAGAGAGTTTGCGGAGCGTAGAAGCTGCACTCAGCCTGCCTGAAAAATTCTGAATATATTCAAGAGTATTGTCTAAACAGACTGCCGCTTATCTTAGAACTATTTATCGCGGGAAGCGGAGGATGATGACAGTACATGGTGAACAGAATTTAGCAGAGGTGGTCTCCGGCAACGAAGGTTGACACTCGGGATGATCCGGATGATCCCAAGCCACGGTCACGTGCAGTCAGGTTCACCAAGACGCGTCTGGAATTCAATTGTCTCGCATTTTGACCGTCGACGTCCATCCTTCCTACTCTTCCACTCTCCCTCATAATCAGTCATGCCTCCGAAGACTTCTTCAACAAGACAGGCGACTAAGAGACAACCTGTGAGGTCGAAAACTATCACTCAGATTTCCACTCCCGACGAACTAGCAGACAAACTCGCGTTGAAACTGGCTATCTCCAATGGAACACCCAGCGACGATCTTTCACCAGAAGAAACGGAGAAGAAACGCATAGGTGCAATGCGCATAATCAATGCCACCTCTCAAGCGCTTAGCGCCATCGTCCAATCCGGCTGGAAAGCCTCGAAACCTGAGCCACAGACGAAGGGACCGGAGCCATCGACGTTGCTAGTAGACGGTCGGACGGCATTAAGGGACCTACGGGGTGTTAGTCCGGGTAGCCTGAATACGGAGAGGGCGGCATCTAGTCTTTCCGGAAAATTCATCGCGTTGGAATTGGTGAGTGCATTGCTTCGATGTCGAATGCCGTTTTGGTTAACTAGTCACTGCAGTATGAAGAGGCGCTAGATATTTTGAGCGACATGCACGAGAACCTTCCTCCTCTCTATACCTCTGTAGGGACAGTAATCCCACCTCGGTCTCGGTTACCGACGAAAGGCGGCAGACCGGCCGCCTTACCTTCGCTCGCTTTGCAGGATCATCTACAGATCCTGTCCATTCCTCTGCCCTCGCCACAATCCCAGTGGGATCCGACTCTGCTCACACTTCTCACAACATATCTCTCACAGTGCCTTATCTCTATTTCCTACACCATTTTTGCTCAACGGCCCTCTCCAGCCATGAACGACCTCGTATCCTCATTTGCGAAGATTCTTTCTTCCACATCTGAATCGCAAACGAACGCTACCCTCGTTCCATGGATTCAATCTCCAGTGCTCACCCCATGCTTACCGTTTCTTCCTGCAAAGTATCTCGACTCCCTCCTTACCCGGACCTATACTGCCTTGGCCAAATCTTCGTCATCTACCACCGCCATCCCCCAACGAACGATTACCCAACCCCATCCATCGCACATCTTGCTCATTCGAACTTACGGACTACATTGTCTCCTGTTAACAGCTCCGTCGACGATCGCTTCCACGACATTCTGGGACCAAATGGTCAAGTTTGTTGTTCAATTCGCTCGCGCGATCCCCGCACTTCGACTCTCGAATCCGAATACCGATGCCCCCACCCCTCTAGCGTCGGATACTAAGTCCAATGTGGTCAAAGGAAAGAAAGTGGCGGGAACGAAGACAATGGGTGTGAACCGTGCGGTGAAGGGTCCGGAGCCTAGTAAGGAGGATGCTGAGGCTGAGGCGACGAAACAGGCAACAAAGGTGCTTCATGAGATGTATGAGAGGGCTAGACTGCGGGAAGACCACGAGAAGTTCTTGAGTGGGAAGGGGTTCGTCGGATTTTGTGAATATTGGATGGGATTTTGCAAGAGGGTATGTCACAGACTCCCACCGACCTCTCAGCTGCGGCTGCATAGCTCACATGAGTCGTTGACCTAGGCTGGTGATATCAACGCTCTCGACAAAGTGGCCGGTGTCATGCACGCCGTTCAACTAGACGTCTCGTCATCGGCGGCCTCAGTCAACGATTCGTCGCTCCCCGTCAATCCATCGTCATCAACATCTCCATCAAAGTCTGCTTCACATAGCGCCAAGGCAGAGCAAGGAGATACTCCCGAAGAAGATGGACGTTCAAGGTCAAGTAGTCGGCGGCGAGGAGGTGCGGGAGAATCGACCAGCCAGGCGCTCGAGTTGGCGAAAGTATGCGCGTCTCTATCTCAGGCAACAATGCTGCTTGAGACTAACATGAGCGACGACAAAGGTAAGACGCCAAAACCGGAACTGGTTTCAAAAAGGAAACTGACGTAGACATGATTCATAGCCTCGACCGACGACGAAGACCTCTCATCACGCTTGTCCGAAGCACTCTCCGCCATTCTTCGTGCAAGCAAGCTTGTCTCATTGTCACCGCCGAAGACATCGGCTACTCCGTCGTCTTCCGCGACGCCTTCGGCCAGCACTGTCTCGAGTCGAAGTTCAGAGGACGATGTTTCGAGAGCTGAAGCCAAGCTTTTGCGAGCCGTCGAACGACTTCGAAGAGTTACGATCAAGGCACTCGAGTCCTCATCCGCATCATCCCAATCCTCTTCGACGTCAAGTTCAGGCTCCCCTGCAAGAAGCGATCCATTGACAAGGGCAGAGATTGCCCTTCTTCAGGGTATCGTCAACTTCTTGGAAGGCGTTTGCCAAGAGGTATGTGTACCTATGAAATTGGTTTCTTGTTCGGAAAGTTGACATATCGGAATAATAGCGTCCAAACGAAGATACAATTACCTCCGTACTCGATACGCTCTTCATGCTTGCCCGCACTGCGCTCTCTCCTTCCAATCCCGACAGTCATATATCCTCATTCGATATTTTATCCCAGGCCTGCCGCATACTCGGCATCGTCCTTCACGGCACTCACGATCCACCCACATATGTCGCCACCGCCACACCGACGGCAACACCTTCCTCCACCCATACGCCCAACTCCGAACCGTTTCTACCGCCTGACATCCCTCTGAGGGTGTATGCGAATTACATGCGATGCGTGAGCGGTGCGTTTTATAGCTTAGCGGCGATGTTGTATCAGAAGGAGAAGTATGGGGCGGGTAGTAGGTTTTTGAGGCAGGGTTGTGTGCTAGGGAGAGAGGCGTTGATGCTTTGGGGGAAGTGTCAGCTTGAAGGCGTTGGTGGCGATGTTGAAGAGGGCAAGGAAGGAGAGGAGGGGGTGTGGAAGAGTTTACAGGGTGGGATGGGGAAGAGGTGGGAGTTGCTGGGCGTTTGTTATTCGAAAATTGGGGATAGGAAGGTCAGCATTCTCGGCTTCGTAATTTCATTCCAGTCCCATGCTCACCCTGTTTTTGTGACGTGTGACCCATTATAGCTTGCCTACGATGCTTTCATAGACTGCCTCAGATCCTTCAAGGCCAACGACTCCGTTCTGAGTGTCATCAGAGTCAAGGGTGGGAAGGTTGCCTTCGAGACATGTCCGGACTTGAAGCAGGTGGGAATCATTGTCGATCGAGTGACTTACATGGCCACTTGTGAGCTGTTGCGAGATCCTGCAGAGGTATCGCTGCTCTCCGTCTTGCAGCAGCCGGAGAGTTCCACACCCACAGCAGTGCCAACATCAGCACCCACGAAGTCGACCAAGGGCAAACAGAAGGCCGCACCGCTGAATCCAGAACAAGAGAACTGGGCGTGTCTTCTCGGTGCTGTTCTCGAGCGCCAGATCGACAGCCTGGAGAGTTGTAGATGGAAGGATACAGGGAAGACGGCCACCGCAAGGTTGTTGAGCGACTGCATCAGCGTGTACGAGGCGGCGAAGAGGCCTATCAGGAGAGTCGGTGTGTTGCTGAGGTGTTTAGAGTTCGAGTATTATACCGGGAACGTGAAGGGCGTACGGTTTAATCCGGAGACGGTCGGTCAGAACGTGGAGGCGTTATTGTCTGGCTTGGTATGTCACGCTTCCAACGCCGTGGACTCTTTTGCATCGCTTGTTGATTGAATGTATCTTCTCTTATAGGACCTGGGCTTCGATAAAGACCTCTCCCACCTCCGCACTCAATACCAAGCTACCACCCACCTTTGGCTCGCACTCCACGCACATCGTCGACAGGACCCACAGCAAGGCGAATATATCATTCGCCACGTAGATGAAGCTTGTCGGGTCCTCAAGACATTAATCCCCTCGCAACCACCGCCTTCGGCGCAGGTCAGTCCTCAGAAAGCTGCTTCCGGCAAGCCAGCCGCGGCTGCCACGAAGAGAGGAGGCCTGAGAGGTGCGGTGAAGGCACCCGTTGCATCGGCAAAGGCAAGAGTGCAAAGAATGATGAAGAAGGCTCCAGCTAAAGGGGTTAAAGGTATATATCGTTTCTATCTCGATAGATAGCGAAGAGTCTCACATTTAAGATAGATCAGAACGCCGCACCACCCACGCCGGCTGAGGTCATCAACAAGGTCGAAGACAATTTCGACGACTTTCAGAAGGTGGTCAACTTGATCCGTGAGTGACTCGTCTGTAGGGTGTGTTATTGCGCGTTGCTGAGCTTTTCCGCTTTCGCTCTGCAGAAATGACTACCCAGTTGGTGGGGCTACTCGGTTACATTCTTGCAAAGGTTCAGTTGCTGCAAGTTCTCAGACGTCTGTGTCGGCGATATGGGAGCACTGCTGAAGACCGTGAGTCTTGCGATCTTCGAACAACTACCGGCTAAACTCGAAGCTAAACGGATGCGTTTCAGACTACATCAAGGCCTGCATCGACCTCGCCCATGAGTATGTCAAGCTGGGCAGGACTGAGAAGGCAGGAGGGCTATACAATCACGCAGTCGGTCTCGTCAAACAGCCAACTGCAGGCGATCAGCTCCGAATTTTGTTCTTTCTGCGATACACTGAGTCCCTCGCTCTGACCGGAAACGTTCGACAGAGGCATGTTATTTCTTGGTTCAGAATAAAAACCTGTCTAACCTGTTTTCGATTTTCATTTCCTCAGTTCCAGCATGTATTGCGAGGCTTTGGCGCTCTGCGATTCGGTAGACGTGGAAGAGAAGAAGAACATGTCTACTATTGAGCGTATAAGGATACGGACGCAGAAATTGGAGCGCGCTGCTCTTGCTGCTAGCGCATTTTCTGGAATTCAGCTTTCCCGAGTGAGCCTCACATTCGAACTCCTCCTGATATACAGTCACTGAGGGCATTTCTTTCAGGACGATCCCACCACCTCTGTTGTTGGACTCCTTCAAGCACTACGCCTTTGGAATCGTGCCACGAGTGCTCTCGCACGATTGGATCCGCCACCAGAGCCACGCAAGACAGATCCCGAAGCGGATAACCCATTCAACATGACCGAAGTGAAGAACGCTTTGCCCTCTGCCGGTAATGACGCAGCTGCCAAATATGATTCCATGCGTCCGAGACCCAATATGGACGGCCTCGAATGGCGCATCGCCGAGGGCCTTCTATCCACCTTACACTCTCTCGCTCAAGCTTACTTTTCCCAAGGTTCACCTCGCGCTGCGGAATACTTCATTGAGCAGATGCACGATCTTGCTAAATCGCTGAACTGTCCGGCGATGGTGAGCCGCGCATTGGCGAAGAAGGGAGAGCTGAAGCTGCACCTTGGACAGCTTGAGGAGGGACACGAGATGCTGGTGCAGGCTGCGGAGTTGTTGATGGATATGCCAGGTCCAGAGGCAGCTGATATTCGAAGGTTGAAGGGTGATTATAGTCAGTTGAACGAACAGGACAGAGACGCGGAGGCTCTGTACTCCGAGGCAGCAGACATCTTGGAAGAGCTCGACAAGATGTTCTCAGCGATGGACGGGCAAGGTGTCAGGTATGTTGTTTCTCTTCAATAATTCCTTCATAACAACGATATTAATTCTGAGACCCCCCAGGCGCTCCAGTATAACACTACAAGGGGCAGCTGGACCACTTGTTCCTAGTCTGCAGTCTGCAGTGCTTCGGCAACACAGTTCGTCCCTTCGATTTGGTCACGAGCACCGGATTTCTCACATAATTGCTCATTTTAGTCTGGCTCTTGCGTAACGATGTTGGGGAGGAGTATCAAGAACTACTCAACCGCTTCTTAGACTTACCCTCCACCCCAGAAACAAAGGTACGTCCCACTTTCTGTCAGTCAACACCGGATAGCACGGAACTGACGAGCAACCTCAAGGCGGAGGAAACGGCGCTGCTTGCGAAGCTCGCTCTTTATGACGTCCATGACCGCTTCCAAGACGACATCTTTCTCAGCAGCCTCGCGGAGTCTAGTACGTCTCTTTCGCTGCGCCCTCCGCTATGGACTACTCTGACGTTATGTCATAGCTATCGCTCTTCCCATGGGCATGTCCGGCAATAAGTCATACGCTGCATCTGCCTCCGTCCAAGAGATTCTCGGCATCCTGGCCAATGCGGAGAAGCTCTTTTGGTCGAATCTGTCCGCAATCGCACGACGTGGACGAGTGGTTCAGGTTCGCGACGCCGCCGGGTCCTTGGCGCTCATCCAACTTTATCAAACTTCCCTGGGCAAGTCAGGCGCCGAAGGTGCGGTCATGGTAGCCAATCTTCTGGGTAAGCGCTCGAGAATGTTGTTCTATTCGAATTTTGCTGATACGTACGACAGATGCAAGTGCAAGCGTTACTCTTCGACGCGAGATGCTGGAGGTCATACGAAATAAGTTCCCTGATTATGCATCCCTGGATGATCTTCAATGGCCTCGTATCACCAACAACGGGTCACCTATCGCTCCCTCAAAACCCTCGGTCAAGCGCGTTCTTCAATTCGACTCCGATGGTGAAGATGACACCGACGTGGACGCGGCTAGTTTGAAGAAATATTGGGAGTCTGTCCAAGCTCGATATCTCGCGCAGACTCTCGACGCAGAGAGTCTCCTTCGTTCCAAGACCGACCGCCTGCCAGAACACTGGACTGTCGCTCACATTTATATTACCGAGGACAAGAACACGATATTCATCACTCGTCAGCGGGCTGGCCGAGATCCATTAACCTTCTGCCTGCCGCTCAAGGGAAGGAACGCCATGGAGGACGAGGAACATCTCACCTTCAATGACGCTGTCGCTGGACTGAAAGAGATCATCAGGCTCAGTGATGTGAGCGCGAAAGAGGCAATCAACGTCAAGGCTGATGATAAGGATGCGAGGGCAGCTTGGTGGGCCGACCGGACAGAATTGGACCGACGGTTGAAGGAATTGCTCGAAAATATTGAGTTCTGTTGGCTTGGAGTATTTAAGGTCTATTCAATGCGCAATCTGTTTCGTTGTGTGCTCTTGGAGACTGATGATTTTTCACTTACATCCAGACCATTCTAAGCCGACCACATGATATTCCTGCGGACGCCCTGGAAGATCTCCGAGGCCGCCTTGAAGGCCTCTTCCAGCGGAGTCTCGTCTCCCACAGCAAGACCAATAAGAAGCAGAAGTCCCGCGTGCGGCTCGACGAATCCATCGTCGAATGCTTTTCCTACTTGTCGCCAAAATGTCGCGACGAAGAGTTGGAAGACTTCCTCTACTTCATACTGGACCTATACCAATTTCACGGCGTCTCGGTGGCTATCGCTGAAGTCGACGTGGATCATGTCGTTGTGGATCTCCGTACCCTTTTGGAAGAACACACGAGCAGGACTCGAGGCCGAGTCGTGCCCCAAGAGGATAGCCATTTGTTTTTGGTCCTTGACAAGAACGTGTTGGGTTTGCCTTGGGAATCTCTACCGATCCTTCGCGGGCAGAGTGTCAGCAGGATACCAAGTATCGATTTCCTAATTGACCGACTGGACTACGAGGAGTGGCGCCGGAAGGATGCATCGTCTGGTGCTGGCCATTCCCCCATTGACCGTGCGAAAATCAATCCTCGAAGCACATACTACGTGTTGAATCCCAGCGGCGATCTCGCCGCCACCCAAGGCCGGTTCAGCCCCTGGCTCAAGGAGATGCACAGTGTTGGTTGGCAAGGAGTTGTTGGGAAGGCGCCTAGCGAACAACAGGTCCTAAACGCAATGTCTCAAAATGATCTCTTCATGTCCGTCCCTTGCCTTTATCTACTCCATCAGATTTGTTCGGCTAACATGTCCGTTTCTGTAGTTACTTCGGTCATGGCGGTGGCGAACAATATGTCCGTTCCCAAAAGATCCGTCACCTTCCTCGATGTGCTGCGACCATGCTCTGGGGCTGTTCCTCTGGGGACCTCAAGGAACTGGGTGAGTTCGACCGCACAGGCACCCCATATCACTACATTCTGGCTGGATGGTAAGTCTCATCTCTCTCATTCGATGCTCTGAGATATCTGACGACAAATCATCGTAACACAGCCCGACGCTTGTCGCCAATCTATGGGACGTGACAGACCGGGATATCGACAAGTTCGCGCAGTCAGTTTTCGATAAACTCCATCTCACCGCGCGAGACGTCAAGAAGCACTCGTCTGGGAAGTCTTCGTCGGCTAGTGAGACGTCCGTCGTCGCGGCCGTGTCTGAGGCTAGGGAAGCGTGCAAGTTGAAGTATCTGACCGGTGCTGCGCCTGTCGTGTATGGCATACCATTTTACCTGTAGATTCACACTCTCAATCGTATAATACCCTCATCATGTATCATTATTTCGGAGAAGGCATCTGTATCTATACTGTCAGTTTGGTTTGTATCTAAATCTTCAGTGCTGAGTCCGTCATGCGTTCTAGCTCGCGTTTGTTCCTACGTTACGAAACCATCTAAACGGAATCGCATTTGGCTCGTCGGCCGTTTCAACGAGGACGAAGCTGTGGACCATCATTTATGTAGACGAGGACGTCGAAGTCTGTACGTGCCTGACGAAGGCGAGGTCGACGTTGTAAATAAGATGGCGTTCTCTTCCAGTTCATATGCACACCAGACGATCTGATTGGTTTTACAAGAACAAGGCGATAAAGTAATACGATAGACAAGACAGAGCAAACAAAGAACGCAAAGACAGGAACTCATCATCTTCAGACAAGTATACACAAAAACCAACTCCAACTCGACCATCGGACTCAGAATAAGGCTCGGAGAAAGAAAAAAAATGCAGTCCTCTTAAGAAAGCGCCACCACATTCCCACCATTCAACGGACCCCCATCCCCCTCCATCGCCATCCCGTCCAGGGAAATATCCTGCATTCTGGTACCCTGACTCGACGTTCCCATATTTGCCTGCGACGCCGCGGCGACAATCCCTTGCATATTCCCAGCCCCGCCCGCTCCCTGATTCTGCGCGTGCTTTGATAACTCTCCTCTCACGTTCTCCAGGTTCTTCTTCAGCGTCATCCTCTCGCTGACCAAAGCCAGTCTCGCGCCCTCGAGTGCTCTTCGTTCCTCCTCCAATAAATCCTCCAGTTCTTCGAATTGTGACATCTTGAGCTCGAGTTTCGTAAGTTGGAGCTTGATCACGGCCGCGAGAGTTGAACGGATGTTGGTTTCTTCGGCAGATACCAGTGAAGATGCGGCTTTCGCGGACGCCTTCAGGGCAAGATTGGCGGCGCGGACCACCTTGGAATGCGGAACGCCAGGGCCAGGTTTTTCTGCTGCAGGTGACGAAGTCGCCTGAGCGTCGCTCGATTCCGCGCCCGTTGCAGCAGGAGTCGTCGGCTTGCTCGATGAGGCCTCCGCCTTTTCAGGCTGTTGAGGCGTAGATAGTTCTCCCTCCACCTTATCCTCATCCATCTTGTCGTCTTCGTTATCCTTGTGTCCCCCTTCTTCGCCCTCCACCGTAGCAGCCTTCTCTCCCTCTTTCTCCTTTTCTTTCTCCTCCTTGTCCGACTCCGGCACCTTGCTCTCCTTCTCTTCTCCCTTCGTCAGCTCTCCTAACGCTGTCTTCGCCGCCTCAGCCGCGACCCCGGGTCCAACCACCCCCGCCAAAAACGCGACGACACTCATGACCGGATTATCCGCCTGCTCAAACGGCACTCTCGCGTACCTCATCGCCCCCATATCTCCCTCGCTCTCGAGGTACGGATCCTCGATCGGCAGCTCCAAAAACTTGCGCACGCACTGCTGCGCCGACCGCGTCCCGACGTGCTCCTCGATCAACGACCAGTCGTCGTCGTACATCTCCACGCCCTCGAGCAAGAGCAGCAATTCCTGGTCGGACCATGCGTCCCCTCCGTTCGCTGCAGAGTGCTGGTTCCCGCTGACGGACGCCGAGTTCGTCAGGCGCACGAAGTCGCCGCTGAACATGGTCGAAGGGAACCTCCCGTCGAGATAACAAGGCTGACAGAGCTCGAAATCCTTAACTTTGAGGGAATGGTACCGCACCGCCGTACAATCCACGCCACACGTGTCACACTTATAGGTAACGGCGTTCGTGGGACGGGCATTCGAGCCAGCAGATGTGGTGCCGTTGGCGAGGATAGCAGCCTCGGATTCGGAGACTTGGCGGGCGGATTTGGACGTGGTTTGGTAGATGCTAGAGCGGAGTTCGAGGGAGGCGGGGGTGGGGCCGGAAGATCGTTTGGTGGTTGAGCCGTTGGGGCCTTGGCCGCCTGGGTGTTGAGAGGGGCGGGAGCCGGGGTGAAGGGATTGAAGGCCGCGGGGGGTGTCGAGAATGACGCGGAAGTGACCGGTGAAAGGAGGGGCGAGGGCGGCGGGGCGCTGGTCTGGGTCGATCTGTGGGTGAGAGCGGAAGGACAACATTTAATGCGATGGTCCAAATGAGAGTGAACACAGACATGATCTGGAGCACAAGTCTCCAGTAAGAAAGAGGCAGTTTCCAAATGTGTGTGGTGAGGAAACGCAGAAGTGGTTTGAGCCGTGAGCCCTATTGCTCTCAACATCAAGGTTGGTGTTATATGAACCACACCATGTGTCGTGAACGGGCATGGCGGCTATCGAGGGCTGGTCGGTGGACCTGCGCCATGTTCGCACACCGGGAGAAGTAGTGCGACAAAAGTCGAAAGATATAACACTAGCCTAAGAGCACTGAAGATATGCCCTTCGTACAAGCCACCGCCACCACGAACAGACTGAGAAGGGACGAAGAGGGGGAAAGAAACGCACCTGGTAGTTTATTAATCCCCATTGCTCCAAGAAGGCATGTACACGCATAATAGCGCACACGTCTCCAGCAAGATTCCTCCGACAAGCAGTAACTGTGAGGTATTCTGTGGGGCGAAGACGGTAGGTATTGACCATAAAGTCGCGATAGTCCTTGTAGATGGCAGGCGTCTTAGACCTGTTCTTGCCGTTGAAGAACTCGGGTAAGGCGCGTCGCTCGACCGCATGGATAGCAGACATGTCGAACCAGGCGGAATAAGAGGGAATGATGACTTGATGCGTCTGTGCAGCCAGGTATTTGCGCGCCTGTTCCTCCAGTCTCTGCCTATTCGCCTCGAGTTGGGCGGGATCTTCGTCGTCATTATCGTCTCCCGACTCGCCATCGTCATCCTGACCATCTCCCATCTCGACGTCGGCATTGTCGTCGTCCACGCCCTCGCCTTCTGGCTTGAGCAAGGTGACCTTGCCTCCAGTTTCTGGTCCTGGTGAAGACGGGGGGTAGTTGGGAATGTTACCGAGTTCGCCGCCCTGGATGGGGTCGAGCTCGCTACGCTTGCCTTGAGCGTTTTCAGGGTCCACAGGAGATGCACCTTGATTTTGTTGTGGCACGGTTAGCCTAATACGCTTCGACTCGGATGCGTCTGGAGAGGGAGACGCGGTCCGTTTGGGAGAGTCCATCGTGAAACTAGCTCGTAAACGCGTCAGAAATGTATCAGCAGCGGTACAAACGACTTGCTCACTGTTGTTGACAGCGACAGAGGTGATTTCAACAATATTTCGGAATGGTGGAAGCTGAACGAGACGGAGCAACAAGACCAGCAAAGCACTGCTATTGGAACAAAGTCACGTGGCATTGCTTTCTCGCGCGCAATATTTTCAAATAATTTCTTAGTATTTTCTTGCCCAACCTCTACTCGTTGTCTTCGCCAGCGCCGAAAGGCACTCGCGTTACGTCTTTGTGGAAATAGGTGGAAACACAATTAATGTTCATTTTGACGTATAACTCATCTTCATCGACTGCTTTAGATTGTTTGGTGGCCTCGTATTGTCTAGCATCTGTGGGGGTGACGACGACATCGAAGCTGGCACAAGCTCGGTATACATTTTTCTTTCTTTTTGAAGCACGAGATGGGCGAGATGATCTTACATATATCTGTAGACTTTCATGACCGCTGTGCCACTAGCCCTTGGTCGCTTATCCCTCTCGTTCAAGCTCCCATGGCGGAACAACTTTCTGAACTCCAGATTCCTTCTCAATCCGGCATACGTCCCCTCCAGAACCTTCTCCGACGGCGATACTCCAGGAAAAGTCGCCTTTCGAGCCGTCCACTATCCCGACACCCATCCCGATCCGAGTCTATTCGAAGATGAAGACGAGGAATATGCTTCCATCTCTCTCCCTCTCAAGTCGCACCATACTGCGTCCATTCCAACTGGACATCCATGCGACCCACTCAGTCGACTCGTTCAGGTCCAAAACTTTAGGGAAGCAGAGAATATACGCTCGGAGCTAGTCAGTATGGGCATACCCATCGTTCCTCGCACGCGATACTTCCGAGCTGCGCTGCACGTTTTGAACGACCCCAACAATCCCAATCGCTACGCCTCATTCCTCAACTGGTTCTCCCTCGTTATACCAGCCAAGGCTAGCAGAAGCCCTTACCTTAACACCATCACCCGCCGTTTATTCTTCAATAGCGCGATCCCTCTCGACGTTGCCGTTGACTTTGGCCTCATCTGCGCCTCGAAAGGATACGCACCCCTCGTGGGTCAAACCGTGGTAGGCCACATCGCGCGATATGCAGAATTCTCCGTGACGCGCCGGTTTCTTCATGAATTCTATGATGCGTTCAAAGGCTGCGAAGTGGAGACCCATCCACACAGTCTCAGATCGCGTGTCGAAAAGCGTAGCAGATGGTGGAGCTATGCCATTCGTACTCAATGTTTTGCGAGAAGGCCTCAGCAAGCTCTCGAGTTGCTACGAGAAGCCTACACACTTCGTATCGCGATCAACCAACACACCGTCGAATATGTCGTCAATTCCCTAGCGGCCGAAGGCGAAACGGAGCTCCTTGATCAGATGGAAGCTATCGGATACACTTTCAATAACCCTTCCGTACCTCTCACACGAGCTCTCTTGACCATCTCCAAAGACCGGCCCGTCGAAGACAACATCGCCATCGCTCTGCGTATCCTCTCACAGAAGCACATGTCCGTCACGTCTCTCATCCCCTTCTTCGAGATCTACAGCCCAGAATCCGACCGTCGAAACCCCAATATCCTCGCTGCCCCAGAAATCAACATGTTACGGACCAAAGCGTATCGTTTCTCGCTGAACGCTCTTTCCTGGGTCATCCACGCCGAAATGATTTATCACCACCGTCGTTCCGAGTGGAAACATGTCCTCCATCTCTATCATAAATATTTCCATCACATTAGCGTCCCTGAAGACATCGTACAACGTCTACTGTATCGTCGCTACCATTTTTCAGCGAAACGCCAGATCCAGCCAAGACGAAACGGAGCCTTACCGATGTCCGTGGAGTTAGCGACTTTCAATATCCCGCATAAATTATGGGCAGATGGATATATCACTTCGCTCGCTTGGAACGCGATCGTTAGGTTGACGAGGACCGAGCGAGAGGTACACATGCTTTTTGGACGGTTCACGGAGGTACTGGAGTGGCATCAGCCGCATTACCCTAATAAACTTCTAGAGTCTGCTTCCCTTCCCGATCCCGCTCCTTTATCATTACCACCACCTCCATCACCCTCTTCTTCACTCGAACCCAGTTCTCCCTCCACCTCAACAGTCGCGCTCGCCACCGCCGCCACCGCCTCTCCCATTCTTCCCTCCCAATTCCGTCATCACTCGATCCCACCTTCCCCCACTCCAGCCGACCACTTCGACAACGGGCACTTCCTCCCCTTCCTCCGCACCTTCTGCTTCTACCACAACTTCTCTATGTCCTTCCGCATCCTCGACCACATGTTCGAGAAGGGCATAAACCCCAATGTCGCGGCCCTCGGGACCGTGGCGGGTAAAGTCGCATTAGCCGGAAAAGCGGAGAAGGCGATGAAGCTGGTGGTGCAGATGGAGCGGTTGGAGGCGGAGAGGTTAGGATTGGGAGAGGATTTTTTGGTCTTGGCGCAGGATGAGAGCGGAGGGATAGAGGGTGGAAGCGCGATAGAGACGGGGGTAAAGGCTGGTGCAGGTGCGGGTGCTAAAGGGCCGTGGAGTACACCGGCGGGAAGGCGTGAGTCGAAGGAGTTGGTGAAAGCGTTCACTAATGTGATGAGTGGGTTCAAGGCGAAGGGAATGACGGATAATGCGAGGGTTATCCGCGACAGGATGCGATATCCGTGGGGCTTTCCCTTTCCGGATGACATGTCGGATACTGCCAGTCCCATTGATCTCACCAAGCCGAATCCGACTCAGACTGCAGCCGATGACATAGGCGAAGTTCAAGCATTGGACGTGGATGGAGCAGACGTTCGACCAAGCTCGGCCACAGCAACGGGAGCCAGTGCTGCTCCCAAGAGCGAGAGGCTCGGCGATTTAGCAGATCGGAGACAGGTCGAGTTGGTCAGACGTATCTCGCAGGAACTGGACCAGCCGGAGAGGAGGAAGGTGTACTATCAGGCGGATTGGAGGGTCAAACAATATTCGAGCGAGAAGACGTCAGGGTTTGGGCTCAAGTGGGGTCCGTCTGCGGTGGCGGCGACGTCAGTGCAAGGCGGTGAAAAACAGTCAGGCTCAGCGGATTCGTCTTCGTAACCGAGCAGCTCTTGCTGTTTGAGGTGGGTCTTTCACTCCCTTTTTGTCATTCGCTCTGTCTTCCTACGAAAATCCAAGTTAATCAAGTACGTTCATAGACTACCGACTGTGTGGCCTACACCGGACATTATACCGCGAACACCTACCAGCCGGCCCTCCCCAAGTTCACACTGGCGTCGGCATCAATTTGTGTGGCGTTCTGCTGCACAACCAACCCACAAACACACTACTCGTTTGTGTGCTTATAGCCGCCCCACCTCGGTCCCCGCGCCTCCCTCCCAAGCTTTCGCCGATGGAGGTCGACGTCTGGTAGATTCACGTCACAATGACCTCTCGGTCCGCCAGGCCTGGCGGACGGAGGTTTATGTTCCATCTGGTGGTTTTTGTGGCGTGTACGCTAGCAATAGCGGATGCAATATGTGCTTCGTGAACCGTGATAGGAGAGAATAGGAGATACTACGTCGACGGCCTTTCCCGAGGCGCTGTGTGTTCGAATACACAAGCATTTTAGCCGAATAACGAATTGCGTTCGAACTCCTCAAAAATTCTTGATGCCGCTGTTCCGTTTGATGTCGATTTGAGTTCTGTGCTTTTGGCCTTACTTCCGAACTCACACTTTTGACCCCGAGTACTTCTTGTCTTTTTCAACATATTCGCATGTCCTGCGACTTCCCGGTACCCAAGCGGTCGCAAGCGGACCGTGCGCAGTCACCAGGCGAGGTCTCGGGATTGGCTTGCGAACCCTCGAGCGTCTTACCTTCACCGCGTGCGCCTCAGCTGGCAGAACGAGTTGCCACAACCTTCCATATATCGTCATGGCACAGATGGAACAGCCCACCGTCGGAAGAGTTATATTAAGACGGGCGGTAGTGAAGGCCGTCTAAAACCCTTTCGCACGCCGTAAGCTCGCTTTTTGCAATGGAACACCTCCGTCCATGGCTATAAAGTTCAAAGGTCGGATGTGTGAAGTCTTTCATCTCTGCGCTTCTATCTTCTTCCTCCCATTCGATGGGCACAATCATGGGCTCGCGATCTGTCCTGCGAGTCTTGTGTTTGAGCTTCATTACCTATTATTGTCTGTGTTCGCATGCTATGTTGGCTGCAGCTTCGTCTTTGGAGAGCTTACAACAGGGTACATTCGGTGCGAACAGCACGGTTCTGGCCTCCACAATCTCGTCTGCCAGTGGAGGATCAATCTTGGCAACACAATTCTCTGCTTCTGCTACGTCTTCATCCATTCTACCAAACACTCCTTCGACTGTTACCAGCTCTACCTCAAACATATCCGCTAGTTCGACTTCTGCCGTGTCGTTGTCCAATACTACCAGTACCACCATTGTCCCCACCCCGACGTCTTTTGTCGATTCGCAAACATTGCAAGCTATGTCGACGGTCCTCAATGGAAGACTATCATTCATAACCGCAAGCATCACCAATGTTTCGAACATCTCTGCATGGTAAGAATCAATTACAAGGACATTAGTTTGATCGGCAGGCTTATATCTTTACGATAGGCTTTCCACCCTCGGACCAGACGGTCAATGGCCCACGTCTGAGATCGATTACACCACAGGCTGCGATGCTCAACGCGCCAATTGGCCTGCGGGGGATCATTGGACGCGTATATGTAGGTAGCGCTCACCTTGTATGAACCAGAGCGGGCGCTGATCCGCTAATTGCAGTGACCATGAGCGCTGCGTGGCACGGTGGCATACCAGGAGAAGAACAATGGGTCAACGACTCGAGTCTGGCAACTGTGATCTCCTCTGCCATGAATTACTGGTTTGCGAACGACTTCACCGTGGCGGCGTGTCTTGACGAAGGCGGAACGGATGAGTGCCCTTGCGGCACACCAGGACTGTGGAACACCAACTGGTTTTCGAATGTATGCGAGTTATTGTTTCTTGAATTGATCTATCATCACTCATCTTCTTCGTCCAAGGTTATTCTCGTTCCTAAACTGGTCGATGAGAGCTGCCTCCTCTTCAATGCGGCCCTATCCTCCTCTGAATTCTCAAGTTGCGCCAGTATCTCAGCACGATCCTATGATACATTTTATAATGGCTCCAAGTCATACCTCTCCGGGGCCAATATCCTCGACGTGGCCAAAATTGGGATCGACGTCGCTCTTTTGACGACCAATGCTACTCTCATTACCGAGGCGTACGGGAGGATCAACGCAGAGGTGGTCGTCGAGCCTGGTATCAAAGTCGACGGGATCAAGCCCGATGGAAGCTTCGGGCAACATACCGGGTTGCTGTATAACGGCAACTATGGCAAGGATTAGTGAGTGTCCCATCGCTTGCCGAGCGTCTTTGCATTCTAAACGATACCATGCTCGGTTTAGTTCCAATGATGTACTCGAACTAGAGATAGACGCAGGCAATTCCCAGTTCTCCGCTAATGATTCGTCGAAGACCGCCTTCGAGACATTGATCGACGGAGATCAATGGATGATATACCGAAACGTCCTCACCGGCACGCTCCACTGGGATTTCGTTAGTACATTTCATCAACCTGAATCGTTTGATTATCTGCTGAACAATCTTTCAAGAGCTCTCTTCCGCGTTTCATCTCCTTCGCTGTAGCCGATCAGATGTGAGTATAACATAGATTTCTGGGCAGTGGTCTGTGTATTGACTAGGGCATCATCACGGACACAGGGCAACAGGCAGCTTGAACCTCAATCTCACCGAGATTCAGCAGCTAGGCGAGCTATGGAACTCGTCGAGCATGGTTGATGTCTATAACGCCCTGGTCAAGAACACATCGGATGCAAACGCCGGGGCGCTCTACGGCAATCGCAACTTTTACAGCAACGATTACATGGTTAGCCTCTTCTCTTATCACATCCAATTCTGCTTCAATCTCTTGACATAATGATAGGTGCAACGCGGGAAAGGTTACGTGACTACCCTCAAGATGTACTCCAACCGCACGAAAAACACCGAATGCACTAATACTCAGAATGTACGCCTTCAGCTTGTTCGCTCTCGAGGTCCTGACAGCTCACGGATATATGTTAGCCCTACGGATTCCACTTGTCAGACGGTACACTCTACACCTACCTTGTCGGAAATGAATACGAAGATATCGCCGCCTCATGGGACTGGAATCTCATTCCCGGCACAACCACCGATTACGGCGCCACACCACTCTCGTGCAGCTCTGCGACCTTCACCGGTCTTGAGTCCTTTGTTGGTGGTGTCACATATCCTTCTACGGCAGGAAAGACGGAAGGTGGAGTCGGTATTGCAGTCATGCGGTATACGAATCCGTACACGAAGTCTCTCAGCTGGCGAAAGGCTTGGTTCTTCGTGGGTGGGGACGTTCAGAGGGTCATGGTCACGAATGTGACGCAAGCGTGGAACGCGACGGGGAACTCGACCACTCCGCCCCCAGTATACTCCGTTTTGGACCAGCGGTTGCACAGTGGGCACGTATACGTAGATGGGAAGAAGATACAGCCGGGTGGCGGGAACTGGACCAATGCCAAATCGTTGTGGCACGGTGGGGTCGGATACATTTTCTCTTCCGAGCACAATCGGGAACACGATAACTCCTCATCTTGGAACTCTTCCTACCACAGACCCGACTCCCCATTCGGCTTGACCGTCTCAACGGGTCCAAAGACCGGAAATTGGTCTTCGATCGGAACGTCAACCCAACCGCCCACAACCGTCGATCTCTTCTCCGCATACATTCACCACCCATCTTCTTCTCTTTCGGATCCCTTGGAATACACAATCTACCCGGCTACGTCGTCCTTCGGTGCTTTCGAAAAGAAAAGTGGCAAGCGGCAAGACTCGCTCCGTACGTTGAGGAACGACGGTGAGGTGATGGCAGTATGGGATCAGGAAGCAGCGACGCTGTTCGTGGTATTTTGGGATGCAGACGGTGGGACGCTTGTAGTCTCGGCGGAAGACCTAGGAATTCCCTGTCTCTCTGCCTTTGTCCCCGATTCCTCCGAGGAAACACGCTCTGAGTCCGGGGACGCCCAACGGCGGAGAAACGAGGAGTTCAGTATCTCGTCCGATGCAAACTCCGTCCTTGTCTACGCCGTCAGTAAACGTGAAATAGCCGTCTCGGATCCCTCCCAGACCCTGAATAACCTACGACTCACTCTCGAGGTCTGTTCCAAGGACACAAAATCCTCTGGTAGACGTTCGGATGCAGACGAAGAATGGAGCCGGACCTTCGCTGTCGCATTACCTTCCGGGCCTGGTGGGAATGCGGGAAGTAACGTCATGGTCGACGTGAGCTGATGAAAATGATGGGCAGTTTTTCTTTTGATTTGATTTGATTGAGCAGCGGCGCTCGAATCCTGACGATTTACTTACACACTCCTTACTACATTATATTACTGACGTCTGTCGCAACCTGTCTTTAACTCAATCTCTTCAACGACTGAAAATATAAATTTCGCACGACATAGCTTTGCTCCATAACTGTGACGTTGACTCGGTCGAGTTCGCGCGGACCAAACACTATTACCTATAATTATCTAACACGGGCAAGCCCATGCGATATCCCGACAGACACTGACGTGACACTATTGGCACAACACACTGTTTCCTCATCAACCATAGATTGAATGTATGAATGTGGACATAGCTTCAAGAAAATGAATGGGGGGTAATACAATAATGCCACGTCGCAGCCTGAGTACATATAACTGAATCTAAGTCTAGAGATATGATCATGACGGTGTGACGGCCGTACGTACAGTCTAGTATACATGTGAGGGATGGGGGCATCTGCCAGGTCGGTACGATGCGACGACCGCGACTCCCAGCGGCATTGAATGAGTCAAAATGAGGTCCAAGGAGACATAGACGAGAGAGCGAACGAGCGGCTCCTCCCTACGCCCAAGCCCTAACCCCATCCGCCCCAACCCCCAACGACATCGTCTGCGGCCCAGGCGAATACATCCCTCCTTCGCCTCCCGCACCATACCCACCAACACCGCCCATCCACTCCTCCCTCACCTTCTGAAACACGAGCCTAAACGTCGACGCCGCCCCCTTCTCATGCACCAACACGATCGCGCACTGACACTCCCCTCCCCCTCCCCCTCCACCCTGCATCCCACTCCCTCCACTGGTATAGCCGCTCCTGCTGGAATACCCAGAAGCAGAAGACGCAGAAAGCGGCGGGCTCATCATCGGACTATCGCCGCCGCTGCCGCTGCCTCGCAAGCTAGTAAAAGCGTGGTGGTGGTTCGGGTTGGGCGTCGGAGCGTTCGAAGAGGACGAGATCGGGCCATAGCCAGGTCTATGGAACTCAACTCTAAACTTCACGTATTTCCTCACCAAACCCCCCGAATTCGAATCGTACGCGTCCTCGATCCTGCACTTCAACCATCCACCCCCTCCTCCACCCACACCACCCTGAATCCCGCCGGAACTGGTCCCAGAGTCGCCGAGGACGAGCTCGACGGGGATCCCGAAGCTCTCAAGCAGACGTTTGACTTCGGCTCGTGTTGCGGAGGGCGAGAGTGACGAGGGCAGGGAGACGGATTGGGTCTTCCAGTTGAAGAGGTTGGAGAACCAGCCTTTGAATTCGCCGACGGGGGAGTTGAGGAGTGAGGCGGCGGCGGTACCGGTGAGAGGAGGAGAACCGAGCATGTCGGAGAAAGCGGAGCGGGGGGTGAGGTTGATGTTGGTCGTGTGCAGGTCGAGAGGCGTGGCTGAAAACGAACGCAAGAAGAAGTCAGTACAGATGTTCAGACCGCCATAACGGAGAGAAAGAGAGGGAAAACGCACGTTTCGCCTTCCTCCCCTTAGCCGCCCATTGCCCCTGCGGCATCCCCGCATACACGGCCCCCATATTCCCCACCTCCTTAAACCCCAACCCATCAATGATCTCCATCTCCTCGCTATCGAAGCTCGAGTCCATCTTGGCGCACCCACCGTGACTGCCCTTCCCACTGGCACCATCGTATTGAATCCCCGCATTCTCCTTATCGCCCCCACCATTGGCACCCGAACCGCGCGTCGGAGGCTCGTTCTCATCCACCTGCATATTATGCTGCTCCCGTTGCTCCCTATGCGAAAGCTGCCTGCGTTGCTCCGGCGCATACACCGCCGGCGGAACAGCAACAGCGACATTCGCACTCGGCTCTGCGTACATCGGGGCCGTATGTGCAGGCGCGTGCTGCCACTGAATCTGCTGTGCCTGCTGGACTTGAACCGGATGATGATACGCATTCCTCTGCGTCGGATGATAAGGCAACACCGGACTCTGCAACGCGTTCGCCTGCCTGCTCATAGTAACCTGACCCTGGCCCTGCTGAGCCTCGACCTGCGACCTCGCAAACTCCGCGTGCAAGAAATTCATTCTCCCCGCGATATCGTCAATCGTCCGCTGGAAGGTCGCATCGCCCACTCTCGGCGCGGTGATCGGTGCGGCAGCAACAGCAGGCGGATTGGCGTTCTGTCGAGGAGACGGAACGAAGGGGTTGTTGGCCGCGTTATTGAGCCCGAAGCCGACGGGGAATAGGCCGTGCGTGGTCGTGGTAGCTGTGGCGGCGTTCGAGTTGGCGTTGGCGTTGGAGGAGCCGTTGGAAAGAGGAACGGCGCCAAACATCGATCGCGCGCCGGCCGGGGACCTCGACGCAGACTCCGTGCCCGAGCGTCCACGAGTCCCGTGCGGGTGTAAGCTCAGAGGCTGGCCGAGAGGTTGAACGGGTGAGGACGTCGGACGTGTGCGATGCGTCCTCGGACCAGAAGGAGACGGGCCTCTCGAACGTCTGGGTGACTCTGGCGTAGGAGCGTTCGTTGAAGCACGGGAGGTAGTGGATGGCGCAGGAGCAGTGTTGTTTCGTATCAAAGGTGGAGGCGCCAACGTCTTCGGCGCGCCACCGACATCCATCGTCAACGGTCGAACTTTCTTCGCCGATAACGGCGTGATATAAAGCTTCGTGATCTTCTTCGGCCCTCTCCTCCTCCCCTCACCCATCGCACCTCCGACATTCGCCATAACGTCATAGAACGCCTCATCGACGTCCATAATGATTCCACTATCCTGGAGCGTCTGCTCGCGATGCTTAAGGAGGAGGAAATAGAATGCCTTGGCGAGGGTGCCCTGGCCGGCGGGAGAGAGGAGGTCGCGTTTGATGGCGTCGGAGTCGGCGTGGCGGCCCCAGATGATGCAGAGGGAGGAAAAGACGTCGATGTCGACGTGGGCGAAGGAACGAAGGGGACGAGCGAGTTCGGTGACGGAAGGCGCGGGGACGTAGTTGATGCCCGGGGTGGGGTTGGCGAACCAGGGATGAGCGAGAATCTCGGGAATCTGGGAGGTCAAGAAGGTTAGAGTCATAAGAAAGGATAGTGTGACGCGGGGAAGAGGCCACGTACGGTGATACGCTTGTGGACGTCGACGACGAGCATGCGGTTGACGAGGTCGCGAGCCTGAGCGTCGACCCAGATCGGAAGGTCGTACTTGCCCGCCTTGACCTTGCTCAACAACGTCCTCACGTTCTTATCGTCAAACGGGAGCCTGCCCGTAAGAAGCGCGAATAAAATGACCCCACAACTCCAGATATCCGTTGCCGTGCCCTCGTACTTATGTCCGTGCACGATCTCAGGACTCGCATAATGCGGACTCCCACAGCTCGTCTCGAGCTCGAGACTCGGCGGGGCGAACGCGGCCATGCCCCAATCCGCGATCTTGACGAGCGGCGGGTTGAGCGAGTGGATGAGGATGTTCTCCGGCTTGAGGTCGCGGTGGATGATGGAGAACGCATGGGCGTAGTTCAACCCATAGATAATCTGCTTGAAATAAGCCAACGCCTCGGCGCTCGCCAACCTGCCCCTATTGACCAAAAAATCAAACAACTCCCCTCCCTCAACATACTCCAAAATCAAATAAAGCTCATTCTCGCCCTCATACACATCATAAATGCGCATAATATTCGGATGATTCATGAGCTTCATCATGATAATCTCACGATCGATTCCGAGTCTTTGCTTGTCCGACTTGGCCTGCTGCGTGCGGAGCGACGTGCGCGAGCTGAAGACGAAATCGAGCGGGAGGATCTTCACGGCCGCGAGCTGGCCCGTCTTGCGGTGTTTCGCGATCTTGACGTGCCCAGAGGCGCCCTTCCCGACGCATTCGCCGATGATCCACGGTCCGACGTATTTCGCGTCTTCGGGGTACTCGAACGCGCCGGCGCCAGCGGCGGCCTTTTCTTTCTGCCAGCGGGTGCCGTGGCGGGCTTCGTATTTGATTGGGGGTGCGCGGGGTGGGCTGCCAGAGACGGCGGGGGAGCGGTCGGCGACGGAGGGCATGGCGGCGGTAATAGTTGGTATGGGTATGTGGATGAGTATGAGTAGGAAAATGAGAACGTAGCGTGATTAGAAAATAGAAAAAACGAAAGTAAGAAGAGAAAGCGGAGTAGTAGGCGCGAGCGAGGCGAACGACTAGCGTTGGCGAGGCTGGGCTGAGGGGATAGAGCAGATGGTGGTCGGTCTTGAAGAGGCGGTTGGACGCCACAACACGCCGCCGCGCGTTCAAGTGGTTCGACGGAACGGGCCACGTGGTCGCGTTCCGGTGGTTCAACTTCGGGGTCCGATGCCCGGGTGCCGCCGGAGCGATGTCATTCTGATTCCTCGATTCGAACCAAGGTTGAACCAAGGCGGATGCATCGCGAGGTTCGACTCTGCCTAGAACTCTCGATAGGAGGCATGGAACGAGGACCAAGCGAGCGAGGTGGCAAAGAGCACCGCAAGGGGAGAAATAGTACAGAGACACAGTGTAGAAACGGATGACAGATGCGAGATTTGTGTACACAGGGAGTTCCGCCACGAGGGAGACAGACAAGATTTATCACAAAAGATTGAGTGTGCCAGCGCAAGAACAGGGTAAAACATATGACAGTCCAGATCCGTGCTCAGGTGATTCTATAGAGACTAAGCTTCTCTCTTAGCCACGCGAGCTGTTATATTTTCCTCAATCGTAGGCACCATCCTCTAGTACCACTAGAAAACATTGCCTCAGCTGTCCTCACCATCACCTAGTACAGAAGCTGACTCTGGTTGCGACATCCGTTTCATGTTGGTTTCATGAGACACCCCGGCAGGAGCCTTAGTGACAGCTGAGCACGATCAAGTTGGGGAGTCGGGCGACCTAACTTGGACGGATCGATGTGCTGGCATCGCCGGCGCTTGTGGTGGTATCACCATGTCGAAAAGTTACCAGCTAGACGGCACGGAACCTGAATATGTTAGTTGAGTGGCCATAAATTTCGAGAGAACGAGAGGACGGACCTTGAAGCTTAAGGAGGTCTTATCTTGGAGCCTCTGCAGTAGCATTGGATAGACGGAAATACGACAAGAACGCCACTAGCCTGCTCCAATGTTCACATCATGCAAATCGTAGTTGAAGCTGTCGAGGCCCGGCACAGCCAGTCCACGTTTCGCAGTCGTCCTCGAGTGAGAGCGCAGACATTTGAAACGATCGGGAGATGAACGAGGCTCGTCGACGTCTACCCCAGAGGCGCAGCAGCTGAGACGGTGGGGGATCTGCAGCAGAGAGCACGAGCAGGGTGCATGTACAAGTTGGAGCGGCTGGTGAGAGCGAATGTGGCACGCGTGCTGTGGCTTGCGAGGTCACGCCACGCCACTGACAGCCGAATTGGTACCGCGGAGTGCTGGCCGTCATCGAAGCTTGCCACTCCGCCTCCCCTTCCTTCTCTCCACCATCTTCCCTTTTCCTTTTCTTTCTGTATCCCCAACTTCAATCAAGCGCACGAGTGTCGGACGCTCTTCAACGACGTTCATGCCATCGCCGCCAGCACACCATCCCCTCCGGCTCGCGTTCGCACTCACTCTCTCCCTCTCCGCCCTCGGGCCCAGACTCGTCAGAGCCTACTCATGGCAGTTCGACGGCACACCCACCCAGTGCTCGAATGTGTCCCTCAGCATCACAGGCTCGGGCGGCACAGCGCCCTACACCATGCTCATGGTCCCGAGCGGTCCGAGTCCGCTGTCCATCGAAGCCAGGAGAATTCAGCAGTTTACATTTGACGGCACGAGTCTCACATTCGATGTCAATTATCCGGAGAATTCAGAGTTCATTGCTGTCGTGCGTCTCTTATTTTCTTTTTTGTGTGTGTTATATGTGCTATTTACTGATGAATGGGTTGCGACGTCGTTTGACAGGTGAGTGATGCGTCGGGGTTCGGATCGGGTGGCACCAGTGCGCCCGTCGCGGTCGCTTCCTCGAGCGACTCCAGTTGTTACGACTCTACGACTGCCGTCAAGGGAGCATGGACGTTCAGTACCGACGGCACGACAAATCAGTGTGACACGGTGCGATTATGGTGGGAGCAGGAGAATATCAATGGGTATGTCTCATTTCTCTCCGATCGCCTTTTCGTCTCGAATGTTCCTCCGTCTGCATTTTCTTCTTTTCCTGTGGTCATTTTGCGCTCGAGAGTGAGCTGGATGTGGATAGTATGGACTCGAAACGCCGTCCGAGAACCTCCATGCATACCTCCGTGTGCGTCCCGCGCTACGCGAGGTAGCTCCTGAGCGTCCGGTCTCGCATGCCCGTGCTTCCTTCCCAACCATACCTGTCCCGCCGTTCGTGAGCACAAAACAAAAGTCCAAGAGCACGCACCATGCTCTTCCGTTCCGAGAATCATCCTTGATCGATATCCACCCCTAACTCACATCTCCGTCGCAAATTAACTGATCACATGTTCCCCTTCTCCCCATCGCCACCTCCACCCCCGCCCCCCACTTCCACTTCACACAGCTCAACAAACTTCCTCGGCGTAATCCCCCACGGTGACTCCTTCTCCATCCCCAACGGCACCACCTCCACCAACACCGCAACCGGCACCGGCTTCAACTGGACCGTCAACATCGCCGCCGGCACCAATTTCTTCATCGTCGCCGGTGACGACTCTGGTGCCGGCGCCGGCGGCAGCGGTACCTTCACCGTCGGCTACTCCAGCGACAGCTCCTGCTTAAACTCGGACAGCCCCACCTCGACCACGGGTGATCCGGCTGGTGGTACTTATCCCACTAGTACCGACGGCGCCAGCACCGGTGGCGGGAGTGGCAGCAGTGGAAGCGGTAGTGGGAGTGGGAGTGGGGGAGGTGGAGGGAGCGATGTGGGCGCGATTGTGGGGGGTGTGGTGGGGGGTGTGGCGGGTCTGATTGCGATATTGCTCGTTTGTCTGTTTTTTGTGAGGAGGCGGAGGTTCCATCAACATACGAAGGAACGGCCCGTCGATCTTACGGATGATGCGGATGGGGACGACGGGAATGCGCAAGTGCCGCATTATTATGCGCCGGAACCGTTCCTCGTTCCGGATCCGACGCTCGCCGGTACAACCACAGACGGAGGCCGATCCTCAACCGATGGAACATCACGATACGGGTATGGTGTTGGAGCCGGTGCGGGTGCGGCTGCTGCTGGGAGGGCGGCGAGTTCGAGGCCGAGCAGTTTTACGGAGACGGATCCGCTGAGGCCTGGAACGCCGGGGACGAGTTCGTTTGGAGGGACGGATGGGGGAGGGAGGATGATGAGGAAGAGCCCGTTGCCGCCTAGTATGAGGCCGGTGAATATTATACAGCATGATGATGCGGGGCCGAGCGTGCCTGGGGAGGAGGGGGCTGGGGAGAACGAGACGATCGAGTTGCCGCCTGCGTATACGAATATTAGAAAGTAGGTGGGGGATTCGTGTGCGCTTGGGTGTGCGTGTGGAACAGGGAGGGAGAGGGGGAGGAGGGAGGTGGTGGTGGTGGCGACGGACGCTATCGCTCAAAAAGTTGTCGTTGTCCTTGTATACCATACCATATCCGACGAGCCGAGGGACAGTTAGTTTACTTGCGCCTTTCTACTACTTACTTACTGCTATTACTACGTTCATTGCATATTCTCATATTTCTTTTTTTTTTTTTCAGTTCTGAGCCTCGGACTCCCTTCCCTTCACCTTTCGTTTGCACTTTAGCTTTCTTTCTACTTTCTTTGTCATTCCGTTCTAGCGTTCCAGTTCCATGGCCAGCAACCCAATTCACGGCGTGAATAGTCCGTTCTTTTCGTCCTGTTATTCTTTTTCTTTTTGATTGATCGATATCGCTGTCTCTATTCACATTTCCATTTCAAGCTTTCACGTATTTTGACTCGCCTGATCCTGACAGCTCGATGTTGAACGTGTACGATACCCTACATTCATATTCGTATTCACTCTTCTTCGCGCCGTCGTTGAGGCTGTTCGTCGTTCACATAGTTTACACACGTCCTTGTCCTCATTTGTTGACGCCCCTTTCTGACGCCGTCACCACCCCCGGGCCCCACCCCTACGCTTTACGCACCTCGACGCACGGCGCCACACTTCCTTCCGCCTTCAAGACCTTTTCAAGCCTTTCAAACCCTTCCGATTCAAACGACCAGTCTCTCGGCGATACATATTCTACGGCCGGAGACACTAACACCAATCTTCATCCATCCAACTTCATCATCATGACTGACTACAAATATCATTACTCCCCTATAGTCCAAGTCTATGCCTCCTCCATGTCTCGCAGTTGCAATTGCAGTCAACTTTCAAGCCTGGTTATTTCTTTCTCTTCTTTTATCGCTTTCTCGATTCGTCTTTTTTGTTCGTTTATTGCTTCTATTTTCCTCTTTTCCCCCCTCAGCTTCAACTTCGTTGTACTCTTCCTTTCCTTGCCTTCAAGATTCTTCGATTTCAGCATTCACGTCTCTACGTCAAAGGTCTCTACGTTCCACTCCTCTTAGTTTAAGTTTCAGTTTCAGTTCACGCTTCCCGCTTCCAGCAATCGATTGCAGTATGCAAACAACTCAACTTGAATAAGATGCGGTAGTCACAGGCGTCTGCCTCTGACATGCGTGAGCGTTTGTAGTTGACGCTCATGTGGCACTCGAGCTAGTGGTGTGATGAAGGTTGGATAAGGAGCAGATATTTCTTCCGAGTTCAAGGCCGAGTTTGGCGGAACCGTGACACGAACAATGACATACCCGAGTTTGATTCCAAGAGCCAATCAGTCGGATCGGCACGCCGGCGGACCTGCCCCAAGCGCCCGGGATCACCCGAGCCCATTCAAAAGTCGCACAACCGCCTCCGAACTCGCTCACGTCAACGTCGAACTTAAAGCTTGAAGACGCCGTGCTTCGTTGACAAGCAATCGCGCCCTCCTCTGGCTCGTCTTGGTTATTTTCCTTTCTTATTCTTCTTGGTCAGTCTGGACTCTGTACCTGACTGCTGGCAAGCGTCTCGCTGGCCGTGGCCGTCTGAAAAGCATCATCAAAGATATTGCGTCCGCGTGGTTTTGGACGGTCGGATTTCCTGTAGTCTGGTCCATCAATGTTGCGCGTCCCTAGGCCTTGCAATGCGCGTGCGTCCGCTGTATCATTGGCCTTTTAATTCCTCTTAGGTTTCTAGTTTGAGCATTTGGACCGTGCACTTTATATTGGTAAGCGCTTGTGCCTCCTCTCAGCATGCAGGTGAGCGCTTTTCAATCTTGTGCAAATTCGGGTCGAGATTTTTTGATGGATTTATTCGAACGTGCTTGCCAGGTGTGTATGACTCTCGTCGTGCAAGTACTTGAATGCCCTGCCAAGCCGTGCCTAATAATGATCGTCTCGTGTGAGGTCTGCACTCGGAGACTAGCGTGCCTAGTCCATCAGAGTCAAAGTACTCCGTCTTTTTACCCCCCACAAGCCGGTCTGCAGAACGGTATGGCCCTCGAATGACTGCCTTCGGATGGCGTCTCTTGGAACCGTTCGAGTAGTCTTTCGTTATAATGGGGACCGATCTTTAACTCCGGTACTTACGGTGCTGACGAGTGGCGTCTGTGGCCCAGTCAACTACTGATGCGGTCGCACATGTCGAAATTCCGCCATCGACGCACATACGCATGCACCGACAAGGGCGTCTCAAGACATCATGGGCTACATTGCCTTTTCCTCTTTCCTTTTTGCAATACGCGCATGTGGGGCGCAACTGAACTGGGTCCCAACACTGATCCAGTGCCAGATATTCGCCATAATGCACGCGTTAACCTTGGGCCTGCCCCTGGAGAGTTGCTGGCGGCCTTGAGCGGCTGCAGCAGCAATACTGGTTATGATTGAACTAGACCATAGCTCTGACGGATATAAAAGCGGGCATCTTTTCCTGTCCTCTTGTTCTTCAGTTCACTCGAGCCCTCTCTTCTTCTACCCACCTCAAACACCACACCCTCTTCAGTGACTCCACTTGAACTATTCTGCTTCCAACGATGTTCTCCTTCACCAATATGCTCGCTGTGGCCTCCGTTGCCCTCTTCTCGCTTGCTCCTGCGAGTGCTGTTCCCACGGGAAACGGCACTCTCCTCGAGAAACGAAGCTACAGCGGTGACGGTGCGTTGTACCCACTTTCCCTCACTTCTCGGTCCCATTAATCTTACGAATATGTCTGTAGGAACGTACTACAATACAGGTTTGGGGGCCTGCGGCGTGACAAACGTCGACACGGACTACATCATCGCCGTTTCCGTTGATCTCTACAACTCCTACCCGTGAGCCAGTCAGACACTGCTGTCTACCCATCTCTTGTCGCTGACGGATAACCTTCACAGCGGCGCGACGGCTAACCCCAACCTGTCAGTTTGCGTGGCACAGTAGTCACTACCCTGACCTATTACTTACCAGTATCCCCCTCTCTACATCTAGCAACCCCATCTGTGGAAGGCTCATCACCGCCACCTGTACGTCCTTCTCTATAAAACCCCTCTTCCTCGTTTGTACAGTGACTCATCCCAGCTGAATCGCTCATAGACAACGGAAGGAGCGTCACCGCCGCCGTCAAGGACAAATGCTACGCCTGCGCGGAATACGACCTCGACTTCTCCCCCGCCGCCTTCACGCAGCTCGCTGCCGAGTCGGTCGGCCGCATTCCCATCACCTGGCAGTTCATCGACTGATCTGGCACCGAGCCAGCGCTCAGAAACAATCACCTTCTCCGACTTATTTATGTGATCCACTGTCTTGAGTCTATCTATCGGTATTTATTGGGATGGATTCAATGGGTTTGGGTGTATGTACGCTGCACTGGTGTGCTGATATGTACCGGTGTAATTTGATCACTTGCGATTGCTTGGCTTGTCTCCTTCCTCAGATGTTTGATCACAATGGGCACGTGTCAGTGCGATCCCACCGTGTGTCCAGAGTCAATTTCAAATTACGATCATGACACGGACGCCACACCTGTGGCGCAGAGTCTGTCGGTCCTTTTGCGAATTGTGAACTGCTCGATGGGTACGGCGGCTTTATAACATTCCTGAAAACTGGAGTCAACGGGTGGCAAAATTGAACCTCTGTTGCGAATATAGTAAGGCACAGGAGCAAAGAAAAGAATATTCATCTGAGACGCGGGCAAGAACTTGAACTTCGTAAAATCATAGAGCCCGGAAAAACGACATAGAAGTGGTGGCAATGGATGGGGAAATTGTGGCAAATAAGGCCACACCGTAAATATATACGAGGGCCACTGTCCACTTCTGAGTTACGCCGTCAATCCAGACGTGCGAGAGGGACCTGCTCCAGGTGAATCTCTCTCGATAGGCACCATTTCGATGTCCGCGTTGCTCACGGCCCCACGATTATCATAAATCTTTGGAGATCGCACAATATTAGCATAGTTATAGCTTTCACTGATATGAGTTCTCACTCACGACCGGTACAAGCGTCGTGGCGGCATTGTCCCTAATGGTATCTTCATCCACGCCGGAGTCGTCCACCGGGAAGTCTTCAGAATCGAATTGACTGTCCCATTGATCGTGGTCCAAAGGCTCTCCGATATGTCCAAGAAATCTGTTCTGGGGAGGTTGCGCTGGAACGGCCATAGAGTCTGGCAGCGGTCTATTCACCCTTCGCAAGTTGAGATAAAGATGATTAACGAGAATATTTGGGACACTGCAGAGTTATGGCTGTTATAGATGTCCAACTCAATTACTAGTTTCGAATCAAGACTTACGCCTGAAAATACGGATCCATGATGTTTGATAGAATGTCTGCCTCCGGCTGATGCAAGATGAGACAGTAGCCCACGTTCAAGGTCGAGAATGAGAATGAGAACGAGAACGAGAACGAGAACGTACATTGACGGCGGAGACCTGAACATCATATGCATATGTCAATATACTTGTTAGTATCGGGAACATCGGGATGAGACTTACTAGAGCTAGACCGGCCTGAGTGGCCGCAACCAGAAACATGATGCTGAATATCGCAGAAATGACCGTCGTCGTTCAATGAGATGATGCGTTTTTGGGACAGGGTCCACATAAGTACTGACATAAAATATATTATTCCTAGTAGAACCATCGATATCAGGACCGCCTGGATTGAATACAATGTGAAAGAAAGATCGAACCATCGCGTAGAAGGAGTGCAGTTATGCCACCTTTGTTGGTCATTTTCCGCATTTCCATAAGATGACCAAACAACTTTACGACGGTCACGGCGAAGATGAACCCATCGAAAGTAAGAGCCAGGCCTCCGGAGGCGACATAAGCTATGCATGTGTGGACTGTAAACACATGGCGGCATGACGCATAGATGACCATTGTTCTGACACTCACACCTGGGAAAGGCAATTTTACGATTCAGCATTGGAGAAAAAATAACTATCACTGCGGAGTACTCACCAGCTAACAAGGGCCGGATTAGCTACGGTGATATCATCTTCGCAGGCGGCAAGATGAATACCAGGATCTCTTGCAGTGGATGCGCCCACTGAGAGAGCTGCTTGCTGTAAAACCATTTGCGACCGTCAAACTTGTGCGGCCCAGCGATCTGTGTGAGTGCTTACCCAGCTATCAACGACTAGTCTGGCCAGAATTAGGGCCAGGGAGACGAATAGAACCGACTTGCTATGATTGCTGGTGGCGTACACCCTCAATGTGAAGAACACTGTCAATTCACAGTGTTAAACACAACTTGGGAGATAAATCCGAACTTGACCTACAGTTAGTGCATAGAAGAGGACCGATCGTTAGGATCGTTCCTAGGACGTTTGACATGTTGCACCTATATGGTACCCACTGCTTAGTAAACATATAGTCGGGGTAGTGAAATGCATCACTCACTCCACATCTGTCTCAGTTCCTGGAAAGCTAGGCGCCATATTAATAATCATACCAAGGCTGAAGCCATAGCGATTGAGGAGGAAAAGTATGGTAGGCAAAGTAATCTTGCTATTCCAAACGACCTCGACCTCCATTGGTAAAGTCTGTATGAAGCTCATGACCCAGATACCTTCAAGATACAGAGGGCCACGGAAAAAACCGTCAGTATCGGTGGCTACATAGACGGAGGAAATATGCAAACACGAGGAGGACGCTGAAGTGTAAGTCTCTAACAACCTACAGTCATTGGTGAGAATTTCGAATAAATGTGACAAGCAGACCAAACGCACCAGATGATATCGGAATATATCTCAGCAGACACTGCAGAAGCGTCGGAGTCAGACATGCTGGAGATGCTGGTCTGAGGATACCGGAGCAGCCATTCTCTTGCTAGCTTATATATGCCCAGAAATTCACGGGTACGACATCACGGTCTCCTTGGTCCCGCGAAACGTATGAAATAACGAGAGAGAAAAAAAACCCTGCACCTACCGAAATTATCTTGAAATCACTTGTTCAAAAGGAGTTGTGTGGAGGCATGCAGGTTCCCGCCGTCCTCCATGGAAGAAGTCATGTACACAGAGCGCTGCGCGGAGAGTTTGGTCAATCAGAGAACAATTTCATGCATAGGAGCTGTAGGTTGAGACTCACTGGGGGTGATCCCCGGATAGTTCAAGCGCAGTCCAATTCCGCATGCTCGTCATGTGCCCCGTAGGATTCTGGCTGTTCCCTTTGCGAAATTTAGCAGTATCGCAGTGCTCGTTCAGTCAATATGTTGTTTCACAATGGAGTAAGTAGCACTTTATTGGCCCTAATTTTGGTGTATATCGCTGGGCGCTTCCTGCAGGGCACAGAGAATAGGTGGAACACGAGAAAACCAAAGTATCGTCGCGACCGATGCGTGATATGAACGTTGGATGTTTCCCTCCATCTACCGTTGACAGTGCCCTTGGCAATCAGTCTCCATACCGTCTAAAACGCACGAGCTCTTGCCCGACAATTATTCCGCCAACCAATGGATTGCGTGCGCGATGAGGGACAGGTACGTTCACTTCGCAGAAAGAGGGTAATGATGGTTTAATCGACCACCCGCCAGTTCATCATGCATATTGGCAGTGCGGGTCTGCTCAGGACCAATTAATACCGCCTTAACTCTCCTTCATTCGTGTCGCGGCTCGGAGCCATGTATGAGCACCTGTATCTGAGCGCGTAAACAAGAGTGTAAGGTTCTCAACCTTGAATGGATGCCTTGTCTTATACGCTCGCCTAGATGTCAGGTCAATACCCGAAGAGCAGTCGGCGACCATAATACTTGTGAGTAACCACGTCTGTGAGACAGGGGAGACTTCGTATGTAACGGATGATCATAAATCTTCCTTATGCTCCCCGCATCACTCTGACTCCATGTGTTGATGGCTCGTTCAATGGACATTGGAAGTAGAAGCACGGGTTACTGGGGGCACGGAACACAGAAACGACGATACAGGAGGCGGAACACGTACAGAGCTTGTGGACGACACGCGGCGGCGGGTGCGGCAAAGTTCTGCAGCAAGGTTGAAGAAGTATTCGTGGAAGTGACTCGAATAACGTTTAGGGGTAGGGCCTATAATTTTAGTCAGGCCAATCAATTGCAGTAAAGGCACACCTATCTCCACCGCTCTTTCTATTCCCGGGGTATCAGCGCATTCGTATATATTATGGATGGTTTATCGCACTGACCTCGCCGCCTGTCCCAAGCCTTTGGTACGCTGAGTGTCGATTTGGGCTCATGCTCGCATTTTCAGGCAAAGCTGAGGCGTTCAGTACTTCGCTGAGAGGTACTGTATATCGTGCTCAAACAATAAGGTAATCCAATGAAGCGCCTCCCCAATGCCAATGACCTCGACTTATCATTGATCTCGTCCTTTCATTCCTCCCTACCTCGCCGACGGAGCAGGCTTCCGGAAACGAAACAAGGTCTTACACAGATTGTGACCGCGCTACCGGCGCCAAATCCCTCTGCGACACTCTTGCTCTATCATTATCGCGTCCCGTCCATTAATATGGTTGTGTACCCCCAAGCAATCAGCCTCAGCCCGATAGTGCATCACCACTAAGAAGTGCACGGGATGATTAAGCCAGAGAAGACATCGTTGGAAGTAATGACGGGAGAAAAGTGGAACTCTAGGGCCAGTGGAAAGAGTGATACTGGCACGCAGAAGTAGAGGCGATAGATCAAGAATATCACGGCAATCGCCAAGGTGCACACGTAGACCAATAGACAGTGATGGCGCACCTAACGGGTAACGGATATTTGCGGGCTAGAAGACTCGTACACGTTCGGAATAGATTAGGGTTCAGACCGAGGTCTATGCACTCACCCTGTGATCCCACTGGTCCAGTAGAAACAGTTTCTGACCTATCCCTGCCATACACCTTGACATGAAAGAGGAAGTGAAATCGAGGAGTGTGCTCGCAGGAATGCAGTCACCTTGAAGCTAAGCAGAATGGAATATAACGCGCCTCTTTGACCTGAAGTGAGTGGACCAGCTCCTGACTGCGCTGGCGGAGAGACTACACAGGTATATCATTATCAGGATTATCGTGACTGCGACTAGCTTAACGCGCGGGCACTCACTGAATATCGGTCTTGTCCATCTTACGACAGTTCGACGATATCAGCCAGCAAGTCGCAGATCAGCTTACCTGTGAGTAATCGGTCCCAGACATCATCAATCGTGGGCCATTCGTCCGTACGGGATAGAATGACATGGTTCTCCAGAGAAAGACCCGGCCAAACATTGTTTGGAATATACCCTGCACGGTTGTGAACGGAAGATTGCGATTTAGGTTCGACCTGCGGAACATGAGATGCGGAATCAAAGAACGCACCGAATTAGTCCTATTTAATTAAGGGCTGCCTTTCATCAAGGCAGGGAACATACCTTGATTTATCCATTCATGACCATGGCTCTTCTGGTAGCCTGCGCACCGCGCAGACGTCGTGGACCATTATTTGGCGAAGGCAAGGCGGAATATATGCTTTGAGCAGGTAGTGAGGTACATAACCAATGCAAGATGATCTAACTAAAGAATGATCAACATTTATGTCATTGCTCATGCATGGAAGAGGGAGTTTGGACAAACGAAAGGTTAAAACGGGTGTCACGGCCGCGCCAGGCCAGTCCAGTGTGCTGTCATATTTGCTTCAACAACAGAGTGTGCAGTCAACAAGTTGCAACATCCCTGAGGCGGTTGATGCCCATGCACGTTACTAGGCTGCACGGTGTCAATTGCGAAAAGAGACCTTGTTCAAGTTCAAGTTGTCGTTGGTTGACGTCTTGACTCGGCAGCTGTTAGCAGCCGGCCCGCTGAGGCCACCGGACCCGCACCACGCGAGAGCCACGTGGTCGCTGGGGCACTTGAACTCCAAACTCCAGCTCTGCATCCTAACTCTCACTACTTATCCTGCGCTTGTTCAACACACGAGCTCATCGCGGTGAGAACTTTGGAGCACGTCTACTCACCTATGAGGCCGTCCGTAGTGTCCGAAGGAATACGCATGAAGAACAGCATCCACTAAACCTCACTTCGCGACCTAGTATGCAACTCACACATCTTGTTGTCGGAGGCGGATATGCAGTCATAGTCTTATGACTTAGTATCTGTTTAAACCTGCACGAGCTGGAGATACTATGCTCGCGTGTGTCACAGGTGTGTCTCTTAGCTATCCACTGTTCGACATTGGTTCGACAGATCCTCTTGGCTCTTTGAAGTCTCACCTGTTCAACCCTTGTATGTTTCCAGTCGTATCCGCTCAATCGGCACCATACAGCGCTCACCTCACCGCCGTCTGAATCTGTCTATGTGTGCTCTAGCTTCCCAACCAAATTTTCACAGATCTTCTGCCATAGCGTTTTATAGAGAACAATCCTACGTGACTCGATCGTCTAAGTCCGCGGATTACACTGTAGTGTCAGTTCAACCCGGCAAGCCTGAATCTACATGCGGCCCTATGTCTATCTCTTCTACCATAAGGTATGCGAACTCACTGTGATCAAGTGATACAGCATCGATTGTGGAGCGAAGTCAGGTAGATTTGTCCATAGTGCCGAGTATGTTGATCCGTTGATTGCGGCTCTCATGCTCATGGCTCTACCTCCGAATTATCCTATCTGACTTCACCTGTCTGACACCCTCATTGCATCGTAAATCTTCCGATTCTTGTCTTCTTTTATCAAGATGGTATTGAAACACGAGCGTTTCGAGTGGGAAGACACGAGTACGCCTTCGCACCTACACTTCAATGCCACGATCCTCCTCCCGTTCCGCACCGAAGTGCCTTACTTTATCCACGTCATTGACTCAAGGGAAGGAAGACGCGCCTCATATTTCATGGTTCGAGTTTCGAGAAATGAGAGCAGCGCAATTTCACTCCATTTCTTGTTTTGCATTGAACGGAAACGCATATTCGATGTGTCTTTCAAAGACATCATCTTCGTTTATTCGTTATTCTCACTGAAAAGCCCTAAAGATCAATTTGTCTCTTCGTATGTCAAGATGCAACGTCTAATAACAAGTGTATTCTTATCTGCCGTCGGAGCAGGACATCTGAATGGGACCTCGGAGGTAAGCATACACAATATACTCAGGCATCCTCGTGCTGACTGCCCCGTCCTCCTGATCGCTCCGTAGGTTAACGTTGGTGATGTGGAGCGATATGACCATACCTCCGGCTCACCCTTGACAAAGATCGTCAATTATCTGATCCGTTAGCCATGACTCTCAGCTTCATACCTGCAATGCTCACTAATGCTCATCTGGCTGACGTCCGAGCTCATCTCGTGCATGTGTTCTCTCCCCGCGCTCTTCTCCGATTCCTACAACTCTTCCGTTTCTCCGAGGTTCTGTTTAGTCCGGAGCGCTCGTCTCGGAAGCGACACTACCACGATGACGCGGAACGGAAGACAAGGACGGATGCATCCCCTGCCGTCCCTGTCATCCGCCAAGCTCTCCCTCAAGGTTTCCTCCACTCCGTCGGATAACATTGATTCTTTTTGCGGACCTCTACGCCCACCTTCCGTTTAGGTAGGCTCGTGTATATGCCACGGTTTGTGGAGCAGTGACACTCGCCTCGAGGTAGGAGCGGGTACCTCGCGAAACATGAGCCCTTAGGACGAACACATCCCCTTCGGTTACTCGTACCACTGCTATAGCTTGTTGAAGCTGCACTTGGTATGTATGACCCAGTACATACCACTTGTGTACGTCTCCGACCTTCCCGCCCATGCTCATATCCGGCCATGCAGTTTTGAGCAGAAAAGACGACATGTTCAGGAACCGACACAAGGTGCATATGTGCTGAGGTGGTGAGCATGGAAATATGGTACTCCAATTCTACACTCTGTGTGGAATAGGAGTAAAACACGAGACCATCTTGTGTTTCATGCCATACACAGTTCGATATTCATCGAATACGCTACATAGAACGAACTGCTGAGCCATATTGTCCTAGGATTACGACCATGAAACCCGAAAGACATGTCCGTGTAAGTCAGTGCCATTACCATCCCGTCACCTCATGCTGTTCAATATCTGAGATAAATTTGAAACACCAGAATCCTAGGATCGATTTTACAAATGCTCAACTTCTCCAAATGGTCATAGCACACATACGCTGTGTCATTGTTCATCCGGCGTCACAACATGCTTGTATCGTCGAACGCTACTACAGTACTCAAGAACCGTACGATGTCTAACAATTTAGATTGCTGCCGTACATGTCAATACTCTTATCATGTCCTCGTATGGTCCGAAGCTTTTTAGCGCTCCCACTCAACCTTCACCGCATGATCTCATCGAACGATGCCACGGTTTTACATCGTTTCCTGACCCTTCGACGATGTTCGCCATCGTTCGATGCCTGTCCGTATCAGGATCATTGGGTTTTCCATCTAAATTTGGACGCGCGAATTCTGCGAATGATCGGTCTCTTCCCTCCGTGGTACGTATTGGGAATCCTCAGGCCGTTCTCCTTGCTTGTTCAAAATAATCACAATTGCTTGGTGTGATTTGGTATGTTGAGGGAGTTGTCTTTACGTATGGTACCTGGCCGAAGACGAGTACGGTATGTTGAATACGAGCAAGGCGTCAGCGCTCAAATACCTCTTTCGCTCTCCTTTGTGTGGTCGCACTTTGGGTCATGCGTCGCGTCGTTTGTGGGTGTCATTCGCCCTTGTTTGGAAGAGATTTGTCCTCATTAAGTATGTCAGAACCGCCGTCTCGTTCCAATCTCGTTCCCAATTCTTTGTTGTGACTTGGAAAGTACGAGTACAGCAGGTTGAAGGACTCTTACGGAACGAATGCATCTCTCTCTCCATTGAGGAGAGGTGCACCCGTCGTTCGCGTGAAATCTTTCCTAATCTTCCGATAACATCTTTGGGCACGTATATCGTGCTCACTCCACCCTCCGAGTATCCACGGCGTAGTCTTTTGCTCAGAGCACGGAGAACATCGGAGCGAACTGACTCCACCTCCGGCAAACACACATGTGTGGAGCCCCACAAAGTCTCTGATCCGTCACCTTGCCCGACAAGATGAAACGTTTGTGCCTGTATGTACCACCCATCCGATCGTATTCTTGTGAACATGCAATTCCCTTTTCCGCGGTCGTGCTTGGATGTTTCAAGTACTGACATTTGTGCTTTTTACCAGTCGCCGTTAGGTGAACTGAGCCGAAACTGTGCTGCGTGTAGCGCAGTTGGTCTCAGTATACTGGACACACTGCGCCCGCTGTCCGCTAAGACTCGTTAGACACCCGGGTTGTATGTCAGTTCCTTTGTTACATCTGAGGATGGTCGAATACTGGGTATGGTGGACGTCTCGATGACGGTAGGCGCCGGCCAGAACAGCCTCATTTTGTGGCCATTCTATTTGGAACGACGTATGCGCTATCTCAGGGACCTTCCAACCCCAGTCTACTTTGTAAGAGATCATATTTGGCCGCAGAAGACACGTATATTGATCACTGTTGTGTCCAGTTTGGGGGAGAAACTTGGATATAAAATATGCGTACGTGGAAGTTTATCGCTAAAGAGAGTTTTCGAAGTCGCGCCCTGTTTAAAGCAGTACCCAAGATCATTCCACATTCGCGAACAACGACGCTGCGATCTATGGATATGAGTGTCGAACTTGGCGAGCCCGGAGTCAGAATGGAACCAAGATGAACAACTCGGACAAGAACAGATCATGGGCTGCGCGGGTGTGACTCGCCGAGCTGCGAATGCGCGCCGTTTTGTTGGGTTGTGTGCAGATCCGTGCTAAATCTCGATCACTGCCTCTTCAACAGGGGAATATGCACGCGATTTTGTTTTCCAACCGTCATCTTTCGCCCAAAACTACCATCAATGCGGCTCTTCGCCGATTCTAAACTTAGATGCCGACGGGAAATGCGTGTCGCTTTGAAGAATGCGTCTTGTAGCCCACTTTAGAGCTGCTTTAGAGCAGGAGGAGAAGTCGTAGTTCCTGGGCAAGAAAGGCGATATCGACATAAACAAAGCATGCGTCGGGATATATTCTAACTGTGTATGTTTGTGGGTGTCTGCCAAAGCCGGCCCCGGGGGCAGAGTCAGCGATACCTTCCGGGGCCTTAAGCGCCCAACATCGGGGGTATAAGTACACGGCGCTTCACCCATCGGCTACTCACGCCCTTTTCCTTCCCCCCACCACTGCTCGCTTTCAACTCTAGTGTCCAGCTCTGTTCTTGGGCGAAAGCCCACCCCCTCCCTCTCCTCCCCCTTTCCTTCTTCTTTCTTCGCTTTCTTACTGGAGCCTTACCTCCTCCAATTGCTTGTCGCGTTCGAACACTTGTTCTACCCGTTTCGATTCCTCCCCCCTCTCTCTAACCACGGCCATTACGGATATTCTTTGGAATTTCATTGGGCAGCGCATCGTGTTCGATAGATTGCTACTCCGTGCAACCACGACGGACCAATATAACGATGCAGCACTCATCTTTCGGGAACGATGAGCAGGCGTCTTACTACTTCGCCACATACCTCGAAGCTCTTAACATTCCCATGGACCCTCCCTTTGATGCCGGCGTTGTATACTCTAACTTGTACGTGCTCATGTAGGAGTGCTTGTTGCTTGCTTATACCATTGCTATTCGTTGTTAGTGCACCGGGCGCGGTACCGCCGGCATCTTCCCTTGGGCTCTACGAAGAAACCCCCACGAGCGTAGACTTTCAGCTTCCCACGCCTGATCCGGATGTGGGGGCTGACGTCCGACGAAAGTGCGCTATCCTACTGGTTTCTTGTTCATCGTGATTGCTTCGGTCATTGCTGACCTCTCGTTACTTCCATCATCATTACAGCGACTTCGATGTGTTTCTCGAGGGATCAGGTCTGTTCGACGATCCCGTCATTCCGGAAGACCCCGCAGGGGAGCCTCCGCTGCCGCCAGCACCCGCTCCTAAGGACCTCGACTCCTTTTCTGATGGAACTGGCCTCGGCAGCTTCGACTACAGCTTGACTTCCGATCATGGAATCGCTGATCGTCGTCCGACCTCCCTCGCCTTTTCGCCCGCTCATCCTGAAGAGTCCGTTGTCTTGTGGCGTAACGATGTGCATCGCTGCACTGTCACAGACACAGCTGCTGAGTTAGAGAGAGAAGGGTTTCCCGAAGAGTATCCCGAGGTCCGTATCATATCTCGGATTGCCTGCAGCATACTAAGTCAACGTTTTCCAAATGTACTGTTATTGCTCGTAGGAGCCGGCAACCAAGCGCCGGCGCTTGTCCAAAGACTCTTACTTGGACATAGCACCGCTGCGTACGGCCCCACCGCGTGAGCGCTTCATCGCGCTCCCGTCCGCCTCTGCCCAGCCTAGCACGGCTGGCTCCTCGGTGTCTCAATCCCACCATCACTTCCATCCATGGAACACACGCTCGGTACCGAGCTTTTCTACCGGTCGGGTTACGGATGTCGTTGACATACCCAGACCATGGTCCGCTCCTCCTTCCCTCTGAATGAGACAAGCCCCATTGCGTCATGCACCAATACAGAGCCGCTACAAGATAGCTCACAACCGATGAGTCTAAGGATCATCATTACCAGGTGCGCCCCATCGCATCTTTCACTCCGTCTCAGTTGCACTCACGTTGCCTGTTGTTCCTCTTCTTCCTTGCAGACACGATATGACAGTGGAGGCCGAGGGCCGAGAGTTCGAGTGCGCCTAGAGCACACTACAGCGGACGAGATTTTCTTGCGATCTTGGATCCGGATCTATGCAAACCCCATCCTGACTTGTACCACCACCCAACCTCATGCAAACCTACGCCATCAACTGAGCCCGTGGACTCCGTTTCCAACTAACTCTCTTCCACCGTCTTACTGCTCTACACCCACTAAACCCAGTTTTCCATTTTTGCGCCGATCAACCCTGGGCCATAACTGTATTACTTCCCTTCCACCCTCCCATACTTTACTGCCCGTCCTCAACCCCTTAGGCCTTCCATTCCCATGATTCCTAAACCCCAGTTCTCTCTTCCTTGACAGTTGTAGTTGTATAAGTTAACTGCCTCCCCCTTCCTCTTCTGCTCTCCAAGTTGGTTCGGCCAGGCCCCCAACAGCATTCGCATTCACGGCGCAGCGCTCTCTATCCTATGCTCCCCATTCCTCTCGAGGAAGTCGGGTGTAGCGGTTTAGGGCGGCGCACTGGTGTGTTTTGCGAATAAACGTATATATCTACTACTGCTATCTCTATGTCGTATCGTCACTGTTTTGGTTTGTGCTCCTACACCTTATATGGTACGATACGATGATTTACGACTGCCATTATGGAAACTTGTGCTCCCTTCCTCCCTTCCCGCTTCCCTCATCCCCCATCATTCTCTCGACTACGCCTCCGACCCCCATCATCTTCCTTCTACCTACGCCCTACCTACCTTTCCACCTTCCATCCCGTCCTACGCTCTGTATGCACAGATCACATCAATATGCAGGTCCTTTCTTTGCCGTCAAGGCGCACCCATTCCAACACGACTCGTGTCTGCAAGTTGCTCAGGCCTGAAAGTGTGGGAAAACGAGCTTGAGATCGTGTGTCGGACGCGTCGACTCGGACGCTTTAGGGAACAAGCGCCCTTTCCGATTTGGGGAAGCTCAGGTCGTGTGGCGCACGTTGTGGCGTTAAGGTTGCTTTGTGGCGCGAACGGAAGCTTTGACTCGAGCTTGACTGGGACGGTTCGAACTTCGAAATTAAGGACCAAGCAGCGGCCAGTTTCGGAGCTAGAAGTCATAAAGATACCGATGCATAGAGGGCGTACAACCAGAGGTTCGCAGTCTCTCTCTACATTCCCTGCATACAAGACGAGGCCGAACGCTGAAGGCAGATTCGAGCCGTCTCTTGGTCTAGCGAAAGAAACCGATTCGATCCGAGCAAAAAGATTTACTCCTCCCGATCGATTACACTGATCATTAATCATTCCTTCAAACTGTATTTTCACCGCACGAAGGACATCTTCAACCCTGACATCCATGTTCCACGCGCCGGGCGTTCTTGGGCGATAGGTGCCATATAATAATGACCGCCGGCTTCCTCAAGATCCTCATGTTCTGGTTAGGGTGGGTGGACTGGAAGCTTTTGATGAGTGTATAGAGGAGAGTTTTGCATCTCGAGGACGCTGTTTGGAACACGGACCGTTCAGTCTCGGCGGTTGCATGTGGAATAGGGAGGGTATAAAATGGGTTAAAGCGCACCCGAATCGCAGACCGATATGAGTACGGTCAAGAAGGAAGAGCATATGATGTTCGTGAGCTGTGATGCTGCGTATCATCTCGAGATGCGCCTTGTGCACCGATTGGACTCGTAGAGGTTCTGACAGTGCTTCAAACCATGGGGCTGATGAACGTCCCAGGTATAACGCCCATAGAGGCATCCGACGACAAAATGCGGGACTTCCGGTCGTCCACTCTCGAGGGTAGCATTTCAGAAGAGCTGCTCCCGACCATAGAAGCGAGGCTCACCCTAACATAAAATGTCTTTCCAGCAGAACGACGGGCACAGATGTATCCTGAAATCTCGCAGATATTCAGGTCAAGTGTAACGCTGTCTGACAACTAGATCAGCATTTTCCGCGCTATATTGCCGCGGAACGAGGTTCGAGGGAACCAATGATTCCCAAGCTCCCACAGGTTCTTCGGAAGATATCCCTTGTCCGACTGTTCGACTAACAGGACGCCCAGACGGCTTGGTTGCCAGTGGCCTGCAAGAGTGTGATGAATGCCCAGCAATTGTTTTCGACGGCCGTTCAGAGCCGAAGACACACAGAGCAGGTTCAATTTTTCGTTGAACCGACATGGAAGTATCCTGGGCAAACGCAGAGGAAGAGCAGGAAATGCGATTGCAGAGGGTGCTGCCAAGGGGTGTTGGACCTTCAAGCTGTTGATTCAGACCGTGGACGAGAAACAAGCGCCCACGCCATCGGATCGCGTGGCATTCGCGTGCGTGCGGCTCCGTGGTGACTAAGATCTTGCTTACCGCCGACTTCAAATTCTAAACTTTTCCTTGCTTACACTTGCTCTTGACGTCCATAACTGCTCTCTCTCTCGTTCTCTGGTGCTGTATCGATTAGCTGCTTGTACTACCAAACTATCCAGGACGAAAATATAAAAAGGGCGTCGGTTATGGAGTTTGTACCAGGACCCGCGGTCCACCGTGTATTGTGCGCTGATTGCGGTACGCAGATCGCATGAGTTTGCAAGGTCGAGTGAAGTACTGATATTTTTTTGGGGGGATAGGTACTCCCATCGTACCAAATTCGGCCAATCTTTGTGTTGCATGCCTGCGAAATACGTACGTTCCGATGCTCCGATCTCAATCGGAATTTTCAGCTGATTTCTGCATGCCGTAGCGTCGATATTACTGAAGGCATCCCAAAACAAGGTGTGCTTTGCTTGCTCAATTTCTGAAGGAAACATCTCACTTTTTCATATCTCGCTATCAGCCTCTATCTCGTACTGCCGAAATTGTGAACGCCATCTCGCACCTCCAGCCCAATGGGTTATCGCACGGCCTGAATCGCAAGAACTCCTTGCTATTTGTCTCAAAAAGCTCAAGGGTCTTAGCAAGGTCCGATTAACCGAAGCACACTTCATCTGGACAGAGCCTCACTCGAAACGACTACGTGTATCATTAACTATCCAAAAAGAGGTGCGCGCTTCCTCCATCGTGCCGCCTTCAACTTCACCATGTCCTACCCATATTACAAATCAGATTACTGACCGGTTAAAATAGGTCCTGACAAACACGATCCTCGAACAAATCTTCGAAATCGAGTACCTCGTCCAGTACGGCCAATGTCCCGACTGCACGAAGCTCGCAGCGAAGAACACCTGGAAGGCGCTCGTTCAGGTCCGACAGAAAGTCCCTCACAAACGGACGTTCTTGTACCTCGAACAGCTCATCCTGAAGCACGGAGCACAAAAGGATACGATTTCGGTGAAGGAGGTGAAGGATGGGCTGGATTTCTACTATAGTCAGCGGAGTCATGCGTTGAAGATGGTCGAGTTCCTGGGTAGCGTTGTTCCCATCCGGTTCGTCTCTGATTCATCTCCTCAATCCCTCCTCATAGACTTACACATCTAACACATATTTTCTCTCTCTATTAGAACTAAGTCGTCCGAACGCCTCCTCTCCACAGACACGCACACCAGCACCGCCAACTACAAATTCACCTACTCCGTCGAAATTGTCCCCATCTGCAAAGATGATCTCGTCTGCATCCCTCTCAAACAAGCCCGTCAAATGGGCAACATCAACCCTCTCACCATCTGCACCCGCGTGGGCAATTCCCTTCACGTCATCGACCCTAACACCCTCCAATCTTCCGAAATCACGTCGCCCGTATACTGGCGCACACCGTTCGACAGCCTCGCCGGCATCAGTGAGCTGAAGGAGTTCACGGTGCTGGATGTGGAACCGATGCATGGTGCCGGAGCTGTGAAGGGGAAATGGGTTTTGGCGGATGCGCAGGTGGCGTTGAGTGGGGCATTCAAGAGTACCGGGACTTATGAGGACGACGGGATGATGGACTATGAGACTTCCGCCTCGGCGAACCAGATCTTTCATACTCGGACTCATCTTGGTGCGATTTTGCAACCTGGTGATAGCGTCATGGGTTATTTCCTCAGCCACACGAATTTCAACTCCGAAGAGTTCACCAAACTGCCGCAGGATCGCATTCCGGATATCATATTGGTGAAGAAGGCGTATCCGAACAGGAGGAAGAAGACGAAGACGAGGAACTGGAAATTGAGGAGTATTGGGAAGGAGGCCGGAGAGGAGGGCGAGACGGGCGGCGGTAGGGGTGTTATCGGACGTATGGGTGGGAGAGATCAGAAGAAGGTCGAGCAAGACTATGAGCTGTTCTTGAGGGACCTAGAGGAGGATCCTGAGATGAGGAGCGCGGTGAACTTGTACAAGGCGGAGCAAGCGATGAAGACGGGCAAAGAGGGGAGTGGCCTGGCTGGAGGGAAGTCGAGGAAGAAGGCGCAGTTCGCGATGGAGGTGGACAGTGGTGGGGATGCGCAGATGGGCGAGGGCGAGGGGATGGAGCAGGATGAGAGCGGACCGGTCGAGGCTGCGGCTGGTGGCGAGGAGACGGACGATGATGTGGAGGAGGAGCCTGACTTCCCGGAGGTGAAATTGGACGAGCTGTTGGACCACTTCGACGAGTTGACCCTTGGAGATGATGTTCACGAAGAGGAGTAAATGTTTTGTGTATTTTCTCCCCTTTCCCTCGTTGTATCCCTCGTGTTTCGCAAAGATCTGACAATCATTTCCGCGCTGTGGGTCGGCAGCAATTCTCTATTTGAACATTGAGGCCTCATTTCGCACTGCTTCGGGACATTCAGAGCTACTCCGGTGTTTGAATTTTGCGATCTTTGGCCGTCAATGTCTACTTCGCCGAAGGTCCGTCTAGCATCTTATGGAGCGGCCTATTCTTGCTGGCCCGCACTCAGTATGTGGAAACGCTACGCGTGGAGCATACATGTGAACTTGATGATTCAGCGGGTCTCCTGTATTTCGCACGATCGGCGCTGTTCTCTGGGCCTTGAACAAAGTATCACTTGCACTATGCCTCGTTGTCGTGCATTGTCAACCTTTCTCTCGCGCACACATTTGCATGCCAGTATCGTGGCTTCCAAAGAGCAGCATATACATCTTCTCAGACAGGTAGTTCCTATCTGATGATGTTATCAAATGACCCATGAAGCGTATATGGGGGTTTCTTCAGCATTTGGATCCCGGACAATTATAGCAGAGCTGCTGGGTGGACATTGAAAACTTCAGTCGTCCAGTTTACCGCAAGTCCGCGGCTTACCAGCATAGCGGGTGCTTGTGCTGGCCTTTGTCGCCCGAAGGAGGCCACTCTGCAATGCCTCAAATCACGCGTTCCGTAGATGACGAGTTCGGGATGCTCCATTCTTGGCCTTGCATATCGAACCTGCAGGCTTTTCTTAGAGGGTGGTCGGGTCCGATCGCGAGTAGCGCTAGCACTGCAATAATTTTGCCTTTGGGCCTGTGCGGAAAGACGATTTGACACTGACGAGCAACATTCTTCGGATTTGATGCGGATGCATGTGCCTTGTGTTCAAACTTCAATGAAGCTGATCGGATTCTTTACTACAACTTGGGTACCTTTATTCACTGGGATGGCTTGAAACTTGAAGTCTTTTCACTGGTATGCAGGCCAATGCGGCTCAATTTCTCACTTGTGCTCACAGTCAAATTGCGTTCAATACGCGTAGCCCTCCGAAAAGCGTTCTACTCGATTTTTTTTCAAGCTATTTCCACTGATGAACGTACTCCTGTGCGCGGTCCGAAATATGTCTCATGCATTGTAAAGTTGCAGATTTACGCATTCGCACTCGGCCGTGGCATCAATGAAGTCAAATTGAACGTGTGGCATAGCGGGAATTCAGCCTTCCAGCCTCGCCAAAGGACCTTTCAAGTCCCTGCGGTGCATTACTCACAGCATGGTATCACGTCGAGCATGGGCCTTATACAGAGCCTCACAGGGACAGGGGGCTATCGAGGGATCTCATCCATCCCGCTCCTGATTGCTCTTCGTCGAAAAACTTTCGAGCTGATGTCATTGTCCCAGTCCTTTGCTTGGGGACTACGATGCCAGGTCTATAAGAGCAAGGTGAGGTTTCTGGTCGCAGTTTTCAGCATCAAGTCTTTTCGACTCTTCACATAAAATGACAAACCCTTCTGCCATCCAAGAGGTTGCATTCGAAGACCAAATCTGGTGAGGAGCTCTTGATGTCTCGACATTGCTTCGTACTGCTGATTTTGTCTCCCAGGACGATCGCGAACTATACAATCGTCTCTGCCACAAGTAGGTTGAGTGCCTTTTACCGAGGCGGTCATGCTTACAGAGAAACTTCGTGTTTGTCCGTAGTATTATGGTTATATGACTTCTTCCAGACCTTGCCAGCGGAGATCGAGGCTATGTGGTCGAAGAAACTCACCATCACAGCGGCAATATTCTTCGTGGATCGCTATGGGTTCGGAGGAGCCAGGCTATTAGAACTGGCGTACAATGTACCCGGGTCAGGCAGCGACAAGGGGTAGAGCACCCATTACTAGATCATTTCATCGTTTTCAAAATCCTGAATGTGACACTTAGCTGTAATGTGCTCAACCTCATGAGCACTGTTTTTTTCTTACCCTCGATTCTAGCCACGAATCGTGAGTCTGAATTCTCATCGATATTGGATCTCAGCAGAGGCTCACCATATAACCTCACTGCAGTTCTCTTCGCACTCAGAATCTACGCTATCTGTGGACGGAGTAAACTAATATTATGCGTGGCGTCCATCTTGATCTTCTCACGATTTGCGGTGGATATCTGGGTAAGTTCACTCTTCGTGTTTTAGGGCAATGTCAACTCACGACTTGGAGCTGCAACTTGATTGGTATAGCAAGCCGGTTTGTCGACAGGTATCTCGACCAGAGGATCGCAATACGAATCTCTGTCATTATGTCTGTCCTATGCACCACATGGTGACGTTTACGAGCAGTGAGTGGACTAGGATCATTTATTAGTAAAGTCCCTTTGATTTCGACTAAAAATTCATGCATATTTCGTTTATGGCAGGTGTAAGTCGGACCATCCGTTAGATCGAAATGCTATAAGCAGCTGACATTCACATACACCTTCTAGCCAGTGTCATTGCGGTCTTACTAGCCTTGGCTTTCGACGTGTTCGTATTTGCGGTAACGCTCTTCAAGACTGTCCACCAAGTCATAGCGATGCGGAAATTCGGGCATCGAAGCATAGCTGAGGTGGTTCTTCGAGACGGTGAGCAATCTTCCTCAGGATGTTCAGGGTTGTTTTGTTATTATTCTTGACTAACTTTGCGTAGGGACGCTCTATTTCATGTGAGCATGTCCCGTACTCAGATAAGTTTGAGATTATCGACAGAGCATCTCTGTACCAGCACTATCGTCCTCCTCGCGGTGGCTGCGACTATCTTAAACCTGGTAGGTCGCTCTTCCCTGCATCGCCTAGCCGACCTCTGTGGCTGATCCTGGCACTACACCCACAGTTATCTATATCGCAGGTTTGTGTCCGTCGTTGAAGATAGATCAGAGATAATATTGACCGCAAACTTCCACATAGGGCTCTTCGCAGGCTTTCAATGTCATGTCAGAAATCATGGCACCTTTCTTTTCAGTGTGAGCCTTCTCCTTCAATCAGTCCTTCGATTCCCGACTCATTATGCAATCAGACTACCCAACATCCTGACCAACCGCCTGGTTCTGAACCTACGAAACGTCGACCAAAACCGATCCACCCACTCTTCTGCGCTCGAAACTCGTCCTTTCGAGGCCGCTCCCGCTCGTAGTCGGTTTCTCGGGAATATAGGGGAGCCGCTGGACAGTCTCTGGCTGGACATGAGTTCGGATGACAACCCCCTGGATGATGAAAGGGGCGATATCCGCGGTAGTTCTACGATGCCCATGACGCCAACAGATAGGCTCACCGATGCTGAATCGCCACCCACTGTAAGCCGTCGTATATGTTGTTATTCGAGCGATCACCGTGCTAATCTTACAGCGAAGGAATGTAATGAATCTAGCCAAGACGACATTGAGATGGTGCCTCGTCGGCGTGGATCACTAATACCACCCAATCGACTGTCGTTAGTATCCACGGGACGAACACGAAACTAAGGGATCAGCAGGGATCAACGTTCGATCAACCCTCGACCCGTGTGGCGCAATGACCATAGCAATGGTGTCGCCACCCGTCTCGACCAAATTCCATAGGTATAGAAGATGATTGCGCTAAGATAGCCTTGCGGCGGATGTAACAGCAGCAGAACGTAGAAATACATTTATTACAAGGTCTCACACCATAACTTACACAGCAAAAACAAACGAAAACAATGTATCGAACTCCCATCCACCACCTAAATATCCAAATAATCCCTCCCCGAAGCCCATCCCTGTCCCTGCCCTCCTCCCGCACCTCCACCATACGCATCCACCTCCTCGCCCATGCCGTACCCTCCCAAGCCTCCGCCGAACCCACCAGCACCACCCGCCGCTGCACCGTCCGCACCGCCCTGGACATCCTTATACGAGAACTCTCGTTTGAATTGTGTCTCGAGGGAGGCGAGGGTACCGATGAGCTTTGTGCATGCTTGTTCGAGGGCGTAGGCGGGGGTGATGGTGCCGTCTGTTTGAAGCTTGATGAGGAAGTAGGGGTGGAGAGGGTGAGGGACCTTGTAGCCCGCGAAGAGGACTTGTGGGGATTGGAGGAGTTGGCTGTAGGAGAGGTGAATGGGTGAGACGGAGAAGGTAGGATGAAGTTGGAGAAGAACGTACGCGCGAATCATATTGCCGAGGGTGTGGTCCTGCTTGAGGACCTTGATGGTGGCGGCATTGGGGATCTTAGTGTCTTCGACGATCTCAACTCTACAAACGAAGTAAGGAAGACCGTCAGTAATCGATAGTGATGCGACAAAGCATTTGGAAGGGCGATGATGATAGAATGGAGGCGGGGAGTCGTGGAGAAGGCAAGTAAACAAGACGAACAAGAGACGCACGGTTTCTCCCCTTCATCGAGGACGAAAAGCTCATAACGACTTGGTGCATTCATGGCTCAAACGTCAATCCAAATAGTTGAATGGGTATCTAAGTCAACGTGTCGAGCAAAAAGATGAGTCAGCATCAACTCGAAAGGACACAAACAAGACGACGAGAAGAGGAAGAGTCATAAGCAGAACTGATATTATTTTGTTTGTCACCATCAGGCTGAGCCTTCGGCGGATTGACAGATATGGTAAATTTGTTTAATCATTCGCTCTTCAACGAGGAGGAGTGCTACATAGGTACATGGAGCCGACCAATAAGGAGTCGCGTGCTCACCTTTGTGGAGGTGCGAAACAGAGGCGAGTGCTGCTGATGTTAAGTCTGCACGTAAATACCTACAAGAAAAAGGATTCATTCAGCACGAGATCCAGAAACCCTGACGATGGTGAAGGTATAAAGAAGGAAAGGGTTCAGGACACAGTTTGATATCAACACCGTCACTTCCGTGGAAGAACGGTTCATTGACAATAAATATCGGCTCATAGCCGCATCATTCGACAGAAAAGTGAATAGCCAAGATGCTTACCTCTCGCGTCAAGGACTAGTGGGCCCAAAAATGAAAGATGCGAGGGGATAAGGAAGAGGAAAAGATGAAGAAAAAAGTCGACGGCGCGACGAGACAAGAGCGACGCGTGCCTTCCTAATCGGGCCATAACATTCAAACTCCGCTCGGCCCTCGCGTTGAGTGTATCTTTGCGCCAGGCCCGAAAACACCACCGACAAACCCCAAGTCCTCAAGGTGAGTAACTATGCCCCATTTTCCTACGATTCAATGTGTTAGAGAGCAGAGGAGTCGTCTTTCGTGCCCAGATGGAAAGGAAGGAAAGGATCTGGATAGATGGAAAGGATGGATCGGCTGGAAGGAGGACGGATGACACTGGGTTGGATTTGATTCGAGAGACTTGGGAGGGATGCGTTTGGGCACGAAGACGACTCCGACACAATCTATTGCCTGCTTGGATCGCTCTGTCTCGACGAGAACTCCCCACTAACGTTCAGATTGCTGTAGAAAATGCCCACTCATTTGTCGAAGACCCGTAAGCACCGCGGCCACGTCTCGGCCGGTCACGGACGTGTGGGCAAGCACCGCAAGCATCCTGGAGGTCGTGGTCTTGCTGGTGGTCAGCACCATCACCGGTGCGTCTCAACACATCCCAAAATCTCAGTCGGGCAATACTGATGACTTCATAAATCCAACAGTACCAACTTCGACAAGTACCATCCTGGTTACTTCGGTAAGGTCGGTATGCGCCACTTCCACTATACTCGCAACATGCACCACAACCCTACCATCAACGTCGACAAGCTCTGGACACTCGTACCAGAGGAGCACAAGAAGGAGTTGACGGCTGACTCTGAGGTCGTGCCGGTGTTGGATTTGGTCCGCCTTGGGTACTCGAAGGTCCTCGGTAACGGACAGTGCGTATCTTTATTCTGTTTCGTTCCTATAGAGCCTACGTTGTGTAACGATGCGATTGAGATGAATTTGCTAACATTTTATCTTCGTCTACAGGGTGCCCCAGATTCCTCTGATCGTCAAGGCACGCTTTGTGTCTGCACGGGCTGAGTGCGTATTCCCTCTCCCAGAATGTCTTCCTGCATCTGACGCGCTTGCTCTCAGGGCTAAAATCAAGGCTGCCGGCGGTGTCGTTAAGTTGGTTGCCTGAACGGATCCTTTCTTTTCGCTGTCGGTCTACCTTGTCATTTTTTTCGCTCGCTCTACCATGATATCGATATGAAGCGTTGCTGCACCATATGTATATGCACTCCACTATGCACGTTTCAAACCTCGAATTGCGCGTGTGACGGACAACACAAGGACGCTCGATTTTATTCAGGCAAAAGCTTTGGCGATCCGGCAAAGAATCATATCCGAGGATGAAGTCTAATCTGCTCAAAGCTGATATCTACGCTGGTGACTGGCTTGCGCCTTGCGCAATGAGGTGGACACAATTTTGCGAAAAGTTGGCTGTTCCCCTCTGAGATGCTTTTGGTAGCGATGGCGTAGGCTAAGAACCTACGCTTTCGCTCTGCTCGCCCCAATGACTACTTGATATAATCCATCAGCACAATAACGAGAAGTTCGACGGTTGGTTCGCTTCGTTTCACCTGGACGCCGTCCACCTGCTCAAAATCAATCTATGCACCACAACCGCCGCCGTCACCACCATCACCCTGTCTCTCCCTACCATCACGCCACCCTTCATGCTCTTCATGGGTCTTCCCTCGGCCTACCTAGTATGTTCGACTCTGGCGATACCTCACACGAATCTGTGCGTCTTATTCTCGAGAAGGCTGAAGGAGACCTTGTTGCTGTAGGCCTTCTACCGCAAGGCATCTAAATGGAACGAAGAAGAAGACACCGGTGTTGCGATAGCACATGGGGTTCAGATTTGTTGATTGCTGTGCTATGGGTGAAGAAGTGAGGTAGAATGAAAGCAAGGTACTCTATCTATAGGTCGAATAGACGACAAGGATGTTGTTTCGTACAGCATGGTATTACACCTAACGTCTGCCGCCACAAAGAACTTGGACCATCGCGAAATTCAGAGAATATCTAGACACTCAAACCACCAATACCAAGGTCCACCGAGAACAGTCTCTGACCTCGATAAGAGAATTACTGTAAAACAGTCTTGTAGACGTATTCTACCGCTCGTTACTGTCCAGTTTGGGCCAACGTCTAATTATACACAACACAGGAACGAACACTTATTGATGAAGCTGTGTATACCTTTGAAAGCCATTTCGGTGCTCACGTATGCTATATTATTCGTGATTAGGAGTGCGCAGGGCCCGTGCGATGCCTGGAGTGCTTGTGGGAGGACGCGTGCTTGAAGGAGGTGGCGGAAAGCCAAGAGGGGATCCGAGTGGCTGGCGGCGTAACGCGGAACGGAATCACGATGGTGAAGCCGGGCATGACAAAATGTACCCACTGCCCGTCTCGCACAGCCGTCTCCCCCTCTTGCTCTCAACCATCACACTCGTTCCCCGACGTTGCTGACATTGTCGGTGCACGAGCACGACTGCCTGGTGTAAGTCCCCTTCATCTTTGTGCATGATGACCGAGCTATAGCTAGACGCGCTTTCCTGGGTCAGATTCACAGGGGTATTCATCTTGGAGTCGCTTGAGAAGGCTCCGTGTCGCGCCCTACGTTGCTACAGAACAAAACACAACCGCTCTCGCACGCGCTCGCTCTAGCTCGATGTCTGCTAACAACACCAACAACGCCGCCCCAGCGCAGGGCGATGTAGTCATCAATATGGCTAGCCTCAACGGCGATGGTAAGAAGGAGAAGAAGACCGATACGCTTTTTGGTCCGAATATCGGGATTGTGAGCGCGGGGCCTGATTGGGCTGCTAGTGAGGAAACGTTAAGGGGTGTTGGGACTGGTAATGCGGGCAAGGATGAATTGACACCGGACATCGTGAAGGAATGGGTCGAGAGGAGTAAAGAGGTCTGTCGTTACTCTGTTCCCATCTCTATTCTCACGCCCTGTCGGGAGTGGTCGTCGTTGGGAGAATTGTGCTCACATGATACCCTCTTCGTGTACCGCGTGTGTTAGTCCGTGCAACCTACAACTACGCTGCAAGCCCTTGTCAATCTCAAACGACCGACTCTCAAGCTGTCTCCCCTTACGCACGATGAAACCGAAGACCCTTCTGCAGAACACCATGAACTTCACGCATTAGAATTCGAATATGACTGTGACGCCCCCAAATGCGCCATCTCTGTCTCCATCGTTCACCCCCTTGGCACTAACCCGTCCGCCGTACCTTCCGACTCTCACAGGACTGTTGTCTACGAAGCTGTCTTTGATGGGGGGTTCGGCAAGACCTTGAAGCACGAAGACGGAGCTTCTCTCGAGCTTAGCCTTTTCGAGCATGGGAAGCCCAAACCTCGCAGGCCGAGCATTTCCTTCGCAGACGGTAAAGCCAACGACTCGAAAGACAACCTCGATCTCGCCCCTCCCGCCACCATCCCCGAACTCCAAGCGCCAGGCTCCAACTCCTCGTCTGGAACCGCCACGCCAAATCCACCCGCCAATGGGAATACGATAGCTGACGGGGCGCAGCATCGTGAGCGCAAGAAACGGTTCACGGCTCTCTCGCATTTCCGGAAGAGGAACAACCATTCGCACAACCACAACACGTCTATTTCGGGACCCGCGCTCGCTGTCATGGATGCCGAGGCTGGGACCGCCTCCGGCGACCACGATCAGACGCAGGCTGGTGCTGCTGGAAATGCTGGCGCTGATGTGGCGGGTAAGGACGCGAAGGACGCGAAGGAGGACGAGGGTGTGAAGGTGGTTATTAGGTTGGCGGCGTGTGATGAGGACGGTAAGGAGTTTGAGGGTGGGGAGAGGAATGAACAGGGGACGTATTTGCATGTGGTCAGGTTTGGGCCGGAGCCGCCAGTTGTGGAGAGCTCCAAGGAGAGTGAGGAAGATGGGAGACCCTGGGTCGTGAAGGTTGTGAAGAGGGAGGCTACGGTGAATTTTCTTTACTTGTGCTTCATCCGTCTACGGCTTCTGATCCTCATTTCTATATGCTAGATTGGTCCTCACACTTTCCACCTTCACGAGATCTACGGTCTCACCTCTTCCTCATCTTCCGCTCCTGCCCCTTCCGCCCCTCCAGCCCCCAACTCCCCAACCATCGCACCAACCTCACCCAAATCTCCAACCACACACACCTACCCACCTCCACCCGCCCCTCCCGGCTCGGTCCCCGGCGCAATCCCCGGCGTCGCACCGCCCGCCGAAGACGAGCCCTCATCCGAATGTCTCCTCTGTCTTTCCTCTCCACGCGAGGTCGTCCTCCTCCCCTGTCGTCATCTCGTCGCATGCAAAGAATGTGCGGTAAACATGGTAGAGTTCGGCGCCGGTGGGAATATCGTGCATTCGGAGGAACCGACGGCTGGTGGTGATGGTGCAGTAGGTGAGGGAGCGGGTGAGGGAGCGGCGGGTGCGAGTGGTGGTGCGGATGGCACGGCGGCGCCGACGGCACCGAGTGCCGTGCCAGAGAGGCCAGCGACGAGGAGGAAGAGGAGGGCGAAGGGGTGGTTCTGTCCTGTTTGCAGGCAACGTGCGTCTTTGCGGGTTTTGCACTACCACTTTCATCTTTTTTTCTGACGTTCTCGTGTTACTTTCGCCTATAGCTTATACTTCCCTCCTTCGCATCACCACCACCCCACCCGCGCACGTCAAGCGCACTTCCACCTCGCTCGATACCGACCGGGATCATCAACACCAGCATGGTGGCGACCCGCTCGGAGCTGCTCCTGCTCCGCCGGTCACGACAGTTAATAGTGGCGAAGGTACGGGTGAGACGGCTACTGGAGGTGGTGGAGGAGGTCTGTTGGCCGGCCTTGGCAGACCTGGATTTTTGAGGGGCTTGTCGAGGGGAAGGCCGGATGCGCAGACGGGTGCGAATGCGGTTTGAAGGTGAGGTCGGGAGGCCGCGCCGAGGCATACATTTATCTTGGCCGAAGTTTAGAACGGTGATAAGTATGTGTTGTACGATGATTGGGTGTTTTTCCACACCCTTGTGTTTCGGCGCGTCTCTTGATTGATTTGTTACATTGCACTTTTGCGCGATCTTCCGTTCTACCTCTCTCCCCGTGTCTGAGGCCTTTCCACCAACGTATACCTACCTACCTGGATCGGATGCAAACGGGTTCTCTTGATTCTTTCTTGTGCTTCGTTCATCGTTCATCGTTCGCGGATAGTTTTTTCTTGGTTTTGGTTTTGCTACGTTATCTTGGCTCCTTGCTCCTTTCGTGTGACTGTACTCACTGCCAACTCGTCTTTCGGATTGATCGTCTCTTCCCTCTGTGTCTGTGACTGTGATTGTGATTGTGATGGATTTGTATGTACTTATACGTATGCGATTTTCTCTCTCTCTCTCTCTCTCTCTCTAAGATTTTCAGGGTGTGCTGGTTGCGATCTTGAGGTCAACGTACTGAGAGGGAAGACGCGGATGTGGCGGGCGGTGTGGCGTCATTCAGTTCAACTTGCGCGCCCGGAAATAGCCGGAAAGCCTTTATTCCGGAACGATTCCGAGTCGTCCCGCGTGTCCTTTTGGTGCCACCCGGGCCCTCATTCCGACTTGTGTCCCGACTCTAAATGATTGTTGTGCTACTTCTACACGACGGCGTTCTTAGACCAGACAGGTCCACACTGGTCCACAGTTGAACTTCAATTACAGAATACTGCTGGTAGAACTTGATGATAAACTTCCATCTCTTCTCGGTACCGCCGCTTGACCGCCGCCGTGTAAAGATGGAAGATATGGTCCAATACTACAGTGGTTTGTACTACCTCCGGGACCTGCTGCAATTTTGCCTTGATGATCATGGTCCCCTCGAATCTTGGTTTCCTTGAGTCGGACTCTTTCGCTATATCAAGGCAAAGCATCATCAGCTGGTTGATGCTTGGTGGTGTAGAGATGATACACTCCACTTATCTGTGTTCTTCTACTACGGTTCTTGTTGAGATCGGAACGCCCCTTTTCCTACTACGGCCATGGATTCGCAACTATTTATACTGTATATGAAACCTTGGGAAACGAGGGACTTAGTCGTCGCGATATATAAATGTACGGCCTTGCCTCGTATCATTCCTCATTCCTCTTCCCCTCCGCCTGTCTTCAATGCGCACCACTTCCATATCGTACTTTGGCAGCGCACGAATGGAGGCGGACCATATGATGTTGTGGAAGAGGTTCGCACTATCGGACGAACTCTCTCCGTCGATCGGCATAGCTTCTGTCGCTATCCAGTGCATACTCTATGGTGGGCTCAACTTCAAATCAACCGAGCCAAAATGCTATTTTTTTTTCATGTACAGGCATGCATCTTATTCTCGCTGCGTTCACCGTTTACGTTCTCGGGTGAGTGCACATCGCCCGTATTCTTTGAGTCGTATCTCTCGTTAACAGGGCACGTACAGCTCTGCAGGATTTAAAACATGGACCAGAGCTCCTCTGCTTCTCACGACGTTGATCACTATCATAACAGCAACGATATATGTCGCACTTTCCCTCGATTGGGCGGTCAAGCTGCTCACCCCGGCAGATGGCGTCTATGCATCATCGTGGGGGCTGACGCCGTTCGAGCTGGCCTTGGAGCTGTTGCCGAATATAAACGTGAGTGGATCAGAGCTGAGCGCTGATGGATGACGATAGCATTCCTCTGCGAGTATATTTATATGTCTGACTCCGCACGATCAGTATATCTGTAGCGACGGAATCCTCATTTGGCGAGCGTACGTTCTGTGGCGCCAGAACGTCAAGATCCTTATTCTGCCCATCGCTCTCCTCTGTGGCTCCCTCGGCAAGCTCTTTCCCACCTCTCCTTCCCTCTAAGTACATTCTTACGTATCTCGTCATCAACTCAACATGGTTCACATCGCCATCTAGCTTCCATGTTTCTTAGTATTGGAGCTGCACTCAATCCCGGCCTGAACCTCCTAAGCAGAATGGAGATTCGAGACCGAAGCATCTTCTCCGCCTGGGTTTTATCGCTCTCCACGAACCTGGTAGCGACAGGGTTGATAGGTTTCAAAGCTTGGTTCGTGAACTTCGATTCCATTATATGATTGGGCTTGTAAACTAAGTATGTGTGTACATCGCAGGCGATATCGACGCACAATCAAAGTCAACCTCGGTGATACGAGTGTTCATAGTAGGACATCGGCACCAAAGATCATGTTGCTCTTGATAGAGTCTGGTGTACTCTATTGTCTTTTCTGGGTGCGTCTTAGTTCTACCAGTATCACTGTCTACCTACTTGGAGCTTATGAACAAAATGTCGACGATTCCCTTCATGCTGAGTAGATGCTCCTGATCGGGATGAACGTCAGCTTCGCTACCGAGGTGACTATGAACTTGAATGTGAGGTTTACAGGAAGCATCCTGCAGGATGCCTCTGTTCAACTCTCCGTAAGTCTTTTCTTCAAACCATCACACGTGTTCTTGGATGATGCCCGCCCTCCCTTCCTCGGTGCACTGATTCGCACTGGTTCGAGCCTTTCTTCGACACTGTCTGAACTCTCTTCGATTTTACCTATAGGGGATATACCCAATAACAATCATAGTTCTGGTCGCTTTGCGTAAATCCGTCGCCGACATCCTCCTCACCGAACCCGACCTATCAACTTTTCAAGCTGGGGGGCGATCAGGTCTTCGCCCGCCACCACAATCTATTTCATTCCCGCAGTCGATGTCGTTTGCGACGAGGTCAACGCCTACGGGGATAGTACGATCGGGAGACAGGAATCTGACCGTGGACAGTGACAGGTTGTATGATGAGAGGGATATGGAGGTGGGTGGGAAAGTGAGCAGTAGTTCGCGTGATGGGGACAGTGGGGTACCCAGGTTTGCATAATATATATTGGGATTACTTGACCATCATTGGGTGGCTTCGCAGCGCTGCTGAGAACAACCTGCATTATTTCAGAACCACTCATGTCGTGTGCGTAGAAGACGTTTTCGGGAGACAAGACAATCAACTACAAAATCGCACTGCCTTGCGTCAGCTAGACAACACTCATCGATGATATGATGTAGATGGATATAGAGTTCAACGTAATACTCACCCAACTGCCCCGTACACGTCTTCGAAGTTCGGATTGACGGTGCGTGGAAAGGTACGTGTGAGAAATTGCCTCGTCAAAGCCGGCTGAGTATCAAAAAAATTCGTCTGTATCACCCTCACATCCTCGAAACGCCACGCGCAGATTACTGATATATGTCGAACACATCCGCGCACCCAAAGCCTTCCACTGTCACTGCGCAAGTTCAAGCTCCTAGGAGCGAAGGCGCTAGACCTGAGGTTGGTCTGTTCATTGTCCCCATATATATTCACTCTGACCAACTTCTACATTCAGCCAACAGTAGCCAATCTCAATGCCGGGCTCTTTGGAGATCCTATGGGGTGGACCTTCGGCAGTCCTGAGACGAACTACCTGGATCGTAGACAGTGCCTCGAGGATATCAGGAATGACCCGAACACCAAGTTGACGATGCTCTCTCTCCCCAATGATCGAGGAAGGGAGGAGAGGTGGAAAGAGATCGAGAACAATGTTTTAGCCATGGACACGAAGGTGTACGGGGTGAGTATAAGTAGTCTTCTATTTTCTCTATTCCACTGTCTCACACACAGCCTTAGGCTCACCCGGACTCGGATGATCGCTCCGTTCGCTGGACACATTTCGAGAAAATACGCGGTGGCACCGTCTGGTTCACAATTCGATGGTGGTCCGGAGGAGATCTGGGATACTACTTCGATCTCGTGGACGTTCCTAATAGAAGGCTGCTGTCCCTCAGAAAAGACCTACCCAACCTGGTGGTTGCATACAAGTACATGTTTACTGGTGATACGCTGCGCACAATCGAGGAGGAGACTCGTCGAGCTCATGATGGGCAGGAGCTTGAGGGAACAGGTGAAGAGCGTTATTTGGTTCCACATGGGTCCCAGTTATACTTTTATCATCAATGTTCCGATGGACCGCGTTTACGCATTGCGACTGTCCCGACCCCTGTCCCCGAGCCTGTCTACGAAGGATATGTTCCCGAAACTTTCAACCTCTTCCATGATTGAAAGTTCTGGGATCAATGGAAATAGGAGACGCGTATTGTCTGCTACCGTTTTGACACCTGATTCTTCTCATTCGTATCGCTTTGATCGTGTATGATATACTGCCGTCTGCATCGAGAACATTTGTGGTACAAAACGGCGCACCTGATAGTTGTAACCCCGACTGCTTCTTCTAACCTTCACGCTTACCAGAACCCTGATTCTGTCAACGCCCTCAAGTGACTTTCCCTGCGCATGAAGATCCTGGATTTCCAGTTGCCGCCAGAAAACCCGTGGCCCAACTCCATGGCCTGGACGTCATCCCATCTTTCTGAGTATTCAAGCACCAGGAGAGTAATTTGTCGGTGGAAGTGATGTGTGCTCGATGAGCCAGGTCATAAAACTAAGATATTCCCGGGGCACAAAATCAGTATGAGACACGTGAAAGATGATGTGTTATTGCGCCGTACCACCCAGTCGATCAAGTTCGGCCTGTGTACCACCGAGGAGATCCATCTTCACCCGGATGTAGCCTTGACCTGATTCTCTCGAAGCTCATCAAGGTCCTCCTCATCCATGGCCGTGCAACCTTCTTCTTCGTGCGATCGCTTCGAGAGGACACGAATGTTTGGGGAGCTTATCCTGCGATATGGTCGATGTGGTTGTTCCCTAAGACTGCAGATATACGGCATACGTACCTTCCTTTGACCCAAGCGTGTTGAAGTAGTCCGCAGAGAATCCGCCTGCGAATTTAAACGCACCGTGCAACCTCCTTCGCCATTGTTCATCTCAAACCTAGAGCACCTTCAGTCGACAAGTATCACAGTGTATTTCAGAGCACCTACGTCTTGCTCTCGTACTGGTACAAACTCTCCATAACCTTTCTATTTCTCGAGAGGAGAAAGAGGGGTACCGGTTTGTTGACGGTGCGTAGGGGAGTCAATGGTGAATTCATAGAGAATGATGCAAGATGTACCGAACAAAGGTTCTCAGTCGCGCGCTGTCCACCTAGCTCAACACCCTCGTCGTTGAGACTGTGCTTGAGTCGTTATGTACTGCCCATGGGGGTCGAGTTGGGGTCGAGCAGGTCGAGCCCGTGGTGGTGGATGCGGTGCAAAGCAGTGTGGCGCGCCAAGTGAGAAGAATGCAATTGCGATGCACCCGGATATTTGTGGCGATACATCCGACCTCCTACAATCTGCCCCTCTCGCTTTTTGCTTTCTTGTCACTACTGACCCTTGTCCAGCACTCGTGTCCCCTGCTAGCTCTTAGCTCATCTTGGTTTGCTGCTATAGACAGTGCTGAGCAACTTGGTCGAGCTATGTCGTCGGACTCAGGCTCTGAATCAGATACTGCAGTCAACTTCCGCCAGGAGTCAGGCGGGCCAAAGAGGAGGCGAATAAGCCGCGCCTGTGATGCTTGCAGGAAAAGAAAGAGTACGGTCACGATTTTATAAAATGTCTCATGGGCAACTGACCTGCTTCCAATATCCAGCCAGATGTTTGTGGCGAGCTACTCTCGTTTACAAAGCGCCCCCTAATTCCCTACCACTTATTTCTAGGCAACCGTGCCGGCCCGCAGAATGAAACGAGGTGTTCAAATTGTGCAACTAACAACTTAGAATGCACGTATGTGTTAGCCGTCAAGGTACGTTTGTAGACGACTTGTGTTGAAGCAAGTGCTGACCGTGTACCCAGAGACGTGGGCCGCTTAAAGCGTATGCGCAGTCCTGATTATCTGGACAGCCAGGCACTTGCTTACGCTCATCATAACAGCTATGTTGACACTCTGGAGAGCCGGTTGGAAAAGATGGAAGGGCTGTTAGGACGCGTTAGTCGTTTTAATGGTCTAGCGCTTGTTCGTCGCTGATAGGTTCTGTGTGGACGTCGACCAGCTCCTGCCTTCCGATGGCGATCCTTCGCAAGCACAAGACTTGAATAATCTGACCGTCTCCGGTCCCTCTCGCACACGGTCTGCGTCAGATGTAGCTAGCTTGGCTAAGACAGCCCTCCACCAAATGTCTCCCGCGTCCGGCTCTACTTCTAATAGTCCTGTAGACCCGGAGGCCGTCAAGGTCCAAGATGATATTAGTGATGAGGAGAATTCCGACGAAAGGCTTCTCACAGAGCGGTTGAACGACATGCGACTCAACCCTGAGATATTTCATCGGTTCTTAGGAAAGTCCAGTGGCGCCAGCTTAGTTCGTACTACTTACATCCTGAAAGCTCGGCATACTGGACCGCAACCCCAAGGAAAAGGAAGCGGGATGAGACGGCAAAAATACTGGGAACAAATTTCAGTGAGTATCCGCGCTCCTCGTTCACGATGGACCGGTGTTAATATCGGACAGTGGGAACGCTCCGCGTTTGATCCTTGGCTGCATCCATGGGACTTTCCCTCTCCGGACCTGCTCGATTCGCTCGTCAATCTCTATTTCGATAACATCAACATATTCACTGCTCTCCTGCATCGTCCAACATTTAGTCAGGCTCTCGCTGACGGTCTCCATCTAAGCGATGGTGGCTTCCGTCAGGTTCTCCTTCTCGTTTGCGCCACCGCCTCTCGGTACTCAAACGATCCCGCCGTTCTCCTTGATGGCGTTGACGACTGGCATTCGGCTGGATGGAGATGGTTCCGTCAAGTCGACCTAACGCGCCTTCCTCTTCTTGTCGCCGCGAACTTGTATGACCTACAAGTTCATTGTGTAAGTTCTCTGAAAACTCTGGCACGCAGATGAGTACTCTAACACTGATCATATATCTCAGTTAGCAATTATGTTCTTGCAGTGCAGCTCGATACCGCAAACATGCTGGGCTCTAGTCGGTACTGCCGTTCGGATGGCTCTGGACGTTGGTGCTCACCGTCGCAAAGTCTATCATACACACCCGACTATCGAGGATGAATTGTGGAAGCGTGCGTTCTGGTACGACTCATACACATTCTTGTTGTATTTGTAGTCCCTCATGGCCAGGTCCCTTTAGGAATCTGGTCGCTCTTGATCGACTTACAAGCTCTGGTCTGGGTCGACCTTGCGCGTTACACGTGAGTGCGCTTGCCTCTTTCTTCCCGTAGTATCCTCATTGTTGTAAACCGTTCGCATCCATCAGGAAGAGGAGTGAGCGGTGTTTGTTGTTGCCTTGGCCTATGCTCCTGCTAAACTATACTTTAGTTTCGACCTCGACATGCCGGTAGAATGCGACGATGAATACTGGACTTCGCCTGATCCTGACAAGGTTTTTCAGCAACCTGCCGGGAAGCCGTCGACCGTTTGCTATTTGACATTGTACTTGAAACTCGTCCAAATTCATGCCTACGCGCTGAGGACAATCGTGAGTTATTTGTCAAGACATGGGCCCAACTTCAATATTCACGTTGATTGTGTTTGTAGTATTTGATCAACAGATCAAAGACTCAACTAGGTTTCGTAGGTCCGCAATGGGAACAGCATACTGTTTCTCAGCTAGACTCAGCTCTCAATAAATGGCTGGACTCTGTGCCTGACTTTCGTACGTGCCCCTCGAATCTCAGCTCTATGTCCAGAGTTTTCTGACGGTGGCTTTCAAAACCGTTCCCCAATATGTGCAGTGCGATGGGATCCTACCCGAGAGGATACTACCTTTCTCACTCAGTCAGCAATGCTCTACTTGAACTTCTACAACTTGCAGATCACCATACACCGCCCTTTCATAACGTCCATTCGTGGCGCGTCGCCTCTGTCGTCCTCCTCCCTCGCAGTGTGTACCAGCGCTGCAAGGTCGTGTATCCGGATCATGGACTCTGCTCGTCGGAAAGACATATCTACCATGAGTGCATTCTTCCCGGTAAGCGTTGAACTTACCCCTGCTCTCCGTTCATATCCGAATCAAAATGACCGACTCGCTCGATTCCATGTGCAGGTCCCTGCGTTTGCGGCTGCCTTGGTGCTGCTGCTGAACATATGGAGTGCCAAGCTTGCCGGATTCTCTTTCGACCTGACGAAGGAGATCGGAGATGTTCACAAGGCCATGCAGGCCATCAAGTCGTACGAGGATAGGTACACCCCTTCTATTCGTCTCTACAAGCCCGTCTTCCCATCTGACTTTTTTTGCTCTGATGATAAGGTTTTTTGTCGCCGGAAAACTCTGGTAATACGTAACTTTTTTGTGTGTCAACTCTCAAATCTGACATCAAATTGCCACGTGGATGTTTTTAGGGATGTCTTGTATGAGCTCGTCTCCGTTGGAGATCTGCCTCTACCGCCCCCACCGCCCTCCTCCAAGCGAAGCAGAGATATCGATGACTCTGGTTCTCCCCCCGAACCGCTGATCTCCAGCTCACCCGGGAGTTATCCGCTCGATTCATCTGTTTCGCCGAAAGATGGTCCGCGACAATATGCCGGTACAAGACGTGCTCAGCAAAAGCCTCAGAATGCCGTAGCTTCATCCTCGTCATCGCAGAACGGATCCAACATAGGTCGGCAACGTTACTCTCCTCATCAGTCCGCATCGTCCTCGTTCAACATTCCACCGCCGTACAACACAGACATTCACGACCCGTCGTCTTTCTCGTCGCTGTCGCTCACCCCGGAGTCACGTCAACCGCCAACCCTGCCCATGCACAGCGATGATCTCGCGCGGCTGCCGAACTACCATGATCGCCAGCGGTATTCACACACGGACACCGAGCCTCGAATTTCTTTCGACTTTACTTCTCCCTTTGTTCCTCCCGGCTCTGGTTGGGGGACTCTGCCAGCGATTCCTGCAAACGAAGAAGGGGCACAGTTTACAAGGCGGGTCGGAATAGGAGAGACGGGGAGCGGATTCGATATGAACGATTTGTTCAATTTGGATACGATCTTAGGGAACAGCGTTTCCTCGTCGTCACAGCCTCAGTCTCAGCACCAGGACCGCCATGGTCCTCAGGTCAGTAACAATGCTGCCGTAGGGATGCAGGGTCAAGGACATGCTTATGCGACGGCGGGTATGCCTTTGGATTCGGATGCAGGGATGCCGATGAGGATGGGTGAGGTGGATGGGAACGATTTCATGAGTATGTGGACGAATGTGCCTTCTGGATTCGAGTGAGTTTTTTCTTCTGTGCCCCTTACCCGTACTGGTCCACTCGATCGTCAAATAATGACTGACATGACCTTTGTCGATGATGACATTGACACAATAGGGGCGAAGACTGGGACGCTTATATCTCGAATATGTTGGGGATGAACCAGGTGCCGGGGGCTGGTGGCGGATATGGAGGGTCAGAGGGCCTTTACACGGACGATGCGGCGATCTGATTGCGAGATCGGTGGACTTGACACATCACTTTTATTTATTATCGCTACGCAGCATCTTACCGGACTGTACTGAGCATACATTCTCCACTGTCTCTCCCCAGTACGCATAGCCAATGTCACTGCGATTACCGCTGACATGAACATGGGGCACTGTTCATTGGTGTTCTCGAAGATGTATGTTGAGGTCGCAGATCGTCGACTGTTCGCAAGTGACAGATCGTGATACAACGCGAATAACAAATTCTTGGACAAGAAAGGAACAAACGGTGCTCCGCTTCGACGAGGATAGACTTGCTATTCTCCTGCTACCAGCCTACTGTACCACTGATGGGGTAAGCTGGCGACATGAGAAAGAGACGGATTTGGTTTCATTGTACTTCGTAAGGCGAGGAATCGGATATACCCAGACGAGCCCCTTTCCACTTGAGGACACCTCGGCATGTCCAGCAGTTTACTCCCGCACTGGTGTTTATGGCTAAAAATAGGAGGCTATATTGGTCCATTCATACATTAAACAAGAAAATACAGCGAGTGTGCTTGAGAGTAAACATACCTTCGCAGGTCACTTGAGCAGACAGTCAGAGAGATTCATGGGGTTGCGACGATACTGGACGGTATGGCGATGGTGCTTGATGGAATAGCGACGGTGCTCAGGCGCCTTTCGATACCCACCATCTCGATGGCTCCACTGTTCTCTTCGTCGTAGATCTTTCGAAAATATCCCAGAATCAGTCCACGCCAAAATCAGAAAGCTGGAAACATGCCCACCACAGGTACAAGCGTTGTGTTCGCATTAGGTCTCGTCGCCCAGCCCTCGCCATACACACCGTGACCGCTGGCGTCAGCGCCACCATCACCTGCGGCGTCCTCGAATACATCGTCAAGAATGGAATCCCACTGGTCGTGATCCAACGGTGCTCCTATGTTTCCTAAGAAACGGTTCTGGACAAAGGCTATGCCCGGTAGCGAGGATGATTCGCTTGATTCTTGCTGTTGACTGTAGAGTCGGAGGTTGAGGACGAGACGGTTGACGAATAGATTCGGTAGCCTAAATAGCGTAGATTGTCAGACGATTCTCTCGAGTGAAAGCAGTGCATGCGAATGGTTTTGTAATTACAAAGCATTGAAGGGTGTTACGATGTTGGCGATCGTCAGGGATGTTTCGGTACTGCCCTACGTGAAGGCTTAGCGTGTCTATGCTGAATGTGACCGCAACGTCGTTGGCGCTCTTACCAAAACTATGGCCTGCTGTTGTCTAAGTGTCAGCGCAGGATGTTCATGAATGAAGCTAGAGTACCCCTACCAATGATAGGGCAGTGTTGGCGCCTTGAATGACAGATACAGCGCTATATGTCCGTCAGAACATGCATTATTTTGGGGAGAGACATAGGGACGAAGATGTCTCAAGACGTACAGAAAATACATGATACCTAATATACCATGTAAGTTCCACGTGACAACTTTATGGTGAGCTGCGTACCGTCCCGGAGAATCAACTCCGTTATGCCCTTCTGTCCCAATCGTCGCATTTCCATTACATGTTGGTACGTCCTAATAAGTGTGACAAAGAAGGTGAATGCATCGAAGGTCAAGGCTAGCACGCTCGTGATGACGTTGGCTGGAAGTTCATCAAACAATATAAGGGTTTGTGTGAGGGAGTAGACTGTCTGCACGTACACCTAGATTGTACATCGATGTGTAGTAGATATCAAGCATTGAAAAAAATCGGTTGCGATCCGGTGCTTACCACTGAAACAACTCGAGATCATGCCCAGGCGTGGATGTGGACCTGCAAGCGGAGAATGTGACAAACTGCGTCCCTTCCGTCGACGCGCCCGTGGAGATGAGGGCTCTCTGTACACGACATGAGTAAGTGGTCATTATAACAAACATAATGTTCGCACCCAGATGTTGATGCCGATTCTCGCACCCGTTAATGCGACCGCTAGAAGAAGAATAATCCTCATGCGACCGCAAATGGCGTAGACACGGAGTCCGAAGAGGGCTGAAGACGGATAACCACTGAGTGAGCCTCCCACACGAAGAACTTGATCATAAAAGAGAGCTGACCATTCGTCGTGACTAACGCGACATATCTGAACGCTATGGTCCAATCGCTTAACACAGCACACCTTATATAAACACACGTTAATCGTACGTGGTGGTTCCCAATTATTTGAAGAAGACACTCACCCGTCATTGGATACGTCTCCGGGTAGGATGATGCGCAGCGTCCCAAAAAGATAAAGCGCGAAGGAGTATCGATTCAAAAGAAACAGTATTTTGGTTCCTGTTAGCGTTCTCGACCACACAGCTTCAATCTCCATCGGTAAGGTCTGAAGGAAATCGATGATCCATAGAGCTTGTTTGGACAGGATGAGAGCCATGACGGAAGGACAGAATGTGTGAAGGTAAAATCAACGCACCGGTGGACGAAACCTCCGTATAATTCTCGATGACCCTGTAAGGTGAGGTGGAATTTAGAACGCTAAGACTAGATGGGTACAGTGCGGCCGATTCTTACCAAAGCTTGTCTTGGAGTACGACTTCAGAAAGTGCAAGAGCGGGACCTGACATATTCGAAGAGCTCAAAGAAAATATAGCGGCCGAATAGTCAATGAAGACGGGTTATATATCCTTTGTTCATGCTCCCAAAAGACACAAGAACACTAGTATATGAAATGGCAAGATGGCCTTCCCCACTGTCTGTCAAACGGTGTTCCGTGAGCATGCACCATGACAGATGTTCTATGAGATACGAACTTCTGTATTTATTCTGAGCTCGGTTCTGCCACAAGATCACGGCAGCAAAGAGGTACTTCGGCTCAGGTGCCTGCGAGCAGTGAAGTTACTCAGCCACAATTCAAAGATGTAAAGAACAAGGCGAGCACATTGAGAACACCTTTCTGGCTTCAAAAGGCAATGAAACGATACGCCCATTCCACGCTCCCAGGACTGTCAAAGAGTCTTCCCAAGGACGATTTTCTGGGGCTGTACCGTGACAAACAATCAAACCTGATGAAGAGAGAAGCCAAGTGAAGGAAAGTGCCAGTGCTGGGCGTACTGTGAGAGGGTGAAGTTTTTGTGCAGAGCAGATCTTTCCTCGTGTTCCCCGTCTTTTTGGATCATGCCCCTTCAAAGTAGTCGTATGATGACGTTCACGATGAACCAATATATCAGGAGGCTTTGCCGTAAGACTATTACGAAAGATGGTACCCGAACAGTGGAGAACATCGTTCTGTGATACTGTCACAAACGACAGGGTCCCTGGCAGAATGGCACTGACGCGGCGACTCGGAGCGACCGATGCCACGGATGCGAAAAGGAAACAGGAAGCGCCATTAAATCGCATTGTCCGATGAGTTCAAGCAACCCTACTGCCTGCTCACGAGAACGGCCGACATTCGTCCTAGGAGTAATTCGGTTAGGTGTGAGTGCGGAGAAGCTGCGATCAGATCTTATCGTCCAAGGACAGCGAATAGTGGGGTCAGAAAATGTCCCGGGGTTTCATTCAGTGTCTCCTCGACGGGCCACACCAGGGAGAGCACCGCAAAGTTACGAACAGGCAACAAGAGAGAGATACCTCATGACGGCAAAAGACACACAACGTCCACGTGCACCTACCCTTTCCACTAGCAACTTGAAGTCGAGTGCATCAGCAAAATGCCCGGAGAGTTGCAATCGGATGCGGAGTTTGTAACCCGATGAAATGGTTATGCAAAGTTATATCTGGTTGTGACTTCACGCGATTGGTTGCATTGATTTCCTTTGGTTACATAGGGGTTGCAGTCGGGTTGGGATCATAGCAGTTGTGTACTAGGCCCAGGTGTAGTAAGACAGCGCATTTTCATGATTTACCTTGTCAAGATACAGGTGATGTATGTTGTAGCACAAAATTCAGGAGCAAAGAAGTCGAAATAGAGAGGGGTGCTAGCCCGTTGGGTGTACGCTATGGCTCATGTAGCAAGCACGCCCATAACACGGAAAGTCTCTTAGTGTAGTCGTAGTAGCCCTCGCCTGTATGTGTACCAAATGAATAAGATAATGTGATAGGTCGTGAGTTCGATTCCCGTTATGAGCAAACTCGAAGATCAGAAATATGATAAGAAACCCGGAAGACCGGGAGGATCGGCGGAAGCGGTGGGGCTACCCGAGAGAGCCGACAGCATAAGCACCGAGGAAAAGTTTTGGCCGAACGAAAGCCTAGCAGGGGGCTCGAGGTTGCAGTAGGTTTCATATGGTTCTACTCTGGTTGCATCCGGGTTGCATTCCAGATAAAATCAATGAGATCGGCATGTTTCCATTTACATCCAATTTCTATCGGTTGTGACTGGTCTTTCTCTTTGCATTCACATTATGTCCTTATATAACCCGATTATAAAATCTGAGCCATTTTGCTGATGTGACGGATCGTCGTCGGAGAAGGCAATCATGATGATGAACTTTGGATGAATTCCGCGAGAGCTCTGCAAATCTTCTGCTTTACTGTAGACTCTTCCGGTAGAGTTTCATGTGTGAAGTATTCTCTCGCGTGTATGATGTCGAGGAAAGACAGAGAAGGTGGTAGTTGATTGGGAGTTGACCGTTACGACGTCCGAGTCACTCCGCGGCGACTTCGCGGTTCGGGTATCCTCGACGGCCAGGGTTAGGGTTGTGCCACGCGTCCAAGGCGCTTACATTGGCCTGAGGCGGCTTCAACTTTCTCTTCCAACATTCCGAACCACTTTATGCATATTTCTCGTCTTGACATTTCCCTTCTACGATTATAAGGACCCCTCAGCCGTCATACTCGCTCCCGTTGCCCCGCAGACACTGAACCATCTTGTGACGGCAATACTTATGCTCAGCGGGTCGCTCAGACTTCAGGTAGCGCGGACTCAACATCTGTCTTCACTAGGTATTAGTCAGAGTTTGTGCTTATTGTTTGCTCAGCACCTATGTTAACACAAAGTTGGTAGTCCGCATCCGCGTAACTTGCTCCTCTGTGCCTGACACCCTCGGGTTTCTTTATAAAAACTAGTAGAGATCCTTCACTGTCACATGAGCGAACCCAATTAGACTGCCCCGCCGATGTGTACCGCACCTCAGGCTGTTGACCACGATCTTGACTCGCGACGTGGCCGGTAGACTGACCAGGCCGCCGTGGCTCCTCTGTCTCCGATTTTGACGCCGGTATATACGGTGATCCAGAGGCCAGTTATTACGGCTACGACAATATATTTCGGGAGGGTCAGGAAGATACTTTCTCTTCTACTTCCTTGAACTCCTTTGCTGTCCTGCTTTCTTCTTCGTTGACGGCGCCACAAACGACACGAACACTATGATTCTGCTTCGTTCTCCAGAGGACGATATGCGGCGTGTGAAGGATTTTACGGAGCTTGTCGGAGGTGCTAAGGGCGTGGTACCGCAGGGCGCTAAACTGATGGTCAAGAAGGCGGTGGCGAGTGTTGATTGCACCAAGGGATCTGCCTATCGAGTCGGGTGGTGTTTTTGATCCAAAAATATACTTGACCTGAGGCATTTGAACGTTTGCTCCCACATAACAGAAGACTTTTAGATATAGTGTAGAGCATGCTTCCAGGACATTTTAGAGCAGAGAAACAAACATGATAAACAAACGAGTGAACCTCATGGATTTGGATCTAACACTGATTCGCAAGTCTCGACCTCACCGACAGAGAGAGCACCCTAAAGAACGTGCACCGCCGCGAAACCGCGCACGAATGCACGAGACACCAGATAGGCTGAAAACATGACGGACTGGGACCTAGGGCAAAACCATCCGAGTGAGATCAGGCCGATCTCGAGCACTGCCTGCATCTCTATGCTCGACGACTTCAAACGTTGAGCGGTGTCATTGACATGTCGAACCGAGAGAGCAGTGGGAAGAGCTCAAACCCTGGATGGTCGCCGTAATAGCGGCCCCATCGACCAGACTCGCCGGTAATTATGGTCGGGAAAGACACGGTCATCAATCCGGGCATACAACTGCCTACGGGTTGAAGGTGCTTCCGCGAGTTGGAAAGCACTCGACGAGTGGCGCCAATGGGCCACTGCGCCCCCAGGCTTCAGCGAATTATGATCGAGGATTAGACTAATGGCGGCGGATACGTTGAAGGATCCCGAGTGGCTGGATAGGAATTGGGTTTGCGTCCCCTAATATCTGGTGACAATGACGATACGGAATGACCCGGTAGCTGCGCCAGAGCATGAGGAACCGCATTGTGTCGTTCGCCGTGCATTCTGTTTGATCACCCTTCAAGTAAGTAGGATGGCTGTCCAGAAATCTGTCGTGAATGAAGATGTGGGAAAATCTGGTCAGTAGCTGAACAATAAGGAAGTCAAGGTGACTGCTTACTACAACGGTATATAACACGGACAACGGAGAGGGCAATACGGTGTATATTGTCCAGAGCTTCGAAAATACGACATAAATCCAGAAATATGATGCGCTAGAAAAGGGCGTGAACAGCGTTACAACATGCATAACTCGCACGGACACAACATGACTGGTATATGAGTGGAGGGTGGTACAGATGGGAACAACTGGACGGAAGGGAGAACATGGTTCGTTAGGTATCATAGCTCGGGGCTGCTTCTCGACGATTATCCAGGGAGTCTAACGCCACCACATCATCCTCAATGTCAGTATTGTCCGTCTCTCCGTGAATAATATGCACTGTCTGCTCTCCAGCCGGTACCGAACGAAGATACGCTGGCGGTAGTCTTTCGTCGTCGTCTTCAGACTCGGTGACTGCCGTGGTGGCATACATACGGGAAAAAGCAGAGCTCGTTATGGAAATTGATCGACCGAGCCCGAGCTGAGGATGAGACGCGGAGTAACGACCTGATAGCCCTGGGTATCCTTCGCGACTCAGTCTCCCAGCCGTGTCAATCTCTCGCCACTCGAGCTTCCCGGCGCATACCATGATACAGGTCAGGATCACCTCATCCATAATGTTTGCACCGACATCGTATACCAAGATTTCTGGATTGACGCTGCCTGGATCCGGCGAGGTAAAGAGCGCAACCATACGCTCGGGAGATACCGTAACGGAGGTGGAAGACGCGTTTCGTGATGTAGATGAAGTGGGCGGTCGGGTGTAAGACGTGAGCTGACAGAAGAAGGTGCGCATGGCAGGATAAACTAGGCTGGAGTTCGCTCCACGCCGCCATCGGCAATGCATGCCATCGGCCTGAAAGACCTTGCATCTGTTCGAAAGAACGTGGTCAGCGTCTGCTGGAAAGTGTTGAGGCGAAAGGAGCTATACTTGTTCTTGAGAAAGCCATTTGACCTCTTTAGAAAGCCCTCGAACCGCATTGTCTGCTCGTGCACGACCACTAGTCCGTGCCCCGTCCCGCCATGATTTCCTCGGCCACCTTGCCACCAAACCTCTCCGACGACCGTTTCCTCTCCATGCTCACTCAGTCGTATCAGGCTGGTCGCACCCTCGTGAGTTGCAGTCATGTAGATGGCCCTGCGTGATTTCGCATCGATGAATGTAGAGTCGAGGACGCTCGTGTGAGATAGCTTGAGCTGGTAAGCCACACTGATCGGTTTCGACAGGTCAAGCTCTCCGCGCGACCCCAACATCCGGTCGGAGGCAGACATCAGATTTCAGGTCACGCAGTGCAGTGTGTATGAAAGCAGTAGTATCTTCAGGTAAGACAAGTGGCGTCCTTGCCGGTCAGAAGCAGAAAGAAAGGTGAAAGTCAAGAAGCACAAGACATCGATGTTCGGATCCCATAGCGGTGACGAGGCCGTCAGCTGCCACGGAGCTGCGAGCGCCACTTTGCCGGAAGACTTTCGTTCTTACCTCCGCCCGGCCCCTGCCGGATAGTTCGAACTTCTCGCGTGTGGCACTGAGTGTGGCGCTCCCCTCCGTCGTAGAGACCCGATGCTTGAAGCCTGGTTGCTCCTTCGACTATTGGCCATCAAATCAGAATAGATAACTCCAGGGGCATACAAAGTCTGGCGAGCTAGAACGTGATTTATAGCTCAGTAAGGACGATGGACATCGGAGGCCCCTGACTGCGCGGTCACTCCTCAAAATAACTTGGCAATGACTTGCATTGGTGATACCTAACTTGAAGGCGCACTGATATCCATCCGTACAGTACGGTCATGGACACCAACAATTTACTCTCATACAAGATTGAACCAAGAAAGTGGTTATGTGTGCCTTGATGTTGACCCAATGTTGACCATGGTTGTGAAGTTGGACAATAATCTTGAAAGCGCAGCTATTGCAATATATTATGCTCCGGTTGTGCATTTCTGGTAGCCCCTTTTCGTCTGGCATCACACGAGAGCTTATCAGAAACATTGAAGTACCATCAGGTCGTGACAGCAGTCGGCATGAGCAGCATCCAAAGGAGATAAATCGCATTAGGAAACACTAACCAGGACTATCCGAATACAACTCACATCTAACGCTATGGAGCTAGTAGATCGACTGAAGTGGGGAGTTCCATCACCATCTCTGTCTTCTACTGTTGATAACACCACCAACATAACGCCACAATCGGAGGGCGCAACAGAGACGTAGGAACCAGGGATGGAAGCATGAGGTTCTGGCACCCGTTGAGACCATGTCACGCCGGATCCGGAATAGAAACATCTTAGCAGAATTACACTCGACATATGCATTTGGCAACAACCATGCGCAATACGACGGGTTCTTGGAAAGCAAACTGGACTGTCTCTGTCTCATGCACGGAGGCGAGCGGCGTTCGCTGAGTCATCGTCATAATCCTCCCTGCGACGCCGAAGATCCCGGCTCGTGATCCAAGGAGATCTACTCACGCAGGCATTCCAAGCGTGACCCCAAGCCCCAGTAAGCGGTTTTTAATTATAGAGTTTTCTGATGCTTTGCTCCTTCCCTTTGCCGATTGGTCGCTAAATTCACGGCTATACTCGCAGCCAAGTCGTCATCGGATGGACCCAACAGGGTAGTAGCCCTAAGTGGGTCAGTGTAGCTGAGTCGCCGTCCTCCCCTAACGGAGTAAGTGCGGGGACGTACACCCTTGAAGAGTAGCTTCCCCACCTGGCCGTGAAGCGTAGATCGCCTTGTTTTGGGTAGACGGAACATCCGGTGTGCTATGTTTATCTTTCAAACGTCGTTGGAACCCTGCTGCAGGAGCCACCCTTGCCGTAGTTTCAGGTGCGTAGCTAAACACTTGCATCTGTGAACACCGACCGAGATGGGTCCTGGAAAGGTGACCGGAAGGGTCAGGGAACCAATGTTTGATCGTCGAGAATGGAAGAGCATAAAAAACGTACACAAACGGGATATTTTGGGGATCATCCACAAGTCGACGAGTGGGTATGTGGGTCGCCGAGGTGAAGACCTATATAAGCACAAAGAGGTAAGGTTGATCCGAGACAGGCTACAACAGGTCGAGACCTGCTTGGGTAAGAAAGTAGGGTGTGATCATGTCTATGAGTTGACTATAGCCCAGGGAACCGTGACCAGGGTCCTGTATTGACCGGCGATGAAACATGGCGAACTTCATCGTCCATCGTGCAGATCCTTATGACTATGTAGCGAACGGTGTAACGCACCAGGCTCTACGAGGCGACATTAGCGACTGCTGAAACCTTGAGAGACGAATTAGATAGCAGGAAAAGGAGCTGAAGATTCAGTAATCGCACATGGCCGACCTAGATCCTTATGAACATGTCGCGAATGGTATGGCGTAGCAGGTTCATCGAGGTCGAGTTTTTCGACTAGTGAAACCTTGAGAAGCGAGACCTAGCCGACAAGCAAAAGGAACAGAAGATTGAGTAGCCGCACATGCCCGACGCGGGAGGCTCTGAGTCACCTTGTCGCACGCTGGCAAAGAAGCCACGATCCAGAGTGTCGCCTATCAAGGGGGCCACTCAAATGCAAGGCTTGAGCGTCCGTGCAAAAATATGTTGACCGACTGTATCCAGAGACAGAGTCGTGAAACAGAAAGACGAAGATTAATAACAGCCTCGCATGCCCGACCAAGGACACTTACTATTGAAAACGCTGGTAAAGGAGCCACGAATGTGTTTGACCGGTCGTGGCCGTGCCCAGAGACGTGAAACAGGTTCTGTTATACGGGTCTCCATTCTCTCGGATGATTCATTCAAAAATGGCTCGTTCGAGCTATACCAGTCGGCCCCTGAAGATCACCAACACTTGTGTCAACAGATCCGTACATAGCTTGTCGTCCACCATTCTGCTATGCTTACCTGGGACGACCACATAAATGTTAGAAGAGATCAGGGAAAACAAACTCGAGGTGTCACTTATCAGAAGAGGGGCAAGCGAGCTACGTCCATGTATCGCAGTACGCCACCAAACTACATGGTCGACACGGAACCTCTCACCTTTTACAAACACAATATGCATAGACATCTAGAAAAGAAGAACCCAAGCGCCCTCCGGCGCTCTCGACACTTTCAACATTCCATACTACCTATATACATCCTCCAAGATCCGCAGTCGCACTGACGGCGGGTACGCAGAAGAATGTCAAGTGAGTCAACACTTGAGGCTACAAACGATACTCCCGCCTCCACAAGGACGCCGGCAAACAACAATCAATGAAGCGGTCACTCGATATTGAGTACCTATACTGCAGTACTACATCATCATCATCATCGCAAGCGCCCAACGAACGAACATCCCAAGAACAGCCACACCCCACACCGTTCCATTCTCAGCCTTCGAACTTCGAAGGTTCAGATTTCAGATTGCGCTCGTGGTTCTGAAACACAGACCAACTCTAGACATGTCTTCGTGAACGGGGGATGCTTTGAACGCCGAGCAGGCTACCACATGCCAGTGTAGTGCGCGGTGGTGAGATCACGAAGAGGATTCAGAAGGCGATGATGCATGGAAATTGTAGTTTGTAGATGATGCGCGTCATCCGTGCGGTCGCAGTATTAAACCCCGCAAATGAGATCATGCTCGGCCTTCGTGGTCGCCTCTAATGTAAGACTATTGAGAAGAGACATGAATGAACGAGTGGCGTCATACTGTCGAGAAAGGGGTTCTATAGTCTTCCGATCATCATCATTGTCCAAGACAAATAACGAGTGGCGTGGCGTCGAGTGGCAGAGTGGCAGAGTCTTGTGCAGGCGCAGGTGCAGACTAGTTTTCGCAACCATTAACGATTAACGATCGTATGCCGTACCCCTGAAAATGAAAACGCTCTGATTTCAACAATGGAAAGCGAGGCTCAACTAACCAGACCGTTCGCTTCACATAACATATGAACGGACCCATGCTCGATCTCAATTGGGGCACGTCACCCAGAAACCATTACTACGCCACCCACCCATAAGTACATTCAAACATGCATATGCACCCATCTGCGCCCGATATTCGGCACGACACAGCTCGTAGCCGAATATGTTCTATCCAATATACGAAGGATCACCGACTCGGCAGGCTGTACGCATACGCATCGAGTGGCATCTTCTGCTCAAGCCAAGTTGCCGACAAAGAACGAACAAGGGTCGTCGCAGGAAGACATAAGCGCGACCGAGACCGTAGATCGTAGATATCGGCTATACCATTCTCGCGCGTTCTGGGATCGGAAATAGAGGCGGGCGAGAGAAGGTTTGGAAGGATAAGTACACAAAAGGGTGTAATCGCCAAGGATCACTGGCGTGCATGATAACCAGCATCCGTCATCATGATCATGATAATGAACAACATAAAACAGCACCCTGCGACCCACCGCACGCAAAATAGATGCATGAAACTCAAAGCGCAGACGCATTGACTAGCAAAGTGCGTAAACGCGCCGCGAAGTCGAGTTTTGAAGAGTCATTCGGTATGCGCTGTGAGGTAATGAAGAACCACGAACCACACACCAACCACATGAGATCGAACCTAAGTAGCAAAGAACAGGCCTTCTCATGGCCTGACACGTTTTTTAGTGTGCGTGCATGCCGCTGCGCCGGCCTCGCATGTGCATGATGGGTAAGTACTGTATGCATGACTGGAACCCATGTAACTTATCTGCTCCTGATCATAGATCAGCGCACGGACGGGAGACAAAGCGGAGAACGCGGGCTGCTGTCGGTCCTCGGAGAGCACAAGCGGTAATAAATAGATGTTCGTTCGACCTAGATTCCATACCACGCCATCATGCATTGAGCAGAAGGTTTTGAGGTTCGAGCGTAGGCCTATTTTTGGGAGCATAGAAGTTATGGGGTGAGGCGCCGAGATGGGAACGTGAGAGAGAAAACGCACATCATGCACGCGCTCTTACACAGACTCAAACTCTTGAGATGCGGGACAGAAAAGGCACATACAGGCGAGGTCCGACGCGAAGGCCCGGAGGGTAGTGTCTGATCACTGTCTGATCGTGATGGGACTCGGAAAGACCGCATAAGGGATGTTGGGCGCATGTTAACTTAATACATGTGTGGAGACGTAAAAAGCGAAGGAACGACTCACTTGCGCCGGTCGGACGATAACGACAGTCATTGATCCTTGAGGCCCGTTGCAGCATCATGCAGATCAACCGTCCCAGGTACACATTTTGTCTCTGGCTCTCGATTGAGCGACGAGCGTGATAGAGTTGAGACGTTTTGTGTTAAACGAGCCAAGGCGGCCCAGGTGAGGTGGCTCCACCGATCTAGGACGGTGGGGGCCACGTCCACTCCTCGTTCGGTGTCAGAAGGACGATCTACAGGGACACGGCGGGGCAGAAGGCAGGATCGTGTCCGCATGATCAACTGCCGTCTTTGCCGAATAGAAGTGTTATGAGAATGAACACTGAGAGTATTATGGATCTTTCCGTCCGAAGAAAGGAAGAAGTAAGCACTGAATTAGTGAATAGCCAGCCCAGGCGCGGAACAAAGCAAGCATGTGCACGGTGGCGCACAAACATGAGCCCACCGATGGAATACGATTGGGTCGTCAAGGCGTAGGAAGGACAAAGGGCTCCCTGGCTACTGCCGAATACGAGATACTGGAGAACAAAGGGGTGCGATTGGAGGATAGGACATCAGGGAGTATCAGGGCTAAGAATGGAGTGGCTCCTGCGCGTGCGCCAGAGGGCGAGGATAGGGGTTACTAGGATTTACTTTCGTGACTCGGGAACCCTTGTGGTGACGAGGCCCCACGTTCAGTGTGAGAATTAGGGCACTGCTCGCCGTAAAAGCCCTGAAACCGCGCAGAAAAGAGCGACGGCGAGTTCCGAGTTCCGTCTGTGAAAAAGAATATTGCGCATGAGGGGGACAAAGGATTTCAGGGAAGACAAAGGGATATGAAGCTGTGGGAAGAACGGATGATGAGAAATCGATTGGATTGATTTCCCGGCGGAGAGAAAAGCGGTGGGGGAACAACGCGTGCTATATGGAGGAAAGTAGGGGCGTGCCCCGCTTTCGGCAGGCGTAGACCAACTGCCTAAACGGGACTAGCTCGGAAGGTGGGCTAGATGGATATCTCCATTCAGAAATCAGGTCGTCCCTGCCAAAAGCGCCGGTGCCATGCTGTCCTCGACTCAGACAGAGAATGACTGTCGTGAAGGCAAGCTCATATCGCTCTATTATTTTTCCGAGCACAGGCCTTCTAGGGCAAGAAGGGACGGCGGAGGACACAATGTAGCGGACGAAAGAGGGAAGAATGGAGAGGCGAAAGCAGGAACGCGGGCTAGCGTGGGAGCCGCGGAAGCATCGAATTCTGATATTCGGCCGTGTTTACGAAGAACAAACAACTTGACGAAGACGGGCACGTGGCTCTGTTGACAGCCGAAGCCTATATACAGATTCCTATAAAAGAACGCGCGGGCTCGCCCTCCTCCACGCCCACTCCCCTCACCGCTCCGCCACCCCACTGCGCGCACATTCCCCCGCAATCGCGGCCGCTATCCACATCATGCCTTCCTACACCATCCCACCTCACAAACGGCAGCGTCGAACCGCTACTTCTGTCTTCGCTGGGGATTTCGACGCCCGGCCTCGTCGTGACGTCCTGACAAGCGTTCTCAACGGTGTCCCCATCTATCGCGCGGTCGAGAAGACTGAGGAAGAGAAGCGGGAGAGGCGGCGAGAGAGGAAGGAGAGGGAGCGCGAACGCGAGAGGGAGAGGGAACGAGAGAGGAAGAAGGCACAGGCCGTCGCGCAGTCCAAGCCGAAGCCCGTGCCCAGCGTCACCAAGCGCACTGCGACCCCTGAAGCCGCGTCCCAGCGCAAGTCCTCTACTATCTGGCCTGCCATTGCCCAACAGTCTCTCGCTACCAGTCCTTCGTCCTTCTGGGGCGCACGCCCTGCTATCCGGCTGCCTGAACCTCAACGGTCTGTCTCTATTACTCCTCCACCGATGCATCTCTCTTCTCCACCCACCACCCCTGGTCCATCCATCTCCTCGAGCACCTCCCGCACCTCGTCCAAGAGACCACATACCCCAGACGACGAGTGGGACGATGACCGCTCGTATGATGCCCACACACCTACTGCCTCAGCCTCTGCCCGTGACCGACCGAGGAAGAAGCGCGTCGCGGCCAAGAAGGGCTGGAAGGGCTGGGTCGAGGGCTCTCCTCCGCCTTCCGACAAGTTGATCAACCTAGACGACGTTCCTCTCCTACGTGAAAGAAGGACGAGGAGTGGAAAGAGCTTTGACGCTATCGGTGTCGGTCAGGACCAGTGGATCTAGGAAACCTTGACGGTGTGTTCTCTCCCGTTGTCATAGTTGTTGTCGGCCACTCATATCTCCACGTCTATCAGAACACCGAGGGTGCACCACGCTCCCTCGACGCTCTCATCTCTGCCGAGCGTTGCTTCACACTATCTTGCTCGACTGTATGCAATTCTCTTCTGTCGTGTTCTCGATTTCTTGCGTTTAGGGTAATGGGGCTATATGTCAGACACCGTTGTTCTTCTCCTTTTCTCCGCAACATTTATTGGTTCTCGCTATTCTATCTCGCCTTGCTTTTTCTATCTCCTCCCGTGTACTTTCACCTTGCTTTCTTGATTCGCGATTCACCCAACCCTTTACCATCCTTTACACCTCGCCTCGAGCACCCGTTTCGATGCGGACCCAAAAATCCCTGATTCACACTCGATCCTTCTCTTGTCCTCTATCCCGTCCAGTTTTATCTACTCATGCTTGCCTCTATATCTCTTGCTTTGCTAACCGTCTACTAAAGAGCCTGAAGTTTCCAGTGGCTATATCCCAACCTCCACCTATCCCCGAGTCCTATCCCTATCCCTATCCCTACGAGTAGAGTTACTACAATATGATTTTTCAGATACTTACATGCATAACGCTATCAGATGGAGATAGTTGAATACCGTATACGTTGAATCGAACATGTCAAAATTGCCGCTGACACCTTCCCCCTCAATCATCTCCAATCATGCGTTGTGTCACAATCTTTGGAGCCTTCTTCTCGAATGTTCTGGTGTCAAGATGGAGTTGCATCCAGGAACCGGTCCCTACCGCGATGATGATGCGATACGATGGGATTCGCAAAAAGTCACACCACCAGGGCGGACGTCGAATCTCGAACTGACTGGAAGGTCGCAGAACAATCGAACCAAACGACCATTTGTCATCGCGTAGCTACCAGGCCAGGGTCCAACGTATCCAGGATGGGTTTATGGATGGACAACCAGACTGGACCGTTGTGCTGCTGCGTGCACGATGGATGATGATCACGAACGAAGCAGGAAAGAAGAAACTCCACCCGGATTCACACTGCGTTCACTGTCAGCGTGCGTTGTCACCAACCTCAGCCTGTGGGTGCCAGCACCCAACGAAAGCTTCCGTGGCGCGTCGTGTGTATTTGTGGGTTATGTCAACGGCGCCACCGGACTGGCTCTCGGCCCACGCTTTCCCGAAATGTCAAATGAGCGGCCTGCGGGGTCAGAATTCAGTTTGGAACTCAGCGCGTTTTTTCGTTTCCGTGTTTTTCCGTGCGTGTTTCCGAGTGGCTGCGAGCCGACGCTCGGAGCACACCGGGCGCAAAATCTCTGTTTCCAACCGCGTCCATCGCAACCAGTCGAGGTTGATTGTGCCACCGAACCTTGTCTTCTTCGTTCCTTTCGCCACACGGAGCTCTGCTGCAGTTCTTGAGGCAATCAGTCTGCGAACCTTTTTCGCGAGAACGATTAGGACTCAGGACGAACGCGCTTCGTATTCGTAATCTCAGGCTTGGATTTTTCTCACACGGGTAAGCAAGCCTTCTGTTCCCTGTTTTTGGAATTGCCTCACACACGGAGAGCTGGGGAAAAACCCGCGCTTTGCACCGCACTGCGCGGTAAACTCCTAACTGCTCTATTTGTGTTCGGGTCATTTGGCCACGTACTTGTTTGCCAGCACCGCACGGTTGAGGAGTGAAATAGCGGTAACTGATTGGCTGCGTGATTGTTTCTGTTCACACAGGTCACAGGATCTAGACCCCAAATCATCTCAACAACCAGGAAATCTTCGCAATTGACTGCTACGGACTCTTCAAGTCGTCCAGCTGTTCTTGTCCGTTCAGCTCGTCTTCCGGCAGGCTTCTTGACTCGCTCTAGTATTGCCTTCCCGTCCGACGGCTTTCTCCTAGTGCCGGCCAGCTCACAGCCAAGCGCTCCTATTGAGCAGGCTGTTCAAGGTATTCTTCACTAAAGGCGATGGCCCTCAGCACCGCAGCGCGTTTTGCATTCCCCGCGCTACCTACACCGCCATCGTGGTACCCGGGCCACATGGCCCAGTTCCAGAATATGCTGCCCACGCTGTTGTCGAGCACGGACATCGTGCTTGAGCTGCGCGATGCGAGGTTGCCGCTTACGAGTATTAATAGGACGTTTGAAGGTTGGTTTTTTGTTTGGTTGGTTTTTGTGGTGGCGTTGCTTTCGTGCTTCGGCTTGTTTTGGTCTTTGGACTCGCGTTCTTTGCCACTGAAGGTCATAGTCTTTGGCCTCTTTCGTCAAATGACGATCGAAATGCAGGCACCATGCTAGTCGCCACGCCAGCCACTAGACTTTAAGTGTTGTGTAGATCGTTTAGCGCAGCTCCGTGGCTGCTGAATAGTTACCACGCCACCGCTCTATTGTCTTTGGCTGGAAGACATTCCATTCCCGTACCAAGTCTGTGATCGAAGAGTGTCATGAATGCCTTGGACGTCTGCGCACTACGATCGTTCATCTAACTTGTAATGGTGTCAAGTCACTCCGCAGAGCAAAGGAGCAAAGGCAACTGCCACTCAACCGACGTCATTCCATTCTTACCCGGGAGATTCGCAATATAGTGTCGAACTGGGTGGCGTGGACCATATTCGTCCTACTTAGGCTTTGTCTTTCCTGCCACTGCCACTGCCACTGTTTCTCATCGTGCACACTAGTTCTCGCACATGTCATCAGTGGTCCGCCACCTAGGATCATTCGTATGGAGCTAATCCAGACGCGTTACAACGGGTTATGCCACCCGCCACCTCCATTCCCCCTTGCGGCGTTTGCCCGCTTCATAATTTGGTACCTCCATTCCCCAGAAACGCAACTGTTGTTCCTGGTTTCCACTGTCTTCCATTCTTTTTCTTTCGACGGTTGTACCCGTACTGACCGTCGCTCTGTCCACATTCTATAGGTGCTCTTCAGAAGTGGCGCACAGAACGTGTACGGCTTTCTACACAGGCATCTGTCGTCTCGCCAACGGCCGCCGCTCGAGTATGTGAGCGTATTGTGGTGTTTACGAAGCGCGATCTCGTACAAGAATGGGGAATTGATGTAAGTTAACAGAGTCTTCCTTGTCCCTTTCGTCCGTCATTCCACTCTAACTGCCTTATGTATAACCCAACTGAACCGTTTCGCTTTCTTCCTGCCATGATAACGATGATGTCTAACTCGGCGGCCGTTGCGTTGCTACTATCGCTGTCGGATCACCCGAAACCGTGAAATAGCCATTCTGTCGAGCGATGGAGGCAAAGTTCCCCGACCAGAGGGTTATGTTCGCCTCTTGGAATACGCGGACAGATCTTGTGTCTCTGAACAAGACGCTCGTAAGTACGTCCCAGAACTTGTTTCCCATATCTAGTATAGGTGTAATTCACCGTCGCCTTCTTGCCCTATGCTTTTTATAGACATAGCGAAGAAACATTCGCATATGCCGGAGCTCAACGTCCTGGTAGTTGGTATGCCTAACGTCGGCAAGTCGACGTTGTTGAACGCACTAAGAAACGTCGGTATTCAAGGGCGTAAGTCAACACCACTCGCCTCCGACTCCACCTCGGATTTCCATGTTCATCCTTCCCGTCTAATTCTGTTTTCTCACCGCCTGACCTTTGGCCATGTCCTGCCTCCCACGTCCTATTGCATCCATCTTTCCACATACACTACTCGCCCCTTCCAATCAATCCTCACTGATACTCCTCATCATGATACTGATACTGATACTGATTGCCCTTTGTCATTCACTCCCCTCGACCCTGCACTTTCCCCGCAGCAACTCCCAAAGCTATGCGTACCTCTCCACAACCGGGCCTCACTCGAGCGCTCTCTACGCGCCTGAAGCTTTCGCTAGATCCTCTACTCTATGCTTTCGATACACCTGGAATTATGCTGCCTTTCCTAGGCCGCGGAGAAAGAGGCGCCGAGCGGGGCATCAAGCTTGCTCTGATTGGTATGTGTGTTTTTCTTTCCCTTTTCTTTCTCTTGATCTGGTGCTGTTTTTGGCACCGTTCATTTCCGTCCAGACAACTCGCTAGCGTTCGGTTTCGTTCGTTCCGCATCTTCTCCCGCGTTTCATTTCTTTTGTTCGATTAGATTAGTGCATGAGTCACATTGGCGAGGCACCGAGTGGCACTTCGATCTTCTATATTTTCAGATCCTCTTTATCTATCCATCTATCCATCCATCGATTCAGTTCCCGCTCTTCTATAGTTTCCAATTTTATGAGATCAAGGACCAGCGCTGACGTATATGTTTTATTCCATGGTCCCTTGATGTCCCTCCCAACAATTGCGCGGGTCGTTCCCGTTTCGTCATCCCATATTCTCAGCGGGCATCAAAGAGGGTCTATACGACATCGAAGACCTGGCGGCTTACCTCCTCTATCGACTGAATGTTCTCAACCCAGAATGTATGTCGTCGTCGCAGTCGTCTTTCAGCCGCTCATCAAGCGCCCATATCCTATTTATATTCGTGTTATATCGTGATGGTTCGACTGACCGCTCGTCTTTTACGTTTTTGTCATGGTTTCGTTCCTCCGATCATGAACGCCGCATATCGGCGTCATTCGTGCAGCGCCTGCATACCTCTCTATCCTCCCACCCGGCACCCCGCCACAGACGTCGATCCATGAACTACTCCCAATCCTCGCTAAACGGCTTGGAATGCTCAAGCGGGAAGGTAGACTCGATACGAGTCGGGCGGGTGTCTGGTTCGTCAAGTGGTGGAGGGATAAGGGCAAGGACGTCTACCCGGATTCACCGTTCCCTTCTTTGGGGCTGGATGATTCGACGTTGGCAGGGTTGGAGAGCGGAGATTCTGTGGAGAGAATAGCTGAGGATCAGCAGGGAAGTGAGGTCGGAAGGGAGCATGGAGGCCAGAGGCGGATTGGATGGGGGTTCGATCTGGAGTGGGACTTCGATCCTGCAGTTGACCCGTCTCTATCGTTGTCTACATCGCCTCCGGAACCAATACCCGCATTATCATCATACGCTGCGACTCATGTGCCCGAGACTTTAACTGAGCTCACACCAGAACCCGTACCCATCTCGCCACCACCGCATTCTGCTCCACAGCCTCAGCTTCCTTTGTCGGATCCAGTGAAACTACGAGACGATCAAGAGCTGTATGTTCAGCGGAAGATGGAGGAATGTATTGATGCGTATATGTTGGCGGAGAAGGACGAACATGTCACGGAAAGTGTGACGCAGGAGAAGAAGCGGGTTAGGGAAGAGGATATGAAAAAGAGGAAGGAGAAGAGTTTGAGGCGATTGGCTAATAAGAAAGGTGGTGGGAGGGGCATGCATTGATCGTCGGATTGGTGGGAGAGGATTGATGGCGAGTTTACGTTGGTGTGGATGGGAGGTGTTTTGGTGGGGTCGATGAGGGATAGTGGTGGGACCAGAGTGGCTCTATGGCCTAGCGATCGAGCGAGCGCGGCCGATGGGTCCTGGTAGTTGTTTCGTGCGTCTTATTTTTCTTCCTCTTAAAAAGACATTAAGACTTACGATAACTAACAGTGGTTAACATTGATCCAGAAAACCGAGTGCTCTTGACTACTACGTCCCGATTTTCCGCGCTGTTCATTGTCGATGTCCTCGACTAGGCCGTGTTTTTTTTTGACATATAAGTACCCTATTCATGCGCATCATCAATAATGCTTTCTGCCCGCAGAATTCTATGTTCCACATCAATGTGCCCTTCTCCCTCTTTCTTTATGGAACCCTTTCAGATGGATCATCGCTCCACGGTCAGGTAGACGTCAATTTTCTCTGCGCTTTAATAGCGGACAGGTTCCTTCGAGTCGCGGTCTACCCGAGACAAGCGGGTGGCATGACCCGAACGATGGTCCTTTATTCGCCCTTTGTCCCCCCATGATCCGACATATTGCATGGCGCATGATGTTACGTCTTCTGTCTGAGTCTTGACAGCGAACATTGTATCACACCATATCCGCTTCATAAGTTCGGATCCCACTTTCTTGCGGACCGACGCGACTACACCATGTCCCGCCTTAACTTTTTTACCATGTCCCGTCCCCGAATAGACTGGTGACCGAGCCTCTACAGCCCGGGGAAAATGTGACGCCTCCGTGAGTACCTGGACTATAGAGTCCCCGAACAGCTTTGCAAGGGGTCTTCTCAGAGGGAAATCTATGGTGAGTGCATCGAAACATGCGCATGTCTCCGATCTAACGCAGTAGGAAGCGTGCAAGCTATCAAGCATATTTGCGCTCTGCACACGCTACTTACTTCACAAACTTTCTTCATGTTCTCTGTTTTATTTATCTGATAGTCGCGTTCACCTAGTCCTTCGGGCCGCGGGATGGTTCCAAAGGCCACCCACCATTGGAGTGACGCTTCGAAAGCAAGGGCCTCTAAATTCAGTGTAGCTATATTAGAGGCCAGCTCTCAGTTGGAGACTCAAAGTCGGTGATGTTAGAGATTAGACGGGTTGTAGTCACAACGAGTGCGACCAGGAAATAGAAGTCCCAATACAGTCGTCATATGCATGAGCAGTCATTGTCCCAGGGAGAGTATATTATAGTGGCAGAGCGGGAAGGGTCATGAAAATATCGTCCAAACAAGGGTAGAAAGCCCTCAATCGAGATTGTCTTTATGAACAGTCGCATGATACCTTCAATTCGACGGAAGTGTTGAGTTGTAGAAGTCTATGAGGCAAGCAGGGTCAGCATTAATTGGAGAACAGTCACGGCGAGATCAGACTCACAATACTTCGCCACATACTTCACCGAGATCGTGCTCCCAGTGTTGTTACACTATTTCACCGCGAGAGAAAAGAGCATATTCCTCGTCAGCAACCCATCCTCTCAACCACCACAACATCTGAGTCAAATTCGAAGACATACCGAACTAGGCGGCTGTCCACCCGCCGTCTCCACCCTAAACACCGTCTGCGCCAACTCCCCCTGCCCCGGAAACTGCAACGCACTCAACCTCAACCAATCCACATCCACCGTCGGATCATCCGGCGACTTCAGATTCACCGTCCCACCCGCCACCACTGTCGCCTTCTTTCCCTCCTCTCCATCATTGCCAGCGAAACCATTGAACCTCCCACTACTGAAGTCAAAGGCCGGTGAGATTCCTGCTCCGGTGACGGGATTGGGTACGAAGTAGTGTTGGCCGTCGACGACGGGGTTGGGGTTGCCGCCGAGGTAGAGAGGGTTGTTGAAGAGGGAGATGAGGGAGGTGGTGTTGAAGGTGCCTAAGGAGGGAAGAGCGGACCAGAAGGCGAATGTGGCGGGGGAGAGGGAGGAGAATATGGGGGTGTCGACGTAGCAGGAGATGTCGAAGAGTTCGGCGACGGCGCCACTGGACCTAGGAGGCGCAGAGCACCGATGAGGTTAGTGGATGTGGCGTTGGATGGTTGGATGGTTGCTGAGTTGGTGCACAGGCTGGAATGCGGAGCGCCTGCGGCACGATGGGGATTGGGTGAGAAGACTTACGTGAAATTGGAAGAGCTGGAGCAGGTGTAGTTCTGGACGCCGACGCCTATAGCAACGAAGTCGGGTGCGAAGGTCGGGGCGACAAGCGTGGTTTGACCGGAAGGAAGTTGAAGGGCGGCGGGTGTTAGAGGACAATGGGCAACGTTCGTAGGCCCTTGGGATCTCGCTGCGATGGCCGACGCCAGGAGGGAGAGCTTGGTGATCTCCACCATGGTGATGAAAAGAAGATGGAAGGAGGGAGAGAGATGAGGTTTATTAGGGAGATGGGGTATACCGCGAAGATATAAAAGCACAAGAGGATCACAGAACAGAAAAACCGGAACCGGCGGAGTCCAAGACTTCGAACAGCCAAGCTTTTATATAGATAAACACGAATGTACAGCCGTCGAGGGTCTGTTAGAGGAAAGACACCCCAACCGCCCGCCAAACAGACATTTTGAACAAGTGTTAGGACAATCGATCATTCGGGCGGGACGGTGATGAGTGGAGCGCCCGTTGAATATTGTCTCAGCCGACACGTACGGGAGGCTTGGCAGGTAGAAAGCGAGAATATGTCCGACATGAGGCTCGAAATGTGTTTGAAGGCGAACTCGGAGTTCGGACGCACAGCCCACAGTCGGCGAGACCGCCGCATGTTCAGCAACGGGGGGAGCTTCATAGCGGAGCGTTAGGGTGAAACGCGAAATACTGAAGCGGCGGGCACTATCGCACAAAGCGTTTAGAGGGTGCAATGGCAAGAGCGGCTACGAAGGGGAGGTCGGGACTTGGACAGGACTCGGTAAAAGAGGATATACGGCGAAGAGGATGAGGCGAAGCGGTCGAAAGCGGGACCTCGAGAAGGAAAGACTTCGGCCGGAGTTGATTATCCTACCCCACTCTGCGGTGATGTTCTTGACCATCAAGGACAGCCTTTACTGGCCTGTTCGATCGTCAGTGAAATAATTCGTTAGTGAAGAGTACAAGCGACGCTCACTTGTTGACACAATCGTCACGTCTAACGTCAGTCTCGGTCGGCGGTAGTCATGGTCGCACAGTCCGACACGGTGAAATTCGTGCATTGGACAGCATTGCGCAAAACATCTGCTTGCAGAAATGGTTCTAGGGGCCAAGACTTACTGGCATTACGAACAAACGTTTTTCTTATAATCCACTTGCTCAGAACGGGTCTGGGTCAGCCGGGGTGTGCTAGGTTGTGCTAGGGTGCGGACTGGCGACGACAACTCCTCTGATTTGCGAAGGAGAATTCTAAAGTCCATGCCGTCCATTGGACATAACATTAATCAGCGAGAAATATTATTTGGAGAACAAACGTCCGTGCGCGATACCCTGCAAACAGCCACGGTCAAAGAGCAGCATATCGAGTTTCACGAAGAAAGACCAGATGCAAGAGACAAAATATGCCCGGGGTATTATGAGACTCGGACAGTGCCCAGATAGTGAGCAAGTCACGCCTTCACAGGTCATCCTGTACAGGAACATTTACGCCCTGAGGCTTCGAAGGCGTGCAAATGGAGACTTAGGCCCCTTTCTGTCGTGGCAAATGAGAAGAACACTGGTTCAGCGCGTTTTGATGCCAGAAGGTCACGGTTATTCTGCAGTATATAGTATCGCCGCATCTCGGATGCTAAAACTCGCCGCTGACAATTCCTCGCCGTCCTCTGTGATCTGAAATTTTCCAACCTCAAGCTCTGGCTATTCATCATATTTTTCTGGAGACGAGATGGACAAACCTCTAGGAACACTGATTGGCTACCTATTATAAGTGCCACCTGAAGCGCCCTTCCACTGGCCACCTCCCGCCACCCTTTCAGACGCCTCTTGGCAAGTTGAAGTACGTCTCGGGAACCACTACCCTATCCATCAACGTCTCTGTCGAACCACCATGAAGAAACTGGGCCTAGCTCTGCTCCGCCACCCAAGTTTGTAGACAGACACAGAAGATACGATTCGTTATAAATAGGCTCAGCAGTGCTCCAGGTCAACTTTCTCATCAAAACGCGCTGCAACAGCGTGTTTTCCATAGACCACGATGCAATCACAGGGCTACCTCGACCTCAGCATGTAGACACCAACACGGGACATACGGTTTCCGTAAATATTATCTGCATTGCCCATCAGTCTAAGGGGAGGTGCAAAACTCTGCAAATAAAATAGGCGCCCGAACGCCCTAGCGTTGCGAGACGGAAAGGCACTGAATGCACGCTTGCTTTGAGACGGCGGCCCCTGCAAACTTCGTGCCGTATTGCTTTTACAGAAATGCTGTCTAGCTCTGGGGAGGAATAATGAAAAGCATCGAGCATGAACAATCCCGGACGATCAGCACTGCTCGTGCCACAATCAATGAGATCTACACCAATCAACTCCAACTCCTCGACATTGCTACCTATGGAAGGCTGGTTTACAGTCCTCGGTTCGGAGACTAGTCGCCTTGGATCCGTTTATAGGGCCTAAGACTGAGCACGAGAACGGGACCGCAACAAATGAAAGCCTGATGTGGACACACCTGCAGGGTGGCAACTGCTTCGTCGTTATCGAAATCATCTCAGTCGCGACCATTGTAGGATAGCGATGTCCTTGGGCAGAAGAACACGATGAACAGAAGCATAGAATGACGAGAAGAGACAGGAAGCGGGACAGCCGCAAACAACATGAGGTGAAGGACAGAGCCGTCCCGTTATGGTGATGTCCTACAAGAGGGCTATAGTTGCGGTTGTAGTTGGATTGAAGCCAACTGTAGCGATGTCAAGGCTGTGCCTTCCGAAACACTTGACCCGATGCTTCTCCTTTTGTAGTCCCTCTCCTTGTTCTTCCACGACGGCCATCGTCGCAGCCTTCAGGCCTTTCCTTCCCGCCTTCGACGTGGGCTGTGTCTGCAGCTTTGCTTGTATTGCAGTGGCGAGCTGTGTATTATACCTTGGCTCAGACTGCATGCTCACGCTCTCGGTTCTCTAATCAGACGTACAAGTGCAGCGTTCTGACTAACCCTGCATTCCTTGACGTGTTTGCCTCTGTTGCCAATTGTAGGTTCGCCAATTACTTGTAGATTCTACGATGCCCTACAATCCACATCACGATCCAAGATTCGACTCTCTTCCACCTCTCGTTCAAGATCCAAGTCGTTCAGAATGGCCTTCTACGCCTTTCCCTCCCGCGACTACGCCTCTACAATTCCCGTCATCGCCTCCTCCGAATCACCTTGATACCTCGTCGTCTTGGGGAGGATATGGAGCGCCAGCAGAGCATGCTGCTTGGGGTGGTGCTCAGGGAGAACCCTGGGGACAGACACAGTCGCAGCCGGCATGGGGTATGCCACAACCCCATCCTCAACCCGAATCGTGGCCTTCGGTTGCAGAGCTGGCATCGTCCACGGATCCATTCAACACTCAAGCTCGAGCACAATCGGCGCAACCCACTGCATGGGGCGATCCTAGCTCTACTGGTCCGACATGGGGACTACAACCAACACCCTCCCACTCTCACCACCACCACTCTCTCCCGACTACTCCATACAACCCATTTCCTGATTCCCTGGACCATCTTCGGGACGACCGTGGCAATCTGAGGCCGGTAAATTTCGTGGGAGGAGGTGGTGATAGTGGTGGCGGTTTAGCGCCGGGTCCGAGTACGCCCGGGCCTGTATGGGGTGGGGCGCTGTCAGGGGGAACGTATGAGCCGAGGACGGACGAGAGCTCGTTCAATGGTGCGGTGCAGCTTTGGTCACCGCCGGCTCAAACGTCCGCGAGCTGGAGTCCTGGGGAAGCTGGTTATGGGGGTAAAGTGTCGAGACGGGGGTCGAAGCATCATTCGTTGGGGAGGGCATCGTCGTTGCATTCGTCGATTTCGAGTCAGAGGCTGTTCGATAGGCCGGGGAGCTGGAGGCCGGATTTCAAGACGCCGAGGTCAGGGTTGGATGCGATTATGGCGAAGAAGAAGGCAAAGTCGTTTCCTCAAGGTGCGTTCCTTGCTTCATTTCATTCTCATCTTTTCATATCTACTTCATTTCCATTCATTTCCGACTATCCCTGCCCATCCTTGTTCTTCCAATTCCAATCATACACCTATCGATAATTGACCACGGAATCTGACCCCATCTATCCACTCTCATCGCACATCCAACAGAACTCGCAGACTCAGGCCCGCACACCCTCAACCCGCACATCCGCATCACCCTCTTCCGCGACTCCCCCTCAACCTACGACCTCCGTCTCGACCTCTCCCAAATCCAATTCAAAGACCTCAAACGGCCCGTCACCTCCTACGACCTCGCGCAATTCGCCACAGAACCGCCCTTACCGTTCATGCGGCTCTCGCATTCCCGGATCCCGTGGTACATCGACGTGTATCCGCAGAATGCTACTGGAGTGACGCTGTACGATCTGTTTAGCGCGATGCATGGGTATTTGTATCAGAGGATTAAGCAGAGCGATTTTTGGAATACGGAGATGGGGGAGGTGGATAGGGCGAAGATTACGGCGAGTTGGAGGGAGAGGGTGGGCAGGTCGAAGGAGGAGGCGGAGCAGGGGGTTTTGAAGGTGCGTTTTTCGTCCATTATATATATCTTGGTGAGTGATGGAGTGTGCGAGAGAGGCTGATGCTGGCATTGTCATTTTGGCTGTGCAGATCGACTTCTTGCGACGCGACTGTATCTTCCTGGGCTTGAAAGGGCCAGACAAGGAAGGCGTCTACGAGATGAGGACTCGTAAGACATGAACGGTTGACCTGTCGCGCCTCCATCTCATCCACAGCCAGTGCCCATACACATTTCAATTCCTCCTTCGAACATGTTGCATCTGATCACATATCATACTTCTCCTCACGTCAAACCGCAGTTTTCCTCATTGTAGAAGTCCAACCACCTCACCCAAATCTCATCCCATATGCCATACCGTTCAAAACGAACACTTCACGCCTCACTCTTGCCATATCCTCACGCCCAACCTCACGCTGCAACCATATTCTGCTCCATCGCTTCATACGCTGTTGTTTTATCTACATCTTAACTATATCGACCGTCTCATACTCTGTCATTCTGCCACTCATCCATGTCGCTGCGCGTCCCCGGTTGCTGTCTCCGTTTCGGTCCCCTCTCCCTGTTCAAATGTGTTCAAATGTGCCGATTGTGTCAATGTGTCAATGTACTGTACTCATGCCCCGTGTACCCCCCGCCGTAGTATACCAATGGATGTATCTATCTTCTTTCGTGGTTTTTGGTCTTATAAATCTCTTCCTGAGGAGGGTTGCAGTCTGAGAGTGAGATGAGCTTGACAGGTTCCAGGCAAATCGCAATCTCTGCGCAGAGACGACCTGCAGAGATCGGGGCCACACGAGGTGCCACTTCGCGAAAACTTGTCACGACCACGTGATCGCGTACTCATGAAGTTCAATTTGAATTCCAAATCGCAAGCGCGCGACGTGTCGTCGACGCTCACCACACTACGTTTTCTTTTGAAGTCCAGCGTGAACCCCTATGGCTCCATCTCGTCCTACAAGAGAATCGTCGCGATTTGACCCGCTATCTTCACCCTCAAGCTCCTCTGGTAACGCCCAGGCTACTGCCAGCTCATCCCGTCGCGTACAGAAATCTACTACCGCTGTCCAGCCAGATGAAGTCATCGAAATCTCGTCCGATGAAGACGATTACGATGCGGTTGTTGTCGTATCTGACGATGATGAAGCCCCTGTCCAGTCGATAGAAAGACTCGAGATCACCGGATCGACCAGGCCACCGGAGTCGCGCAAGCCAAGTCATAATCCCGCTCGCACTCAACCAGCGCGTCCGAAAGATGCGGCTAGAAACCAACCACTCACCATCGTCAGAATTCTTTCGGGCGAATTTGGTCATCCCAAGACTTGGTCGTTCGGACTCCCCGAAGCAAACTTCGTGGACATCGAGAAGTTGATAGAAGAGTCGTTCAAGCATCCTTTGATGAACTATGATCAAGCTGGGCGAGAGCAGTTCAGAGCTCGCATGAGATCACTCAATCCAAAGGCGTTCGGGGTAAGCTATCCTCACCTCTCTTTGCATTTCGCTTTTTTTGACCCACATCCCGATGTGACAGGCTCATCCCGACGAGAACGATCGCACCGTCCGCTATACTCACGTGGAACGATACCCTGGCGGGCCTGTTTGGTTTACTGTCCGTTGGTGGGCCGCCGGAAACCTCGGCACCTATTTCGACTTGGTAGACGTCGCTACACGAAAGCTCTTCCTTCCGCATCGCGATCTCCCCGACCTCTTCGTACAGATCGAGGCTTTGGGCGGCATGATGGCCGCGTGTACCATCGAAGAAGCGATGCGTCGTTCGCGCGGTGTGAGGAAGATTCCTGGTGCGAATGACGATGAACGGTACTGTGCTCCTGAGGGTGCGAGGGTACTGTTCTCGAGGATTTTGCCGGATGGGAGGAAGGATCCTGTCGCGGATGTGTTTTCGCCTCGAGAGCGACCTATCCCTCCTTTGGGGCCACAGCCGTTGAATTTTTCACCTTTTGTTTCTTAGACTCATTGACCTTCATCATTTGCTCTCCTTATTTTTGCTCTGTGGTTGTGTTATCAAATTCTGGATTCAAGATTGCTGTGTCGTGCTTTCAAGCTCGCTTCCCTAGTCTCGTAAACTCATTTAGTTTTACCAGCTCCTCGTACCCCAAATTCCGAGCTCGTATCTGTTGCCGCTTTCGCTGTGCTTGCCATTACCTAACACTTTCGTCTCATGCTGTCATTCCGCTCTGCCTGCCTCGCCCATTCGGATTGCCTTCGATGTTCAGGGTTTCCGATATCTCCACACTCACCACCTACCTGCCCTCATTATATACTTGGATCGTGCACGCACGTAGTGCCGTCTTATTTTTTGGCCAACAATTCCGCGTCTGACCTCCGAGCCACCTTTAGATCCTCTTCACATTCGAATTTTCCGTCTAACATGCTGCTAGTTACCTACGACCCGATAGCTCGACGTATCTACTTACCTTCGTACTCGCCTGTCTAAGATTAGAGATGAGTGACAAACTCTGCCATTTCAGCTCTTCGTGTACCCCGCCCCGTAGTACTTATACCAATAGATGTATATATCTTGTTCGTGATTACCCGTCTGATAGACCTTCTCTCTGATGAGGGGTACACTCGTACACTGAGATGAACTCGACCGGTTGCAGGTAAATCTGAAATCTGACTGGTGTCTACTCAAAGGGCTGGGCCACACTAGGTGGCACTTCGTAAGAATTGTACGCGATCACGTGATCATGCACCTTTGAATTCCAGATCGCGACCATCGTGTTGATCGTCGACGGCCTCGTCGAGGTCAGCGCTCACCACCACCACCACCACCACCACCACCACCACCACTAGGTTTTCTTTTGATTGTTGGAAGTCTTATCTGAATGCCCATGGCTCCCTCCCGCTCTACAAGAGAACCATCGCGATTTGATCCGCTATCTTCACCCTCAGGTTCCTCTAGCAATGCTCCTAGTACCAGTACCAGTTCTTCCGTCTCGCGTCCCCACGGCAAACAGAAATCCACTACTATTCAGCCAGACGAAGTCATCGTCGTCTCTTCCGACGAAGACAATGATGAAGGCTCAGTTATTGTTATATCTGATGACGATGAAACGCCTCTCCAACCGCCGAAAAGATTCAAGAACACCAGACCCACCAGGCCACCGAAGTCGCGCAAGCCAACTCATGGTTCCTCTCGCACTCAAACACCGCTTCCGAAAGATGCGGTGCGCACTGGCGCGGCTGGAAATCAACCAGTCACCATCGCGAGAATCCTCTCTGGTGAATTTGGACATCCGAAGACTTGGTCATTCGGCCTTCCCGAACCAAATTTCGTGGATATCGAGAAGCTGATAGAAGAGGGGTTGAAGGATCCGATGTTACTGTTCAACCCGGCTCAGGCACGCCTAATGCCGGCTGGTATGCGAGCACTCAATCCGAAAGTGTTCGGGGTAAGCTGCCTTCGACCCTCCTTTGCGTGCATTCTTCTTGCTTACCTGTGTATCGATACGGCAGGCTCATCCAGACGAGAATGATCGTACCGTCCGCTACACTCACGTCGAACGATACCCAGGCGGGCCTGTCTGGTTCACCGTTCGTTGGTGGGCTGCTGGACTCTTCGGCACCTATTTCGACTTGGTAGACGTCCCTACTCGAAAGCTCTTCCTTCCCCATCGCGATCTCTCCGATCTATTCGTCCAGGTCGAATTTTTGGGAGCCATGGTTCCCGTGGGGACCGTCGAAGACGCCATGCGTCTTTCCCGCGGTGTGAAGAAGATCCCCGGCGCGAATGATGATGAACGGTACCAGGCTCCTGAGGGCGCGAGGGTGCTGTTCTCGAGGATTCTGCCTAACGGAAAGAGGGAGCCTGTTGCGGATGTGTTTTCGCCTCGAGAAGAGCGGTCCATCCCTCCTTTGGGGCCACAGCCTCTAACTTTCTCACCTTTTGATTCTTAGTCGTTCAACTCTTCTCCGTTTTGCTCCACTAATCTTTGCTCTGTAGTTGCGATATCAGACCCTTCTTTCATGAATGCTATGTGGTGCTTTCGAGTTTGCTTTCTTAGTCGTGAATTCGTTTGGTTCTATCTGCTCATGTCTCTAATTCCGAGTTCATAACTGTTGCCGCTTCTTCGCTGGCACGCAAATAGTGGTACATGCTACCTCACACTCTCTTCGTCGCTTGCGCCCTCCACCGGTCCCGAACAGTGTCTCTGTCTCAGAATTGGACTGGCTTTGATGAAGGGTGCAGCGCACCTCGAATTTAGATCACTCTCAGACAAGTTTTTGGATGTCCAGCGTCTCCGATTCCGCCACCCGAGTTTGTTCGCCAATTGGACACTTCGATCGTGCATGCAGGCGCGTACATCTTCTCTTTTTGAAAATCAGCTGTGCGTCTGACCTCCGAGCTCTCCTTTAGAAGTTCCGGAGTTCTCCGTCCTACATGCCGCCGTATTGGCTGCGACCAGTGGACTGGTCCACCAGCATGCCCGAACGATGACCCGGCAGTTCGACGGACGTACTTGCCTTCGTACTGAACTATATAAGAGGTGTACCGTGAGAGCGACAGACCTTCCAATATCCGTTTGACTGCCTTAATGACTGCGGAAACAGCGCGAGCGAAAAATCCGAAGGCGTGGGGTGAGCTACGTTCGCCTCGTCTCACATTCAGCAACATCACTGAGGGGCTAGGGATCTATTTTCGAGGATTTTGCGGAATGGAAAGATAGTGTGTGCTCGAGGATGTGTATTCCTCGACAGGACCGACTTCAGGCCTTAGGGCTACAGCATCTGAGACTTCCGCCCTTTGATCCTTAATTTCCTAATGCCATTCGATCTTTTTTTGAACTCTTCCTCTAATCTGCCAAGCCCCGTCCCTTTCCCGACTTCGCCAGACAATTAACTTAGACTTTTTTACTTCTCCCTTCGAATGTTGGCCATTAAAAGTTAGGAACTTCCGCCAAATTCGGCCCAAAAGCTCGCACGAACTTGTTGTTTATGATAGATGCGTATTTGTGACTGGATGTGAGGAATTTGATGCGCTTGGCCCTTGCTTGACACCTTTTCACAAGTTCAAGGTCGCGATAATACGGCGGTCACTCGTATGATCGTCAACATTTTATTGAGAATTAAACACTACTACTACACAATATAAATATTTCAATCTTCCCACTCTTTCTCACTTGATCGTACAGTTGTGACGCTTTCTTCTTGAAAGTCACTAATAAGAGCGATAGAACTGGTACTGAACCCCGTAGTGGATGCTTGGGAATACATGATGCCTTCGGGCGTTGCCAGTTTCGATGGGCGTTGTCGAAAAGTGGTTGTATGCAGGTCGCTCGTGGTGCGAGTGATAGTGCCACATGTTAGCACCTGGGTATACGGTGTGAGTCACGTCGGCTGAATGGCCCCACGGAAGCAGGTAACCCGCAGCAATTCCACCTGCAGTCGCAGCGAATTGCACGCCTACGGCGACCCCAGCCCCATTCATCTACAAATTATTGAGCGAGCCGTCATAATGTTAAGTTTATGCTACAGGACACGATAATAGATTATATGCACGCACAGGCAAAAGAAAATGACCCTGGTCCGTCACGTGCAGCCTGGCTGCTTGTACAGCCTGGGGCAAGAAATTCCATATCGCCGGCGGCATCGCGTTAGGACCAACGATAGTGGCTTCTAACGCGAAGAAAGACCACCCGAACGCAACACATTCGTTCCTCAAACGAACCCACGGCCATTGACCTCCGGGAATAGGGGGAAGAGGGCCATTTGGCATATTGGGGACAGGAGCGGGGGCCCAATAATCGGAGCAATATAAGTCAGCTACAGCTTGACCAACGAACAAGGTGGAGTTTGATCCTAAAAATGGCATGACGGCAATACTGTCTAAGCACAACAAAAAGCACGAAGAGTTGGTGTCAGCTAGAACCAGGGTGGCGAGGTAGGCATAATAGAACATACTACCTTTGATTAAGGTCTGATCGCAATATGGGCAGGTACGATGCTGATGATACCAGACGTCCAGTTGATGGGTGTATGGGGAAATGAGTGCGTTAGTACAGGGCGAGAGGGCTTCATCTTTTATAGAGGCGCCTCAATATTCGCTGCCCCCAGACTTACCAGATTGGGTCCTTTGTTGGTGATGACTCGTCTGGCAATATAAGTATCTGGGGCCTGGATATCGGGACACGGTGCAACCTCGATGTCCGCGCATCTTTCTCCTTATGCAATGCGTTTACCTCATAATAGGGGGCTGCTGCTCATGATCGCTGCCAGTCTTGCCACGTAACTTTGAACCTCCAGGGAATTTTGGTCCTAATTAGTGTTGTATGTCGTCATAAACAATACGGCCTAGGACACAGCCATCTTCACTAGATGTTGTGATAACAGTCCGGTTTCTTTTCGAGCACAATGGCTCCTTGTTAACTTTATGAGGAACTAGGGTTATCTTGCTTCCATTTGATGAAATCATCCTGCCACCACAATACAAGTGCTCGGGTTTGGCGGTTGGTTCGAGAGCAGCCAGTGGCGTTATTGACAACGAGGCAAGGTGTTCTGATTGTCCGATAAGGAGAGAAGCGTATTGTTCCCTTTACGATTTCTTGGGTTCCCAGCGCTCACTGCTTGCGGTATATAAGAAAGGTTTCATTGCAACGCTCCAGCATCTCTACCCCCGAAGACATGTCACACAGAACCTCGTCCTCTACGTCCTTGCTTATGTCTCATGGCGGCAGAGCACCAGCTGAGGTTCTAGTCTTTTTCCAAATAACCTCTACATTTAGAGGTACACATGCTGATAGATTGTGGCTTTTTCATTAGCGACGTTCGAATGTCACTGTGGATGACATCGAGAGAAACCGGTATGGAGATCCCACCACGTGGACATTCGGCGTACCAGAAGAAAATCGTATCGACCTCCAAAACCTCGTCCAAGAAGCCTGGAGAAGTCCCTGGATACAAGCCGAGCTCTTGAACATAGCGAATATCGGCGCTCGAAATGCAAGGTGGAACGCGATACGGGATGAGTTGCTTGCGATAGACTCCAAGGTGTATGGCGTATGTCATTCTTACTAATCTGCACACATGAGCTCGCTCATTTCTGATGCACTTCGCGCAGGCTCATCCCGTCAATGACCCGTCTGTCCGGTACATGCATATCGAACTGTACAGCGGAGGCCCGGTGTGGTTTACCATACGTTGGTGGGATGGCGACAATCTCAGGACATTCTTCGATCTCGTCGACGTCCGCGACAGGCGGGTCCTTTGTCCACGTCTAGACCTTGCCGACCTCCAGATTATCATGACACACATGGGAACAACGTGCGAGCTCCACACTATTGAGGAGGGGACTCGCCGCTCTCGAGGAGTGTCACAAGGATCTGCCCACAGAGAAGAGCGCTATGTGGCACCTCCAGGGGCACGCCTTTATATATACAAACGGGAGCCTAACCCGCCTGGAGGCCGTCGCCACATTGCAAACGCTTATGTCCCTGCACAGTACGCCCAGGGTGGATCTGGCCTGTGGCCCCAACTCACATCGCCGTACTCGAGTCGCCACTGAGCCTGCAGCATCGGTCAAGGCTTGGTAGTGGCAACACTAGGAATAGATACGCAGGGTATTTCCACTTTCGCGTCGTGACGTCCCGCATCCGATAGCTCTCTCTCTCTCGATATGACTGCTCGGAACTGATTATGTAAACTGCTTTGAAATAAAATCCACGTATTTTGCGTTACCGTTGACCAAACGGTGTTTGATTTGTTTAAGACTGCTCTCCATGTAATGAGTTCAAGGGGGCAAGTCACAAGCATCGGAGACATGTCTTCAAACCGCATAGCACAGATGCGACGGCCTCTGGGAAAAGAAAGCAAAGGGCCTAGGTTAAGGGATATGGAGCCACTCACCTCAATGGGGATGCCAGAGAAACCGGTGTTAAGTAGAATATTTGAAGACCTTCAAGTTCGATGGTACTATTTGCCCTAGTTAGTACTGGATGAGACTGGATGACCGAGGCAAAGAATCAGTATATCGCCTTGCCGAGGGCTAGTCAAACCAAGCCAAGCTCGATTGATCGGGTCTTATCCTGTCCGACAGAGTTCCGATGAGACAATAGAACGATTGAATGAAGCTTGTCGACAGGACAAGCGATGCCCCGCGAAGTCGCATTACAGTATCACGGTAATTGATTCAGGTGACTCACGTGATCTCTTGTTTGAAGCTCCGATATCTGAATCGATGTTGATTTCTGAAGGCTTGCGTTCAGACCAACCCACCTCGCACGAACTCGCACAAGAACTACCATCAGACCTTGTCCCTTTCATATCATAACTAGCATGCCCCCTTCCCGCTCGACAAGCGATTCAGTCAGGTTTAATCCTTCGTCGACTAGTTCACTTGCTTCGCGTCGTCGCGTTCATACTACCCAACCAGCTGATGTCATTGTCATCTCTTCCGACGAAGAAAACGATGACGAGGTCATCATAATCTCTTCCGACGACGACGCCGATACGAAAGAGATAGCACCCATCGCCAAGAAATCAAAGAAATCCACACCACCATCGCGTAAAACAACCCATTCAACACGCGGACGAAGACAGCCCGCTGCATCCGCCTCCGTGGGACAGCGAGCAGTCACTGTCGCGAGAATCCTGGCTGGCGATTTTGGCGAACCCAAGACGTGGACATTTGGTCTTCCTGAACCAAATTTCATGGACATGGACAAGTTTGTAGAAGATGGGAGCAAAGATCCTTTTTTGCAGGACCTGACAGAGGCAGAGTGGCGTCGTCTCAGAAGATCAATAGATCCGAAAGTGCATGGGGTGAGCTGCGTCTGTCTTGTCTCACTCAGCGCACGCTTCTTACTTTTTACCCTGCCACAGGCTCATCCCGACAAGAACGACCGCACCGTTCGTTACACGCACGTCGAGCGATATCCCGGCGGGCCCGTCTGGTTCACCGTCCGCTGGTGGGATGGAAAAAATTTCGGCAACTACTTTGATTTAGTTGACGTCGCAACACGAAAGCTCTTTCTTCCACATCGTGATCTCCCCGATCTCTTCGTCCAGGCTGAGTTTCTGGGCTGCATGGCGCCTCTATGCACCGTCGAAGAAGCCATGCGTCGTTCTCGAGGTGTGAAGAAGCTCCCCGGTGCGAATGACGATGAACGTTATATAGCTCCTGCGGGCGCTAGGACGCTGTTTTCGAGGATTTTGCCGAATGGAAAGAAGGTGCCCGTTGCAGATGTATATTCTCCTCGATATGGCCAACCTCCCTTGGGGCCACAGCCTCCGATGCACTCACCCTTTGGCCCTTGATATACTTACCCTTTCTTTGGCTTTTATCGACAATTTTTTTCCTTTCACCTTGTGATTAGTATTCCTCAACAGTTCTCTATCTATATTGTCGTGTGTCTTCGCTCCGGAAGCCTTGCTCGTCGTTTCGTATTGCTTTGTGATTTTTTGCTTTCCCAAACGAATATTTCTTTCTGCTCCCCGCCACGTCAGTAACAATTTTGTTCATATACCAGGGAATGTAGATTTAACTTGCTTTGTGGCTTTTAGTTATGTCCGACCAGTCGACGGGTCATGCCGCTGTAGGCGTCCTGGGGCGTTGTGGGAAACCACTCTATGTGGCGCTCCTGACACAACAACGTGCTCGCCGGTTTGAAGCCCCGAATTCTTGTCGTCTTTGACCTCGAACTATCATCTTCACGCACTCATCTATTTCCTAAAGTTTGAAGTACCACATTCCCACTCCGATTCCTGCGTTTCGGATTTTGTTCAGTATGCCACCTTCTCGTTCGACAAAAGATCCAGTCAGATTTGACCCATCAACCACCGAGTTGCTTCCCCATCGCGCCCGGACTAAACAGCCAGCTGAAGTCATCGTCATCTCTTCCGATGAAGACGACAACGACGACGAGGTTATTGTTGTATCTTCCGACGATGACTACGATAACGCGGATACCAAAGTTGTGTCGCAGAATACCCAGAGATCCAAGAAAGCTACACCAGTATCGCGCGTATCAACTCACAAGACACGGACCACTCCAAAGACACGGACCACTCCAAAGACACAAACCACTCCAAAGACACAAACCACTCCAAAGACACAAACCACTCCAAAGACACATACCACTTCAAAGAAATGCGCTGCCCCCGCCTCTACCAGGCAACGGCCAGCCACTGTCGCAAGAATTCTCGCTGGCGATTTTGGTGACCCAAAAACGTGGACGTTTGGCCTGCCGGAACGCAACTTCATGGATATCGAGAAGGTGGTGGAAGAAACGCGTCCTTACCTGAAGGGTTTATCGGGGGCAGAATTAGTAGCTAAGATAGCTTACTTACGAACAGTAGATCCCAAGGTGCACGGGGTGAGCTACTTCTGTCTCCTCTCATCCATCAAAGTTGTCTTACATTCGCTCTGCCACAGGCTCATCCTAATAAGAACGATCGCACTGTTCGTTACACACACGTCGAGCGGTATCCTGGCGGTCCTATCTGGTTCACCATCCGTTGGTGGGACGGAAAAAATCTCGGCAACTTTTTCGATTTAGTCGATGTCGCAACCCAGAAGCTCTTCCTTCCACATCGTGATCTCCCCGATCTCTTCGTCCAGGTCGAGTTCCTGGGTGGCATGATGCCCGTATGCACCATGGAAGAGGCCATGCGTCGTTCTCGAGGAGTGAAGAAGATCCCTGGTGCGAATGACGACGAACGGTACAATGCTCCTGCGGGCGCTCGGACGTTGTTTTCGAGGGTTCTACCAAATGGGAAGAGAGTGCCCGTTGCGGACGTCTATTCTCCTCGATTCCGCCAACCTGCGCCCTTAGGGCCACAGCCTCCAACACTCTCGCCCTTCGATCCTTGATATATGCTTTCTTTCGACTTTCGACTTGCTTACTTTCTGTTGGTCGTTTCTTTTTCTTCTTGTAATTGGTATGTCTCAGGAGCCAGAAATTCGCGACTGACATTGCCGTGTATTCTCGCTCTAGACGTCTCGCTCGTCGTTTCGTATCGCTTTGTGACTTCCTGCTTTCCCCATCCAAATAAATATTTCTTTCACCTCTCCCCTTTTGTTTATATACCAGGGAATAAGCGATCATGACCCGCCACCCGTGTATCGTCCGTCTCCTGTCTACCTCTAGCTAAGTAGTTTGTGTCCTATTGATACATGGCCCCCTTAGAGAATAGAATATGACGAGACGAGCGCTTTACATCGAACCTGGGGCTAAATGTTCCGCGTCGTTCAGTCCAAAGTGAAACAGTTACGAGAAATGGTGTGCACTGATGGTTCAGAAAGCTCACGCATATAGTTGATGTCGTATGATATCGATGGCGCTCCATCGAGAATCTGAGAATCGAGTACGAGTACTACTATTACACATGACAACCATCCAACTATGCATCTCTCTTTCGCCCCGTCAGCCAACTATAATGTTTCCTTCTACTTGATTCGAACCACTAATAGTAGGGATAGAACTGAGCTTGGATTCCATAATGCATAGCTGGGAAAACAGCGTGTCTTCGGCGAGGCACGACGTTGATGGGCGTTGTAGAGAAATGAGTCCTACTATAGCAGGTCGCGGGTGGTGAGAGTGGTAGTGCCACATACTGCCGAGGGCAGGATATAGGTCGTGAGTCGCGGTAGCCGAATGACCCCATGGAAGGAGGTAGACAAGGGCGATTTGGCCTGCAACCCAAGAGAATTGCGGGGCGATAGGGACTTGTTGAGCGTTCTGCAAGCATGTAATCGTGTTGAGTGGTTAGCAAGATCGAGCCTGTAGTTTGACATATCATATACACGCACTGGAAAAAGAATATGACCGCCGTCCAACACAGACAACATGGCAGCTTGAACCCCTGGAGCCATAAAGTTCCACATTGCGTTTGGTACTCCCGGACCAAAGACAGTCTCTTCCAAAACGAAGAATGTCCACCCTACACCGACGCACTCATTCCTCAGGCGGATCCATGGCCATTGCCCTCCAGGACCGGGGGCAGGAATATTAGGCGTGGCGGGAGCGGGAAGCCAGTAATTGGAGCAGTACAGGTCAGCTACAGCTTGACCAGGAAACAAAGCAGTATTTGATCCTAGGAATGGCATGGTATAGATAGGAACCAAAACGCCTGAAGGCAGTCGAGATGGATTGATCTCAGTTAGCCAAGTCCGGTGGCGTGTCAACAGGGAGATGTACAGCATACCTTTTGGATAAGTCAAGCGAGAAGGAAGTTAATGGTGGAGTGAACGAGGATGGAACGTTGGTGAGCGTTTGTTGTGAAGAAGAGCTCCGACCGCAGACTCTTTTTATACAGCGCAAAGTCAAAGCAAACCCTTTGACCAACCGAGTATTCCGGTAACTATTGTCCATTGCGTGCCATCGTTATGAGGCATATTGAGTTATACGGGCACAGCCATAGTCAAAGTAAAGCCTAGAACGACAAAGATGTCGTAATATCTGGAAAAGGCGAGCTCTATGCGTGCAAGTACAGTCACATCTCGGACACACCTTCTTTGGGCCTGGCTTTATCCCGATTTGAGTAAGGGTTCGGCTGGCAATGGCGAATGGCACTAGATGGCACTCATGAGACGAAGAAGTTCCTTTTGTTCTTCTGTCAAAGAACGCTTCCGTCCGGGAGTCCCTTATGCTTTGCCTCAAATCCCACGCCATCTACATATGTATGTCTTCGCTTAACTGTTCGGAATCTTCCACCAAAACGGACACCAAATCAGCGCATTCTTCTCAAGCTTGTGGTGGCGGACCACCCCATGGACCGTCTCTCTTGCATGTCTCCACGTCCTTGAGCTGCGCATAGGCTAACATATCATGTACCCAACAACATCATCATAATGTTTTGTACAGGATGTCGCAAGGGGCACATATGGCGATCCGAGCACATGGACATTCGGCTCCTCGGAAGACAGTTACGTTGACCTCGTCCGCGACACCTGGCACAGTCCTTGGATAGAAGCTGCGCTCATGGACATACAAGATCTCATTGCTCGAAATGCAAGATGGAGGGAGATAGAAGCAAAGTTACTCGCACTCGATCCCAAAATCCATGGGATCTGTTTTCCCTTCTGTATCGAAATTTCGACGCTGATGTACCGCGACGTGCACAGGCTCATCCCGTTAACGACCCGTCTGTTTGCTACACGCACATCGAGCTCACCAACAATGGCCCGGTGTGGTTCATCATTCGTTGGTGGGTCGGAGACGATGCCAGGACTTTCTTTGATCATGTCGACGTCCGCGACAAGACACGAGCGTTATGCCCGCCGAGAGACCTTCCTGACCTCGAGATCGAGATCAGATATTTGGGTGCTACGTTCAAGCTCAAGACACTGGGGAAGAGATGCACCGCTCTCATGGAGCATCGGAATTGTCTTTCAACGGCGAAGAGCGCTATGTAGATTCCGGGAGCAAGGGCATGCATCTATAGGAAGCATCCCACGAAAGACGGTCATCGCCAACATATCGCAAACGTGTATGTTCCAATGTCAGGGCTATCCCAACCAGAACTTGGTTTATGGCTGCAAACCATATTTTACAGGCGTCGATGAGCTGCTAGCGGAAGTGAGAGGAAAATAGGTGAAACTTTACGAACTGTTATAAACCCTTTTCGCTGCCTGATACACTTATCGTATCATGCCTTTTCTCTGCCTGAACGAATGCCATGATCCATTTTTCTGTGAACCATTTGAATTCCGCATGTATCATACAATGGATGACCCGTTGTGACAAGTATTCATCGACAATCCATCGCAATAGATCGTATCTGCGAGGGAATCTTTGACCTCGGTAAAGCTCGCTAAGGCCCAACGGGACGCGACGATTGACCCGATCGCAGTTTTAAAGTTGTTTCAAACGGTTGCAGATACGGTCTGATTTCTCTGATCATACACTAGGCGTGCTGGTGAACAAATTTTGACCTAGTCGAAGAGACGTGGACTAGTAGCACAGACGAGAGACGCAGTGGATGTGAAGGCTGAAGGCTGACTCGCCCGCCGCACGACCAGGTGAGAAATTTAAAATAAGAGCCACTTACCAAAGTCTATAAGATGCGTAGTGAGTGAGGGCGTAGTATCATCAAATCGGCATAACGATGGAGGACTGTTGGGGGAGCCGTAAGGAGGTGGCTATGGCCAGTGGCCCAGAGCAAGTCGCCACGCGGCGCGTCCTGACACGGTCACGTGCTCTCCGGTTTGAAGTTCCGAGTGAACGGAATTCTCGCCAACTTGAGCTCGAACCACCATCTTCACGCACTTGTCTCTTTTCTAAAGTTTGACGTATTACAACCGCACTCTGATTCCTGCGTCCCCGATCTTGTTCAGTATGCCACCTTCTCGTTCGACAAGAGATTCAGTGAGGTTCGACCCCTCAGCGTCGCGTCGCCGCGCCCGGGGCACACAATCAGCTGAAGTCATCGACATCTCTTCCGATGAAGACGACAATGATGATGAGGTTATTGTTATATCTTCCGACGATGACGACGATGGCGCGTATACCAAAGTTGTATCGCAGAATACGAAGAGATTCAAGAAAGTCACACCAGTATCGCGCGTATCAACTCACAAGACACGCACCACTTCAAAGATAAACACCAGTCCAAAGATACACACCACTCCAAAGATACATACCACTCTAAAGACACACACCACTCTGAAGACACACACCACTCCAAAGAAATGCGCTGCCCCCGCCTCTCTGAAGCAACGACCAGTCACTGTCGCAAGAATTCTCGCTGGCGATTTTGGTGATTCAAAGAGGTGGACGTTTGGCCTGCCGGAACCTAACTTCATGGATGTTGAGAAGATGGTGGAAGACACGCGTCCTTACCTGAAGGATTTTTCGCGGGCAGAATTGGCAGCTAAGATAGCTCGCATGCGAGCGATAGATCCCAAGGTGTACGGGGTGAGCTACTTCTGTCCCCTCTCATCCATGATAGTTGCCTTACATTCGCTCTGCCGCAGGCTCATCCTGACAAGAACGATCGCACCGTTCGTTATACGCACGTCGAGCGGTACCCCGGCGGCCCCGTCTGGTTCACCATTCGGTGGTGGTATGGAAAGAATTTCGGCAACTTCTTCGATCTAGTCGACGTTGCAACACAAAAGCTCTTCCTTCCACATCGTGATCTCCCTGATCTCTTCGTCCAGGTCGAGTTCCTGGAAAATAATGTCCGAGCGCCCGCAGGAGCATTGTTACCGTTTTTTTTTTTTTTTTTTTTTTTTGGTGTAACTCCCCCGTAACCAATCGCGAATGGCAGCCGTTACGGGATCAACGTCGATAAGCAGGGGTTATCACCCTGCAGATCCAAAGGAGGGAATGCATTTATGCACGAACCACCGGCTAGGCCGGCGGAACAGTGTGGGACTCGGAGGGGGCTGGCCAATCATCATTTCGACAACCACGGATGCGCAGGGCAGAGCCGGTGGGAGTGCGCCGCAAGCGGCAAGCGTTTAAACTTCTCAGGAGCCCCTAACCCCACTACCCACTAAACCCACCTACCAGCGCTGGGTTCGACCTATGAGAATCTGGAATAAATCACTGTGTGTGAGAATTGAACCAGAGGCCTCGCCACTTGTGCGGATTTACCCACACGTGACTCCCCAGCACGAAGGCATAGAGCAACGAGATACCCGCTACACTATGCTGCCGGCAGGAGCATTGTACCGTTCATCGTCAGTCGCACCAGGGATCTTCTTCACACCTCGAGAACGACGCGCAGCCTCTTCCATGGTGCATACGGGCATCATGCCACCGAGGGTTCTGCCAAATGGGAAGAGGGTGCCCGTTGCGGACGTCGATTCTCCTCGATATCGCCGACCTGCGCCCTTAGGGCCACAACCTCCAACATTTTCACCCTTCGATCCTTGATATGCGCTTTCATTTCGAGATTCGCCCCGCTTACCTTCCGCTGATTATTTTTATTTCTCCCCCTGTAACTGGTCTGTTTCAACAGCCAGAAATTCTCTACCTGTATTACTGCCATGTATTTTCGCTCTGGACGCCCCGCTTGTCATTTTCTGCTGGTTTGTGCTTTCCCCATCCAGACAAATTCTCTCTCTGCTCTCGGCTACGTCGGTTTCACAAAATTTCGCTCATATTTCAAGGAATAGATCTGACTTGTTTTCTGTTCTCGTTGAGTTGGGCTAGTCAACCTGCTCGAAGCAGACGTTCTGTGGCGTTTCGTAGGACCATATATGTGGCACCTGACGGGGCTCCAGACACCACAATAAGGTCATATTGGCCACGGAATCGCGATGCAGATAGTAAGAGTGAAGGGATACGGTGTAAGTAGTATGGAATATGCTAGCAACTGCAACCGAAAGAAAGTACGAAAGGACCAACGACAAAACTAATAACCAGGACGGATAATCATACAGTACAATACTTATTACACCTCTATAAACACAATAATAACTTACACCGTCGCCCTCACGGCCTGCGACTGCGGCCTCCCACCAGCACTCCTCGTCCCATGCAAATGATGCGCTTGCGATCCAGCGAGCATCGACAACTCCCTGTAATACTCCTCAGCCTCGTCGATCCCTTCTCCATTCCCCACTGGCTTCACCTTCGCCTTCTCCTTCTTCCCACCACCCTTACCCTTCTTCCCCGACCTCTTCCCACCGCCGATCCCACCCACGTACTTCTCTCCAGATACCAGCTGCGCCAAATGCTTGATCTCTTCAAACTCCTGCGTCGCCTGTGCCCTCAAAAACTCCGCGCTATGAGCCCTATGCTGCAAACAATCCTGCTCGACATACCCTTCTCCCCACTTTTCCCACTCCTTCGCTTCTGCCTCGCTCATACTCCCCAATCCCATCCCAGTACCCTCTGCTTCCATAGGCCTCCCATCCGCCCAAAGAGATCCACCCTTCGTCTTGGCCAACACCTGTTCGACATTGAGCGACTCGCCGGGCGGGATAGGGACCGGCTGCGAGGGCGTCACACACGTCATATCCGTCTCCTTCCTCAACACGAAGTCGACATCCACAGCCGAAAAGAACGCCACGCCCTGTGGCAGATCATCCATCCCCAACCTATACGCGAACATGCTCCTCGTCCACAGATTCGCCACCTGCAACGCCAACGCCAGCCTATACTTGTCTTCCTTCTTCACGAGGTACCGTAGCTCGTCGTGCACGGAAATGAGGTATCTCGCCTGGATGTCATATTTCTGGATGAGGTGGTCCATGGAGACGATGAGGAGGTGGAGGTAGTCCACGCCTGAGGACTGAACGACCCAATTGATCCGCGAGGGCATGTAATCGGAGCCGAATTCTGCGGGGAGGTATTCCTTGGAAAGAGCATAAGTAACGCCACAGCCAAGCGCAGGAGTTTGAGGCCGATCAGAAAGCGCGATCTCCTCGAGCTTATTGAACACGAAACTCTCGGTGCCTCCGAACCAGAACTTCCTCCCGAAGATGTCCTGCCGGTGCGTATTCTTGCCTTTCGTCGACGCGTAGAGGTTCTCGGCTAGTTTCTGGGCCTCCTCGGGGAGCATGCCCGAATTGGCCTGCAAGAGCAACAACACCGCATGCCTCATCCCCGCCCCATAAATCCTCGAATAATTAAACACCTTCGCCTGGTCCCTCGAAATCCCCAATATACTCGCCGTCTTCGAATGCAGATCCGTGCCCGCAGCCTTCGTGCCCTCGAGCGTCATCCACCCGATCGCCGTCGCGCCATGCAGCCCGAACTGCGCGTCGCCCATGACGCTGGAGATCCACAGTTCTTCGGAATCGACGTCGGCGCCGACGATGGCGTATCCGTCTGGAGCACGGACCATCGCTTTGAGTTCGGACCCTACGCGGTTCTTCTTCGAGTTGCTCGCCGTCAGCCAGGTCTTCTCGATAGCGCGGCGGGTGACGGTGCCCATCGTGATAACCTGCGGGATGATGATACCCCACTTCTCCTTCTCCTGTTCACCTTCGACACCCGAGTCAGCGACCTTCATCCCCATCCCGCCCTCCCTCTCCCACACCACCATCTGCTTCAACACCCTATCCCTCGCACTGATCCAATAACTACACTGCGCATTCATATCCAACGCGCTGTTCGCCAGATCGCCCGGCGACTTCAACGTCCCGTCCTGCGAAAACTTGATGAACGTCTTGCCCAGCGGACTCCCCACGTTCGCGCTCTCCCCGTCCTTGTGCGGGACCTTGTGGAACGTGAAGCCGCCTTGGAGAGACATCTGCATTAGGGTTTCGTCGGAGGGATCGTGGAAGGAGAGAGGGGTTTGGCGCGATTTGGGAGGTGGTGGGGATATGGAGCCGCTGTCGTCGGAGGGGGTAGAGGAAGGGGAAGGAGAGATACGATATGTCCAACCGTGTTCACGCGAATGAAAGAGCGGACAATCCTTCCACGAAAGCTTCAAAAGAATAGGCGTAACACGGCTCCGAGTGGTAATATCGATCGTCCCAGGCGCACATCCTTTCTTCGGCTTCGTCAGCTCCCAGTACCACTTCGGCCAATATACCTGAGGCGGCTTCGGTGGTTTCGCTGCTTTCTTTCGTTTTGGAGGTGTAGGGATGTCGTCTTCTGTGGTGATGGTGGTGGCAGGATCGTTGGAGGTAGGTTTGACGATTTTCGAAGACCAGTCGAGTTGTTTGAGCCAGGGATCCGACTCACACAGAGTCTCGTCCACCTGAGTCTGCTCATAAACGTCGTTGGCGAGTCGTATCAACCGTTGCTCAGTCTCCAAAGACTTCTGCCCATCAGCAACATCCCGAGCCAAGGCCGTAAGCTCATCATCATCCGAAACCAACCGTCCAGACTCGAAATGACTGAAGTTCGTCTTTGTAAGGAGCCCCCTCGACTTCCCCGCCTTGCCGAATCGCGATACCTCTCCATTGACGACGTAGTGCCACCCGTCTGTGGTGGTGTATTGGACTGGATGACCGTCGAAGGAAAGTTTGAGGAGAAAGGGGAGGTTGCGGTTTATGAATGTGGGGAAAAGGGGGCCTTCGTGGAGGATTTGGTGGTACCATGTCGGGATTTTATCCACAGACGGTGCGACTAGCTGTGGAGGTAGGACCTGTGTGGGGTTAGTCAGTAAAATGTAAAATTCTTGATAATCGGAGTATGAACCTCGAGTTCGGACGGTGGCGAATCCGACGTTGGCTGTTCCGGCTACGAGATGACAATTAGTCTGAATGTGGATATCGAGGTCAAGAAAAAAGCATACAGGATATACTCCTCTCGAAGGGCCAGCGATCTTCGGAGTCCAATCCAGCTGAGACAGCCAAACGTCGTCCCTCCACTGCTCTCCCTCCATCATATCCTTGGCCTCCACCGCGAGCTCCAACAACCTCTCCTTCACCTTCGTATCCAACTCCCGATATGTCCGTTCCGCATTCTCGATATACCGCTCCCACTCCTGATTTACCGTCAAGAAGCTAGAGCCCATAGTCAAGATACCCGCAAACGAGACCGGATTGGGACAAGCGTCGAGAAAGTCGGGTAGGACCTTGGCGTAGACGGAGTGCGTGACGTTCACGTCACTAGCACAGTAAGTGAGGTAGTCCTGGACGTTCGCCATGATCTCTTCCGGTGTATGCGTCATGAAATCGTTTCGGATTTCCTTATCGACCTCGATCCCGCAATGAAGTTTCGCAACATCCGCCAACGAATTCGCCGAAGTGATATCCTCCCACCTCTTCGACGATATCTCCTCCTCCTGCTCCTCCGACGCGTCCGCATCCTCACTCTGCCCCGCCAGCATCTGCGACAGACTCTCCCGCATCGCCGTCTGCTCGCTGCGCAACTCCTCCACCTTCGCCTCGTCCTTCTCCTCCTCCAACATCCTATCAATATCATTCAAAAGCTGCACGACAGCCTCGAACGCCTCTTCCTTCCTCTCCCTCTCCTTCAACTTCGACTTGCGATACTGCATCCACGCCGGCCTCTGATGCGACGATATCCCCTTCACAGCAACGTGCAACGCCATCGTATCCAAAAACCGATTCTTCGACCCCTCGACATGATACTCCTCCTTCACCCTCGCCCGATCATACGACACATTATGCCCCACCACGACCCGCGGCACCTCCCTATCGCCCAGAGGAATCAACTGCTCCTTCTCCTCCGTCTCGCCCATCAACCACGGTGAAATCCACGCATACCACCCGTTCTTGCTCGCCGCGCACGCCATGACAGCATACGGTCCATACTCCGGCAACGTCTCCACATCGAACACCAGAGCCTCTTCCGGGACTCCTTCATGCACAGGCCACGGCACAGCCTCGCTATAACTCGACCCATCCTCCTCATAATAATACTTCGTCCACCCCGATCTGATCTCGAAATGTTCTGGTCGGGGACAGGGGGGGAGGGTGGACGAGGCAAGGGAACGCGCGAGGGAGAGGTATGGGTGGGAGCATGCGGAGCCGATGCGGTGGAAGTGCGAGGAGAGGTCGGGGCCGGTTAGGGGAGGGAGGGTGAAGGAGGTGTCGGGGAGGACGGAGCCTTGGGTGCGATCGAGGCCGTGCGATTCGAGGTGGTCTTGGGCGATGCGGACGAAGGGCGCTTCGGGAGAGGGGAAGGAGACGTTTTTGAAGATTTGGGCGTGTAGTCGCCGGGAGAGCATTTGTACGCCGAGTTCGCTGCGTTTTACTGCAACGTAGATATATGCGTTAGTGATTAGCTTATGTGGTGAAAAGCTGGATAGGGCGCACCATAGTTTGGGTTTTCTCGTCCCGCTGTCGTTCCTACCTCAGAAGTGCTTCGCACCACGGCATCGCTTGGTCTGCTCTCTGCAGTAGGCAGGCTAGGTGTAGAATGGGCATTAGGACGGGGTTTTATCGCTTGTTGAGCATAAGAAGAGGCGGAAGAGTGCAGCAGTCGTATCGAAGAGCTCAGAAAGTATTTTCGCCTAGAGGTTATGAACATCCGAGGTTACACATTCGCACTACTTGTATAACGAATGACCGCAAAAAGATAATAGACCTTAGCACTACTCTGATATGACCTTTGAAAATCAGAGAAGAACTGGCCACGTCCTGGATGAGAAGAGTATAGTACGATGCGAACTCAGGAGACGTTGACGAGGAGCTTTCCGGGAAATGCCGGCGTACTTGGATCCGTAACCTGTGGAGATTTTCTCGAACTTGCGTTCTGACAGATTCTTTCTTCAGGTTAACCCTTTCCCTTGACCGATATACATTACACCGAGTATTCCAACCAAACTTTCTGCAGAGGCTGCTGTACATGTGCCAGACTGACCACCGCGCATGCCATCGCAGCACCTCCCAATGCGTGGAAAGTGGAAGCTTGGCCGTTTGAGGTTTCAGTGGTAGTATGGTCTCGTAACAGGAATGAGTTCAATGGGTTAAGTCCGTGGACATGAAGCCTGGCGACGAATCCCGTGGATAGTCAACCATATGAGCACTGTGACGATATAGGTGTGGTGTGTGGCGAATGGAGGCGACGGGCGTTAGATGGGAGATCGCACCGACGGAAAGTTTTGCATTAGGTGGATAGGTGGATGGGTGGATAGGTAGATGGAATGCTATCATAGCCGAGCAAGGTATGGTGCTGATGCTATGAAAGCTGCTCATGTGGATGCGAAAGGGATATGGCGACTGAGCCTCTTGCAAGTACTGAAAGCTGTCACACATCGTTGAGGGAAGCCATCGCACGTATAAGAGGATGCTAGAAGCTCGTCCTGGAACCCAGTACATTTCCAAGAAAACACGACGGCCAAACCCCGAAGTACGGTGGGGACAAGTTGGAGAACGGAAGGCAACGAGTCGAAGAGCCAATTTCGGTCGATGCAGACAAGGCATTGGGCTGTGCGTAGATCGTATGTCAAGCCATGCAACGACCACACGATGAGCCATGGGCTGGATGGCGACGCGCCGCTGTGACTCCGAAGGTTGAGAGTATTGGTGGAGTGAACGATGACGGTGTGTGAGCATTGGCTCGGCACTCAAGCCATCAACATGCGTTGGATCCCAGACATATGGACCTACATAAGCGCAATGCTTGGTGAGCAAGACAGCCAACGGTATCCTCACGAAGACATTATCCACACGGTCAAAGCACAGAGGGGACATAACTTACCTTCATCGACGGCAGCTCACTAAATCTCCATCTTGTCATCATCAACCTCTTCCTCTTCTTCCTTCACCAACGCGTTCTTCTTTGTACCTGTACCTCCAGCAATAACACCCGTATTCGTCTTCGCAACCAATGGTGCCCTCCTCCCCAAACCCATCAACCGCACACTGTCCTTCATCTCGCGCCACACCATCTCCGCGCCCCTCCTCGCCATCTCCGTCGCTCTCACCAACTCCTCCTCCTCAAACCCTCCTCCTCCTGCATCAAGACTCTTCCAATCCGTCCACACACATTCACATCCCGGTATTGACTCCGATCCCGATGTCTTCTCGCCACCGGCCGAGTCTGCGAACATGAAGGCAAAACAGCCAGTCGCGTCCAGTTCTTCGTCCTCACTCGGATCCACAACAAGCAACCCACTCGCCTTCAGCCTCCCCACTGCAATCGCACACACTACACCCCTCATCGGCACACTCCCCGCACTCACCAACGCCGCCGTCCCCGCATTCACACACGCCGCCACCCCACTCGACCCCATCCTCCCCCTTCCTCTCCCTCCCCCTCTCCCACTCCCACTCCCGCTCGCACTATCACCCAGGGGCGAAACAGCCTGCACGACCAACTGAATCAACGTCCTCGGGTTGCGCGTCAGGATGAGCGAAGGAGAAAGGAGCGCGCGAATGGACGAGGCGAGGGATTTGGATTCGACAGAGGGGAGGGAGGAGAGCGGACGGAGGTGGACTTCGAAGGTTGATTTTGAGGGGTGCTCGGAGGCGAGGCGGACTTCGATGGGTCCGGAGACGGAAGCGAGGGCTTTTGTGGGGCCTGTATGGATGGGTTGGTGGATAGTTGTAGATGTGGAAAAGAGGAAGGTGTCAGTATTTGGGTTGTTAGAGTGAGGGGATGGATAGACGAGGGAATGGGTGAAGGGTGCGAAACGCACCAAATCCAAAACGAGCAGACCCGTCGACTCTGTCCAAGCCTTCGTAGACTATGGACAGTGGACGAGACTCGTTCAAAGCCCGGCCGTCGTGTCTGCGTTGGGCCATTGGCAGTAAAGTTCAGATCAAGAACGCAGACAGGTTTTTTTTGGCAGCTTCAGTATCAGACGCTAGTATCCCAGAGATCCAGATTTTGGAAGGAATAAAGATATGCTGCTAGGAGGGAAGCTGTAAAGCGTTCAGCGAGAAATGCGAAAATATTGTGTTGAGGCTCACGGAAAACGACCACGTGAAAACGCTCCCACGCCACTGCAGTCGGGTGGCGCGCCTGCGTGTCAAGGTCAGCGACGACAATGATCTCGACGAAGTACCGCGACCAGCATGGTACCCTTATCACTTTTTGCATACATCACTTACTCGAAACTACTTGCCTGGTTGCACACGCGAAACTCTTGTCCAACATAGCGCTCTGATCGTGACTTCCTACTTGCTTTCTCTGCTGTTCGTCTCACTTTCAATCGCGGACGTAAGCTGGCTACTTGTAAACTGTCAATTGGAACGCTATTGTCCATGCGATACGGCAGTGTTGACACTGCTGCAAGGACTATCCATACTTGTTTGTAGGATCTACCTGGATCTTCACCATCCGAGTCGCATGCTCTGAACCTCTCGGTATGGGCATTTCTTTGGACCTCGCTTGGATAGCTTTTCACCGTATTATCCTCTTACTTGTGATGCTCCTTGGATTGATCTATTGCTGCGTTGTTTTGCTGTAGGAGAGCGCGAGGAATCGCTACACATCATGGGGCAACGCTGGCGAAACTTCCTGCAACGCGGCGCTGCAGTGGTGGCTTGTTGGTTCGCTCTACATTTGGTGCGTCTTTGGACTTTCAATTATCTGCTGGTTGAATTCTCACTGACTTGAATCCACGCGTATTCATCCCACCATCACAGGTGCCGCCACCCTCCACGAGCCATCCTTTACGGCCGGCGGCTGGACCGACTTCACATCTTGTCACACAAAGGCTTCGCGATCGAACAACACCCTTAAAGACAACACCCTTAAAGCCAATTTCCCCAGCCCGCAAACACAATGAAGATCTTCCCCAGGCGAGGCACAGGGACGTCACAATAGATCTACTCGGAGACATACAAGGCGATTGACGATCTCGGAAGTCCGGTAACCACGTCTAAATTCCCGCCCTTTCCCGCCCCGATTTCCTGAAGGTCTAATATGGCACCGACGGAGACCGACGGGCGCTTGTCGTCGCATGGTGGATGACGATCATGCAGATCAGACCAGCCAACTGGAAGTGCAGACAGAGACCCCAAATAAGGAAGATCTTGGTGGACCGCGTTTCGCCGACAGCCAAAGTCGGTCTCGTTCCTTGTCCTCCGTATCCCCTTGTTTACGACCGCGGGACCTGATTTTTACCCCGAATTTTGCTTACGGTCCTCCTCTCACGTTCCCCAACATTTTGGAGAAAGTGAACAAGAGGTTGATTTTCTACGCTTTTGTCTCGTATTTCGAGTCGCTTGCCCCATTCTCGGGTGTTGCCTCCTAGTCACGTGCCACGATTCGTGTCGTGCATTGATCATCCCTCAAATTTTCATCTGTCCCTACCACCACGACCCTGGACCCCCTCCACTCGGAAGCAACCCTCTAAAGCGCCCAAAAGATCCCGAGCTGGTGGTTCCATGCCTCTTGCTGGGCTGTCTTCGAGGATTTTACGAGATCGGAGCTGATCAGTCGTTTCAGGGCCTCTAGCCGGGTGTTGGACGACTCGGGGCTTTCGAGGCCCAGCAGGTTGTTCAGGGAGCTCGTCACCTTGACTCGTGGCGTCTGAGCTCCTCGCACTTTTGGACTCCCCGGGGTCCAAAGCTCGGTACGTCGCCAACACTGCGTCTCGTCGATCTCGGAGCCACTGCATAGTATGTCCAGCCCTCGTGTCGAGTCTGACCACGCTAGCCCTTCCCAGCCTTTCCCATGCATGACATCCGAACGATTGACACTGTCGAGTGCTGAATCAGGGTGTGCAAGCGCCTTGTTGGAGACTCTAAGAGCTTTGGGAGAGCACTGCGTAAAGGTTGGACGTTGAACAGTGGGAATCGTCTTGGTGATAGCTGGCGCTGGCAGTCCACAGAGACGTGCGGGTTGGTCAGGCATGTCCTAATCATTCTTTTCCCTCCATTTACGAGGCGAGACAAGACAGAGACGTTGGTCTGCGATTTGAACCGGTGATCGATGGCAGCGATTGTGAGGTGGATTTCCGCATACGGTGTGTAAATCATACTTTTCATGATCTCCGAGTGCAACACTCTTGTCTTAAGCTGTAACACTTGCGGCTCGCAAAGCGTAGATACCAGAGATGGATACATTTTCGATCGACTGAGATGACTGAACGCTATGCCATGTCTAGATTTTGATGCTTCGTCGATGCCAGGTTTCGAGACCTTGTTCGGGATATTCGCTCTCTCCATGTTCCACTTGCGCCCAATTCAAAGAAACCACGACTATTTTGCGTCTGCGTTGGGGTGCGTAGTGTGTTTGCGTGTCATGGAACGTTGAGTGCCGAGCTCAACGTCCGAGGCATTTCTGTTTATGTTTATGTTTTCTTTCGCAGGTATTTTCTCAGCACATAACATGCAAGCTTCGAGGCTCAAGAGTCTGCTCAGATTCAGTGTCGCATATTGAGCTTTCGTAAAGCATACCGTCCTAGAATATGCACAAAAAATCACATTTCTTCTCCTGCGTAGCATAGCACAGGAAAAATCCCGAAAAAGACAAAGAAAAAATTATTCATGCGACGCATACTCGGACCCGACCTACCACATCGGCCGTAACGCAGCCGATTTCGCTAAGGGTGCCTTGGGACTACTCGGCCCCAGCTTTGCTCCCATATACCGCTTGAGTCCAGCCTCGCGAACGGGAGGCACATCCCATGCGTGGCGAAGGAGACTGTAATTTGTTCAGGGTTCGGAAGTGAAGATAAAGACAACGTCCGGGACTTTAGCTTCAAGTTGGACGACGACGGGGAAGTCTAGCTGTAGAGTAATATTATTTAGACAGAGACTTAAGAGACTCAATGGCTTCGCTCTGGCTAAGGATAGGCACCGATGTTTAATGGGAGAGTCGATATGACAGTAAGCGGCGGAGGATGCATACGGGAGTAAGGAAGCGATGTCAATGTCTGCGCTGTGCGCGATTGCAAAGCAAGTCGCGTCGAGAAGAGCGCGACTCGGCGCTGGTGGCGACGATGTTCAGGCGGTGCAAGTGGCGATGGTGGCAAGGCAATGGCGACGGCGCATGTCTAGCCCCGAATGCAACTCAGAAGGAGCACATTTATGCGTGAGGGGTCTCTGCCAACGTCCGCGCTGTGTGCAACAGCGTGGCTCAAAATAAGATAGCGACGGCGCGTGTGTAGCCTCCGTAACTCACAAGGAATTCATTCAGGCGTGAGGGGTCTCTTCCAACGTCCGCGCTGTGCGCAATAGCGTCGCTCAAAGTAAAATAATCAAGAAGAGCTTCTCGACACTGCCGGGGACGACGACGACGACGACGACGACAACGTTTGCACGTCCCCCAATGTGACCCTACAGGAAAAAGAAGAGGGGGAAGAGTAAACTCTCTGCTTCACGGACGGAACTGAGTGGCTCATACTCTGAGGGTGATGCAGAGGGATTACGCGGAGGGAGAGCAAGGCCGCGTATGGAAATGTGAAAGAGCAGGGGGTAATTCATCAAGCCTCGCAGGTGCGGACGAATTGGGGTGGGACTCGGACGGTCGGCGAGTATCGATCCTTCGGTCTGGCGCGCGGTCACGGTGTGGACCCCGAAACATGTCGTGCTGTACCTGATCATATCATGAGGATGAAATTCTGGAATGCCTGTTGGATCGCGCACGCATGGACAGTGGAGCACAGACCTGTCGAAGTTCTGAAGAAACATACGAAAACGTAGGGATTCGTAGAAAAAGAAGACGCGACAGCAGTGCGGATATGGGATGTAGCGCATGAGCCGTTCTTACGCGGCTACAACACACGGATGATTGAGATGAAATATTCAAGGTTCAAGGTACAAATTGTTCTACTAGCCATATTCGGATGATCGTCGACAAAATCTGTCGATGAAAAATTTCGGGAAACTGCCATATTCTCACCGAGTCCTATGCTCTGGTCCCTCATAATTCCAAAATCAATATGCGCGCTCGCTCACACGACGTTAACGATACTTGTGCGCAGGCGCTTGCAGGCATATGGAGGGACGAGTGTTAACGGTATTATAGACTAACCTATCAGGTCTGAATAGACCCGATGAAAACTGTATCATATCCATCGTTACGACGACTTTGGAGCCTCACTCTTGTCCATAAGCGAGGAATTTTTCGTATATTGTTTCCAGCCAGACTTCTGGGACCCGCTATTGCATCAGTACTAGTGCGCAGTCGTAACTCAATGTCTACCATTCGTTTGTCGATATCGATGGTATGACGCGCGTACGATTGTACGCAAGGACAAATTCATTAAACAAGTCTTTCAGACCTCAAACTCGCGAGGAATGGAGAGACTTGTCGACGATCCATCCTATGCCATAAGTTCCCATGCTCACCGCGCTGCCTATAGCTCGAAATTTTGAGCATCAGTATTGCGCGGTATCATAGTGACGGCCGGGGCGAGGCAGGTCCTGCGACATACATCGTTGTCAAAAGTGGATGCGCGGATATTTTCTACATAATTCACTGCCCGCGGCATCTCTGGGTGCAGGTGAGACGCAATAGAATAGCACGTCTAATAATGCTATGAATCATGATATTTGTGAATCAATTTGTTTTGAGAGGTAAAAAAAAAAGGAAGAAGTGCATACGGCGATATGGGACCGACATATTATTACAGCGGTGCACGAGAGTATATTGGCCCACGGACCTCAAAACAGCGAATCATAGAAAAATGAAAGAAAAATACCCCCTCTGTTGTGGCCCCGGTGGGCACACAGGTCAGCGGAGTGCGGTGTAATTTTGACGGGACGAGTCCACACCATTCGGAGGCTCCCGAGATGCCGTAACTGTCGTCTGAGACGAATAATTAGCGCCCACGCGTGGAAATATGAAATTGTGTCGGGGTTGAGCCAGGTTGTTGGCGAGCTTGAGGTTGCTTCCGCACATAAAGGTGAGTTTGTGTCCGCTATGGATTCCTCCAGGCTTCCCCATATCCACAACTTCCCCACACCGCACTATCCACTCACATTACTCCTCTACTCCTTTTCCCTCTCTTCTCCCAATGGCAAAACGGAAACAATCCGCAAGCTCCGACCCCCAGCCTTCCAAGAGGGCCAAAATAAATAAAACCTCAGGTGAGTCGGATGACACTCTCCCTTTCCTCAATCGCTGACGTTTTCATCGCCGGCAGCTCCCCGTTTATCTAAATCCCAGCCCGACCCCGCCTCTTTATCTAGTCCCTCCTACCCACAGTTCGTTCCACCAGGCCCTCCGAGCACCGAGGGGTTCCACGGCTCTTTAACAACTCCTTCGTCACCTTATACTTCGTCTTTTGAGTCCCCTACGCACGTTGAACAAGGTCCACCGCCGACCAAGAAACCTTTGAACGTATACTTCCAGTATATGCACCCCACCCTCGCGAAACTCAAGAAGAATGACACCCTCCGGGCCCTGATTGGACAGGACCAGAGCATCCGTGTTGTACTCGCCGGAAAAATGTGGCGCCATCGTCAGGCGGAGTCCGAGGGACATTATCACGACTCGGATACGGCATCCACCCCCGACGACACGCTGCGACACGGAGACCACGAGAAATGGTGGCACACGAGGCTGGAGGTCATCGCCAGAGCTCTCTACAATGACGTTGACGGGAATGCACTCTCGAAGATTGTAGCAGATTGGGAGGAGGAGAATCCTGAGCCTTCGACTTTCCAGTGCGTGTGGGAGGCAGTTTCAACCCCAGCGGCTGTCGAAGCCGCTTCGTCCTCCATGCCCCCGCCCGATATTCCGAAGAACTCTCTCGATGGGCCACTTCTCGAAATAATTCCATTTGACGGAAAGACATTCTCATCTCATCCTAAACCCACCGTGACCCCCAAGACTCGTGCTCGCTCACAGTCTGACAAGACGTCTCGTGCGCGCAAGACACCCAAGGCAAAATCCACAGCCGCTCCCCCTCCCATCTCGCCCGCCCATCCGTTACCCAGCTCAAGCATCCCAAGCAGTGCAGAGGGCGACGTAGATGGTGAGACGGACGACGCCGATCCTCCCGTCACCCAGGCTGCCACTCGTGTTGATGTCCGTCCTTTTCCTTCTTCTCTTCCCTTGCTCTTCCGTTCCAATAGCTGCTATCGTGTGCTGACGCAGTTCCCTTCCTCAACAGAACACTGCTCGCGTCTTGTCTCCTGCTCCCACTCTCTCATCCACCGCCTCCTCCCGCACCTCCGCCCTCCCTCCCACCGATACCAACGCCCACCAAAGACCAAACGCCCCGAGCCGTCCTTCCCCCCTCTCCATCGACACTACGCCCTTCCTCACGGGTGACGATTCATCCTTGCAGTCCTCCGCATCAAGTGGGCCGATCTCACCTGCGCCTTGCGCTTTGAGCACGCCACAGCCACAGACTGATGTTTCGGCTCCTGCGACGACTGTCTCCTCGTCACCGGCAGGAACTGCAAGGCCTGTGCCAGTCGTTTATCCCACGTCAGAGTCGCAGTCCGTACCCATGCAACACGCGCCTGTGCCCTACAGACCGCTGAACTTGAACGGAGCCGGGCTCGAAATGACGGGCTCGCAATATTCGCATGTTGTTCCTACGCTCTCGAGCCAAATCGGTTACGGCCCAGTGGACTCCTACGAAGGGTACACTTCATCTTCTGTATCGTCTAGGCCTTCGCCCGGATTTGATTCCTATTCCTCTGCGTCGAATTGGACCTCCCCCGCCTCGTCTGCATCCCCCGCCCCTGCTTCCGACACCGATCCCGCCTCCATCTCCGTTCCTAGGCCTTGCGACTCGCCTCTGGTTGGTGGTGCCGACCACGTCGCGCTGCCCGAGGGAGGGTTTGTTCGTCAGGATCTCGACGACGAGCCCAGCCAGTGGGCACTGATCAAGAGTCCCGCGGCCTTGGGTGTGTTGACCGACAAAGATGGGACAGCGTACGTGAATAGCGACAACAACCAAACGCGCGACGTAGACGCTATCGACATCCGTGTCTGCTCCCCGCCTCAGTGCCTGCCTACGAACCTTATGATGGCGTCGTCTTCATCGTCTGGGATGCATATGCAGACCAGCTTCCTCGGCCCCACCATCTCGACGGAATCGAATGACGCCAGCGGCGACGGGTTGTACTATGACGGCCCGATGTATGGGTCTTCATCGTCTTCATCGGCAGGGTTCGAGACGATGCTTCAAGGGGAGATACAGCTGGAGGGCTCCGTCTATACCTCCATCCCAGAGCAGGATACGTCGTTTGGTTTTTTTCAGATTGATGCTTATACGGGGTAGAGTGACAGTCGAGGAGGAGGAGGAGAAAGAAGAAGAAGAGGAAGCATAAGAAAATAAAGAAGTTCAAGATACCGTGCGCGGTTGTATTATATCATCGTCTCCTTTCTGTTATGCTCCACTTTCCTCGTTCAGTCTGTTTATTCTGCCTTCTCTCTAACGATTCGATCTGAAACCACGGTTGTTGTGTCCACTTCTTCATCCTGGCAACATCCCTTCAATTTTATTGATTCCACTCCGGCGCCGCTGTTCCTGGACAACCCGACGTATCCCTATCACCACCCACCGCAGTCAACATCTTCATCCTCACCTTCACCCGAGACATTTCGGATTCTGGATACGCAATTTCTCGGGTTACGACCCCAGTCTACATCCGCCGTCATGGTCTTCTTTACTTCACCTTCCACCTTCTACCACCGACAGTCGACACCGTTACTCTACGACCACAACTGTTACCTCAGATCACTCTCGTATATGTTATCCTTTAGCTAGCTTATCCGTATACTTGCTATCGTCCTGCTACCAACATCCTACTGCTTTGCTTATGTACTCGTCGTCTAAACCTGCTGTGATATCTAATGTATATATTGTCCAAGAGCTGTGATCTCGCCTACTTATACATGCCTATTGTTTTCTAATGTGTTCGAGTCTGAGTTGAGTGTGAGGGCGAGTACGAGTATGATTACGGACACGACTGTGCTTCAAGCTCAGACTCAGCGGGCCTAGAAAATCAGATAGTTACGAGACGCAACAGCAACTTCAGCATGGCGTCTCATGATCGTCATAGAAAATATCATTGTACTGCACCGTATAAGTTACACAACAGAGTTCAGGTGAAGCCCAATCTGAGCGCTGCTGAGCCGTCGTCGACGTATGGGCGAATTCAAGCCATTCGGGTCCACGCCATGGCCGTCTGCACATTCCCGTATAAAATGTTTACCTAGCAGCGTCATCAGCACGCTCACGAACAAATCATTGATAGACCTAGCTACGATGTAGCGCAGGATTCCGTTCCGAAATAATCAACCCAGCACCAAGTTAGCCTCAGTCACCGTGACATTCTAAGAAACGCCAGTGAGGATCTGGTGATCCCGGACAGGCTATCAAGGCTTGGTGCGCCATCCTCGAGCGGGTGTGTGTGGAATATGGAATGAGCCCAGTTCGACACGACGTTACGTAGCGAAAGGAGTGATGATGAATCGACTAGTCATTTAGACTATTGAGGAACGTCGGCGAGCTATCCTGGTAATATTCCAGCGTATTTACAGCCTCTGACTGACTGGATAGCCCATGTCTATGCAAGTCAAGCCAAGTCGAAGCACCTCAAGTAAAATGGCTGCCACAGAGGGGGCGATGGCCCCCAAGCATCGCATCTGAACCAGATTATTATATTGCGACTGCGCGGGGCATTGAAGGGGACGAGGGGTCTGAAAAAGTATTAGTTGTCAGTCAGAAGTCTACGAGACCTGGAATTCGTTACTGACATCGGTTGTATGGAGTGCCACGAGCGAGGTGTACGCAGTGACTAGAACACGATACGTAATATCCGCACCCAAAAAGACAAAACATAGACAAGCAGCAAAAAAGCACCTGGCACTCCGGGAGGATTGAAGGTTCAGAGACACTAAGATCGCTGCATAGTAGGGATCTAAGATTATAGTACCGTTCTCCCGATAATTGACGATCTGCGACACCGCGTACAGTTATAGTACGTTCTCACTGGAGGGTATACCAGACATCCACCAGGAGCCGAGCTCCCCATCACGAGGATTTGTTGAGTGTTGAAGACGAGGAAGAGTAAGATGAAGATGAACTCTTCAATCTCCTTCCCGCCGAGCCCTCCTCGTCGGCACGTTATCGACATTCAACGACGGCTCCCGACACCGCATTCGCGCACGCCGTCACATTACTCGGCCACGTTCGTGGCCTCGAGCCGTCACTTCCAGCACTCGCGAATAAAGCCTATACCCCGACCGTAGTGGCCGCGAACTCTTCTTTAGCAAGCATGAGTGATATCGTGAGGAGAGCGCGGGTGGAGGAGGATACGTGTTTTTATTCGTGCCCGAGAGGGGAAGGTGGGAGGGCTCTGATGACTTCAAAGGCATTCGACGAGGCCAGAGGCGAGACATGTCGCTGAGAGAGATACATGCAAGGGGTCAGAGTTCGAGGTAATTGTCCGTACAATCCTCACCAACGGTGATCGTTCTGGAGAGAGCCACAAGAACCTTGAGAGCACAGAACGAGTGTTTCAGCAGATTCCGCAGTGGCGATGGCCAATGCGTGACTGGTACAGCGCGAGTGAATGATGTTCCGTGTCGTTGCAGAGCCAAGACTGATGTCATGAACGCAGAGCACTTCTACAAGAATGAAGGACGAGCAGCAACAGACAATGAGGCTCCCTTATACATCGGGAGCTGGTGTTGAGACGTCATCGAAGGGTTGTTCGCCCGCTGCTCGAATCATTCACAAAAAAAAATACACGAGAATAGGCATCCACATGCACAAAGCACGGAAGAGACAGTCTGACGGTAAGCGTTGACTGCGCGTCGGTAGATGGCCCTTCTCCGACGCGAGTAGAGCTCAAGCATCCTTTCGCTGTTGTGAAGCAGTATACGAAGAACGCCTAGGTTCCGGATGCCGATGTTTGACCATGGTTCTGAACCAGGATGGCGCTGCTGAACGAGAAACCTGGGATATACTTCCCGCCTTTCCTTACAAGCATGGGCCACATCGAATTGAAGATCTATATAAGAGCGCACTCGGTAAGTAGTTCGGATCCACGACAGTAAACAATGTTCTTCACACCTTGCTTCCCCGTAGCAATACTGTCGTCCTCCTCATCGAACACATCCGCTCCATTGTGACCCGCCAACGCCGTCTCGACGTATTGACACCCCAATCTTGACAGCTCGTCGCTGATAGGTTCGTCTGAACGCATAAACGCAAACCATGCATCAACATCGAGCTCTTCCTTGTCGTTCATCCCAATGGCAACAATAGCCCTCGATGACGAAGAAGATGATGCTTACCCACCTCGATGACACGAACAATCTCACTCATCCGCGCACTCTCTACACAGCAACGCCAGCTCGCGCCGTCACACTGCTCGATTTCGTCCTGCCTTCGTGACCACCAATGGCCAAAACTGCTGCAGTAACGAAGTGCATAAGCGTGGTTATGTTTCTCGAGAGGATGGACGCGTGGAATGTGCGTGTATGGAAGAAGTGACGCGTCTGTGCCTAGGGGGCGAGGGACTAGACAGAGGGAATGTCTCCAGAGTTAATTGGGAGGGATCTTGATGTCGAGACGTGTTTCGATGGAGGCGGGGACGAGAGAAAGATATTCGTTAAGCTTGAGGAAATTGAAAGAGAAGGAAGAGAAGTTAGTAAAACGGGGACGAAGGAATAGATAGGAGAAGGGCGCACCAAAGCTTAAGCGAGTAGAGTACTTCCATCGTAGTACAACCCTGTTTTTTCAGTCTGAGCGTCCATATACTACGAGTAGTAAATCATAGTAGTTGCAAGCGCGGCTATCTTGTCTGCGTTGGACCGTCCAAGCCGCGACGGAACTCGAAGGTGACTGGTGTTCAGAGGACCCGGTGGTGGATCAGGCGCCGGAATTTAAAGAACCAACGTTCGAGAGACGGAAAGCTAGCTGAAGAGAGTGAGACATTGGGTAAAAAGCCTTCTCAGTTCGAGTACAAGTGAAATGAGAAACGACGGTGCTTGGGCGCAGAGAAAATGGGAATGTAATTCGGCTGGGAATGGATAATTGTATTACGTAATTTATGCGCCACATTTGTGTGGCGCCTCTGGCTGTGTCAATCTGTGTCGTGTCCTCGTCCTCGACGACGACCACTGCTACGATCTGTTCATCTCAGCGATTCTAAATTCTGTCTAAATGATGCTCTGAATGTAACACTCGATGATGATTACTGTTGAGGCTCTCACGACCAGGCTCATTGCCGTATTCTTGCTCTATGGTTCGCGATCACACTCAGATCTTTGCAATATTCCTGCCCAAACTCGAGGTAAGTTGACCTTGACAAACTACAAGCTAATATAAGCATCAATACTCTCTCGTGCGTTGAACCTGGATGGATCTTGGCCATGGGACGCTTGATCGGTATACAGTCTATGCTAGTGACAAGCTTCTCACTTGACGTTTTGGCGTGTTCTTGTATCTTACGCTCGGATTGCTCGATACTTTTGGACACACTCATACTCGAGATGCTACTGGGATCCATAGCATTCATCAACCCTCACTAGGCCTCACTCTGGGAGATCGGTGTGTCCCTACTCAGACAACGTTCTTTCGACGATACGATCTATCATTTAACTAATGACTCGACTCTATGCAGCCCCCATGGGCAGGCCCGAGCCCACGAAGGCCCCACTGGCAACCACCCTCTGGTGCCATAAAAGCCCGCTATTACCATCTTGAGACTCGTCCTTGTCAACTCCGAACAAAGGCCTCGTGATCGAGCAATACTTCACCTCCGAAGCACAATCACAGGAGTTGACAGGATCGCGAATAGATCCGCTCGGAAGCAAAATAGCCTCAATGAAAGCGAGTGAAGATCTCGGAAGTCCGGAAACCAAATTGGATCCCGACATCTTGCCCGACAAGGAGGCGGCGGCGTTGGAACACGAGGTTACGAATGCCCGATCTACGACGATCACGACGATCGTCATCCCGCCGGAAGCCACGCTGTCACGTCAGCCACCCACCCGAAATAAATTTTCGAGCGGCTCGCGGTTGCGTGGTCGCATGAGCTCTGCCGATCCGGCAACCCGAATTAATCCGACTTCCGACCCCCATCTGAGCCCATGCTTTGTGTTGTTTTCCTCTCTGGGCGAACCAAAGGTCCGTGCGCATGGCATTCGCTGGTCTGACTCGTGTGCGCTGCGCGGATGGAAGGGTACATAAGACCCTGGTGAGTCTTATCGATGTCGCTTTCCCCCCACCTCCCTCTATCTCCTCCCCTCTGCCCTCGCCTGCTGGCAAGCCAGTTCTTGTCTGCTCTTGTTTCCTATCCTCTGATCTTCAAACGGATGAGCTAACAGTGCTTACTCAGCGCGTCTCGGCTTGTCTGCCCTGGCCCAGGACTCCAGCGCTACTCTCAGTTGGACTCAAGGTTGCACGCGCTCCTCGTCTCCATCGTCATCGTCAACGCCTCAGAACTCGGATCGTGATACCCTTTCAGGTCCAAGTTCTTCTTCGAGGAGCATGGGGAACAGATCGTCAAGGTACGTACTCCATCTCACGGATCATTTTCTTCTCTTCCACCTTTGGCGAGCGTCTCGTTGATATCACGAGGCTCCTCGTATCCCACCACTGCGCCCAAAACGAGCCACCCAAGTTACCGAAGTGGACAGAAGGCGCGAATGTTCCATGGTTGCGACCAGTGATTTGCTCAGCGCCCGGGGCTCTCTCGACGCCATGAAGCGTGTTTCTCAGCGCTAATCTCGGGGCCGTGTTCTATGCCCATCGACGCTGTTGTATACCTCTCGACCATCAAGGTCCTCGATGTCGCAGCTTGCAGGTGACATGATGCCCATGTCCAAGTAAGAGGACCTCGGACTCTACACTATTCTCGTCAACACCGGGACTCTTGTGTGCCATGTTAGCACATCTGTACCACCGGGGCCTGCAAACTTGTGGTCGTGAATGTAGTCTTGGTAAGATCTCGTCCTTGGTCATTTTTGAGTAAGGCTTTCTTTTTCTGTTTTTGCCCCACCGTCATGCCAGTGCCACCTCTCGCCACAGCGTTGGAATTTCTCGTTCATCGTGCGAATACGTTGATCGTCTCTCGCCTTCGTCCGCACCGAGTCTCTAAACGTCATTGCTTATGCAGTGAGATCTCACTGAACGTGCTGGGTTTACAACGCTGAAACGTCCAAGGCACAATGACTGCCCCTTCCTCATGTGAAGACTCCCACTAAATTTTCATCGTCAACGAGACCAGCCCTTCGTCAACATATCCCAGGCCTCTTCACGTCACCCGACCAGAGTCCATGGACGTCCCGACGCTCCTCCATCCTCCGCCGCACCCCGCCCGCCGGTCATCTCAACCCTCCGTCATACCAACGAACTCTATCCAAGGTCTTCAACATCAGAAGACCTATATTGGACGATCGAGTGCGTCTATTTCCCAGTGCTATTTTCTCTAGTCTGGGGTCTTGTGGCGCTCGCCATGCGTCGCTTTCCCACTCGACGATAGGGTTGGATAACGGGGAGGAGAAAGGAGAACGTTGAGGGAGTAAGCGCTTGGGCGCTTTTCGAGACGACTTCTCTTCAGAGCACGTGTGGCGCTGGTGTTACTCACGGTATGTTCTCTTAATATCTGTTTCCGCTCTTTCTCTCTTCCTTGAGTTTTTTTTCGTATCGACTGTGCGCAAGTGGAGCTATGCCGGCCGGACCTGCCGTGCTGGGAGGACCGACGTCCGCCACGCTGCGTTCTCGGTACATCGTGTGCAGCTGTGAGACCTGGAGAGGCCGTGTGATTTTGTCCTCCGCCTAGCTTCGCCCCATATTTCTCTGGGTGATGGTCCTGTGCTTGGGCTCTCCGCTCGATGTGTTATCAGTCCGTATCGCTATACCATGGACACTTCCCGTAACTGCGTCTTCGTCGTTAACGACCTGCGATCTACAATGGTCTATACAACCCATGCTTCTTCTCCCTCGTTCATTTGTTGCCTATATCTACAATCCCCATCGTCTCGAAGCTCGATCTTCATTCCTTGCCAGCGGTATCAAGCCAACCCAGTGCTATATCATGGCGACGACGGGAGACGGATGGCCGCCCATTACATACGTGCAGAACCCAAAAGTTTCTTCTCATGAAAAACTTACTGGGAGTGACTCCCATCTTGGGACACAAGAGACTCGAGGGAGAAGCTTTTGAGTTCAGCGACGGGCGGGCTCGCTATGTCCGCATCCCATCCCGACAAGTCAGATGCAACGAAAGATGTGAGCTATTTGCGTGCATATGTGGATTTAACACTCATCGTGACAATCGTGGTGTTCATGTTGTCGAGGTTGGTGCTTCGGTGATGTGGCGCTGACGGATACTGCCATGCTCTGACATGTCGTGGCCTATATCGTAGGGCGGCGTGAGCCGACTGCCCCCTTGCTTCCGCTCAGGAGTGAATCATCTATGAGAGTAATATGCGAAGGTCCCTCTGTCGTGATATCTGAGCATGTTTTGGAGCTTATCCCGTAACGTCAGAACCTTCCCTGACAGGCGCACCTGTCACCACTCCCCGAGGCCGACGGAGAGAATCACTACAGTCATTACGCACTTCATGACGGCAGCGCGCTGGATAGTCTTCCCTACCGTCGAGCTGACAACGTCCCACCAAGCACGTTCTAAAGCACCGTATGCCGGTCGCGCTGTACCTGATTCTCTCGATTGTGGCGACACCACTCCCTCGACGCCACACATTCGTTAATCCATCATCCAGTCTCACTTCCATTCTCCAGCTTGATGCCCGTCATTGCTTCGACCCCTGGCTTCGTTCGATATTGTATATCGCATATTGCTCATATCATCGCCGGCCGGTAAGCTGTTGCCCGAGGGTATATGAATTAATGAAGTGATAGGCAAAGACGGTTCAGAGAGCATATGGCGTTCTAGGTTCTGCAAGGTTCTGTACAACTCATCTTATTTCATCTCACCCCATTTTTTTCGCGAATTCGCTTTTGCTTGAGACCTAGGTCGCGCTGGTGTATGTCCGTGCGCGCTCTTCCCCGCCCTCAGACCCCATTTTTTCGTACATTTCCGCGCCCCAAGTCCGCCGAGTCTAAGCCTTGCCATACGCGATTGATCTTACGACGTCGAACTCGTCTCCTCTCGTCTCTTGGCTGGATTTGCCCGTCTGATTCCTATTCCGGATTTTGATTCCTGTCTTCATTATCGCACATCAAATGTGCCGATGGGGGTCGAGTTTCTGCATTAATTGACGTACTGGGAGTAAGTCCATCCCGCCAACTCAGTCCAGTGTACCGACTCTTCCTACAACTCGGCACCGCTCCCAGTACCCAGTCTATCCCGGGCTTCTTCGTCGGTCGATCGTCGGTCGGTACGGACGGCATTCCTTCGAGAAAACTAGACAGTACTCGGGCTAGAGCTTAGAGTTCGAGTGTTCTCGTCTGAGCTTGAACTATAATATCCATATCATATGCATATGGAAATTCGTTTAAAGTTCGAGTGTACCGCGCGTTACGGTAGTCGACGTCGGTCGTCAAATGATCAAATGGGGGAGTCTGGAGAGGCACCGGCATGGCATGGGGGCACGGGCGCGAAGAGTCGGGTCGGGTGACGCGACCTGGAGCGCTGTACTTTGTCGCTGAACTCGGTAGGATTTGTTTCGTCTCGTTTTCGTTTGCTCTGCGTATGTTTTTAGATGGGTGCGTATGATTTGGATGCGTGGATACTGTGGATGCGTGCATGGATGCGTAGACTCATGGAGTGGATGACGGATGACGTCGAGCTCCGTCGCAGTGCTACAAACGAACCTATCCACGAGCTTACCCTTACCGTGACGACGTCGACGTCTTCTGAGATGACCTGGGTCTAGATGATGTCTTCGAATGTGGGCATTATCAGTTTACTTGCGCATAACTGACCTTGCGAACCTTCGAATGGTTTGGATGGATGTGTACATGGATGTATTTCCAGTGAATGCATAGACACACGATGTGGCCCACAGGAGTCGAGCTCCGTCGCAGTACACGAGTTTATCCATGGACTCAAACGAGATTCGGACTTCGTTGAACCCGAGTCTGAACGTGAACCCGCCTCGAATTTCGAGCTCGTATCCTTGGATGCACACTCGCACTCAGGTACACTCGAACCCAAATATTCAAAGCAAAACTTGGCACATTCAGGCGGGGACAAGCATCTTCAAAAAATATATGCGTCCCCAACCCGGCCTTTGTATATTCCAATTCCGAGTAGTAAGTAATCCAAACAAAATATGCACACGAAAGCGAGAGTCCATAGCGGTAGCAAAGCAAGCAAGCAAGCAAAACTACGAGAGCGATCCGAGTAGGATAGTATGGTGGTGTATGTACAGTAAAGGATAACATAGGGAAAGAATAGTATAGCACAATGAAGATAAATCAATCCAGGGTAACGCCAGACACACGGTGGAGTCGTTGATTCTGAAGGGGTCGTATGTGATGTGTCGGTGTCGGTGTCGTGTGTCGATGTCAGTGTGAGTGTCGTGTCGAGGGTAGCAAGGTGGAGAGGGAAGAGTGAAGACGACGGCGGATAGAAATAGGCCCAAAACACGACGAAAGCCGCATAACCAGGTATCCAAAAAAGAGAGAAAACGATCCAAAAAAAAAAGAAGCAGAAGATAATAATGATAAGGATACCGAAACACAAAAAAGGGTATGAGCACAACGAAAACACAACGACAGGCGTGCATCGTGAGACGCAACGCGCTGGAACGCAGCCGATCGCTGTAGATGGACTACGCCAGGACGTCGTTGTATATCGTGTACTCGGGCTCTCGGGTTCGAGGAGTCGATGGTGAGGATTCGAGGGGTCGATGATGGGGATTGGAGGAGTCGAGAGCTGTGGGGAGGATTTGAAGGTGAAATTGTTGGCGCGGCGGGTGGGTGGTGGTGGATAATGGTGGATGCCGTTGGGTTGGACGGGAGATGCGGCGCCGGGGTGGGGTGTAAGTAGCAATAAGGTAAAAATAAAAAGGGTGTTGCCAGGATGAAGTTGAAAGTACATGATGAGGAAAAAGAAGGAAGTACAGGAGGGCAACGAGTACAGGTACAGTGGGAGCGGGATACAACAGCGATGTAGTGGCACAACATGATAAGACACATAGCAGGGAGAGAGCGAGAGTAGGAGCACAACAGACAACGGATGATGGTGATGACAACAACAATGACGACGATGACAACGACGACGACGAGAACAAGAACGATGACTACAACAACAATAACAACAACAACGGCGACGGTGGTGGTGATGAACCCAGAACGAATAGATAGAGAAAAACACAACAATAGAAGAAAATAAAAGCATAATAGAGACGAAATGAGAAAAATACAACCTTAAACGGTACCTTTTGACTTCTTTTTCTTTTTCTTTTTCTTTCTTCTTTCTTCTCCTCGCCCTCCTCGTCGACTATCAGTCTACGCCTCATACCCTTCAACGCCCCCGAAATCGAACTCGGGCGCAGGGTAGAACGGCTGTTGCGCCTGGTACGCCTCCCCCTGCCCGCCGTACACCTGCTGCTGCTGCCCAAGCGGCACCTGCATCGGCACCATCTCCTCATACCCCGTCGTTCCCACCGACGGCAACGCCAACGACGACGAAGCCCCATTGAGGCCATCGTCGTAGTACGACCCAACATTCCCCTGCGACGTCGCGGGCCACTCACCCGGCGCGACCGAATCGTACGCGTTCACGTCCGGGGCCGCGTTCCACTGCGCTGCGTCTACGTTCGCGACGTTCCCCTGCTGCGTGTTCAGGCTGTGGGTGGTGTGGAACGACGCCGGGCTGTTCATGTGGTTTGACGTCAACGAGCGCTGAGGCAGGGCGATGTACTGATACTGGTCCTGAGGCTGGGAGTCGTAGGGCTCGGGCTGACAGTGCTCAGAAGAAGAGATGTGGGCGTACTCGGAGGCGTAGACGGGCATGGGGTAGTGGATATACCCAGGCGGAAGCATTGGCGAAGCAGACGACGCAGGCGTCCACCGACTCTCCTCCGACGAGGAATAGTCAAACATCCCTGGCGACCCCGACGTCGAGCCTGCCGTCGACGACCTATATCCCTCATACGGACCCATGTCCATCATGCCCATCATGCCCGTAGCGGGACTGATCTCGCGCGACGCAACAAGCCGATTAGCGTAGCGGGGAGTGAAGTCCGTGTTGGCAAGTCGTTGGGGAAAGGGAGCACAAGGCTCTGTCGTGAAGGTGTCGGACGCTGAAGGGTAGGAGGGCTGACGATGCGTCGACGGGGGGGATAGAGGGCGTGTTGGGATCGTCGCTCGGGAACCTGCCGAGGACGACGACACGATGGGTGTGGGCATCGTGACCGGAGTTGCCTGCACGCGTTGAATCCGGATACGACGTCCGGTGTGGAGTGCAGGCTGTTGTGAAGAAGCGCTGACGGCGTTGTTGGTGTTGGCGGGAGCATTCGATGGTCCGGCCTGTGAAGACTCGGGGGACTGGGGGAGGGGCTGGGGCTTGCTCTTGCTCTTGCTCTTGCTCTTGCTCTTGCTCTTGCTCTTGCTCTTCACGATCGCCTTTGCTGTGGCATCATCGATAAGAGCGAGCGTTGAGTCAAAGACAAATGTCGAAGACGTGTACGCGGGAGGCTGTTGAGAGAAAAAGAACATGTCAGTATACGGATCATCGACGAGACGAGAAGCAGGGGCGAAGATGAGAGAAAGAAAAGGAGAGGAGAGGGAAGAAGAAAGGAAATACGTACAGGTGGGGCGGGGGAGGTGGAGGTGGATGCAGGGGCGGAGGAAGTGGAGGTGGAGGTGGAGGCGGGGGAGGTGGAGGCGGGGGAGGTGGAGGCGGGGGAAGTGGAGGTGGAGGTAGAGGCGGCGGCAAGCGCGGTGGATGCGGAAGTCGAGCCAGCAGGAGGGTTGGGAGATTGAACATTAGGAGCAGAGCGCTTGGGCTTGGTTTTCTGCTTCTTCGCCTCCTTCGCCTCCTTCGCCTCCTCCTCCGCCTTGGGATCGTAGGCGTGAAACACGTCCTCCTCCTCCTCCTCCTCCTCCTCCTCCTCCTCCTCCTCCTCTCCCTCACTAAACCCGGACGCTTGCTTCTTCTTCTTCTTCTCCATATTCTCAGTGTTGCCGATGAGGATGGTGGGAGGAGGGTCCAAGGCGTCGAACTCTTCAAGCGCATGACGGAGGTGTCCTTCGAGGTGCTCGAGTGGTATATGAAGGTTTGCTATCACGGCATCGGCGAGGGCAGCGAGCCGACGATTCACCCAGATCTCACGGATTCTAGATGCAGTCAACTTTGATGGTTTCTTGCTGGGGCCGCCGTACCACGCTCTCGACCATTCATCGCGGACCTCGGGTGGGAGACGACGCCACATCAAGGATCCGAAGGTCATCGAGTTGAAATTCCAGCCTCCCATGCTACGCACGGCTATTTTGTGGAGATTTGAAGAAGCGAAGGATCTCCGAAAAAGCTGGGAAGAGTTAGGACCGTTGCCGACGAGGACCTGCCCCGGGGAGAGCTGGGTGGGGGAGAGGATGGATACGCCGCTTGGGATAGCGGGCGGGGGCGCGGGCGGGTCGACGGCAGTGGAATGGGTGGGGCTGGGAGCGGGAATGGGAGATGATGTGCTATCCGGACTATTGGTGTTTACTGAGTTGGTAATGTTTCTGGTATCAAGCGTGCTTGTCGATGAGACTGGCGAAGAGGAGCCAGATGGGGAGGTGGCGGTGGCGACGAAGGTGGAGGAGGAGGAGGAGGAGGAGGAGGAGGAGGAGGAGGTGGCAGATGCGGTGGCGGTGGCGATGGCGATGGTGGTGGTGGAGGTGGCCGCTGTGGACGATCGATGTCAGAGAGCGAACAAGTGAGAGGACGGGAGGACTCACGTTGCAAGCGCGGCCTCTTACTAGTCTCCGACGTCTGCGAGTCCGGGGAGTCGGGTTCTTTGCGTTTGGCGGCCATGTTGTTGGGGAGTGGGGACGACGGTGAGGAGGAGGAGGCGAAGTTGGTGTGGAGGAGGAGAGCGGAGGGGATGGATAGCAGGAGAGCTGGGAAGAGGACATGACGGCGGAAACAGACTTTCATTTATATCCCCGGAAGCAATCCGGGACAGACACTTACCTAGCCGTCCTCTCGGAATCCCCCAGATCGCGCATCGGGCTCTCGCCGCATCTCCCGGCTAGTCTCCGGATCTGCTCAGGTCCTCCGCCCCTGTCAGTTGTTCCCTACATGGCAGTGTGAGTCCGCCATCCCCACTTTACGCCCTCCTGCGCTACAGGCAAAGCGAAGTTGGCAAAGTTATCCCTCTTTGCTTTGCCCTCGACCACGAGGATTTAGTCGTTTAAGCACGGCACTCACCAACATTCACAATGCCTCCTGTCGTGATTGACGCAGCCTCACGCAGGCACTTGCACAGAAACGGGACGTGTCACACAAACGCTCGAAAGCCCAGTATCCCAGTCACACCAGAGGGAGAGAGATGCAGAGAGAACGCCTGGACCCCATAAACATGCATGCGTTCTTCGATCTTCAGCGCCTATCCGTCTGTAACCATCTTATCGCTCAATCCGTCGGTAAATTCCGCATCGCGTATTTTATTATTACGGGGTTTCTCGTTGGCCGGCGCAAAACGTCCCGTGTGTCCCCGCTGACGAAAGACCGCTCGCTTCTCTCTTTCAATGGTTACCGCTTTTGGAAAGAATCCCTACTTGCTTAGCTGTGAGGTGCTGGCACCCCACCTGGAAACGATGATTGCTGGGGAGGGGAGACGGCACGACATGATATCGATGGACAGCCATGGTCCGTGTGGTTTCTTTTTTCTGTTTCTGTTCCTTGGGCTAGAAGGGTTCCCGAGTTCTTGCCGTTTCTTTTTTCTATTGATTGTTCTTCTTTCGAGTGGTTTTCGTTTCGTTCCAATACTTTGCCCGTAAGCGAGATACGAAATGTGATTGTCCGCATGATGGAACGAAACTCTACACAGTATCGCGCATACTCATTTTCCCAGGCCGGACACACGCCCATAGGCTCGCGCCCCATGGCCTTCGCTTCGTATTCTCCAGCGCGAGTCACTCTTGAGTCTCCACCCACTGCCCCCTATCATCTTGCGTGGAACTCTCTGGGAAAAAAGTGGAATCATTCGTCTTCATATGACCGGATTGGGTGGTCTGTGCGAGCAAACGTTGGAGCATTGAGCGAGGATCCTCTCCTTTCTCGGTTCTCTGATGCGGTTCTGGGTTGATGCGCTGATGCGTCCATGCGCTGACGTGTCGCTGCGATACCGCGATACCGCGATGATGCGATACCAGCGAACGCGCGTTGAACCAATGAGCCCGAGCACATATGCATGCACAACGCACACGGGTACGAGTACACCCAAGCTTGAAGGTCTCGAATCCCAAGTCCGCGCTAACCCACAATACCACTAGCTCGTCCGACTTCCGGTGATGCTCCTATTCTACAAGCGCTCAACAGCATTCAAGACTCATACCAAGGTCGCCTCGTGTCGACTCCGTCCGCAAAGACGAAGGACGAAGGACGAATGCACCCGGGTGTATTGAACCCGGTTTCGTTTGCCAGAAAGACCATCCTATCGTTCACCGACCAGCCTCTCGAAGACTCGAAGTGAGATGGTGAAGCTCGAAGCTCGGACATTCGGAACGGGGCTGGCGCGGGTACTTACCCGCCTTCGGGGTCTTACACTGGGTGCTGGCACCCCTCCTCGTCCGAGAAGACTCGAGGTGCCACACAGTACTTATTCATGTCGAGGTTTGATGCGTCGCCACACATCGCCGCGGGCAAAGTTACATCCATGCCACACGGCGGGTATGACCCGCCGATATTTGTGTGGATAGAAGGCTCGCATGAATATTAATCAAAACGAGGCGGCTCAGGTTCTATTTCTGAGAAATGGAGAGAACTTTGCACGGATACTGTGATGTTGTGATGGGACGATGGGACGATAGAACGATGGGCATGTGCGAGAGTCGTGTTTGGGGCCCACATGCGCTACAAATCAATTAATCGCGATATGAGGCCAACTCCACGGAGGACTGCTAACTCCACGCTGATTCGCTGAAGCTGAAGCAGAACAATGGTCTACCACTGGCGCCACCCGTGGGCTGACGCGGAAACCGCTGCAGTACTCCAAAACAAATTCTACGATTTTGTGAATATTATGTACACACTACACTGGCATAGCCCCAGCTACTACGTAGAGGAGGCTATGCTAGTGAGCATAGAAACCCGGGCCAGTCGCGCTGACGACCATACTAAAATGCGGTCCTCAGCGGTCTAGTACCAGAGCGCAGTTCCTTTCATAACTCATCGAAATCAAAAACATTTACACCTCCGCGCAGGTCTGGGTGGTCCGGCAAGGGAGAGAGCGAGCAAGCTATACCCCTCCAGTGCGAATGCGTGTTGCAGTTGTTCTCAATACGGATTTGTTCGCAGTGGCACTCGGGCTTCGATGTTCTCTCTCAAGCCTCGGCCTGAGCCACTCCGTGTCTCGGACGATAGGCAAAGCGAGGGTGGCACTCGCAGTACGTTGTCGCCATGTATGGTTAACACTGGCACACTGGCACCCTCTGCCTCGCCGCGCCCACCGCCGTCCTTGCATTGTTTCTGGACTTCAGATTGAGGCTGGTCCATCGGTGTTTTCGTCGATGAGCACTTGATGAGCACTGGAGTCATACACCGCCGCGCGGCGGCGCCTTCTCTCCTGCTCGTAAAGTTCAGACGCTTCGAACCCTATGTTCCGAGCCGACGAGCGATAGCGATGGTCGATAGAGAAGCAGCGTGCACGAATTCCACCATGAATCGGCGAGGCGAGCTGGGCGCCTTCGGCCATCGCGCCGCCGTCTTCTATCGTCCTCACCATCGCTCTAAGCACGAGCAGACTGTGACTCGAGTCTCGCACCATACTGAGCACATGGATCACACAATTGATGGAAATGAGCATCTAGTAATTATAATATTTATTTCGCCACCCGCTCCCGTGGTTAGACGTGCGCTGAAAGGAATTACGATTATTTGTCGTTTAGGTTTCAAAGCAAAAGTCGACGTCGGGCAGCAGCGCACGAGCAGTCGAGTAATACCTGCAGCGCCACCACCATTACACTCCGAGGATCAGGACTGCGTTTGGCCTTCATGCCCGAGTACACACTTGGTACATGGCACTCTACCGCTCGTTACAAGTGCCCGAACGATCATCATTGAGATTTATAGGGTTTTGAAGGTTGCGACTAGAGAGGCATCAAGTTCGATGGTGAAGAGACCTTAGGAGTTTCTACAGTGAGCGTGTACATCGATGCAGACCACCCTCCAATTTGTGAACACTAGTTATACATGCAAACCCCCACCACCGCTCCCTCCGAGCTCCCTCCCTACGCATTATTCTATTTTGTCCCATTTTATCAAACCATAATAACACTTCAACGCCTAGCTAACGCCTCGGAGTTCTGGTCCATTTCCCCGTCAACCCGAGTCTTCAAGGCCGTACTTTAATGCAATGTTTCAAAGTCAATGTTCCGAGGCGACCATGTCAGCGATGATACAGTGACACTCCGAGTCCACCGTCGCACAGAAACGCCTCGGGCCATAACCCTTCTTCCCTCTTTGCCCTTCCCGCGCCACACACTCCCTTTGAACGTTCAGGATCATCCCTCTTTAGTTACTCCCAGCGTTAATGCCACCATTCCCACCACTCTAAATTTTGCATTCTGAACACCGTCCGCCCACTCATCTGTTGAGCTTCAATCCCGGACCTCGTCCAGACTCTACTTTGAGTCGTCTCGAGTACTATGATACCCTGACTATGAACTAGAATCAATCCTACTAGTACTCCGACTCGCCACTCTCCCCATGAAGAATGTGCGCCCCACTTCCAAGGATTCACTCCCACGCCCTCTTCATTCGCCCTCTCGGAGTCGTTCAAAGCACTCCGAAATCGATCCTCCTCAGAATTTACTCGACACTAGCGCTTTCCCCATGATGGAATGTGCAGCCCGCTCTCTAGGCTTGGCTCTCACACCACACCCCTTCAGCCGAGCGCGCTGCACTAGGCGTGGCGTCGGACTCTCAAGTAGGGAACACGTTGTACTTAGACGATCGTTGTGGCTCGGGTATGATGGGCCTCAGAGAAACTTTCTGACCAGCTACTGTGACCAGTACATATTTTATAAACATAGACAGACGGGCTTGTGGTCGCTGGCTCCGGATCCACTCGTGGCTCAGCTCACATACAGAATTCAGGAAGAACACTTCTCCTTCTCCGCAGGCTGTGTGAAAACACCTGATGCATTCCACTCATATACACGAGCGAGAATAAAATCTCTGAGAGCGCTTTCTCGAAACAAGCGCGTCGCGGTCTTCGCCAACTGGTCCTCTCGTATGACCCCGAGCTGTCGTCGTGCGACTCACGTATCGCTGGCTTCGTTGTCGCAAGCAGAAAGCTCCAGAACAACTTGGTTCCGACATATGTGCTTTCGTATTCCTTCGTTAGAGGGGAAAGTTAATTTCAGACAACCGTTGCACCCTGCAACAGAAAAGCCTGAGAGAGAGGACTTGGCAACTCGCGCGTGCAAGTGTATCCCTAAAAATGCATGAAATACTCACACTATATGTTATGGTCCTCAAGGTGTGATAGAAACAGAGACGACACACCGAAGCCTCTATTCGGAACGGTGTCTCGACGACGGTAACGCTTGCAATTAGCTGGGAGTTGGTGTTACTATGGCCTGGTATACAATCTCGTCTCAGAATCTGAGCATGTACAACATTATTGGAAGACACGGACGTACCGTGAAGGCGAACGCCCTCAGTGGCGGAAATAATCGAGTCGAAAAATCTCTGATGAGCATGCCTGCGTTCACCCCACAATCGCATTCTTCGTTTGGATGGAACGGAATTTTCCCTCTACGTGAGCATATGCGCGCTGTGTGCTGAAACGTATAAGAATAGAGACTCACATGAACGTGCTTTAGACGTTAAGCTCGACGCATTGCACATGGCACATGACCCCATCTGGAGGCGCAGTGCGCACTGATGCAGAGGTTTATTTTTGTGCTTCGTCTTTATTTGGGATAGTAACCGCACTGAATTAGACTGGAAATAAATTCAGAACGGGTGGAGTCACTCTGTGACGAGCTCGCAATGAATATATATACATCCTTTCAGTATCCTGCTTCAGGAATGGTCAGTGACAAGCGGAAGCAAAAAGCCGGAAGCAAAAGCCCGAAGCGATTTGCGTCCGAGTCGTTCAAACGTTCGTCGCCGGACTCCACAACACAAGCACACCGACCGACCCGAGTCTCTGCAATGCTTGAAAGCCAGCTAAGTTCTGGGTATCATGCGCGTCTGATAGGAAATATTATTCTCTCCATTCTTCATCATGCGCCAATGGCCCTGAGCGCCACATACACACTGTGACGAATTCGCATGCAGCGGGCTAGCTAATCAGTGGCTTACCGACGTTGTAGCTTGTGCACTACAACGCTAACAAGACTCTTCTAGTGAGGACCTGAAGCAACTTCATAAGTATTAGAAGGGGGACTTTGATTGGGGCCGAAGGAAGTCTACGAGGAAGAGTGCCCAGGAACTGCATGATGCCGTTATCCGAAGACAACGATGCCTATACGGGGACGAATCTTCACCTCCAAAGCTGTGATGCACATGATTTTGAGTTGTAGTTGAATATATGATTGGATGAAGCTCTGGTGCTCAACCAGACTAAGCGTCACATTAGTCAGGAAGAAATGAGAAGGACATTCGTTATGAGTGTATCAGACAAACAGGGTTGAGATGAAGCGTTGTTCCGTATGCATTCATAAGCTGTGCGCCTTACATCCTGCGTCTCTACTTGCAATTGCGAGTAGTACTATAACCTGAGTCCAGATAACTGTACTGGAGCTGTCAAGGCAGGGAGCTGAGCTGTAGAACGAGGTCTCTGTGAGAGTGAACGCGACGGGAATAGGATTTAGACTATCATGATATAGGACCCGAGGGCCGTGAGCGGGATAGTCGTAGAGGAGCTCAACGAAGCATGGCTTGAGCATCCACCGTCGGGTGCGTTATACCGCCGCGCAACGGTGCATCTGAAGCTCGGTGAAGACCGACAATTCGTAAACGGGCAATGAATCTTGAATATGCCAAGTGCCTTGCCGTGTAGAAACCCGACGCCTTCGACGCAGCAAGCCGGGTTCCTTTAACAAGCCAGAGCGTCCGGAATGGCAGTCATCTGTCAATGAACCAAGGTTTTGAGTTCTGTTGCTTCGCAAGTTGCAAGTGTTTCAAATCAAGGAGACGGCAAGTCAAACTTACCAGGACTCGCTCCCGACCCACCGACAGTGACGCCCGAGAATAGAAAATGAATGACTTCCATTCTCTGATTCCCATAGAGAACCGTCCCCGTGAAGCCACGTATGATCTTTCACTGCCAGAGGTGACCGGCTCCAATCAAGAGCTAGCATGGACTACCTCTCACTGTCCTGTCAGATGAGGAACCCGAAGCTTAGAAGCCTAGAAGTATGAAAGGATCAATGCAAGAATTGGATAAGCGCGGCGACCTCTGCAGGACGAAAAACGAAGATGGGTTGGGTTCGAAGCCGATGGAGAAGAAGAACGTCGACCACGGATATTAACGAGGCGAATGATGTATGGCATACCAGTTCGTCGTAGATAGTCCTGAACCTTCGGTACCGGTAACGACTTCACTTCGGGGAGGAATGAAGCTTCATGAAGGTTTGACCGTAGTGCCACTGTGGCCTCGAACTTGACGCCCGTTAGGGACATTTGCCCATTTCAACAAGTAGGACGCGTCGATGTAGGGGTCTTCGGTGAACAGGATAGAAAGCGCGATTGACGGAGCAAGTGAGCAGGGACGGGGATTCTTTCGGAGTCCGACATGATGAACATTGTACCTTTCTGTGGCGTGAACTATAGACCTAGGCCGAGATACTTCTTCTCTAGGGAGGAACGCCAGTGAGGAACAAATCCCTTTGGAAAACGGAGATAAGCGTACCGGGCATAAATCTGTATTTCACCTGTCTGAGAGAAGGATAGAAGTGCTTGACCTTGTCACGCGTAGTTAGCGTTCGACAGATCGGTGGCATTGAATCAGCGGGGTAAACCAATGGGCGAACAAGACTCGGTAGGCGGCCACCCTCTGGGTAAAAGAGATCTCGGCTTTCCGTTGAAGATGGAGTTTCCTAGGCGGTATATAGGTATTCGTCAGCAATGTCCGTCTCCGTTGGAGAGTCGAGGGCCAGAAGCTGGCTCACCATCAAATCTGACACTTCATATGCTGAAGGTCTATCGCACCGGCGAATAAGCTTTCGTTCCTCGATTGATTCCAACGCGAATAGAGAACCAATCATCGGGGGACGTGCGGCCAACTGAAGAACTGCTTCGTCGTTCGATGTCCAACTGATGATCTAGGCTCGACTCCATGAGGAGCATGGTACGCTTGATAGCAGGCGACAAGCATGGAGTACATATCATATTGCGAGCATAGGACCATGAACGGACGAGGAAGATACCTCTGCATATAGCGGTGGATACGTGGCTATTGAACAACACGGCGGGCTTTGATTAGACATGTGGCGAATTGGTCAAAGCAAGCGGGTTGGTGGCCAGGTTCATTTCGCAGTGGTGGAGGCACGTACTTCGAGAGTGGCTGTGCCCTTCGAGTGATGTTGGTAAGGAGAAGGTCATGACGTACGAATTTGAGCCTATTGTCGTTGTTAGAGCACGCATAGCACTACGACCCTCAGTCCTACCGCGACATCATAGCCTCCAGAACGGAGAGGACATGGAGGGGAATGAGGACGCATGCCAACCGTGCTGGAGAGGATCGCCCAACACCCAAGGAAACAGCCTCGCCAGCCTCGATCCTCAGCTCATCGGAAATTGGGAGTTGAGGGTGCGCGGGGCCCTGCCAACTTCAGAAGCTGTGTTGCGTCAGTTTTCAGAATATATCGAAATGGTGTCCAGAAAAACTTACTAAAATACTAAGAGAGAGAGAGGTGTGGATCTCCAGGACGTGATCTTCTACCTTCCGACTTCGAACGAACTTCTCCTATGGCCGAAGGCGTGACGAAAAACGCTGAGGATTGCTGCATTAGACACCACCGCCTAAACGCCACAATCGACGCAAGCAGGAGTAGAGATCGGTTGCGTACCTAGGTTAATATGCAGCGCTTCAACACCCACGTAGAGAAAATAAGTAGAAACCCCACTTAGGTGAGAGATCACGCAAACAGAGGTGGCGTGAAAGTTGGGGAGCAGGGAACGCCACCTTGTCGACGAGCAAGCAATTCGGAATGCGAATAGGAACGTGGCGACTGTGCCGACGGCTTCAGGTGCGAAGTTCAACTACAGTGCTTTTCTTTTCGGGAAGACAAGGCGCCCAGGTTGGCTGAGAGCCTGTACAGGGACGCCAAAGGTGTGAGTTCGATGAGTAAGACGAGTGCTTTGTGAGGTTGAAGGGGAGACACAACACTCGTCGCTGTTGCCATAGAATGGTAGGCTAACGATCCTATGAACCGGGCTTGTGTCTTTGGCTCGGAAATGTTTGGAAGGAGCGGTAGCTCCAGGCAATCATTGGGACTGGGAAGCTGGTCGCTGGTCGCTTGAGAGGCAGACAATGCGGACGCCACACTTTCTCGGGAAAATCAGATGTGGCGGGACACCTATCCACCCCTGCAACGTCGAGATTCCGACCCCAGTTCGTAAATAAACCAAAATGCCGACTGCGTATATCTCGTGGTATTGCCAGACCACATTCAGAGGTGGTCAATTCAGGGGCGCTGGAGTCTTTTCGAAACGGCACCAGCAAACTCCAAACGCATCCACGCTGCTGCTGGGCTGCGTAAGCGACGCGACTCCGGGAAAATCACCTGCAAAACAGGGATTGTAGGGTATCTCCATGAGATTTACGACACGATTGTTCGGAGGCTCTCCATCACCGGAACACGAGAGATATGAACGCGAAAGAAACCCCAAACAAATGTCGCGAAAAATGGCACTCCAGATGAGCTCTGTGAGAGAAACCGCGCCGCCAGTCCATCCGACATCCAAGTCACCAATCGTCTATCTTCTCCATCGATGATTTCTCTGCGAAATCTGCAGAATTCCCACCCATCTCGCGAGTAGTCTGTGGCGCTGGGATGGGAAGTGGCGAGACGAGGCATGTGATGACCACATATCCAGGGCCACTACACCCCTCTCTACTAGCATCCCATAGTCTATCGCATCCTCCCGTGAGGTGTGGTGCGATGCGACCCATAGCGAAGGCACACGAGCCCCCACTATATATCGCTATCGATCATTTCAGCGCAACAGGCCGACTCACTCACTGAACGGACGCCGAGGGCAAACTCTGGCCACACCTTCTTCCTCTTGATCCCTCAGCGGTGGTGGATCAAGAGAGTTCTTCATCCTGAACTCGACGGGCTGCAGCGCACTACCTCGCACTGCCCTACACTCGTGCGACACTCACGAAGCTTACGCAAGTCAAGACAAGGATCTGCCACCATAATTGCCGCAAGGATGTCCGTACTTGGGGCCCATGATCACGAGCAAAAGTTGAACCACAATCGAGGGGGAAACGGTCGGAGAGACAGGAGGAGGCAAGGGAGGGCGCAGCGGACGGGCGAATGCAGGAGGAGCTGCGAAAAAGAATACAATATTCAGCAGGAAATAATATGGCGATGAACCGAAGCATACGATAACAGACGAACGAACGAGCGAGCTACCAAATATGAGTCCACGTCCATGCATGACCTCCATCACACGTCTATCCAACCTGCCCACCCAACTATTGTTCCCGCTATCCGTGGAGCCCGTGATACAGTCAACTGACTGCCCCTCCAGGCAGATATCGTGCCCATAACTCATCGAGCCCAAGATGTGTATATATCCAAGAAGTAAAACATCGACCGTCCCGCTCGAATCGTCCTCACGCACGACACCTCCTACGAGCTATCAACGTCCATCGTCATACTGCTGCCCTCACCCTCACCCTCACCCTCCTCACCACTGCCCTCTTGCCTCTCCGCCGAAGCATTCCTCTGCGACGGGCTCGCTGCCCCTGTCACCTCGCCTCCCGCAGGACCAGATGCAGGATTCAGGTGGTGGACTCCGAGCTGCGCCTGACCTTGCCGACCAGACTGAGGCGACGCGGTCTTCGACTGTGGGGAGGAGGTTGTAGATGATGGACCTGGGCCACCTTGTTTGAGGGAGCGAGCGGAGGGGTTGAACTGGCCACATTTAGGGCAGACGTATTCTAGTAAGGATGAAAGGTAAATCAGTTGTCTGGGTGCTTTGAGAGGGACACGGTGGGCGGGAAATATGGAGAAGAGCGTGAGCGTTATGGTAGAAGGTGCTACGCTGGCAGCGGCGACGACGGGCATGGTCGTTTGCCTATCGATGTGACCATTGCACACTCTGTATTTATAGGCCAATCGTCCACAGATACGCGGTGAAAGGCGAACGCTGACGACAGCGACAACCGTGGAGAGATCTAACCCGGTGGCACATATAGTGACCTTGCACCATAAGGGCACAACTGCCTGTCGTCGTTCTTCACTCTGGAACTTGCTAGCTACACAAGTATTCTCGCTCTCCGAGCCCACCTGATGCTCGTTTATGAGTCCATATTATCGTCGTACGACGATACCAAGGTGGGAGATTGATCCCACCCCTAACGGCCTCGCTTCCACGGGAAATGTCCTCCCTCGCATCGTCGAGCGTCGCTTGCCCATGGAAGTCGCGTCAGACCTACCACCGTGCACTCGCGTCTCCTGGCCCAACCAAACCCCGCAAACACCACTTCAAACCCCGAAAAAAAGCATCCCCAAGAAATCTCTCTCTCTCTCTCTCCCTCTCTTTCAAAAAAGAAAACGAGAAGAAAAGACTCACGCGCATCCTCCCACATACTCTCCTTCACCAACCCATTATGCGCAAAACACTTCTGGCATATGAGCGCGTATCGAGACGCGGCGGGGCCGGGTGCGGCTTCGTCGTCCCCGAGGAGCGCGTCTGCGAGTTTGTCGTACCATTGTTTGCGGGGGTGGGGGATTGGTTGTTGGGGTTTGGCTGTTAAGTTGGTTGGTTGGTTGGTGGGTTGTTGGGTTGGTGGGTGGTCGGTTGGTTGGTGGGGTGGGTTCGGTGGTTGGTTGGTTGGTTGGTTGGTTGAGCGGTTGAGCGGTTGGTCGGTTGAGTGGTCGGTTGGTGAGCGTGTTGAATTCACAGATGCGATAATATAGCATGAAAGGGTAGAAAAAACTCGCATCAGTTTATGTCCCTCTTTCACAAAGATCGGGAACAAGAACGATGGTGCGCGGGTGAACGCGTAGAGGGGTGTAGAAAGTACGCACGCATCAAATGAGTCTGCAACCCCGGACTCAAAGGCATCGGCGTCCTCAACAAATCATTCTGCCCCTGCCCCTGTCCTTGTCCTTGTCCTTGTCCCAGCCGTGGCGGCGTCGACGGCATCTGCGGCCCTAATCCTCCTCTTTGCGGGCTCTGTCCCACTCCTCCCCCTACTCCTGCGCCCATGCCCGGTGCTCCTGGTGGTGCCCCACTGACATTCCTTTGACGAACCCCAGGCGCGGAAGGAGCCTCGTCATACCGCTCGATGAGCGACCGCGTGTTGTAGTAGTTCGTCTTCTTCTTGATGTCTTCGATTTTGGTGCGTTGTTCTTTGTAGAGTGCTTTCAGGGTCTTTTCTGTTCGTTTTTGGGCGTTGTGATGTGGGTCGGTTCGGTGGGTTGGGTTGAGGTCGGGGGAGGTTGAGGTTGAGGTGGGGCGGTGGCGGGAGGTGGCGTTTTGTGGCGGGAGGTCGGTTATGACAAAACATAGATGTTAGAGTTGTGTGTGAGATCGTAATAAGAAGGATGCGAAGAGAACACATAAAGTGGAGAGAGGACAGGGGTGTGGGGTGTGGTGTGGCATGAATGTGTGTGGCACTAACCTTCAGCATCTCCCTTCCTCGTAAAATACATCTGTATGATCCGTCTCGTAAACAAAATCCTGCATTTACCCAACTCAATCAGCTTCTTCCCTCCCAAACCCCTCAAAAAAGAAAGGAGACACATACAAAACAGGCCCCACAAACACCGGCAACGCCCCCACCACCCTCTCCACCCTCTCCCCTCTCTCCCCCTTCATCCCCGTCCCCAACACCCCAAGGGAGGGTACGAGACCCATATACCAAAAGCTGACGTACGCGGCCCATGTGCCGAGGGTGTAGAGCGTGACGAGGAGGGAAGCGCGCCGTTCGCGGAGACGGATTTCGGAGAGGCGGGTTTGACGGTTTTGGATGTCGATGGAGAGGGAGGCGAGGATGGTTTCGTAGTCTTCTGGTTCGGTCTGGGGTCGTTTCGATTTAGGTTCAGGTTTCGTTTGTGAAGAATGAAGAACAGATGGATGTGAGAATGTGGAATGTGGAATGTGGAATGTGGAATGTGGAATGGATGGGTGCCGAGCGCAGAGGAGGTCGTTAGTGAGCTTGGAATCGAAAGAGCGCAAGAATGTATTAAGGAAGTCACGCACCTTTCTGAACCACTTTGTCAAGAACGACATGGCCGTCGGTCGAGTAAAGAGACCAGAGAAAAGAGAAAAGAAAAGAATAAAGGAGAGTGAGAGTGAGGCTGATGCGTGTGGTTAATATAAGGCAAGTTACTTGCTTGACACCGTGCGTCACTCTGTGCCACTGACGCGCATTGTACGGCGCCACGTACACGGTAACGCGGTAAAGTCGAGGCGATATCCTCACGTTTTCCACCCGAGAGAATGTACAAGAGCCAGAAAGAAAGAGATGCTGAGAGGTGATTTTTATCGCAATTTGTATGTACAATTCGATGCACAGTGATTTATCTTGGATTTATCCTCTACAATGAGTAAAGTACGAGTCCGATACTAGTACTGTAACATCTAGACAGACCAAGGCTGATCTATCCATGTAATGGGGTTGAACGAATAAACAGGAAGAAATGCAGGCAGGGAGACGCAAGCGGAGATGGAGAGGTGAGATGGAGATGTGGGAAGATATGGCGAATATATAAACAGCGAAACAACGCGGAAAACAAGGGCAGAGCGCGACGTGGTGATTATGAGATGGATCATGGAACGAAAGGAGAATGAAAGATGAAACAAGGAAGAAAGGAAAAGAAGAGAGAGAGAGAGATGGTATATAAGTAGATGCTAGATGATACACATGGGCGCAGGCAGGCAGGCAGGCAGTTTTACACGAATCGGTGATGAACAGGATTCAGAGGGCAGAGGAGAGGAGATGCGAGTGAGCGGGGATTGGGTGCGGACAAGGAGACAAGCGTCCATAAACATGAAGCAACCCGAGACGCGAGACAGAGAGACAGAGAGGAGGAGGGGTGAGGATGCAAACCAACGAACAGAAAAGAAAGAAATCGATAGCGAGGAAATAGTCCATAAGTGAATACGAGTAGAATGGTCATAACGATGTTGATGAGTGGCGAACGGGTCGATTATCGGAGAGTGAGTCCATGATACTTGAGGGTTGAGAGCGTTGAGAGTCTTGGGTACTTGAGCCTTGAGTATCTTGAGGTCCATATAAATACACTTGTAAAGGGGATTCACGAAGTCTTCGATTCGAACCAGGCACCCGACTTTGAACGTTGAGGCTTGAAATCTTGAGCAGACGTTGGAGCTCTGAAGGTTGAAGGTTGATTGTCGAGCTTGAAAGTGATATTGAATCTTGAGACTTGAAGCTTGATGCGTCGTCTGCTTGAAGCACATCAAACGAAATGCACGACCCATCGATCGGATCCATCTTGAATCCTCGACATTCCCGCAAATCTCGTCTTCGGGCCAAGGAAATCAATCCTCTTGAGCCCATCGCCGGACGTCCTCCTCCGCGCAGCGAACGTGCTCGACGCGATCTGCTGCACGGGCTGGGAGTGCGCGTCGTATTCTCTCCTGTCGGCTGGTCGTTGGAGCTTCTCGTATAGAGCGCGAAGGATGTCGTTGACAGTCACAGTACGAGCGCTGGGTATTTCGATGGTCCAGATCAAGCCAGGAATGACAAGTGTGATGTAGGAAGAAGGGGGATGGGAAGCAGGTTCGTTGAGTGTCTGTGGAGCGAGACGCAGCTCGGTAGGAGGGCGCTTGAGATCGAAGTAGATGGGAGGCTGGGAGCTAGCAACAAGTAAAGGATGGGCCAATGGTACGCCGGGCCTCTGAGGACTCGTAGGAGGGGTAGGCAGGCCATCTGGTCGGAGTGGCGCAATGGAGCGGAGGAGTGGGCGTAAACGATCAGAAGGTTGAACGACGTAAGATGACAGGAGAGATATAATAAGGACGCACAATTGCCAGACGCCACCGGGGGCAAGGGCACCGAGCGCATGCGCGGGGCGGAGGGAGGCGTGCATGGTGCCGAAGAGTAATTGTAAGAGCCGTGGAGCGAGTCGGCGTACGCGCTGGGCGGGGTAGGCGGGAGCCCAATCGAGCTCATCACCGGCGTGGTCGGCGCCTGGGAGCCCGTCGTGCCGGTGAGGCTATTGAGGCTCCAGGCCGGGCTGGAGACATAGGAGGCAGGAGAGTTGCTGTTCTTGGCGGAGTGGTAGGAGGACATCGTGAGCGACGGCGAGGACGAGTGTTGAAGTGCGGCGGGGTGCTTGGGGGTCGGTGGTCGGGAGCAGGGGGATGGAGATTGGACGGAGGCATGGCGGCGGGATTATAAGGGATCGGGGGCGGGGGTGTACAAACAGAAGGCTACAAGCCATGTTGAACGACGCCCGACGCCAGAGCTGAGGACGCTGTGGGAGCGGGAGATGGCTATCTGGCCAATCAGAGCACGGCGCAAGGCGCATCAGCACGTAAAATCAGCACGAGGCCCCGCCGCGTCGGGGGCGCATGCTGCGCAGGCGCCCAGCAGGGCGGGAGCTCGGTCGCTGTTGTCCATATCCATCTATCTGTTCCGATACGCGCCTGATAGAAGGTGCAACAACCCTCCGACCTGCCATCGATTCCGCTCGTCGTTCCCACCGACGCGCGCCTACTCCCGCCTCGGCGGAGTCTCCACAAAAGAGCGGCGCGTTAACTGTCCTCCGCAGACAATGCCGAAGCACGAGGACAATACCAACCGAAGCCAAACAGAGTGCGCAAACAAACCCCTCTGGTATCGAGTCAGTCAACGCCTATCACACGAGATCCGACGAAGACGACGTCGGTGCGAATATCCTCTTGATATCCTCTGATGGATCGTAATGGACCCTTCTATGGGGCATCGCCGCGGCCGATGACTCTGTGAGCTAGTGGGACAGGTAGTTCGAAGGTAGTTCAAAAAGTGGCGTCCGAAATGCACAGGTCTCCGTCGTCGTCGAAGAGGACGACGACGACGACGATGTGCGCTCACGCCACACCAAGTTGAAATGTGGCGGTAATAGCGCGTTTATTGACATCACGTGAGCGCGATACGCGTTGGAGAGAATTATTCGACTTCTGTTTGAATTTGTCGTTGCTTGCTACCAACGCTCTCGTTCTACATCTCCGCAGAGAAGTGTGCGCTCCTGCGTTGAGTTGATCTGTAGGCCAGATATATTGACGGCCAGAGCTCTGATATCCCTGTCATCGCCGGCCACTGAGGCTTCGCTGCCTCCTATGGCACTAAAGTTTATACCCATACTACTACTACACCCTGCAAGTTCGCCATACTCCTGCTTTTAGGGCGTGCTTTTCTACACCAGATGGGCATCTGGACTTTGACGTCAGACTTCGGGAGCTGCTACACTATCCCCGACGCGTTAAAGCCAAGTTAAAGCACGACTGCGCGTTCATTTTCTCGGTTTCCTCGCTGGCATGTTCTGCTCCTCGACGTCAACGGCACCACAGGTACTACTATCGCTTTCAGTGCTTCTATTTTCGTTTATCCAGAGACTGTTACGTTCGACCTCAAGACGTCCTGGCTCGCGATGAACATCCTCTAGCGGCCTGGACTGTGGCATTACCCATTTCGTGCTCTCTCGTCCCAGAGACCCTGACAAACTCTTCGAGCTTGCCGTCGAGGGCCTCTCCATGTTCATCATTAGCGGGACTGAGGACGTTGAGGTCTACCGAGATATATTTGTGGCTGTATTTTCGAGTCGCCGTAGGTACACACTGTTCCAGGCGCATTCACAGGATAGACTTCATTCTACGACGATCCTCAGGACCTACATCACTTTGAGACCCAAAATCCCGACACATACAGCATGTATATTGATCTCTACATACAAACCGCTCCCTGTGATTATTCTCGTACGCGATCCGGTCTCATTACTAACTGTGCTACATAAAAGTCGGCCACATTTGGGTCTCAACAAATATATTTGCACCCCTTTTCCTCTTCGATAAAAGCGAAGCATGGAAGCTGTCACTACATCTTAGCATATATAGGCAAACATCTGTCCATGGATGTGTGATGCTACTACTGTAAATTACAATCATTGAATGGCTATGTGGCGCTGAATCTGTGGCGTTAGTAGTATCGCCTTCAAAGATCTGTTCTGTTTGGTGGCCACGATTTATAACTTTAGACTCGAGCTCTCATCCTAGTTCTAAAATTCGACCCAAGTACGGTAGTCGCTGTACTACGAAGGCTGTTCCGCTCTGAGCAGAACATCCAAACGTCTTCAGAGGTCTTCAGCTATGTAGATAGCGGTGCAATCTTGCCTTATGTAAGCCCCCTGTTGGAAAAGGTCCCGCCCGTTGCTCGCAACAATTCTTTTGACACCTATTCCTGCACCTTCACGTCGCCATTTATTCCTTGCGACTCCAACATCTCATCCTGTACCATTGGCCTCCTTAGAACTGATATTGGTGTCAAGGCATTCAAACTAGCCACGGCTTGGCACGCGATTATCTAAAATGATAAGGAACAGCATCTCAAGTTTAGCGCTTACTCGATACACGAGGCCAGTTTTCTCATGGCTCATTGCGCATTTCCTCATCATGCCTCGACTATAACTGGGAGCTGGAAGGCCGTGCCACATACCCCTTCTCTTCCTCTTCCTGTACATGTCCTCTTTTCTTGTCTGGCTGCAGTCCATTCTGCAGCGTCTGAGGGTCAAATTCTCCCGTAATATTCATGGCATCCTCAAGTTCTTCTCTTGGCTCCTTCGCCAGTCGCGGTGTTCGCGCGGATTGTTGAAGGCGGCAAAGGGTCGGGGTGGCACACAGGATTCAATAATACCGAAGGACACCTCCTCTCCATCACCCGAGCGCATCGTTCTGACCAAACCCGAACCCGACGTTTCCATCGCTGCGAGCGCCGTGCCCCGTTCCGCGTATGCGGGGAGCGTTCCAAACCTTGCCGCCATCCCAGAGAGCCCCAACCCTCCTCGACCTTCCACATGGTTCACTCGTCCCAACTCTGTCGCAGTACCAAACCACGAATCCCTAAGCCCATACCCAACCCATGCTCCATTCCATACTCGATCATGTCAGGACATCCCCCTTCATTCACGCCCCACACATGAGGCCAACACCGAGGACAGCGCGAGCACAAGTAGCCACCGTCAGTCAGTCGCCAGCCACATCGGGTCCATTAATGTCGTTACGGGCTCGGCTACGCGAGTATCGTCTCGAGCACCTTCGAGGTACTTCGGTGGAGGGCTGTCGCAGGCGTCACGATCCCCGTCTCGAAACCGTTCCCGAGCTCCCTCCCCGGTTCAAACCAATGGTCCCAGCATTGCCACACCTATCTCGACTCCTCCTGTTCGTTCTGGAACCCTAGGAACCCGGTCGTCGTCTAGTGTCAACTTGAGCGTAGTGAGCCCTTCGGAATCGTCTTTAGCTTTAAACAACGAGTCGCTCGCGTTCTCGTCGTTACATCCTGGATCGGTACCGCACTCGCCTAGGTCTTCGAGAGTTGAACTTGGCGCGAATGGTGCGAATGGTGCTGTCGAACCTTCTAATGAATCAGTGACCGTGGATGACGGGTCGCAGGCTTCTATACCCTTACCAGAGGGGAGACGGCTCAACCACCTAAGTCCCGAAAGGACACAACGATATGACAGGATCTTCATAGTGTGAGTGTGATGTTTGTCTTAGATGTAATGGACTATACCTGACGCGTGCTGCAGACCCCAGTTTCAAGACGTGGAGACGGTTTTTCCAGCCCTGAAGACATCTTGGCCACAGTATGTGCTTTTCTGTATGTACGTCAAACGGGGATGTCCTCACAAACTTCATAGCTGCAAGGAAGACGAGCACGGAAATTGGATACCCGCATCTTCTGGGGACTGGACTCCAATGCTGCACCCCGAAGGCAACTTGTACTTCTATCACCCCGACAAGGTCTGTCCCGCTTTTGTTTGACTCTCTTGGCGCGTGGAGAAGATTCCGACAGAGTATGTCTGCCTTTCAAGCACATCTATACCGACATGTATCTATACAACGACACGATTCGCGCGGAAACAGAACTTTTCGCGGCATACTTGGACGATCTGCTCTTAGCCTTGCGCAAACCTTTACCTACGAACAATTGGGAGCTCGTACTTGAGGTACGGGATTGTGATGACGGCACGAAGGACTGGTAAGTTGGTTTCTGCAGTCTTAGGCGCCGTCGATGATAGTGATGGTGATGATGACTGATACCTTGACAGGTTCTACTATTATATCGACCACGAACAGCGATGCGTCTTCTGGTTGCAGACGTATGCCGATCCGGACTTCGTCGACGATAATAAAATCAAACATAATCCGTCGCACCTAAGTAAGTCTTCACCAGCCCTTGCTGTGCAGTCTTCCTCATAGTTATTCTGCTTGGTCTTGGATTAGAAATGCTACTCGAGTCCCAATACTGGTAATATTTTATTCTTTGCTTGCAGCCATAGCCTATATATATATATATATATATATATATTGCCAAAACTCACCATGATGCCGATCACAGGGTCCATTGGGCTTACTTTCCCAAAGGAGACCGCGATTTTCCTGTAGAAGTCTCGGACGATCTCCAGGGCCTGCTTATAACGTGTGGCGTCGGTGAGTCTCCTCGTATTACGATATCGTTGCGCTCAGTTCGTCCAACCCACCTGGTTTCAGATTTCATCACTTCTACCGCGAGCACTTGCCCTTATACCGTCGCTGACGTGAAGACCTTCACGAGTTTCATCAAAAAGGCTCAATGTAGGTCACCAGTTTGAGTATCTCGACGGTCAGACTCGTGTTGCTTACTTACTTATGAACGTAAATGCAGCTTTACCGGATCCGAAACATAATCCTTATTTGGCGTGGACGATAGGTACGTTCGTTTCTGTCCATGTTAAAGCCGACTTTTAAGATGCTGTCTGCTGACTTCTTCAATCATCCACAGCACGACTGATGTCTTTCATGGGTATGTGTTATTTGTTTTTTTTTGAATATCTCTAGCGTATTGACAGGACAACAGTGTATTGGCGATGGTGTCATTTCCATGGACAGCGAGGTACGATTATCATCTCTTGTAACGTCCGTTTTCGATCACTCGATTGATGGATATTCTCCGCTCTTACAGGAGCCAGGCTGGACCGAGAACAATCAGTTCATCGAATGGAACCACGGCCCAGGACGCTTCTCATTTCCATATTCTCCCCCGTATTTTTCTTCGCCCCTGAGGTCCATCTGACGGAGGTGGAGAAAATCTGGACGGACGAGGTCTTGAACAACACGACATGGAAGCCATTCATCGACAAGTTGCTTGCTGAGTGGCAGGAGTTCGTCCTTTTCGTATGTTTTGTTTGGCCCGCCTTCCTTCGTCTTCGGTGCTCACTCACGCGTGATTCACATTCCAAAGGGGACCGTGCTGTTGAACGCTAATGTCGCGTTTCTGGAGATTCCGTATGTCGGGGAGACTGCTCAAGCCGGGGTCTCACAGATACTCAGTTACTTGTCCATCATTGCGAGTGTCGGAACTATAGTCCTTGGCCTGCGTAAGCCTTCTATCATCCTCTTCCTTGGAATTACAACACTGATCCATGACGTTTTGATGTACTGCAGTCCTCATCCGACAGAATCGCGCCAAGGCATCGCGGGAAGTACCTGCCGAAGCGGTGGGTCCCTTGACTTTTCGTTACTCGTGGTATCACAACTGACAAACTCTCGCTATCATGCTCTCACTTGCGCTAGGCTAATCATCTGATAGCCATGAAGTCAAAGAAGTATGGTCTGGAACCACTCGCCATATTGTATAGTCTTCCATACGCTCTCCTGATGTGGTCGTAAGTCTCGTCTATTCTTGCCTGTGTACACCCTCCAAAGTGCTCTATTTGCTCGCTCCTGTTCATGGTCGCTGATGCCTCCACCCGTTCATCTCATAGAATGCTCCTCTTCGTCGTCGCATTCCTCACCCTCTGCTTCAACGGCTCCGACCTCACCACCCGCCTCCTCGTCGGCCCCGTCTTCCTCGCCATAATCGTCCTCATCACCTGGTGTCTCCTCTCCGGCATCTCCATCGCCGCCGACACCTGGTTCGCCGGTTCCCGGCGGCTTTGGTCCAAATGGATAGAGTTGACGAAGAATAATAGGATGGTGTTCCAGCAGCGGTGGGCAGAAAGGGATGGGGACAGGTCATTCCTGTGGGAGGAGGTGAGGAGGTGTTTTCATTTTCGGGGAGTCGACTCGGAGGAAGTGGCCATGGGGAATGGGATGGGGATGAGAGCCAGTGATACGGCTAGTTATATATCTACGCGCACGCACATGAATGATAACGCTACTGTATGATTGTGATGTCGATAGGGTTGTAGTCGCGGGGTGGACCTGTGCCACTGGCAGGTGCGACCATTGTATTTACGCCATACTTAAACTGTGTCTTTTTTCCTTTTCTTTTCTTTCTGTATTATACTTGTACCTATTAGACACTTACTATCGTTCTGGATGCTGTATCTCTGGTACATACTAACGACCGTGATGAATTGGATTGGCCAGGATTGGCCTGACTTCTGTGGTCGCGAATGTGGCGCCGGTACAGTGAGGCGAGGTCTCGCGGAATGTGTCGGGAGGTGCACGGACCAGCGTGGGAATTGTTGTTGAGAATTTGTGTGGCGTACGCGTTGCAGGGGTTTTCCCTGTTCCTCTGCTCGACAACCACAGTAACACTTAGGACGCACAATTCCTTGCATCCGGGATAACGGACCATCGTCAAACTCTAGGGCCTAAATCGATTATAGTTCTTTATGCTCTTTGCTGCCGTAAAGAGGCACTTGGATCCTAGCAGCCTGTCGGACTCGTTGGCAGCTTCGTGCTCGCCCAATGCTCACCACAAGACGCTGGTCAATGAGATTCATCATCCCAAGCGATACTGGTACATCCTCTTTGGTTCATATCTACCACTCTTTTCCTGCGTCTCCGTGCTATAAATGGCTGCATCAACTTGCTGTGGCGGCACCTGAGCAGGCTTAAGCGCACAGCAACATGAGGCGTATCTCTTGCCTATCGTGTTCCGTTATTTACTCACCGTGGACGGTATATATGCAGTGAATGCTGCGATGCAGCGTCTGCTCTTTCCCTCTTTCCCTCTTTCCTGAAATGGCTGCTCTTCTATCCTGGCTGCTGCTCTATCTTCACCGCTTGAAGAATCGACTTTCCTCTGGCGTCCGCGGCCTGCTTGCATTCCTCTTCAAGCTATGGCGCCGACGTCCCAAAGGACCCTTGAAACCTGGGCGAGGCAATACGCATATTTATGGGTCATCTAAAATGGTCCGCTCCCCAACTCCAAACAATAGCGATGGAGAACGGGGCGACGGAATCGTCTGCGCCAGCTACGTGCCTCGCTCAGCACGGAGTAGCAGTTCTCCAAACGTCTCCAGCATTCCTGTGGAGAACACTGCCCACCCTCGACCGATGGTCAGCGATCACTCCGCGGCGCCCACGGTTCTGCACCCAACACTCCATATCCCATACATGCTCGATGTTCCCTACACCACTCAGTCACAGCAGGACGTATCGTTTTACTCCCGTCCTTCCAGAGAGGCGCACGCGGAGGACAACATGAGCCTCAGCGATCGTCTTTCCATTCGATCTGCTATTCACAGGCCGGGGCGAGGTCCCCGAACGACCCGTATATCGCCTCGGGCTCCGGCGCATTACTTGGTTGGGGGCGGCATTTCACCAATCACACGATCGAGGTCTCCCTCTCCTGCTCCTTCGATCACACGATTGAGATCCCAATCACCAGCCCCTCCAATAGCACAACCGAATGCATCTTCTGTCGCTGGGCCTTACTCCACTTCCGGTCCTCAAAGGTCGGAGTCATCGCCTGTTAGCGTTTGTATACAAAACCCCTCGGAATCTTCGTTCGCTTTGAACAGTATCGACTACAATGTTGCCGATCCATCTGATTCTGGTCACTCGGGTGTGACTCTTTCGAGAGAAACCTCCAGAGGAGTAGATGACCCTGATTTGAGCGCCGACTCGACGCGTGTCAACGAGACACCATACCCAAGTTCAACACGTGCGTCTTGTGTCTCATTTCAAGTGCCTGAGGACTGGAGGCCGCAGCCGTTCAATCCTGAGGAGACAAGTCGATATGACAGAGTGAATCTGATGTACGTTCAGTTTTATCATCCCTTCCCCAGTCTGGGCTGATGTGTTATCGAATAGATCAGCGGATGTCGACGACAACCTATTGATACTACCATTGAAGACATCTTGGCCTCAGTACGCTTCTTCTAGAGTGCACAGCTACCATATCTGACTGTGGTTCAATTTGTAGCTCGATAGAGACGGATACAGGGGCATGGGAGGCCGCATCTTGTGGCGAGTGGACTCCAGCCACGCACCCAGAGGGAGGGCTGTATTTTTATCATCCTCGACACGTACGTGCGAGCTCCAACGCGAACGTCAGTATTCAACTGATATTTCGTGCCAAATAGCGTGCATTTACAGATAACTACTTGTATGACAAGGATGAACGACAGGAGGTTGAGAAGTTCCTCGACTGTCTGCTTGGACATCTTTCCTCTTCCGGAAAACCTCTACCTTCTAATGATTGCGAGCTCGCGCTGGAGATCAGAGATGATGGTGATGAAAAAAGGGGATGGTATGCTTACGCCTTTTTTTCCCTGTTGTGTTATTAGAACTGAACTGCGATATCTCTAACATCACAGGTACTACTATTATGTGGATCACAAATCGAGAGGCTTGTTTTGGCTGCAGCCATATGAAAGCCCTCATTTTCTTTCTCATACCTGGGGGAAAAAGAATCCATCTCACGCGAGTGCGCCCTGCTGTTTCACAAGTCATTTTATTCACGCTTATACGAATTTTCTACAGAGCTAGGAATCGAAAGCGAATATTGGTGTGGACCATCGGTCTCTCATTACCATTGTCTTCTCATCAGTTTCCTAGGGCACATTGGGCATTGTACCCAGTAGGACGAAACCCCCTTCCGGAAGGTACCATGGACGAACTTCAAGGAATGCTGATTGCATGTGCTACGGGTGAGTGTGTTGCGAGTATTAGACCTTATATCTTTCAAGTTTACTTGGAACTCGTTGGCGGAAGATTTGTCCGATCCGCCAATGAGCTTTCGCCAAAAGTTCCAAGTTTTCACTAACATATAAGCCCTATTATTTCGCTTACAAACTGATTATTTCACTAGATACTATGACATCGGCAAGCAGCACCTCGCCATACAACTTGAAGGACCTGAGAACATTCATAAGTCTCGTAAAGAAAGGAGGCGGTCAGTAAACTTCATTTTGTTCATTTCGGGAGAGAGGATGTTTCTGACTCTGCCGCAGCCTTGCGCGATCCTTCTCGTAATGTACACATTATATGGACCGTTGGTGAGACTAATGGCATCGTCCAAGTTATACGGCGACGTAGCTCACAAGATTTCAATCACAGCACGATTAATGTCCTATTTCCGTGAGTGTCCTATGCGCGCTGCGCTACAGCCCTTGACTAAGGCTTCCAACTAGTCTCCTGGAGGTTTCTCCATTTTCACGGGCAAAGACGTAAGTCCATCTTCACCATTTGTACACCCCGTTGTATTGCTTTAACTACATTATTCCTCCAGATGCACGGTTGGACCGCGATCTTTCGGTTCGTGGGTTTGTCCATCTCTATCGCCGATCAGACTTACTGTCATACATGAAACAGGTTCATAGTCGAGAATGTCGCCGTAGGACAATGTTGATATCGATCTTCTCTCCCATTTCTTTCTTGGCTCCAGAGGTGCACTTGACCGATCTGGAGAAGATGTGGACAGATAAGGTCGTGAACAACCCTACATGGAAACCATTCATTAAGAAGTTACTTGACGAATGGCAGGAATTCGTTCTTTATGTGAGACCATCCATTTACTCCTTTTGAACCATAGATCTCTGACAGATCACATCTGTGGTTCTTCCATACAGGGAACAGTCCTGTTGAACGCCAATGTGGCGTTTCTGGACATAGGATACGTGGGGGATTCAGCCAAGGCAGGAATAGCACAATTTTTAAGCTATGTATCCATCGTGGCGAGTGCAGGTTCTATAGTGCTCGGTTTACGTATGTGCTTTGCCCTTCGTCTCCTTCAAATTTCATCTTGACAGCAATTGATTTGCTTTACAACGTAGTACTCATCCGACAAAATCGGAGCAGGGCAAATCGAGAGGTTCCCACAGACGTCGTATGCTTGTCTTGTCATCTTTGTCGCGTTGACTTTTTTCCTGATTTTTGATTGCATCTGTATAGACCCAGTATCTAGATGCCATGATGTCAGGGAAGTACGGGCTAGAACCGCTCGCCATAATCTACAGTCTTCCGTATGCATTGCTGATGTGGTCGTAAGCCTGTTATCTCTCAACGACCATCAAACTCACCACTAACTCAAGCTCCATTTCCTAGGATGCTCACGTTTGTCGTGGCCTTTCTCATTGTCTGCTTCAACGGTAGCAATCTCCCCACACGCGTCTTTGTTGGCCTATCGTTCTTTATCGTTCTGGTCGCCATACTCTTGTGTCTGGTAAAGAGTACGAACATTGCCGTATTCACATGGCTCTCCGGTGTTGTGGAGAGGTTCCGTGTAGAAGATGGTTCTGGACAGAGGAGGTTCCGAAAGCTATGGCCGACTTCATTTGCGAGCCTCTCCTTATTCTTAAGAGCTACTTTAGGGCCTCAGAACTCTCATGTGACTGCCGTGCCTAACGGTACAGCTGCGGGTAGTAGCAATAACGCCACGGAAGTTTGAATATTTTGTATTCGTCAATGACTTCCACATCGATCTACGTTGCTCTCGCACATAAAGCGTTTTATTCTTGTAATATACTATGTATATCTCCCAGTGGCATTTTACAGAGTGTCCAAGCTGTTGCCGTTGGAGATCGTTGCAATCTGTTGCAATCTGTTGCAATGTGTGGACATCAATGTGGCGCATATCAAGCATGGCGGTGGCGCTAAAATCCACTTTCTTGCGAGTGGCACTATTATGTAACCCCAATTTTTTTTTGAACAACTTCTCGAACATGAAACTAAACGACAACAGACCCTCAGCTTTTTTTTCCCCTCGACGCCTTGTCCTACAGTATTGCAACAGTATTGACGCATCTACTGTGTTCGCTTTTCTGCATATACGCCTGTATATGGGTCGCGCCAATGGCATAGCCTTGCACCGCATCTATTCTTGCGCGGACAACATGAGGATCCTCTCCTGCCTTTTTCGCGTACTCGGTTCCACGTTCCATCCTGTCCGTGGTATATATACGTGATGTTTGGCGTCGGTGATCTAGCCAGGGTGGTCCCTGTCTCTCCATCTCTATGTCTGGGCTACTACGATCGTCTCTCATCCTGCGGCTTTTCATAGTTCTGCGTCGATTGAAGAGTCAATTCTCTTTCGATGTTCGTAGATTGCTGTCCTGGTTCTCCTGGCTGCTCCGGCGTTGCCAGGAAGGCAAACCAAAACAAATACAGAATCAGATGAATGGGCAGGCAAAGGCTCTTGGGGATGACCCGCACCCATCACGAGTTAGTATATCCAGCCAAGAGCCTCAGGGTCGAGCAGACGCAGTATTCGTTTGTGCGAGCTTCGTTCCGTATTCAGCTCGTACAGACAGTCTTCCCAATCTCGCCATTGCGAGGCCAGAGAGCCCTGGAACACCTCGTTATACGTTTGATGACCGCCTAATTTCCACGCCAAACCCGACTCACTCATTAAGCCCCTACTCGGCTGGTACACCCGTCACCACACGGTCTCTCCAGGACACAACCTTTCGCTCTCGCGCCTCCCGTGGTACGCTATATATGCAGGACGGCGAAAGCACGCACGATAGCCGATTTTCTGCCACCTCTACTCAAAATATGGTGCATAAAACTGCCAATACGCGTATATCATCTCGCGCACCCTCGAGGCATTTTGGAGGAGGAGTGACATCTGATCCTCAATCACGCTCCCCTGCACCCCCTCTTCTTTCAGCTAGTGCATCTCAAATTGCTGGACCACGCTCTACCTCCATACGCTCCGCATCATCTTCTATTGTTGAAATCGACGTGGAGGCTGCGTCGACGCCCCCATCCACTACTACCGATAATGTGGCCCAACCATTTCAATCGACTCATACTGTGGCGTCCGAAGGAGGTCTCTCCCTTGCTAGTCCCTACAGCGGATCAGCTACCGTCGCTGCGTCTTCACAACATGACCCATCGAACAAAGTGTACCCCGAACCTCCTGAAGGTCGTACTGTGATGCCCTTCGATCCCGACAGTACTAGGCGGTATGAGAGAACCTACTTGATGTTCGTGCATGTCTTCAACGCTCTTCCAGCTTGAGCCATCTGATGTTTTTTTCAGGCCTCTCGCTGATGGAAATATGCAAATACCGCCCATGACAACAACATGGCCGCAGTATGTCTCCGTACACCCTGCCGTTCTCTATCCAGGACTAATTAGTAATCGCTAGTTCTAAGGAAGGTGAAACGGGGGAGTGGAAGACTGCATCCTGTGGAGAGTGGTTGGCCGTAATGCACCCTGAAGGAGGGCTGTACTTCCGTCATCCTCAGAAGGTACGTGATGTCTACTAATCCTAATCTCATGTCTTCTCTTCATCAACGCAAACCTTCTGACGCGCGCACGACAGCATGTCTATACAGACAACTACATGTACGATGATATCGAACGGATCGAGGTGGAAGATTTCATGGATTATCTGGAAGAGTGTCTCCGCGAGACGAAGCAGACCATTTCATCGGATCAGTACGAGCTTGTACTGGATGTCGGAGCCCATTACAATGGTACAAGACTGTGGTAAGAGCGCCTAATTCGCCTCTTTCAGATATAGTACTCAAATTAATCCTCGACTTCGTTCGTCGCAGGAGATACTACTATGTCGACCATACCTCACGCTGCTTATTCTGGGTGCACCCCTACGAGCGTCCTGCTATCTTGAGTCAGGTGGAAGGCAAGAAGAATCCGTCTCACGCGAGTATGTCACTCTTCATTGACCGCTCGGAAACTATGCTTACATTTGATCTCATAAGGACTGGCGATCGAGAGCCACTATTGGTAAGAGGCCTCGTAGGCCACACACCATGAAATCGCACAGCTGACCATGCCTCTAGGTCGCACTGGGCCCTTTACCCTTGCGGAACTCACGCGTTTCCTGAGGATATGATCGCAGAGCTCCAGAGTCTGCTTATCATGTGCTCAATTGGTGAGTGGTCACCAGTCAAATATACTTTGCGACTCCATTGACTCACCCATCCACAGACACAATGACTTCAACAGGCAGCACCTCGCCCTATGATCTGAAGGATATGAAGACCTTTATTAGCCTCCTTCAGACAGGGAACAGTACGTCTGCAATATGTCCTGCACGGACGTGTGCTGATACTCGTGCCAGCTTTGAACCCTTCTCGCAATCCCTATCTTATATTCGTCACAGCACGCCTGCTGTCCTTCTTCTGTCAGTTTTCTACGTTTCTCTAAGCACTAGAGCCCATATCTTATGCACCACTAGTGTACTGGAAATACGTCCACTTTCATGGGCAGAAAGGTACGCCATGTTCTTAAGGATCATCCTTGGGAGCTCTGACATTGACTGCGTTCTTTCATGTATAGAGGCTAGGCTTGACAGAGGACAATCGGTTCGCTATCTAATCCCTACCAACTTCTTTAGTTTATTGACCATTCGAGCAGGTCTATCGTCGCACCTCCCGCGATAGGACACTTCTGATCTCGGTCCTATCACCTGTATTTTTCTTCGCCCCCGAAGTTCACTTAGAGGAACTAGAAAAATTATGGACAGATGAGATCGTCAACATCTCCAGGTGGAAACCATTCCTGGATGGCCTGCTGACGGATTGGCAGGAGATGGTGCTCCTTGTATGTCCCGTTCCCTTCGTTAGCACCTACGCCGGAGTCCGCTGACGAATTAGTATCGCGTAGGGTGTCGTGCTCTTGAATGCCAACGTCGGGTTCCTGCAGATCGAATACGTCGCGCAGTCAAGGCACGCATCAGCCGCACAGATCTTAAGTTATGTGTCCATCGTAGCGAGCATGGGTTCGATCATCCTAGGGCTCCTACTTGTCCGACAAAACCGCGGCATGGCTCAACGCGAGAATTCTAGCGAAGTGGTGAGGTTTTTACTCTTTGACATTTACGGTGGATGTCATCACTGAAACTTCACTCTTGGAAAAGGCGCGGTTATTAAAGCTGTCGGTGAAATCCAACATTTACGGCCTAGAGCCATTAGCCATCCTCTACAGTCTTCCGTATGCGCTTCTCATGTGGGCGTGAGTGCACTCGTTTTCTACTCGATCTTTATGAAATTGTCGTAGCACGTACTCAGTCCTCAACGTTGTTTTCACATTTAGAGTGGTGGCTTTCGTTGTATCATTTCTTATCGTTTGTTTCGAAGCCAGCAACTTAGCCACCCGCCTGTCAATGGGGGTCGTCTCCTCTGCTGTCTTATTCGCCATCGCATGCTGTGCCCTCTCTGGTCTCAGCATATCCTCCAAAACGTGGCGCTTCGACGTCGAGCTCAACTATACCGTATGGTTGGACTCTTTGAGGGAGTGGGGGGAGACGATCGGGGATGCTCGTGGAGCTTTATGGAGTCTTGCGTTTGGGCGGAGGGCTGAGCAGCTGCCCTAAAGCTTGACACAGCTCACTACTGCTACTCATCGTGAATATATGCATGTCTGACTCAAGGGTAGAGGCTCGTCTCGATATGTATAATGTATGTTCACGTTTGCATGCTGCTGTACCGGTTACTTGCCATGAAAGTTACGTTGACTTTGACTGAATTCATTCTTCGCTATTTGTCATTTGATGTGCTTGGAAGTTTCCCGTAGCAGATCACGATGAAATATGCAAACTAGAACCAGGCATAGAGTAGCCCATGCTGCTGAGTGCAACACGTAGTGTGCGATCAGGCAGTGACAATGATATAAAGCGGCCGTTTGTATAGCATAGCCATCAGGTAATAAGGATCAACGACGTTGACTCAAGAACTGTGTTGCGTACCCTCTTCCTAGTACTCGAAACACCGAGTTCAAATGACCTATATAGTAAACGAGAGCGCGCTTCAGTCTCGGGGCCCTTCTCCCGTCATTTATTTTAAAGCGTCACAAGTTCAGCGCTATGGAGAAATGACGGCGCCGACGAAACCAAACATAGATATCTTCGAGTGCATGTAGCTGCATGTGCACTACATAGGCACTACTCTGATCATTCAAAACCGAGACAGATCGTGAGATCAATGCAGAAGGTAGTCGAATTCACTAGCAAACTCGGGTTATAAACGCACACGGGGGAGCTGAAAATTCCTCAAGATACGGCTCATGAGAGCCCGTCATTACACTATGCTTACCAGTAGGGACACTGGATGTATCGTATAAGGTTGCTTATAGTAAGATACTGGGAACGTTAATAACGGGAACGACGCAATGAGCGAAGCTGGTCGAGCTAAAGATGGTCATGAGTCCAAGATAACCAGACCAAGAGACGCTGCCTTCGTCTTCCCTGACATGTTTAAATTTCTCACCAGACAGATAATGCGGACTGTTGACCACGGGTACAGACAGCCTAAATGAGAGATGAACAAATAGCTATGAGGGACTGGGTATACCAAGATTAGAGAGTAATGGCGGGATGAATACGAACAATGGAAGTTAGTTTAATAGCCGAACCTTCTATCATCCTTCTCCCGCCACACACAAAGCGCAGACTGTGGCCCGCAACGCTAAACGGGTACAGGACGGTCCCTGTGCGTATCAGGCCTGCCTGCGGGCACCAATGATCTAGGAAGTATCGTAAAACAGGATCAATACCGCCTAGAAATTTCTGGAAAGACTACAGTGTGGTTCACGAAATCCGCGGGAAAGAAGCCTAGCCTCATCGCATTATTGCTGTTCAATTGCTACTTAACGAGCTGCCAGCGGTATCCTGAAGGTGAAATTCCCAACAGTGGCGGTACCTAAGTGTATCCCATATGACTTTCCGAGTATGTTGACGGGATCCCGTTATCATCGCGATGCACCACCCGCCAGTGTCGGAAGTGTAAGAAGGGCCAAGGCAGTCAAAGGTTCTTCCCACGTGATCAATGAGAGGAGCTGGTTTACCTGTTTATTTTGCTGCAGTGGTTTGACGAACAAGTTGTTCCATCTTCATGATGCGGTGAAGGTGATTCATTTCCATCAGCACCATATGAGAACCGAGTAGAGACTCCGTCGCCCACTATGATAGGTGAAACAGAGGTCCGAGACGAAGCGCCGTCTGACGACGCCCGAACTCGACTGATGTGGCGGTGGTATAAATACCATTATCCATTATCTGACAAGACGAGCGCTTATATAGGCCAAGCCGCATTGGCATGCGCGGCTCGGAGTGGCGGGGTGAAGCTGTCACTTCCGCCCACGGAGAAACGAGCCAAGGACGGGATCGAGGAGAAACAGACGGTATAATTTCAAAGCTTTTCCAAAACTCTGTCATGATGATTCATGGAGGAAATCCCCGCTACCCCAGACGTGCTCCAGAGCAGCCCCAGTCAAGCTCCAGTGACACTAAAGAGCCCCTCGGAGCCTTGCGGAGCGAGCTGACGTCGAGCTTTCTTCGTCAGTCTTGCGCCCATGCTATCCCGAGTAGTCCCAAGTATGTGTACCCAACTGCAAACGATGGAAATCAATGCGCGGGTCAATACCTGATACTGAGGAATGCCCCATGAGTTACTCAGTACCGTATCGCTTTAAGTGCGACTTATACCCCAGGAGCTTTATCGCAGTTGAGAGCCTGAGCAAATGGGAGTCGAGGACACTGTTCTTGAAACAGGAGAAGCTAGTCAAAGCAGTGTATATCTGGATGCTTATAGGGGCCCAATGGGTCCAAGCATAGCTTGGTGAGCGCACCCAACTGCTCTGGACAATTGGAGAAGCCAGGTGAGACTAGAAGCATCCTATCCTATGGAGAGATGATCATAAGGGGAGGGATACTAATCACGATAATTTTGTATAGTCATAATGAAGACGACATACCGGCTCGAGTTCTTTTGGGCGCCACGCTGTGGCACCGATTGAGGAGAACCCACAGTGTCTCTCTTGGAATTGGAAAACCCCTAGAGAAAGACAATGAGCTTGTTAGGAGACAATACCCTATAAAAAGGACAAAAAAAAGCGGAGGTTTTTGTAGCGGTCAAAGCTTAGAACAATATGCCTTCGGTTATGCAACCTGTCCGTTCGAACAGGCAACTCGAGCCCACACCGCCCTTATCCTTATATGTGTTCCCAGTGACAAGGCCTTGTTCTCGCTCAAAGAATGCAGTACACCCCAGCGAGTACCCGTGCCGCCACCCAGTGAATCGTTACGAGACGCGCAAATCAGGAGACCTCAGTACAGTTGCGTCACAGATCTAAGATAGCAAACGATGGGAACTTACTCGGACTCTCTAGTGATCTTCACCCTTTAACAGTACAAGAGCTGTTGTCCTCGCATCGGAAGCAAAACAATACTGAAGGTTTTAACGTTGTCCAGATCTGCCCGGCCTTTATTCGTTTCGGCAACCCACTCCGGAAGCGCTTTGAAGAAGTGCCTGACAGAGCAATGACAGAGTCGTCGGAGGCGGAGCTCAAAGCGCCGGAGAGTGAAATGCTGGATGCGCGAGCGTTCAACGAGGGGTTGAGATAAAGTATTCCGTTCCATAGTTCATGCGGAATGAAAAAAAATGTCGTGTGTTTGAATACTGAGAAGATATAGCCAGGCGCCCTAATTAAGACAGATGTGCGGATGTTCGGATGTCGATCTGCATTCGCATCAAATCCTAGGATGGGCGAAGAAGGGAGTAAAATCCGAGTCGATATGCACTCGACACGTTCCTCACGCCCTGGAGAGTCGAGTCCACTATACGATCAACGAGTCTGGTGAGACTAAGAACAGGCCAGCCATATAATGGAAAGCAAATACCTCACCGACTGGTCCGATGCATGAGGAGCGGAGAGGAAACAGCACCCAATCAAGGGTATAGGAGCAATAGTCTGGACTGTGATCTAAGACAGGCTGTACCGATAAACATTCCTGAACATCGGTCAAATACGCAACGGCCATGATCGTTCATATCGGGGCGGCATCAATAGCAGGGGAAAGCGAATAGCGTGAAGCACTAGAGTCTGGCTAGTGGTCTGGTACAGTCGTAGTACAACTCGCGGGCAGTCGGAAATCGAAAACCTGGATCCTAATACACAAGAAAAGACAGCTGTTTGGGACGTTCTTGCTTCTTCACTCTTCCGTTGGAGCTGTTTATTCAGCTCCCTCTTCCTCTTCCTCCGGTTCCTTCTTCTTACCCTTCACAACAGGTTTTTTGGGAGGGCCCCTGGGCCTGAAGGGGAACTGAGGACTACAATGACAAGGACAAAGGGCATGACGATTAGTGTGCCGGGTGCATAAGAGCTACCACCTACGCGTCGCCGGAAGGTTTTCTAAAATGGAGAGGAACCGGTCAGGAAAAATCGGGGTCTGTCTGGGCCTCGAAGACAATACTCACTGAGCATCTGGCTGGCTTGGAGCTGGTTGGGTTTGCTCCCCATGCTCTTGGGGAGGATCAGTTGCAGTGCTCGGACTGAGGAACAAGACAATGGCGTAAAGCTGAGTTCACATATGACCCGCTGACGGAACTTGAATTTCTAGATGCTCATTCAGACGAAAAACTGACCTTCCGCTGTCATCGCCGGTGTGCTGTTGGTCCGTGTTGGACGACATTGTATTCTATGTGTTGTGTATGACTGTATATTCGAAGATGGTGTGCAGAGCCCGACCTGGTCTGCTATCTGATGGTCGTACAACGGCTGCTTTGGACGCAGAGGACGCGCTGTGGGGACATGCCGGGGTGCCGGATCCGGAGCGGAGCCAAAAAGCCTGAAAGAAATATTTTGTTTCCATGCGTGGGGAAACGGGTCATCTGGGGAAGTCATTAATTTCAAATTTGAGGTTTCGGCTGTGGAGCGGCAGTGCCGCCCAACAACCTGTGTACACAAGGAACAGTGCCATGGGTCGATGACAGGCCTTCCTTCTTTCTTTCATTCCCGGGCCCGTCACGACGTATATAAGGCTGCCTTCAGTCTCTTTCCCGCTCCCATCTCGCCCTCCCTCCTCACACGCCTTCTACAACTTCTCGGTCATACCAACATGAGCTCAGTTCTTGAACACAAACTACCCAACAAGATATCCTATGACGGTTTGTGTCCAAGCCTGCCATCGCACACTGCTCGTTATGACCAATCCACGAAGTGAGTCTTATTTAAGTTTTTTTTTGGTTTAGATCCTCTCATTAAGTATCTTGCTCTAGGGTCACCCCCACGCCACGGATGATTTTGTCACCGATGAATGAGAAGCTGAAACTCGCGCCTGCATATTTGCTCCCCAATTGGAGAGCCTTTGTCCATCCAGAAGGGCAAATATATTTTGCGCGATCCACGCAACCGGTCGTGGTCACCGAGGCCTGCATTTCCATCCAGAAAGTCGGAGATGAGATTTCTGCCTGGACGGCGCTGATCGAGGCTCGGATCGTTGACCTCGGGATCTATCTCACGGCGTCCGTAGAAATTTGGATGAACTTGGGCGAGACAGAGGGGACGTTGCAGTACTATTTCATCGACCATTCAAAGCACTCCGTTTTTTGGCTCGATGACTTGCACACGGCGGCCGTCGGTCTTCCCGAATCGGTGTCTGCGTCCCATCTTCGTGAGTGCTTTCGCTTATTACATAGACAATGCCAATCACTGACGCTCGGCCCCCATTTTTCTCGATTGTTCTCGCAGAGCACGCAATAGAGGAGAATTACTGGAGTCATGTAGAGCAATTCCCGTGTCATGGGCAAGGGGCTTCATTGTCTGAGGTCGACGATCTCATTAACATCATGTTCCATGCTCGCGCAGGTCAGCTTTCCGGATGTGTCTGTCTTGGGAACCGCATAACTCACCCACAGCTGTAGATCAACTGACATCGGACAACTCTACTTTTCCGTACACGGCAGAGGAATGCGCCACCTTCCTTCAGTTGTTGCGTGAGAGCCGAGGTTCGCATTCTGGATCCTTCAGCAATGGCGCTTGTTCGGTACTGACATAGGACTTCTTATCCTGCTAGATCGCATCTCGGACGCTCGGATCACTTGCTTTGTCGCACGGATATGGGGTGTCATCGCTCTACACAGACACCAAATCCACTACGGAGAGGAGGTCTGCCGGTTGTCAAGAACACAGCCGATTTTGGAGGCTATGCCAACGAAGTCGAGCTTTGTCCACCGAGCACTCTCACGGGTGCTATTCGGCGTTCCTGAAACATACCGGTCACAGCTCGATGATCTCTATGTGGACAATATTCTCTATCTCTCTCAATGGGAAAAGTTTGTCAAGGAAGTGTCCGCTGAGTACAGGACCTCAACGCAATGGGTACGTCGACACGCCTACCCTGGTTATACTTACGCTGGCTGATCAGAAACAAAAGACATTTGCTTTGCTGCTCGCGGCTCTGTTGATGGTTCCCCTTGCTCCTATGCCCGTCGTCTCGGTCGCCTGTGTGGCCCTTTGCGCAGGCGGTGTTCTGATGGGCTTGGTCTTGTCTCAATACACCGACAGCTTGTCAAAGTTCTCATCTGTTGATGCTGTACGTCTACTTCGTGTCTTTTGCCGATTCGCACCTCCTAATCGCAAAACTATTACCTCAGTCCGACTTCCTCAAATCGCACAGGACGCAATATGGTTTTGCGGCCATCGCTACCGTCTTCAGTATCCCGAAAGCTCTCCTCATGTGGTCTGCCAACATTTTCGCTCTCCAGTGCTTGCTCTTGCTTTGCCTCTTCGTCAACCCCTTCGTTGCGGCCTTCGGCGCCGTCGTTGTCGGGTCTGTGGCGTACGCAATCCGGAGGACATTGTGGCCTCGCGTCCGCAATGAGGATGTCGAAGAAGCTCGTGTCAACGACTCTCCAGTCTAAGAAAAGTTAGTTCTACATAGAGTAGATACACGCACTTCATCGGCGTTTCAAAGGGGTTGCATTGCAGAAGATCAGAAAAGTTGTGTACTACTTGTAAGAGCATATTCCGTTTTCCGGCGATACCACTTCCTCTCGTCTGCGACACCTTTCACCATCCTCATCGCATCTCATCCGGGCTTTCAGTTTCTGAGCATCATGGACTCTTTTACGGTATAATCACGCACGAAAATCCACGCTCCTTCTACCCTTCCTAGCACTCACCTACTTTACGTAGCTTTATTCAAGTAGCTCATTACGAAGCTCATGTTCGACTATCGTATCCTCTCGAGGATCCCAATGACCGTTGTGTCTTCCGGCATCTGGTCTTGTTGCGTCGGGTTATGAGCTTGGCAATGTACTTCCTGAATAATGTACATAATGTTTCCCCCTTGGTTCGAGCTTACTCGATATAAATCACGATTTTCCATCAGTCGCGGTGCGTGATTGAAGCGATTGTGCGTCCTTGCAGTGGCGTGCTTGTACGACTCATTGTGTATGTACAACAACGCCGACCAGAACATGCGAGTACAGCGCGACTGCAACGATACTTTCTGACGTCTATAGTTTCCTCTAGACACTTTCTAGTCTTTTTGATCTTAAAGATCGGTCAGACTGGTGGTATGTAGCGTAAAGCAAGTGCTGTCATCCTTCCGCTAGATACGTTGACCTGTTTGCGAAACAACAGTCAAGGTTTTCTCACGTATATGGACAGGCAGCTTGACAATTAGTAAACAGACGCTTTGTGGGCATGATGTCGGAAGTCCCGGCAGATAAGGCTTACTGTAAACTAACACTGTGGTGAGATCGATTGATACTAACCCGCCGTTGTGCCAGTGCATAGTAATGCGTAGCACCTGACCTCGGGAGTCCCGACAGGTATTCCCTAACAGGGCCACCAAAACGATACCTTGACTGTCATTTACATAGTAGTCAGCCTTTGGAATCCAGATTGTGTTCAAGGTGCAGATGGTGGTCAGTGACATCAGCGTGCTTTCCGAAGAGTTCTCCGAAAAGCCTATCACATCGTGCCCTTTGCAACTCGCGATCTAATCACGGGTAACCATAACCATAGACCAGGCGCAGATAGTTGCAATCGTGCCGTTCGACAATCTATCCAACACACTTTGGATAATCACCGCTCCAATTATTGGCCTGCTCTGGTCAGCTTGTGCCGAGTGGTCGTCCTCTCGTCTTCTGACCTTCAAAGCTCGTCACGAAGGTCTTGTTCCTGGAAGCTGGAGGCCCGAAACGGAGTTTCTAGATCTGTCCGTACTTTTCGACTTCGCGATGACAATTAGCATTCTGGACGCTCTCTCAGACATAATTGCCATTGATCGGCAACGGCAGCCTTTTTTCTCCACCATATATAAGCTGAAGCTTCCTTCCGCAAGGTCTTCTTCTTTGTCTTGCCCACTCCCCCGTTCTCTCTTCCCAGACCTCGATTCAAGCCCCTATCCACCATGTCCGGAGCAAGATTCGAGTCTAACGGTATCCCACCCCCAAATATAGACCTTCCGGTACGTTCTACGAATACTCCTTCCTTGAACATCGACCACATACGTTCTTCTGACTGACTGACTGACTTTGAAACCGTCGTTGCTCTCAGTTTCCCGAAAGACCGGAGGTCGTGACGGCCAACCTTCTCAGGATCACGGAACTCGTCCCAGACTCGTGAGTATCGTCTCATCTTCGGAGCGCAAAAATATCGTTGACGCTGGATTACATTCTCAGCCGAATGCGAGAAGTCCTGGGCGGTCTCACACGACACCTTCATCAGTTTCTCCTCGAAACAAAGTTCGTCTGTCTCCGTTCCCCTTGACGCACTATCCTTGACGCTCGTCGTTCGCCTGGCACAGGGTGACTGCAGAGGAATGGCAGGCAGGAATCCAGTTCTTGACTGAAGCAGGCGCCCAGTCCAGCAAGGTCGGGAACGAGTTCATCCTGTTGTCGGATGTGTTCGGCGTTTCAGCGTTGGTGGACACCATGAATAACCCGCCGCTGAAGAATGCAACGGAGAGCTGTCTTGAAGGGCCTGCATTCACTCCGGATGCCCCGGATAGTGTGTTATTCGTCTCACGATTATGCCCGTATACGTTTTGCTGACAGGCTCCTTGTTCGGTTTTGTTAGTTCCAAACGGAGGGTCTATTATTGACGACAAGGACGGGATTGGAGAGTCCGAGTATCTTTATGTTGAGGGACAGGTAACGAACACGGATGGCAAACCACTCCAGAACGTTGTTGTCGAGACATGGGAAACCGACGATGAAGGTTCGCTTCTCATTATCACCATCACACTTTCTCTGACACGTTACCCGCAGGAATCTATGATATCCAACACGATGTACGCGACAAGCCCAACGGAAGGGGTCGTTTCCGAACAGACTCTGCGGGCAATTTTTTCTTCAGAGGTGTCGCCCCTTCACCCTATCCTATCCCTGAGAAGGTAAGTCTACAATTCACGCACTTCTTTGCTTATAATTCCATGAACCTCATCTCACATGTTCGTATGCTCGCTTGCGCTAACGATGGCAATGACCGGATAGGGTCCTATTGGGACACTGCTCAAGGTCTGGAATCGACACAATATGCGTGCAGCGCACGTCCATTTCTCGTTCCAAGTGCCAGGATATCGTTCATTAACTACTCAGCTTTACCCCACCGGAGACAAGTGGGCGGCTTCGGACTGCGTGTTTGCACCGAAGAAATCACTCCTCATCGTAAGTTCTGTTCCGTTCTCTCGATCCCTTCTCCCGCTATAGACGTCTAACATGGATGGATAGGACTTGGAGAAAATAACAGACCCAGAAGAATCGAAGAAGCGCGGTATCCCGCAGGGCGCGCCTTTCAAGTTAATGAAACGCAATTTTGTTCTGCTTTCGGAAGAGGAGTCGAAAGAGGCGGAGCAAAGGAAGCGTCAGGAGGTCCCTGATGTTGCAGGCCTGAGCATTCATTGAAACAGGGCGCCGCTAGAAGTAGCGCTTGCGTGGACCAATGGGTTGGATGATCCTATAGATCGATGTTCTCGGTACGCGATTGGGTCATGTATTATATGTGCAGCCTCGACATGACGGAGTCATCCGCCGACTTTCCCGTATTGTCATGATGATCTCCATATGCATTCACAACTTATTAGCTATCTGTGGAGAGACTTAAGGGCGATATTCTCTCGCGAAATTCCAAAGAGGGGAACGTTCGAATCTGCGGTGGGGACCAAGCATGGGACGGCTGTGACGTCTCGCGAGGGGCATGCCATTCGTTGACTTCATTGAAGCTCCATACGAGATTCTGCGAAGTCTGGCCGGCGAATGCTACGTCCGGATTCTATGCCTTGATCTGTTCGATAGAATGGAGTATGAAGTTACGAAAGCGATACAGAGACATGCATCTTGTGGACGGACCCCAGGCTCGCCCACAGACTGCGTGAAATGCTCGAGAGGAGGTATATGGTGCTGCCTTACACAGATGCTCATGCGGCTAACCACATGATATCCGTCGTATTCATATGTTTCAAGCCTAGGATGAAAATGAGGACGTCGGAGAATACCGTTCTCGAAGTGGTCATGGCCACGGTCATGCTCATTAGAGCTCGTTAGTTGATCCTATATAGGACATTCCAATGACTGCATGAAGAAAGCAGTGATAATAGCAAAGAATGAACGCCACCTGTCAGGTGTCGATGAACATTCCACTACCCCAGTATAGCCATCGATCTACTGTTAGCTGCATGAAGTTCAGTTGACATTGAGTAGACAGGATTAAGCACTTCTACCGATTGCAGGAACCTCGGCCACATGTTGCCTGGATAGGTCTGCAAAAGTTCTGCTCAATAAGCAGTGAACAAAAGGGGGGACATGGCCACGGCTAATGTGCCCTTACCAATGGCTACAATTTCTCGCAATCATCTACTGACTGCCTTGAGATCGTGTCTGTCCTACCCGTTCTATTCTACGAATGCCCTAGTTAGCCAAGTATCACAGGATAAACCAATTTAAAAGCTTCATACTAGGATAGGCCTGATTTGTAGCTATCCCTTGGAGAATCTCGTTTTGCGCGGTCAGGAGCTGAACCGGTTCATCCCACATGCCGGGGTTCGAAGGATCTGAATCGGGCAATACACCGCCTCGCAAGGTAGCTCCTCTGGTCCTGGGTGGCCTCCTGGTATGAGCGACTGAGAGTTCGGTGTGCTCGGCGCGGTGAGAGGTGTATGGAGCTGATCATTAGATAACGACTGTCAATGATCGTGAGTAACGAAGGGCTGTGACTGATGCATGTCATCTTTGCAGATATTAGTGTGGTGAAAGGAGACCATGAGGTGGGGCACGCCGTAGACCCTGATAAAAGAGAACCTCTGACGGACTCTGTTCAGGCTGAGAGAAGGATCAAGCATGTAGAGGTAGACGTCGTGACTATTGGTTGTTCATTCTTCGGGCACCTTCCAGTATTAGCACAAAGATCAGCAGAAAGAAATGCAGGCATAAAGATAAACTAGTAAGGAGTAGGGAAACGTCAAAATCGAAAGGCCAAGCACAGGAAAGGAGAAGAAAATAGCTGGTCCAAGTACGCGCCGAGAACTGTAGAGAATAGTCCAGTGGCCACGCGGCCGACTAGCCTACTGACATCTCATCCTCCACCCAGACTTGCCTCGCTCAGATTTGAAGGTGTTCGTCCAAAAGACACAGGAGGCAGAGGCAGAGACGAATCCTTCATGCCGTTCGCGCGGTGTTCTCGCGCGTGCGCCTGCCGAACGTACGCATACCGCTGGAAGTGGTTTAGAGACTGCAAGAACTGCACGCCGATCTGATGACAATAAAGGACAGCCATTAGCAGGATATTCCTTGTGGTCAGACCAGGTGTGCGGACACGACGCGGCGATTTAGTGACGAGAAAGAGAGCATAACAATACTGACCGGAAACATGCGTATATGGGTAAAGAGGTCCACTGTCAGCTCCCTGATGACCTCTTGTTGATGCAGCAAACCGAAGCTCAATGGTAGTAGACCACCAACGTGAGGAGGTAGCACAGCTAGAAGCTGCACAGAAGGATGGACAGGGTTAGGTGGAGAGTTCATATTATAAGGAATTAAAAAGCCCAACGCACCTCCACGACTTGGTCGTACGTCTGAATATTCTCTGCCATCGTCCGTATAATCGCCTCCGCCTCCCCATCCTGCATCTGTTTGACATGCCGCAGTCGGTGTAGTTGGTGGAGCAAATCGAAACCTTGGATGGCGTTCGTTTCCAGACCTTTTCGGAAATCCTGTAAGACCACCCATTACAAATTTAGCCCTAGTGTAAGGCGAAAAATTGACCGTGGAGCGGCGACGTACCTCCTGGAAATAATGATACGTCTGTGTTCGTCTCCATCCCTCGATCCGACTCGCGTTCGCCGTCACCTCCCTCGCACCAGCAGCCTCGTCCAGGAAAACCATGCCGCTCCCGAGCTGTGAGCTATCTCCTGGACCTTCGCTGAATACGGTGCTCGGATACCCAATCGTCGTCATTCCGAGTACGTCCTCCTCGTACCGCGACGCTAAGCGAATGAATCGCATGAGATATTCCGTGAATCGTGCGCGGACGAGGCTTTCCCCAAAGTGGTAATTGATGGCGGAAATGACCTGGAGCACGCAGTCATGGTCGGTAAGCCGTCATAGGGCACAAAAATCCGGACCATAAAGGATACATACATCTTCGATGAAGGCATTATCCCCTCCATCCGACTTCCCAGCGAAGTTACTCTGTGCTTGCCCTGGCATGGGTTCCCTTCGTCCGGCGTCTTCTTCACTGCCTATCGAGGTCTCTGTTTTGAGCGTCCCTGTCCGCGAGATCAGCGGCGGAGCACCAGAAGGTGGTCCAGATGGAGGATGAGCGGTCAGAATATCTTTCGATACCACGACTCTACCCGTCCCGACGTCGCATAACAAGTCCCAAGAGCCTGATGTCTCGAAGATAGGATTCGTCACACCCGCGATATACGCTGGTCTAGGGACGCCGAAGGAGCGAAAGTGAATGAGCTCTAAAATCGAAGAAGGGGGAGAAACACGACGTACATTGACTCCCACTCCTCTCTGTTCGTCAGGTTGGCATAAGGGAAAGCGCGCTCGATGAACCCTCTGAATATGGTACCACAGCCGGAGCCCAAAGCACATGCGGACAGGACGTAACTGGAGACTTGCCCAGCGGGTCGTTGATACCCCAAGAAAATGATCCGTTTGCCTGTGACAAGGGCATTGAACAAGATCATGATCGGATGCGTTGCTGGTCCATTTGTGTGAAGATGTGGATGGAGGGGTCCTGACAGCGTTGAAGCGGGACTGGAGAAGGTTTGAATGAGTTGAATGAGGGAATACTGTGCAGAAGGGAAGTGACTGTCAGGTCGTGTCGAAGGAAAAGAAGTCAGAAATGACATACATCGCCAACCTCCTCCGGGAACGTCGAAAGTGGCATCTTGATCGGCAACTGGTGCCCCTCGTAGTCAATGACTGTGTGGAAAAAATGCGTATCCTTGGCGTAGGCCGGCCTCAGATGTGTGTCTGATGAACTCCCATTCGCCATGGGGGTCGCCATACTGCCAATAGAGCCATGATAGTTCACGTAGTCTTCCTTCCTCGTATGATGCGACGATGAGCTCGAAGCATCCGTAGACCGCCGGCCTCGTCCTAATCCAACCGCCGTCCCTACGCTCCCATTGCTCACACTCTCCTGATCCACCAACCCACTTTCTTCTCCAACCCAGACCGCCTTCCCGCCAAGCGAGAACGAATCCTCCGACGGCACGACGGAATAATGCGAGCTCTTCGTGCTCGCTTGAGTACCCGATCGCTCCCTGCCTTGAGCTTGGGAAGGCTGCTGTTGTTCCTTCGAATTCCCGCCTGTTCGCATGATGATGCCTTCTTCGAAGCTGGACCGCGAGTCGACTGATGCTTTTGGTGCGTGAAGGCCCTTGGCTTGCGAGTTGTGCGAGGGGTTGGGGGACGGCTTCGGTGGGACGAACTTTTCTGCAAAGACGTCTTTCCGCTCCGAGTTACGCATGACGAGTTTCTCGAACCGGTGGAATGTGGGTGCGGCGGATATGTCCATCGAGTTGATAGAATCGAAGAGGCGCGCGAGACAGTCCTGTGATGGATTGGAGAAATAGGCGTCTAGCGCCAGTAAAAGGACAGGCTAAAGGAAAGAAAGTTGAATACGCGATGCGGCGGGAGAGACCACGGATGTACGCACCTTAAATATCTGAATGAAAGGGTATCTGGTGCACACGGCCATGGCTTTCACAACAGCACCTCTAAGTCCGCTCTCAGTCCCGTTCGTGTATTCTCCTGCCACAAACCCATTGAGAAGGTACGCACCTCCGGACGGTCTTGTCGTGCTTCGTCCTCACTAAATTAAGCACGTACAACAGCTCTGGCTTATCCACATCCTCGTTTGCAGACGGCTTCTCGAGGGCGAGAACAGGTGCGATAGTGTTGAAGGGAGTTTGGTTGAGGAAGAATATCGTCCAGTCTTCGAGCTGCTTCTCGGCGCCATCAGGCAACATCAAGTTGGCGAGAAGTCTGTTCACGACGTCGGTGGCGATTGAGTCCAGAGAGCGGTAGCGGTAGTGGAATGCATGCAAGTGTCAACCATACAATCTCCACCAAATAATAAAGCAGAACAGAGCGCACCCCTCATCCGTTCCGAGCGGTTGGGGGAACTGGTAAGTCAATTGCGCTCCCCGGTCGATATTGAATTCGGCAAGGAGGACGAAAGAGCAATGCTGCCCATCGCTGCCGCTCATTACAGACTCGTTGTCGAGTGATTATTTAAAAGTGTATTTCCAATGGCGAATTATACAGAGGGAAGAGGGTATAAGGGCGTAGGAGGAGGAGGATAAGGATAAAGATCGAGCTAATGAAAGAAGATGCTGCCGTCCAAGCTCTAATGATCCCCAACTCTGTTTACCGTTTTCGGACGGCTAGATGCGATTGGCGGTGTGGCGTAGGTAGGAAGATGTGTGGCCCATGGCCCATCCGGAAATCATGATAATTTATCGCATCAGATATGGTGCTATCATTGCCTTGACTCTAGTTCCATCTCGCATATGGAGAAATACATGAAAGACAACGCGGCGAACTTGCGATTGTTCCAACAGGCCACGCAACTACTAAACATTACACCCCATGGTAATACAGCACATGTACATCTTCGTGTCGTATGACATCTTTGTCCCGGTCTTTCCTTCACTTCGAGGCGCTCTCACCAGCCACCCTCCCAAATACTACTGCCTCGAGAAGACTGGAGCCGCCAAGACGATTCTTACCGTGGACGCCACCGATGACCTCGCCGGCCGCGAACAGTCCGGCGATTGGCTTTCCTGAGGCGTCGAGGACCTGGGCAGTCGGAGAGATGGATATGCCTCCCATAGTCTGCGCAGAGGATCAGAGTTAGAGATTGTATGAGGAAGGTGTTATCCAAAGGGACAGAGTGGACTCACGTAGTGAACGACGGGCGTCATCAGCGCAACATAGATTGGTGTCTCAGTATCGTATGTAGAGTTACGGAAGTGCTCTGTAGAATATGCGCTTCAGCAAGAATACTTCAGCGGATACTGAGATGATGGCTCAACTCACGTTTTCCGAAGGGATCTGGCTGTTTTCCGCTCGCGTACTCTCCATGGCTAGTGAAAGTCTCTCGCAACTGCGCTCCAGACACGCCCGTTGTTTGCGCAAGTTCGGCGACATTGGCGAAGGACTTCATCAAGCCTTTGGAGATGTAGAAGTCACCTGTGCCATGATGCGAATCAGTACGATACCGTCAAATTCGTTCCAGCGAACGGACGTACAATGGGCCTTCAACTCTTGATAGCTCTCCTCATTCAGGATCAACCTCACCGGCCCATCACCCGCCGCAATAACCTCCTGCATCTTCTCCGTCACAAAATCCCTCCTCTCAACCTCATTCACGAATCTCCGCCCTTTTCCATCCACGAGGAGACCACCTACCCCTCTCAGAGCTTCAGCAGCGAGGAACTTTGTCTTCGCGTCTGGGTTTGCGGGGTCAATGAATCCCGTCGGATGAACTTGGACTTGATCCATGTCGATGAGTGAGGCGGATACGGAGGTGGCGAGACGGTGTCCGTCGCCGGTGGAGTGGTCGCCGTTGGTAGTGGGGAGCTCGAGGAGGTCGGGTCGGTATGAGGAGAGGAAGCCAGTTGATGAGAAGTCTGCGGCGTAGCCACTATAGATCCTTATGAGCACCATCAAACAAAAGTACATACTTGAGTAAACTCACCCAGTGCTCAAAATAACAGTCCCTGTAACTCGCTCAGTCTTCTCCCCGACCTGATATTCAACCCCCGTCACCCTCTCACCTTCTCGAACCAAACCAACCACCTTCGCGCCCTTCACAAGTGTAGCTTTCTCCGGCGTCTCAGCTGCGGCCTTCTCCAATTTCTTGATCAGAGCAGATGTCATCGCCCATCCCGGTGCGCCACCTTTCCCTCTGTGAGTTCGAGGGATGGCATGGCCACCGAGTCTGGAGACGAGTGAGAGGTCGACCGAGAATGAGGTCGAGAGCCATTCGAGGGCTGGCGCGGAGTTGCTTGTGAGGGTTTCTATGAGTTGTGGCCTTGCAAGGTCGCCAGCGGAAATAGTAGTATCCGCAATGCTAGGTACACGGTCGTCCCTATGAGATCGGGCCACGACGCTTCAGTTCAACATGGAGACTCACAAATCCTTCACAGAGTCTTTGATGTCAAGCGCTCTTTGAGCCGGAGTATCCGCTCCATTGATTCCAGAGCTAGCTTTGACTGAGTTGCCTCCAAAGCTGTCAAGCCGAGTTAGCCAGTCTCTCGCAAGGTGCCCTCAGATAGAGTGACAACTCACGAGGGCTTCTTGTCCAGGACTGTCACAGTTCCTCCTCGTTCAAGCACAGTATGAGCAGCCGAAAGACCAGCAAGACCGCCTCCGACCACAATCACACGTGAGCTTGATGGAGTTGTTTGCGACATGATGATGCTACGAGACCAAGGTCGACACCAAGGGACGCGGTTGCAGAGAGTTCGGGAGAGTAACAGAACGGCGAGCGAGGTTATGAAGACGAGTGATCCTAATGATAAGCAGCGCTTAGAAGAGCGAGGTGTACGCATATGAAGTCCCCTGTCGTTGCGCCCGCACGACTATATAACGCCATGGGTAGGGATGGACATAAACCGATGGCGCGCTGGCGTGTAAACGCAGCTTGTAGTCATCTTCTCGGCCATTCCAGGAGGGCCGGTCACGGGTTCTAGAACATAAAGCCCATACAACGAGACTGCAGCTAGAACGATCCAACAAAGTTGTCTATTGAAGAAACGATACTCGAAAATATGCGTGAAAGATGGAGGAGGAAGAGGAAACAAAGAGGAAAAGGATGACTGGACGTCTTTTGGAGGTTGCGCGAGCGCGTTCGCCCGCCGATCTCGCCACTGTGGCGTCTTTCGGAATGCACATTGAGGGGACAACTGACTGTGAGAGGAGGATACATCGGTGATACAAGTTACATAAGTCAAGGAGAGATCGTAGTATTACTGAAGGTCATACAACAACACAGTGTACATGTCTCTTCGCTTTCCTAGTCTGCGTTGGAAACACGCCCGTCTGCCCCTTCACTCGTAGTTGCCTCACAAGAACCTGGAAGGTTCGCTCTAGATTCATGGCTGTCTTCGCTGATGTCTCAGAGAACTCGCATCCAAGTTTCTTCGCCTTCGCGATCCCTTCTTCCCGAGAAACCTCTCGCTGATCAGTCTTGTCGCTCTTGTTCCCGACCAGAAGGAATACTGGTTTCTCCTTCAAGCCATGTCGATGTGGTTTGAAGGAGTAGTTCTGGAGTAATTGTGAATGGTGGGCGTCGATGCCGTCGAATGATGATCGGGAGGTAACAGAGTATATGAGGAGGAATCCATGGCTTTCCCTGTATAAATCGCCTTGGTCAGCCACCAGTTCGATACACTTGAGGGCACATGTCGGATTTGAGCTATCAGAGATGTAGCATGCTTACTGAAAACATCGGTGGCTAGGGCGCAAGGGCTCTTTTTCCCAACGAGGATCAATGATACGAATATCACACATTTGATAGTCGATGAAAAGCCGCTTTGTATCATCGCGCTCTTCTATGTTATGCTGCATGGACCGGCGTGTCCAAAACTCTGGATCAGCAATTGTAACAGGGTGTCAGAATAGATAACGTTGGAAGCCAACCTGGTCTATATGGATGCAATAATGTCGTCCAGATACGCACGATGAGTTAGAGTGAAATCAGTCCACAGAGGAAAAAAGATAAGACCTATGATCCAAAAGGCTTACACGCCACATCCAGGACGAACTGCGAAGGGATCAATATGAAAGTTTAAACTTCAGGACGTTTTGGATGGTATGAATTGAAGTCCATACATAACTTACCTGCGTAGCGATGGCGGATTTGCCAACGCCACGATCGCCCAAAAGACCTATGATCCAACTGTCAGGCGCTGGACCCGACATAGTATTGAAGTTCGTCCTCTCTTGACTAGAAACGCGGAATCTTAACGGAGAAAGGATAGACAAGTCGGAGTAACTGGTCCTGTTGTCTGGGGACTGAGAGGGTAGTGACGAAGCTTGAGTTTGCAGGATAGCGGGTGTGAGTCTGAATCACTGAGAATCAGAAGATGGCGCGCCCGAGGAGATGGCTTGGCATCTCAGCTGAGCCCTATGAGCGCTTAGCATTGAGTTATTCTCAGAGAGCAAAGCGATAGCATCAGTATTAGGGAAAGTCAAATTTTGCCAGCTGAAGCACCCGCTCATGATGGTGGTCTACGAGAAGAAGCGCGGGCAGGTGGCATCGAGCGGTCGCGAATTCCAGCGTGGTCGGACAGAACCGGGTGTGGCACCGTAGATGCGCTGTGTCAAAACTGGTGTGGCGCTAGATGGGACAACCTGCATAAGGAATCCTCGCAAATTACTTAGAAAATTTTTTCATAGACGAGAAAACCGTGATGTCCGTAGATATACAAGTACAAACGTCCGAAACGCAACTAAGGCCGAGGTGCTCACAACAACACAAACCAGAGTCTGTCGATGATCAACCATAGATGACCAGGTAAACTGGAATAATTGCATCGCTTCGATACACAATAAGCTCGTCATAGTTCAGCGCCTTCCCGACTTCTCCAACAACCTATGTACGTGAGCAGTAGAATAATGATGAATAAATACAACTCGTGATGGACAGTCCAGCCTGAAAGTCAACGACCTACCGAATCGTATCCCCGAGGAGGCTTCGTAGCGTTCTCCATGTTCTGCTTCGACTTGTAGGCTCTTCCTACCGCGACTTTGCTCAGGATCATCGCTTTGAAAGGTGAAGAGGTTGCAGAGTGGGTGTTCTTAGCGTAATCGTTTGATCTAATACGAGCGCCGGGGAGAGCACCATTAAGCTGCTGATCAGCTCATGAAAGACCAAAATAATGGATTGGTACGCACTTGGAAGATGTAGAGGACGTGTACAGGCCACAACCGAATCTATGGATTGCAAAAAGGACATGCATATCAGGGGTCAGGGCCACGATATGTAAGTTTGGGGAACAACAGACCTTCCCCAACCAGTTCGCTCTCCAAAGTGCTTCAGGTCGAACGAGTTGCGGATGATGTTGCACAGAGAGCAAGATGTATGAGTGCAAAGTTTGGTATGACCAGGGTCACCAAGCTGGCATGCCCGTTTCGTTCTATGTGGTGGTGTAAAATATAAGAAATTGTGAATACTTGTTCGGATGTGAAAGCTCCGTGAAAATGCCTGACACTGAGGAGAAAGGACTCACCCGTGCCACCGACGCTCTTCGTTCCCCTCCGCAAGATTCTGTGATTGAAAGTCTTCGGCATTTTCTAGGGCTTGCCTACCATCGTTCCAGTTAGAGGAGACCCGATGTAAGAAGGACAACATATGCACGCACTTGTACGCCGTGTACGCATCAACTGAGGGTGCATCGCCTATGATCTGGTAGATCTTCGAGACAGGTGGACAAGTCGTAGGATGTCTCCACGTCACCTCGAACTGGTGTGCGACTACATATCCAGACGGGGAACGACCATCAGAATTCAGTACCATCCGACAAGGGAAGACAGCCGTACCGCTCTGAAAGCGATGATACCCAGGCGAAAGCTCGACAATGCCCGGTCTGGCGCAAGAGAACCACAATTAGACTCAGAGATAGGGTCATGAAGATAACATCATGCTACTCACTTCTTTCCCGTTGTGTTCCCATTCACCGACCGATCCTTCCTAGCACATGATTCGCTACAGTAATCAAGCGTCTTGCCAGAGGCGGGGTCGTACTCTTTCTCGTACTCATTGCAATACTGATCAGGAAGGTATCAGCATCGTCGTATACGTGTACCTATTGGAGGAAATCGGAGGACGAACCTTGCATGCCCGAGAGGCACACGTCTTGCTGCAGAACGCAAACGTCCACGTCCCTCTGGACTCCCTCGGGCGCACCTTGCAAAACTAAAAACCGATCACACACGACTTCAGAACGATCTTCGAGACCAGACTCGTAGTGCCATCCATTCACAGCGTAGACGAACCTTACACGTCTCATCATCGGCCGAAGTGAGACTACCGCCACCTCGAGCCTTCGCCTCCTGAGCACACGTCTTCCCGCAATAATTATACGCCTTGACACCGTCGTCAAACTTTGGTTTCAGTCCACATTCCTGTCATCATATAGCCGTGTCCATATCAGTGTGCGGTGAGGGTTCGACTCCAGTGATAGGTGAGGCGTGAACAGTCGACGTACGATGCAGAGGTTGGTCATAGACGCCTTCGCCTGCAAGGCGCAGGTCCTCCCACAAAAGTCGTGCGTCTTTCCCGTCGCGCTGTCATAATATTTCGGTCGTACACCGCAGTACTGCAAAAGACGACGATTAGCAATGACTGGAAACGAAGGGCCGAAAGCTAGGGATTGACTCACGTCACACATATTAGACATGTTATCAAGCCTCAGGTGGGAGTGGGCGGTGAGGATAGTCGCGCTTCCAGCAAAGAGGGACAGAGGGAGACAGAGAGATATGGATCCTCGTCCAGACCGCGGTCTCTACCGTTAAATACCCACTGAAGAGCATCGATAGAGCGAAACTTCCATGCAAAAGTCAAGTCTCACGGCCGAAATGAGAAGTTGCCTCCCCAAGTCCACGCCGTGAACGTTTTGTGATGATGATTGGAAGCAGCGATGTGGCTATCCGTATCCTGAATGATTGGCGCCACCCCTCGTTCTATGGAGGATGGCTGTACAGAGCGGGAACATGGTGACCGCGTGTTCAAAGCACTGTTGCGGCGAGCTGTTGGCTGAATATCGCCCTTGTTGAGCGTGGCCGATAGGTGATTAAGTGATGTCGTCGATACGTTGGTAGGACTTCCAGCTGCAAGACAAGACGGACACTGCCCGGAGAGAGCATGACAGAAACGACAATAATGATTGGAAAGGCGGACGACAAGCTAGAACCACCTGCAGTCAAACCTACTGATTCAGACCCATCGAAATACATGAGCGAGCGATCATCAACCCGAACAAGATCTTCACAGAAGCCAGGAATACAGAACAAAGCCACTTACACTCCCCACGCAATACCCATATAACTATCCCCCAGACTGCCATCAGCCCTCGTCATCCACATCTGCCACCCACCCAAACCTCAAGCCGCCATGAACGTCTCCGCCACATCCACCTCCATCCCTCCCATCGCTTCTCCTCCTGGCCCCTCAGCCGCCCTCCCAACTCTCCTCGCCTCCTTCCTCGCCTTCTTCTTCCCCTCCCTCTCCTTCTTCCTACTTCCCCCAACCATCCCCCCAACAGGCCTCGCCGCAAACCCACTATTCATCTTCCTCATCCTCTTCGGCGCCCTCTCTCCCTCCGGAACACCAACGACGCCCCTACCCGTGTTCGTGTTCGTGTTTGACGTCGAGTCATTAGGAACGATCGAGGGCGTAGGCGAATGCCTCCGTTTTCTCGGATTGGAAGAGGAAGAGATGGGCAAGCCGTCGTCTGCATCCATTTCATCCTCGTCTGGTAGGAACCCCCCTGCATCACCTTCGCCCTCCACTTGCATTCCGTCGTCGCCCTCATCTTGGGGGCCGTTTAGGGCCTCCTCGTCCGCTTGGCCGAATAGACCCTCGAGTGTGAAGACGGGTGCGAAGCCTGTTACGATTTGTGCTTGGCCTACGGATTCGGCGCCAGGGGCTATGATTCCTGGGGCTAGATGATGGACGTGTAGGATATCGCCACACATCGCCACGCCACACCACACAACAAACGAAAAGGGGAAGATAGCAATAAGACATCCGACCGTAAAATCTTGACAGGAGAAACGAGAGATGTGGTAGAGTGCAGTAGAGGAGGTAAGGGAAGGAAAAAGAGGTAAAAACGTACCAGTGACGGAAGGCATAGACGACGGGTGGATCGTCGGCGGCGTCGAATAGAACGGGATCTTCTGGTGGTTCCAGTCTGCGAGGACTTGGCGGGCTGCGCCGAGAATGTCTGGGGTACCACCCTAGAAGGGGGAGAAAGAGAATGAAAGTTCAGATGATAATTTGGATGAAAAAAGAGGAAAGAAGACGCACCTTGAGCAGCTTCCCCGTACTCAACGCCAACATGGTCAAGAACTCAAGGCTTGATCCGAACTCGGGCAGATTATATATCTTCTGGATCTTCTCCCTCTCTGTGCGTGCGAGGATCTCCTCCACTAAACAAATCACCGGCCACCAAGGAGAATGAATAATTGTGAGTAGTGTGAATCAAACCGCGAAAGAGATAGCAGCTAGGGTTGGTATGAAAGTAAAACAAAAAGACTCACCGACCCCAACTACATCATCCACATCCTCCACCTTGACCACATTCCTCAATAAAACACTCGCCTTCTTATTCCCCTTTCCGTCATCGCTATCTTCGTCGAAGATCACACCGGGAGAATCTACGATCCGGAGCCCACGTTCGAGCTGGATGGATTGCAAGTCTTTCGTGTGGCCTGGTGTCGATGCGACGGCGCAGACCTGTTACATATTTCATCGGGACCAATTCAATCAGTTTCGAGTGCAAAGAAACGGATAATGTTCAAGAGTAGAGGTGAATCTGAGTGTAGACAGCCAGACAAATGTGACAAAAAGAACATTGAGTAAGAATACACACCTTCGCCCTCTTCAAAGTATTAATCAAACTACTCTTCCCTACATTCGGGTACCCGACCACACCGACCGTAACACTCTGCGCTGCGCTAGGCTTGTAAGCTTTCAGGAGCTTCATGAGCGCGGGTGCAGTAGATGAGGAGAGATTGGTGCGTTGATGGGAGGAAGACGAGCGGAAGGGGAGGGTTGGAGTTGAGTGGCGGAGATGGCGCAACCAAGAGAGGGCATTTTGTTTTGGCACGAGGTCTGAGTAGATGCACACAGAGAGTGGGAGAGTGCAAGATCAGCGAGCTACAACATGGAATAAGGGGAAGAAAGAGAAGAACGCACCAATTTTATTCAACACAAAGACCAACTTCTTTCCTTCTGCCTCTCTGCGCCTCACCTCCTCCTCCACAAGCCGACTTCTACACCCCTCCGGATCCCTAGCATCCAACACAAGCACGATCACATCCGCCTCATCAATCACCTTATGCAACGTCCTTATATAATGTTTTCTCAGCTGCTCCTTGGTTTTCCCTCCTAAACCTGACCCGGACGCTTCCCCCTCCCTTGTTTCACCATCGTACATCCCCGAGTCAGACCCATCACGAGACTGGTTCCGTGAGGCCTGTGCGGCGAGCTCAGCGAGGGATGAGAGCGTAGGCTCAGAAGCCATGATTTTGTCGGGATCCGCATCGGGGAATACGGAGGCGGAGGTGAGGGGAGACGCTTCGAGACGCTGTTTTTCGGAGATGCGGACTTTCAGGGAAGGAAGGCGGGGGATGCCTGGGTCTTTTTTGAGCTCTGGTTTGATTTCACCAGTGAGGCAGATAGATGGTTGATGGTCGACAGCATAAGAAGGTGGATTGGAGGGATAATTATCAGCAGCGTGGGGGTGAATAAAAAAAGAGAAAAAGACAGACTAGACTTTTGTGGCACTGGTTTGTGCGATTCTGTTCCGTTGAACGATTCGATGAGCACCGAGGATAAGAGGATCATATATATATGGACGGAGGAGAAGGCGTACTGACTGTTTCGCCCCATGGTCATAGGTTCAGAGAATCTGGTTGTGCCCGTCAGACAGCGTATCGTCCTAAATTACAGAGTTTTGGAGGCTTGAAAATATTTTTGCAGCGAACTATATAGAAGTCACAGGAAATTGTACAAAAAGCCTTGAGGTGAGACGGTACGAAAGGCAATTTCAAATTTCGTGTCGGTTTGCGAAAATGCAGTCGAATCGGCTGTGTGGCGGGAGCGTTGTGGCCCAAACTTGAACTTCACCAGACTATTTATATACCCGGCACGGGTCGACCCATGAGTGAAGGAAGTATCCTGAAGTATCACATTCGATGTAGCCACCACTTTTTTAAATCCCAACATCCACAACACACCATTGGCAAGTAATACAATCGGAGAGCAAACCAAGTACGAAAGTCGAAAGAATTCATAAACAGCATAATGCACGACGAGCTTCGCATCTACCAGTACTTACTCATAAGACATCTTCAGTCTGTGTTAGCCGCTGCTAAACTCATCTGATTGACTACGCAGATTGATCCGGAAGGCTAGACATGCTTGCACGTAGCCTCCTCCTCATCAAAACCATTTGTTTTTTAGACATCTTGGGTTTGACCGTTTCGCTGCCGCCACCGTCTTTCTCGATTTTCTCACCCTCCGAGGTCGCGTCATTCGCGGTCCCTTGCTGGCTCGTCGACTGCGTACTGGCAGCAATCGGATCAACGACAACAACACAGGTGGGCCTGGGATCGACTGCTGGAGTAATAATGGGTGTGGAAATGACAGTGGTCGTAATGGGTGCAGAGACAGCGTTGGGTGTAGGCGATGAGGATTCCGAAGCTATGGAGTCGGGTACGAGAGCAAGTTCATGCTGGGTGTCAACGACGGAAGTCGGTGCGGGCTGATGTCCGATTGCAGGTGTAGCACCTGGCTCGTTGGGGGCAGCGATGAGGATAGTAGGCTCGTGGGGAACAGGCACAGCGCCTCCAGCTAGATCGGCTACAGGACAGGATGACTATATTGATCGGAAGGTTGAGGCCTCGTGTCAGCAAGGAGGCCTAGCTTCTCCCTTACCAGCCCCAAAACGTCCTGCTCGTGCAAGGTGGGCATAGAATAACGGCCTTGCATCTCTTCCCTCGAACTCGCGATGAAATGTAAATCGCGAGCTCCAAGCCTCAGACCTTCCTCCAACGTAAGGAACTTCGGCCGCATACAAAGCTCGACAAAGCTCGGAACGATCCATTCCTGGACGTTGGAGTGGACCGCTTCGACGAGTTTGTCGACAGGAGATGCTATGGCGGAGAGTCTCTTGATGGCGAGGTTGCGGACTGTCATGAGCTCGAAGTCTGTCGCGAAACGGAGGAGGGTGGTCCAGTCTGTCACTGTATGAATGTCACCCTGTTCAACATCACTTGTTGAACATACGCGCATAACATAAGCTAAGGTCGCGAAAATAACTAGTAGTAGATAACATACCGGGGGCAACGGAGCGACAGGTATAATTCGGGGGCTTTTGACTGAACGTCGTTGAGTTGCACAAGATAGCTCCCGTCCGAAACGGCTCTCTCGATGAGAAGGGCCAGGCGGGAACCCTCGTCGTTCGGGAGGAGAAGTAGCTCCTTCGGGATGCAGAACCGGACTTCATCTGCCTAACAGTATAAGGTGAGATTAGCCTATACTCTGTGGAGCTACGCGTTGCGCAACAAAAGACACCTACCGTCCTCAATGTAATGCTCCTCCCAAAACACCACGCCGAGTCTCGTTTGAAGGTTTTCGGAGAGTTGGGTAACGGCGATGAACAGGGAATAGATGGAACTGGAGTAGCAATCCCAGACGACGGAGCGACGCTCGACATGTCGTTCTCTGAAGCCGACGATAAATCTTCGAAGTCGGAGTATCCTTCGAGGTCACTGAGGTTAGTCGAAGGAGCGCCAAACATCTATAGAAGTGGACGAGCAAGCAGTTCAGACCACAGAATCAAGCGACGATTGGGATGGAATGAGATAACGTACTGATGGGTCCGCCCACAAAGTGACTCAACGAACGAGCTCTGTAGTGTCCCAAAGGCAGAGTAGACAGGATTTTAACCAGCAAGCGAGGGTGTGTTGTGTTCGTACCACGCCACATATTTATCCTTGTGTTCACCCTTGTCGATCGACGGGTCCCCAAACGATCGAAGCAAAGGTCGTGGTGGGGATTCCTCATGGCGCAGCGGCCATCGCTGAATCCTCGATGCTGTTTGCACAGTATTAATAGGAAAACGAGAGTTTAGAAGCTAAAATGAGCGAAGAATGTGCGTCTTGGCAGATAGGAAGACGCCATTGTATGTACCACTCGCGAATGTTTCTCGTTTCTGCCATGTCAAAGACTCGGACGAAACGATAGCCTCAGACGTTCACTTGAAGAGGTGGTGTGTGATGATCTGGTCACCGTGAGACTCGAGTTGTTACAGGTAGGTGGCACAGCAGCAGTGGCATCACATTTACACAAACAGTCCTCCGAGCCCGGACAAAACCACACTACAGAAGTACGAGTAGAAGAATTCAGGTCCATGAGTACAGCAGTCCAAGAGCGTCGAATCCATGCACAGAGAACGCGACAGAGATGTCCCAGATAGTAGAAGCGCACGAGAGGGCTGATAAACTAGCAGCCAGAGAAAGCGGAACCTAGAGACGTGAGCGCAAACTACAAGCCGCCGCCGTTCAAAGCGAGAAGTGCGTTCTTGATCGTCGCTGCGAAGTGGGAAAATTGTTTGCGCATGGTCTCTGTAATTCCGTCGCCGAGGAGCGTGTCAGTATGTCTGATCCAAAGCACAGAGGTCCAAAATGATGCAAAACGCGCATAAGACGAGCATGTTGAAGTGGTGGATTCACGACAAGGAAGAATAGCGCGACATTGGGGAGGAAAAGTGAGGTAGTGATACCCAGCATACCGAAGCAACTGAAGGAAGGTGTTTCAGGCGACGATGACCGTGATTGGGACCTGCCTTGTTCGCGTTCCGTCTCCGTTACATCATTCAATTTCTCCTCGAGGGTCTTCGCTGCTATGTCCTTTTCATATTGGAATCGTGAGGTCGTCCAGGCGTGATACATAACGAGGAAATCGATCATTTCATGTTTGAGCTCTGGAAAGACGGAGATGAAGAGGTGCATTAGCATACTGTTGACCATGAAGATGCAAGGATAAAAATTTGGTTTAAAATTATTAGGGCAAACGAGTTGGGGAACCGGGGGCGAGGGCGGGGCGTCGATATATGCGTCAGGAAAGTGAAAGTGATACCGCATGCACGGAAGGTACAGTATATAGAAGAGAGGAGAGAAGGGTCCGAGGGAGAAGGGAGGTCAATATATGGGTACTGGTTGCTTTCAGAAGAGCGGGGTTGGCCCCGCATTGCTCATGATGAGACCAGGAGAAGCCACGAGGAGAGAAAAAGAAGAGTTCGGTGTATGCGCGAAAGCATGTGCCACGGCCGTAATCACGGATTCGACCCGCATATATGCACCTCCCACCAGGATTGATATCCGTGCGATGAATATGCAATGACCTCACCACGACCTGCGCATCTGAGAACAAAATCAAGAAACTTACTCTTCTTCCGCTCAGCATTCATTGCCTGCTGCGCCTTGAACGGGTCCACAACTCTCGTCTCATAATCGTAGCGCTCTGGGTTCTCCTCTACGATACTCGTCAGAGTCGGTGGAGCCCGCTTTGTCTGGATCGAGCGCCCTCCTGAGGTCGAACCAGAACCTGATCCAGATCCGCGAGTCTTGCCTGCACTAGGGCTAGTGCTGTTTATGGTCGTAGACGAAGTCGAGTTGCCGTTAGTGCTGATATGAGAATGCAAGTGAGAAGAAATCAATGGCGATAGACTAATAAAGTAAGAGGTAGACGCACCGAGGAGCTGAGCTTTTCGTGTCCTCGTTAGTCAGGTCGATAGGCTCGTCGGACATGGAGCGGTGTAATGGCGAGGAAGACATCGGAACCGGTGTTTTCTATCTCCAGTTAATATTTGGCCCATCATATCAATGGTTCTCATGCAGGCAAGACGGCCTACCTCAAAGCTACTGAAGTCGGGATACGGAATGGGATGTGATGGGTTGCAATGGGGGGCGACGTGACGGTCAGGAGCAACAGTCGCGCAGAACGCGTCTGGCCAATCCTCCGGTACGTGTCCCGTGTTCGAGTTGTCGTTCTCGGACCGAGGGAATGGCTCTTTCTGCTGACTTTATCCCGTCGGGAAGTCGGTGACGTGATTAGAATATTGTTGCTTAGGTGGCGCCGTCGGAGGACGTTCAAACTTTCTACAACCAACCAATTGCAAGATGTTCAGATGTGGGCAAGGTTCCGCTGTCGAGGAGGGCACCTATAAAAGGAGGACGATATTATGGATACGGTATATATATCCACTTCTGCGATAGTCTGACATTCATCCAATTATCACTCTGCTCAAGTCACAGTCATCTAAACCATGTCTACGTCGACCACTCGTGTCCTCTTCACAGGAGCCTCTGGCTACATGTACGCACCTTCTCCCTTTGACATATCGCATATTTCATTTAATAGTTCCTCGATGGGTGACGCCATATTGTAGAGGCGGAACGCTCCTCAAACATATCCTTCTCGACCCCTCTCTCAAGTCCGCCCTTGAGATCTTTGCCCTCGTTCGGAGCGACTCTCATGTCGAAACCGTTAAAGCTATGGGCATTACGCCTCTTCAGATGGATATGATGGATGAGGATGCTGTTAGAAAGGCTGTTATTGACAACGAAAGTGTGTATTCTCTCGGTCATTCCTTGCTTCTAGCCGTTGGGTGTAGGAGAGTGGAAGGGCGTGAGTACATGGCATTAATTCTTGTTCTGGGTAGTCACCTTCGCCATCCACACGGCTTCATGCTTCGAATTTGCACCCGCCAAAGCGATGATCGAAGGTCTCGCCGCCGTCAAGCAGAAGACAGGCAAAGTCGTCCACTTCATCGCCGTAAGCACCTGATTCGATGTCATAACTTCGTCTCTCCTTCTTACTGTCAGCTAACATGTTTTTTCGGTCCCTCCCTACTTAGACTTCCGGCGCGAAAGCATTCTCTTCCCAAGCTGGCATACCTCTAGAATCTGAAGGAACTATCTCCGATGCGGGAGCGGTGTATGAGATCCAGAAGAAGTACAAGGCGATATTCCCGTTGTTGCAGAAGGTATGTGTTTTTGACGCTGGGAAACCTTCTCATCTCACTCAGGCAATACATAATGCTTATTGGTTGTGGGTGCGGTAGCACGTCGATGTGAACAACTCCATCCAAGAGCTTTCCGAGTCGCTCGACGTAAGGTCGTATCTCGTCGTTCCACCCATGGTTTGTAAGTTCCGTCCCTCCATTCCCATCTATATAACCCCTCATCCCGTTGAACCATGCTACTATGATCTTTGACTCTGACTGTATTTGGCCCGACTCGGATAGACGGACCAGGCGAAGGTTTCGGGAACAAGATATCGATCCAATACGTAGCTCTCGTCGCCATCGCCGCCAAGCTTGGTAAGTTGTGGTGCATTGACGAGGAATCCGCAGTACGTTCTTCATCCTTTGCCCTCCTCTTCATTCATTCTCCCCCAGTACTAATTTTATTCGTCGCAATCATAACAATGGCTCACATTCGTACGTGCCTCTGGAACCAGTCCTGGCCCCTCATGCACCTGCACGACATGACAACACTCTATCTCGCCCTCATCCGCTCCATCCTCTCCTCATCCCCATCGCCACCCTACGGCAAACCACCCCCACCCACTCCCCAAGGCTACTACTTCGCCGAAAACGGAACCTTCAACTGGGTCTCTCTCTCCCTCTCCATCCTCAAACACCTCAACTCTCCCCCTTCCTCCTCCACCACGCCCAAACTAGTTCAAGACGCCGACGTCAAAGTTCCGGAAGCCACCCCACAAGACATCGAGGCGATGGCGCAGGTGATCAGTTACCCTGCGTTCATGGTTCCGTTGGCGATTTCGGGGCGGTGCGATATTAGGGGGGATAATGCGAGGAAGGCGTTGGGGTGGAGTCCGGTTTATGGGGTCGAGCATTTGATGGGGAGTGTGGGCGAGGAGGTTGATTTTATTTTGGGGCATTTACCGAAGTGACACTGATAAGTAGAGGCAAAGTTCAGAAGTACTTACGGTGAAATGGAGAGATTTTGTTTGATAGAAGGTACCGCATTCAACATGATGGCCGTGGGTTGGTCTCAGGATCGCATCCAATGTCGTATTCGGACTTGTGATCATTGTGGCGTCTCGTTCCGGTTATTTTCGGTTGAGGCGCGTCGCTAACCGCTGTGGACTACAACTCTGAGCTTTAATCTCTGTTATGAAGCATTACAGGTATCGAATCGGTCAGTAACATCAGGCAGACTTCAGGATTCGGGACCTAGCGCGCCTTCAGCTTTTGTGTGGCACTTGTTTGTTCATGTTAGGATCCAAAGCCTCCGGAAGTATTAATCAGCCTCCGGAACGTCCCCGTCGCGATCACCAGCTGACTGGAGGATGTCTCTGACCAAACTCACCCATTGGACATCCAGAAACGCACAGACTTCTCTTCATCGTTACCGCTATGTAAACTACGCTGTCGACAACTGTACCTTCGAAAACGGAGGGGCATGCTTCGGATGGTCCACGTACTCTTGCCACAGGCACTAGAGACCCCAGACCGGGTCACAATAACACGGCAAGTAACCCGGTCATGCGCGCATTCGCCACCGTAAACCTGAAGCAAATTACCCGGTGGCTCTCAGAACGGGTTATTTTCCGTGGGCCAAAACCGGGTTAAAAGAACTTACCATATGCATCATTTCACCCGGTGGTTCTGAGGGGGCTTGACCGGGTGATTTCAGTGCTTTCGGAGGGCCCGGGAAACTAGGTCGAGGTCGCCCGGCCGCGGAGCGTTTTTTTTGAGCAAATTCCGACGAAATCCCTCCCCGGAAGTTGCGTTTTTTAAGGGATTTGGGAGCAAACCCTGTCGGAATATGAGCGGATTTTAGGGGGTTGTGTTGGATGTCGGTTCTCTTGCCCAACCTTGACTTACCCTTGTAACCCTCACATAACCTCAACTTTGACATAACCTCACCTAAACATAGCCTAATCTACCATAGACGCAGTCTTCCATGTCTCTTTAGGTAGGGTAAGTGTAGATTAGGCTAGGGGAAGTTGAGGTTATGTGGAAGTTGAGGTTATGTGGGGGTTTACCGTGTTGTCAAGCCTTGCCCCGGAAAATAAAATAAAATAGAAATACATAATAATATTCGAAGCCTTCCCCGTTTGAGCGTTTTTTTGGGCCTCAGGGAGCGATTTTAGGTGCGGAATTTAGGCCTCCCGGCGGGCGGCGGACGGGGCCACCTCGACCTAGTTTCCCGGGTCCTGCTTTCGGTGCGTTTCAACCCGTTATTGGTTGCTGGCCTGGTGGCCCGTTCAGGTCACGCTTTCCACCCTGCACATCACAGGAGAAGATTATATAGACACAAGTTATATATTGCAATGGTAAGGATATTAAGGTAAAAGGACAAGCTCAAGCCTCTGTGTAGCAATGGTACAGTACTTATACACACAGTCGGTGACATCCGGAGTTGGTAAATCAAAACAATGGTCATACGATACTAAATTTCCCATAGCGAAACAACGCACCAAATATTTGAAACCCTCGTTGACGAACAGTCCCTCAGATGCCTAGACGTCTTCGAACTAGGCCAAGCGAGCATAAGGTGATCGTGCTGCAGGAGATGCAGTCAGTTAGCATTGAAAGCAAGACGATATTGATAGCTATGCGTACGAGAAACCATTCGAGCTGAGGGGATGCGCTAGCACTGACGCGTTAGAGGGCACGCTGTCGTCGGCGCTGTGCGTGTCGTGGCCCTGTGTTCTTGTCAGGACATCAGCGGCAAAGTTTCAAAGAGAAATGTTGTCGGCAATATTAATGGTCAATGAATGACCGTATGGAAGTGCCGCTCGTAAACAGCGACGAGAAGTGTTGAACAGGACGCGAGCGTTGACAGTGGTCGTGACGGTACAGAGCAAGGAGCGACTTGTGCGCGGAAGAGGGGAAGTGGAGTGTCAAGAGACGACTATGACATCATGGCCCCACGGGCCTTCGCCACAAGTCGCCACACAGCTAGTTTCCTATCTACGAAATAACCCGTTTCTCGATAAACCGGTTTCACACCGTAAAACGGGTACCGAAGAGAATTACCCCGTCGGACTGTGCAAAATAACCCGTTCTCGGGTCTGTAGTGAGGCAGACGTACGCACGGTCGGCCATAACGAACCTTGTACATACCCTCTTTCGTACTTCATCAAGATCCTCATGGCTGATCGTAATACGCATATATGTTCTGAATATCACTCCCTACCTTTGAGATCATAGGTTATAGACAAGCTCCGTCAGCTTGCACTGTTCGCGTCAAGCAGAGTACGCAACATCACCCGCAAAACTCGATGAACGGTAAATATCTTATGTCCTGCTGCCCGACGGCTCTCGATTTAAGCTGTCATGTCCTACCATAATCACCGAGCTTTTCTCATGTTTGCCGTCCGAACGGACGGGCTTCATACGTGCCTCCTTCCATATTGGGACAGATAGTTGCAGCGCAGGAGCACAGGCATAGCGTTCGCGATGTCCTTCTTTCCCGAAGGAGATCAACTGGCGCACTGATGCTATTCCCTTGACTCATTGATCTGTTTATTGTGGGAAGTTGTGCCCAAACATCGCGGCGTCTAGAACGATCTGCATGGCATTCTGAGCCTCTTCTTCCCACATATCGAGTATTTCTGTCAGGCCTGCTACAAAATGCTTTCGAGAGCGACTTGTCACTTTTGCACACCCACCATGTTTTTCTCCACACTCCTCTCAGACTTGATACTGACGCTATCCTCTGCGCTATATGTCCCTCAGGCGACCATCGACACCTCTGCGCTTTCAAACTTGAAGTACCCGCGATGCGAGAGTGCCGCCGTCCGGAGAGAGTGGAGGAGCCTCAGCGTCGATGAGAAGGCCAACTGGATATCCGCCGTCAACTGTCTTGCCAATCTTCCTCACGACGACGCTCTGAGCCCAACTTTTGACACCGCCTTTTCACGTATACCAATTGTCAATTCCTCGAGTTCTTACTATGACGGTGAGTATAGTGCCCCATCCATAGACTCACTTCCTAGCGACATGCATTTATGCTGATTTTCTCCCCTCGTTGCCCAGACTTTGTGTACATGCATATGGGTGCGCTCTCTTTGGCTCATAGGTGAACGATGGTGCTGAATATTCTTTCATAGATTTAAACTACAAGATTCACTTTACAGGTCTCTTCTTCCCATGGCACCGATGGTATCTTCAGGCCTTCGAAGACTCTCTGAAGTCCAAGTGCGGCTACCGAGGTGCTTCTCCGTACTGGAATTGGGCCTTGGGTGACACTCCTATTTCTTTATTATGCTGATATCTCGAGGCCAGTCACTAACATCACAAACTTTATTCGTGTTGATCTAGACACTGCGGACGTCCAACACTCACCTATCTTCGACTCTCACCCTGAGAATGGTCTTGGAACATGGGGTGATTCCGCGCAAGACTTCTCCCTTCAAGATGGAGGCTTCTCCAATCTCTCACTCTCCTATCCGTCGGCCCATATTCTCAGACGTAACTTCACCATCCAGCCATGGGTAGCAATTAACACTCCACACTTGATGAAGGATCTGGAGCTATACGCAAATACGACGTTTACGCAGTCGGAGGTTAGAAAGATCGTGGATGGATTTATCGGCGACTTTGTCGGAATGCAGGAGTATTTGGAGACGTTCCAGGTTCGTGGCGGGTCTATCAGTGCTTTAAGCTGACACAGTATAACCAGGGTTTCCCAAACGTTACTTACATTAGATTACCGCCGCGTAATGTAATCTAATAGTATTCCCTCGAAATCATGAGCGTTGAGATCCGGAAATGTATTGTAATGTATTCTCCCCGTATTGCACCCAATTCGTAAGTAATTGTAAGTAATGGTATGAAATCTCTTGCGTGCACATGCATCATATATTTTTAGTTCAGCGACTCACCTGCACCAATGTTGAATGATACAAGTGCTGCAGAGCATTCCAAGTGATGTATACATGATTTTCCCGTGCCCTTACAGGGTTGAGTTGAACGGCAGGTAGAACAGCAAAAATGTGGCGAAAAACATGCTACGGGCACTCATCCCCAAAAGGTGAATGTGGCGGCAATCGAACAGTCGGGGCCTATCCGGAGCTTCCACCTGACCCAAAAATGTCTTTGGTGCGTACGGATCATACAAATGAATAGTATTGAATAGTAATCATTTCGTATCTCGACTGTAATCGAAAGTAATTGTAACGAAATGGATCCTGGAAGCGCGGCCGCCGTAACTGTAAGTAATCGTAAGTAATTCTAAGTAATCGTAAGTAATACCTCGTAATTGTAATGTTTGTCGCTCCCTGAGTATAACTGATAATGGAATTATCAGGGCTCACATGCGAATGTCCATATGATGTTCGGGGGGTATGTTACACCTGTTCGGAATCTGTGTCCAGTCGACTTACTTGTTATGATCTATCCTGCAGTGATCTTGGTGGGCGATGTCCAGCGAACGCTCCGTCTAACTGTACGCAAGGTCAGACTTGGTCAGCGAACGAGCCCATCTTCTGGTTACATCATATTGTACGTCTAGTATCGCTCTTCCCCACGTCCTTTTCCTCTTGTCAGTCCTAGTTAACGCGCCTAATTCCATGATTCAGATGGTCGACAAAATATGGTCCGACTGGCAAAACGCTCATCCTTCCAACTTCTGGTCCTTCCACGGTGGGTTGACCCCAGCCGCGGACTCTCTTGAGCAGTACGAGGCAAACCCCACAGGTACGGCACCGTGGTTGAGCTTCGACGATATGATTCCGGCGGATGGGATGTTTGAGGAGGTCAGTATTCGAGACGTGATGGATACGAAGGGCGGCTTTTTGTGCTACGTCTATGAGTGATCTTCCCAAAAGTGAGGTGCGTAGCTGGATAGCTGCTTGTTGTCCGTAGTAATGGTTGAAATAATACGTGCCGTTGCCTAGAAGCGTCATATTGTGTCTCCGTGTCCTCTGTAATTCGACCATCCTTTGTGTCCTCCCCAGTGTCCTAAGGAGGTGAACCTAGTTCTTTTCTTACTCAGTCCCCGATTACCCTACTACTATGTGATAGGAGGAAACAAGAATGCTACCCGGCTCCGAGCGTTTTCCTATAACTTGTCGATCTTATCCATTTGCCCTTGAATACACTGGTCTAATACAATTCTGCTTGCGCGCTTCCGGCCAACAACATGCCAACTGCGCCACCTTGACTTCCTCTGAAAGACTAGTTGCCCTTATCCATCTCCTTCCACATATCCTCGACGCTAATCTTGCTCTTGGCTAACCTCTCCTTCGTAGGCTCGAAGCATTCTGGAAGTCCTGTCTCTTCGAATGTGAAAGGAGACGATGGGTTAAGTATCGTGTGCGCGAGACCACGGGCGCAGGTCATGATACGGGCCATGCCTAGGTTGCAAGTATGTCAGCATTGTGTTGTTGAGGTAAATGAATCAGGTTGATGAGCGAGTTATTTGGAATGATAGTGCGATCCGTAATATGTGATGTTAACAATTCGAGATAGAAAACAACAAAACAAGAGACCAAGAAGACGAAACGAATGCAGAGGTAATATGGTATCAACTCACCATGCCCACAATGCCCAGCATTGATATACTCCCCCGTCCTCCCCAAACCCGCCAAAGATCCCACATACGGCACCTCCTCCGGCGTGAAACCCATCACTCCCGTCCAATCTACCAACAATCCCTCGTTCAGCCCTTCTCCCTTGCTCTTCCCGTCATGCTCGTTCCAACCCTCGACGTATCCCGACATTGCCCCCTTCAGGTGTTGCGTGAACTCAGGGATGATGACGCTGTCGTCTGTTTGAGGGATGGATACCTCGATGGGGGCTTTCCAGCGACCGCCGCCGAGGATGATGATGCCGTCTTTAGGGCGTTGGATCATGTAGTCGAAGTGGTGCTGCTAGAAGAGGACAGTCAGCAGGATGTGAGAAGACGGAGGGACGTTGCCTCTGGAGCGACAGGGGAGCATGGACGGTATAGATGCGAGATACAAGAACGAGAGAGGGAGTCAAGCGATAGGGTAGAAGCTGGGAAAAATTAAGACAGTGAAAGACGAACCTGACCCCACTGATAGCACGCAGTCTCCTTCAACATCTTCGTCCCACTTACCGCTCTAGTCGGGACGATCGCCGAACACTGTCCTCTGAATGGAGCAATCTTGCCCTTGAACTCCGGGAGAAGGGTGGCAGTGTACGCATTGGAGCAATAGACGACTTTCGAGGTCGTGAGTGTGCCACGAGAGGTGTGTATAGTGTGTAAACCTAGACGAGTTCGTAATGTTGTCAGAAATTAGTCGTTAAGAGGATTAATTATGTAGGTTGCAGGTATGGAGATGAATGGGCGAGACATTTATGAGGTTAGCGTACCATCCTTAGCCGAAGTTGGCTGTACAGACTCCACAGTTGTGTTAGTCTGCAGATTCAAGCCATGTTTCTCGATGAGCATGAGTAGAAGGTGTTCCACAAGTTTGTAAGGCCAGAGTGAGGCCGCGGGGAAGCGGGCGGCGGCATACGCGGAAGGGCAACGAGTGCGCTATACGTATTGGAGGGATTTGAGAACGAAGATCAGATCAAGTCAGCTAGTTCGAGCAAAGTAGTGGTGAGAGATGTGAGATATCAAGACGAACCTGCTTGGCAGCATCTGGGTCAGATATCCACTCCACGATGCCATCTACCTTACCCCCATCCGCCTTAAAGTCTTTGAAGGACTTGTACCAGTAATCGGCACAGGATTTGTCCATGGCAACGTCTGAACTCCCATTGGGATCAAGATGGTTTTTAGGTGGTAAACATGAGTTAGGAGAGGACATGGAGCATAAGAGTCAGTGCACTGGAAATTGAAGCGAAGGGCATAAAATCACGAATACGGACCCCACGACATTCCCCGCCAGTAATCACAGTCAATATTTTCCTTCTCGACGACCTCCCCGACAAGATTGAGGGTGTCCTAATCGGCCGTAAAGGAATATTATCAGCCTTCGCTCGCACTAATATAATTCGAGCCCTTTCCAACGTCGGGATCCGAATAAGAGCCACGGAGGAGATTGTTGATAGTATGTACACGGAGGGTGACGAGGACTCACCAATTCGTTCCGCAATATTTTGATGGCCTGATCCTGCCCGAACTCGGCCTTGTACGCTTGATATCCTACCCATTGAGAACAAAGATAGTTGAACCTACCATGTCGTATACGATATCCGAAATCTTGGGCAGGATCTACGCACCTCGATAGCAGTCCGGCCTACAGTGACCTCCATTTCTACCCGTCGCACCATGACACGCCTCTCTGGATTCAAGAATGATGACACTCTTTGGTGGATTGGGCGCCGTAAGCATGAAATACGCCGTCGCAACACCGCTAACCACAATCAGTCGGATGATTGCCCGTCTTAGTTCACAGTCGAGCTGCATATGCAGGAGAGAAGCACGAACCTCATGCCAGAGCCGATAATAGTAACATCTACGTTTTCTGGGAGTGATTCTGTCGTCCTGTGACCCAGGAGGGGGGAAGAACGAGTTCCCTGAAGCCAGAATGAGAGGCATGGATCTGGGTGGGGGAAGCCTGGGTAGGGCACAGATGTATCGGCATTGGAGACTGAAGACATGTTTGAGAAAGTAGACAGTTCGAATGACGACAACACAATATTGAACGTAGTTGGACTGTGTCCAACGTGTCGACGTTTAGCGTTCTGCAAAGGTCTGATCAAGCTCAACGATAAATACCCGCCGGGCAGATCCTAGCGCTATTAGGGGAAACTGTAGAGCTTCGCCGCGGTCGAAAGCGAGATCAGGGCGTGAAATTCAACGAGGCACATGTATAAAGATAATTGGCCGTTCAGAGGTTGATGCAGCACCATGTTCAGGGGTCAGGAGGAGCTCATGTCACTGCAAGTTTATTCGAGCTCGAGATCGGAGTTGTGCTGCGTCCGGGTCGTGCCGGGTCGCGTTCAAGCTGCCAGTTCATCCCTCTTTATCTCCACTCTTTCTTGTCGCCACACCGTACAGTGCACACTCGATGCTCTATAGCTATGGATAATATCTATCACTTAGACCAACTTGTTGCAGGGACCAAGGCCTCCTTTGCGTTCAATCGTTTAATTAGAGCCTTCCGTGCTCCCTCCCGCCGGCGGACTCCCACTTATCTCTTTCAAGTTGCTTCTTTTCCTGACTCTCCCTATCTGTGTCCAAGTTAGCCATGGCCACGCGCAGTTCTCTATCAACCTTGCAGAGATTATGAATACCTGGTTGATCACGTCCGAATTCTTTTGAGATCTTTCTCCCACCCATCTCCTTCTCTGCTTCGTCCGAGCATCATGGCCAACAACAGTGCTGATCTAGAAAGCGCATCCAAGTACTCTGAAAAATCCAAGGACGATGTTCTTGTCGGTGTCGTTCCTGCAGTACTTCCCTCGGGGGAGAGAAAGACCACGGTGAAGAGGGCTCTGAAGAGTCGGCATATGCAGCTCATGTTGGTCTTCATGTGCATGTACTTCTATTCAAGTCGATGCGCTTATGACACGGGAAATGCAGCTCCATTGGTGGCGTTATTGGAACAGGTCTCTTCAGTAAGTTGGCCCTTATTACACGTCATAGTGTTGGTCAATGGCTGATTGAGTGGTTTCTTCGTGGTTCTTACAGTTGGGTCGGGTCAAGCACTGGTCATGGCAGGCCCTCTGTCATGTCTGATCGCGTACAGCACATATTGCTTCATCGTTTGGTGCAGTCAGTAGTCGTCTTTCTCGCTCTCTGCTAGTACGTTAATCGTCCTCTGTGGACTTTGATTAGTTACACAAACAACAGGAGAACTTGCAACCCTTCTCGTGCGTACCTTTTTCTTGGTCCCTTCCTTTGTCCATCCGAGTTGGCACGTAGATATCCCCCCGACACGTTACTCTCTTCATTCTGGTTTCGTCCAAAAAGAAACATGCCGAATACCCCCATACACGGTCGAAAATGATTTCTCGCCATATATCTGTTTTATCTTCACACAATCATCGCGACGAAATAAAATCAATGTTCCATAAACCCTGATTTCCACCTTTTAAACCGTTTTATGACAGCCTATTACTGGATCCTTCATAACTTGGGCCCATCGTTTCGTTGATCCTGCCGCTGGTGTCACTACTGGTTGGAACAACGTCTGTAAGTCCGGTCCTTACCGTCACAGTCGCTCACTCTCGCGACCGGTCGCAAGGACCCTTCAAGCTAATCGGATGCTTCTTTCTTCACAGACGCTTGTATCGCATTTGCATGTGCAGATATCACAGCAGTAACGGGCCTATTTCAGTACTGGTATGTCACATCCACGTCTCCTTATCACCCACGACATTGCATACCTACAAATAAACCCCGGGGACGTCGCATGCTGATGTCCATCCTCATCAAAAACAGGCTACCCGACTCTTCCCCAGCAATCTGGGTCTCGTACTGTCTCGTCGTCATCTTCATCCTCAACGCATTCGCGGTCAAAGTATATGGCGAGGTATGTATACAACGCTCTGCCAGTCCTCGGAGTTCCACCAGTCCCTGTCCTCTGGTCTATCGGCGTTTTTCTGACCTCTTCCCTGTTGTATTTTTGCATCTTTAGGCGGAGTTCTACTTCGCCTCTGGAAAAGTCATTCTCATTGTCGGCTTCATCGTGTTTACGTTCATCGCCATGCTTGGCGGCAATCCCCACCACGACAGGATCGGATTTAGGTACTGGAAGGACGTGAGTTCTGTCCCATACTTGACTTTCAGTCCGGGCAGCCTGCAACTCCAAATACTGATCCACATAACACTGTTTAATTGCCAATCTTAGCCCGGTCCCATGGCAGAGTAGTACGTTCCGTGTACCTTTCGACTGCAAACGATGTGAAGTACTCACCAACTTTGCTATTTGGTTCGTATTCAGTCTCGTAGATGGCGCCCTTGGCCGTTTCCTCGGCTTCTGGGGAGTCTTCAACTTCGCCGCTTTCTCGATCGGAGGGCCCGAGTTTATTGCTATGTGCTCGTCTGAGGCGGAGCGTCCGAGAGCGACGATCCCGAAAGCCATCAGGTACGTTCCTCGACTTATCCCCTTCAACTTTGTTCTTGCATCTGACATCAATGTTAAATTATATTTTGAACTTAAAGGAGAGTCTTCTGGCGTTTGGCTAGTACGTCTCTTATTTATAAACTTTAGCTTTGGGATGTGAACGATGTGCTCAATCGAGATTTTGGTGTGTTCGCACAGCATTCTACGTCCTCGGTATCTTCTGTGTTGGTATTCTCATCGCATACAACGATGAGGATTTGATCAACGGTATTGCGACCGGAACCGGTACGTTCAGCTCTCTTCGTTCACACTGACACTCTGGCTGAATGTGGTCTGCAGCTGTCGATGCCTCTCCCTTCGTCATTGGTATGCAACACCTAGGTATTACCGTGCTTCCACATATCATCAAGTAGGTCAACTCCCTTACCTTCATAATAGCCTATTATTTTCTTTCTGTCGCGTACACATTGGCTGACTGTCATTATGTTCACTTTCAATAGCGCTGTGATCATCACCTCCGCCACTTCGTGCTCCAATTCCTTTGTCTACGTCGCCTCTCGCTCCCTGCACTCGCTCGCGGTAAACGGCCAGGCTCCACGGATACTGAGTTATACGACGAAGAGCGGCGTGCCAATGAATGCGTTATTATTCATTCTGGGGATCTGCTGTTTGAGCTACATGAGTACGTATCAGATTCATTTCTCGCTTCTATCAATGAACGGTGCTGACATATTCCACTCTCAACAACTTCGCTTGCCCCAGCCGTCAACTCCGGTTCCGCCATCGTCTTTGGCTGGTTCGTCAACCTGGCATCCGTTGCTTCCCTCATCAACTACAGTTGGATGTGCCTCACCTGGATTCAATTCAACCGAGGCTTGAAGGCACAGGGGATAGAGAGAGCGTCACTTCCATTTAAGGGGAAGTTTGTGCCGTATGCGGCTTGGGTCGGTCTGATCGGTTGTCTTGTACTCACTAGTATGTCTCTATCTCTGGGCTCGAAAGCCGTGAACCGCCAGACTGATCGTGTATGATGTCGTTTCTTCTATCGTAGTCACGAATGGATTCGCTTGCTTCATCAAGATAGACGGTGACTTCGATATCGAGTCCTTCTTGTGCGTTCTGCTCTTCATCTTCCCGTGTCGTACCACTCGCTAAATGATATCACCCTGTCCTCGCTCCTCCGAACGTAAATCCCACAGCACCGCCTACTTCGGAATCGTCTTCTCCGCTGTCATCTACTGCGGCTGGAAGTTCTTCAAGCCCGGCGATCAAAGCTATCGCAAGCCAGAGGAGATGGACATATTCGGTGGGACGGAAGAGATTGAGGAGGATGAGAAGTGGTGGCAGGAGAACTATGTGCCGCCTACTTCGTGGTGGGGGAGGTTTATGGATTGGTTGTTGTAGGATCATGTGTATCGGTACGACAAATGAGGAGAGATGTCACCGTGTTTTTGTTGGGAATTTCAATGTAGTTTTTGTTCCTTGATTCGGCCATCGAACAATCAAAAGCAAAAGAAATACAGATATTACCACGGCAATGAAGACGTAGAAGCAGAGTCTATTCATAAAATATGCACGTGTACAAACGGTAGGTATCCTAGTCGTTGAATGAAGACATTACCCCAGGAGAGGAGAGATAGAATTAGTCTGCACCGCAACTCGGCCTTGGAACCGTTACCATTTCTATGTTTTCCGTGTTCTCCACCACACCATCGTACACCTTATAGATCTATAAGCCATGTGTGGTATCGAAAATAGGTTAGAAGAGTACACGTACCACGGGTGACATTGGCCTGTTTTCGGCCTCCACATGAACAGAGTTGTTGGCTTTGCCTTCATATGGGTCCTGGTCGGTGACGGAGGTTTGCAAGTACAGGACGTCCTCATCCATAGTCCGGATCGGAGCCCCTATTCGTCCAAGCATAGCACTTCCCGCGAAATCGATACCAGAGAGCTCGCTTGTACGTTGGGAGACATCCTTGTCTGGGTCGTCCCAGGTCTTGAGATTGAGATAAAGACGATTGGCCAGAAGGACAGGGATCCTGACGCAAAAGAGAAAGTCATTCTAGACGTAAAACAAGGTGACTGTGATAGAATCACATATTTTCGAACGGTGAGAGGAGCTGGAAGAACGTCGAGGCCATATTTTGGACCTTTGGTCCCGCGTAGAACGCTTCAGTGTCTGGGTGGGTAGTGGCAGAGGGTTTTCGATACTGACCTGAGCTTGCGTGATATACGTATACAAAACAATGACGGTATTCAGAGCTTGAATGGTCAGGACAGCCCTGAGTGTAAAGCTATCTAAGTACATCCTCTCTTCGAGGTAATGAAAGGACGATGACTCACATGAAATATGCACCACCTAGGGAACACATGTTCAGTTAAATTGATCGCAAAATGTCCTTCGATACATACCATCACGTAGAAGAGTCTCGGTGATGCTGGACTGTCCTTGCTTTCTCATAGTACGAGCATGTCGGTACGTTTTTGCTATGGTCAAGGCAAACACAATGCCGTCAAAGAGTAGCGCAAGGGTCACTTCCGCTAGCTGGCCTATTTGCTGATGTTACACGTAGTATTGAAATAATGTGATTCGGAACAGTGAACTGACCCCTGGAGTTTTCAGACACTCAGATATTTAGTAAGGCTCAGTAGTGAGGCGAAACTGGCGAACCTTCGACTGAATAGAATGCCGCCGGGAAGCTTATCCGTGTAGGCCACTACGCACGCCGTTGTGTTCAGTAGGCCTGTAGCCAAGAAATTACTGGACTTCTTGTTCATTTGCGCCACAAATGTATCCAACTTCCCGACGAAAGAGTAGGGGTCAATGATAAATCAAATGAGGTTATATGTGAGACGTACAATATCGAGGATGAGCTTGACAATGATGAGCATGCCCAAACCGAGCAATACTACGATATTTTGGCCATATAATGCATACATTCGTAGTGCGAACAAGCCTGTGTATCCGGGTGGTTGATGTGTGTCAGTGGGATTAGAGTCACTGCGGAAGGAAAGTGCTTACAACTCGTCAAGACCCCGCCAAGAACGAGGCCCAGATCGCTCACGATACCGATAGCGGTGCATCTATCGGTGGTGATCAATCGCCGTGAGTCGTGACTGCAGGAAAACAACCAAGGATAGCGCTGACCGAATAGACGACGATCCATCTCCGAAGGAAGCGATGATTCCTGAGAATTGAGCCAAAATATATATGTATCTATTCGCTCCATACAGAATGGATGTCGCATTCCATCCTTTGAACCAGACACCGTGGATCTCCATCGGAAGGGTGAGGAGTGTGTCGTATATGTAGAGTACTGGAAGAGCTGGTCAGTGTTATCAATCCACAAGCTGAACAGTCTTCAATCTGACCAGCGGACGCCAGAAATATTCGATTGGCTAGAACACTGGCTAAAGCATATCAGTGGCAGTTTCGAACTAGAATGCGACCTCACTCACTCTATCGTGAAGATCGACTTGACTTCATCGGGACTGAGAGGGGCGGCCATGGGCCAGAAAGCACTGATAGTGACACAAAGGAAAGTTTGAGCGAAGCAAAGCACCGATCAATCATAGCGATACAAGTCGGGGAGAGACTATATAGCAATGACGGGCGTCAGCTGAGTGTAGTGGTATGGAAAGGAAGCCGACATGAGTTAAAATTGGCCCGAGAGGGCTGTTCGGTGAAAGGACATCCAAGTCAGGAAAGTGAGCAGCGCCTAGCAAGGCCTTGCCAGGCGCTCTCGGCCTCTAGACGTCCGACGAACTTACGCACCCTCCTTGCACCGCCTAGCAAGGGCCTCAGTAGAATCATCCTCGCCACTCCTAGGCCGCGTCAAGGCGCGTCAATCCGGGCGCCAACTCAAACACGCGTAAGGCTCTACTCCCCAGAACAGTGGATGCATACGAATGTTACAGTTCCACTAAGCATATATGTGAGTATACGAGTACAGAGGGTGTAAATCTACCATAAGATCTTATGTTAGCCAGTTAGACACTCATTTATCCAATGAAGAACTAAACTGAGAGGCGCATAGAACAATTGGCCGGAGCTGGAGGGATGAGGCCGAGATTGATCTTTGAGTGATTTGATGGCACGGTGATGAACCAAGAGTTGGAGACCCGAGATAGAGGCGACGAGAACGGATCCCGTCCAAGAGAGGACGACGATATGTCCATATATATAACAAACATGTATAAACACACCGACGGAGCGAGGGTGACGAGCGGAGTGTCTGATGTGGCGTACGCGGTGATGGGACGACTATGGTATGTATAGGATCATCCTATTCAACACGTGGATCCTAGACACATGGGAGATTGAGGGACGTGAGTAAAACATGAAGATTGAACAATAAGTGAGAGTTGAGACAGGCCCGGAAAGAAGTCTGCGACAACTACAGCCTCAGACGGAGACGGGCAACGAGAAAGACGGTTGTTGAGGTTCAAAAGAGAGTGAACGAGGTACGACGGTCGATGCGCGACGCGAGCCGTGCAGCGCTACCAAAAGAGATAGAACTAGCTTGCACCCCAAGTCGCCCTTGGAGCCGCTACCATTTCTATATCTCCCGTGTTCTCCGCCACACCATCGTACACCTCATAGATCCATAAGTCACGGGAGGTATCAGAGACACGTTAAAAGAGCATGCATACCACGGGAAATACTGTCATGTTCTCGGCCTGTACACGAGTGGAGTTATTGGCCTCGCCTTCGTCCGGGTTTTGTTCGACGATGGAAGGTTGTGAGTACAGTATGTCTTCGTCCATAGTCCGAATTGGAGCCCCTATTCTTCCAAGCATAGCGCTTCCTGCGAAGTTGATACCAGAGAGCTGGCGTGTATGTTGGGAAGCGTCCGTGTCATGGTCGTCCCAAGTCTTGAGATTGAGATAAAGACGATTGGCGAGAAGGACAGTAGTCCTGGACGAAAAAGAGAAAGTCAATCTAGGCGCAGATAAGTAAAGGGGCCGTGATAGACTTACATATTTTCGAACGGTGAGAGGAGCTGGAAGAATGTCGAAGCCGTATTTTGAACCTTCGGTTCCCGCGTATAAAATTTCAGTGTACGGGTGGCCATGGGGCTAGTAGAGAGTTTTGGCTGACCTGAGCTTGAGTGACATACGCGTGTACAGAGATGGTGGTGTTCACAACCTGCAAAGCTAGGACAGCCCTGGTTGTGAGGACATTTGAGTACATTCTCTCTTCGAGGCGATAAAAGAACGATGACTCGCGTGAAATATGCAAGACCTAGGTAAAAACATAGTCGGTCAAATTGATCACAGAAGTCATTCGATACGTACCATCACGTAGAAGAATCTCAGTGATACTGGACTGTCCTTGCTTTCTCATGCTACGAGCGTGCCGGTACGTTTTGGCTACGGTCAAGGCGAATACAAGGACGTCAAAGAGTAATGCAACGGCCGCTTCTGCTAGTTGGCCTATTCACTGTTGTTACAGAGCCTTGACGTAATATGATGAATGGTGATGGACTAACCCCTGGAGTTTTCAGGCGCTCAGAGGTTCAGTAGGGTTCAGTAGTGAAGCACCGAAACTGGCGAACCTTCGACTGAAAAGAATGCCGCCAGACAGCTTATTCGTGTAGGCCACCACGCACGCCGTAGTATTCAATGAGCCTGTAGCTAGGAAATCGCTAGATTTCTCGTTCATTTGCGCCACAAATGTGTCCAGCTTTTCGACGAAAAAATTGGGTCAGTAATACACCAAGTAAAGGTAACACGTGAAGCGTACAATATCGATGATCAGTTGAATAACAATAAGGATGCCCAAACCGAGCAGTACCACGACATTTTGGCCGTATAATGCATACATTCGTAAGGTGAACAGGCCTGTATCGCATTCAGGTGGATGATATATGTTAGTCGAATTAGCATCAGCAATGAGAGGAAATTACTTACAACTCGTCAAGACCCCGCCAAGAACGAGGCCCAAATTGCTCACGATACCGATAACGGTACATCTATTAGGAGTGATCAATCACTGTAGAGAGGCAACAAAGAAAGGCACTGACCGAATAGACGACGAACCATCTCCGAATGAGGCGATGATTTCGGTGAATTGGGCCAAGATGTATATGTACCTGTTTGTCGCATACAAAATGGACGTCGCATTCCACTTTTTGTACCAGACACCATGTATCTCCATCGGAAGGGTGAGGAGTGTGTCGTATACGTATAGCACTGAAAGAAATAGTCAGTGTTGTCATCCACAGGCTGGACAGTCTTCGATCTGACCAGCGGAAGCCAGGAACATTCGATTAGCTAGAACACTGCCCAAAGCATATCAGTGGCAACGTCCAACTGGAAAGCGACATCCCTCACTCTATCTTGAAGATTGACTCGACTTCAACGGGACTGGGAGAGGCAGCCATGGTGCAGAAAATACTCTCAGTGGCACAAGGAAAAGCTTGAGCGAAGCAAAGCACTGGGAAATCATAGCAGGGTTGAGATTATATAGCAATAGCAGATGACAGATGACTGTAGTGGTATGTAAATGGAGTAGAGGTTTCCCGAAATATCTGTTCGTGGATCAGAACCCATTGAAGCTTAGTTGGCAGGTCGAATCCTGGCACTTGTGGAGACGCGGTAGAAAGTTATTTGCTCTACCTAGCCTGGGAGTGTCTGAGGCATCACACGCCACGATTGGTCTTTAATACCGAGGCGGTTGATGATATATTCACCATGAGAAGATAGGGCATATTTCAAGCGATGTAAATACAAGCCTCAGCCAATGAGGATGCGAGCCCTGGTGAAAGCTCCAAACGTTTGTATCGCTATAAAAATGCCCTGATTGTGAAATCTTTCTTGATGGAAAGAGCATCACAAGAGAGTACATACAAAGCTTTACTTGGATGCATCCGGATGATGTCTGCCATATATGGGATCTTTAACCGTGGTGATTCAATCCGTACGCATGACATCTATGCGGATCTTTGTCCAATGCGATGGATTCGAGCTTGTCTGAGGGCCCTACGAATGGCTTGGAGTATATAAGACTCCTAGATTACCATTTTGAAGACTGAATCACCCTCCTCTGGAATGAAAACAGTTCAAGATAACGAAAATTGTAAATAGACGTAGTTCTCAGGCAGTTCTGATGAGCTGCATTTTCACTAGCCCATCTGTACAGGTGATGTCTTTCGTAGATAGCACCCCCGAAGAAAGGCCTTGATTGCAGCAAGGCTGCAGTGGCCGACCTGGGCACCAGCTAGTATAGTAAAGGGAAGCGAGAGTGACAGTACGCCACGGTGAGACATATCGCTTTCCCTCGTCCAAGTCGGACACTATATACACACACTGGTAGGCATATCCACACAAATAAGTGCATCATAATCGTCAATGAAATGTTAGGCCCGATGATGACGGCGAGCATTCAACATTCTGCCATCAGTGGGCACGCATTATCCTGGCCGGACAATGAAGTGTGGCAACACCGCCAGATAGTCAGTAAAGAACAGAAGAAACAAAGAGATTAGAGGAGAGACCATGCTGTGGAGGAAGGAAGGAAAGGACGTGCGGGGACGAAAGGACACTTTCGCAATAGGCATGCGTACTTGTTTGTTCTTGTTAGAATCCAAAGCCTCCGGAAGTATCGGGCCGTCGCGCAACGTTCGGGTGTCGTGACCATCACGGCGCTCGAAACTCAAACCACCATGGCGAAGAAAGCTGCAGAGAAGAAAGCCACAGACGGTAAGAAGGCTGGAGATAAGAAAGGCGGAAAGGGTGCTGGAGCAGCTGAAGATGGGGCCGAGAAGGGTGGAAAGGTAGGCGTTTTGTTAATCTGACTACCAGCTTCAAGTGGGGCGTACGCCGCGTGGCGTCTTGGGGACTACAAACCGCGTATCGCCACCTCGAACGATGTAGGATGCTCATGAGACTCGACACATTGTTATTATATTAGGGAAAGAGCGGTTTGAAGCCTGCAACCGCTATAAATGTACGCCATATCCTGTGCGAGAAGCACTCGAGAGCCACAGAGGCGTTGGAAAAGATCCAGGTACGAGTCTTCCTCTGGGGCTCTTGCTTGGCCTGTCTCTTGCGCTCTCTTCGTCTCATATTTTGCGATGATGTATTTAGGGCGGCGAGCGATTCGACAAGGTCGCTCAGGAGTACTCAGAGGATAAGGCCAAAGGTTGACCGACAATCTGATCACTGACTGTCTCCCACTCACAATTTTCTGTGCGCAACAGCTGGTGGAAGCTTGGGTTGGATGACACGAGGATCGATGGTGGTATGTCGCAGAATATTCAATTTCTTCAATACACAGTTTCGCTGACAAGACGCTTTCTCTCATCCCCGTCTGTTGTGTACGTAGGGGCCCTTCCAAGAAGCCGCCTTCGCCCTGCAGCCGTCGACTGTGGACAAACCCGTGATGTCTTCTCTCGTGAAGACGACTCATGGATACCATATTATTATGGTTGAAGGTCGAAGATGATCCAGAGTGAGATTTCTCTCCAAATCGTGCCATGCTCTGTTAATCTAGTCGTTTTTCTATCCTGCTGCTGTCATTGTGCTACTTGTACCCTGTATCAAGTCTCTCGCTAACGTCTGCCGTACACATTGCGATGCCTCTTTCACTCCGATTCTTTGCCTCGCTCTCGATACTTTTCCGCCAAGCTCGAACTGCTCAACCATCTTGACATCTTCGCCCTCAAATTCAGCGGGGACATCGGTTGAGGTCTAGAGCATGAGGATGGCGAATGGGACCATACAAACGACAACCTTGTTCCTTTTCCGTACCCAACGGCCTTTACGAACCTGCGGGTGTACGGAACAGCAATATATCAAGAGACGCCACACACCACTAACTTGCAGGTCTCGAAATCGACCGCCGGCAAAGAAGAGGTGTCCTGGGTCCTCATCACATCACCCTGGGCTAAACAATCATAACGTCACCTTATATCGAAGGTCAGGAAGGGTCGCTGGAGGTGCTCGAACTCGTGGAAGGACTTCGTTCGCGAGGAAAGCTTGCTTAGCCGCAAATTGGCCTCAGAAGAGTTAACCGAGAGTCCGAGCGCTCCGCTGCCACGTGCGCCTGTGGCTCCGAACCCGGAGCCGACGAGAACCAAGAGAATCAGATGTTGTTGGAACACGACGCGTCCGCGCGTTCAGCATCATACAGCACGACGGACTCTCGGCTTCGACATCCACGTCGCCAACATTCGTGCACTGGAACGCAACCCACAAGCTAACCTAGCAAATCATTCACTTGGGATTCAGATCATATCACACTTGTCCGGAGCTACCGTAACGTCACTGCCAGCAGACGACTCCTATCGTAACCTCTGGCAACCTTTGGCAGTGACGGTATAGCAAACATCCTTCTACAATTGCTCGGTGCTACCCTCGTATCTATAGTGATGACTTCCGTTCGTCAACGAATCACACAGCCCGTCTCTACTCCACAGAGTGATGCGAATAATGCCGTCGAACTATACCCAAAGTCACGTTCGAATTCTTTGACTTTGAAGTGGTCCGAAATTCCGGAATGGATGCAAGACAACGAGTACATTACATCAGGGTATAGACGGTCAGTAGATTTCCTGTCAAATCCTTTCTGAGGATAGAGGCACCATCATAATGGAACATATGCCCTAGGGCCTTTCGTGTCCAGTGTGGCCCAAGAAAAGCTCAGAGCTGACGTCCAACCTGCCACTCTGACACAGGGAGCTGAAAACGTTCAAGGCGTGTGCATGGTCCGTGATTGGTTGTAAGTCATACAATTCACGGTCTTCTCTGCCCCTCGTTCTCAAAATCGTCACCTCATTCTCATGGATCCTATGCATAAACTTCGTAGACCTGCATAACGAGACCGGTAAGTCACAGCCAACGCCATCCTCTGAAGATCCTTTCAGAACTCTACTGCTACCCTACTGAACCTTGAACGACTGACTGACAAAAACGTTGTAGTAAACATCCACAGTCATCTCCAACCAGCTCTTCTTTTCATCTACTTCCTCGCCACACATCACCTCCACCTTTTCCCCGACGCAGACACGACGCCGGGGTACACGACGGCCGGATGGACCGACTACGCCATGATGACCGTGTTCCTCGCCTCCGCGGTGTTCTGCCTCTTCAACAGCGCTTTCTACCATGCGGTAGGGGCGCATTCTCTTGCCGTGCGTTTATTTCTATTTCTATCTTTATGCACCTTTTTCTGGAAATCGCCTCCGTCTTACTGTGCGCTGTGCTAAAATCTCGATTGTCGATTGTTTATTGACGGTCCCGCGTATTCATTCTTGTTGCCTCTCGGTGCCGAACCAACGCGTGTTGATGCTGCACGCTTTTGGCCTGGCGTTTGTACGGTTGTAATATGGCACGGGGCTGCCTCTGTGTGTATTTTGTCGTTGGACTTGTAGGTTTCCACACGCTGTCATGCGCTTGACTACGCTGGCATCATAGGTGTGCTTTTTTCTTTGCGCCGTCCTATATCCCCCCTGTGCCGCAATACTGACCCTTCCATTGCCAACCCCCCAAAATCCCAAAATCACGCCACGACGAAATTCGAAAATATCGTCACGATGTGATGCGGACCCGAAAAACAGTCCTCACCGTAGGGTCGTTCTATCCATGCATTTACTATGCGTTTTACTGCGAGCCGGTTTACCAAGTGGTGTACCTCAGCACTATTACCATCGCGGGCTGCGGTGAGTGTCCCCTTTGAATTCTGATTAAAACTCCTTTATGCGAATCGAGGTGAGCTTGCGTGGCCCCGCGGCATCTACATATGTGTGTGCGTGTACAGCCTAGGCGCGGCACAAGTCGCTGTTTTTATGGTGGTTCCATGGTATACGAGAAATACAGGGGTGTACCGTCCATGCCTGAACGGGTGCATACGAAACTGTCATTGTGCAGCTTTCATGGGACACCGCATGGGTCATGGCTGGCCAACGTGCAAGTGCACCCAAATATTCATGCTTCACGCTTCATGGTTCATGGTCCGGTCCTGGCAGGCACTGCATCCGGTGCGATCTTACGGAGCTTCATGCCTGTGGTTTTGTCCTCGCATGTTCCGTATAGCGGGCGGGATAGAGGGTCCACGGGGTCTCGGGTGGTGGACGATGAGTGGAAGCTTAGCTTCCGTAGTCAAAAATCTGACGACGTATGTAAACGCACTGGCATGAAGTATCGTCTCCTCCGTGCCGCGACGCCACCACACCACCACCACCACTACTTTGAATTTCTGCATTTCATTGGAGTCTATTGACTGTGCAGCAGTACTTATTGTGGCGTGACATGGCGTGGCGTCGTGCTTTTTTCTGCGGTCGGGTGCTGAAGCTGAGCCTACGTGCTGACTGTTTTTTTCGGTTTCATTTCTTATAATCACCACCCCGGATCCGAAATGATCTTGTATATACGATGAATACCGTCTCCACTGCGCCAACTGCGCCACCGCCACGAAAACGAAATTTACGATTTGAACCGCCAACCACCGACGCCGGACGAACTCAACTCTCTACTGCCACTCCATTCCGTGGAACGTCGTCACAATTATGGATCGCTTCTCCGCCGAAACATTTTCTCCACGTTCACCGCCCGCCACCCGCCCTCCATGACGTGGTCACGATCTATGGAACCACTGACCACGAATAACTTCCCCACCATCTCATGAAACTTTGCCATGGATCGCAACCGGCCTACTTCCGAAACATTTTTTTTCGTGACCTTTGACTTTCACCGCCCGTTGCCCCATGACCCTGTAACGCCGGTGCATCACGCCTTGGACCACCGAACGACGAATGGACCCCCCACTGCCACGAATTCTGGATCGCGACCGTCGGGTGCTCTACTACGGGAATTACTTTTTCTTCTCCACAACGCACCACCCGCCGCGATCGGGATCACCACGACCACGACCACGACGAACACCGACACTAACACTACCACTACTATCGCAAATGAATGAAATCCTGATCGGCCGGCCGCCTCAACAATAAAATAACCAACCAACACGGAATCTCGGCACCACAGGAGCAGCCTACATCGTCCTCAACCCCACCTACGCCACCCCCTCCCACCGCGGCGCACGCACGGGCGTGTTCATCGGGCTTGGGCTATGCAGTGTGTTGCCCGTGTCGCATGCGTTGGTGGCGCATGGGTTTGGCACGTTGTGTAGAGAGATGGGGTTTGGGTGGTTGGTGGGCAGTGGGGGGTTGTATATTGGGGGGGCGTTGATTTAGTGAGTCATCCCTGTTATTTTGAGTGTTTATTTTTTTTTGGAGAGTTGGAGACTGTGTGTGTTTTTTTGAGGGGAGTGGGGAGTTACGATCGGTTGGTCCCGCCCCCGGGTCTCTAGATCGAGCTGCGTGCTTTCCCGCTTTCATTACTTACAGTGTCACGCATCGCTTTCCATTCTCCTAATGTTGCTTGCGTTTCCGTAGTGAGATTGCTGATCGATTTTCTTTTCTTTGCAATACATCGGGATATGACGACGAAAAACGAGCAGCGCGAACAGAATTCCAGAACGTCTCGCGCCGGGAAGATTCGACCTGTTCTTCGCGTCGCACCAGATCTTTCACGCCTGCGTCGTGCTGGCGGCGCTGGCGCACTACAAGTGTGTGTTGACCGCGTTTGAGCACTGGCATGCCGTGCGTGGCGGGGCGTGTAAGGTGACTTCATGACCGACGACGGTCGTGAAATTTTTTCGGATTTATCCTTCGATGGAGGGGAATTGGTATAGAATTTAGAAGGATGAGAAGGACGGGATGGTAGTAGGGTAGCATATTGACATGCCTGTCACACGGAAATGGGAAGTGGGATGCTGGAATGGAGTGGCTAAAAAGGGCGGCTGCAAAGCGGAGTACGGGTTAGGCAGGCGCAAGGATTAATCGGGCGCATGCTGTATGTAAAAGAATTGTTTGTGTGCTGCCCGACCGCTGCACGTCCGCGGTGGTAGTAACTGTGACGTTCGCTGAGGATGTTCGCCGTCCGTTCCATCAATTGTCAGTTGGTGGCCATGGTATCGCAGCTGGTTCTTGGACCGGTGGACGGGAAGGTTCGTTGACGGTAGGGAGCCCGGAAATAGCGATGACGGTCTGTGCAAGTTGCGCAAAAGCTAGAGAGCTTCGCGGAGCTCCTGGCGCAGATCAGCGAGGCCGTTCGATGAGTTCATGAATGTTAAAAGCTGAAGAGGGAATGCCCTCTGCCGCGTGAGGGTGGCAGTTTCTGTCATAGGACGGCTTGAGGTTGCGGCGATCTGTGTCGGGCACGATGGAGCAGCGGTGCCGTTAGTGAGCGGTTCATTTATTTTATGTAACGTCAAAGCGCTCGTTGGCTGGCTGCATCGGGTGCGAGCATCTGGGATCGGGGCCAGCGGAGGAGTCAGCGGACGGCGACGCCGAGCTGTCATTGCGCTGACTGCACTCGCGGGTCCGCTGGGCAGCACGTGGCTAACGGCGTGTGCGAGGGACGGCTCTGCTCTACACTTTCAGGGCGACCTGCGTATCTTCGCTTTCGAGATTTTCCGAAAGTCCTCAGCCAGGATGCGGACGGTCCCAAGGGTCCGCTTCAGTCTTACGAAATCGGGAAACCGTCCACAAAATACTTATGGCTATCACCCTCCCCCACATCCCCTTCTTCCCCCTTTCTCCATTTTCTTTCACGGCATCCGGCGTTTCATGTCGATAACTGGCAACGATATATATAAGTGCGAACGAACATACCGTCCACTTTGTTCATCCCCGGTCTCTTGCTTGACATGTATCCCGTCGGCGTAGGCTCCTCCTTTTATCTCCTCTTGCACTCTCTTCATCTGCCCTGGTCATTCCCATACTCCCTCGCCTGCCCCCTCATCTCCCTCGTCGCCCTTCTCTGTCTTTCGCTCAGGGTCAAGAGACCGAGCAAACCAAACACCGCTCCAGTCACCCTCCCCGGCCTTCGCATTTTTTCAATCCTGCCCTTTTTCGGCCAACGTCATGACTTTCTGAGCCATGGGTTCCGTGTGACAGGACAGAATGTCTTTCAATTCAATCTCTTGCGCGTACGTTGCTCTCTCAATACACTCCGGCCACCCCTACACGCCCGACACACCGTCACCTTCCCATGTCATTATTGATCCAGAGAGTATCTCGCTCACCCTCTCACGTCATCAGAACCCGGTACTGGTGGTCTCTGGAGAGAAAGGCAGGAGAGATTTCTTCAATGCCAAGGGACTGGACCTCCAGGAGGGCTTCAGAGTCCTCTCGGGTGCAGTGCGTATTTCCCCCCCTCGTGCCCGTATTTCGCTCAAACAAACCACCCAAATCTCACAATCCCCCACTCCACCCACGTACCCCTCGTCCGCAGCTCCCATTTGTGACGGGCATAACCTCCGACCTTCGTCAAAAGAGGATAAACCAAATATACAAGCGGCTGGGTTCCGCACAACACACCGAACGCCTTGAGAACCGTACGTGTGCCCTTCCTTCCTCGTGCAATCAATTCAGTGTGATATCTACACTCTACACGCACCGCGGCATGCGCTCATTCCTTGCCTTTTGATCCATGCAACTCACCGACCCGTTTGTCCGTCCGTTACGCCCGTCCTAAAGTGATACCCGCTATTTTGGGCGATTGTCGGAACATCATGGATTCCTGGGGCAAGTCAGGCTCTTTTGACCCGTTTAACACTGTGTACGAGGTACGTCCGTCTTCTTTCTTCCGTACATACCGACCCTCGTTCCTCACTCACCGCGGCCTCCTCGTTCTTTTGCCTCCCTCCTGCGTGCGCCACCTCATCGCCACCCATACACTCTGCTTGCTCCATCCTGCCGTTTCCTCTCATGAAAACCACACATGCACGACGCATTGCACACTATCTATCATCATTACTTATTACTCATTACCACCACCATCATTCACCGCCTCCACATAACACATAACACACAACATGTACACAGGTCGTCTTCCAAACCACCGTCCGCGCCCTTACGTGCTCCGAAATAGCCAACGACCCACTCGTCGTCGCCCGTCTCCGAAAACTGTACGACCAAGTCGACCGGGGGACTACGCCCGCGACGGTACTCTTCCCCTGGTTTCCAAGCCCCGCGATGATCAGGAAAGCGTCGGCGACGAAGCAGATTTACGATATCGTCGTGAAGGCTGTCAATGTGAGGAAACAGAACGGGGTGATGCAGGACGATAGTTTGCAGATGCTGCTCAATGAGGGAGATGACCATGCTATGATCGTTGGGGTAGGTCAAAATTTCATTGCTATTTTACGCCTTCCATTCTCCTGCCCATTCCATTCTCTGTCCTCCTTCCTATCCACTGCAGCACAGCCCACAACGCGACTCGTTCACCCTTTCACTTCACACCGGCTCTTGTTCACGACACATTAACTGACTTTGAATTGCTCTCCATCTTATTCTCTAAACTCGCATCGCCTCATAAATAGTTCATTATGGGACTAGTGATCGCAGGCGCACGCTCAACAGGTACAATAGGTACGTCTTCTGTCCTCAGCCTTCTCTCCACCCTCTTGTCCACCGCCCTCTCGCCGCAGCCTGCCGTGTAACCCGCGCGCCCGCCGCAGGCGAAAGTTCTACCATTATAGGCACTGACGTGATGACCTTTTTTATTTTATTTTTACCTTTGCCGTTGCTCTATTCTTAACTTTTGTTCTTCGGCGCGCGCGATCACTCAACACCAATAAGCCTCGTGGCTGATCACTTTCCTCGGCTGTCATCCGACTTGGAGAATGAAAGCGCTGGAGGAGGTCCGAGGGCTGCTGCTGCTTGCCGCCACGCAGTCGCAGTCGACGCATGCAGGTGATAGCCCCCAAGTTGACTCATCACATTCGACTACCACTCCGAAGCCGAGGACGCCCTCCGAATCCGAATCTTATCCCTCCTCGAATCACCCGCGACAACCCGAACCCATCACCGTCCTTCCTCCACCCCTCCCATCCTCCTCCTCCTCCACCTCCTCCTCACCTCCTCCACCACGAACCCCGTCCTCAGCCTACACCGCCCTCTCCTCCATCCCCCTCTCCACCTGGGAATCCTCCACCCCCATCCTCGACTCCCTAATCCGCGAGACCCTCCGAATCGCGCAACCACACGTCGCGATGCGGCGCAACGTCGGGCCCGAGGTTTATATCGACGGGAAGGCGCTGCCCAGTGGCGCTTTTGCGGTTTATCCGTTTAGTGATGTGCATTTGAATGAGGGGATTTATGAGGAGCCGTGGAGGTTTGATCCGGGGAGGTGGGAGGGAGGCAAGGAGGGGGGGAAGGAGGGGAAGGAGAAGGGGGAGTTTGGGTATATTGGTTGGGGCGGAGGTCGCGTGAATTGCCTAGGAAAACGCCTGGCGCAATTGGAGATCAAGCTTATCGCGGCGATGTTCGTGCTCAGTTTCGACTTTACGATCGTCGACGCGACGGGGAAAGCGGCGGACCCACATCCGCGTCCGAATTGGAACGATATACTTGCGTGTCGACCGACGAACGGAGTGTTTGCGCTCAGATATGAGAGCGCAGGTGCTGATGCTGGTGGTCAAGGCAAGCCCGGAAGCGGGGAGTCGTCGGTCTAGATTCGTGGGACTGACCGACTTTGGGCCATGGGTATGCGCGAACCACACGACTTTGCATAGCTGTGGAGGGTACATATCATGACCGTATCGTCTTACCAGCGAGCCTGCGAACGAGCGATACAGGACCGGAACACAATGCATTCGTCGTGCCTTGTGTGCCCGGGACGACGTAACATGACATGACATGATGGTGGGGTTTACGACAACCACTGTTCATGGCTGTGTTCGTGGTCGAACTCGTTTTCGGTTTCGTTCCTAGTTGTTTGCCCCTTGGATCATTCTTCCCCGTTATGTCAATGCGCAGCTCTCTTCTATCTTTTTTTTTTCTCATTACTTACTGCCACCCCTGACGTTGACCTTCACTTTTTGACTGTTATTGTTACTGTAATGGTGTCGTCGCTGATCTTGACTTTCGTAGACTTCTCTCTTCGGATTTCGGATTTGATTCGCATTCGGTCCACAAAGTATCTCATTCCCCATTTACCACTATTTTTCTCATCCCCATTTGCTCGCATCTATCTCAATCTCAATCTCCATCCCATCTCCATCTCAGCATTCATTTATTGACCTATTACTATGTTCCGAATCTCCTCTCTGCTACTCTCTATCATCTTGTCTTGTCTGCCTATGTCGCCGCTGTCCCATCGCCATCGACATTTAGCACGCCTCATTCTTATACTGCGTACCCAGTCTGCCGTTCCCTCTTTCTTGAAATCTCTCTCATCTCGGTATCCATGTTTCTCTCTTCTCTTTTCTCTTTCCCATTTTCGTTTATTCATCGGGTTTTCCCAGCAGCTTTGGCTTTAGGTTGTATGCCGTTGCTTCTATATTTATCCCTTTCTACCCCTTCAACTTTCTCATCCCACCTTACCCCTTCCCATCCCCTGCAATCCCATGGTTCACATTTTCCTGCTTCTTTTTTCTCCTCAATCTCTTCGCCCCCTGCTCCCATCTCGGCTACGTTGTTCACCGACCATCGTTTCTCACTCACTCTGAGTTTCTTGCTGTTCCGGTCGAGCCTCTACCACTACCACCACTACCACCAGCGCCGACCATCTTCCCAGATCAATCGCTTTCTCTGATCTGCCTATCCATCCATCCTATTTATCCCATCCACTCTATCCTATCGTACTCTCTATCTATCTCACCATTGACAGTTCTTCCATCCATCCAACCATCCGCCGCAGGTCGCACATTCGCTCGTCCCACTTGACGCTCACTCACTCACTCACTCACTCACTTGCATCTTTATTCTTACTCGTCCCCACCTCGCACTCACATTGCATATAAGTATCATAGACCGCCCTATATACATCCGTTTTTACTCGTCTTGGGTTCTGGTAGTATTAGAGATTCAGACTCTGATCGTCGTCGTCGTCGTCTCGTTTCGTTCCGTAGATTATAACACCAGAATTGTATTCCATCCTCCGGTCTGCATGGCCAGACTGTACTAGTCTCGAGCGATCATTCGGAGGGAACGAGGCGTGCCTTGTTACATAGTGACTCTGGACGGCAATGACTCGGACGAAGGAAGGAACGAGGCGGAAGGAACGTCGTTCAATGTACAACGTCGAGCGCTCAGTCTTGCCTCGTCCGATGATCCTTTGCAATTGAGGCCGAACCGGTTCGTGCATATCGATGAGTACGTAGGTACCACTGAGCGCTGCCTCGAGTTGCTTTGAACATACTGCCGTCGAAGGCTAAAAGTATCATCATGGTTGTTGACGCCGGGGGGTGACGAAGGTAAAGTGGCGATCCGTCGTATGTTTTGAGATACGACTGTCCGAGGTCCCTCTCTTCGGACACACTGTCACGGTATACGGAATGAGCTTATAGTACGCCATTGTCGTACTTGCTTGACATCATGTCCATGTCGGTAATGATTTCCGCATTGTGAGCCCGAGCACGCAGCTGTTCGAGACAGTGCTGCGTGTACGTATATTTTCTAGGGCGACGGTGACATATGTCCGATTTTTTTTCTTTCAGAGAAAGACGAAATCGCTCTGATAGTACGAAGGGTGCCCCGCTCCTCCACACGGACTTCAATAGCCCGCCCGCAACGGATGTCTAATGTCATAAAACTGCGCATCGGGCTGCACACGGTGCCTTACGATGAGGGAAGGCGGCCGCGCTGCGTCGTATGGTTGATCAATTCTATAATGGGGTGTTTACGCCGTCAGACCTCCAGGAACACTACATACGGAACACTTCGAGCTCTGACATATGAGGCGTTGCAGTGTTGATGCCGTCATAAATTCCGGAGTGCAACGATTGATGCCAGCAGATGGATCGCGAGCTGGTCTGGGGTTACCGTCGGAGGTATGTACATAGAGGTAGGTGTCTTGGTGCCTGAGAGTCAGAGCAGGCAGGGCTCGGTGGTATGTTCAGGTACATATGTTCGCCAATTTGAGGTAAGGTATTCGGGAAACATCGGAATCAGAAGGTGGTTCGAACCTACTGCGGGATGTGGCGTAGGATGGATGGGGTTTTTATGCCCCTGTGGCCCTGGATAAAACTGTAATAAAAACATACGATTGCATACAGACCATGTATGTATATCCTCGCACCGAATCAAACGTCCCGTTCTCCCATACGTCTATGTAACGCCCACCGCACCTATTCCCCTTAGTTGAAACCGGAGGTCGGACAGCTCTCCTAACCTCTGCGGTACCGACACATCGCACGGCAGCGCAAAGTTCGACTTCTCGCCTTCTTCTCTCGCCAGGTGCATGATCGATGCATGATCCACTCCTGGCTCGTCCCATCCAAATCCCCGATGCGCGTATCGCGATAAGGATTCCGGGTCCGCAGAGTATAATGAAGAAGCAGAAGAACACTGAACAGCGCATTCTTATACGTACTCGGGCCCCCGGTGCCTCACAGACGCGTGCCGTGTCAGACTAATACAAGCAGGGCGTTCTACAGAGGAGGATGTGTCCCCGTGCGCTTTAGCTGTCTCGAAAACAAACGGAGACTACGGGTCCATCTAAGTTTGCATGCTGAATGATGAGCAACGGGCTTCGTCGAGGGGAATGCATGTCCCCGTAGACATGCAGTGATGATTCTGCCGTTGTCCGCTTGACAGCTGTGGGACGAAGAACGAGCCGTGAGATGGCGCACATTTGAGCGTATGGGCCCTCAGTCACATTATTTGCGCCGGAGACTCCCATGGAAGAGTGAGTACAGAGCATGGGGGATGAGAAGCAGTCAAACGTGCATGGAAAGAAGCGACTCGTCACTCGGGACAATGTCCTCTGATCGAAGGAATGAACGTGCTTGCAAGAATAGCAGTACGAAGTTTGCACAGAAGGTGAGCATTCGGCTCGTGGGTACGTTGAATGTTAAACAACGGTCGACGCCTCGATTGGGATACCACATTCCAACGGCGAAAGCATAACCGTGAAAGTCCCCGACCCATAGTGTTCGGTAACCCAACAGAGTTCCCTGCCATGAAATATCTTGAGAAAGAAGGCGGAGTCTGTTCTTGTATAGAAAATAAGTTGTGAAGCCGATATACGTATCAAGGAGACACGAATTCGGGCGCGATGCACGGGCTCCATGTCTTCTGACCGAAGTATTTGAGGTCCAGGGACAGGACTAGGGACATCGATGCCATAGAATAGAGCAAGGTTGCGCCGTGTGACAACCAGCTGGTATAGACTCTGGCGCTTTGAGAGCGCGCAGACAGGGGTAACCGATAAGACGGCGATATTGCCTTGCCACGAAGAAAGATGGTCGTCTATCCTCGGGTCCGAACCCAAAATAGACAGGGAAGGGGAAACGAGGTGAACAGCAAGGATTTCCTGGATAGAATTTACCGCAAAGTGAAGCAAAAAATGGAGTAGAGCAGGAGAGTGCGAGCTGGGAAACAGAACAAAAAAGGATATGCGTGTGGTCGAGGACCAAGTGCAGGAAAGTGGAATCCGGAAATTCCTGACGGCGAACAACCGGTGAGTCTACGCATTTCAACGTCATGAATAGGACGACCCACCATGAGCGAATGAAAATCGAGTCTATGTCAAAGTCAGTCTATCTTCTCGGTTAAGGCCTCTGGGTGGTCTACTCCCCGTATACCTTCTCCGATTCCTGTCTTGATAACCGAAATCTCCACGAGAAGACTCGCGTGCACCTACACCATCATGATGATCCAACTCTTCATCGACATCCAAATTCTTGTGCTCTCCGTTCTCCGAGCTACTCCGCGTCGCCTCCCATTCTGTCCTCCTCTTTTGCTTCTGCAACTCATATCCCATCTTCTCCTCCTCCCTCGCTTTCACGATCCTCTCCTGTCTCATCCTCCTCTCCCTCTCCAACAATTTCTCCCGCTTCTCCTTCGTCGGCACCCATTTGCTCTTCAATATCCTTCTCACCGCCTCCGGGCTGATCTTGAACTTCGCCGAGAGGAACGGGGTGGAAAACGTCTCGGGGTCATGAGCGTGTAATGAACGCAAGCCGTCCATAGCGTCGCGGGAGAGTTTCCGCGGTGGTTGCCATCCTTCGGGAAACTTCTCGATCATGGTGGATCGGTGGGAGGCCCAGACAGAGGGAGTCTCGTTCTGTGAGAACCGCGATCTGGTGTGAACGCCGACGCGTTGGGTTGTAGATTCGTCGTCCTCTCCTTCTTCTTCGGAAGGCTCCCACTCTCGGTCCACGGGTTTGGTCAGTTGCGAAAAGCGGTTTTGACGCGATGACGGTTCAAGAGCCGGTGATTCGTCGTCGAGCAGAGAAAGAGGAGTTGAAGAGGTGGCAGGAGACCAGTTCCTTCGAGGCAACTTGCCATGGCGTATAGCACTTGCGTCGGCAGAGTAAGGACGACTGCTGACGCCTGAGTTGGCTTGCCATCGTGTGGCTACTGACAGGCTCGATGTGGTGGCTGTGAGATTGCTTGGTCGAAGGGAACGAGCAACAGTTTGCAAGAGCGAGGACATCGTGGAACCGGAAGAAGAGTTTGAAGAAAGAATATATCGGTTAAGGCTGCGTTAGGACTTATCTTAGGGTTATAACACCCTATATGGGGCTATCATATTTATCTCACAATTTACGGAGAACCGCTCCGTTCAGATATTCGACCAATTGCACTTCATCTCGTTCGCCAGCTGCGACTCGTTCAGAGCCATCCTCTTTCTTCTACCTCGTCTTCGTCGGGGTTTTATCTTCGTCTTCTCTCTCTCAAGGCCTTTTTATTCTTGTCTGTCTTTGTCATGGCCGACGTCTCCGATCCCCAGATCCAGGAAGGTATGAACGAACATGACTTGGTTCAACTCTTGACCCATGTAACTGAGCGCTAAATCTATGTTCGGACTGAACAGCCTATGAAGATGTTCGTTCAGACAAGACGGACACTAACTGGATGCTCATCGACTACGAGGTACGCAAAAACATTGACACCCCTCGAATAACTCGAGACGTGTTCTGATCAATTTACGGCTCAAATGCTCGGACATCATCCGCTTGAACCTCATCGATGCACGCCTCTTCCCAAACCTTCTTCGCAACACAGACCGACCGCTCAGACAAACTCGTCCTGACGAAGACAGGCTCAGGCGGCCTTTCCGAGCTCAAAGAGGTCGTCGACCCGAGCAAGGCCTCTTACGCCTACGTCCGCGTCGGGTATGCCAACGACAAGGAGTCTAAGCGGGAAAAGTTCATCCTTGTCGTTTGGATCGGGTCTGGGTGTAAGGTTATGAGGAAGGCGAAGGTATGCATCCTTTCTCCCACTTCCTCTCAACATCCTAGTCGTTGGGAGGCGGACGTACTCTGCCTGGTATATCGTGTAGCAGGCGTAATGTGACCACTGATGGTGTCGCCACGGAGACGCGAGATGCGCACCTGCATCGGAATAGGGAATTAGTTGTGCATGCGACATGATGTTGACTCGCTTTTATTTCGTTCTTGGATGTAGATCTCGGTCCAGGCTGGTGATGTGAAGACTGTCCTTCGTGTGTTCTCGATCGAGGTGGCTGCCCGGGAGAAGGATGACTTGAACGAGGAACCCATCGTCATTCGATTGCGCAAGGTTCGTCCCATCTCTATGCCCCATAATTCGATCCTCGTCCAATCACTTAATCCAACTAACTTGGCTCTTCGTAGGCTGGCGGTGCGAGCTACGACGGCGTCTAATCTTCATCATCATACCCGACCGTCCAGGGCTACACATACCCTCGAACGCACATCACTCATACCTGCTTCCGCCACTGCATCCTCCACGCGTATCCTGGCCTTGCGGAAGATATTGACTGTGTACTAAGGGGGCTCTACTGGGCCATCATATCCGGTCATTTTCTCTGTGTGATTCATTCATCTTTTCTTCTTTCGGTGGTTCGTTGGTTCGTAGGAAGTCAAAGTCTAATTCGCTGTGCTGCATACAAATACTCAATCCATTCATGAAATTTCTCCACACCGTGTGAGCAGCGAACGTTTAGACCGGGAGTGTGAAGGACCTCAGCATGAGAAGCCGCACGGAGCGGGCGCCACATTTGTTAGCTCATGTCGCCACGGGCAACTAGGTGGTTGATATTGCAAGTCTGTATTATTCCAGACCTTAGTACGCAAGTCAGATATAGTCCGGTGCTAGGATGCTTAGGAGGTCACTTCTTTCTTTCTTTCCTTCTTACAGCATTCTGCGTCGTTTGACCTACTCGAAAAGAGACAACCCATGAGAACGTGAAACATATGGTCCAGTGAGTGAGCCATATTCTTACCATAGAAGATTTTGCATCCAACCATACGTCCATCCGTCCACACTACAACCACGCGAGTTCTTGCCTCGCATTCAGGCCATGAAAGCGTCCACACATCATTGCAGCGCGAACCTCTTCAACTTCTCGATCCCGTCCTCTTTGAGACGCATGCCGACCCACTCAGACATGGGGAACGCCGACAGGGTCTTTTCGTAGAAGTCGATCGAAGGCTGGTTCCACTGGTGATCGGTAGAGACAGTCACAATGAACAAAACAAAACAACACGAAGAGAAACGGGAATCAGTATTCAGTGGTAGGGGCGATATTCAGGGGTAAGGGGAAGGAAGACGCGGGCTGACCTTGAGGACGGACCAGTCCATGCGAGCGCAGTCCTGTTTGGCGGTATAGGGTCAACATGAGGAAATGAAAAAATGAAGAATGGAGATGAAGGTTTCCTACCTTCTCCTGAGCGACCTTCGCAAGCTCAGCAAAGAAAGCTTTTCCGATACCTTTTCCGCGCGTCTCGGGCTTCACGAATAAATCCTCCAGCTGGTCAAATCAATAAACCATTAAATTCTATCGAGTAGAAGTGAGTGGGCAGTCTGGAAATCTCACGTATAAACCTGGTCTCCCAGTCCAGGTGGAGAAGTTGAAGAAGTAGAGCGCGAGGCCGACGGGTTCGCCTGGTTCAGAAGGGGAGCCGTTGAATGCTAGGAGGGCATGGGCCACGGGGGAGTCGAAGAGGTTCTTTTGGATCTATGAACGGGATTTGTGTTGGTGTGGTGGCATAATAAGATGGTGGAATGCCAGACCTACCAGCTCTGGGGTGGCCTTGGCTTGGTCTGCTGCTTTCTCGTAGACAGCCTATTCGACCACGCGCAAAATCAGAACAGGTTCGAAGGAGTAATAAAGAACGTCGACAGACGCGGTCATACAAGATCATAGATCAACGACAAGATGATAGGCTGCATAGATGTTCTTTGAGTTCCTCGCCACATGACGAACTTGAAGCCAGCCACGTACAATATCCTCCGGAGTCGAAGGTCTGATAAAAAATGCAGCAGTAGACATCGTAGCTCTCTTCACAATTTCCTAAAGACCGAGATAGTAGTGTAAGGAACGAAAGAGTGTCGATGGCCGAGGGCGAGTCATACGCCGCATCCTCATCATGGTGCGAAGTATGTTCGCCATTGTGCCCAAATCTGAGGCCATCTAGAGCCCGTTTTACTGCTAAATATCCGGATTTGGGCCAGTTACGCGCGGGACCAGAGCGTGCGCCAAACCTTAATTTTGCGCGTCTCATCGACGGTCACGACGAGCGACTTGCACAAATCCGATCCTCCGCTGAACGCGCTTCCCTCCATCCACTCTCCCTCTAACTCCCCATCCGACTCGCCCCACCATGGACGCTGCGAAGCTTGCAAAACTCCAGGCTCAGGCCGCGTCTAACAGAATCGGTCAGTCGTCACTTCGTACTCGGGATCTGGTCCATTTATTCTAAATCATGCATCAAACGCGTCTCTTTGCCCTCTCTCTGGCCGGGTGCGATTTTTTTGGTGTATGGGTTATGATGTCGGTGTTGGGAGAAAATAGGTGGAAAGGGAACGATGCGCCGAAAAGTCGTGCGTAAGACGAAGGCCGGAAGCGCCCAGGACGACAAAAAGCTGCAGGGTGCTTTGAAGAAGCTGAATGTGCAGCCGATTCAGGGCGTTGAGGAGGTGAACATGTTCAGGGAAGACAGCAACGTTCTCCACTTCACCGCACCAAAGGGTACGCCTGCTTTCCTCTTTACATCCTTCATGTCCATACTTTCGTCCATCGATCCTCGCCACATCCTCAGGCAATAAACTGACTTGATGCATCCATCTTCTCTGGATTGCTTTGAACTATAGTTCACGCTGCCCTCAACTCCAACACCCTTGCCATCTACGGTGCCGGTCAAGTGAAGGAGCTCACCGAGCTCGTCCCTGGCATCCTCAACCAACTCGGCCCCGACTCCCTCGCTTCCCTCCGCAAACTCGCCGAGTCTTACCAGTCCCTCCAGGGCCAGCAGCGACCGGGAGTCCCGGCAGCCGATGATGATGATGATGACGATGTTCCCGACTTGGTGGAGAACTTCGACGTTGAGGAGCAGGCTAAGGAGGGTGAGGCCAAGGAGGAGACGCTCGAGGACCTTAACTAAAAGCTTGGTCTTGAGGTGTGATGGTTTGGCATTATGATGGGAGGAGAGTGAGGATAGCAGGGGAGGAAGAGGGGGAGGAAGAGGGGGATTAGGTGCGAAGGGCAAAAAAATATCGCCGAAGGACGCCTGCTGTTCTTTTTCCTGTTTATTCCCTTGCTACCTCTCCTTCTCCGCCTGCATGCAGTCTGTTGTTGTGTTTTTTTCTTGATGTTTGCCTCGACCATTGCTCATCGCCCTCACTGTGTTTCTGCGATATGACTATAGCCGAGCTCAGTCTTCCATGTGTAAAAAAATCCATGCGCGCTGCTCAGCGTTTCTCATCCGATCTCTTTCGCATTTCTGTCCAAGCAAATACTCAGACTGTAACAAACATCGATGTCAGCCGAGTGGGATGGCTGTGGCACCACTGCGCCACCCATCCGTGATTGGCTCGGACTTCTCCGATTCAACTTGTTTCTCCCGTTCCGTCGAGGCAAGGCGACGATCATGTTCTTGACTAGCCTCGTACACGTTTTCTGCATGCCTGTCGGCGCAGAGGCCAATGCAACAGTGATCACAGCTTTATATAGACGCTGTGATATCCCATGGACGATGTTGTTCTCTTGCTTCATACCATTACTGCTCCCGCTGAAGGTTTCCCCGACTCTGGGATCACTGTCTTGCTGGAAATTCATCTAGAGCTTACGGGCGATTGATACTTGACGCATAGGTTGTATAACGAAGCTACTCAGGATCTACGCTAGGTCAGTCGCTCGTGACCTCGTTATCGATGTTCATTTCCAATATGTGCTGGAGAAATCGGACCTACTGCCACCAATAAGTATGCCCCTCGAGGCTTCGGTGGCGACGGGTGGCGATAATGCCACTGCCCGTCACCGCACGGCCTTCGTCGATTGTCTTCTCTTTACGAATTCTGAGGAATGGCTGACGACGTATAAAATGGCTGATTGATAACAGGCGTCTTTTTATCGACCGGACCTACCTACCTCATCGAATCGTGTTCTGTATCCGTATCCCGTTTGTAGCCCATCAATCTGCTGTAGCATTAGGTTTTCAATCCGTGTAAAGTTGTTCATCCCTCTTGTGATTTCCGTTCTCATATGGCCTTTCCTTCTAGCATCCATATCCCACGCTGTTCCAAGTATACCGGACATGACGACTCGGAGGAATACACAAGCGCCGGAACCAGAACGATGGACAATCACCCTGCTAGGGGCCCCGAAAGTCGGTTTGTCGACTTTTGCATATCGAGTAAGTTGTCTCTGCTATCTCTCAGAACATATATCTCACCTTTTCCTCAGTTCACTCACGAGGGAGATCGTACGTCCACGAAAGTGTTCTTTACGACATCTCAGATGTTTGGCTGATACACTATATTCTACGCCTTCTATTCCTGCTCACAAAGTGCGTCTCTCAGTATATGCTCGTGACTGCACAGCTACTCCTCATTCTCATTCTCATTCTGAGCTGACCTGGTCTTTCAGGTGAGCGACGTCCCATCACTCGACCCCCATCAAGAACAACGCTGGAGACGGGACAATTTCGAGGTCGACGACATACCGTGTACTGTGGATCTCATCGAGGGACCTCAGCGGAAAAGAGAGCTTCTGGCATATTGTTCGTGGTCTCAGCTGGTGGTTATGAGATTATTTCTCATTGCTGCGTTTTCTATGTAGTTCCGACGAGTGAACATGAATATTATCCGTACTGGATCGCTCGGTAAGAAACGCTACATCACTATCTCTTCCTACAGAATACCTTTTTGACCTCGTGTGATGCAGCGATACCCAAGCATATATATTCGTATACTCAATCACCGATCCAGACTCCCTACGACGCATACACACCTTCTGGGATCTCATCGCCCGCGAACCCTCCAAACCGCCCAACCTCGTCCTCCTCCTCCTCGGCAACAAAGCAGACCTAGCCATCCACCCTCCCCACGCCCTGGACGTTCCAGGCGCTTCAGCCCAAGTCTCATTGACCCAAGGCGGGGCGAAATCGCAAGAGCTTGGTGGGTCGAGGTCGAGTTGTCAGTTTATGGGCCATATATCGGCGAAGGATTCGGTGGATGTGGATGAGTCGGTGGCGAAGGTGGTGAGGAAACTTAGGTGGGTGAGGGAGAAGGATTGGGCGAAGGCGAGTAGGAAGAAGCTTATGGAGGATTGGCAGCAGAAGAGGGAGAAGGAGGAGGAAGTTGTTGTGAGGAAGTCAGAGTGGAGGTGTTGTTTGATTATGTGAAGTTATATTTGTAGGTGAGTCAGCCTTGTTGTTTTCGCGTTCCACAGAATACTGATACTGAAAGAAAGAACAGCTAGTATAGCTCCAAGCTACCTACGTAGCTACGACACAAAACAAACATTACCCAACAGACTCCCAGAAACGAGCACAGCAGAGATCATAACAGAAAGCATTACAAAAAAGCGGATGTAAGTATGCAAAAAAAACGGATTTTGAGTATTTTCTCCCACAACAACCAGCGCGCGAGATCATGAACCCTCCGAGCGAAGCAAATACTGATTCCTTGACACCAAAACCCACGTCCATTACCCATCCCCAACTCCCCCAGACTCTCCCTCCAACATCGACATTCATGACAGTCAATCACAACAGCTTAGAACGTCGGACCCACCTTCTTACCCTTCTTCTTCCCGCCCCTCGTATTCTTCTTCTTCTTCCCCTGCTCAGGACCCGACATGATAGCCGAGTCGGGCGTCGAACGACCCGACGCAGGCTCAACAGAACCCTCCCTCGACGCAGTCCTTCCAAACAATCCATTCGGACCCCAGCTAGATAAAGCGCGCGACACGGACTTGCCCATGGTAGGCACGCGGTTGAGCGTGTCTTTGTCGGGCGTAACGGAAGGAATGCCGGCGATGGACGTTCTGGGAGTCGATGCAGGTTGTTCTGGTTTGGCGCGAGGAGGGGTCGAGCCGTTGCCGTTGATGCCAGCGGCGGCGGGGGCACGAGGGCTTGCGTACGGAGCACGGCTTCGTTCGATTTCCTTGTCGGACTGAGGTGAGAAGGGGTTGAGCGGAACGGAGCCGTTGGTGGTCGGGACCGATCTAGGAGGAAGGGGTGGTTGCTCCGTAGGCTTGACCTCGGCAGGCGCTGCAGCTGAAGGATAGTCGCCGAAGTTGTCCGGCATAGATGGTGGCGAGGGTGGCACCTGCGTTTCTTCATGGCCATTCGCAGTAGGAGATGGCTCCTCGGCGCGAATGGACTCCCCGCCATCGATGGAAGTAGCGACTGGGGTATCGAACCGAACACCTGAAGCCGAATCTTGGCCCGGTTCTGCCTCGGAAGTGCCTTGGGCAGAGGGCTCGAGTCGGAGGCCGTTGGGTTCGTCGTGGTTCGCATGAATTCCGTTCACGGTGGGATGAGAGAAGTCAACTTCGTGTTCGTGCAAGGATTCGGGCGATTCTCCTTGCTGAGCGAGTGCGACCTCGTCAAGCGGAACCAAGGGCGGGACGGCGCTCACGTCGTCGGGCGCGACAGACGGCTCCAGCGCAGGAGATGGCTCTCGGTCCTGTTCCTCGAGGGACGGTTCCGGTACAGGCTCAGGCTCAGGCTCGGGAGGTATAAGCTGTGACACCTCCTCAGAAACGTCGTCCTCGTGGAGGTCTCCTCCGTTCGCATGTAGACGCTCGCGCACAGAGGCGATGAGATAGAAGTCGTCAACACCAAGACGTCGGCTCTCGTCGCGACTGAGGAACTCCTCCCTCAGAGACAGCTTCGCGAGGCTAGGTACGAGCCACTGCTGGACTTTGCACTCCCTGCCGAGGACGATCTTGTCGACGGGTGTGGCGATGGGCGCTAGACGCTCAATGGCGAGGGAACGGATGGATTCGAAGCCCCATTCGGTGGAGAAGCGGAGGACGGCGGCCCAGTCTTCGACAGAGTGGATATCGCCTTTTTCGAAGTTTCTAACATCATGGTTGAGATATGAGTGGAAGCCTGAGGGATGAGGTGTAGTGGTACTGACTGGGGGTAAAGAACGGAAAGGAAGGCGTCGAACTCGCGGGGTTCGATGCCTACTAATGAGAGGAAGAATTCTCCCGACGTTGTAATCTGTTCCGCCAGACGAGGAGAGTCCCGAAGGAAGAAGTATCGATGGATGAAATACTCGGTTCGGACTGGGTTCGTGTCGTTACCGACCTTCGAGCGATTCAGGCTTAGCCCATCTGGAGGAATATCCCGAAGTATAATCGCGAACGTACCACAACATTCAAATTCCCATCACTGAAGTAGAATTTCTCACTCCTCTCCAACTGAGGTGCCAGCGGAGACTCTGGAGACACCACAACATTTTCACTCGAGATAGCCATTGCGCTGGTGCTAGTGCTAGTGACTGGATCTCTAGAGAGGACAGATAGGACGATCGTCGTTGCGGGGAAGCGAGCGACGCAGGAGAGTCGGATTGAGGCCAACCCCCAGCGGATCGTTTATGTCTCCCCAGCGAGAGACGGGCTGGTTTCCTCGTGTGGCACAGCAGATCATGTCGCACGACACTTTGCCCCGTTTCTAGCGCGTTCCGCACCACGTACACGAGGAAAATGCCTCAAGTGATGCTCAGAATACGTACGACACGCTGGTGCAAGGCGCAAGCCAAGCCATCTTGCGGTACAGGGCGGAGACGGCTGCACTCAATTGGTCAGGGATCGTTGAATACGAGGTGCTGTGAAGATTGGAAGACGTGAAGATGCATCACATACCTCGTCAAAGCATTGAGCCTACACAGCGAGGGCAGAGGGTGTTCACCACGAGAAGGGGCGCATTGTCCGGGGAAATGAAGTCAACAGATAGATACGAACAGCCCGACAACCAAGGCGAGATGTCTATTGCGCAATTAGGACGAATACACAATCTCACCGCATACATCTATCTGCGGGTCCGCTAAGAACACATTGATCATGGGTATACGATTATGTCGCATCGCAGAACGTACCACAGAGCATCGAGAGAGCGAGTATTCGGATCAATATCGGATTAACGTACGGAATGCAGAACGCGAATTAGTCTCTGGGCGAGACAAAGACCGTATATGGATACAGGGGAGGCCGAGAATAGCAAGCAGATAAAAATATAAGAAACCTGAAGATATGGAAATAGAGGTGACAAGGCGACAGAGTGACCAGACCGTCGAAAAGTCGGTGTTCGAGGGGCTCGCGTTTATCGTTCTGCATCCAGCGGGTCAAGGGCTTGAATAACAGCCGCCGCGTCCATCTCCTCTTCCGTCTGGCTTTCAGCGCGACCGTTCGCGGAGGCAGGCTTTTGACGGGAGGGTCCTGGAGCGTCACTCTGGCCATCGAGTGGTATGTCGGTTGTGCTAGCAGAGGGGTCTAGTGAAGATTCAACGATGACAGGGAGAGTCTTGGGCTTGCGACCTCCCGGGCCTCTGCGCTTCTTGACAGGCCGCTTCTCAGAGTCCTGTAGGATGGAAGAAGCGAATTAGCGAAGAGCAAAGGTAAATAAAGAGACGATCGTCACTTACGGAGCCTTCGCCTTCAGGCTCCTCTATAACAACGGCTTTCGCTACCCTCCGCCTCTTGACTGGTTTAGGTTCGGCATCCTGATACGGCGATGTATGAGCTATGGATAACATATCGGCGAAATGGGAGAAAACTCACAGTGGGTGTAGCGACACTGTCTGCATCATCGGCCGCAATCTTGACCTTCGAAACGGGAGCAGCCCTCTTCCTCTTCGGACGCGCGGGAGGTACCTCCGCATCTAGATTAGGTGTAGGTGCTGGATCTGGATCAGGCGTAGGCGTCGTGGTTGGCGTCGGCTCAGCTTGTTGAGCCTGCACGGCAGTCTTCCTCCCCGAAGGCTTCCTCTTCTGTGCTGTCTCCACCGGGATCGGTACCGACTGCCCAGCATTAGCACCTCTCTTCTTCCTCCCCGTCGGCGCTGTTCCAGACCCAGATGCCTTCCCGGCAGCAGCAGAAGAAGAAGGGTCCTTGTCCTTCGACGAAACTTCAGCATCGTGCCTCCGGATATCCGTAAGCAACGCATTCCCCTTCTTCTTATTCGCGTTCCTCCCTCCACGTCTCTTCCTCGGCCCATACTGCATTACCACCTTCCTGAAATTGATCAACTTCTTCTTATGCAGATAATAAAACTGCACGCATTGCGCCTGCGTCTTATGCGGCAAGAAGTTCGCAATGATCCCGAACTGTTTCGGATGCGCGGCGAACTTCTCCAAGAACACCTGTCTCTCCTCGTCCGTCCACGTCGACACGTCCCTCGAAGGATCATAGTAACTCGCAGGATCGTCCACAAGCTTATTCGTGTCGTCGAACTGATAATCCACTTGGCCGTTCGTCACGGATATCATATCCGGGATCACGGCGACGTTCTTGATCGCCAGGTGTGCGGGATCGTATAGGTCTTCGTTCCCAAGACTGGCTATGATCTGCTCCATCTCGAGGTCAGAACGGACTGCGTCGCCGAGGACGGCTGCGGAGCGACGGGTGGTGCGGCCGGGGGCAGGAGCGACTTCGTCTGTGTTGGTGGTGGCGTTGGCGTTGGCGGTTGTGGGTGCTTGGCTTTGACGGTCTAGACGAGCGCAGTGGAGCATCCACGCTTCGTGGTGTTCGAGGTACTCCTTTCTTAGACGTTCGGTTTTCTCTTGTGTGGATTCGCGGCGAGCGCCGATACGTGTGACGAGAGCAGGGCGAAGAGTTTCGAATGTCGACATTCGCTTCTCTGCGACCTCGCCTTCCATGAATTCGTTCACGAGAGCTTCGGCATCTGGCGTTTCGGATTCGGGAGCTGGAGCTGGAGTACCAGAAATGAGAGGAGGCCTAGACATCAAAGACTTCGCTTTATTCGCCATCAAGATAGGCCGGACAATATCCTCGCGAGTCTGAACGCCATGGAGCTGTCGAGCAGTCACGACAAGACGAAGAGCCTCCTGGAGTGACTGTGCGGACTTCGCAGATTCTGGAAATATTGACGGCGAAGATTTGGAAGGCTCCGTATTCAAGGCTTCTTGATCGATGTCCATAGGTACGGCGGACATTATGGAACGGTCGGGATGATCAGGCTGTTCTGCATGTGTCGATGCGACTCGAACATCGGTGGGAGGAAGATCGGGAGGGGCTGGGGTCGCGAGACTGGGTGTATGGTCGTCGGATGATCCAGGCGAAGCAGGACGTGTACCACTGCTACGAACGGACCCGGCATGGGACGGGGCTGGTGCTGCGAGATGAGTAGACGATAATGGAACCGTCTTCTTCGCCATGACAGGAGACACCACCTCAGGAATGTCCTGCGCCGGAGCACTTTCGACCTCTTCGGTAGGTAAAGGTTCATGTGTGGATTCGGGCGAGGAAGAGACTATGGCTTTGCTCTTGATAACGTTACCGCGCCGTTTCTTCTTCTTTCTCGGACGAGTAGTCTGGTCTGCTGAATCAGAAACTGAGCGCAGGCCAAACACGTTGAGTTAGCAAGGAGATAAGTCTTTAATCGCATCGATGAATGACGGAAACTTACTGAAGACCGAAGAAGATGGCCCGGATGCTGACGCAATGATGGAACGAGCGGGAGGTGCCATGGCTTTCACTGATCCATCGAGACCTGGAATAGCAGGCGAATCCGACCTCGAATCAAACAGCGGAGGCGTCAATCTACCCATTGGCGGTATCAACGGTGCACGGACCGTAGGCTTGCTATTCTGCGAAGCCGCTGTATCCGAACGTGACACGGTACCTGTATCCAGGTGGGACACAGAAGCCGGATCTGGACGCAACGTGGACGCCGTGTCCGAACGTGACACAGGCGTCGAACCCGTCAGTCCATCGGTCTTGATCCTAAGGCCAATTCTCGACGAAACCGGACTCGAAGGTTGAGTCGACGGTGGTTCTACTTTCGTCGGCGGAACGTTGCGCGAACTAGGCTTGATTTCGGCTGAGATTGATGGTGCACGAGAAAGACCTGGAACCGATGTTGCGGACGGTGTATGTGGCTCAGGCGAAGCGTTGCGTGATGACGCGATGGAAGATCGACCTGCCGATTCAGATCGTATTCGAGCATGAAGGCCTTTGCTAGATCCCGATAGAACTCGCGCCGCTGGAGAAGAAGACAAGAACGATCCGCGCATGTGAGAAGGGACATAGGACGATGGCTGGCTGAAGACACGGGTGTGTGGTCTTATTTCTCGAGGCGGTGGCTGTCGATACCCAGAAGGACCAGAAGAGTATGGAGCGGGCGGACCGAATGAGTACGGCTGTGGGGGGCCAGAAGAAGGTGGTGGTGCGGTAGACGAAGGCTCTGGAGGTGAAGACATCTTCACAGAGTTTGGAGAGCCGCTGCTGTGGGAGTTATCACGATCGTGTTGACCGAACTGGGGATACGAAGATCTAGAGTGGAATCCACTGGCGGATTGTACAGGCGAGCGACGATAGTCACCTACGGCATTTGATAATGTCCTATAGTGATCCCATAGGGGCGGCGCGGGCGGCGCGTCCGAGCATGGTATCCAACCAGGTTCATCGTCGTCATAAATAGCCGCGTATGGATTTGGCGTACGAGCAGCAGGTGGCGGTCCAGCAGCTGCTGCGTACGGATTCGGCGTACGGACTGGTGGTGGCCCAGTAGCCGCGTATGGATTTGGTGTACGAGCTCGAGGCACGGGTGGCGGTCCGTACGAGTCGGGGTTTGACCTGTACGGATCAGAGGTTCTGTAAGACTCTCGCTCGCGCGAGTACCGATCATCGTAAGATGAAGAATAGTCGTCAGCGTAGTCTTCAGTGTAATCTTTCGAGTAGGGGCGACTATAGCCGAAGGCAGTCTCAGCATAGGTTTCGAATTTCCGAAGGGGACGTTCGGGGGACGGTGGAGGTCTACTATCGTCTTTCGGGTAGTGGCGACCAGAGCCGAAGGCAATCTCAGCATAGGTTTCGAATTGGCGAAGGGGACGTTCGGGGGACAGTGGAGGTCTACTGTCGCGCATGCGGTTCCCGAGCTGGCGTGCTTCGGGGGATGGGCGATCATCTCCGGGTCTAAGTAACATCATATCATGAGCTGGGCCGATCAATGAACAAAAGAGAATGTGAAGAATGAACGTACACATGAGTTTGTTTCCACGCCTCTGACGGCTCAAACATACTTTCAGTCGAGCTATCGGCCACTCTTCCAATGCCTCTCTGGACTGGAGAAATGGGCGGTGGTAGTCTCCTTTCTGGCCACGATCCGGCATTGAATGCGGTGGACCATGCATTGGGAGGACGTGACCAGTTCTGACTATGAGGTGTATACGGACCTGAGGGAGTTCGTTGGCGAAATGATCTCTCTTGAGCCCAGGATTCGGATGAAGAGCCGAAAGAACTGTCGTAGCCGTCGCGAGCGTATCCTGGTGGAGGCCTTGGAGGTCTATACCTGGAATACGGGCCGATACGTGAGGAACCAGGGGATGGTGATCTATGAGGTTCGAGTGCATGGGGAGGCTGGAGTGCATAATGGTAAGCGAAGGAGTGATATTTTCAAGGATGGAAACGTACTTCGTAGTTCGGACGGTGTACTAGACCGCCATTCATGGTGTCATCGAACTCATTTGGAGGGGCTCCAAAGAACTTTGAGCCGGGGCCCATAGACATTGCGAAATACGAAGTGGTAAGTAATGGACTCTGAATCAGCGCTAAGTGGCTTGAATGAGGCCAAGAAAAGTGTTGACGGGTTGTAGAGCGTATGGACTGGAAATCGAGGGGATGATGGAGGTCGTAGGAGGAGAACAGACAGCCGACTTGGTTTCTCGCAGGCTGACTGGCGCCACCGCTTTTCTGAGTCCGACACACTCCGCGCGGCAGCAGCCACCGGCAGCCGATCAACAGACACGCACCGCCGGCGAATATCCAGCTCATATTATTGTGTTTCTTCCTTTCGTCCTCGATGGAACAGCATGAACCGTTGAAAACAACAGAAAACCTGCCGCACGATCCTTCGAAATTATATTTTGAGAAACCCCGACTCCGGAGAGTAATTTTATTGTCTTACTGGGTCGTGGTCCTCCTCGCAACACCGCTGTGGTGGTATACTACAAGCATCGAACGGCTCTCCTTACCCATTTCCCATATTCATGCTCAGAGCGACAAACAGGTCTGTAAACTACAACAATCAAAATCAATACATTAGCTCATGTGTCTCCAGCTCGTTTTCCCAGTCCATGTCCAAATCGACAACTTCACTTCGTCTCTAACGGACGTACCCTCCATCGAATCCATACAGCAGGCACTTTCCCGTCAGGCATCACTCGATCAGTCTTCAAATGTGGACATTCATGTAGCTACCAGAGGTGAAAATGGTGCGCGTCTCTTTACTTGTTCTTGTTAACGAGAGTTGACGAGTGCTGAAGAACCACTCAGCCCGGACACGTACGGTGTTTCCATCATCCAGGGCATAAACCATCCCATCATTCAAGACAGACGTCTCTCAATACCCTCTTCACAAGGTGCGTACACTTCGAAGTTTGGTCGTGGTCATCGGCTTAGCCAGCTACAACACCAATAGCTTCACAAACGAGCGACTACCTCTCCGCGCTCCTCTTCCCTCATCGGACGTCGAGGTCCAGCAACCTCGTCGCTAAATATTCCCCACGCTACCGTCTCGCTTTCACTTTCCTCAACGAAGATGCGGCCGATGGAAACGCTGTCGTGGGCTGGGAAGTCGAGAAATCAATTTCCCGTGCGTCATGTTCTGCCTTTCATGTCAATCCAGACATCACGTCCTCATACGCTCTCATGCGTGTTCGTAGACCACCTATCATCCATCCTCGATCAACTTTCAGAACTGTATAACTTCACAATCGAGAGCCAGATTCGATTCCATGCACCTTTAGCCTTCGAGCCACAGGCTGTGGCAAACTCAGACGGAAATGAAGTCCATGGCTTGACGCCTGAAGACTTGACTGTGTTTGTTAATTCGGCAGAGTGGACGCTTTGTGAGTTTGACATTTACTATACGGGATCAGAGGCATGCCTAAGTAACGAAATTCGTAGCATCGAGTGTATCGAACGACCCGGTGCTTCACTTCGTCCTCTTCATGCCCTCCGCCAGGCACAGTCCACTCCGTATCCTCGACGCCAAAAGTACGTTACCCCTTCACCCCTCCATCCCTCATTATGCACTCATCTGACGTGCTCGAATGATATCAGACAACCCAACGTCGTCCAACGCCTTTATCCTCCCCCAATGGGGCGGCATCATGATCTTCAACCTGCCAATCCAATCCACCACGAATACGACATCGGCTCAACTCCACTTAACAACCCACACCCTCACACCCGCCTTCCAAACATTCAAAACCCAACTCCTCGCACTCCTCGGAGTCCCCGCTCTCCCGCCTTCCATACAGATCCAGTCTCATGCCCAACAACAGGTCAAAGGCGTAGGCATAAACAATGAATTGACAGATTGGCAACTCGATGCGCTGTACAGGATGCGAGCGCAGGAGAACGCGGTGAGCAGTAAAGAGACGTTGATGAGTATCGCGAAGCTGGTGGATGAAATTCCGAACATGCCGGTTGGGCAGGACGTGAAGGGGGATGTACAGGGTGCGTTGGCAGAGTTGGATCTGGTGCGTATCTGTCTCCCCCACTTCTTCCACCTTCACCAAAGCCCTCCTGCCTCTTCTTTTCACACACGAAGAACTATAATCTGACCCTTCGTGCCACCATCCCGTAACCTCGATTTTGAACGTCGACGACCCAATCAGGTTTACACAACCTCGCCCACCTCACCTACCCTCATCCTCCGACACTCCGCAGAAGCCCTAACCCTCGCCTCTCGCGCCTTCTTCAACCCCGGGATGTTGGCACTCTTATATTTCCCAGCAGAACACAAGTATGCGGTTTATACGCCGTTATTCGCACCGGTCGCGGTCCCGTTGATCGTTACGGTGATTAGAGAGTTTAAAGCTTGGAGGGAGGGAAGGAGGAAGAGGAAGGAGGGGATGGGGAAGGAGGTGGAAGGGGAGGATAAGAGTGAGTAGGGAGGGCGGCGAGGGAAGGGGAGCATAGTTTGTAAATTATTATTGGTGAGATGCCCTCTTTTTGCTTCCGGCAGGGTCATTGTCGGTCGTTGCGCTAAACTAAGTCGCTTACTAGGATGTGTCATATGTAGTGGAATTCAATGTGGTTCGCGTTACGCCCAGTCACAATGGGAACTGTTGTGTCCGTACCTGGAGAGTGGCGAGTTATTCGATTGTCGGCAACCGATTCCATGAAGCCTGGAGCATCAAAAGATGCCCGCAAATCTGACAGGAGTAACCGTGGCGGAACGACATCATTAGCCTCGTTCAAACTTCAAAGTTGGAGTTGAGCGCAACATCATAACCCGAGTTTCCAATCGAAGTGTACACGGGACAGGAGCTTTGGCTATTGACTAACCGCTTCTGCATCTATTGAACAAATGCAGCGCAGCGAGGCTCAACAACAGTTGCGAATCCATCTCAGACGTTTCCTCAAGCGCTGTGGAACTGATCGCTAACACACAGGTGTAAATATGTGGCGCAGCTCTATATTATGCTGCAAGTCATTTTGGTCTACCTCCCCAGAGTCTTCAATCGTGTACGCGTACCTTGGTTCGTCCTATGTCCCCCTTCGATATTTGTCAACTCTTTCATATAAGTCCTTTGGTGCGATTGTGTAGATGCCTCGCTCGAACGCTCGATACCAGTCGGACACACTTGACGGCTGCAGTGACCTCGAGAGCTTGGACTCCTGCGACATGTCGAGCATCAGCGCCAGTACGACTCGCTCCCCTAACTACTCTAGGGATGCGTCTCCAGTGACGTTGACTACCGAGACTCCTACAGTTCCGTGCACGAGAAGCAAACGATGGTACTTCCAGCCTCAGATGCTTATTGTCCGAGTGAGCCTTTCTACTTACTCACCGTCCCGGGACCGCATACTTGCGAGGTGAGGACTGAGCGCTATGTATTTCCTCATCATAGGCGGGAGATACGGAATTCCAGATCCCAAAGGAGATCCTGCTTCCTCCCGGAGACACCAAGTCTCGCCTGGCTTACCTCGTCAACAAACCTCGTCCAGCCACATCGTTCGTCGATCTTCACGACATCGACCCTAAGGCACTAGACGTGTATCTCTCCCTCCGCTGCCCACAGTATGTTCATAACCTCTAAAGGTCTTAATATCATTTTCTCATCTACCCATGCAACACATAACCAGGGATCTAGCGAAGGGCGATGTCCACTCCGTCCAGGACTGGACCTTACTCCTCGAATTCTCCACCTACATGGGTTTAGACTCCGTTCGCGAGCTAGCAATTGAGCGGCTCGACCCCATCGCCAGCCCGGTCGATAAAATCGTCGAAGGAACGGCGTGTGGCGTCGACCGCTGGCTTGTTCCGAGCATTACAGAGCTTTGTGGAAGGGAGAAGTTCCTCACGCTGGACGAGAGCATCAGGCTCGGCGTCCGACGCGTTCATCTCATCGCGAGCGTCAGGGAGCGTATCGCGGGAACCGGGCCTCATTCGAAACGTTCCCGTCTGGAGGCAACCAGTAAGATGGTTCAGGAGTCTTTGGGTGAGGGCGATGATATGACGGACGTCCCGCGACCCTACGAACGGAAGTCTGCCGATAATGACTTTGCTCCTCACACTACTCCCAAACCAGACCCTATCCCGTCCCAGATCCCCGAGCGGCCCTCTACTTCGTCTTCATCGCGACCCGATATACCTCTTCCTTCTCCTCCCGCCTCCGCTCCTCCACCACTCAACACCCAGTCTCTGCCAGCTAGGCCCCTCCCTCCAACCTTTCTAGAGACCACCACTGCTCAAGAGCCTTCCCTGGGTGTACGCGGCTTTTCTGAGAGTGGAGAGACGGAGTACTGGCCGGAGCGGATTAAGGAACACAGGCAGGGGAAGAAGAAACGTCGACAGATTCGCGCGGGTGCCGTATGCTTGGATGGCTGAAGTTGGCTCACGAGGGTCGATGAGATGGCCTACGGTCGTTTCTGTTGCGTGAGGGGCTGAGGTGCGCGTGTAACGGGCATACCATATAGCGGTGATGGATGAAGAGAGGCAATAATTTCCGTTTTCTTGATTTTGCACTCGTGGTTCGACTGATCGCAATGTCTTCTTCCATCGTCGGAGTTCTTTTCTTGTCAACACGTTGTATCGATGGATGTATGGCTCAGAGGGAAGTGTCGGGGTCGCCAAGATTGTGGCAAAAATGACCTTCGCTGATATTGGTATCATCGCTGACCCACTTACCAAGCTTGTATGTATGAAATCGAACTTGCTATTTTTCACTCGAAGAGTGCAGGTGGGAAGAAAGGTAAATGAAGAGATATATCTGTTCAGCCTCTGGTTTGTAGGGGCAGCGAAGGCCTTAAATATCTCCTTTCCTTCTCTCTTTTCTCACACTCTTGCCGTTCTGGCCAGCGTATTGGTAACAAAAGTGACAAGTCTATTTTTCTGTGGATCGACATAGACGCTCAAGAAGCTCGTCATTGATAAAAGCGAGAAACATGGGTAAATAGGTGGCGCGATTGGTATAAATCACATAGCAACCGATACTTTTCTCACCTGCGTCTTCCCATTTGCTGCCCACCTTGCCAGGTATGTCTCGTTGAAACCCCATTACTTGTATGGCTCCTTTGACTGAACCCACCGTCTACGTTTACTCAGATGAACCAGCCGGGAGCTCATCTGTGGACGAATACTGGTGACGGTTATAGCGATTTTGAAAGCATTTCCTCTCCAGACATGGATATGTCCGAGTCCCGAGTCTCGCCGTCTCTTGCCATCTCCTCTGAGGAACCTTTTTCGAAATCGCCTTCTCAGTCGCAAAGCCCAAGGCGAAGTAAGAACTGGCATTTTCACAGAAATATAACCATCTACACGGTTCGTTCTTTCAAGCTGCGCTTTATGTGTTCTCACTCCGTTCATTCCCGGTTGCAGTCTGACAACGTGGAGTTCTGCATTCCACAAGAGCTGCTCTTGCTTCCCGATGACAAGAAATCTGGCTTAGTCGCGATGATTGAAGAGGCAATTCTCGACGACAGTTACTATCTGGAACTTGGTAATGTTGACTCCAAGATTCTCGAGACCTACCTCTCTCTCAGGTGTCCTCAGTAAGTACCTATCATCAAGATCCAACTTCAATACAGCTCCCTGGTTCAGATTCCAAACTAAAACCCTCCATGTTTATTTGAAGGAATCTCGAGGACGGCGGTTTACGTTCGGTCCAAGACTGGACGAACATTCTACGGTTTGCAGACGAGTTCGAGTTGACCACTCTACGCGACCTTGCCGTGAGGCGGCTCACTCCTATCGCCAACGCTGTCGATAAGGTCGTCCAAGGTCGTCTACATGGAGTAGAGGAATGGATCGTCCCGAGCTTCGCCGAACTCTGCCTCAGGGAAAAGTTCCTCACACTTGAAGAGAGTGTGAAAATCGAAGTACAGGCTGTGCATCTGATTGCGAGTGTCAGGGAGGAAACGAGGTGCTTGACAGCCAGTTCCTCCATGTCTCGAGAGGAGCAGGTTTGCGGGTTGGTGACGAAGGCTTTGAAAGATTTGTCGGGGTGGACAGGCGGTGTTGCTGCGAAGAAAGCTGCAGCGTCCCCTGTACTGGACAAGCCAATGCGGATCAGTCCAAACCACGTCATCTCCCAGACCATCTCTCTGTCCAATTCACTCCCTCCCCTTGATATGTCTCCACCGCCTCGCCCTCGCCCAAACCTGAACCCATTGGCATCACCTTTTGTGCCTCCCCCGCGATCTTGACCTCCCGTCGGACCTCGTCTGGAAAAGCCTGCTTGATCAACATCCATCCTAGTCAGACTCCCCTCGCCACTCTTTCAGACCCCATCATTGACTATCTCGCATGAAGATCACGTTAACACCGCCTTGAACGCGACAACTCCAGGACCTCTACCTGGCTGTCAGTATTGGCCGAGGTCGAGAATACGAGGACCTTTCAGGATCAAGCCGCACAAGGAGAAGGAGAAAGGACTGAAGGAATATCGCAATATTTACATTGTTGGGCTGAATCTGCAGGCGGAGTCATCGAGAAGCCGCTTTGTCGAATGTGCAGAAGAGCGATGTCTAAAACGACGTTTGCGATGATCACATTTCGTAATGACTGTGGAAGGGGATAGTATATGAGTGATCTGTGATTGCGACTCTTTGGAGTTGGGACGTGGGCTCCAAGACGAGTCGTAGTGTTCTCATTTATCGGCACCAAAGTCGATTCATCTTCGCAGTGTTTTAGGGCTGATGGTTACTTGTGACCGTGTGAATAGCCGCGCTGTTGACCCCAATACACCATGGTCTATATTTGGAGCATCTTAGGAAGTCAGATAACGGTTCTCACCTACGCCACACTAATTACGAGCCAGTGCAGAAACGTGTTGGTTATGAAGCCCCCACTTCTGCAGTGTAGACGCCGGTCTGGCTGCTCCTCAGACTACATCCTCTCTTACCCCAGGTGCGTTTCAGTTGCATTCCATCTAGATATGCGCCCAATGATATAAAGTATCTACTCATTTCGTTGCGGCTTTGCAGGGGTAGATGTCATCCGAGAGCGAGTCTTCCGTAACTCCTACAGATTGTGCCGACCGCTCGCGTTGCAGCTCTCAGGACATTTCAGGCGAGATGTCTCATGAATCCGACTCTGGTGGTCTTACAACCCCTTCTACATCGCTGGGCGATCTGCCACTCTCGCGAAGTCCCGCAAGACCTGGCGGTGGTCACCGTAAAAACATTCCTGAGAAACTGGAGAGCCGGTTGCAAGTGAGAAGTGAAAGATTCTGGTTCGAAGAGGGAAATGTTATTTTTGAAGTGCGTAATTGGCATCAGCGTTTGACTCCCTCGTACGACATGGCAGCTTAGACAAATGTTTCACAACTTACTAGCTTCCTGGTACCTCAGTAAAGATTCAGAAAGAAGCGACCACTCAGTACCGCGTTCACTCGTACTTCTTCGTCCGCGATTCCTCTTCCCTGGCAAAAAGGATTGGCAAACGCAAGAATGTAGAAACTCCTGTGCTCCTCGGACAGAATGGCAACATCCAAGTCTATGCCAGCGATTTTGAGGCTTTCCTTCCTGTCTTGTATCCCTTGTAAGCGCTTCCGCATCATACATGACCTATGCTTTATTTCTAAACGATCTCTCTTCTGGAATTCAGGAACTTTGATACAGGAGACGACGACACAGTGAGTCACTGAACCTCGGTCCTTCGTTGTTCCCTCCGTTGGGGCTTCGAGTCCATCAAGCGCCTCGCGCTTAACAATCTTCGTGTCAAAGCGTCGCCCGTCGACAAGATCCTCCTCACTAGGGGCTTGCCCATGGGACGTGAGAACAACGAATGGCTGGTGGAGGGTCTCGTCACTTTGTGTGGTCAATTGAAGTTCCCCACCAACGACGAATGTCAATCTCTCGGAATGAACGATGTTCATCTTATTGCCGTTATACGGGAGAGCATCCGGACTTGTGAGTGTACTCAGGCTCAAACTGAGGATAAAACCCGCGAGGCCGATCGCCGTGCAAATATCATCGAGCTACTACGGGAGCAAGTACCTTCCATATTTACCTCCACATCCCATACCCAGCCGTCAATGCTACCGCCCACTGGCACTCTTACCCCAATTTCTCCAACGGAGACAAAGTCAAAAGTACTGCCTCAAGCTCAACCCCCTCCTTCCGACACTTCACATCTTCTTCTCGAGCATCCGCCCCTCGCCCCACCAGCATGGGGAATATCAAAACCCGACCCCTTTTCCTCAATTGGCGGCGTCCAGCGACCCTCCCCTGATGGTCCACATCTTTTGTTGGGACCAAGCCCTGACGATCCCCGCGGCATCTCAGCGCATCCCTGCAAGCAGGGCGAACGCAGAATCATCCATCAGCCTCAAACGTGGAGTTCAAAGATCCTGACGACTCGACCAGCCTGCTGACTTCAACTCCCCCGCACTACGAGGATCCCGCCAATATCCGATCCGAGGGTGTACAGCCATCAATCCGTTTTGAAGACACTATTGGAATGGGACAAGTCGAACAACCCGATATAGAACCTGTGTCATTCTATGTTCCGTTATTCATGGCCGATGATCCACCTACGACCTCCCCGCTCTTCCTCTCGCAGGAACTGAAAGCCCAGGCCGAGGCGGATGGCCAATTCAATCGCGGCCTCCAGTATTCAGGCTCTGATTGGCTGCTACCTACCCTAACTGTCAAGGACGAACACCGTCAGTCGACGAGGAGAGGTAGAAATAAAAGTGCAGGGCAGTGGACAGAAAGTAACTTAGAAGCATTCGCCCGGCGGAGCATTGCTAATAATGCTCCGAGCACACGAGAATCCGGGTTTAATCCTATCATAGGTACAGGTCGAGGCAAAGGTCGACGGCGTGGACGTGGAGGAAGGTTTATTCCTCCTACCATGCCCCATGGTAGCATGAGCGAAGCGGGAGATCTCTCTTCGATGTCTAATAATCTTGGATGGAGACCGTGTGAGACTAGCGCGTCGAGTGGGTGGGACTGAGGACTAAAGGACTCTGAACGAGAGACTTGCCAGTGTATGGACTTGTCGAAGATGGTCGAGTGAGGAAGAGTTTGCGTGTGTATTGATTCGTCCGTTTCCCGACTTCGTATGTGAGGCGAAGAATAGGTCTTTTGCGATAGAATCAGATTACAACAGTAGTGTACAAACATGAAGGGATACTGTACAATAGCGGTGTACGGTGCTAGGTGCTATGAATGAGCGAGTGGGTATAGCATGGAATGAGCGAGGCGTGATGATAACTGTATATAATGTGTGGGATCGATGTAGGCGACTATGACACGAAGACTTTCTTCAATTTCGAAAACTCGCATTGCTCGCCTGACCGAGGACAAGTGACAATCCCGTCGTTCTTCGCGGCCATCTCTTCCAAGGCCTATGGATATTTCACGGGGAAATATATTAGCAAACCGCACTATAAAATCGTGATCACTAAGACATAGATATCAACATACCTCTCTCGAATATACGTAGCCACCTGGAAACACCATCGGCTGATTATCCTCATTCATGATCTTGCCACTAATACTACACACGATCGTTGAGTTGACATGATGACTGAACGGCACCTCCTTCGCCAGCTCCCCAAAGCTCTCGTCGCACACAGGACAGTCGGGATTCTTAGTACTATGGTCGTAACAGGCCGAAAGTTTGAGTGAAGCGAGGCCGCCATAGAGGGCGAGGTGGAGTAGAGGTTCGGAGGGTAGGGTGTTGAGATTAAAGATGGCGAGGCGGAAGGAGTGGGAGAGTGTGTGCCAGCGAGAGGGGTCATATAGGCGCTGTAAGCGAGAAGAGAAAGATGGCTCAGAGCAGGCGGGGCGAAAAGAACAGGGAGGGGCGTACCCTGTAAGGCCCACATTTCGTTGTTGGAGGAAATGCAAGGAGAGCAGAAGCTTGTTGGATCTGAGCTATGTGCGTTTCCTGCCACGGTGTCAAATGCTTCTTGGAGTATGCGATCGCTTCTTGAGTCCTACGTGCACGGGCTAGTTCAATGTACTCTTGTAATCTGAGGTCGAACTCGAGTGTGCTCTATAACAAAAAAAAACAATAGTCAGGAGAGAACACCCAAGTTATGTAGATAATATACATACCTTCAACTTCCGAAGCGTGTTCTTATTCTCACTACACCAGGCCAATGCCTCCGTACAGCTATGCCTACCCAATGCCTCTTCTATTCGTTTGATGTCCATGAACAGGTCGATATCAACCAGCGTCTACCATTCGTTCAAAGCATATGAGTTCAGTCCAATGAAACGACGGGAGTGGTGTAATATGGAACACACCTGAATACCCCTCTCCTGCGCAATCTTCCTCGCCGTCTTCTCCTTCCCGTGCCGCAATGACCAGTCTACCAACCACCTATCCAGCCTCGTATCCGCCCAGCGAGAATACTCCGGATCATTAGAAGTTTGAAGCTCTTCGAGAGCGTTCAGATGCTGCAGACGTTCGCGCATGACCCGCTGTGTCGAGGATCCCGGCCCATCTTGCAACTCTCCCAACTACACACCGAACGCCACGCCACGCCGAAGTCAGTCCAGCTGTCACGACTGGTAGAGAAATATCGAGAGGTAAACGCACCTTGCGTTTCAGATTTTCCACTCTGCCAATCATGCCCTCAAGCGTCTTGATAGCTTCTTGTGGGTCCTGACTTCCACTCTTCGCCTTCTTGACCAGATCATTCGATGCGGACTGAACAGCTCCGAGTTCACGCTCGATGTTCTTCTGTGACGTGCGGAATACCTTTCGGTAATTCTCGTATGGGACCTATTATTCAAAATCATACCCAGCGAATATCAGTGACATGTCTGCTGATTCTTGTGAGGAGGAGTGTGTAGGTTAGTAAAGGCGCACTCACGCGAGCGAAGGGCTGCTCGAGGAGCAAGATGCCCTCCATGTTGAGCTTGTTGTTGCTCATGGTAGTTTACAGTTGAAGTAATAAATGTGTGTTCTCCGAAGAGTGAGGAATCACAGGAAATAAGACGATGCAGCCTGAGGGAAGGGTGCTGAAACGGTGCAAGCGCAACGTGTGGCGTGCAAAGGTGGCACGAGCGCCCGGAAGCGTCGGCTAAGTCCGAGTGGTTGAACTTTGTACTCCTCGAATCCGCCATTCTGTGAGGATTTCCATGGGAGCACGACAACTTCACGACGATCTGAGGAGCACCGGTAAATTAGACATTGCGATTATACTACGATACTACAGGCAAGTATTATACAAGAATTTATAAGATTGGGAGCGATGCGAGAACGATGGTCCTGAGTGACAAGACTGCGATAACGACGACGACGATGTGTGTGCAATATTCCGTGCGATGCAAAAAAGTAAGTATGCTAACGACCCAAGCCATGATGATAAACAAGCCAGACCGTACCAGTTCATAGAACCTGCGGATCGTCACTGAAGTAGTTCCCTGCCAACGAAGCATAATAATCCCATCCACTAGGCCCATCGTCACCATAAAAGTGGAGATACTTATACCTTAAGATCCCATACTTGCTCAACACCTTGTCTACCTCCCTTTCATCATATGTCTGCCACATCCGGAGTCCATCGACCATAGGTGCCGTCGGTTCGCGGATTTTAGGTTGGTCTTCGGATTGAGATTCATCAGGAGGGATAGAGGAGATGTACGGGGAAGAGGAGAGGCCTGGATCGGACCCGATGGCAAGCGCTGCCATCGCGGCATCGATATCAATTTGCGCTGTGAACATCGGATCCTCCTCCATCCTTTCCGATAGATCGTCCAAAGACGACTCCGTCTCATGCGGCAGATTCTCATCCGCCGGCGCAGACTCAATCCCGTCAATCGAAGACAGCGCCTTGACCATAACTTGAAGTTCGTCCGGCACAGGCGGCAACGTCTCAAACACCTTCCTCGCCGCCCTCACCTGCTCCATATACGTCCCCCATTCCACCGCAAGGTGATACCTTCTCCCCTCCTTCCCGACCCCACCTTTCGCCCGAGCCTCCTTCTCATCTTTGACAACGATAGGGACTTTCTTGGCTCGGCCGCCCCTTCCCTTCGGCTTTTCCTTCTCCTTCTCCTTCGGCTCCTCACCTCCCTCGCTCGTCGTCAACACGTCAGCCCCACCGCCACTCGCCCCAGAGACCTCGGGCCCGTCCTTCTTCACCCCACCAACTTCGACGTTCCTTAAGATCTCCTCGATGCTTCCATAATCCTGGATGAACTTCAAAGCCCTCGTCGGCCCCATGTTTTTGATCCTCCTAGAAAAATCGGTTCCGAGGAGAAGTGCAAAGTCGACGTATGATGAGCGAGCGAGGGATAAAGAGGAGCGGACTTCGGGGCCGGAGATGATGGTGAGCGGGGATGATGATTTATGGGAAGTTATGTTGCGGAGCATGGGGGCTTCGTAGACGAGGACGTCCTGAATAAATATGGGGATGCGCCATGTATCAGTGAGCATAGTCTTAGAGAGTGGAGAGCCAGGCAGCCAGAGGGGTAGAAGAGCGCAGGGAGGAGAGGTATAGGAACGCACCGTGTCTTCTGTGGCTACATAGTCCGCCCAACCATGAATGACCAAACTCGCGGCCAACGCCTCACCCTCGTACGGACCCGACGCCTCTAGTATAGGAACGTTCATCGCGGCGAGAAGCTCACGACATTCGGAGTACGTCTCGCTGGTGGGAGCGTTCCTACGCAGACGGTATGATTCGGCGATAATATTGGAACGGTCGGAGATGAGACGGAGAGATTCTTCCAGGGAGGAGGGGGAGGGTTGTTGTTCGGAGTCGGGCGTTGGAACAGTAGGAGTGGGTTCGGAGGTGGGTGGTGGTCCGACGGGTGCGTCTGGTTGTGGAGGGATAGAGGAGACAGACTGGGCTAATGATTCCCAGAACTTGCCTTCCGCGAGAGTGAGTAATTGTTGGTTTTTGGACATCACGATATCTTCTTTCACTTCCATGTCATCTGGCGAATTGAACCCCACTTTTATGGCCTTCTCATCCAGGTCAGTACTCGGTTGGTCTGCAGCTGGAGGAGGGATGATGAGGCCGTCGAGTTTGGAGATGCTTTGGCGATAATTTTGGTAAAGAGCGGCAAGGGATGAGGGAATATCTTTGGCGGTGGCTGGTGACGCAGAATCGGCCGTTTTGACGATGGTTTCGGGAGGGGCAGGTCTGCCCGGCAGAGGAGGTTCTCGCTGGCTGAATTCTCGAGTGGTGCGCTCTGTATCGAGGATAGATGGAGCTTCCATGGGCGTGGGTTGGTCGTACAACGAGGCATCTAAGGATGGTGGTCCAGGTGGCTTTTCATCTCCCGTGGGTGCCACAACTGGGTCTTGCAACAGACCATCGGCCACAACTACCGATTCTGGTGTGGGGGGAACTGTCAAGCTCTCGGGTGTCAATTCCTTTTGAGCATCCACAAGAGGCATGGGGTCAATTTCGGAAGGTGACGGGGAGTCCACGATGACGTTCTGTAATGCTTCGACCGCTTCCTGACGTTCATCTCCTTCGAGAGACTGACAAACTTTGACTAAGTCGGTCAGAGTTCGTAGTCGAGTCTGGCGTTCTGCCTCTATGTTAGCGCGAACGGTATTGACTCGACGGACGTGTCTTCTCCGCTCGATCTGTTGACGTCCAATATGCCACGGTGTAAGAAACGTGAGCACGGTCATCGAACGAAGAAAAGGATAATAAACTTTGGGCGCACCTCATCAGCCTTTGCAGCATTACGCTCCTTCCCATCAAATACACAGATTGCATTGACGCTGCTTTCGCGGAATTCCTCCATGAGACGGTACCATCCTAGGACGTGCCTGTGCTCTCGAGGGTCAGGCGCGAAATGAAAACGTTGGGTGATGAGGGTTCCATCACTATGCAGGATAGTAAGTCCAAGTCAGCAATGTATTGTGTGATGTAACGAGACTCGGGCAGTGCGCACATAACGATCGTCTTGCCCTTCAAATCCTTGAGACGGTTCGGGAGTGTCCTGATTACTGAAGGACTGCATATAACTCAGCTCAGACAATGAAGATGATAGTGAATGGATTGCTAGGGCACGTACCAGACTTTTTGGAGGAAAGGTGTGATGCCCAACACTCCCATGCGCAAATGGCGAGAAGAAAGAAATTGGCGCCACTCAATCCCTCTCACGTCAAATTCTACGCGTGGGAAACCAAGATTCCAACTTCGCGTGATCCGGAGGCTTTGGATTCTAACAAGGACAAACAAGGACTCGCACGAGGACTCGGCTGGCCACAAACCCGATTCTTGTTGTAAGACTCGTCGTTCGTTATCCATTTATCTCGAGAGCCAAAGCAACACTACTATATGCATACAAATTTCAACTCGCTCGGAGGATCATGGCATTTTGTCTAATATCAGTCTACAGAGCCCCAATGGACTAGGTGTCGTGGCCCATCCCTGAGCTCACTTCATGACAATAATGTCTTCGAGGAAATGAAGAGGATGAACTCGTCAATCACGTGAAGGTCTTTATGGATATTCATATGATATGCTGCCCTTTCTTTGCCTTTCTCAACTGCGGTACTAATACAGAAGGTGTGGTATTCCGTGTCGGGTGATGGCGTGACGCCGAGAAAGTATTACTAGTAGTTACAGTTGGTTGCGTGTAAATGAAGAATTTATGCAGAGACATCTCTGTAGCCTCTGTGCTCGTTCTTGTGACTTAGCTCTTGCTACAGCCCTCATAGCGACGCTACACTGATTCCAAGGAGCTCAGAGGGTTTGCGGCACTAAGTGTACCTCGTTGAGGACGGTTTGGGGCTGAAAGTTGAGGGAGGGAACGCCACGCGAGCCACGTCGTCTTGGACCAGCCACTGGCTACATCCTCTAAACTACGCCATCTTACCCCCCACAACACTCTCCTCCCTGCCATCCCCATAATTTCGCTCAACGTCTTGAGCGCGCCGGTCTCCTTCTACTGAACGGTCTGAACGCGAACTGCCCGCCATGTCTGTCATGCTTACGAAGTTTGAGTCCAAGAGCAATCGTGTAAAGGGTATGTTCTGCATGCATGAACTCGGCACGGCGCTTTTGTTGATTTCTAGGCTGGACCCAAGGACTTGCTTTCCATCCGACTCAACCTCTGCTCGCCGCGTCGCTTCACAATGGGAGCGTGCAACTATGGAACTACCGTATGGGTGTCTTAGTCGACAGATTTGAGGAACACGAAGGTGCGCCGGCACCCTATCATTCTTGCCTCGAGCAGCTTGCTGAACGGTGAACGCAAACGCGTCATAGGTCCCGTTCGCGGTGTCGCTATCCACCCTAGTCGTCCTTTGCTGGCTACCGGTGGCGACGACTACAAAATCAAGGTCTGGGGTGAGTGCGATCACTATTTCCGCATAGAGGCCCAGTCGTGACGCGCCGTAGATCTCAAACCGCAGAGCCGAAGATGCATCTTCACCCTCCACGGCCATCTCGACTACGTTCGATCCGTTCAGTTCCACCATGAAATGCCTTGGATTGTAGGTTCTGAACATGTCCTCATATTCTAATCCGTCTCATCTGGCATATAGCTCTCATGCTCCGACGACCAAACCATTCGCATCTGGAACAGCACATCCCGCCAATGCATCGCCATCCTCACCGGCCACTCTCACTACGTCATGTCTGCCCTCTTCCATCCAAAGGAGGACCTCGTAGTTTCCGCCTCCATGGACCAAACCGTTCGCGTCTGGGACATCTCTGGTCTCCGCAAGTCTACGCCAAACCAAGCACCAGGCACTTTTGACACCTTCGATTCCTTCTCCACCGTAAAATACGTTCTCGAGGGCCACGACCGTGGCGTCAACTACGCCATGTTCCACCCTACTCTCCCTCTCATCATTTCCGCCGCAGATGACAGGCAGATCAAGCTCTGGAGGATGAGCGAGACGAAGGCGTGGGAGGTGGATGCGTGCAGGGGACATTTCAACAACGTGTCGAGCGCTGTCTTCCATCCGAAGCACGAGCTGATCGTCAGTTGCGGAGAGGACAAGACCGTCAGAGTGTGGGATCTGGCGAAGCGCTCGGCGGTGCAGACTTTCAGGAGGGAACATGACCGCTTTTGGGTCCTCGCCGCTCATCCCGAGCTGAACCTCTTCGCTGCCGGTGCGTCCATCTTCTCTTCTTTTCGGCAAAGCTTTGTATAGCCTGACAGGAACGATCAGGTCACGACAATGGTCTCATCGTCTTCAAACTCGAGCGCGAACGCCCCGCGTTCGCACTCCACGGCGACACGGTCTACTACGTGCGCGATAAATATGTTCGCGCGTACGATATCAACACCGGATCCGATATTGGCCTCCTCTCCGTGCGCAAGTTCGGTTCGCCCTACGTCCCTCCCCGCACGCTCAGTTTCAACCCCGCCGAGCGCTCCGTGATCTTGACCATCTCGAGCGACGGCGGCATGTTCGAGCTGACGGGGCTGCCGAAGGATGCGGTCGGCGAGGTGAAGGATTCGTCGGCGGATGGGAAGAAGGGTCCGGGCGCCAGTGCGATTTTCGTAGCGAGGAACAGGTTCGCGGTGTTGAATAAGACATCACAGGTGCGTTTTTTTTCTTTGCCGTGGTTTGGTTTTCTGTGCAAATATTGAGTCCGTCGAAATAAATCGGGAAACAGCTCGTCGAAGTGAGGGACTTGGCGAATTCGGTCGTCAAGTCCATCAAGCCACCGGTGCAGACGAACGAGATTTTCTACGGTGGGACGGCCAGTTTGATCCTCAGCTCTACGAGCTCGGTCGTCTTGTATGATATCCAGCAGCAGAAGACGATCGCGGAGCTTAACAGCCCGCCCGTGAAGTATGTGATGTGGAGCTCGGACGGGTCGCAGGTCGCTCTGCTGAGCAAGCACAGTGCGTTTTCCCTCCTGTTTGACATGTCGCAATGGCGGTTGATGGACAGTGGAATAAATAGCCATTACGATCGCGAACAAAAACTTCTCGACGAACACGCTTATCCATGAGACTATCCGAATCAAGTCTGGCGCTTGGGACGATGCCGGCGTGTTCGTCTACTCGACACTCAACCACGTCAAGTACTGTCTTCCCAACGGGTACGTCTGCATCCTGGTTGCCGACCTATCTACCCATCATTGTTATCTCATCTGAATTGGCATATTCTAGTGACCACGGCGTGATCTGCACTCTTGACAACCCCGTCTACCTCACCCGCGTCAAGGGCAAGACCGTACACTGTCTCGACCGCTCCGCTCGCCCAAGGACTATCACCATCGATCCCACGGAATACAGGTTCAAGCTTGCGCTCATCAGGAACAACTACGAGGAAGTGTTGCACTTGATCAGGACTTCGAACTTGTTGGGTCAGAGCATCATCGCGTATTTGCAGCAGAAGGGCTTCCCGGAGGTGCGTCTTCCCCTCTGATTTTTTTGCTGGGGAGGAATATGGACTGAAGATGAGACGATGTGATGATAGATTGCGCTGCACTTTGTTGAGGATAAGAATACGAGGTTTGACCTGGCGATCGAGTGTGGGAATTTGGATGTGGCGCTGGAGATGGCGAGGGCGATCGACAGGCCTGAATGTTGGAACAGGCTGGCGCAACAGGCTATCAAGCAAGGCAACCACAAGGTCAGCCCTCTCACCCCTCTTCCCATCTTTCTTACTGGATCGTGACTAATTCAAACCCTGCTATCCAGATCGTCGAAAAAGCATACCAGCAGACGAAAAACTTCGACCGGCTCTCGTTCTTGTACCTCACCACCGGCAGCACCGACAAGTTGTCGAAAATGCAGAAGATCGCGGATGCAAGGGGAGACCCGATGTCGAGATTCCATAACGCGCTGTTCGCGGGGGACGTCGCTGGACGGATCGCGATCCTGCGCGAGGTCGGGATGTGTAAGCTCTTTCTTCCTCCTCCTCCTCCTCCTCCTCACATCCTCACATCTTCACATCCCTGACTTTCTTGCTTTGTTTAATATGTTCAGATCCCCTCGCCTATCTAACGGCGAAAACGAACGGAATGGAGGACCTCGCAATCGAGATCCTCGAAGACGCCGGCCTAACCGAATCCGACGTCGACGACGTCCCTTCCTTCGGCCTCGCCACGCTCTCTCCTCCACGCATTATCACCACCACCACAAACCTAAACTGGCCATCCGTCCCAGGCGGCGAATCTTTCTTCGACCGTGCTTTGGCGAACGGGAACCTCGAGGCAGGTGCGGGTGCGGGTGGGGAACCGTATTTGAATGGGGTGGAGGGGGCGAAGGCGGCGAGTAGTGCTTTGGATGAGTGGGCTAGAGATGAGGAGGAGGAGGAGGATGGGGGGGATGTGGGGGCGGATGAGGACGGGTGGGATTTGGATGTGGGTGGGGAGGAGAAGGGTGTGGATGGGGATGGTGGAGAGGAGGTGGAGGGTGGTGCAGAGGGTGGTGCAGAGGAGGAAGAGGAGTTGGGCGCGGGGGCGGCGCCGGGGGTGAGTGAGGCGGAGGTGTGGGTGAGGAATTCGCCTTTTGCGGGGGATCACGTCGCTGCGGGGTCGTTTGAGAGCGCTATGCAACTCTTGAACCGTCAATTGGGCATCGTGAACTTCGAGTCACTGAAACCGCTCTTCCTGTCCACCTACCGCTCCTCGCACGCGTATCTCTCCCCGCTCGCGTCCCTCCCGCCGCTGAACCTCCATCTCCGCCGCAATCCCGGAGAGAGCTCGTTGACGAGGGTGTTGCCCGTTGCGGTGGTGACGCTGAGACAGGTGAGGCAAGAGCTCGCGGAGGGATTCAGGTTTGTGTCGGGGAATAAGTTGGTCGAGGCGCAGGGGGTGTTTAGGGCGGTGTTGAGGAGTCTGTTGTTCGTCGCCGTGACGTCGAATGAGGAAGCCAAGGACGTGCGTATTTCCTTTCCCTTTCTCCCTTCTCCTTCCCTTCTCAAAACTCACACAAATAACACACAGTGGCGCTCCACCGTAACAACCACCCGCGAATACCTCCTCGGCGTCTCCCTCGAACTCGAACGTCGCCGCGTCGCAGCCGAGTCACCAGACGACGTCAAACGGTCGCTCGAGCTCGCGGCGTATTTTGCGCACTGCGCGCTGCAGCCGGCGCATATGCAGATTGCGTTGAGGAGCGCGATACAGGTGTTTGGGAAGGCGAATAATTCGGCGGGGGCGGCGAGGTTTGCGAGGAGGCTGTTGGAGTTGAAGCCGGATGCGAAGATTGCGGCGCAGGTGTGTTTCTTTCCTCCTGTCCTCTTCATCATCATCATATGCGTTGAACTCGATGCTAATGTTGTTTTGGTATTGTGTGATTGTGGCGATAGGCCCGTCAACGAATCGCAGCAGGCGACCGCAACCCGCGGGACGCCGTCGAGATCGCATACGACGAGTTCACAGAGTTCGAGATCTGCGCGGCGAGCTATACGCCGATATATAAAGGACAGCCGGCGGTGAGGTGTCCGTATACGAATGCGGCGTATTTAGTGGAGTATAAGGGGACGCTGGATCCGCTGGTTGGGTTGACGGAGATTGGGGCGGGGGCGTCGGGGTTGCCTGCGCCGCGATAGATGAGGGTGGGGAGGGTGGGTGGAGGGGGGAGGTGGAGAGGAGAGGATAGAATAAAGAGGGAGGGTGGATTCGTGTGTTTTATGTTCTTTGTCTGTTTGTGTTTTTTTTGGAACGTTATATTAGTGTTTACGTGCGCTCGATGTTCGTGTGAGGAATGACGCATGATGGGCCACAGTGCCACACAGAAAGGGATGATGTAATCGGTTGGATGGAGGTTGAGAAAGCGCGCCAAAGGAGCATCTTTCCATCCATCTCTATGATTCCATCTCCTCTCCGATGGCACAACAATACCCTCAATACCCATCCCATTATCAGTACGCTACGGAACAGCCACAACAACAACCTCAACAGCAGCAGCAGCAATACGAGAGCTACGAGCCTCAGACGTACGACCCGAGGTATTACCAACAACAGCAACCTCCGCCCCCGCCTCCTCCGCCGGCGCATGCATACCAGCCTCAGCCTCAATTCCAACCTCAGTACCAGGAGCAGCATCAATATCAGCCCCAGGCGCAATATCCGCCTCATAATATAGAATATCAGCGTTCGTATACACCCAGGCCGATCTCAGCACCGAGTCCTAAATATCCCAACGTGCCCGTTCCACTGCCCCCGCCGCTCGTCTCTCCGAAACCTCCTTCGCCCGACTTTAATATTCCACCACAACAACCTCCGCAACAGTACCAGCATCATGGTCAACAGCAGAGAAGACCGCTCCCCACGCCCGGTGGTTTCGTCTCGCCCTCTCAGCCTCAGGGGCATTCCTTCACCAACCCATTCGGCCGCTCACCGCTTCCTACGCCCGTGCCTACGCCTGCTCCACGTACCAAATCATACTCCGTTTCCTCTGCACCGACGTTCTACCCTAACACAACTCCACCAATCTCTTCACCATTCACTCGAGGCCGACCCCTTCCCACCCCTACGCCTCCAGCGAAGGCGTTCCCTTCCCCGTTGGTTCAGGTTCAGGGTCATGCTCAGGGTCATGGTCATAGAGCCGCCCATTCGCTTTCGCTCGATCCTCCACCTCCACCTCCGCCTCCACCTCTGATCTCGAATCTACCTCTAAGACGCAGTCCCAGTCCGATTCAGAATGATGTGTATGGGTCTCCTGCGTCTTCGTCTTCTCATGACCATGACCATGACCACGAAGGCTCGTCGTCGTCGTTCGTGCCGTATTGGAAACGCACGCTTCCTAGTGCCGGTGCCAGTGCGAATGGACACGGTCAAGGTCAAGGGCAAGGGCAAGGGCAAGGTCAAGGGCAACAGGGCACATCATCTCCGCTTCCGCGACCTCCTCTGTTTCAGGCGAGCAGTTACTCGGATCATGGACATGGCTATCAGTATCAGCATCAACCACACCCTTATTCGCCACCACATACACATACACAACGACAACAGCAACAAACGCAACAACAGGGAACAGATCCATTCAGAGATCGCAGCAGGAGCGTTAATTCTGCGAGGCCGTTGCCTACGCCACAGCTACATTCGCCGCTCGTTAACCCTAATATGCCCAATATCGCTGCGTTGAGCATGAACGTGAACGTGAATACGAACGTGACGTCGTCACCGTCAACGTCTTCAGCGCCGCCGAGTGCGTTCAATAGTCCGAGGACGAGGGCATTGCCCGTACCCGGCGGAATTGGAATTGGAATTGGAATCGCAGGTCCTCCTCCGTCGACGCGTTCGACATGGTCTCCGTTAGCTTCTGGTGGTGTTGCTGGTGCTGGTGCTGGTGCTGAGGGCTCGTCTAGGCCGGATTCACCTACGCACGTACCCGTACCCGTTAAATCGCCGCTTTCGAATACCTATGCGTACGCTTCGGCTTCAACCTCTGCTCCCACCTCTGCTACACCATCTCCATCTCTACCACAACCCCCACAACTCCCTCCGCCACAACTTCCACAACTCCCTCCCTTACACTCCCCTATACCTCCTCCGCAACCGCAACCGCCACAATCTCAAATAGCACAAATAGCACACCATACCCTCCCCCAAGCTCCACCCCGCCATCCGTCCTCGCCCTCGCGTTATTCGTTCACGACCACGCCCACTTCTTCCTCACCGTCCTCGTCTTCGTCGTCGTCAGCACAGCCGTTGCCGCCTCCGCCGCGACATCCGGCGTCGGGGAGCCAGGGTCATCCGGCGTCGGGGAGTCCGGCGGCGCGTTTCGCACCGGCGTCAGCATCGGGATCGGGGTCGGGGTCGACCTCAACATACCCGCCGACAGGAGCATCGGCGTCGGGGTCGGGGTCAGCATCCACATCCACATCGGCGTACCCGCCGACAGGAGCATCGAGGTCCCCTGCACCCTCGCCGTCGCCCGCTCCGTCCGCTACGACGACAACGACAACAACGACGGCGTATCATACGCCCAGTCAGAGCCCGAGTCCGAGCCCGACGCCAAGTCCTGGTCCTGGTCCAAGTCGACTCCCAGCTCACAGTCAACCCCCGGCTCACAATCAACCCCCGGCTCAATTCTCAGGCCATCCAGGTCAAATTCCAGGTCATACCGAATCCACAAACCCCCTCCCAACCCCAAGCCCACAATACGGCATCCGCGATCTTCCCGAACGGTCGAGGTCGTTGATCGATAGACATAAAGCGAGACATAGACGGGATGGCGCGAGTTCGGCGAGTTCGGCGTCTTTTGGGGATGAGGAGGGGGATGAGGAGGAGGGTGATGGGTGTGGACGTGAATACGGGGGACAGGATGGGGATGGAAGGGATGGAGGGGATAAAATGGATGGAAGGGATAAAATGGACGGAAGCGGTAGGGGAGAAGGATGGGATGCGAGAGGGGAAAGGGATGTGTTAGGTCCGGCGAGGGGGATGGGAAGACGGGTTACGGTCGATGATGCACAAATACAGACGCAGACGCAGGGCCAAGGTCAGAATCTACCGCCGATGAGTCCGTTCGCGTCGTCGGGTCCGGGTGCTACGCCACAGCAACAGTTTCAACAACAACAGCAGCAACAACAACAACAACAACAACAACAACAACGCTGGCCGACGAACGTCCCCCCTCTCCCCCGCGCACCAGGCACGCCGTCGACCTCGAGGACCCCGAGTCCGACACGAGGCATGGCGTCGTCTGGTCGTGCGCTTCCTGCTCCGAGCACTCCGAACAAGCAGAGGCTCCCGTTCAATATACCCTCGCCTGGTATATTTGGCGCGTTTCAGGATGGTTCGAATGCGAATGCGAATGGGTATCCGAACGCGAATGGGCATGGGCAGACGAATGGGCAGACGACTCCGACGACACCAACCCGTCCAACTCCTACCACTCAGATTTCGACGACGACGACGATGGCACAGGGCAAGGGAATAGGTGGGGGAAGTAGGACGCGAGTCCCGGCGAATTCCAACTATCCTATAGATCTGGACGACGCGCCGCCGCGTCCTGTGGCGTCGCGGACGCCTTCGCCTGCCCCTGTGGCTTCGGGTTCGGGGTCGGGTGCGGGTTCGGGTTCGGTTCCACATTCTTATAACCATAACGGCAGTGGTAGTGGTAGGACGAGCACACCACAGGCGCAGGGACTCGGCTCGAATATGAAGGGCGGGGGAAGACCGTTGCCTTCTACTTCGGGTGTTGTGTCTGCGTCTGCAGGTCCGTCGGGTTCGTCGGTGCATGCTCATCCTCATGCGTCGGGTTCGGGTTCGTCGTCGATGCCACAGAGCGCGGGTGGGATGAAGAGGAAGGCGGTCCCTGAGCTTCCTGCGTCTCAACCTCAAACTCAACCTCACGTCTCTGGCTCCAGTTCAGGCTCTGGTTCAGGTTCTGGCTCGGCGGCAGGGTCAGGGTCTATCCCGAAGATCAACATCCCCGGTATGCCTGATGACGATGAAGAGGATTGGAGAGGAGGCCCACAGATCAACGTGTCTGGGATTCCGAAGATTAATATTCCTGGGATGCCAGACGACGACGACGATGAGGGGCCCGGGATTCCGTCGATCAACGTCGGTGGGATCGACGAGCCTTCCGCGTCTTCTAACCGGCGTCCACATCCCTCTCACTCTCACGCCCCTCAGCCTCCACCCCATGTTCAGCAGAACCAACCTCAATCAACAACACCATCCACCACCCCCTCCAAACGCGGCCTCGCCTGCGAAGGCTGCCGCGGCGCGATCGTCGGGCGGATCGTGAGCGCGATGGGGAAGCGGTGGCATCCTGCGTGTTTTAAATGTAACGAGTGCGGGGAGTTGTTGGAGTATGTGAGTTCGTACGAGGGTGGCGGGAAGGCTTGGTGTCATTTTTGTTATCATGAGGTGAGTAGTCGTTCCGCCCTTTCCTAATCTTAATTTCGAAGTCCCCGGATGCGTTGTTGACGATGTGCTGATGTGTGGTGTGTGATGTGTGACCCATGACGCAGACCTACGCGCCGAAATGCTATCACTGCAAGACGGCGATCGTCGACGAACGGTTCATCACGCTCGACGACCCCGAGCTCGGGAAACGGACGTATCACGAACAACACTTCTTCTGCTCCGAATGCGGCGATCCTTTCCTCAACCCGAAACACCACGGCGCCGCAGGTGGTGGTGGTGGGGGTGGTGGATTGACGTTCACGGGCGACGGAGCGTTCGAGGACGACGACGTCGGCTTCACTGTGCATAACGGATATCCGTACTGCGAGGCGTGTCATGTGAGACTGCGGAGCCCGAAGTGTAAGAGGTGTAGGAGGCCGATTAGGGCGGGGGATGAGGCGGTGGAGGCGTTGGGGGGGAAGTGGTGTTGGGGGTGTTTTGTGTGTGCGGTGAGTACCCTTTCCACGACTCATTTTCCGTTCGCCTTCGTCATTGTGGAGGTGGAGAGGTGCTGATGGATGTGTCTTTTGTGTGTGTGGAACAGAGCTGCGAGCGGCCGTTTGAGGATCCGTCGTTCTTCGTGAGGGATAATAATCCGTTCTGCGAGCCTTGCTTTAGTGTGATTATTAAGAGCGAGATGTGATCGTTTGTTTTCTGTATCGATATCCGTCGCTCGTGCGCGCTCTTTCGTTTCTCTTTCTTGTTGGATTTGTGTCTTATGATCTGTCGTTCTTACCCGACCTTTCTTACCGTCTCGATTTATTCTTGTGATCTAGACACGTACTCCCGTCGTAATTATTTATCTGTTTCCTCTTTTGCTACCGGCCTATTGTACCCTAGCTTGCTCTCAGATCCTACTGGTATTCACCACTCAGTACTGTTAACCTCACTGCGTGTTATATATTGTTCAATACTGTACTTATGAACTTACGAATACGCGATGTTCTTGCTCTTGTTCTCTTGCACTTCCTCCATGGATCTTGTACGTCTAATGAATATATAAATGTGCGAAGGCGATCGTTTCTTTTACGGATCAAGATCGTGAGAGGACGGATTCCAATGTGCTTTTGGCATAGGTCACACTCGTACTCGTAAATAAGTACTCTATCTAAGCCGGAGCCCAATCTACGCGTGTGCGTAGAACCTCCACCGCCCCTGTGGCACTCTACCCTTCTACCCCTCCACCCCTCGTAACACCCTAGACATCCTCACTACCATTCGTTTTACCCTGCAGCTGATTAGGAGTCGAAGTCCCAGATGTGGACGCGGACGCGGACGTAGATGATTGACCTTGGCTGTCGGAGGCTGTGGGTGCTGCTGTGGGTGCTTGAACTTTATCTGGGAGGGGGTATTCTTTGATGGGGAGGAGGGTTAGGAGGAGGAGGACGGCTATGACCTGTCGTTCGTGGATCAAACAAGCAAATCAATGATCAGTGAGAATTGTTTCTTGGAAAGTGGGGGAGGGAAGGGGAAAGGGATGGAAGGGCACGTACGATCTGCACCGTGAACACGACTTTGAGCGCCTGCGCCCAGCTGTCCGTCGCCATGCGTCTCAGCTCTGGATCGAGCGTGCGGATGTAGGCCGTCGAGTCGAGGATTTTGGAGATGATCTGTTTGGGACGTCATGCGGGGAATGAGATCGTCGGTCAGTTGGTCGTTTTGCCGTTGAGGAGATTGAAAAGTAGAGGGAGAGGGAGTAGAGGGAAGGATATGACGCACCTCGTCCGCGTTGGGCACGGTGATCCTCTCCCTAAGATTTTTAGCCAGTAGACTCTGTGTTAATGTCGAGCTTAGTGATACGCCTAGCACCTGACCCGTTGTCCTGAAGAGATACGAGACTGTTGATAGAAATCGCAATCTGTTAGCGTTGGAGTGTGTGTGGACAGAGAAGAAGACGGATTGACCTCCAGTGGCGACTGGGATCTGTTCCCTCGGTACGCTGGCGAAGAGTGCGAGAAGTGTTGTGGTGAGCACGGTTGAGAATCCGAAACCCTATTCAACAATCATCCACGTATTGCTTATCAGTCAGCTACTTCATTGACTGGAGGAGAGGGGGGATGAGGACAGTGTAGGGAGGAGACGCACGGACGGCATAAGCGTGATGTACAATATCCACTCCGGCGTTTTCCCGCTCCACGAAGCAAGCACGACGTTCGCAACGACGATTCCCGCCGCTGCGCAGACTTCGTACCACCAATATTTTCCTGTCACACATAAGGACGCACAAATCGCACGAGAGTGGAATTGAGAGGTGTAAGACAAGTAAGAAGATAGGACGGGTATGAAAGGAGAGAAGAACAGACCGCTCTTGCGCATGTACCATCCCGCGAGAAGAGATCCAACCGCAACGCAGAGTGAGTTTGTGATGAGATGTCTGCCTGCGTCGGTCGAGGAGCGAAGGCGCGCAGCTGTGAAGTAGAGCGGGACGTTGTAGACCTGTGATCGTGTGATACGACGTCGTGAGCAGCTCGATCCATTATCCTCTTGGCAAGTAAGTGTGCGAACGCACAGTTGAGAAGGAGAGGAAGGCGATGAGGAAATTGTTCTGTTGGGTTTGAGCTGTGAGTCAGTCTTTCCGAATACTCGTGTAAGTGTGTCACACGGACCAAGGCGACAAAGCATGGGTTACGCTGTTGAGTCGATAAATGATGTCAGCATGGTTTGGGACAGACGTCAAGAGGATGGGATAGAACAGAGGACGTACCCTCTTGAGCAGCGAAAGAGGCATAACAGGTTCGACCGCGAATTTGACTTCTACAAGCAGAAACAACACCAAAAATACTGCGCTGCATACCGGACATTCAACCGATCAACCAAGCCATTCCATCTTCGCATCCATAACCAAGTGAATTTACCTTGCAACCAAAAACCCAACCATCATTTTCGTGCTTCCGCCCTCCGACTCCTTGACCGTCATTCCTACCAATAAACTCCCAAGCGTGAGCACGAGCGTGAGACTGCCCAAGTAATCTATGCGTTTGAGCTTGGAGAATGTGGATGAGGAGGAACTGGAGAGGAATGAGGCGGGCTCGCGGACGTAGATGTAGACGATAATGAGTCCGGCGAGGAGAAGAGGGGACTGTATCAGGAAGGCTGCGCGCCTGAGAACAGACGATATATGTTCGGTGAGATGGAGGTGAGAAAGGATAGGAATGGAAGAGCTCACCAGCCAATTGTGTCACCTAACCATCCACCTAGGGGTGCGCCGATAGCTCCTCCGAGAGCAAACAGGAGGTTGGCGACTGTAAGAATCACAGAAAAACGTCAATGACCAGCGTAATTCGGTGTGCAAGTTCTGAAAACGACGGCACTCATGAGCCCTTGCGAGAAGTCCATGTTATCGCTGTGATGACCATAAGCAAGGAGGTTGGACGGTCTTAACGACTAACTTGCCAGATCATGCACATTGATCACGAACAACAATACCTTAGGTCTAGCTTGGTCTCGACTGTCCTTGCGTAGGTTGGAGTCGCCAGACATAAATGAAAGAGTCCACTCACATCCTTGGTAAATTCCTCTACTCTTCAACGGCACGGCATCACTAACGATCACGTTCCCAACTACCGCCATCCCTCCCCCACCCACGCCCGCCAACGTTCTGAATATCAGCAGTTGCTTCCTATACAGTAATATGCACCGGATCCACACGCATATTCAATTAGCACTCTTTTCGCTTTGAGGCAACAGAAACAAAAGTATTGCTCACATGCTACGCGCAAACCCACATAGCGCCGTTCCAATGCCGAATAATCCCCCAGCGAGTATCGCGGAAGCCCTTCGTCCGATGATATTACACAACCTCCCGTAAAGCGGAGTGAAGCAGCATACCTTTATGATTATTATAAGAAAATGAGCAGGAGAGCATAGACTTGTAACATACAGAAAGCAGATATGAAGTGCCAATCCAAGAGGAGTACTGGAGGGCTTCAAAGGAGGACCCAATGAGAGAGATGAGGGTGGCGACAATAGTGCCGTCAAGCGAGCCGATGAATGTGAGTGTCCAGAGACCAGCTGTGATTCATCCAAATTCAAAGTTGGGGTGCCTGTATGAGAGCAAGTAAAGAGTAGTGGGCTTACTCAAGAGAATGATAAAGTGCGAACGACTGAGTTGGTCTGGAGTCTGTGTTTTGTGGATGAGGGGTGTCCGCTCATCCGTGGCTGTTGTCGGCGACATCCTGTCAGTCCCTTATGTCCGGATGATGGTGGTAAGTTGAGAGATGCATCAGACCTTGTGTTCACGGTAATTTGAACTCATCTATCCCGAACATGCTCAGATATGGGAATGGGTATGGTGGACGTTGATAGGATAAACTTGCCATGCCACTCGGATGACATCCGCGTGGCCCGATTAGATCCGACGTCATTATGGCATTGTCTTTGTGGCGTCCTTCACCTTTCATCTGGTCAAGCTAAGTACTACTGAAAACTCAGCGTTGAGTGGGAGCGAACTTCGGATCTTAGGATATGTGCGACGGAATACTTCATACAAGTCCAAACATACAATCATACATTTACTCATACGCTAGCAAGCCATCGGAGTATATTCAAGACGACCCCTTAGCCTGCAATTTCGCATTCATCTCCTCGAACTGCTTACACTGCGCTTTCATTCCATTGAATAGATGCACAATATCTCGTCCTGACATAAGATATCTGGATACACCACCGTCAGCGCAATGTACATCATTGTCGTCGCAGAGTGGCCACCAAGGAGCGGAGGGAGTAACATACCTAGCGCAACTGTGCTCCGAAGTGAACTTCTCCATCAAATCTGCTCGAGTCTCCAGCCCTCCAAAGCCGACGAAGATCCCATTTTTAGAAGCGGCTGCACAGACTTTCGCGACCGCTGAATGGAACGTCGGGTTGTCATATTCGCCAGGAATGTCCAGGCTGTTAATACATAGGAATATTCATATGAGTGGGGAAGCGAAAGCGGGGACTACAAGAAGGAACGAACTCGACGCAAAGATCCCCGCAACCTATTAACAGGACATCGATGCCCTTAACTGCTGCGATCTCCCTATAAACACAGATAAAGGCCAGTGTCAATTCATTCTGTTACCGAACCGAGACGGAGAGACTTGGACATACTCTACGTTCTCTACTCCCTGCCTCGTCTCAATCATTGGCATGATCAGAATCGCATCATTCGACACCTCTGACACAGCCTTGAAATGTATTCCGGTAGAGTATTGGGTGAGAGGAGTGAGCATGGTCATGCTGCGTTCGCCTATGGGTCGATATTTTGCGGCTTTGACACAGACAAGGGCGGCTTCGAGAGTGCTGACATGCGGTACCTAATAGTGAGAGGTAATGATGAGTGCAACGGGTAATACCAAAAGTAAGAAAGCACAGTACGATAACGGCCTGGGCACCCGAATCAAGAGAACGAGAGATCCATTCTGGAGAGTTAGTGGGCACTACGACCATAGGCGTGATCCTATACACGAACACACCGACATCAGTATCTTCTCTCTAGATCTTTTGTACCACAAACTCACCCTACATTCATACAAGCCGTCGAAACCGCAGACATGGTCTCCAGCCCAGTCGCACTATGCTCCAAGTTCATAAGCACAGCATGATACCCAGCCCTCTCCGCCAATAGCGCGATCTCTGTGCTGAGGACGATGCGTAGGCCAAGCGAATGCGCGATCTGACCGGATTGCATGCGCTGTTTTACGAGGTTGGGACGCACGACGGATTTCGCCTGAGCGAGATGTTCGTTGAAGTTTGCGGGTAAAGACATGACGATTCTGGTGTCGATTGGACGAGTGGACAGGCTGGTAAACTGGCAGCTTTAGCGGTGGGGATGAGTATGTGGCACAAAGAAGAACCAGAGATGCTCAGAGATTAACATGGGGAGAAGGCTTGTATTTTGGTCCGTCAATTATGACGATGATATCTCTCTCAAGATCATTGCGGGATGGACCTCCGCAACATGAGACGGAGCACGGATGCATGAGAACATAGACGAAGGAAGCTATCTTTGCGATAAGTCCTTGCCGACAAAAACCAGACCAGATGATTGTCGATGAACAAGCGTGATATGTGGGGGGTCAAACCACATAGAGAGGAATGCCCATGGTATGCTGTTTCAAGACGGGACCCAAAAGACAATTGGACCAGAGCTTTGGAAATGCCATTCAGAAAGGAAAAAGAAGAGCATCGACTCGGAGATGGAAAGATGTTAACGTTGTTCAGAGCGAAAAAAAGATTAGATTAGATTAGATTAGATTACATAGATTTGTTGGGGGGCCATCCGATCGTTGATCGCTTCGCCATTAACCCGGGACCGGGGTTGTCCGCGAGCACAGACTCGGAAAGGTTGTTGACTTCGTCCACGTCAAGTCCACGTCCATCCAGGCCATGACTAGCATCAACCTTCAACTCGGTATTTATATGCTACGATTTTTTTTATGAATCAGTCACGGGATGATCTTCTGACTTTCCACTAAGTCTGGATGCTACTGCTCCAGGTACAATCATCGGCACCCCACGCTATCTTGTTTACACCTACGCACGCTCTCATCAATGTCCACTCCAAGGGTGAATATTAGCCTGCTCAGTAATGTTTGCTGCCAAGGGCAAAGCCTCTTGTAAAATATGCGTACTCGAGCCATGAGCCCTTATCGCTCGGTCGTCGGAACTGGCCGCTCGATTCCCTGACCCAGAAGTTCGTCCCTTGCATTCTTATCGTACTCCACCTCATTTGGCCAGTCATTGCGCTGATGATCTGAATAATGCGTAATATCGGTTTTAGACTTCTCGACTTCTTCGTGGTGTTAAAGGCTGGGCGACTCTCATCGACCTTGTGGCTTCTCGAGTGCCTCATTCCTCAGGTCTTCCTTCCGGTACACGACAGACCGCTCAGCTCAGGATTCTATGGCTTCTGAGAAACATCTCTCATCTAGCCCTGTTTCTGGAGGGGAGTATGCCCCACCTCCACCGCAGGATGTATCTGCGTGGAAGAAGGTGTTATATTATCTGTGGGACTCTGATCAGTACCTGAAATCACCGGAGGAGAGGCATATGTTAAGGAAATTGGACTGTGGCATGTTGCTTTGTGCAACGCTCGGCTGGGTCAGTAATTCAAATTTGGTTCTGGATGGATGTGCATGAGGTAACTCATGCGTTTCCTGTAATAGTTTATGAAGTATATCGAGTGAGTGATTGTGCGCATAATATCTATCGTCTGTCCAGACATCTGATTATGTTTGACTCTATTCTCTAGTCAGGCAAATTTAACCAATGCCTGTGAGCCTTTGTCTACATGTATATCGCTTCAATCGTCGAAATTAACCTACGAGTCGTTCGATACTTTTCGAAGACGTATCTGGGATGAAGGAGGATCTTAACATCCAAGGAAATGAATACACATACATGAGCAGTACGTCCTGAGTACTCCGTCGTACACTAATCACGTTTTCGATGGTTCCATGCCACTGACTCAGCACTGTGTCCATAGCTTGCTACATCATCGGTTTCGCGATTATGCAAATACCTGCCTCATTCATTGTCCTCAAAGTCAGGCCCTCGTACTTTCTTTTCGTTTGTGAAATCGGTCAGTCTCGTTGCCTCCTTTTTCTCTCGTATTTTCTACTCTCAGAGAACATGGATATTCACGAGGTTCCCGGTGTGAAAACGCTTATTAGGTTGGACCATATTCACCTTCGCACAAGCTGGGGCCAAAACCTCTGGGATGATGTATTTCTTCCGCTTCATGGTTGGCCTCTTCGAATCCGCCTTCTCTCCCGTTATCATCTTTCTGATGGGATCTTGGCAAGTCTTTTATTTCTCTCTCTCTTCCTCGAATCCTTCAATCCGGGCATACTAGTCTAACTTGAGAGTTTCTAAAGGTACTCAAAACCTGAGCTAGCAAAACGTCTCGCAATCTGGCATCTCACAGGTTTTGTTGGCCAAGCCGTCTCGGGTTTCTTGCAAGCGGCTATCTACAACACCTTGGACGGTAGGAACGGGTTGGCGGGTTGGAGATGGCTTTATATCATCTGTGGACTTATGTCTACGCCCGTCGCCGTACGTTTATAGTCATACAAGGCACAACCGCTCAGAGTTCTGATTTTGGCTGGATACAGCTGTTCTGTCTATTCGTCCTCCCAGACTATCCGACCAACTGCAAGATCTGGTACATCACGGAGCAAGAACGTCAAATCGCGCTCCGCCGTTCCGTCAATGCCGGAAGGACGGAGGTGACGGGTCATGTCTCCACGGCACTTTTCAAGAAAATGTTCGGCAGGTGGAAATGGTGGTTGCTCGTCATTGCGTATCTGTTCTACGGTTCTTCGTGCCAGGCCAATAGCTACTTCGCCATTTACCTAAGTGCGTTTTGACCTCTTGGGCAGCATTTCGTGTATTGCGGCGTACTGAGTCGATCGTGCGATGTGGTGTGGTTGCAGAGGCGATGGGATACTCTGTTACGGAGAGGAATATCATCCCCGCAGGCGCAAACTTAGTCTCAGCTGCTACGACGTTCATCTACGTATGTTCTTCCCATCCCTTTCCCTACACTTCCTGCGCACTGATGAATATGCATTATTTTCCCTGGTTATCTCTAGGGCTTCGGGTCTGATCTTACCCGTAATCGCTTCTATTGGATCCTCTGCCCTCTCGTGAGTGACTATCCTGGTTTGTCAACGAACTCAACTCAATAAATACATCTGGGTAGATCTTCGTTCAATGGACAGGAAATGGCATCCTTGCGGTATGGCCTGATAATCACCAGGCTCGCTTTGCTGCCTTCTTCATTTGCTCTGCGGAGTATATGACCGCTGTATTCTGGACTTGGGCGAACGAGGTGCGCTTCTTCACTTACATACCGCGTCTCGAAATAGAGTACCGATTCAAGACTGACTCGTACGACTATCAGGTGTGTAACTCTGATGCTGAAGAAAGGGCGATCACCATCGCGTCCATGAACGGTGTTTTCTATGCTTGCAGTACGTGCTCCCCTCTGTTAATCCGACTTTTAATGGGGGAAAGTCACTCACAATCACTTCGACGACTGCAGACGCTTGGATACCAAACGTTATTTTCCAGCAGACAGATGGACCCACGTTCCGAAAAGGTTTCCCAGCGACTTGGGCTTTCGGGGTCATGGCCGTCATCTTTGTCGGTATGTCCTCGCTTCCTCTTTCTCCCTAATGTTTCGCCGTTAACATATTTCGTGACTGTGTGTACAGTGCCTGTTGAACTCCTTCACAGACGCGAAGTGTTACTAGAAGCACAGTCCAAAGACCACGGTAAAGATGAAGAGTCGAAGTCAGTGGATGGTGAGACGGATTCGGCAGAAAAGGTCAAGGCTGGAGTCATGGTGCAGACTTTAGCGAAGTAGTCACCTTACTCGGCGAACGACCCGTCGCAGTAGATACTAGTTGATTGGCATGTCGTTTGTATGGTCTACGGTTTCGAGTGATTCGAACATCAGCGGGCGATGCAGTGACTATCGAAAGCAGTTCGAAGATTATGAGACTGGATGGGTTACTATCATTGAAAGCCCATTGGCGCAAGCGGCGGCAGCCCATATGTAAAATGTAGCATAAATGAAGGTGATGGTCAATATCGCCCTGCAAGAAGGACCCCACTTCGATATCCGAAGACCTGAAGCCGAAGCCTATGTGATTGAGATGATCACTCTGCTGCAGGCCTAATCGATGGTAACGATAGAATGTGTTTGAATTGACTTCTGAAGGGGGTGATTTGGCGTGCGAACACAGGAGCAATCATGATGCAGAATGATGGCTTGAAGGGTCAAATAAGTTTAACGGAATCACCTCGGTGGGAGCTGGAAACATCGAGGATATGTGCCCCTCAAGATCGGATTCTGTCGTGCTCTGAGATCCATAAGGAGTTGGGAAGACGCTGTACGAATGCTCATCGACGGGGGTGATCTGAGTTCCGGACACGTTGGGAACTGCCTGACACCTAGATATGACAGTGAGTGTAAATCATTATAGCCCGCGACCAGGAATCACCAATCACAACAGAGTGCAGTCGTTAAAGTTCGGTGGCCAACGAGTGGTGTCATCAGGAAGATGGCGACTCTGAACCTGGTGATGGGTCAAGGTTGGGTGGCGTCCCGGGTTCGTTGATCAACCGAAGCATGCAGTGTCAAAACAGGACGCTATGCAAGGACCTGCCGACAGTCACGATAAAAAAAAACTCAGAACAGACCCTAGATGATGGTACAAACGCAGCTCGAATGATCGCTCTGGAGGCGGACGACTTGGAGCGCATTGGTCGAGAACAAGTACCTATGGAAGTGTCTGAACCTACTTTGAAGTAGTTATGACTGTAGATAAGACCTTGCGCAATTGTTTGACTGCGATGTTTTCTCTTTGGATTGTTTACAGACCAAATCCCTCGAGATGCGGCGTGGTACCACAAGCGTCACAGCGCTGTTTTCAGCAAAAAAAATTGGGTATGGCGGCAATGGATTGGTTGTTAATTGCGCACTATATACCCAGAAGATCCCATAAGGTTCAAGGGAGCAAAAGTATGAGAAGAACTTGGCCTCGGTACCTAGTCGTGGTGGGCAGCAGGTGGGCAAGGTAGACAAAGGTCAGTGTGGCGCTGAAACGACACTGTGGCAACGAAGCTCAACAAGAGCACGTGGCATTCCGAACGGTTCGCGTCTGTGGCGTTCAACTGTTTTCAACGCTCTGCCTCCCCCACGCGATCCTACACATGCTCGGCACATTCTTGTCGTCGGTCAAAGTTTAACTTGTATTCTTCCTCGATATCTCTAAACTGAACATCAAACGGGAGAAATTTTAGCAGAAAATCATCTGGTGCGCCGAAATCGTTCCTGACACGCAGGCCAGAGTCTCACACCGTGTCATTTGTTTCTCATTAGGTTCACCAGACTCTCAAATATAATCAAGACACTTGTTGCGACATATAACTCCAGACTGCGATTCAATAACTCACAATGGCTCGATTCACTGCATTCGGTCCGGACACGAGCGACGAGGACGATTTATACGACCCTCCCAAGCGGGCGCCACCACGCACTCTAAAACAAAACAACTTGCATCCCTCAACCGCTGATGACGACGGAGATTACGAGGACGACGATTCTGAGGAAGATGGACCATCAACCGCTGGACCGTCCGAAATGGATGAAGATGACCTCCACGACAGTCCTCCCAGGACTAGGCGCCGTCAGGACCCGAATGCGTTGGTGGAAGGGGAAGATGGCCAATACTACCATGCACATGAGATTGAGAAGGTGCGAATTGCTAATGGAGACGGGATGAGAGGCGCTGGCCAGGGAGACAAGACTACGCAACCTATACCGTGGCCTCAGCAATTAGGTCTCGCCCCTCAGACGGTGCACGTCAAGCAAACCTCCTTGTTTCGGGCACCAGAGGAAGAGAGGGCTATGAAGGCACAACAGTCAACAAGAGCGAAGGCGGGACAGCCACATATCACATGGGAGAACGGTCTCCATCGAAAACATAGCAGAGAGTCAGATGGGGATCATAGGCTCGCCACACAAGAGGTGCGACATGACATATCATATCCTAGAATCGTACTCAAACTTCGAATGTCGTACTGTGTCGTTAGCGCGCGTCCTTTGCCCACGATATAGAGCCTATACCATACCGACCGTCTCGAAAATACGCACGAGTCGAGAGTTCAGCATCTGCAGTGGTTGGCAGTGAAAGGTCGATGCTTGACGCGGGCCTTGCTCTTGGTCGCTCGTTCCGCGCAGGGTGGGGGCCCGGTGGCACCTTAGTCCATCTTGGCCAACTATGCAGCCCATACACCCCAGAGTAAGTGTGTTTCTCCAGTCATCCATGTCCGCGTCTGATGCCCTTTCAGCACGCAAACAGGCAACTCGTCGACCGTGACACTTTCCTATGTTCCTCTTATACAACCCGGCCCCATAATCAATCCCAGAAGACCTTTTGAGGAACCCATAAAACGTCTTGAGAAACTCCTCGAGCATCACCACAAGCGATCCTTCATCCAACCCGACACTAATGGCATCCCATTCGCCGAACCCTCCTCGGAGCTTACTTTCGCATACTTTTCGTCCATTTTCTCACCAACAGACCAGTCCTTCGAAGCTCTTTTTTTCCGTCTTGGGCACGTCCTCTTCGACTCTCCCGATTTACGCCTCAAAGACGATGTAGACCTCGAAGTTCGAAAGCGCGTGGGTGACATTCGCCGGAAAGCCGCGCTCTCTGCATGGCTCGAAGAGGCCGTTGCTCCATCGGTGGACACGGACGTCAAAGACTCCATTGCTGGCTCGGCCAAGGCCATCTTCGGGCTCTTGACGGGCAATCAGATCGAGAAGGCGTGTCAGGTTGCGATGGATTCTCATAACGTCAAACTCGCTACGTTGATCTCACAAGCCGGAGGCGATTACGATTTCATCGGTCATTTACGCTCACAACTCGAGATATGGAAGGACGAACGAGTAGATGTCCATATCGACGAGAATATGCGCAAAATCTACGCTTTACTCGCTGGATACGTCGACGTCCTGGAGGGTTCGGGTGGGTCTGGGGTCGAACAGTGTAAGGAACTGGAGATCTCGAGAGGACTTGACTGGAAAAGGGTGTTTGGATTGCACCTTTGGTTTGGCCAGCCGCTAGATGCGACCATTGCGGAGGTGTTCGACTCCTACGAGAAGCACTGGAAGCGAGCGGAGGAGTATGCTCTACCTGCTGGGTCTGAAGCATATGTAGCACCACCGATTCCGTGGTACTCTGAGACGCCGACCGGCGAGCTGCAGAAACCGTCGTCTGTGTGGCAGTTGCCGGACGATGCAAACCCTCCAGATGCCCTGTACTCCCTCATCCGACTGCATGCCCAGCCCGAACTTTCACTCTCACAAATCATGTCCCCTCTGTCGTTCGGACCTTCACCTGTCGATTTCTCGCTCCCATGGCACCTTTATATCATCCTCTCGCAGAGTATGCGGAAAAGAGATCTAGCAGACAGGGATGACCCACGGGCCGGCAGACCGGAGGGAGAGAATGTAGATGGGATGGAGGAAGACGTAGAGGTGGAGGGACATAGCCCAAGCGCGGATGTGCTAGCTAGTAGCTATGCGCTGCAGCTGGAGCAGTTGGAGTTGATCCAACAGGCTGCCTTCGTCTTGCTGCACATAGAAGAGTCTGCAGGGTAAGTCCACTCCATTTTACCGACCGCGCCGACCATGCGCGGGAGGCACCAGGTTTCATGAATTCGGAATCTCGAGCGCTTACGATTTACTCCTTCGCTATGTTTCGCGCGTGGGTGCCTTGGTGTTTGGGTTTCACCGGCATGTTTCTCTGCTTTTGGAATGTATTGTTCTTTCAACCTGGCGATGCTCAGAAGGGAAAAGGCCATCAAAGACTTATTAGCTCGATCGGCGCCACAGCTCGACAAACACAATACAAGGGGACTTGTCGAGAGAGTGGAGATCCCGCTGCCGTGGGTGAATGAGGCAAAGGTACGTTGCAGTTGATTCGCTCAAACGTGTCCGCCCTCTTCTCGTTCTCCTTCCCCGACTGCAAAGTCAGGAAATGATCGATTCACCGCTCAGTTTTCGCTCCACCTTTCCTGCTCCTCCCACCCTCATAGCACTGCCTTCACTTGATTTTGTCATTCTGTTCCGATTTGCGCTCGTACACTTGCGCCTTGAGGTATCTATGATTTGCTGACGATCGCTTGTTTTCCTCGCTCGCGTGGCTCCGGCGCCGATCTTACCTACGCTGCTTCTTTCCCTTGAACCTGATCCATACGGCTTTGACCGCATCTCGACTGCCATCGCGTCATTGTTATCATCGCCACGGCCAGGCCCTGTACGCGCTTGACAAAGGTGACGTTTGGGAAGCCTATCAACTCTACCTGCAAGCCGGCTTGTACAGCGCTGCACATGATATAGCCGTGCTCCAGCTCGCGCCAGAGGCGGTTATTCGTGATGACTTAGAGTTGCTGGAGTCGATATTTGTAGAGTTTACGGGTCGTCCCGTGGAAGGGTGGCATGTACGGGGAAAAGTCAGTATTCTCCGTCTCCCTACCCTTTGGTGCCTGTTCCCCCATTTTACTGATCGCCTATTTTTATTCGTCTCCTGCGCTCCGAATCGTATCAACCCTTTCTTTGCCCTTTCAAAACCATCTATATGAAACGCCGTGCCTTTCTCCAACCTACAATGCCGCCCGCGACTGCGACCGCGACGCCACTTTGCTGTGTCTATGCCCGCTTCTCATACAATCGGCCCTAACCAACCAAACACATCACATCATCTATCCACGCCCACTCATACCTCCTACCATATCTCGTCCGTCCATCCGTCGACCCATTCAGGCATTCCTCGACTACGTGACCATTCGGGAGAGGATGCCTTACCTTCGCGCTGGGCTGCAGGACGCCGCAGTACCTGACGCAGCGCAGGCCACAGAGTTCGAAGAACTCTCGATGTCGATCCCCAAACTCATCGGAATCCTCCCAGACGTGTTGCGCGATCGCTCCGATCCTCGACACAATGTGGCTCTATCCGAGATGATTTCGAGGCTCACGTTTGAACTCGATGCTGTCCAGCCGCTCTTACTGGTGAGTATTCTTTATTGCTCTTGCTTTATAGCGATGATGTTTTGGCGATAGCGAGCTGACTATCTATCTCTTCGTTGTTGTTGATACATGGTTTTCTCAGTCCCAGTCCCAGATTCGCCCAATGTTGGTTGATGAGGCCTCTAAATTCAAACATGTCCAGTCAGTGGCGCAATCAAGGTTCCTCAAGTTGGTCCAGGGGTCATAATGACGTTCACACTACTGTAGAGCATCCACGAACATCTGTCCAAAGCTGGTCTTCGTTTCGCTTCTCTTTTGTTTGCTTTCGAACTCGAACTACACTTTTATGTTTGACATCTGATAGCTCCAGGCCTGTAAATAAATTATGATTGTGATGTGATAGGGCTGGACAGAAGCATACTTTAAAGTCTACGTGTATAAGCAATGGATCGGAGCGTCAACGACAGTATGTGGAGGCTACATATAGGCTACATAAGTCGGTGCATCTATGGTGCGAAGTAAGTCCACCGTCGACCGACGTATACAGTGAGGTAACAAATAGAATGGATCGTACACACGGATACAAGTAGTGAGTGAGATAAATTAGGTAGAGCGCGGCCGCTGACGTGGCCCAGGAATCCGATGAAATCACCGGGGGAACAGGAGAGGTGTCGGTAAACAACGAAATGGCGTGGGGTGAAACGAAACGGCCAAAAGGAAGCCGGTTGCAATAGTGACGGGATCAGAAGTTATGATACTAAAGCTGATGGAAAGTCTGGATGAACAGACAGATCGGATGGAGGAAGGAGTGGGGCTACAGGAGTCGTAACATGCCGAGAATGGGAAGTTGAAAGGACAATAAGGGCGCACCCACTTGGGCATAAAATTATACGTATACAGTAACAAGCGAAAAAGGGCACATAGGAAAAACAAATTTGCTCTTAGAGCAGAAAAAGAAACGGACGAAAAACAAAAATAAATAGATAGCGATGAGCGCGACGAGGAGAGAACAGTGGAACGGATGAAATCTAGAGATATTGTATGGATGAATTGGTCCATTAGATGCAGTGATGGACGCGTGAACGCCGAGGGCAAGGCAGCTAGCCTTTCACTCGATGTTGTGCCCAGAAAGGAATATAGACGCGCAGAGCACAGAGGCTTCCACGAGACCATGCTGGATGCCTTGGGAGGTCATCTCGATGTTGACGCCGTTCGACGTGGTGCAGACGCGCGCTAGAATTTGCGTTGGTGATCCTCCCTGGTTGATGTAGAGCTGTATCGTGATGTCGATATGGTTTCCGGAGGAATTCGAAATGAAGTCGAGATCAAGAACCGGGACGAAGCGCCACCGAACCGCGACCAGTAAGAAGCCACGCCGTCGAAAGAGCCAACCAAGAACAGAAATTCCGTTAGCGTGCCTTTCGATGCGAGGACCGGGTGGAAGGAAAGAAGACAATTGAAGAAACATACGCAGATGTAATTATCCACGGGGGCCCATATGTATTGTACCCCTCGGAGTTCCATGGTCCTAAGCCTGTTCGAAGTGCAAAAAGGTTCAAGGTAAGGTGGTCAGTCCCTTTACAATTACAACAAATGTTCCGAGAGGGTACGTACGTTCTGTCGCTGGAAAGCCGAAGCCAGCTACGTATGGACTGGCGAGGGAATAACCCTGGCATTTCGACCGTCGATCGAGTGCCCCAATCCACCGTAGCGAACACTCTGCGCGAACTATCGCGCCATATCGTTCGAAGTGGCTGCGAGGGGTCTGTGATGATGCGAAATGCCGACGTGCCTTGTGGGCTGACAACCGACGCGTTGAGCACGTTGGGATCAAGGTTCGTGATGCGAAAGACCTGGAATCCGGACGCAGGAGGGGGCCTCCCGTTGCCTGCATATGAACTCATCGTGGGGAGAGCACCGAAAATGGAGGGGGAAGGCGCAGGACCATGGCCAGGCTGCCAGGGGGATTGTCCTGTAGGGATATTTCCCGCGTTCCAGCCTTGAACGTAGGGGTTGAAGTGGTGGGACATCGTGCAGAGGAGAGATGATCTCAAAGGAGTTCGAGGGAGAAGATGTGGATGGATGGACTAGGTGGCGTCAAGGTTATTCTTGATGTGAATTTGTTAGGTGGTACTGATGATGTAGATCCTTCGAAGTGCTGGAGACTGATAACTCGATGAGAAGCAGAACGTGGCCGACCGCAGACTTTATACTGATCCATCTGTAGAGCGCGTACTTAAAGAAGTTTCAGTCGATCACCGAGAAGGGTGTTATGTTCGATGACCAATGGAGATCTCGGTAAACCGACCTATTTTGCATCCAGCAGCGTTTACTCTCCACTCTCTCTTACCGTTGAGAGTCTCGACGGCCACAGATGGAATGGAATGTAGAGCGATCTCAGCAAGACTCAGAGCCACAAAAAGTCGGTCTCCTCGGTTGGTTCGGCCTGCGCTGATGAACACCAAGGAGTATCTGCAGTCTTCACCGCGAAGTTTGAATGAGCACAGGAAATGCATATTTTAAAGGTCCCTCGAAACTCGTCAACTCTAGAGCTTCCCATTGCTTTCCATTGCAGTGTGCAGGGTTTTGCAGGCGGGGGGTGCGTCGGTCATCACTGGATCATAACAAATACAGAAAGCAACTGTTCTATTGGCGGTCGGCGCCCCTGAGAGGCCTGAATTGACGATCGAAGGTTAAGACCTGCAGGAGTAAAGATCAGTTGTCGAGACGAAGTATCAGGAGTTGAAACAAAGGCGTCTTGTATCGTACAGAGCATGACGCTTCAAAGCCAGTAAGAAGTTAAAGCCAGTAGTAATATGTGTCGCTAAGCAGAAAGCTCTATGTTAGAGGTGAGCAGATGCGTGTGCATGCCGAGCCTCCTTCCCATCCGAACAAGCAGTGAGGCACAGCTAACAAGCGTAAGCAGGTTGACCATCTAACAATCGATGATGAGATGGAACCCAAAATCGGGCGCCCTACTATGTGGATGTGTGAATTCGGAGGAATAGAAACTGCTGCAGGTACCGAGGCAGAGTCTCGGGATCGGCCCACTCATGACCCGTGAGCTTCCTGCGTTGATGATCACAACGCGTTGCGAACAAGACTCGCTACTAAAAAGGAATATTCCATCCCATGTTCACGACGAGGAGCAAATCCTTACTGACTGCAAAATCTCCCGCGAGACTGGGGTCATCAGGCGCAGTCCAAGCGTTGCTCATCATCGACGGTGACCTAACACGGCCTTCCGAGCGATCATTCACAGCGATTTCTGAGAGAATCACAGCATGGACTAAAATGAATATCTTCATCCTATAATCGGCACGCCGTTGATGCCAGCAGTGATGCTACAGCGTCCGCCACAGCAAGCGGGAAGGATATCGATATTTGGAGAAGTGAATAGTACACACGGAGTGTGCATAACGTACCTCCAGACCCCACCCATTTCTCCTTGTAATAAGTAGGTCCATCAAAGCATCAGACTTGGAAGCTCATGAGCGGCCATTCGAACCATGTTATGTCTGAGATCTCAAGAAGTCGCGAGGAGCAACATGACAGGTCTGGGCGGAAAAGGGGATTGTGGTGGCCAGGGCCAAAGAGCCGGCTCGTGCGCGCGTGGATGGAACGTGGCGTCAACGTGGCATCAGCATGGTTGATATCTCGAGGCACTCATGATCCCCATCAGGAGAGTAGGCGCCTTGTCAAGACACCGTCAATTGCAACTAGGTCCAATTTCTTCACGGTCTTCGCCGCTGAAACTAGTGTACATTCTCGCGCAGTGTCAGCCGTCGTCTAGACAGTTCCCGCCCCGATGTCCACGCACGTTACAGGAGCGCAAGCTCCAAAAGCCTTCAAGAGCCATAGTCTTATGGCTGTAAGTCAACTGGCACGACCCTAAGATGCTCTTAGAGACCGAATTCGGAGGCGAGCTCAATTGAATAACGCAGAGGTCATACTCGGGCCACGATTACCGAGTGTTTCGGTCACTCAAGTCTATAGCGATCTCGAGACAGCTCGAGACTCACAGTGACCTTGGTATTTGCTCCACGTACTATGAGCGGGACGCTAGTACTCAGCAGACTGGCGACCGAGTCTCTATAACCCAGTATGTGACGGCTGCGCAAATACAAGGTATAGTGTCGCAACTCAGTCTCGCTGGACCTACATCCAGCGAATGTCTCACAATTCCGTGGAAGGCCATGGCTGGTCCAGATGGATATACTCACGACAGTGGCGAGCAGGAGCTCAAAACTCTGATGAGTCAATGGCTGTTTACCGACGGGGTTGGGCCCATCACCTGCACTGTCAATGTCATTCGAACATCGTTCGTTCGCATGCAGATGCGGCCATCTCGACAGGAAGGGTCCTCACATAGACCATCGACCGGCCATGGGGATACTCGGGCTGAGAGCTGCTTTCTCCGGGTCGTTGTACGTATCCCTGAACACAGTGACTAAAAGGATGATATACCCAAGCGGCCGCACGGAGCGACGCTCAAGGGCATTTAACTAATAGCGCAGCAGGGTTGCTCTCTCTACATAAGAACGGGGCAAGAGGATTTGCAACAGACGACACATCGCGTCGTCCGTCTGGAAGTACACGAGGGGCATATCGCGTCAAAAAGACCATTGATTGTCACATGGATGAAATGGAAAGGGTGAGGCTGGCTGAAGCTGTACGAGAACAAGAAAAGATCGTGACTGGGATCAAACTAATACACCGTGCCCGAACTTCGGCGGAACACGCTCATGGGTCCGAATACACGGGGACAGTTACATGGCATACCTGATACGGACACAACCGAAGAATCATCAATATCGTGTTGCAGGCATGTTGAGAACATGCTGAAAATGGCACTCACTTCCTTGTCCACTCCCTAGCCGTTGCCTCGTATCGCGCACGATCCGTCTTGTATAAGTGCGCAATGTCAGGCACCAACGGGTCGTCCGGGTTGGGGTCGGTCAACATCGAGCAGATCGACAGCAACACTGTACGACGGAAAAATGTGACCACAATGACGGATGCAGAATAGGAGAGAATGGTCAGTCACGGATACGTCACAAAGATACCAGGATGATCGTGTGACACGCGTGAAGCGATAGGACGGGAATGGAAATGGGCATACCTTTCGAGATCGTCAGTGCCGGCGACCACTGATCCCTCAGGATGTCCAGACAGATCGAACCGTTGGCGTTGATGTTTGGGTGGTAGATCTTGGTCGTGAAGCTGACCTTGGGAGGCTTGAAGGGGTAGTCGGTCGGGAAGGTAATGGAGAGGAAGAAGACTCCGCCTGCATAGGGGGAGTCACCCTGTATGTGTGTATCGCATTGCACATTTTACGGACCGGTAAGAAGGTAGGGTGATGGACATCAGTAAAAGCGGTAAAAGCTGGTCATGATGGAACGTGACGAACCGGGCCCATAATCGTCGCTTGCCACTGGAACATGTTGTCGCCCGTGGGGCCCGCGCTGCAGGATGAGGGTGGGTCACGTCCGAGGTCAATCAACTCCTACATACGAGAAAACCAGTGATATGTTAGAGTTAGGACGCAAACCGCTCAAAAGAGTCAGGAGGGGTTTCCGGGCACTGCCCTGCAGTGGCGGAGGCGCCCAGAAATAGCACATAGACGCCACGCGCCCTTTGCCCACCGATGACGGTGGCGACGACGAAAACAGAGCTCATGCGATGACAGACCTTGTTAATGCGCTTGAGAGCCATTGGAGAACGAGGGGGTTGGTGAACAACGAGAAAAACTGATCAAAAGACCCAAGGAAGGTGAAATCGCGAGAAATCGGTGCAGATCGATGTGTCCAAGACCGGGTAAGACGGGATTGCGAAACGACACAGCGAGCGATAAAGCGATGTCAGGATTGTCAGTAACACATAACTAAAGAGTAGACGGGGGCTGAACTCACGATGTGGATGGGCAGACGACGAACGAGCAAGGAGATGGTGGTAGCGGGATAAGCAGATGCTCGTCGATGCCTGATCTTGTTTGGACTAGTTTTGTCATCGCACAGCCACATCGGAGCTCATAATCGCCACACGGACTCGGCCACTTGCCTTTCTCGCCCATGCGCTATTGTTCTCTGTTTCTATATCGACACTTCTTGCTACGGTACTATAATACAATTGGATTTCAATACAGATACCAATTCTTCTCTGTCTTGTTCCTTCCTGTCTCCTCGGGCCAAAACACAAAGGATACTCCGATACTTTAAAGAACAGTGCCACCTGATCAAGACAGATTACAGTCCGCCCGAGCACGCCACCTCATCATGCACAAGTCCTCGGACTGCAGACTAACAAAAACTTCGAGACCAATAGGCTACCTCTCGAACGGATCTGGACATCGCCAGGATTCGACCGCCACAAAGCCCACTCGTACAGCCACTCCAGACAGATGCACAGTATCACGAACCCCGCCACACACAGCAGCATTCGAAGCAGCGGTCCATCTTGCGATAATTTAGCATGGGCATACCGGCCTGCGGTTTGCAAGAGATGGTAGATGATTGGAGTCGAAGTGAGATCCTGGACTGTGGTAGACTCTCATTTTAGACGAAGAAACGGGGCTCTGTTGAGCGGCCTTGATGACAGTCGAGCGATGCTTGCAAGAATGAATCAGAAGTGATCCGAGGAGATCTTCAAGCCATTGAGCACTGTGAATACACTGGAGGATGTTCTAAAGGGAGGTTTTTGATGCTCGTAAAAGCAGATTTTCTTGACTAGAGACACAATATAGAGAAAGGGGAAGTAAGATGAATGTCAAATCCGCGAATAAAAAATGTGAACCGCCTGTTCGAACTAGCTCGAATTTCCACTGGAGATAGACTCGGAGTGATAATGCCTACATAGGTAGTCCGACCACAAAGATAGCATCAGCGGTAGACGATCGTGTATGTGTCAACGACCAAGCACAGCGACTTACCGGCGTCGCACATTAAGCCATTCAAGGAGCCCGAATAAAGAAGACTTAAGTACATTGGAGGATAGTACATGAAGGTGTATAGCGGCCCAGGGTTTCAGGCTTGCTCCATGGTAAATAGCAAAGGCCCAGGGAGGAAGACTCGGACCATCCATCCGAAGAGACAGAATGCAGCTCAACTCTCAAGCCTTTACAAAACGGGAGATGCGGACGACCGAGGGTATGAGTCGAGGACTCGAATGGTCTGGAGTCGTTGTAATGGAGCGTCAGATACACCAACGAAGACCATGCAATCTCTTCTCTTTCGATGGTTGCACCATCAGCCCAGTGAACGCTTAAAGGATGAGATCTTTATCAACGTCAGCAGAATGGATGCTGGATCACGGTACAAAAACCAAGTGTTCTTGGCGACAGTGTAGGGGGTTCGAGACAGCGGTCGTGGGTGAGCACGAAGACTACTCGGATAAGCTCACAGAATCAACTGCTCAATATTTGGCCCTCAGGGTCGTACATCTTGGGCCACACAAGTGTGTGGCGAACCAACCATAACACTTCGATGACAGACGCAACGTGGCCGAGATCCGGGACCGATCCACTATGACTGCAGCAGTAAATTTCGGGATCAAGCACCATCTCTCCTCATCGTCTCTTCCATCCGCCCCTCCTCCTCTTTCTTTTCCGTTTTCTCGCCTCCGCACGCTATATTATCCGACCGTGAGACGACTCTAACATGGCGGACAAAATTACCCGTATTGCGATCGTCGATTCCAACCGATGCAAACCAAAACGATGTGCACAAGAGTGTAAGAAGGTGCGTGTTGCCACATTTTATGGTCGAGTACATGGAGCTGATTGGGATGGTGGGATTGGATGTAGTCATGTCCGGTTGTAAAAATGGGTGAGTGAATCGTTGTGGATGCGGAGGTATAGTGGATTGATGGTGGATTGGATTAGGCAAGCTGTGTATCGAGGTCAAGCCTTCAGACAAGATCGCATTCCTCTCTGAGTTTCTTTGCATTGGTTGTGGTATTTGTGTCAAAAAGTGCGTTGCCTACCTTTTATACATTCTTGCAATACATTCGCATGGAGACATCAGCTCCTGTATACTTCGGTGTGGGATTTTGATTGGAACGAAGCTGTCCGGAGTTGTCAGCTGCATTTTCCCAATGATGAAGAGCCTACACGCCGATACAAATGTGCAATGTTTCGTGGTAATTATTTGGCGAACGTTGTTCGCTGAATTTGTGACTCTCAGGCGCAGTAATGCCCGACGGCTCTCATCTTCACCCTGTGTTGGGTGCACGGATACTTACACCATCAATTATGCGTCTACCAATGTTTTTTTTTTCCTAGTGCCCGAAATCATCGAACGAGCTTTAATCCCCACATTTCCCCCTCAGATGCCCGTTCGAAGCCATTTCCATCATCAATCTTCCAACAAATCTCGACTCCGAAGTCACACATCGATACACTGCCAACTCCTTCAAACTTCATCGGCTACCAACACCACGGCCAGGACAGGTTCTCGGTCTCGTCGGTACCAACGGTATCGGAAAATCGACAGCTCTCAAAATTCTTGCCGGAAAGATCAAACCAAACCTTGGGCGGTACGATGTGCGTCTAAATTCCACTGCTCCCATCCCGCATCACACTTTTTATCGGATCATTCTCCTCGAGGTTGATACGTCTATGTGAGGATCGAATGCTCACATTTTGGCTGCACAATAAAGGAACCGCCCGACTGGCAAGAAATCCTTAGGTATTTCCGCGGTTCGGAGCTGCAAAATTACTTTACGAAGGTGCTCGAGGATAATCTGAAAGCCCTCATCAAACCTCAGTATGTCGACCATATACCGCGCGCCATCAAGGGCGTGATGACCGTCGAGCAGATGCTCAATTCGAAAGATGAGCTCGGGAACAAGCAGCAACTTTGCGATGATCTGGAGTTGAATAACGTGCTGACTCGCGAGGTCAATCAATTGTCTGGCGGAGAGCTGCAGCGGTTCGCTATCGCGATGTCATGTATCCAACGAGCGGATGTGTATGTGGTTTTCCGGTGCTATCCTTTTGCCCGTGAAATTTGCTCATGACTCGCTTTTCCAGGTACATGTTCGACGAGCCGTCAAGTTATTTGGATGTTAAGCAGCGGTTGGTCGCCGCTCAGGTCATCCGGAAGTTGCTCAAACCCGATAACTACGTTGTTGCCGTCGAGCACGATTTGTCCGTCTTGGATTACCTCTCCGACTTCATCTGTTGTTTATACGGAAAGCCCTCAATGTACGGTGTCGTCACCATGCCCTATTCCGTCCGTGAAGGTTTGTGCACTCAATCTGCTCTGAGCACTCCCGTATCTCTGATCAAATAACGGTGTATCAGGTATCAACATCTTCCTGGACGGATTCATTCCCACGGAGAATCTTCGTTTCCGTGAGGAATCCCTCTCTTTCAAGATGGTCGAAACTGCCGAAGAAATTCTCATCGACAAGACACGCCACTACTCGTACCCCGCCATGACTAAAACCCTGGGCGGCTTCAAACTCACCGTCGAAGCCGGCTCCTTCACCGATTCCGAAATCATCGTCATGTTGGGTGAGAACGGGACAGGCAAGACCACCTTCGTCCGTCTCCTCGCTGGTGATGTGCCCGACGCCGGTGAGGAAGCCAAACAGAGTCTTGCGGTCAGTTTGAAGCCGCAAACTATCAGTCCGAAGTTCGCAAGCACGGTCAGGATGTTGCTGTTGAAGCAGATTAAGGCGGCATTCATGCATCCGCAGTTCAACACGGATGTGCTCAAGCCGATGAACTTGGAGCCTATCATGGACCAGGAGGTGAAGACGTTGTCGGGTGGTGAGCTGCAAAGAGTGGCGATCTGCTTGGCGTTGGGAAAGCCAAATGTAGCGGTTTACCTAATCGATGAGCCGTCTTCGTGCGTGTCTTTTCTCCCGCTCACTAGTCTGGTGTGTGTTCACTAAAGTCTTCTGCGTGGGTAGATTCTTGGACTCCGAGCAACGTATCATTGCGTCGAAGGTCATCAAGCGGTTCATCCTACATGCGAAGAAGACGGCATTCATCATCGAGCACGATTTCATCATGGCCACTTACCTTGCCGACCGTGTCATTGTCTTTCAGGGTGAACCCGCTATATCCGCCACCGCCACACCGTAAGTACTTCCTCTCTCTTCTCATCCATCTACCGAGGCTCTTGTGCTACACTTATATTCTCGTTCCACCACAAATGGCTGATACTTGATGGCTCTCTTTCTTTCTGCATGTTTAGGCCACAATCGCTGTTGACGGGTATGAACAGGTTCTTGGCCTCTCTCGAGATCACGTTCCGTCGCGACCCGACCAACTTCCGGCCACGAGTGAACAAGATGAACTCAGTGAAGGATAAAGAGCAGAAGGGTACGTTATGGTTTTACTTCCTTCACCGTCATTCCGTAGTAGCTGATATATGGGTTACTTGTCGCTAGCTTCGGGCAACTACTTCTTCCTCGAGGATTAAGGGGCCATCTGTGCTGTTGTGCCACGAGTAGCGCTCGCGGCTGTCTATTTATGCCAGGAATACGGGATATCGAATCCCGGCGATTGTAGCGCCATGCAGGGGAGCTGAGACGGGGACGGCACTTTACAGGGTGCTGGGAGTCCGTCTAATGCCGTGATATGATAGATTGGACGATGACGCTTTCCTACTTTTTGTGTCTGTTCTCTGTTGTTGTTACTACTCGTTGCTGTAGCATGAATGAATGTAGCCTCCACCACGCTGGTGATCTGGGGATGTGTTGAGTATATTTCAATAATATTCACGTGTTGCTTTTTGCTTCGCGTTATGGGCGAATGTTTATCGTAATTCTTCATGCAATCAAAACTCCCGTGAGCAGTACGTGCACCCTGCAGGCGATGCATATCCACTTGCAGGGAATCAGGGATATCTAGGCTTTTCGGATGCCGCTGATTGAAGGGACACATGATCGTGGGAGGATTTAGCGAGTCAGCCACAAGCGCGACAAGGAGTCTGACGCGTCTCAAGTTACCGTCGCGTCCTTTTTCTCCATCTCTTTGTCCGTGCCGTATTAAGTCGCTCTGGCCGTATATCCAGCCTCACTTTCGGAGTCTATCATATCAAAGCCTACCTTCCACCTTTGCTGCAATCATCATGTCGTCCCCCCGTGTTAACTCCGCCCGTATGCCAGAGTATGTCGGAAAGACGGTGAGAATAGTGGGCAAGATGGTCGAGGTACGTGTGCACCAATAACTAATGAGTCTATTGTGGCGTATCTAACTCGCGTGTCTATGGTTGTCCCACCCGTATATTTTCCTGGTGTTGTTCTGGAATTGGGGTGGCTTAGTGGGCGGAGAATGGGGAGTTCGCAATCATGGAAACGAGTGACGGAGGGCAGGTCACAGTCCAACTGGCGAAAGTGCGTTTCGTTCCTCTAGTTTGTATACTTGGTATGCATCAGTCTCATGATAACTTCGTGCCTGGAATGTCCGTCGTCGCGTGTGTTGCGCCGTGATCACGTATGCAGGTTGATATGGATGCTATGAACGATACGTATTTCGAGGTCATCGGCACACCCGTTGACGGGAGTACGATCAAGATGGTGAATTGCTGTAACTTAGGGGATCATCTGAGTGCGTCTTCTTCCCCTTTGATATACGACGTTTGCTTATCTGTGCATGGGAAGACTTGAAGCTCGCCAACGATGTCATCGAGCTGACGCATGACAAACGGTTCAAAGGAAGGATGTTCTGATATGTAGCGCAGGATGAGGAGCAGGAGTAGCGAATGCTGGTGGTGCGGCGTAGTTGGGGGTGGATGATATCGGTGCGGCTATATCTTCTGTATTTTGTTCCGTCGCCTTTCCTTCATGTTATCCCGACTGTAATCTATGTTTCTGCGTCCTATCATCCCACTGCCGCTGATGCGTGCGCGACTCGCGATGTGGAAAACTTGTCAGCTGGTGTGACTTTCCGAATGGTGGGCGCCTAATTGGCGCAGTCCTTCCGCCGGCATTCGATATCGGAACTTTTCGTTATGAGTTCAGGGCGGTGCTTGGGAATACACGGTATCGCTAGATTGACTCCCGATATGCGCTCTTCTGGTTGACCAGGCTTTGCTGCTCACCTCCACCTACGACGCATCCAGGTCGTAGTCGGGCACCTGTCGCGCATGAAGCTCTTATCTTGCATATCCGGCTTTCTTGCCACAACCTATCCTCTCGTCAGAGCGAACCTCTTACCAGGCGATTTCGATGCAAGCTTGCATCAAGTAGTGCTTCAAAATGATGCACAAAGTGTTACAGTTCCCGAGCCTTTTTCAACTGAACCAACCAACTCGACTGGAAACTTCATCTTTAACACCGTCTCGTCGCTGATGCAGCGATGGCCAAACACATACTGGAGAAATGGTGCGCATCACTCAGTCTTTTTCTCGTACTCCATGTCTGACTGACAAAGCACCATCATGGTTTCCTACGCCCGAATCGTTACCAGGTCACTCCATCGTCCCTGTTTCCATCCCTGTGGCAACAATATTATATCACGGTCGCGCGACTAACAGTACCCCGACTGTCCCTGAGTGGCTTGCTTTCGACTTCGACCACTCCTTCATCTTCTGCGTGGCGAAGTGTTGGGTGCACACCATGGTCGCCACTCGAGACCTCCGACTGCTATACTTCGATGGTTCTAGTGCCGCGAAGATGCCGAACGGGACGATGGACTCGCAGGACCTTGTTATTTGGGGAAATATTGACGAGTACAGGTCATACAAGGAAAGAGAGAGGATCGATACGTTGTGTGAATGGGGGAAGAAGTATGGATTGGACGGGTTCGTGAGGATGGAGATGCATTTGTGAGTGATATCGTGGCTACTTTATCCAATGGACGAGCCCATCGTTTATTCTTTGACCTTGTGTTTGCGTTTGTGTTGTGGCAGCGAAATCATGTTCTGCAACTTCTCCTCCGGCCTTGAACCAGTCTCCATCCTCGAATTGGTACCCACACGATTCCCAGCCGTATGGCGTCCTCCTGGATTGCAGGAGCTTCAGAAACGCGCCGATGACCGTGAAGGTGTCGATATGCACCACCACTACGGCAGTCAATCCGATCTTTTCTCGGATGGTGTCGTCAGGCCGCCATGGCCCAAAATACCAGACCCACCAGTCGGATGGCGAGGGTCACAAGTAACGCTAGAGGAAGCACTGTTCGAGCTTATACACACCGGCTCATGGCACGACCGTGCCCCTGGAGAAACCCGCGTCCATGTTGACTACACCGGATTCGTGTCATTCTACGATGCCTCCCTCACGAGTCTTGTTGAGCTACGCACTGGTCAAGACAGATTTCACCACCGATTGCAAAACATCACTCGTGAGGATACTGATAAAGTGATGGACGAACTGGACGAGGTTTTATCGAGAGGGTGGAACGGGGTCCAGGGGCAAAGGAAGAGTTCTGGTAGCCGTGTGGATTGGGGGAGCATAACGACAATTGTGACGGAGAGGTATGGTGAAAGGTTGGAGTCGTTGGAGTATATCTTGGAAGAGGGAAGGTTCCAGAACGTTACACGACAAGTCTCGCTCTTCAGAGCGCAATTGCTCGTCATGCTCAGTCCCTACATGCTCATCTCTGCACTACCGCCACCCGAGGTCGATCCTACTTCGGACCCCTCATGGATTACACCGATTATTCGCCATTGCTCGATAACATATACTTCGCGCATCGATACTAGCTCCCTGACGAGACAGGAGAGGCGGATCAAGAGCTCAGTCGAGGATGTTCTCGCCGAGATTTGCGGGACGTTAGGGGGCTTGTGGGTGGCTGCCTTCGATATTGAGGCAGCGGAGCTGGCGAGGCAAGAAAAAGTCCTGCAGGATTCGAGGGCAGAAATCGCTCGATTGATGAAGTGGCTGGGTTGGCCGATGTGGGTGAAGTGTAAGCCAGGGTGTGGTCCAGAGGTATAGTTTTTTTACGTCTATTATTGGGACGATGCACACTGATCCGAATTAACCGTGCAGGAAATATGCCATATCCCAACCTGGATGTTCAGTCCATTCCATGACGATCCACACGACATGACTCCTCGATGCGTTCGAAAATTTGCTCCTTACACCTGGTGAGAGAAGGTCAGTATGCGCATACACGATATTACCATTTGGGCCCTAGATCCTGTTCCTTCTCGTCGGGTCGTTTTATTTTTGTACAATCTCGCTTGGGCGCTTTGGCTTGTGGCTTTCAACAGCCTCGAGAAACACGCAACTCCATAGTTATAATAGATGCGTAACCTAGATTACATGTAACATACCGTTCAGGAATGTCTGCCACAGGACATGCTACCGCCGACAACATTGGAAAACACAGAGCCATATATCGTCCACACCATGCGCTCAGGTAAACAGACGGTGAAGTCGTGCGCATCCCTTCAAGGTAAAAATAAGCACTGAGCAGATCGATAGCACTGTAACGCTCCCACTTCATGGCCCACTGCAGTCTGAGGACTGAGGCCTGAGGGCCGAGGTCGCGAATCTCTGCTGACCGTGACACTGCCTGAAAATGGTGACATTCTAGAGCGTCTAGTTTTGGGCGTCCCGTCATAGAGAAGGTTTGTCCCAGTTCATGGACCGAGAGTACACTCCAGCATGCCATCTGAGGTGAACATTTTTGTTAGCGCCACATGTCCTTGCATATGTCAAGTCTCAAATTGTTCCTGTCTGCGATAAATCTGTGAACGATCAAGTTTGTTGTCGGTTAGGAAGATGGGGATTAGTCAAGCCTTGGGAGTACAAAAATATAAAGAAACCTTGAGGGAGCGTGAGAATGAAAAGCATGGTGAGTGGACGAAGGTGGACGAGAGAACGGCGGTAGGTGAGGAATAGATAAATCATAGAAGTGAAAACCGATAGATTTCAATGAAAGTGAAATCGAATAGAAAGCATGAGAAGTAAGCCCCTGAATGGTTTGCCGCTCTCATGCCTAAATATGAGGTCCTTTCAGTTGTCGAGAACGCTGGCGGGGAGCGTTGTGTTGTAGAACCCTGGGACCGAAAGGCGAGACAATTTAGAGTCAAGTGAACCATGGGCAAGAGTCAGTAGAGACTCACAGTACTCCGCAACATATTTGACCGAGATGCTGTCAGTGCCGTTGCACTACAGGTGAAGGAACTTGTCAGTCACATCAGGTGAACAATTTATCAGGCGGACTGACCGAGGCAGGCGGCTGTCCTCCCGCCGTTTCAACCCTAAATACCGATTTCGCCAATTTTCCCTGACCCGCATACGACAATGCGGTCAAGTACAACCAATCTATATCCACACTCTTGTCATCCGGTGAAGGTATATCTCCAGTCCTGGCTAACACTACAAATGCATCCGCTACACCGTTGAATCTCGCGCTCGTGAAATCGAATTTCGGTGAGGTACCAGAGCCGGTGGCAGGATTGGGTACGAAGTAGTGCTGCCCGAGGACGTCAGGATTGCCGAGAAATCCAAGTTTGCTAATGAGTTCCGTTGTGTTCAGGATGTTGGATGGAATAGCAGACCACAGCGCTTCAATGGCAGAGGTCAGGTATGGAGAGATGGCGGTATCAACGACACAAGAGATGTCGAAGAGTTCTGCGACGGCACCGACATTGCTAGAGTGATGCGAGTAAGCAAAAGTAAGGGAAAAAAACACGATACAATCCGGGTGGACGTACGTGTAAGTGGATGTGTTAGAGCAGGTGTAGTTCTGAACACCGACGCCCAGAGCCACGAAAGACGGGGGAAAGGTGGGAGCGACGAGGGCCGTCTGATTGGACGGGACCTTGAGAGCGGACGCCGGGACGGGGCAGGATGCCAGGGTCGGTGAAGCCGCGAGAGCAACACCAAGGCATAGGAATGCAACGGTCTTCGTGAACATGGTGAGCTCGGTTTAAAGAAGGAACGGTGGTGGAGAATGGTTTTGTGCGCACGACCACCCAGGGAGAGGAGGGAAGAGGGAAGAGGTCAGGATAATGCAACCTTGTCGGGTTGAGATGTGGCTTTATACAAAGATCGAGCATGCACCCCACCGAACTTTGCTATACAACTCAGTCCGAAAGAGCGGGGAACCCCTCAGACAGCCCGCGGAGACCCACAGAATTGGTTGGAAAGCGCTCATGGCGAATTTGTACAAAGAGCGGTCGCCGTATATTTCCGCCAAAGCGGTCGAGAGCTAGCTGTAATGGGAAAGCGTACTGTCACAGGATATAACACATACGGAAATATCAACATGATATCCTTGAAAACAAGATATAACGGTGTTTGCAATTTTTAAATGAACGTGTCTCGACCCTATCTATGTCGTCTAGCGACTAGAGGTCGGCCCGATGGTGGCTGAAGGAGGTTCTGATGAACCGCACAGTGGATGAAGCTAACTCTTTGTTGTCGCTATTCTCCATTACGACGATCGAGCAGTATAACGTGCCTAGCGAGAACGCGCCCACAGCGTTGCGTGATAGGGTCGGAGGACTGAGGCGAAAGAAAGTTTGCCAAGAGTAGAGCAGCCCGCGGTCCGATTGGCAAGCAAGGACCATTCGGTCTAGGAAAATCACCGTTTTCACAGCGTAAGCTGGTTGTTTTGACAGGGCATTCGGAAAGCACTCGGAATGAGAGCAATCATATTTTTGGCCAAATGCAGGCACAAACCCTGTCGAAACAGCATTCATGCTGAAACGCCGTTCAGTCAACCGTCCTAGGTAATCCCTATGCTAATGCGGGTCACATATAAGCAGTCGGCGGTTGCATGCCCCGATAGTAAATGGAGGTTATTCCAGGGCAATGCAGAGGAAATTATACGACTCCTTCAATTCCCGTCAGAAAAGCTCACCGCCGTGCACAAAGCGCATGAGACAGAAACCTCGCAACAACCGAGGTTTGTATCGGCAGAGAAAATCCAGTCATTGGCAATATCTCACAGGATCTATGCCACTGGTATTGTGTGATCGAGCATAGAATGTACCTATCAGACGAAATCTTGAACAAGTATTGCGAACAATGTTGGAATGATGCCATGCAGCCATGACGAGCATGAGACAGGTGGTGACTCACCGCCAGCAGCATTTCAGTCCTATTCCCAGAATATATACCGGATCTCGGGTCGTTTACATGGTGAGTACATCCCGCAAAATACGACAAGTGGACTTACGTGGTAGGTACTAGTACTAGAACGGTCAGTTGAAAAGTAAGAACTCCCGGGCCACGAGGATCTGGTTTGAACAGGTACCGGAGGATGCCGGAGGCTAGCGCCACAGTATACCACGGGAGTGGCCCCCAGACGGTCAACTCAATACGGTCGTGGGTCTCCCCGCAGAGCAATGTGTCATGACTGCGTTCTAAGATCATCCGCAGCCAATGTTTCTGAGACCTTCTGGTTGCACATGTATACTAAATGTTGCTGCGTGCGAGTCTCGAAGCGCCCGTATCTGTGGGCGATCAAGTTGAACCAAAGACAACTCGAAGAAGAGACATAGAATGATATCGGACAGCGGTAGGCATTCAGAATAAATATTCGCACCAAAAAACGACAGAGTTTAAAGGGAGCATGAGGAGCAAGTCCCAATGCATGGATTCACCCAATAATATCCAAGTAGAAAGTCCGTTCAGCTGTCGAGAACGCTGGCAGGAAGCGTTGTGTTGTAGAGGTCTGGGGAAACACGAAAATCAGGGTCGACCAAGCCGCGAAGCAAGAGCAGGCACTTGGACACTTACAGTACTTCGCAGCATATTTGACCGAAATGCTGTCAGCGCCATTGCACTATGAACGCAAATCTTATCAGCTTTATTCTTGACATAATTTATTAGGTGGACTGACCGAAGCAGGCGGCTGTCCTCCCGCCGTTTCAACCCTGAATGCTGATCCCGCCAAGTCTCCTTGACCCCCATACGATAATGCGGTCAGATATAACCAATCCACATCCACACTCTTGTCATCAGGCGAGACAACATCTCCCGTCTTCGCCAACACCACAAATGCCTCCGCTACGCCGTTGAACCTCGCACTCGTAAAATCGAATTTTGGGGAGCTACCAGAACCGGTGGCAGGATTGGGTACGAAGTAGTGCTGCCCGATGACGTCAGGATTACCGAGGAATCCGAGTGTGCTGATGAGCTCCGTTGTGTTGAATGTGTCAGATGGAATGGCGGACCATAGCGCTTCAACGGCGGAGGTAAGGTAGGGGGAGAGGGCGGAATCAACGACACAAGAGATGTCGAAGAGTTCTGCAACAGCACCGACATTACTAGAGTGATGCATATATCGGGTAAGCAAAAGTAAGGATGGAAGGACACGGTTTGATTCTCGGGTGGACGTACGTGTAAGTGGACGTGTTAGAGCAGGTGTAGTTTTGAACACCGACGCCCAGAGCCACGAAAGAGGGGGGAAAGGTGGGAGCGACGAGGGCTGTCTGATTGGACGGAATCTTGAGTGAGGATGCCGGGACGGCACATGCAGCCAGTGCTGGTGAAGCCGCAAGAGTAACACCAAGACAAAGGAAGACAATCGTCTTCATAGACATAGCGAGTTCAAGCTGAAGCAGGGTCGGGAAAGTCAAAGGCACGGTGGTTGGAAAATGGGTATGTAACAACGACAACCCAAAGGAAACAGAAGAACCAGAGGAAAGGGAAAAGAGGTAGCGTCAATACCTCTTCGTCAAAATTGGATGCTGGTATATATAAAGATCGAATGCGCATCCCCCTGACTTCGCTATTCATATCGTCTGAAACGTCTAAGGACCAATCAAGCTCACGGAGACCCGGAACACTGGTAGTAGGGTCAGAGGGCGCCCATACCGAACTTGTGCAGCCAGAAGTTACCGCACACCGTATTTCAGCCAAAACATTCGTTAGATAGGCAGCTGTGGGCACCTCTGCGGTCACAGGCCAGAACATATACTGAAAGGTTGGACGATAGTATCCTTCACGGGCACACTTCAGCTAGAAGGGCTCAAACACTTTAGCTCAAATCGCACTTACGATCTTGGACGACGGAACCAATATGTATAATTCCGTCTCGACCCGTCCAGCGACAATAGATCATTTGATGGTGGCTGAAGGATGGTTCTGATGAACTGCATATCGATTAAACCATCTCATTGTTGGCGCCACGCCGCTGTAGTATAAGCAGCCTATGTACAGAGAACGTCACCACTGCGTTTCATGATAGGGACAGAATGGAGGACTGGGCGAAAGCATGGTAGAGATTGAGATTTGTGAACGCTGTACGTTTTGCCAATACATGCACAGGCACAGATGTTGAGATGTGATGGAGATATCGTTAGATCAACGGCCCTAAACAAGCGGTGCTGGTGCAGACCAGTGCATGTCACAGATAGAGCACTCGGTGATTGTATGCCTTGATCGTGAACAGAGCAGTAGAAATCACGAGAAAACAAAACGGTATAAAACAGTGATAGAATGACAGCGTGTAAACATGCTGCACGAAATGACAGTGAATGACCCTCGCAAACATCAAGGAGTCTCGCAATAGAACGTACCTATTCAACAAAAGATCGAGAGGACACCACTTATGATGGATGATGCCCGCCGGCGGGAGCAGGTCGCAGATAAATTGACATTTGAAACTGGTATTACGAACAGGCGGGGGAGTCCGTGGTGTATCTATTTACTAAATTCCAGGGAATCGTCAACAAGAAGCTTACTGCATGTTGTCGTGTTTGAGGGGCGTGCACACTGCGAGCTGGAAAAGTACCATCATCGACTCTTTATCGTCTGGACACGAGACTACCAGTGGACCTGATGTAAGGGCAAAAAAGCAAGAACAGTTCCGACTCGAAATTCGCGCCGGAGGATGCCGGAGCTTGCGCCACACAATTTGTGTGGCTCTTTGTTGAACTCATCCCTCCAAGAACGTCTGTGACCATTGTTGTCTCTGTGCTAGTCATGGACTTTGAGCAATGCTTTCTAGTTTGAATTTTCGTAGATCTTGGGAGCTCTGACGTAATATTTGACTGCTATGGCGTCCTTTCCCGCTCTTTTCTATGGGATAGCATTGAAGGCGGCTCGCCGTTCCCTTGCTCACCTGACAATGTGGTGGTCATCGATATCAGGATTCTTCCGCACGGTGCATTCCTTCTGCTGTTGGTCAACATCAGTCGACAGATACAGCTCTGGTTTTACTATGCCTGAGCACGGAGACCCTTCACCACCCGCTCGCGTTCCGTACATCTTTCCTGCAGAAGGAACAAACGAGGTTCGCAACTCCCGTCTTACATGCGACTTCTCAGGGTCTTCTTGCTCATCATTGAACCCTCCATAGGCCGCGGATGTCATCAGAGAACGCAGAGGAGCGCGAGGTCTGATAGATCTGGACGGTGTATTGTAAGTGGCGAGGTTCTTCCTGGTGAACAATTTGGGAGGACGACTAGAGTGGCGCTCAAAATGGTCTCCATCTTTGTGAAAGGATGAATGCGGAGCCTATTGCACTCGGTTGGAACGAGCTTGCAGGAGCTATAAGGACAAAGACTACCCTTCCCGCCGACCAAATGGAACTATTGGCAAGTCGTGATTTCTCACTTACAGAACCCGGAGTTTCTTTCTCACTGACCAAGTATGCCCTCAGTAGATCCTCCGCGTAGCCATGCTCAACGGTTCGACTTATGTTTGGTATGCCTCTCAACTATCACTTCATCTCCGTTGACAGATGTCAGAAGATGGAATGGCAACGCTGATCCGCATTTTATCGCCACATTGACAGGCGAGCCCATGCTCCGCTAGGTCTCGCTGCTGGTTTGACTTCCTCCGACCTGCACGCCATTCGCACGGCGCCCCCTTTCTCAGCATTGAGTACAAGCACCGCCCTCTCTCCCATTTATGTCGCATTATTGGACTACGCGGATCAGATGACACGCAATGTCCTTGTCCCCGAACCTACTTTCTCAAGGTTGAAGGAGCTGTTAGGGAACGACAATAGGAAAATAGTGGAAGTGACGACGACGGTGGCTGGGTATAATTTCTCGACGAGGGTGTTGAGAGCTTTGAACGTAGCGGGATTGGGTGAGGTAGAGGTGCCGGTCCCAGAGTTGGATTAGTATGCGTGTCCCGAGTAGGCTGCGGCAGGTGCAGCCGGACATGGGCTCGTATGATAGTTTCCTGAATATGGTCCGAATGACATTGCAAGCGTGTCATTATCGTACATGCGCCGCATACTACATGGAAAGTGCGACTGTCCGCAAGATTTCTTCATTCGCGTACTCAATTCGAAAGTCTTTCTATCAGTATGACGAAGGGTGTTTGAGCAAAGTCTACTCGCACACACATTAGTCAGCACAATATTTGAGTCTCGGGTAAAAGAAAGGCAACTCACCCCTCCGTCAATCAACACCGTCTCGCCTGCACCGGCGCGACCATGTCAATAATCACTCTTACAGCAAAGAGATAAACAAGACTTACCATTGATGAACCAGTTGGCCACCAGCATGAGCGCTAGACATCCCATATCCTTGTTGGAGCCTCCCGCCTGTCCCATCGTCGGGATCTGGAAGCCTGGCTCTCTGTCGGTTGAAGATTGACCGAGGTCGTTCTTCGTGCCTGGGGCGGTCATCTATGGGGAGAGCAACATGAAGTATGAGTGAAGCATCTTGGTGGATGGAAACGAAGTGGACTAACCTCAGTAATAAACCATCCCTATGATACATATTCCACATCCATTAAGCATCGACATACATCAATTCCGGGAGGTATCACGAAGCACCCACCGGCGCGATTCCATTCACTCGAATACCCAGCGGGAGAAGTTCATGCGCCAGCGTCGACGTCGCATGCGCTATGGCAGACTTGGAGTACATGTATGGGAACGAATTTCCAGATGTTGCCGGATCCTACGCGTCAATCGTATAGCAATGTCAAAATCTATCTCAATGTAATTCTATCAATGTCAAGAAAACGCACCTTCGTCCAACCGTTCATGCTGCTCGTCATGATCACCTGCGGCACGAACTTCTTCCCTCCCTCGCTATTCTTCCACTTCTCCAACAAGGGCAAGAAAGCAAAAGTAAACCAGTAGGGCCCTACCGCGTTGACGCTCAAGGAGTCGGTGAAGTCTTCTTGGGTGATGGGATCGAAGTAGGTTTTCACAAATTCTGCGGCGTCGGTGGCAGTCTTGTTGACGATTGGTTTGAAAGTGCCTCTACCGACTCCTGAAAAGTTTTGCAGGAAAGAAGTGTGAGTAAGTAGGAGAATGAATGAAAATAAGAGAGATGACGACCAGTGAAGCACCTGCGTTGTTAAAGAGGACTGTGATCCCATTCGGTTCTCGCTGGGAGATCGCCGTGGCAAGACGTGTGGCGACGTCCTAGGTCGTCGGCCGTCAAGTCAATCTCCATGACGGATTTGCATAGTACGGAGCCATGATTGGATACCTACCTTCTCTCTAACGTCTCCCACCAATGGAACAATCTCGCCTTTCCTCCCTGACTTCTCCGAAGCATCGTTGTATGTCTTCGCAATTCTGCATCAGCAAGATATTCATCAGTGTCTGATGCTGATGTGGCATGATATCAACAAGGTAAGGGACTCACTGCTGCAGGTTATCATGAGTGTTCTGCGGCCCTACAATGTACACGCGCGCACCGTTAGCGACCAAGGTCGTGGTTATCATCAGTCCAATGCCCTATTCGTAGAATCCCGTCAGCTAAGGATCCAGAGGAATAGGAGGGGATAAAGAACCATACGGTACCACCACCGGTGACGACTGCAACAACACCGCTGAGGTCGAAGATGTTACATGCTGAGAGACGGTCGAGAACAGCGTCAGCCATGATGGCAATATAATGTAGTTTTGAGGTTGAGAGCTATTGCTTGTAGACCCTGCTAGAGGGTCGAGTGTCGTGGCAGGCGGACAGAGGTTGGATTATCGTTTCAAGGCGTCCAGTGAGAACAAGTGACATCATTGACATCCACTTTGGACGGCGCAAGCGCTTGCTTCAATCAGCCGGACGTTCTGTGGGTCGTGCTCGCTCATAACGGGACTCCCACAACTGAAAAAAGCCAGGAAGGCATAAAGAAAATCCGCCGAGGCATTGAGAAGAGGTCAGCGAGGCTGGGTGACGAGATCCTGTGAACCGTGAAGAATTGTCAGACGGGTGTAAAATTAGGCAATGAGTGATGCGAGAATGCTCTGCAGTAGAGATTGTGTGCTCTTGCCGATCTGTTTCAGGGAGTCCTCGGTCGAGGCTTCTCAGGACGCCACATAGGGCAGTGACAATGTGACGCCACACACTATGTCAACGAAGGATTCATGGCGGAGCAAGCAGAATTCGGAACAAGGTACGCATGATCATATTGCCAGACATAAGAGACGTATCCTGGAAGTTGAGCAGGCCATTTAGTATCACTGCCATATCACGTTCACGGACAATATCCAGTGCGCGCGTCAATATTAAGTACGCACCTACATTTACTTGGCGATACCCGGTACATTGCTCCCAATTCCACCAAACAATGTCCTCAAATACCCTATGCCTCGCCCTTCCTTCCCTCTTGACTTGGGTGATTCGAAGGGCCACCACTGGCGTAGCTGAGAGCCGAGGGCGCCGGCCATTGGCTGAAGAAAGATGGAGGCTGTTCCCCTGACGGATGCAGGACAGTACATTATATGAGAGGCGAAGGACATGGAGAGTGCAGATGAAGGAGTTGAACAACGAAGAGGACGAAGGAGAGGAGAACAGGGAAATGAATAGATGTGGAATAATTCTACAAACAGGACGTACCATAAAGCACCTTGGAGCAGCGGTGAAATGACCTGATCCCTGGTCGTAATCCAGATGACTTTGCCCCATTCCACCGTCACAACCTCCTCTCCCTCTGTATCCTCAGCTACCTCCTCTCCTTCCTTGTCCGTGTTCTTATCCTCTGTCTTTCTCTGTACGTGAACATACGGTCTAACACGCTTCAGGTAAGTATATTCAAACCGCAGATCTGGGATGGGCAAGGCCATGGGTGAGGTGTGGCGTGAAGATGAGCCGTGACGGTGATGTGAAGAGGACGGATGAGACTGTTCATGGCGAGCCTGCTCTTGAAGAGCAAGAGCCGTAATGTAAGATGAGCGAGAGTATTCGTGCGACATATTCAAAAGCTCAGTATATGAAGACGGAAATAATTGAGAATGTATCAGGATGTATCCTGATGTATCCCGAGATGAACGAAGCGGCAACAGGGGCCACGCGAGCGGAGCGCGTTGTTGTGCTTTGTTGTGCATTGGCTTCTGATTCTAACATGAACAAACAACCTCGGTATGTGGCGCAGCGCAATAAGAGCGGAATACTTATATCAATCATATCACGGGCATTAGGAGCGCGTCGATGAGGCGTATGTTACAGGTAAAGTACAGTCCATATGATACAAAATTTTAATCTTTAGCATCTCCAAGCCATTTCGATATTGCTACGTTCCGCGCGTCTTGTGCATCGCTTCCCTCACGTCGGAAGAGTTCATCGCTTGGTTGTCGTTCACTCTCACATCACGCCCTCCTACATGAATCGCACATATGTTCACCCAGTCAACTCGGTTTCTTGGAAACAATGGTGAAGGGACGTACCGCCAATAGACTTGTCTTGGTCCTCTGCCTTCGACCGTAGCCCCGCATAATACAGTGCGCCAATGGAAAGCGTGATGCTTGCACCCATGGCGAGGGCCTGGAGGACAAATAGCGGATAGTCAGTGTGGGGTAATACCAGATGGAATTTGTGGGGAACTTGACGCACCAGGCGACGGCTGTGTGGACTGTGGCTCATGGTTTACTTGAATCGTTGCGACGTTGGCTGAGATGTTTTGACTGATCGACTCGTGTGATATTGAGAAAATACTGTTACCAGAGTTGCAGGGAAGGAGAGAGGATTGATCTTAGCCTAAAGGCTTGACGGTATATAAGAGTTTCGGTACGGTGCAGTGACGTCACTGCAGACTTCTTACAAGCGGTGCCACACTGGCGAACGCCACTCAGCGTCTCTGCCACCAACGGTCATCACAAACAACGACGATAGACGCTTGTCGGACATTTTCTACTAGCAGACCTACGATTACTTATCTAGCCATGCTAGGTAGTACTCAGGCTTTGAGGAACATCCGTTTCTCCGCTTCGCATGTCGATATGTCGGAACGCAGGCTGGTCGGTCTCAAAGGTTAGTACAAATCCGACCATCTTCTAGATCCACAGACAACTCGTGCACGCTTGTTCGTCACCTTATTGCTCTTCACAACATTGGCTGACTGCCTGTCGTGCATCACCCGTACTTTGTCTCGACTAGGCGCAGAGATCGTCATCGAGGAGCTCAAGTCCCGGAAAACCGTCACCCGTCTTCTCCTGGGCCAGAACCTGCTAGGCGATAAAGGAACCGAGCATCTCTTTGATTTCCTCTCGTCTCCAGATGGCCAACGGTTTGAGATTGCCGACATTTCTTTGAATGTTAACAAGATTGGGGATATAGGATTGAGGGCCATAGCACGATACCTGGCGGATGACAACACAGGAGGATGTGCTGTCAGAGAGCTATTCTTGCAAGGGGTGAGTAATACTTTTTTTTATCGTACAGCCCTATGCCCAGCTAATGCACGAAATGCCTTAAATCTTTCAGAATTCATTCACCTCTGACCCTGAGACAGTTTCCACGTTCGTCTCCGCCCTGAACAAATCCCACGTTACAACACTGAACATTACAACCAACAATACCCTCTCGGACCCCTTCCTCTCCGAATTCCTTCCAAACCTCCATTCAGCCACTCTTCAAACCCTTCAACTCTCCGCCATCGGTCTCACATCTCTCTCATGCGACACTATCGTCTCATTTCTTACCTCATGCTCTTCCTCTTCATACGATAATTCGGGTGATGGCCTAGACAGCAAGCCGACAGGGCGGGCCTGCCCGGTTCTTCAATACCTGTCGCTGAACGCAAATTATCTCGGCTTCAAAGCGATAAAGAAGATCGTGCGGACCATCGTGAGGGAAAACTTCACGGTCTCGAATCTGGAGCTGTATTCGAACTGTTTTGTGGATGTCGATGAGCCATTGATATCCCAAATTTGGGCTTGGGTGGCAATGCTCCCAAATCAACCTCCGGCTTTGGCTACCCCTACTCCTGTAGTTCCACCAGCGCCCGATACACCTGTACCCTCTCAAGCATCAACATCCTCTGGTACCACATTGATGCCGCCCGACACTGTTCATTCTAACAGTTTCGAAACCGCGCCAGAAGATACCACCGATGAGGAAGAAACCGAGGAAGAAGATCCGGATGACGAGAGGACGACTACGAGTAAATGGCAGGAATGCATGACCGAATTGAAGACGGCCTTGACCAGAAATTCACTACTGGCGACGCGCGTGCACGAGGAGTCGTTGAGACTATTGAGAGCGTCGAGACCGGTGTTACTTCGCGGATCTCCATCATCTGCGTCCTCCGCACCTTCACCACTCGCCACCTCAGCTCCGCCTTCGCCTTCACCAGTAGCGAGCACTTCGACGACATCGCCCACCCACACCCGAACACCGTCTCTCCCAATCGAACTGATCCTTGATATCCTCACTCTCCATGCCGGACCAACCCTCTCACCCTCCCAGCGCAGGCGTATATTCCGCTATGCCGAAGATCCAATGACCCTCCCTCCCGACCCTCGAATCCTACCGCGCTTACCGAAAGTTTTGAATCCGCCTAAGCTGAAGGCACCCTACGGTCCATACGGTACACCGACGAGAACAGGAAGTCTTTCGGGAAAGTATTCTGTGACGATGCCGCAGGCGAAGCGGAAGATGTCAGACTCTATGCTGGTGGAGATAGAGGGGATGGAGGGGCCGATGACAGCGAGGGCCCGGAAGAGGGCAGAGTGGTATAAGGAAGTCGGATGCGTTTGCTATGAGCGTCACTAGGAACTTGGGAGAGAAGGAAGTGTTCGGAGCGGGATGGTCTTTGTGCAGTGGCATCACCAAATGTGTCTCGATGTGTTTAGGTGGACTTTCTTAAGTTACCTCGTACTGACATTTCTCTGCCTCGTCTCAGATAGTTAGGGTACATGGGTGGTGACCTTAGTGGTTCATCACCGTATTTGACCTGTGGGAAGTGTCATTAGAAAAATATCAGCGACCGAATTGGTGCGAGCGAGACAGTATATAATCGAGGAAGGACCGCCTGTTTCGTCGATGAGCGAGTATTTTCTGTGTGGCGACCAATGATATGCTCCGCCACTTCCCCTATACTTTCCGGCGGGCAGATGTAGCGACATGTTGAACTGCACCGTCGGCCTCGAGGTTTACTATTGTTTTCTACCGCCCACTAGTGAGTATCATATATGACATCCCGCACATAGACTTGATCCCCACACCCCTTATTTCTCAACGAGCCTACGAGAGCTTACGATTCTCTATAGATTCCCGGCGGTACCGAATTTAAAACGCTATCGAACGCTATCGAGTCTTATCCTTGCCAATCCCAAACCAGGTCCTTGAAGGCTATCGTCTTATTACTCTTCACAACAATTGTGCTTGGCCATTCATTCTCGTCTTTAACGCTCGACGATGTCTGAAGGCAGTGGTGCTCCAGCACGAGTTTCCTATATCTTCCCGGAAACTGGGACGAATGAGGTACGCCAGTTCCGGTTGATCGTTGTCTATATGGGTTGACGGACGTAACTGACTACTTCTGAAGCTTGCGGACCAAATTCGCGCAAGGAGAGGCGGAAAGGAGCTACTTGATCTGGACGGAATCTTGTGAGCACTCCATCCTCGTTCTGTTGAACCAGCATACGTTGCATATCCTCACTCAAACATTCACCTGGACGCGTCTTGGCTCACTGTCATTTCATGCTCGAAGGCTCCATTCTCCGCCTATAGCCCAAAGCTGGAACGCTTTCGGAGCGGCTATCAGGTCGAAGAGCACATTGTCCCTTGACCTTGTCGAGCTGCTGGTTCGTCTATCTCTCTTCAGCGTCATATCGAACGTTCGCCCACAAGGTGTTCGAACAGATATGCAGAGTCGCTGTTCTGAATGGGGCCGCTTTCGTCTGGTCAGTTCGCATTCTTCACACTCTCGTCCTGGCAGTGTTCAGTCCTACCAGACCCCACACGTTGACGACGTTCCTTCACCTCTGAAAGGCGCGAACATTCTCCCATTGCTCTTCAAGCAGGGATTCCTCAGGCCACTCTCCATATCCTCCGAACAGCCCCAGCCTTCTCCTTTTCCTCCACCGCCGCTCCAGCTGCTGCCTCCACCACCACCACGTACGACTTCCCTGAAGTTCACGCGGCCTTGCTCGATTATGTGGATCATATGACGAAGGCGGTCAAAGTACCGTCCGCGGTGTTCGCAAGGGTCAAAAATGCCATAACTTCCGTAAGTACGACCGATCCAAGCCAGACCGGAGAAGCTGGTGAGGCAGATAAGATTGTGGAGAGGAAGGTGGTTGAGGTGACAACTACGATTGCGGGCTATAATATGGTGACGAGGGTGGTTATGGCGTTGGATGTAGGCGGTTTAGAGAGCGAGGAGGTGCCTGTCCCGAGTGTCGGTTGAAGGACAGGGAAGTACATTTGAATGTGAGAAAGTAGCGTCGCTGCTCATTGTAGGGCGCGCTGACGAGTTTTACTAGGCTTAGTAGACTGCCTCCAGATTCGTATTCTGCTGTTAGGGACTCGCAAATGACGACCGAGATATATCATTAAACTTTATGAGCTATGCACTGCGGCTTGGTCCGGCATGAAGACACCATTCAGACCTGCCACACCGCGAATCACCAATATCAGAATGTGGTGTAACTTCTTCTTTACCCTGCTGCCGAAGTCGACCAACTTCTCCGTCATCTTTGTGATACTCAAGTGAATCGATATCCCGATCGTCCAAAGGACGAGGACCATGATACCGAAGAGAGCCACGCCGACGGTGATGCGAGTTCCGATGTTGCTGTCTTTGAAGCAGAGGCTCAGAAAAGCGGCTGCGAATGCTGCCATACTGAATCAACAATGTCAGGGCATTCCCAGGGGTGATCGTACGCAGGCAAAGAGAACTTACGACCACATTAAGAGAGTATAAGGCATACTGTAAAGAAGAGCGAACAGCTCCATCCCGTACGGTGTATACTTTCTGTTCGTCCTAGACACGTACGTGCTCTTTGTATTTGCTCGTGAATGAACAAGACAGAATGAATGGTACATCTGAACATCAACTTACGAAGTCGGTAGGAATTTTAGAGCGTGCCGATGATTTACGGAGCTGGCGGACCAGGAATAGGCCAATGGTGATGGAACCGACTGAAGCGATCGTTGAGATGTAGCTCAAGATCTGGGGAAACTCGGCTTGTGCAGTTAATCCGACGTAAGGGATGGCCAAAAAGGCGACATTCGCGTTCAGGATGACGGTGCTCTGGCAATGGGGTAAGGGAACATCAGCGAGGCTTCAGGTAAGAAGATGCCATGTGTGGCTGACTGCAATAACGAAATCACCCCATTCGGAGATCAATCTGTTCGAAAATGGGCCCCATGCAACGTTATTTGGGATGTCGTCCATCCAAAATTTCTCCAGTTCCTCTAGATAAACGTCCATGGCAAAGAAACATATCGGAGAGAGTATATAGATGGCGTAGGAGCGAGGGCGAGGATCGCTGGAGAATATCTGCGCGTGAAAGGAAAGTTGGGGAAGGTTAATAGTACTGCTTGTAGAAACAACTGTCAAGGCTACTCCCACTAGTCGAAGTTCAAGTGAACGAAGAAGAAGAACAATAGGGCCGAACTTACTGATTCGTCACCATTGAGTCTAGCACCTAGACCCGGAATAAAGCGTTAGTGCAAGACGACTTCGAAGAGGAGCGTGCGCCAATGCAAAACGTACCGCGCTCGCCGTGAAAATTGACGAATTTCCACCACGCTTGAAGAAGGTAAGGTCTAGCACATCGAAATTGGAGGGAGACAACGTACACATCATAGACATCAACCGTGCTGCGAGAAACGATTAGCCCACAAGCAATCAACGGAATGGACGAACGTGAAGATTTACCGACACACCACCTCATATATTCGTTTTTAAGATCAGGGTCGCAAGCTGTGTGGTGATAGATAGTTCAGCGAAGGCTCAATTATGAGCAGCACTGGTTACTCACCTCTTATTTTGGCCGTCAGCTCGACAAAACTGGCTAGCTCCCTTGAGTTATACGGCGTGCAGGAGGTTTCCGATGTCATCTGGTCTAACAAGGTAGTATGGTCCGTCGGTACTGTGTTGAGCCAATGCTTTCGACAACATCTGGCTCACCGATGGAATACATGAACAGAATCCCTTGAAGATCGTCAAACACAGATGGGAACCAGTGCCAAGGGGCGTTTGGGAATAATGCCCAGTGATTCCTGAGAAGAGCGATTTCAATGGGCATTCACTCTGAACTAGGCATTATGCAAAACTTTGTACCAGTATTGCCATTCAATAGCCTGTTCTAAGGAGCGAGGTTAGTATCAATGTTCGCGTATAGTTGAACAGCAGACAGTCATGCTCACTTATATGTGAAGGTGTCTTGACACCTTTTGTCTCATCTAAAAATGGGGGGTCCCAGTAGGTATTCAGCCAGAAAAGGCATTTCGTTTGGTGATCCACATAGTAGTAAAGCCTTTACAAGAAGAGAGGAATATGAGGTCCTATATCCTCCCAAGCGTCGAAAGTAAGAACGAACCACTCGGTCTTGCCATTATCTGCGGGCCTAAGTTCTAAGACAAGCTCGCATTGGTTCGAGGGTAGGGTCATTTGGGAAGATAGGAGAAGTTGGTCCAGATAGTTCGCGAATGTTTCTACTTCCTTGCGAAGGGTGTCGTCGTACATGTAGACGTCCGTATAGATATGCTGTAGTGCAGGCCTGGTGTCAGTTGGATTTAGGGATAATGAGGTAACAAGAGAGACTCTATCTGAATGATGGAAGTAGAGAGCGCCTTCAGGCTGACGACATGGCTCCCACTTTCCAGCTGAGCCATCCACCCAGTTCAAAGGACTGCCACTATTCGATCTAGCGAGAGTATAATCGTTATTTAAGTAGAAAGTCAAACTCAGGTGAGAGATACGTGCTGGGGCCATTTCGTAGCCAGTGGTGGTATGGCAACGTCTTCAGGATCAGTCGAGCTACCAAAAACATAATATTGAGAATATTATGAGAAAGCCAGATGAAACAACTCTGTGAGACGAACACGAAATATTTCCTCTCGTATCTTCCAGTTTCGCCAGGGTGGAATGGCTTCACCTCCTTTCCAATAGGAATAGTGGGGTACGTGGCGGCGGTCGTCAAAGTCGTATTTTTGCCTGGTAACAAGCGTCGTGGGATCTGAGTTGTTGGATTCTGAGCCAACGGCGAGAGTACGGCTGAAGACACAGTAGAAATGTGGGTATTCGGGACAACACTGGAAGCACTTGGTGGGACTAGGCTTCCGGCGACATATTCGAGAGCAGAGCTGGTCCTTGGCTTGTCGTTGTTGGGTAAACTGGCAGGAGTCGTGGCAGCTGCTCTCCAGCGCTCCAACGAGGCTGTGATTGCCTGAATCGCACGTCTGAGCAAACATGGTAAGCGTCGGAGTATATCATGCCAGACTTTGCTTCCAGTTTTTCTGAAGAAAGCCAAGATCCACCAGAGAAGCTTGGACATGGCGAAGACAGAGTTGCGAGTGAGAAGCTGCAGCCACATCATCCTTCAAATTGTGGATCTGCATCATTATGGTGAAGCGGGTCAACAGAAGCCATTGAAAAAAAGACTAGCGCCAGAGGCGGATGGTGGCACGGATATTCCATAATGAGATCTATGAGTGTCATAGTCATCGTGAAGTCGTTAAGTATATGGTGGGACGTCGAAATACAACAAGTCGAATATTCCATACCTAACCAGAATGACAGCGAGACGACGCGTGGTACAGGTCATAGCAGGACGGTGAACAGCGAAAACATACGGAGCTTTTAGTACCTTGGTTTTTGCTTCCGCGGCATACCGCGGCACGGTATAAGCCGCCCGTCCGTACTTGGAAGCTGTGGTCACGGTGTCAACTTGAGGCCGCTCCGCATCGACCTTGACACCTTACCCCCATGTCCCCCCTCACGAATACGCCTAACACAGAAACACTCGTGGAAGGAAATGCAGATGGACAGAATCGTGCAGCAGACTCAATGAAGTATGTTCATCATAACTCACAATGGCAAGTAACACATCAATGGGCTCACACATTCTTTAGCATAAATCACCATGATTTGGGTCCTACCATCGGTTATTCTGAGGAACCTGAAAGTACTCAAGAAGATCATGATCTATCATCAAAGTGCGCACCATACTCTCTCTATTCGTGGGAGAGAGCTCCCCAACTCGCCTCTTCTCCATCCAGGCCATCCGAGTCCAGCGAGAATGGAGTGTAAGTCAAGCAATAAACATCCTTACGTCTGTGTCTTGTCTGATCCAACTTTTGCGCAGTGGTGACGTGCCCATGGCGAATTTCGGTCGTCCATCTCGTCCACACGTCGGTGGCCCAAGTAAACCCAAACCGAAGCCCAAGCCCAAAGAACAATGATGTTTATCGAAGACGATCGCCCACGAAGTGTATTCCTAGGTACCCTATTCGTCGTGACAATCGCGTCGGAGACTGTCATAATACTGAGGTCGGTAGCAGTCATCGTGACTCTTCTACATACCCACTTTCCTCACCAGTCATCCGTAGACTGGCTGTGCATTCTACTACACAGCACCCATCCACCTTCAATTGTTCTTGTATTCCTTGTATTTGCTCGGCGAAAGCTCTTAGTCAGATGAATACCGCCAGCGCCACACTCTATCTTTCATTGAAATATGCAGATACAATTTCCTCGCATGGCTCTGCAACAATGTCAGTCTAGGGTGTCGAACACTCGGAAAGTGATAGTAACAGGCGGAGGTCTTCGGGCGTCCAGGAGAGGCCGCCAAGGAAGATCCTCAGGTACTTTGGAGACCTCACTAAGGTCGTTCCCCGTGAAGAGCGTTGACATCTCAATAGTTCATACCCATACATGAGTGTACATGTGGGGCCAAGTTACTGAAAATCATGAAGCAGTGGAACGGTGGCGTCGATGTGCTTGAACACAGGAGGTCGCTTCCGATCAGCCATCGCTTCCATATATTTTCCCACGTCGTCTACTTCGCTCCAACTTCCGTCGAGCAAGCTGATCCACATAAGAGCTCAAGCCCTCATCGATTATATATACGTTGAACAGATTCCAATCGACGCCACTTCCACTTGGTAAACAATGGTCTCGCCTGCAGACAGAACATCGGGCTTGGTTGTAGTTCGCGCCACAGCTGAACAAACGTAGGCTCTGGATCCAGTGAACGAATGGTGAAGACACTAATGGGGTTTACAGACAATTGGCTCTTGTTCAGCGATATGACCCGTCTGGGCCACTAACTTCGGAGCAACACATCTATCGGGCCACCGTTCTAGGTAATGAGCCATATGCTCGAGATGGGAGACAGTGTTATTGGTGAGCAGTGTAGTCTACTAGTATTGAGTGAGCCGCTGCTAAAGACGTCCTGTTGTATTGTAGGGTCCTCGTCCCAGAAGACGATGTGACAACCATAGGCTTCCTCTCCTCAGTAGCTACTATAAAGCGTACTGTTGTCGTGGGTTCCTCTCCGTCTGGACAATCTAGGGATAAAGCCGCCTACTCGATAACCCACGTCTTCACCCCGCCCCATTTTCGTCATAGGGGCTACGCCTCCGCCATGATGTCCCTTCTTCATGTTCATCTTTCCGCCTTGGTCGATGAGCTTCACGACAAACACGGGCCTGCCATTCTGTCTTTTTTGTACTCTGGCGTGGGGACCTTTTACTCCAGGTGTGGTCCGCCAGGGTGGCACATACAATCCTCCCGCGAAACGTACTGGAAGGTATCAGATTTACTATCGTCCCAATCTGCCGGCGTTCCAAGTGGTGAACTGCATCCTAGGCCTTCCCCAATTCGTGAAGATAGCTTCGCTTCCCTCGCCCAGCTGGATGCAGATCTTCTTAGATCTGAGGTTGCAAATCACTTCTCGCCCGCGTTCGCGGTCCTCACCACGGGCGACGAGTTTTCCTGGCTGGTCGCCAGATCCAAATTCTACGGGAGGATATTGTCATCGGATCGTCCTCCACCTCAATATTGGGGCACCGTCCTCGATGAACCAGACGAAGCCCCTTCCGAACCCGCCCATACTATCGATATCGCGAGGGGATCGACTCTCACATACGCAGTATGGTTCTTCGACTACGCCAAAAAGGAGCTCCACTTCCTTAGAATCCGGTGCCCTTTGGACCAACCGTGGCGGTTTGAGATAATTCTTCGAGAAGCTGCGACAGCGGCGGCGGAACAAGGCTGCGAGCGGATATTGGCATGGAATGTAGACGAGAAGTTATTGGATTGCACGGCCAAGATCGAGGGCACGATCACGAGGAATAGGACGAAGAATTTGGCTGCGGTCGCTTGGTATGGGGAGGGTGAGTGCCCAGTGTGGTTGGCGAGTCAGAAGTATGGGTGGTGTTGATTTTATGGCATGCTCATTAACAAGTTCCATAATCTTTGAATTACTGTGACCACAAAGCTTCGCATTATACAGGCCTCGTAAGGCTATGAGTTGTACATCTAAACTACGGTAACTTAATAGCATGATACGACCTCGCCCCACACCTGCACGGTACATAGAAAAGTCCGTCCATCACCCACAAGATCTCAATACAGATAAGAACGGAGAAACTACCAGATATGATGACTAGAACGTATGATGGCAGCCATAAAACTATGGTCATGACCGGGCCTGGAAGACTTCGAAGTAGGTTGTGTACTCTTCGGGTGTCATGAGTTCCTGGTGTTCCTCCGTAACCGCCGAAAATGGCACTGGCTCCCCGTTAACTGGAGCAAGGAGACTCAGTGAGTGACGAGGGATTGGGAGGTACTGATCGTAAGAAGCGACGCACCATATACCAGCGGATCGTCCTCTGCCCCGCCAGCTGCAGGTGTGGGCGCCATACTCTCCTCTCCGGATACCCCGTTAGTGTATGGGTACCCATTACTCACGGCTCCATGCCCATTGATACCGTTGGCACCGTTGAGTAGAGGAACATCCACCCGCGCAACCTTCCGACCGTCCCCACCAACGTCTTCAGAGGATCTTGACCTCTTCTTGAACTCATTCATGTAGTCAAGATAGTCCACGTTGGGCTTCTTGTCCTCTTCAAAGTCATCGATCGGAAAAATTGATGGTGTCTGCGATGCTGATGGAGCAGCCGACGCGGCAAGAGAGGCGTAGTACTGGTCGTAGTCTGGTCGCGGAGACATCGTGGTCAGTGCAGCACATGATAGATGGTATGCGTAAAGAATAAGAAAACGTACAATCCGCTTCTGGATTTGAGTCAAGATCCGGTTTGGCATCCTCCACCTTCAAATTGATGCCGTCTCCCCCATTCATCTGCATCCCCCCGTTTAACCCATTCGTGGTGCCACCGGTACTCCCCACCTTGCCTAGACCCTTCAAACTCTCATCGTATCCATCGGGCCCTAAGATTATAGGGTTACCGTTACTCAACCCCTCTATCCTCTGCCTCTCTTTAATCCCCAGGGCAGTCAGATCACCCGTGATCGTACTCTGCATATGCCAGCTTGGCATCGCGTTCTGTTGCCTCTTTGCCGCAGCTTCCGCGTCCCGCTCTTTCCGAACCGTGTCCTCGTCTTTGTCAGTTGAGAGAACGATACCGACACCGTCGTCTTTCCGTGAGGAGCCTGATGATCCAGCGACTTTGAGGCCGGATCCGGGCTCGTTAGAAGCGTTCTGGGAGGCGTCGGCGGAGGTGAAGTTTTTGTGGATGAATTGGATGACGTCGAACCTAGCAGCCAATCCCGATACAAAATGACGAGTGAGGATTTTAGTGGATGGCGGGCTTCGTGGAGCAGTGAAGAAATGGCGACTCACGCAGGCAACACCATAGGTTCGGTCTTCCGCAAGCCCTCAACAATATATCGCATCTGCCAATTGAACCTTTGCATTCGGTCCTGACTTCCTCTGACACTCTCCGCATTCTCGTTGTCGATGAGTTCACCGGAGCAGATCTCGCAGACAAAGGCGCCGAGTGCGAAGTCCATGAGTTTGTCAACCTCGAGCGTGGAGTACGATTTGCCGCATTGCGGGCATACGTAACCTTTGTTGTCTAGTTCCTATATCGATGAAAGCGAGACAAGGCGAGTGAGGAATTGGAGTGAAGATAGTCAGAACTAGCTGAGCTTACATTCCGCAAGCCGTGCTCGATGGTCCGCCGCATGTGAGCCACTCGCCACTTGACGACGTTACAAAAATGCTGGTAATCCAAGTAGAAATATTGCCTGCCAACAGAACGCTGGGCGCCTTCCTTAAGTTCGTTCTGCCTATGACTATGAAGAAAGTTCAGATTCCGCCACTAATCAGACAGGCATAAGCGGAGTGGGACTTACACTTGGATTAGACCGTCGTTCTCCAGCACTGCCATGATTTTGTTGAGCTCCTTGAGCTGCAAGCCCATCCGTCCAGCAAGGTCGTCGTCCTTTAGCCTAATACAACCAGGTCACTATGCTGTTCACACACTTTCACCGTAAAGCTTTCTTCCACACGAGCCTCTCGAACATGTGTCTGCCATCTCAAGAAGGATTGTTGGATTACTCACACCTCATGTCGCGCCAGCTGGTCCATAACGACAATGAACTTGGGCTCGTAGAATGCGCGAGAGACATGTTGAACAAGAAGACGGAGGGTAGCCTTTTCCTCTTCGGTGATCATCAGGTCTCCAAATCAGGTCGAGCGTGTCGAAGCACAATGAAGTCAGAAGCCCAAGATGAATAGCTGGCGCGACCACGACGATAGGAATCCCGAAGATCGCACTCTTGCAATGAAGGATGTCAGACGGGGGGTAATGTGGGGAAGCCGCGAGGGGAAGAATGGGCGCAAGCCTGGCGCTGAAGGCCCTAGCTGCAACTTCTATTGTGGATGTGAGTGTCAAATATCATCAGATAGAGAAGGTGAGTGGTATCCAGTACAGTTTTCAGAAACAATCCGTCCCCGTCGTCGTCTACGATGTCCAAATTGTTTCACCCTCGACCGTAAGTGGTGGTCGTTCGTGGCAAACAAGCGATGGCAAAATTGAATTTCGTATCCGTCATGCTAACTCCCCTTGTCTTACTATCAAAATTACGTAATGTGTGTCCACTACCCCGCCACACTTGCCCTCCAGAGTGGCCACACTTCACTTCCACCATGCCGGCTATACCACCTATAGCGCTCTGTCTTACCCTAATTGCTATATTTCTTCGTCTGCTGGCTTCACCGTTCCATTCAAATAATGTCTTTGTTGAACCGTCACTTCACGATGTCCTTTTACCCAAAGACTCCCATATTTCGTCTGCAGGAATTCTACTCTTAACAGCACACCCGGACGACGAGTGCTTCTTCTTTGGACCTACTCTCACCGCTCTGTTGTCCCAAGAAAATCAGCCCGGAATAAACGACGATCCATTTTCTGTAGCACCACGAGTATACTCGCTTTGCCTATCTGTAGGAGATGCTGATGGCCTTGGGGAGCTGAGGAGAAACGAGTTCGAGAAGAGTTGGGATGTAATGGGTGTTCCAAGAGACAGGAGATGGCTTTTAGATCATGAGTGCGTGTTTGTTTGATTATTTGAACACTGCCCAGCTCAACGGATATAGCGAGCTCAAGGATAACATCACGGCCAAATGGAGCCCAACTTTAATTGCAGACGTCGTACGGCCATATATCGTGGAGAATAAAATATCCACCGTACGTCCCTGCTTGCTACGAAGGACGATTTGTTGACCGGTGCTGCGTACGGCTACTGAATTCCCTTCTCGTTTGCTCAGATCCTCACCTTCGATCGGAAGGGTATCTCATCTCATCCGAACCATTACTCCCTTTTCTACGGCGTCTCCCATCTCCTTTCGTCCTTCCCCGTCAATCCAGAAACACCAAGTAGTCTGACATACCCTCGCCCACGGGCGTACTCCTTGATAACTCTACCCACCGTCACGAAGTACACCTCCGTCAGCGCTCCACTTTTGGCGAAGCTGGACCTGTACTTCTACCGTTTCTTGGAGCGATTTAACCTTCAACCCAAGCCAAGTGGTCCTAGAGGCGCCACGGCCACCGCAACTAAGATGCCCGTCTTTGTCGCGGGTGGGTCGGACTATACGAGGACGGCGAAAGCGATACTGCAGCATGAGAGTCAATTGGTCTGGTTTAGATGGTTGTACATGGCATTTTCGAGGTATATGTGGGTTAATGAGTGGGTCGAGATACCGGCAGGGATCAAAATGAAGTAGCCGCCCCACCCAGTCAAATGGGATTGTGGTCATAGAAGTTTGTGTACCCGATGTACAAAAGTGCCACAATATACCCGCGTACCCCAGTCACTATCTACGGTGCCCTGCGTTTGATATTCGGAGAGCGATGAGTTCTAGGAGTAGGCATGTTTGTACCTTCATTTTCTTAACTAACTCACTGATCTTTCCTCTAGATGACGCGCAACACCATGCCTTAAAGCTCCAGTGGAGTCAATGACGCTACACATAAGGTTATCCTCGGATTGTCTTTCGCGAGCAGTGCCTTTGTGAAAGGTGACGAATATTGGCAAGTGTAAAATTCTGGTCGAACACCAGGTTTAAAGGTTTGTTGTTCGAAAGGACCACGCTTCACAGGACGGGTGAGGAGGCGGTTTCATGTGGCGGCGGTAAGAACACGAGTAGCACTAGCAATAGTCTTGAGCTTGCTGATGCTGATATCTGTGACTCGTCCCCGGTCTACTAAACGGCGGATGTGAGTGCTCCTTACTCGACGCTGGCATGCTCCCCGACCTCCCATTATCCCATGCACCAGGTGCAGTGATAAAAGCAAGGGCGGCCTGAGCAGCTCTGTTCGACCCTGCAGCGGCAGCCAACGCCACCCTCGCCGCTACATTTATCCCTCCCATACCTATCATTCTCCCGCCCACATCGATATCAGTGCAGGGTTAGAGGTGGAAGATTGAGCCCTCCATGCGGTGGTGGTTGATGGTGTGGCGAGGACGGACAGTGGCGTTGGGAAAAGCAATGAATGATCGTTACCAGCGTAGTCATGATGTAACCTATATGGAAAACGCATGAATAACACAAGAGAGCGGTCCTTGCTATGCAACCTGTAGTGTATAAACCTGGTTGCCAATAAGTTATAAATAAATTGGACAATTACTGTAACGATGGATGTGGCACGACCGCCGATTTTCGCACGCCCTAAAGCTTAAGCATGTCATCCACCGTACGGGAAGGTTTCTGTCGGACTCCATCACTCTTGCACGCAGAACATATGCTCGGTACTTGCTCACTTTAGCTTATCTTCATTCAGCTCTGCAGCCGTGTCGAGGAGGAGATCATGATGCAACCGTTTCGGGGTCCCCTTACACTTCGGTGTAACTTCTCACTCGCGTGTCAGCGGAATCCCATCATGACAGCGCCGCACAGCTGGCTTTCATCCACATTTCTTCCATAAAAGCCTTCACAGGACTCTGCGTGGTGCTGTTAACGCCCCACACGATAGCGAGGACCGACGCTCATCACGATGCTTGTCGCTCGCCGTATCACCCCCGTCCTCCTTGCTCTCCTTACTGTCGCGTCTGCTAGTCCTAGCGCCCGATGGACCACGAGCAAAGTCAAAGATAGCATCGAACCTCCTCGTAACTGGATCAACATAGGTGAAGCTCCCGCAAATCATTTCATCAACCTCCGCATCGCGCTTCCGCAGCCGAATTTCTCCGAGCTCGAGAGGCATCTTTATGAGGTCAGCGACCCGACACACGAGAGGTATGGGTCACATTTGTCCAAGGAGACTGTCGAGGAATTGGTGAAACCGAGCGAGGAGAGCATGGATGCTGTGGGTCGTTGGTTAGAGGAGTATAATATCCAGGAAAAGGACTGCAAGAAGTCTGAGAGCAGTGACTGGGTCAGGGTGCGCGTTCCGGTCGCATTGGCCGAAAAGATGTTGAACACGGTAAATTTGCTCCATTTTGCACATTTCATACCCTCCAGAACATATTCTTTTGGAACTCATCTCTTTACACAGAAATATTACACGTGGAAACATGCCGTTGACGGAGAGATCATCGTTCGAACAACGAGCTACGGTCTTCCTGAAGCTATTCATGGCCACGTCTTGGGAGTGCAGCCGACAACTATGTTCGGCCGTTTCAATAAGCATCGCTCCTCCATCAGTATCATCAAAGATGCCCCAGAAGTTTCAGCGAACAACGGCACTATCACATCTGCATCGGGCACCGTGGTTGATGGTAGTTGCAACAGCACCATCACGGTTTCTTGTTTGAAGGAACTGTACAATGTCACTGGCAACGCTAGCACTACCAATGGAAACATGATCGGTCTTGCAGGTCAGTACGGTTGCGTGTTTTTAATCAGTAAACTGTGCGCTGAAAAACAGTTCTGCTAGGCTACCTGGAGGATTATGCCAACTTCCAGGACTTGCAAGACTTCTACGCTGAACAAGTTCCCGAGGCTGTGGGATCCAACTTCAGCTACGTCTTGATCAATGGTCAGTGTGTTCGACGATATTGGTGAATCACTTGTTGTGGCACTGACAGCTGACGTCTGTTACAGGCGGTCAACTCAACCAAAGTGAACCTGGTGAAGAATCGGACTTGGACATGCAATTTGGTCTGGGTCTGTCTTACCCAACGAAAGGAGTGTTCTACTCGACCGGTGGATCGCCTCCTTTCACTCGTGCGTCTATACCTTTCCATATTATGTCGCGACTCACTAATTGTGGTCTACTTTAGCTGACGCTATCACGACCACGGACTCCAACGAACCTTATCTTGATGTAAGAGTCTTTGAGGCAGTGGTTCGCGTTGAGATTCTGACGTTGCTTTCTTGAATCCGCGGCCGATGAAAAGTGGTTGGACTATGTCCTGAATGCGAGTTCTGTGCCACAGACGATTTCGACCTCGTATGGTGATGAGTAGGTGTTGACCTGCGTCTTTCCCGTGATGTCACCATCCACTGACCACTATATTCGTCAACGTCCAGCGAACAAACAGGTGAATCAGTTCTCTGCCTTCCTGCTGGCATCACTCAATGTCGAAAACCTATGCAGTTCCCTACGACTACGCCGTCGCTGCATGCAACGGTTTTGCTCAGCTAGGTGCTCGTGGCGTATCCCTACTGTTCAGCTCAGGCGACTCGGGCGTCGGAGATGGTAAACCCCTCGATCGATCTCTCATTGATTAGCCATGTAACTAAGCAGTGATACTAGGTATTCTGGACCCGAAGGAACAGACATGTTTCTCGAATAATGGGACGAACGCGACGATTTTCATCCCTGAGTTCCCTGCCAGCTGCCCGTAGTATGTCGCCTCCCATCTCATAAACATCATATAATGGACATGACGGATCCACATCTTCAGTGTCACGACCGTGGGTGGTACACAGAGTATCCCCGAGGTCGCCGTTTCGCGCTTCTTTTCCGGCGGTGGATTCTCGAACTATGTACGTCCATCAACTCACTCCCGCCGTGGTCTCGAAAGCCTGTTCGATGTTAATGCGATTTCTCAGTTTGCTCGTCCATCCTATCAAGACGATGCTGTGACCACCTATCTCTCATCACTGCCGAATGGGACCTACGCCGGCTTGTACAATGCGTATGCACTCTATCTTATACCTTTCTTCTGCCGTAGTTCTGACTACTTCGCCACGCACAGTTCTGGGCGTGCCTACCCTGATGTCTCCGCTCAAGGCGATCGCCTCCGCATCTTCTTTGACGGAGATGCTACTCCTATCGGCGGGACCTCAGCGAGTTCTCCGGTTTTCGCAGCCGTCGTCGCACTTCTCAATAATGAGCGTATTGATGCTGGTCTTTCGCCGCTTGGTTTCTTGAACCCTATGCTGTATAGTGTTGGATTTAAAGGTTTGACTGATATTACGGAAGGGCATAATACCGGATGTGGGACGACAGGATTCAATGTGAGTCTGAATTTTAATCGTTTGTTTGCTCTGTTTCGACTCCTTGCTGATCGGTATCTTTACGGGACTTGTTTCTTCATGCAGACGAGTGAAGGCTGGGATGCTGTGACTGGATTAGGCACTCCAAATTTCGGCTTGCTGAAGGATATCCTGTTGACGTTGCCCTAGCGGAGGCGCCTAATCTACCACCGTTCCCTTCACGAACGACCGTAATGCATAAATGTTATTTTCTCCTTGGCTAATCGGCGCACCGTGTCCCGCATGCATACACACATGTCTACATGCACTAGAGGCTCAACCGACAAAGCTTGGCAAAGATTTGAAGCCGTACGTGTCACCAGTTTAGGCCTTCATTGCATCGCTTTTCAGTATCCTGATGCACATACTTACAGACATTTGTCATTCTATGATTGCAGTGTAAAGCTGGAATCGACGCCTTACATCTGTTAAGGGTGTCAATTGTGGCCCTTCTGACCATCTGTTATCGTTGTTTCGACCATCGGTTCAGATTTCTCAGGGGAGGACTACTTCCTCCGTCTGCATGATGGGAAAATGTCTGACCCAGAGAACGAACACTTAGCAATAGCTGCATAGCCGCTCTTGATCTTTGTACACAACATCACCCTTCTGCACCGAGCTGCCCATCCCTGTGATCCTCTCTATACCTCGTGAGGTCGTGGCGCATGCTCTAGCCTCGATTATATCGTCGGAGAGTTAATCTCGGAAGCATAGGACAACATTTGTTGTTCCAAATCGCTATTGCGATGATCTCGATAGTCGTTCCGTTCGAGCTAGAGTCTCGCAACCCAAACCTATCCAGAGACCGACCCAATGTAGGGAAGGTCTAACACAGATCATCACTACCTACCTCCCGAGGTGGAAACGGCCACAATCACCTCATTGATACTAGTCGATTCTGAAGGCGATCGTGTGATATGCATGGCCGCTATAACATACGCACGATAGTCGCTGCATGAGGTCTGTTAGTGAGAGTACAAGGTACATATTCGTACTCTATCTCTCGAAGAAAAGGAAGGAGGTTCCTCTCTTCTTTTTCTGTTTCTCCTTGGGCTTTGCATCTTTGAACAGAAACTGTACAGTTATATTTTGTGGCTCCCACGCCGTACTTGGCGGTACAATCGCACCATTCGACTCATAAATACATGTGAACGATCATCTCGGCCACGAATCTTCATCAAAGAAGGCATATCACTGGAGTCGCACTCATCAAAGTCGACTCCACGCCTATAACATCGAGGTGATTCTTCCTCACACTGACCCCTCTCTCTCCCCCTTCTCTCGCAACACTTGGGCATGAACCATGGCAGATGTATCCGTTCTCAACACCATCGGCCATGACTTGGTGCAGTCAATGGTCTGCGTTTCTGTCGAGACGTTCCTCGTCGGTTTGTTCTCAAGCATTCGGATGCTTTGAGAGTTTTTTTGGTTGATAAGGCTCTCTGTATACAGCTGTATATGCCGTGCTTGTCCTCAAAGCGATGTCTCTGCTCTGGTACGTCTGCACTCTGTAATGCGCGTCAAATAGTTCTGACTCCTTTTTTCACCTATTTTAGCCGTAAAGGCCGTTCTAGTATCCCACTCTTTACACTGGCACTGCTTATTCTCATGTTCATCTTCGCGCTGATACTTTGGATCATCGACCTCGTGAATGTTGTTGCGGAGACGCGCATAACTCTCGTGGATCATCCCGAGCTGTCCATGGACATCAAGTATCAAACTGCCACGGAATTCATCTTTCGCAGATCGGCGGTTCAGCTGGCATTGTTCTCTTACATGGTACGGACATCGTGTGCTGATCCTCGAACACGTCAGAGCCTGATCATTGTCTCATAGTCCATCATGAGCGATTCTCTCTTGATTTGGGGTGTCTATGCATTTTGGGTGAAAGGCAGGGAGAGACTTGTCTTACTCATCCCCGCTGCCACTATCTTGGCTTCGATAAGTAAGCTATTCCCAACATAGCGCGGATATCTCAGTAGCTCAAAGATTGTTTTGCTTGCCAGTTTCCTCGATCATGCTGTCGTATTGCGTTGCAAGACTAGGGTCTGAAATAGAGCTCGGAACCTTCCAGAAGCCACACTTCTGCCGGAATATTCAAACGACTTCATACTGTACGGCCGTGGCCACAACGGCGGTAGGAACTCTTCTCATCGTGCTGAAGAACTGGTAAGCCATTCTTCAAGATTTCACGTCACCCTCAAGTTGATGATCAAGCCTTGGGAAAGGCGGTATCGCCGGAGTATCAAGCCAATACTATCCGGTAACGCTCTTCAAAGCTCGACGCAAGCAGAGCGTGTGCTGGGTATACTTGCTGGGACGGGAACGCTATACCTTTTCTTCTTCGTATGTGCAGCCTTTTCCTACTATTCGACTACCCTGCTGATGCACTTCTCGCAGATTGCACAAATGATACTGAGCATAACAGCCGTCAACGAAAGAGTCTTCGCTAGGGCTGACTTGCGATTTGCAGCAGTCATGTTCGACGACATGACTAGCGTTATTGTGGTTCGTCTTTTTATACATCGCATTGTGACCACTGTTGAGCGACGTCTCGATCAGGGAATCTATCCGACAATTATCGTCATCCTAATATACTCCCAGAACACACTTCTGGAACCAACAGCCCAAAGTCAAGTGCCACAATTTGGCAGAGATCACACGGTCACTTTCGAGCGACAAGTGACCGTAGCCGAGTCGACCGATCCTTATTTTCGATGGAAAACGCAAAGACGGTCGAGAAAGAATGTAAACATTGAACTTCCGGAGCTGAATAGTCCTTCTGCCTATTTTCTTCCTAGTAGTCCCGAACGGCCAGAGGTAAATGAGCCGGGAGGCCAGGTGTCCAAGGCGGATTCTACCATCTCAAGTGTTGGAGTATGATTGCGCATGATTTCTACATTCTATTCTATTCAATATTCTTCGTATTACGAGGGCCTTGTGTTCATGTTACTCTGAGAATACACTTGATATACAACTCCAGGAGCAGAAGCTGTATGTAGAAGGATGAAGAATACTAGGGAAATATATGAGTTTCAATATCCTCGGTCACCAACATTATTGAGATTCTGAATCTACCATGTTATGAGAGTTCTGTGCAATAACTTGAACGCCGACCAAGCGTGATACTAGCCTGTGTCTACTCTCAGAACTACGGCCGGAGTGAAAATTGCGGAAGGTGAGAATTAACAACATGAAGTTGCAAAGGGCGCGATACTCTACTCCACGCTTCGAGCAAGTACCACCTATGTATAGAATACAGCCAAAATACCTGTATGTAACGGATTCGCCTCTTTCAGCTCTTACGGATATCTGAAACATCTGACGACTATCCGATGCCTGAATTATCCGTCACAAATTAAGACGATGCCGTCGTCGATCAGCTCTTCTCCCCTTTCTCCCACTGAAGGACCTCTTCTCCGACACGGCCTCACCAGAAACGCTCTGTGGACCAAAATCGGGCTTCTCACCCAAAGATCCGAGGATATCCCCAACATAGTTCTCCGCTTGGACCCCCTTCTCGAATGTTTCTTCCCACTCCTCCACAATACCCTCTACAACCTTCACACCGACCAGGTATAAATTCGTAAGAGCAATATCATAACCCGGTGTCTCTCCAAGAAGGTTATCAGATGCACTCTGTCCTTCAAACTGCCTATCGAAGTCGGAAGCGGAGCGCATGATGATGATGCGAGAGAAATCGACGAGCCCGGAAAGTGCGCCGCGCATGAGTGATTCGAGTGTGGCGTTTTCCTCTTGTTGCGTTGTGCAGTACACGGCGGTACCATTGGTGAACAGCAACGTAGTGTTCTCGAAGGTCTCACCGAGCAGGGAACCAGAGAACCAAACATCGGACGTGGCAGTGTCACAGGCGACAACAGACGGAGTATCCGCTCCCGGTCCATATAAGGAAGTGTTGGCGTAGTTTGCACGAACTGCCTGTGCATCCTCGGAGTCGACTAGCGTGACGTTGCTTGCGAAATCGATTACGCGCTGACGAAGGGCGTCGTTGAGCTCGAAGACCTCCGTGCCGTAGATGTAGCCTGGATATTGATCAGGGGAGTAGGAACCTTGAGGAACGTAGCCGGTCGGCCAGTCGGTCGGGATTTCGCGAGCATCAATCTGGTATTGAAGGGCGACTTGGACGGCGAACCGAGCAAATGTGACGGACCCGATGGTGGTGACCTTTGGGCTGACGCCTGCGACACCGGCAATCAGGAAATAGGTCGTGGCGAGGTTGAAGGTGCGCGAGTAGATAAGCGCGGAGATGGTTGACGCGGCGTTGATTTCAGCTTCGCCTGTTACTAGGTGACATATGGTGCCGTCTGAGGTACAATGGGCATCGGGAAATGATGGGGAGAAACCTGGGACCGTGATGTTTTGGGAGAGAATGTCGAATTCGGGGATATTATACCACACTTCCTCCTCATCAGAGTACTGTTGCAACAGACATATATTCCCATCAACGTTAAGATAGCTTCGAAGATACCGTTACGCACCATGCTGATGATAAACACTTTCGGTGCAATCGTCCCGTTGGTCGCCTCATCTCCTGCACGATCCTGGGTTGTGAGCTTGAGAGCGCCACGTCCGCCATCAGCAGGGTACCGAGCGCGTTCAGCACGAGCAGAACATGATGAAAATAGAGTGCAGAGAGAAAGGAATAGTGGCACAGGTGAAGAAATCAGCATTGCGGTCGCAATGATGAGCAAACCTCGAGGTCGGCTTTATATACAAACCAAACGCCGCCCGAGCCTGCGGTCTACGCGAGATGTGATTGATCTGTTTTTGGAATCCCCAGGGAGGTCTCAACACCCAACGAGCGCTGGAGAATCTAGTGTCAAGCTGACGGTTTCAGATGAAAAAAAAGGTGGATTGGACGGTGAAGTGCGGTGGCCGTTCCATACACCGTTCCACCTCGCCAGCGGCTTGCTCAAGATTTCGTGCAGACGTTGTGCCTAAACGAGCGAAGACAACTCGCAAACAAGACATCCAGGCTGCCCAAATTACACCTCCGACATCAGCCCCTCTTCTACTTGGTCGTCACTTCGGGTCCTCCGCCTCGCCAATCGTCTCATCGGCGCCACAGCCCCATTAAACACGCTGCCAGGTCCGAAATCAGGTTGACCTCCAAGTGAGCCGAATATATCTCCAATATAATTTTGCGGCTCCACACCCTGCTCGAACGTCTCCTCCCACCCGTCAATAATGCCCTGCACAACACTGACCCCGGCCAGATAGAGATTTACGAGCGAAGGTTCGAAAGCGGCTTCGGGCGCGAGGAAGTTGTCGTACGCGGTCTTTCCTCTGGGTGGCCGATCGAAACTGGCAGTCGTCCGCATAAGGATGATACGTGAGAAGTCGATTAGACCAAAGACCGCGCCACGGAGGAATGACTCGAGGGTAGCGTTGTCTTCCTGCTGCTTTGTGCAGTATAGCGCTGTACCGTTCGAGAACAGTGCCGTCGTGTTCTCGAAAGCTTCGCAGAGCAGATCGCCACTCCACAACGAGTCGGAGGTCAAGGTATCGCAAGCCATGATGGAGGGCGGTGCAGCGCCTGGAGCGAAGGATGAATCGTTGGCGTATTGGGCTCGGGCCACTTGAGCCACGGTGGTATCGTTGAGAGTCACGTTCGCGGTGAACCCGATCGCGATCTGACGTAGAGCATCGTTCAATTCGAAAACCTCCGTGCCGTATATGCTCTGAGGATATTGACCCGGTACGGATGAGCCCTGTGGTACGTATCCCGTAGGCCAATCGGCAGGTATCTCGCGACCGTCGATCTCGCTCTGCATAGCGACCTGGATGGCAAAACGAGCAAACGTGACAGATGTAATTGTTGTGACTTTAGGGTTGGCACCAGAGATACCCGCAATGAGGAAGTAGGTCTTCGTGAGGTTGAACGAGGAGGAAAGGGTGAGAGCTGAGATGGTAGACGCGGCGTTGATCTCGGATTCTCCGGTAACGAGCTGGCAGATCAAACCGTCCGATGTGCAGTGCGCCTGAGGAAAAAGAGGAGAGCATCCGGGAACTGTGATATTCTGTGCGAAGACATCGAATTCTGGGACGTTTCGCCATACTTCTCCCTCGCCACTGAACTGTGAACAAGGATCACGAAAATCAGCCACAAGACGTTAAAACCGCCTGGAAGTACTATCGACGAACCATGTTTATGATGAATACTCTCGGTGTCAATCTCGCCGCTCGAACGTCTAGATTGTTCCTGATCCCTCGCATATCTCTCGAACGTGGGTCGACAGTCGTCACAGTGAATTCGCCTCTCGACAGACCGCAGAGTACAAAGAAAGTGAAGAAAAGGTTGATGGTCCACATTCAGAATCGTTTCTGTAGTAGGGATATTATTCAGTCCTCTCCATTTAGTGAAAAAATGCAGATACCCCACGTACGAGTGAGCGTCAATGGGTATGGGGCGATCGTCGTGAGAAGAAAGAGGGGTAGGATCTTGAGTGTGATTTAGCGGTTCAGCAGACAAGCAGGCCCCATTGATCAGTAAGGATGGGTCACGGTCCTAGGATAGCACCTAAAGGGATGCTTGGAGTTGCCCCTGCTTTCATGGGAGTGGAAGACACGGGACCCTTCAGATGGGCGGCACAGTGGAACAGATAGCGGCCATCAAAGTCAGTTCTACTGGCCACAACTCATCCAGAAACAAAAGAGACTTGTACGAAAAGTAATGTTTTTTATGCAAAACGTACTCCAGATCACGGAGCGGACGTTACTTTGGTCGAGGTCGCCCAAGTAGTACGACGCAAGAGATAGCCAACGAGTGCCGACTATAGACAACAAATACTCGTTTCAAGGGCGCAAATACCATTGAATATCATTTGCAGAGTACATGATAGTATACATGACCTTCAATCTTGAGCTTGAGCTCGGAAGACAATGGCTCGGAAGAAAAGTGTTGCTGTTTGGCAATACGAATTGCACCAATTTGAACACACCACAGTGCCACGTGGTTCGGGTGGCGTAGCGTTCATAACCGCAAGCGGGCCACAGTCTACTGCGCGCTCACGATTCTCACCCTGAACATTTCTCTCATCTGCTTCTTCTAAAGGCTCGGTGCTCAACCTTCTATCGAATACCTACACGCTCATTCATAGCCTGCTTGACACATCTCTTGTGCTTGAAAGACAACTCGCTCATTTGTATTAATCTTGTTCGCACTAACGCGAAGCGCTGGGCCCACTCTTGAATTCACTATGTCTGTCGATACTCAAGGTACGAATGGCCCTCTCATATAAGCCATCACTCCTACTAACTGAAATAATGTCCGTGCTCGTAACTAAAAGCCTCATCTACCCCTCTCAATGAAACTCCATCCTCCACCCAAATCCCTACCCGCAAAACCCCCCTCCTCCCCGAACCAAGTCCCTCTCCGATATTCACCCCAGTAGTCCTCCCTTCGGGCCCCACGCTGCCTAACCGTCTCATCAAAGTTGCGATGTACGAGCATCTCACTAACCTCCTTGGTGGTCCACCCAACCTTGCGCACTATCAACTTTACGCTCTTTGGGCACGCGGCGGCTGGGGTATGATCATTACGGGGAACGTCCAAGTCGACAGTAAACACCTGACTCTCGGACGCGATATGATCATTCCTACTCCGCAACCACCAAAAGTCGAAGAGACGGACGGGAAGGGGAAGAAGAAGGAGGTAGTGTATGATACTGACGTCGTGATCGACGAGTACGAGGAGGCGGTAAAGCATTTCCAGAGGTTGGCGGCTACTATGAAAGACGATTTTGCGGGGAAGAAGATGAACGTGGACGCACAACTCGCTACCGACATCAACACGGGCGCTCTCAAAGGTACCACCGTCGAAGAGATGGAGCGAAAGCGGTCGAAGGTAATCATGCAGCTCAACCATTCCGGCCGACAGTCGCCGTTCTTGATTGGTGGGAGGATATCGTTCGGGAAGCCTATTGGAGCGAGTGCGATCGGTGTTGGGAGAGGGAAGGGAGCGAGGAAGCAGGGATGGTTGGCAGGAATTGTGAATAGGATCATGTTCCAGACGCCGAAGGAGATGACAATGATGGATGTGGAAATGGTGGTGGAACAGTTTGTCAGAGGGGCAAAGGTGGCGATAGAGACTGGGTTCGATGGCGTCCAGTTGCATGCTTCACACGGATGTGAGTGGTTGTTCCGGCTGTATTGTTTTCTTGGAAGATCCCCGTCGCTGACCTTGCTACGCTACTTGCCCGTCATAGACTTGCTTGCTCAGTTCATGTCGCCGAAGAGCAACACCCGAACAGACGACTATTCTGCCATGCCAGGAAACTCTCTCCGTCTCCTCCACCGTATCGTTACTTCCATAAGGGCAATCGCCCCACCCCACTTTATTCTTGGAGTCAAGATCAGTTCCGCAGACTATGTTGAAGCTGGCTCTGGTCTCGCATCTGACGAAAAGGACGATATTTTGAGCATGGAGGAGGAGCGAGCTGTAGGGCATGTGAAGGAGATTGTCCGTTGGAAGATGGTTGACTTCATTGAGATTAGTGGCGGTGACTACGAGGCACCAGGTATATACTTATTGTTTATTTGCACGCCCAGTAGTTGACTGGTCATGCCATTGTTGTATAGACTTTATGCTTACATCCTGCCAAGCCTTCTTCTCCCGCTTTTCCCGCCTCGCACGCTCAGCAGTCCAATTCCTTCCTACCCCCCGCCCCCTCATTGTCATCACAGGAGGTCTCCGATCCCTCGAAGCCCTCAACGACGTCCTAGACTCCCAATATGCCGACCTTGCCGGTATAGGCCGCGGTTCCGTCCTCACTCCTGACCTGCCCAATCGCCTCTCCGAACACCTCACCTTCAACCGTCTCATCGCCTCGTCACCCTCCCTCGTCGATAAAGAACTTTCCTCTATCTTCCCTGTCCAACCTGTCTTCACCCCCTCCACACCTCCCAATGCGAACCCCATCCTTCTCTTCATCACAAAACTGCTCACCTATCTCGGTATTCTGCCATTCCCGCAGTTGATCGGTGCAGGAATGGGCATGGCTTGGTACACGGTTCAGATGTCGAGACTGACGAGGCAGAAGGGCATTGATTATAAGCTGGGCGCGTGGGGTGCTGTGGCGGAAATGTGGGGGCTTAGTGTTGGGCTTGAAGATGGGTGGATGTTGGGGCTGGGTGTTGGCTTGTTGATTGGGGTAGTGGGCGTTGTACTTTTGGATTGGTATTTCTGGGGACCCAGGAAGGTGGCGTACTTGGCGGCCAAGGCGGCGGCGAATGCGACGCTAGGATATCGATGAACGGTGCGGGATGCGTTTTGTTTTTTGGCGGAGCATGGACAGTGACTATTTGAGTGAGCGTATGCTCTATCTGGCTACAGCTGACTCCATTGGTATAGTGCTATTCGGCGCGGACAATTCTGAGGACTATAGATTATTTTCTTCCCATATTTTTGATGCACATGCATAGAGACCAACTTCATATATACGAGTTCGTGCAGGATTACTTACCTTCAACTAGACTCAAACACGTACGCTTCGTAACCGGTGCTACATACACGCCTGCTTGCCACCCTCGCCACACTTATCCTCGGAAGGCACGGCGGGAATGACGTCAGTTGTTTGCGTTCGACTTTTCGAGCGCCGGGTCAACCGATGTTACGTCCCGGCTAGCATTGTGAGCTCAAATAATCCCAGTCTTTATTGCTGTCACGTCGGCAATCTGGACGTTATAAGGACAGGGACACCTCTTGCAATTTTCAGAGATTTACACTGTATCTTTCAAGTGGTAATTCCTGCGCCCCGAGGAGCATACCGGCAGCACCTATTGTGAGCGAAATCCCACTTGACGTCCCGCAGATAGGATTACTGACCTTCACGTTGTAGATCCCGTATATACACTCTTGGATCCTTGATGCCAATCAAGGCCGTCTCTTTCTGCTCAAAGAATAGAATCCCTTATCGTCATTAGGTTGTCCGAGGCCAAACAGACCGAACGCAGTCTGTATTGGAACAACTGCTTTCCCACTGAAGTTTCTGGACTCCCGAGGAACGTCCGAATGACCCAGAAACTCCACCACCTCGCGCCGTGCGAGCACGCTGTCTTTCGCCGGACTTGATTTTAATTGGATGAGACGGATTCTGGGACCTTTTTGCAGCCGTGTTTGGGCCGCGGCGCCATGTCAAGCAAGCGATCGATGGGCAGTCTCCTCATCCGGAGCGGACGGATGTGCGGGACGTGCTTTCCGTCCCACAGTATATATTCCCCGGACTCTCCTCTATCGCCTCTGACCCCTCTTGTTTTCTCTCGAATTTCTCTCTTTCTTCAACACTAGCCACAGAACTCATCGCAAAATGCCCGCCTCCACTGTTACCAAGCTTAACACTGGTGCTGAGATGCCCACTCTCGGTCTCGGTGAGCACAATATAGTCTCGTCCTAATGCGATATAAGATCTGATCCTTTCATCGTGTGTCTGATCATGTAGGTACCTGGAAGTCCCAGCCCGGTGCTGTCGAGCACGCCGTAGAGACTGCTCTTAAGGCCGGATACAAGCATATCGATACCGCTGCAGCATACGGTTTGCCCCTTTACTCACCCACCCCTATTTTCCCTGGCTGACCGAATTATCTTATTTTCTGAATGACAGGCAACGAAGCTGAGGTCGGCCACGGTATCAAAGCCTCTGGTGTTCCCCGCTCCTCCTTCTTCCTGACCACCAAGCTCAACAACAATGACCATACTCGTGCCTATGCCGCACTTGAGGAGTCTCTCGCCAAGCTTGAGACGGACTACCTCGACCTCTGGTTGATGCACTGGCCCGCTCCGATGACCAAGGACTTGTCCGGTGCTGACAGGACCATCAACTGGATTGATACATGGAAGGAGATGGAGAAGATCTACAAGGCGCACCCGGAGAAGGTCAAGGCTATTGGTGCGTTCTGGTGTTTATTTATACTATCTCGACCATGGATCATGATGTACCGATATAATTGACGCGTGTTCGTTGGTATGTGACGTAGGTGTCTCCAATGTGTCGCCTGCTTTCCTTGAGCTCCTCCTCAAAGAGGCTACTGTCATCCCCGCCGTGAACCAGATCGAGCGCCACCCGTGAGTTCCAAAGCCTCTTCAGACCGATTCCCCCATCTTTTCCACTTTATTTGACCGCTCTTACGTGACTGACTAACAAATCCGACCATTCAATGCAGATCTTGCCTCCAAACCGACGTGCTTGAGGCCTGCAAAAAGAACGGCATCGTCGTCACCGCCTACTCCCCCCTCGGCTCCGACAACTCCCCTCTGCACGAGAACGCGGTCATCAAGAAGATCGCGGACAAATACTCCGTTACTCCCGCAAACGTCCTCATCTCGTTCCAGGCTAACACCCCCAACGTTAACGGTGCGTCTCTCTTCTTCCTTCCCGTTCCCTTCCGTCCATCGAACGGCTTTTGCGTGGAAAATGAATCTAATGGTTTGATCGGGTTCACTTAGTCCTCGCGAAGTCGGTCACCCCCGCCCGTATCGAGGCCAACCTGAAAGTCATCGACCTTACCGAGGAGGAGATGAAGGAGCTCGAAGCCATTGACAAGGCGCACCACTTCCGTGTCTGCGCACCTGACTGGACTGGCTGGGGATCCCTTGGTTTCGTCGACTGCTGAGCATGATATGTTTCATTCGGGATCATTTGCTTCGATTGCTAGTGAGCGCAAGACAAAAGATGAAGTTCACGTGGATGTATGAATCATTTATCAGTATGTGAAGAATAGTTGAATAGGTATACATGTATGTATGTGCATATGTAGACCCGATAAACGTATGCTTTGACTCGAGACATCTGGACGTTGAGATCATGTGAGTGGATGGTTTTAGGAATTCCGTCGATTGTCGCACAGAGTCGGTACCGGTGTGGCGAGTTCGGGGGTCACACAACGTCTTCTGGCCGATGAGACCTTGCGAAACCCCTTGGAGACCCCCGGTTATGAGAGTGGGAGGTGTTGTCCATGGACAGCCGCGAAATGAATCCTCCTCCTTCAGGGAGCCAACCAATTGTGGCACGCTCATGGGCGAAAAGGCAGGGAACTTCAAAGAGAAGAAGTGGGAAGGCGGCCGCTCCAAGCAGCCTGTCCGGGAGTCGAACCACTTCTTCTTTGACGAGTGATTCCAGTGAATTATAGAGCATTTTGAAGGGGTTGTTTCGTTTCATCCTTTCCGCAAGTGGGACACTGCCCTTGAGGGCACATTTCTGTGCAGGAGCGAGGTGGAGGATGCGATCTGAACTGCAATAAGTCAGGCGGCCAGGTGTGAGAACACCAGAGGACATTTACAGTCTCAACTTCACCCAAACATATCATCGATGTTTGTCCTTCAACTTCGTAAAAATCGTCAAAGGTCGTTAGGTCATGAATGGGGATACAGGTACGACGTGAGGTTTCGTTAATAGATCAATAAATCAATGCATCCAAAGTCCCAGTGGAGAACATCATCCAAGAGTTGCTGTATCCCGGAAAAGCGAGTGAGCGAAGGAGTGTGTGTGTGCCAGTCCTGAAGAGGGAAACGAGCTCAAACGATGGTCACCGTCAAGAGCGTGACGATTCCATCTATTGCGATATCTAGTTTGCGTTTCTTAAAAATCAATCCAACGGACGCAAATCATGGACTTAAAACACACCGTGGTTAATGCTAGTGCTACCAGGAGCAATCAATCCTGTGATATTCTGAGCAACGGTGGAATATGTGACACCATCGAAAGAGGTGGTTCCGGAAGCTGCTGTAACGAAGAGGTCCCTATGGAGATAGTCGAAGTGAGTCGCATAGGCAGAAAATCTGTAGATAGACGGAAGATGGCTTACCTCCCGATGTCATAGCCGTCGGGTATAATGGTATGACTCTCCGTGACAGGCTTTACAGACAATATTGAATAACAATGAGCCAAGGCGCCTACGTAGATGAGGGTAGCAAGAAGGCAAGGACGAACCTCCTCTTTCGACACACTGCCATCGCGTTAAATCTTGTGAGCATTCTGCTCAGCTAATCTAGAAGAAATTTATACGTGCGCAAGGAAAAGAGCACCGGTATTGGCCTCGGTACCATTCTGACGGAACATCCTGAAATGTCCATGGATTTCATCCATAAGCTCTACATTTCTTGACGCGATGATTAGCCTAGAGGTACTGACCTCAAGTGATTTCCTCCGATGAGCGTCTCGAGACATGTCCCGACCTCGGAGTCGCCATAATCCTGACGTGTAGTCAATATAGTAATCCCTTTGTACGAACAGAATATTTTGCTTGGTGTTAAACAATTACCTCACGCAGCTCGACGGTTTGATTCACCGCGCCGTTGCCATCGCCAAGGTTTGCGCTCTGAGGATCACCGAGGTGAAATCCCAAGCATTCTGTCGACCTAAGAGAGTGTCAATTCCAGAGGAACAACCACATCGTTCAGAGAAACCGTGGCAGGGAAAGAATATGTACGTACATCCCCGCAGCTCGAGCAAAGTTCGTGAACCCGTCGTCCGTGAGAACGTCCGGTGAGCTCGCGCCAGAGATTATGACCTGGGCGCCCAGCCACACAGTCAATTCATCGATGGAGAGTAGACGACTGGAGAGTAGACATACGTTCAACGGTTCCCCCACTCCACTACCCGCATCGTCCAGAAGAGAGCCACCGTTCGATGTGGGAACCAAGAAGGAGATCGGTGAGGCAGTAGGAGCCGCAAATGCCATGAGAACCTGAACAGCAAGAGCGATCAACATCCAGAATGCAGATCGGGCCATTGCACTAAGTTAAGGGATGCAAGTCGATGCCGAATGAACGAAATGGAAAGGAACTTCCTGGAGGACAAGCGAACGGACGGAAGGTGAGGCGGGGAGGGTGCGGGACAGGACACACTCTTAAACGATGAGATCATGCGAGCTTTTATTAGTCGACGAGTTGCCTAGCTCAAAGCGTGCGCGTGAGGCAAACGTGGGTCATGCTACCATGGGATACGATGAGAATATAGAAGAAGACAAGCGGATGAGAAGACCTCGCTTCGATTCCGGTATGACCCCGCAGTAACAACCACAACACGCCATAAACAGAGGTTCGAGAGGTGGAAGGGCATGTGCTTGTTTCCCCGAAGCATCTATACAGGTGCTACAAGCGCAGTGCATCATCTTGTTTGAAGAACGTGGCTTGACAGTATTTATCCAAATACCGTCAGACACTCGAATCGGCCGTACCGGAATAGAGAGCTGCTTGTACGTCCTGTCGGTGAAGGGCGGGTCAGTGCTGTGTATCAGCGAGCTTTACCCCGAAGTCATCAGCAAATATCACAGCCAGCTTTGGCAAGTTTGCTCGGGTTCGCGCGGTTGAAAGCGGTCCCCAGATGGTCGATGATTGTAGTCCTTGTCTCGGCGACTCGGACTAGGAAGGCCAAGTCGATGAAATTAATCAAGGATGATTGAGACGAGCAGGAGCAGGAGCACTACGAGTTTGCAACCTGACTCACATCTTTCTGTCGTAAAGTTATGGAGGGAATTGTGGCAGAGTGTGAAGAGACCTTTGAGCTGGGGGTGAAGTCAAAGAACTACATTGGGGAAGAGCTTCCAGAACTCTTCGAAGTCGGTCACCCGTACTTTGCTACGGATAGGGATATTGGTCCTTAAGGGCCCACTTTGTATCCTGAATAAACCTTCCTTCCTTCCTTCCTTCCTTCCCGTGCGCTCCTTCCGATGTTGTCGTTGACATTATGATCCATTTCGCCCCGGAAGTGTGAGGCTACTTAGGCGTGCAAGACGACGACGATCATGAAGGAGCTTGACTGGGTGCAGGTTCGAATCTGGGGCCGGGCAAAACTACGGGCCACAGTAAACTTAAAGTTACCACGCCACCCAAGATCACAACCGGGAATATAAGGGACGCTCCCCCCTCATTTCTTTCCTTCAACTTCCCTCCTGAGCAACGCCCGTCTTGTCTTCGCTCGACTTCTCACTGTTGAATCTCATTCAACAGCTTCTGTGGACTATCTGACTCTGAACCTCCTGCTGTACATCTGCCCCTGGCAATGGACTCATCCCTCTAGATCTTTTGCACGTCTGTATTCCCGATTAGCAACCTGGACTCCATATCTCATCAGTGAAGTTGTTCGCACAACCCGCGAAGGCGATACGCCGTGCCCTTTCATTAGCGCTTCAGCTCCGATATAGCTCGTCCTTTACCTAGCTTAGCCACGCAACACCTTTGATACGTGAGCATGAAGCGTTTCTCTGTTATCGCAGACTGGTGGCTCGCCCTGAACCAAACAAAAATGATCAAGGTTCTACCTCGTTGCGTCCTCGTTGTCCTTTGATCCATTTATGCACTAATATTTGCCCTGCCCTGGCCTTATCAATAGAGTGATCACCTTGTATGTTATGGACGGAACTTTTCTTGGAATGCAATGCTGGTCCGAACGATGTCGTCATAGACACTGCGACAACATTTATACATTCGGCCCAAAGCTCTCAATACTACTCACCGTCGGTCGGTTTTCATCGTCTTCGTCCACAGGTAAGCGGCAACCTCACTGCTATCACAGCTGCTATATAATATTTTATGTTTCTGCCACGACACAAGACCATGCGGCTTCCCTCACCTTCACTCCTACTCCTTGCGTTCCACGCTCTCTTTCTATGCCCCGCCAATGCCGAACCCTTGTTCTCCAAGAGGAGTGAAGGAATGATCAGTCTGTCTACGAGGGCAGCGACGATTAAACCGATGGTCTTCATCATCAGTATGGTTCGTACTCACTAGTATCTCAAGTTTTCGCCACGATTATGACAGCGATAATGTTTACATGACATGTAGTTTAAATCCGAGGAAGGAGTGTGGCACAGCATCCCGGAGTTCGACCTCCTTGCTCAAAACATCACTGTCCCCGGATTTTCTCCTATATTCCCAGAAGCTCACTGCACTCTCGACGGCTCGATCTGCCAGCTTGTCACCGGCGAGGCAGAGATCAATGCCGCATCCACCATATCCGCTCTCGTTCATTCTTCATCCTTCGACCTTACGACCACCTACTTTCTCATCGCCGGAATCGCAGGCATCAACCCCAAGGTTTCTACCATCGGATCCGTTACCTTCGCGCGCTATGCCGTCCAGGTTGCTCTGCAATACGAGTTCGATGCTCGCGAGATACCTTCCGGTTGGTCGACAGGTTACTTCCCACAAGGTGCCTACGCCCCCGATGAGTACCCCGGTTCGATTTATGGCACAGAGGTCTTCGAGGTCAATGATGCCCTTCGCCAGCTCGCCATCGTGTTTGCCAGGAACGCCACCCTGGTGGATTCCAACGCTGCCGGAATATCTCGTTCAAACTACGCGAATACCTCTATCTTCGCTGCTGCAATAGAACCTCCCTCCGTCGTCGCATGCGACACCGCCACCTCCGACGTTTATTTCTCCGGAACTTTGCTCGGGGAGGCTTTCGAGAATACGACATTCCTGTTCACGAACGGCTCCGGGATCTACTGTAGTAGTCAGCAAGAGGACAATGCCACACTCGAACCACTCTTGCGCGCCACACTTTCCGGCCTCGTCGATTTCTCCCGTATCATCATTATGCGCACGGCGTCCGACTGGGATCGCCCGTATGATGGCCAGAGCCCATATGATAATTTACTCGGCGACGAGCCAGGGTTTGACATTGCCGTACAGAACCTCTACGTCGCTGGTATCAAGGTGATCAGGGGAATCATGGATGGATGGTCCGAGACGTTTGAGCAGGGTGTGGTAGCACAGAACTATATTGGGGATATCTTCGGGTCGCTGGGTGGTGAGCCAGACTTTGGACCCGGGAGTGTGTTCGGTGATTCGGCCCCAATTACGAAGAGGCGGTTGGGCCGAAGGATGAAGAAGTCTGTAGGGGGGCGTGTAAAGGTGATATAGGTGTAGTGGGACAGTACCTAGTTCTCTTTAAACCTCGATCTATGGGCACTATCGCTTATTCCTTTCCATGAACCCCCAATGAACCCCTCTTTTTGACTAGTCTCCCTCTCTTTACCCTAATATATGTTTTGCTCATATCTACTCCCACCTGTATATTATTACCCTGACGCCTTTCCCATGAACATGCTATGTACTCCGCTTCGCAGGCTTTATGCCCCTTGATCCGAGTCTGGGGCGGGATCAGGATTAAAACTGTGGGCCACAGTAAAGTTACCACGCCACTCAGGCTTACAACCGGGTAACGAGGGGTAACGCTCCGTTAGTAGTCCCTCATTTCTTGTCTTCAACTTTCCTCCTGCTGCTGAGCAAAGCCCCCTTTGTCTTCGCTCGACTTCCCACCGTTGAACCTCGCTCAACAGCCTTCTGTGGAATCTGAATCTGGACTATCTGACTCTGTACTCTGCTACATATCTGCGCTTGACAATGGGCTACATAATCCTTGTCTGTCTTTCCCAAGTCGTTCCTGATTAGCAACCTGGATTCCACATCTCATCATTGAAGTTGACCGTACAACCCACGAAGGCAATGCACTGCCGTTGCATCAGCTCCGACATAGCTCTTCCTTTGCCTAGCTTGGCCACTCAGCCCTTTCGATACATGAGCATGAAGTGTTTCTCTGTCATCGCAGACTGGTGACTCGCCATAAACCTATCTCAACGTTCTACCTCGTTGCGCCCTCGTTGTCCTTGGATCCATTTATGCCTTAATATCTGCCTTGCCTGGCTTGACACCTTGTATGTTATGGACGGAAATGTTCTTGGAATACTCTGCTGGTCCGAACAACTTTTCTTGGAATGCACTGCTGGTTCGAGCGATGTCGTCATAGACACTGCGACAATATTTATACGCACGACCCAAAGTTTTTAATGCTCCTCACCGTCGGTCGATTTCCATCGTCTTTGTCCACAGGTAAGTGGCAGCCTCATTGCTATTACAACTGCTATATAATATCTTGTGTTCTGTCAAGACACAAGATCATGCGGCTTCCCTCACTACTCCTTGCGTTTCACGCTCTCCTCCTGTGAAGGTCTTCATCATCAGCATGGTTCGTCACTGTGGAAGACGGATAGGGTGAAATTCAGCCAAATTTAAGGTGAATTTCATGTTTCACCCAATTTTCGGTGACCGCCGCTAGGCCTGCGGATGGCTTCGTTGAAATTCACCCAAACTTTGCAGGGGAGCAACAAGCCGCTTAAAATTCAAACTAAATTCATATGCAAATACGGTAGAGCAAGATCTGTTGTGTGGCTGACTCGTCAACGTCGAAACCGTGCAGGGTGCGGTGAATCGAGACGAAGTACTGCGAAGGACGGTGGCCACAGAGTAGAGCAGAGTGGCGTAGCCTGTGGGGCAGATGACGTCATAGTCGCGTCTTGCCTCAACGAGTCGACTCGCAGATCTCTTTGCTCTCTCTCTACCACCACCACCACCACCACCACCACCACCACTTCTGGGTCTTCGTCAACATCGGACGCGACTTACTTTGCTTTCAGCTGGAATCTAGCTAGATCTCTGGCTGCCGCTCACGCTTCATGAGTCTATAGCTTGCTTTGCCGGTCTTTGCTTGATCTCAGCTGTCGAGTGTTGACATCCGCTTGCCTGCTGTCAAGGAACGCGATCTGAACCACTCTTCAGTAACGTTGGGCAATTTTCTGTGGGAGATTTTTGGAGACGCGCATCTGACGGCTACCAGAAAGGTGCAGTTGTCCTTTCACTCCATTCTTTGTTTGCCGTTGGGAGCGCGAAGTGCTTCACAATCATTATATATGACCCAAAAATCACTTTCAACTTCACAAACTGTCGAGGTGCCCTGCTCGCCAATCCCATTCCTTCCTTGGTGATCGTGCTTATGATGTCTGCTCCGTTGGTTGTATACTGACTTGACTTCGTGCACTCACAGATTCTTGACAGTTGTCAACTCTCCATAGCCTTTCCACCACTCCCTCTCTCTTCCTCGGACCTCTCAATGGTTGGTTCAACTTTAACGGAGATGGGTGAAGTTGCTGAGATAGGGCACAGATAAGGTGTTTCAGTAGTATGTAGGAGTATGTTATGTTTAATGTATTTATGTACATTACCTACATAATCACTAGTAAATCATTTTTTCTCGTGTTCCCGGCTCTCTCGGGATTCGAAACAGCGTCACAATATATTAGTAGGGCCTAAGCTGGGAAGCGTGAACTAGCTATCGGACCTCCCAGAGTCAACCGAAGATATGTGGATTTTCACCCGAACTTCGACTGAAATCTTCGGGTGAAAACGAAAACGAACTGGGTGAATTTCACCCAAAAAATTCACCCAAATTTGAGGTGAAGCCGATATCCGTCACCATAGGATTGGGTGAAAATCCCATGCGTATTCGGGTGAAAAATCAAGGTGAAATTCACCCAAGGCGTACCCCCCAGTGCGTACTCACTAGCATTTCAAGCTCTCGCCACGACTATGACGGCGATGATGCCATACAGTTTAGCTCCGAGGAAAAAGTGTGGTTCAACATTCCGGAGTTCGACATCCTTGCTCAAAACATCACTG